CCAAAAGATAGGGCAGCTTTCTAACTCACAATGCAGAGCAAAACGAGGACATCGGTTGGAAAGTAGGTAGTAAGGCAGGCAGACGAATGGAACAGGGGAGGACCTGAGGTGAGTCTGCGTGGGGGCATGGTGGGGGGCAGGGAGGCGAGGGCCAGGGTGACGCTGCTGTAGTCCATGTTGAAGGACAGGTAGCAGGCCACCAGGAAGCGCACAAAGTGCAGGCCCATCCCCGAGCAGCTACGCGTGTGCAGCACCTGCACAGTCATGCGCACCAAGTCTCTCCACCAGCTGCCAGCTCAATTTTCTCCACATTTCTTGACTGATGCGCTGCTAACATGTGCATGTGCCAATACAACTCCCAGCCCATCCAATTATTTGCGTTGCTGATTCCTGCTGCGCCTCCACTCGGCAGTCTTGACTGAAAACAGCCCAGATCCTATCCTACCACACAATGGTGCCAGCTCGAGCGCTTTGACCGGTTGCGATTGATGACCGCTGGTGATCAAGCATGCATGTGCCGTTTCATCCCTTTGTCCCTCCCCACCGTCTGTCCTGCTGCATCCTGCTGTGCCTCCGCTTGCCAATCTTGTCTCCACACAGGCCAGATCTGCACAAGTTGTGTAATATAGAGCACAGAAAGTTTCCATGTTGAAGGGAGATTGAAAGCCCACCACGACGTGGTCTTCATTGAGTGCCAGCCAGGAGGCGATGGAGGAGCAGACAGTGAAGATGACGCCCAGGGGACAGATGCCCAGCCCAGGGGGGCTCTCCCAGTCCTTGAAGGGGATCTCGATCACATTGTTGCTGAACAGCGAGTATGCCTCCCCACTGAGCCATGCCGGGCCAAGGTTCAGCACCAGCGCTCCGTTAGCACTGCCATGCACCCTGTTGATGTGCGCCGCTGCTGCACGCAAGACTGCCTTGTACCTGCGTGTCAGCACAGTTTGTAAGATGGTTGCAAAACCAGAGAGGTCACCATGCATGTTCGGAATTGACCTTCAGGCACACATGAAATTGCGATCCATAAATTCAAATTGAGTAAGACGGCAGCACAAAGCATTCCAGGCAGCATTCGCATGAATACTACATGACATACAAATAATAAGATCCCTGTTCGCACTTGTCTGAAAGAGCAGATAGATGAAAGGCTTCCTTCCATGTTGATGGATCCTCCTCTGCAAAGCACAGCAATCAGTTTTCTTGAGAACCACAAGCAGTAAGTTTCTGTCGTGTAATCGAAGAGCAAAGAGTGAACATCCAGTCGATGGGCGGGCTTTGTGGGAAGATCAGATGCACAGATCTAAGCAGATCTAGCACTTCAGAGACCTGACGGTAGCTCCTCTGTCTCTGTAGCTGCCACCTTTGCTTTAAAAATGTCTATTCACTCAAGACTCACCATAAACAAATGCTGAGATCCTTTCGCATAGCTGCTGTACTGCGCCCTGCTCCTGATCTGAACGTGGAAAATTTTGCGTTCCAGGCCGAGCTAACGCTGCAGAAGGAGTTCCAGGGATACGAGAGCCGTGGGGAGTGGCTGCCTGGCCATCTGAGAAACTTTCACTCGCCGAAGCCTTGGGCGTGCCCAGCAATTTCCACATGTTATGGACTTCTTTTCATCCCATTCTCTCTGAGCCAATATGAAGACTCAATCAGTGTCCAAGGTGAAACTAGCAGCTCTCTCAACAAGCCATTTCCGACAGCTCTCGAAAGAACGTGGAGGGTTTCCGAAGGGTGACGCAGGGGAAAGATGTATCGAAGCCCTAAGCGGATCCTTTCTTTGCTTTGAGAGACTGTAGTCGTGCACGTTGTGATGCTGCCGCACAGCAGTGAGCGTCGAGAAATTCGTTTGAAGTGTGTTGTCTCCACGTCTAAGAGACAGCAATGCTGACCGCGCGAGTGCAACGGCGATAACTGAAGACGGCTGAGGGCCTACCCACCTCCGCTCAGGTAGCACTTGATCTCACGCAAAAGAGATATTGCTTGTTCTGGTGACGCCTATTGTCGGCATGAGATGCACTGATGCCCCATTCTTAGCGAATGGTGAAGTCCGACGCGAGTGCCAATTATATCTCGTTGCGTGCAAAGAAACACACTTCACGGAGGCAAACCCATTTATCCCAAATCCTCGTACTTTCCTTTCAAGTATCAAGAATGCGACTATCAGAAGAGACACACATCGCGCGAGGATGAGAGACTAGACAAGCTGCTGTAACGCTTGTCACAACTGCCTATTGGTTCCGTCCTGCTCGTGGGTACTTGTGCACATCGCAGATATGATTTTTTTCCTTTAATTGCAGGTTTACCAGGAAACTAGTAATGGCTCAGCATAGAGGGACGGCCAGATGCCACTGGTAGACACCGGCAGCCATCGGAAAGGCCCGTAGCGACCAGGCAAGTAGCTCTTTCCGTTGAACTGTCCTACAAGTCCGTCAAAACCCCATCGGCAACGCAGCAGTGATGAGTTTTGCATCTGCCCACCTTCGACTACTCACTTCCTTGACAGCGAAATGGGGCTTTCATTTCTGCCACGCTCGTGCTGCACCGTGAGTCTTCCCAGCGTTCGGAAGTCAAAGCATATTGACGCAGGCACTGTTTTGCAGTGTGCAGGCCAGATGCAGCGCGGCAGAACGAGGACCAAGCGCCAGCGCAATGACGGGCCAAAAACAGAAAACTGCTACGAATATGGGGTGCCCATGTCCGGTCTCCAGGAGGAGTCCTTGGAGTGTCAAGAGGGCCCCTCTGCCCTGTGCCATTCTCCTAACAGCTCATACCTGGACCAGCAATCATCTGACGCCTCAACAAGCACACAGGGGCCTCTGATGCCCATAAATGCCATGCGGCTGCAATGCCCAGATCTGGCCTTCTGGAGTCAGTACATGCGGCAGGTGTACATTGGGAACTCGCACTGCCCAGTCAATGGGTGGTACCAAGCCTGCAGGTACACGTCCCTAGCCATTTTGCTAGGCTCTGTTACATATTTTCAAAATTGTTGCAACTAGAGAGATGGATTATCGATAGAATCAATTTCACTGTGTCAGTGATACAGCCATACTCACAGCAGGCCTGAAATCAGCAAGTTTGCTTCACCCTGCAGAATGTGCAACTCATGGACGGCCGAAGAGCTCGATGTTGGTGGAAAAGCTGTGCCACTGTGCCGCGGGTAAGCGCTCAGGATGTCTTCCAACCTGCATGGGAAATCATTAACACTAAGAGAAAGACAAGCCTTACGAGGACAAGGTGTCCAACAAGGCAGACGCTTCCGTGCAATGCCACGATGCATACAGCACAGTCCATAAACGCTTGTTCTGCAAGCTTGCTCCCAACAAATATTTAATAGCACTTCAGGTTGCTTGCATGAATCTTCTCTAGCCTGTCTTGTAGCTGCAGGCACACTTCTTGCCCTTCTCAAAGTTTGACACGGAATCAGAGCTTAATCTGCTGGCTATTTCACAGGTGCCAGCTTAAGTGCCACAATGCTTGCGCGAGGGTCAACGCTGGGCCCAGTCAACCAAGTGACTCAGTGGCTGCCACGTCATCTTCCTTGCTTGCCCTGGACCGTGCATGGGAAGATTACCTGAACAAGCTTCGCCTGGAAAATGGCATGCTTGGCGCACGCTGATCATCACTGGCTGAGGTGTACATTTGGGTGCACAAATGCCTTCATAAGAGTACAAGTAATCTTGGCTCCTGTGGAAAAAGAGCTGGCATACGGTCAAGACTGCAGGAGCAGATAGCTGAACTTCCTTGAATGGCACAGCAGCAAACAAGTACCGCTGCATGCGCATCCACGGCCAATATTGGGCATGCCGATCAGGGTGAAAATCTTGTATATTATCAAAATAGTAGCAGGGCCGCATGGCCAGTGTAGGAGACAAATAAACCGAAAAAGGAAACTCTCAAATCAAGTGGGCAAGGAGGTTGTGTGCAGATCATTAGCACCAATTTCGAAAAGGCATTGCAGAGGTTATGCAGGCATGTGAGCACCATGCCCTTGTTTGCTTTGACGGTTCATATGTACAATATGATTATGAGATGATCTGTCTAGATCTATCGAAAGTGGTGGGCCGCGGTAGCCGTCATATCAAGACAAGAGTGTCCCACCTACCAGAAAATGAGCACAGTAATATCAATGATGTCCTGTCTCACTTGTAATAAATAATATTCTTAGAGCTGGTCTGCAAATATTTGGCACTTCTGGGATGGAACAAAGCACAGATAAGCACTGCTGTTTGAGGTGCGCACTGACTGAGCATGCTGACTGACACTGCTTTACACATGAGAACATTCATCTCTGACCTGGGACTCACGTCCCAAATGGATGCGCATACACGAGCAAGTTCATTGGATGCATTCAACTTGGTAGATATTTCTCGACAGCCTCCGCACTACTCTGCTCCTATAGCTGACTGCTAGCTAGCCACATTTGTGAGATATCTTGGGTACATGAAGCCTATTCAATGTCTTATGGAGGTCGGCCATACTTTCATGTGCCCAATATTTGTATTTTGATGCAGACTGGGCAATTGGTCCCTCGCTCTTTCTCTCCAACTTGAACACCTGAGAATAAGTTGCTGCACTCTCTTGTGACCGTACAGGTCTTCAGCAAGGGCTCACACTCAATCGCTGTTTTGAATTGTCTATGCTCTCCAGTTCGTGAGGTTGTCTGATCACCATCAGGACACTGATGGTGCCAACCTGCATTGCACTTATTGCCGCTGCAAGAAAAAGGATGCGCGTAAAGACATGGTCTCATTGGCATATGCCAAAGATGACATGTCCTCAATAATGCAACAAGAAGAACAATCACAAACAATGCACACCCGTCATTTGAGTTCAGCGCCCACAACTCTTCCACGTGCGCTGCAAAAAAGCCTGGCAAGGCTCTGCCCTTCAAGCATGCCAGCCACAATAGCAATCCCTCAACATAACCCTCGTAAGCTTTATATCTCCCTTGTCCCCAGCACACAGGGGAGCCACATGGGGGGCCACATGATGCCAGCTCAGGCGGCCAGTGAAAATTCAAGGCTGACCGTACACTCCAGGCTGTCGGTCCTAGGCACCATCAGCGACACAGTGCGCTGCTCCGGTTCGAATTCGAACTCGACAGGTGCGCCGTCGACGGTGCAGGCCGCGGGGGCGGCTGTGCTGTACAGCAGCAGGCGGCCGCAGCCGCACAGGGACGCCGTCGCACTCGCGCCACTGGTTCCGTTGTTTCCTGCCGCACTGCAGCTGAAGCGCTGCACGGTCGCGCCGGTGTTGAGCATGTCCGTCAGCCCTGCACATAGACAGCGCTCAGCAAAGGATGAAGAGCTCCATGCCAGTGCTTTTCCTGTTGCGCTCCTTCTCTGCAAGCCTGCTGTACAGTGTTGTATCCAGTGCTCATGCTAATGATGGCCAAAAGAAAAATCAATTATGGAGTGAATACGGTAGTGACCAGTCCAGTGCTAAGTATCCCCCTTGCCCAGATCCTTATGATTTATATCCTTATCCCGACCGAGGAACTCATTTGCTGGAGCAGGCTGCTGCAGCAGCCTGGGAAACAGCTCTTGTGGATGGGTTCCTTGGTCAGGCTACGGGTCAAGGGAATGAAGGTCTGGACTATCTCTTGGAGCGGCACTCAAGAGCGTACTAGGGGTACCAAACCATTACATGCACACATTAAGTGCATGACATAATTATATGATTAATCTTGTGGAAAATTTGCCAAGTGAGCAACGAGTCCTGATCCCGCCAGCCAAACAAATACAGCAGCAAGGGGATATGTGTGGGGGCATCAGGAATACACGCACCAATGGGAGCGATGCAGAGCCCCTTGACCTCAGTCAGGGGCACGACGGTGATGAGGTCACTCTCGCCGCGCGACAGCTGCACAGAGGCGTTGCCTGCGGCGTCGACCACCCACACAGCCTTCTGCGCGTCGCTGTACATGACAAAGCGGCCGTTTTCTGAGCCGCCGGCCGCCGCTGCAAAGGCCGGAATGTCGGCCGGGCGCACTTCCGTCGTGAGTGTCTGCGCGCCGTTGTTGTGCGTCACAAACTGGCGCCGCAGGCGGCTCCAATGGGAACCCTGCATTAGACGTTTGACGGGTAAGCAAACCACCAGAGAGAACAGCGCAGCCGCCGTGTAAAAATTAGCCTGAATGGTGAGGGAAGTTGCGGTGGGGCTGCGGGAGAATAGTACCTGGGTGTTGAAGATGCCGATGACGCCGCTGCCGCTGCTGTTTGTGGTCCACACCTGCACGACATGCAGCAGCCATCAGCACAAGCAAGCCAGCACCTCTGAACTGAAATGCTTCTTCACCCCAAACTCTGTCAAGATGGATCTCCAGCTCGTCACAGTACACCTGCTCATTCCACAAACATCTGCAGCTGAGCAGTCCTCTTGATGCCCCATGCATGGGCGTGGTAAAGATGTCCAACGAGCAGGGTGAGAGAGCGCATCGTGCCTTGAGCAGGGTGCGGCTGTCGCGCATGACGTCAGCAAAGAGGCAGTCAGCGGTGGGGCGTCCGGGCTGGGCAGCCAGCAGAACACTGCCGTCCGGAAGCACCACGCGCTTCAGCAGCTCAAAGTCGTGCTTGCCCGGCCGGTCGCTCACATACACTGGGCCCCCGCTCACCTGCACCAGGAACGCCGATTGATTCAATCCTCACAATACACAAATTTACTCACAGCCAACAGTTTCCAAGACAATGTGGCCAGTGGGCATCACACTGTAATCCACAATTATTTGCAAGAGAGAAGTGGAAGGGCGGCGACATTCCTCTCGTCCTCACGGCTACCCGCAGAGCCTATGCAAGGCATGACACAGGGCGGAACAGCTGGGTCACTTGCGCGCATAGCCTCAACATATGCATGTACCCGCACAACAGCAGACACTTCACCGCCCTCCCTACTTTTGTGCTGGGAAGCCACAGATTGAACCTGACCAAAAGCCAAGTCTTCCACTTTACCAAACCAGCATGGGTGAAAAAGCAGAAGGGAACGCGCACCACGCGGGCGCGCGCATGCATGAGGGCGGCGGGGTGCTGCGAGTGGAACATGTCCCAGTCCGGCTGCACCAGGGGCGACATGAACAGCGAATTCAGCGCGTTGACTGCCACGTGCGTGGTGTGCGATGCCGGGTCGCGCGGCCAGAAGTCGTCTGACGACCTCGCCAGCGCTGTGTCTGTCATCCTATTACAATACAAAACAAGCCTCAAAACACCGTCCTGGGCTCTTTTCCTCCCAGCTAGCCTCCATCTTCTAGCTCAATGAGAGCACCTCCCCTGAGGGGACAGACGTATCAAAAATGGCGAGCCACAGGATGCCCGAAACATGGGCTGCTGAGATCTGCGCAGCCTCCATGTTCCTCAGAAAACATGTTGGCAATCAGATGGCTGTACCAAGATGGCTGCATGGGGCTGCAAGAGCTGGGTGGTTTTGAGGCATGGGCAAGGGGAGGCGTGCCTGTAGAGGTCGCTGGTGGAGTGGCACATGCAGTTGATGCAGGCGTTGCCGGGGAAGTGCTCGGCGACAGAGTCCTCCAGCGCTGCATGGTAGCCTGCCGCCAGCGCGGGGCCTCCCCCCAGGCTGCTGCCGATCATGTCCAGCGTCGACTGACAGTCCACCTTCACGCCATCCACGCCAGCGCCTGCACACAATGCATCATTGCATATTGTCCATGTGGCATTCCGATGTCCCAACAGGTGTCAGGAGGCTGTTGTTGTACTTGAAAAAGGGACAAAGAGACAGCATGTTGAGGTCAACAGAGAAGGACAGGTTGACTACGGGAAGACTGCAAGTGTTGGATATGTGGATACTATGGCACAAGGTGGCTTGGCATCTTGTGGGCAAAGATGTGCCCACATGCTGGAGGAGTGTGGTGGGGTGTGCATGATAGGTGGATTAAGGGGCGGGACGCACCAGCCAGGTAGGAGTGCATGTCATGGTACAGGTGGCGGATGTCGCGCGCAACGCCCACCCCCGCCACAACCTGGCAGTTCCATGCAAAGCAGGGGTCGACGTCCAACACACCTGTCACGCAGCGAAATCCCCACATTCACAACTTTGAAAAACCCAACACTGATGGTGCTCAGACCTTGAGCAAGACTCTTCGAGGGATGCAGCCTCACTGTACAGCTGTGGCACAGGTTCATGTTCATCCAGACTCTGACTTTTACCTTGATGAGCATATTGTTAGTTGGCTGTATCAAGATGGTAGAGAGGGTCTCACCCTGGGTGGGTTGTGGCCAGACGAGCTGCGCGTCATACGCGGCCATGTGCGGTGTGTCGGGTGCTATGCCGGCCCAGTAGCCGTACAGAGAGTGCCAACAAAATATGTGCTCCAGCCCGAACCGCTCCTGTTACACCCCACATGCACACGTCAAACACAAAGACGCCGTCTTGCCCATCATGAATGCTTCTCACTCAAGATGAACACAAACAAGGCATTCAACATGTCATACAGACAGAAATGTTTGAGAATCGCAAAGTCAGAGCTCCTCATCTGCTCAAGATTTGGGAGGATTCGGGACTTGTGAGGCTTTGACCTTTCTTTTCAAAACATGGATCACCGCAAAGAGCTTGAGGAGGGGGAAAAACGAAGCGCAAGCGAGGCTTTGATCATGAGATACTGGTCAAGAAGCGCATGTTTGAAAAAGAACTGCGCAGGCTGAGATCAAGTGCTCACCCGCAGGTTGGCAATGACGGAGGCCATGGCTTCAGGGCGCGCCAGGGGCGCATCCATGCCGGCATCCACGGCCGAGAACTTGCCGTTGGCCGCAACGCTGCTAAGCCGCTTCACATGGTCCGACGTCTGCGCGTAGAAGTGCAGAATTGTGGTGCGCAGCTTGCCTGCACGCAGCAGCATTCTCTATCGCTTCCGTCCAAATGGTGAGATGGCTGACCAACATCTGGTGAGATGCCTAATCTAGACATGCATGTACCGTGTGTCCAGTAGCATGGACTTCACAGTGCTGCACTGGTTTTGGTTGTTTCTCCATAATGGGGGCAGACCCATGACACACCTTTGGACTGTCTGGTGAACCACTGAATCCGCCAGGAACCCGGAGGCGCGTGCTCAATGAACATCTGCAATCAAGCCCACCACATTGTCAGCATTGCAAAAAAATCCAAGCACGCAACCTTCGTTGAGACACATGCATGCAGCCACACCACTCTCGTCCCAAACAAGTCCATGTGCAAACCAGCAAAGGAACAGGAGGAGAGGCTGCTCCGCACCATGTACAGGGAAGTGATGAGAGCCACAAAGATGCCGGTGAAGAATCCCTGAATGCGGTGCCACGAGCTTGCTAGGACGCCCCTCTTCTGCTCGCCAGGCTTGATCAGCGCTGCGGGCTTTGCGCCCTGCGGCCCCGCCCCATTCTTGAGGGAAGCCTGGTTGGCCAGCTCGTCAAAGGGCGTGCTGTTGCCCTTTGATGCCACCTTAGCAGCCGCCATCAGAACCTGCACAGTCCAATCGGGTGCTGTCAGCAATGTCTGCTGGGAGATATCTGTTCTGGTGTAACTGGAGGACCGAGGACTGCACGCATGCCCCGCAACGCTCATCTGTCGAGCCAGAGGTTCTTACAGAGAAGGTTCTGCGGCAGTTACGAAAATACTCATGCACAGCAGTACTGATGCACAGCATACATGCAGAGCATTTGGTTGCACTCATGGCAAGCATGACTTAGCAAGGGGGACTCCAATGAGCAGGTTGCATTGGCACCTCATGCTCGCTCTGCAGCAGCTCTGCATCTGAGGAAGGAGGCCGCAGGGCAGGGTCCAGATCTGTGGACTGCCAGCCGTCGTCCACTATGAGTAGCTTGGGAGGCACGCCGCCCTCCTTCAGGGCCTGCAGCCCTTCGTCGATGCCTGTGGCAACCACGGCACATCTCACTTCCAGGCACACGTCTAAAATTGTTGACAGTTGCAAGAGACCTTTGCGCCTTGGCATGAAGTAACAAATTTCACCCCCAGAATAGCAATATCGATTTACAAGAGATCTCTTCTGGGATCAGGCGCAAGACCACCCACACTTTTCAGGCTTGCTCTCAGAATGGCCCTGCCGATCTCTGGGACCTTTCTGATAGCAGGCCAGGCAGACGAGGGAGATCCCATGTCTGCAAATTGCCTCAGTCCAGACAAGGACATTGTAAAAGCAGACCTGGACATAATCCTCACCCTGTGCAGAAACCTGGCTGTAGAAAGCGTCCCAGGTGCACCAGCCAAAGGACCCCACAAAGTCCGGCAGCTGCTTGGACAGGCGCGGCTTGGCCCCGCCCGACAGCTGCGCGGCAGCTGCCACGGCCGAGTCCACCAGATCATAGGGATCTGTGCCTGCCGCCACCAGCAGCGCGCTCGCCCACTGGCTGGCCGCTACGCTCTCATCGCCGCTCTCTGTCCTCAGCCGCACGTCCTTGCTGTTATCCTTGCCCTTCCTGCATGGGTACGAGTACCTCTCATACACCTCATCTCCCCACCTGCTGCGGAAAACCTCCCAACACTGAACCATGCTTGTCTTTTGCATCAAGGTCTTAAAAATGCTCCAACGCCATGGGCGCATCTGGGTTGGCGCATTACTCTGTGCTGCCCGACAGACCAACGCTTTAGCATGCCACAGGATGCACCAGCCTATCAGTTGGATGCACCAGCAGCCGATTCGCCTGGTGCAGCAATGAGCACCAGTGCTGGGTTTGAGAGGGGTGCGAGAGCACACCGCGGGGGCCTGAGAGTGGCGCGGAATTTGGCAGAGTCAATGAGGGGCAGGAGGACGGCGTAGGGTCCGTTGGGAGACAGCTGCAGCAGCAGGAACTGCGTCTCGTGCGGCAGGTCGGCTGCGCTGGAACCCCACTCCGGCGCCATCCAGTAGATCTTGATGCGCGCGCACGCCAGGAACCTGTTGCATGCCATCTTGTGACGTGACAAAAGGTGGCATGGCAAATACAGTAAGATAGCTTTGTTTTCTAAGTACTAAGATTCCATCAACATTGCGTTGGTGGATTGCAGGTATATGAAAAGTATATCACAGCGATCAAAGATCAGGCGCCCAAGTACCTGCATCGGTCGGCATCAGGATGCCCATGAGCCGAGACACAAGATTGTGCTGAAGTCTAGACAATCAGCCAAGTTGCAGCAAAGGGGCGCACCTGTTGCATGTCAGCTGTCCTAGCGTGGTCTCCTCGGTGCTGGTGGGCCGCCCATCAGAGGCCAGCAGGCCCAGCACAACGCCCACGGCCGGTGCAGCTTCAGCGTTCAGGAAGAAGCTGGGCCCCAGATTCCGAATGAATGCGAAACCGCCGGCCGATAGGGCGCCATCTGTGTACGTCACTGGCAGGCTCGTGGCTGGGACCTTGTCCGGCGCCGGCACCTCTATCTGGGGTGGTGCTAGTGTTGCGGCAGACGCAGTCACCGCTCTGCAGAAAAAAAAAAAAGAAATTGGTCTCTAAATTTGGAGGATAGCGTTGACTGCAAAAACAAGATATCATATGAGACGAAACATAAAAAATCCCCCCATTGAGTGCACATTTGCAACTAATATGCCAAAAAGGGGCCACGTGCCCCAAAAAGCAACAAATATCAGGGGAGGAGAGAGCTTACAACGTTGGACGCATCTCGAGGCGACGTGAAGCGCTATATGATCTCAAAGACCTTCTTCTGGCTGCCTCCCGGCTGTGCAGAGGGCAAGTATTCCTCAACAAGGCAAAACGCTCATCTTTTGGGACGTGCTTGGAGAGCCTAAGAGAGCCTAGCAAGGATCGTGGGCCTCGAATGAAGTTTAAGCATGGTTGGCGACATTGCATGACCACGCTGATCAAGTGCGTGTTCCCGTGCAGTCGGAATGAACAGCACCTTTATCAAAACGCGCTGCGCAGCTTTTGTCCTTCTAAACGGATGTTCAGTACTGCGACAGTCTAATCTCGTTCAACCCTACGGTATATTTAGAATCTCGCAATACACAACAGCAGCCTACAAAGTTGATATTTGTATCGGCTTGCCAAGAAACCGACTCGGCGAGTCAAAAATCATCGCGTCAGCTCCATCTTGCAAGCGGCGTTCCCTGCAAACTGCACCTTTCCATGCATTCGCTCCCCCCTCCATTTCCTTTCTTTTCTTGTTAAGTAATTACATTTCTCAGATTGCAATCACGAAACATGGTACACCCGATCAAAGTTCAGCTGAACGATCTTATGGTGAAGAGGGAGGAATTTGAAGCAGATGTCTCTTTGCGATCTGAGCGATTGGACGCTGCAGGAGTTGGATTGCATGGAAGTCTCTTGGACAAAGAGGTCTGACTCGATGTATTTTGATTGAAATCTGTAGTAAACCTTCACTATGTGTACGATGAATTGTCACGCGTATCTTTTACTCGCAGGGCTACCCAAGAGCTGATATCGATATAATGTCCATCAGGACAGATCGGAAAAGGATAGCAGGTGGTTAATGCGTGCATATCATGTCTGGATTCCGCTTGTGCCCATCGTGCTTGCAATCACAAAACAGGACATCAGCGCTTTCTGACTCATTAATGGGCGTGCAGAGCTTACAAACGACCACAAGTCCGTCACAAACCAGATTGAGAAGTTGATCCAGGAGCTGCATGCTGCAACAAAGGACAGCAAGCCAAGCCATGATCGGCCATCAGCACCTGCAGCAAGTACAACAGACAAGCCTCCCGAACAATCCAATGGAATTGCAGCACCTGTTCCCGCTGGCAGACCCGTGCATGCAGCGCAGTATTCACGCCCCCTTGCAGTGGTCGATGGTGTGTCAGAGGCGTCCCCTGCCAGCAGAGCAGGCATACAGGTGTGCCCAGAGCTTTGGCTCAAATGCAGGATGCTTAGCATGAGCCCACTCCTCTCACAGGCCTATTAAGCAGCCCAGAGGTGAATGTGCCATACTACTGCAGGTCGGTGATGCGCTGGTCAGTTTGGGCGGAGCTAGCTGGGAGTCTGGAACCATCTCCCTACAGCAGATCGCAGCAGCGGTCCAGGTTGGCCCCCTACCCAGATCACAGTACCTTGTTACTGCATGGAAACAGAGCTGATTAGAGACGGTCCGCAAGTAGACATTGCGTCAGCAAAATTATTGTTCTTCATCTGCATGTGTGTATGCTGTTGTTTCGAGCTCCCTAGCCTCTATCTCTGGTTTTTTAAAATACAATTTGGACAGGCCATATCTTGCCGCTCCACTTTGGCGATCACCTCTCCAGTATTTGGCGGAAGTCCTGGATGAGCTGAACACTTCTTGGCGGCATGTGTAGGCCAGCGAAGGCAAGGAGGTGCCAGCGATTGTGTTGCGGCAGGGAGAGACGGTGTCCCTGAAGCTGACTCCAGAGCGGTGGGCAGGCCAGGGGCTTCTGGGCTGCCATCTGCGACCGATTGGGGACACGACACGCGGGTGACATAGCGGCTGGATTGCAGCAATGTGCAGCTGTTGCAGGCCCTCAATTGACTGTCACAATTGCCGCTTTTAGAGGCTAGCGAAGTTTGGGCATAGTCTCAGCATCTTTCACATGTTACCTCTCTACCAACGTGATGGATTAGCCATAGAGCTTGCATGCGTTGAGGAGTAAATTGTGGAAATGAATTTCATGTAAAATGTATACCAAAACAATCTCCAGGAAAGACCACCCACTACTATTGATATCAACATTGGCCTTAGCTTGAGCCAGGCTGCAAGTGCAAGAATGCATGCAGATCAAGCAAAATATTGTAATGCTCGGCATTCATGAGCGCTGCAATATACGTGTGCCATGACCAGTGCTCAATCAACGTTGGGACCTCTCCAACATTGGATTTCATCTTATTAGAACATTTATTGGCTTCGCATCATATCTTATTTGAATTCAAAGAAACACCATTCGACTAGCTAGCTTTTGCAGTCATCTCAACATGACAGGAGAGCAACACTCTCCTGTGGAGAGGAGAGTGTGCTCTCCTGTCATGTTCTACCTTGATTATTGGTACTCCTAGGGCCCAGGCCTGTTGGCTACTGGATTTACGGTTCATTTCTAAAAGCGCTCAGGCGCATGCCAAATCGTCTTTCACTTATCTGCTGTCCAGGACTCCTTCCTCATCCGCAACTAAAATCCAACCTCACAGTTCTCAGAGGTCCACAGGAACTCTCATACAACTCCTTCATGTCAGCTGATGCAAAGCACGCAATCACAACCAAATTCAAGCTAAGTTGCATGCGACACAGCATGCCAACTGTGTTGCTGCTAATGAGAAGCAGTGTTTCCCATGTTCATGTCTGTTCCCCAGATCTCTGGGCTGTCTAGGCTCCACAACTAAAATATGAAAATCTGCAGTTGACAAGGATAATCACACGCATCCCGAACACCAAACCTGGATAGCATCACTCAGTCGCGCGCCCACTGCCAGGCAGGAGTGCACACTTACATCGACAGCATTCAAGAACCACAAAGGTTATAATCTGATCATGTTGGGGTCTTACAGATTTGATTGGGAAACCGAGAGGACGAAGCATACTGATAGCCATGAAGCAGCTAGAAGGCTATGCTGCTCGCTGGCTTCCATCTTTGGGTAACAGCCAGAGAAAGATGTCAACAAAAGACTACCCATTAGAAGTTTTTTGGTCGTCTAAGCCTGTGTTGCTGAGGCGCTGCAAGAGCAGCCTCATGAATAAAGAGGGAACTATCCGCATAAACAATGTACAAACTCATCACGCACTTCAACCTATAAATCAGAGCGCCATCTCTAATGATGGCTCCATGTCCTAGCCCAATATTTCAGCAGCTGTAAGATGCCCAGAGTAACAGACCACAATTTGAAGGAAAAGCAGTGAAGCAGGATGAGGAAACATATCCCATTGACCACGAATCCCATTGGGTGCAATTCATCTGACCGTCGGAGGAGAAATACTTCTGAATCAAAGCAAGAGGCCCAGGATGCCCTTCTTAAAAGGCTGACATTTCAAACCAAGATGAACCTCCCATCTACTGACCACATCCATAAGAGCCAGAATCCAATTCCAGACGGTCCCTGTTGAGCGTATCTCAGAGCATTTGAACCTGAGAGGAAACTGCACCCTCTCTGCCTCCAACAGGCCACCCAGACACAGCTGCCGTTGGCGACGAGTGTGAACTGCTCTAGCAGCAAAAAGCGCTCAGGCAGTAGTGGGATCCGCTTCTAAATTTGCATCGCTGCCATCTGTCCATCATATGATTGGCACCTGCAATACCCAGTGTCCACAATCTCGTCCACATGTCCTGGGAAGTCTGTGGCATGGCTTGGAGGGCTCAGTGTCCAATGTACTTTCCCTTGGATATGTGTTGGGGCCGCCGGGGTGTCAGGCGGCGGCAGAGGTCGCCGAGCTGCACTCGGACATTGGCTGGCGGCACCTGGCGCACACGGCAGACTCCGTGCAGCAGCGCAGTGCCGCCACGTTGGCCAGCAGCTTCTGCCGGTCAGTCATCAGCACGTCCAGCATGCGCCGCTCGTTCTGTGCGTACAGACACATACGTCGCTCAAGCGGATGCATGTTGCAGTGCACGGGACTGCCCAGATTGCCCCCATCACAGCAATGCAGACCCGGCCACGCTAGGCGCGGGCTCTCCAGCCTGGAGCATTGCAAAACAGCAGGGACTCGCCATGCCACAACTGCAACTTGCCGCTGCCCGCATGGACATCAGAGTCAGAAGTATGCCCTGCCCGCTGGCCACAAGGCGATTGCACATTGAAGTGTTTCACCTGGTGTTGCAGAACACTACAGAACCAAGAATTGCTAGATAGGAATTCAGAAGGGCACAATGGTGCAGCATGCGCACACCTGGCGAATTTCGCGCAGCTGCTGGTTGGCTGCCGACAGCGCCTGGGCCTGGCGCGCGAGCGAGTGCGCAAAGTGCACGATGGCCGACTGCGTCGCAAACGCGCGGTCCACCAGGCGTCCCACCACCACATGCAGCGCCCCCTCCAGCTGCTGCACCGCGCTGTCCGCCCCCTCCTTCCCACACCTGCTCCCAAAATAGAGAGTGACTCGTAAAATCCCTCTCCTGTATCCCAGTTGCAGTATGTGCACAAACGTGCTGACCGCCGGCCGCGAGAGTCGCTGCTGTCGGCAATCTGTGCCCAAGCCAGAGTAAGCCTGTCATGCAAGGGTGGATCCAAGATCACATCCTGGTCGCTGAGCCAGGCGTTCACAGCAATTAACAAACCATCAATAAATGAAAAAGCGTCCCTGTCTTGCAATACTGGAGGCCAGCCGCGCGCCTGTGGTAGAAGGTTGGCAGATATGCGCGTGGTCTGATTGTACGGGCTTTCAGTCACTGTAAATGGCTATTTTTCTTTCATGAGGAGAAGCAGACATGGGGTGCATGTTGCGTACCCGCCAGGCGCTTCGTCTGTGCTGGTGGACATCGTCTGCAGCCAGGAGATGACAGTCTCCAGCCAAACGCCCATGCACTTCTCTGCCTGCGAGCTGTCAGCGCACGACAGCGCGGCTCCAATCTGCACGCACGCACTTCACACACTCAGCCAGTCTCGAACCAGGCAAGACATGGCGGAATAAGAACGGTGTCACCTAATGCCACTGCCCTCGGAACATACATTTGGGACAACTGCTGCATCCCTGTCATCATTTCTGGCTCCCATCTGTGAAGAGGGTGAGGCACCAACCCACTCGTGACCACTGCCTTGAGACTGCAAGATGTGCAAGACTTGTCAGCAGAGAGGGTTGCAGATCGCACCTCAGCCGCGCTGGGCACGGCTCCCAGCAGGCCGTCCAGCAGCACGCCGGCACCTGCCATCTGGGGCGGCGGCTGAGCCAGCTGGCGCAGGCGCGCAGCCACCTGCAAGGTAAGTGAAATTGTCAGCAAATTCTTCAGTGTGTCATGCACACCGGAAGGTTTGAATCACAGTCGACCTTGAGAGCAAAAGCCTCCAGGTTGTCAGATCTCCATGCAGCATGACAGCCTGACATCAGTCCTGACGGTTTCCTGCTTGGCTGCTTAACTGCTTTACAGGCTGATACTCAGAACAAGTACCCCCAGGTCAGGAGTTCTGACATGGGTGGGAGACAGGATTCTGGGAGGCACCTTGAGGCGCAGCCGAGTGTCGGCCTCGGGGCTGCCTGAGGGGTCCCCCGCGGCCAGAACAGGCGCCAGCCGGTCCAGATTCTTGCGCAGGGAATGCTGCTGCGCAGTCAGGTGGCGCATGGCTGCCACCGCCGCCCCACGCATGCCCGCATGCTCCGCCTCAGACTCCGCCAGCTGGACAGCATTCGCCACCTCATCAAGACACCGTAATGCAGACAGCACACATCCTGATGGGCCTGCTTGCGGCCAATGTCAAGCAAAATGCTAACGAGCTTTCATTTTACCGGGACAGAAGAGGACGTCAAACCAAACGATGGAGCCTTAATTGAGGGCCTCTAAATCATATGGCGCACAATCAACAATGAGAGTGCGTGTGACTGGCAGGTATGGGATGCAGAGCAGCACACCCGCTGAGAGGCGGCCTGGCACGAATGGCAGGGCCTGGCCGGGGCGCGCGAGGGGCCCTCCTCCGAGATCTGCAGCGCGGTGCGCAGGGCCTTGGTGTCGTCAGCGAGCCTATCTGCTGCCAGGGCCTCCAACAGGCGCAGGTTGTCTGCCAGCATGCCTGCCCACGCCGCCTCCTGTCCCACCACACAGGCCATCTTCAGCAGCCTCCCAGGAGCAAATGCTTAAAGATAGTTGCACAGCATTGCACCCTGAGCATCTGGTGAGCATTAGTTGGAGCCCTTTCAGATGTGAGTGCAAAAATGAGTGCAGCGGACTGGCCTGAACTGGACTATGCGGCTACACCAGATGCTGCATGCAGGAATCTGAAATACACACGCACACTAGCAGGGGTGTCCACCTGGTGGGATTTGGCGGCAAAGAGGTGGGTCCACTCTGGGCCGGCCATGTTGGCGCTCGAGCTCAGGGCGACGACTTTGGACGACACAGCGTTGAGTACCGGCTTGTGCACGCGGCCGCTGCATGTGCCGCAGTCCCTCGCGGCCGATGCCCGAGCCTGCGCAGGTCGTATGACTCATCAAACAATCTACATTCAACATCTACTAAAACCGCACCGTGCTGTGCGCATGCCCACAACACGTCTCCACAGACTTTTCTCTCTACGCACACAACAGACAAGGGAGTGCCGTGAACGCTTGAATGAAAGCAAGGAGGGAACGGCGCAGTACCTGGGAGCCTCGGGCGGGAAGGTCTGGCTGGCTGTCCACGCTGCTGATGCTGCTGTAGCGATCGAGCAGTGCGTCGCTGCCAAAGCTGCTGAAGCGCTCCGACAAGGTTTCGCTCTCCAGGCTGGTGGAGCGGCGGTCCTCCCGCTGGAATCCCTGATAAACCACCCTCGCCGGCCCCTGCCATGATTCCTGTCTGCCCTGCGTGCGCGGCAGCCGCGCCAGCACGCTGGCCGGCAGCCCTCCCTGCGGCGCAGACGAGCTTGCACTCTCTGCATTTCCCCTCTGCTCGTTCACCGGAGCATGCATGACAGTCGACGGCGCAGCCTCCCCCGCGCTCTGCGTGCCCTCTGTCCCCGGCTGATCTGTGGCGGCTGGCTCCTGGGGTGAGCCCTCGGAGCTGCGCCTGCTGCCGGGTTCCGAGGAAGCCGGGTGGCAGCTGCGCGGGGAGACGTGCTGCGATGTCATCTCTCGCCGGCGCTCCTCCTCCTTGTGCACCATGGCGTCTAGCCAAGCCGACAGATCAGCGCTCACCGGCCACCCAAGCTCCTTCAGCCGCCTGTGCACACAGGATGTGGTAAGGTGTCTATGCACGTGGCGACGCGTTCAGCAAGGAAGTCAACATGACCTCCCACATGCTGCAACCATCTGCCTTATTGAGAGGTGCATGGGCATTCCCTTTCGGTAGGCGCAAAGTCGAAGGAAAAAGAAGTGAAACTATGAGGCGCGCACTTGGTGACGGCAGGTGCGGCCTCCTGCAGGGAGGGCGGCGGCTGGTTGAGCTGCAGCGCACGCAGCAGGCCGCCCCACATGGCGGCCTTCTCGGCCTGCGCCTGCACGCGCATGTGCTCCATCAGGTGCACCGCCCGCTCCAGCTTCTCCAGCAGCTCCAGCTTCTCCGCAGCTACCCTCTTTGCCGCCGCTCGCACCCGCTCCACGTCCTCTGCCAGCTCGTTCCGCTCCTGCCACATCACCCGACTGCCAACTCAGTACGCCTATTAGTTCCACCCGCCACGGAATAAGGGGCCCTTAAACGTTTGTGGGCATTTTCCGTCAACATGCTTCCCCCGGCGTTGGCACTGTGGCTGGCCGGCACAAAATGTTGGCACCGAAGCAGATGAGGGAGCCACACGCAGCTGCAAAATGCCAGCCAAACAACGAGCCATGGGGTGTAATAAGTGCAGACCTTGCGCAGGTTTGCGATCTCTTCGCGCAGGGACTGCTCGTTAGAGCCCAGGAATGTGGCCACGCAGCGCTGGGCAGCCAGCTGCTGAGTCATGTTGGCCACCTGCTGCGCCAGTTGCTGCGCGCGCGAGCGCTCCCCCATTACCTCCAGTGTGTCCCGCCCCACCTCCATCTCCAGCAGCTCCAACCTGAAATCACCGTAAACACGTGATACTAGGGGGCGCCGCTTCTTCACTCATCAGTATCCCCTTGGTTGATCAAGATCTTGGACTAAGGGTGTTTGGTACTGCCGGATGAGAGCACCAGAGAACTATGCAGCGGGGGATTGTCCAAGAGAAAAGCTGATGATCATTGTAGCGTGCTGAGCACAGGCATACACGGTGCATTTATGAAGAAAAAGAGGGAGCGTGCGCACTTGTATCTGAGATAGCGGTGCTGCTTGGCGAGCTTATCCCGGTCCTCCAGCAGCTGCTGGCAGGCCTGGATCTGCTCGATGCCTTCTGCCCCGCACGGCCCAGAACCCGCCCTCTCTGAAAGGCCCTCCTCTGACCCGCTGTCTGGAGCTCCTACCATGCACTGGCCTGCCCACCTTTCTGGTGCACAGCAGCCGGCCGAGGATGAGGCTCCCTCTGAGCTGGATGCAATGCAGGCTGCAGCGCTGCGTGCCGCCGACGGCCGCCTCCGGCACGGCGCGGCCGCCGCGCTGTCGTCCAGCAAGGGCTGGCACGGCGGCCCGGGGGCAGCGTAGAAGGGGCGCGTGATTGTGCCAGCCGCATGCGCAAGCGCGGCCGCAAAGCCGCTGGGCTGCCACTGCAGCTCGCAGGACTTGCGGGACATGAGGAAGCAGCGGCGGCTGCGCAGCTCCAGCAGCAGGCCCACCATGACCACCACCCAAAAGCACATGAAGTAGGTGGTGATGACGTGGCGCGCCAGCTGCCACGCCCTGCGCGCCAGCACATCACATTCTTATGCACTTCTGACACTGATGAAAAATCAACAATATTGGTAACATTTGCTGGTGCCCTACATGTGACAATTCACGAACAGCACAGCTTGCTGTCAATTGCTTTTGCTTCAATGCAGGTGCCACAGAGAGCAGCAGAGGGGCGACAATGGTGCTCACGTGGTTATGACAGGGGCGGAGTGCAGGGGATTATACTGCCTCTGGATGGCCCCCACTACCACCCACCCCACACCCTCCACTGCCAAAATGGGAGCAAACACCGACACGCGGACCTGAAGCAGCAGCGATCCACCGGCGTCAGAATCCATTAAGAACCTGGCGCGAGCTAGTCTGAATATGACAGTATGACAAGGGTGCACTCCAAACAATTCTAAGTGCCAATCAATTGTGGTAATCAATATTGAGAATCACTAACGACGGATGTTTCATCCTTGTGCATGTCAAATGAACAGAGTGAACAGTCACCCTCAGTCATTTGCCGGTAAGAAAAGGAGCACACCTGGCCGGGCAGGTAGTTGATGGCGCACATCATGATGTTAATGTGGTGCCTAATCGGGAACTCCTGCCCGAGGGAAGTGAGCGCCAGTGTGACACTCGTCATTGTCACAAAGTTGCACAGCTGGCAGAACACCTGTACATGAAGCGCATGAAAATCAAGCATCCGCTGTCGAGGTGAGCCTTCATCATATAGTCACCCCTCATTTTAATCTGCAACAGCGCTCACCTTTACATACTCGTGCCATTCCTGGAAGAGCCTGGGGAGTAGGAGGGAGGCTGCCAGGACCAGCAGCTGGATCATCCCGTCTGTGAAGTAGAGACCGCAAACCAGGAGCGCCTCAGGCTGAGGGCCATAGGTCTTGTGAGCCTCCAGGATGGCCACGAAGAAGATTGCTGCGTCCACTATCCTCTGACCCCTGATCAAAAGGTGACATGCAAGATGTGAGCATCATGGTGCACTTCCTCATCAAGGCCGGCCAGGTGCCTAGTCAAAGCAAGCCCAACACGCAAGACGCGCCCTGTGCACCTGCAATCCTACAAGAGGAGGCACGGGATGGGAATCAATTGAAGCAAGATTCTCACCGCATGAGTGGCTGATTGCTGACACCCACGTGCCTCACAAAACCTTTCTCCAGTGACACATCAGGGAACTCCAGCGTCCCTTGCCTTCTCCAAGCGGAAACAATACCGCCCGCCATTCCCTCAATCTTAGTAAATGTGTTCTTGAACCCTTGTTCTGATCGATCCTGCTCCCCGACACCAGCAAAATCCCACGACCTTCAGGCTTCAGCTCTTAGACAGGTGGGCAGCTCTCTGACAGATGGGTAGCTCTCTTCCGGCGTGAGCTCAACGGCACATCTCGATCACCTTGATCGCGCAAGAACAGAAACTAAAATGCATCCGGACTGACCTGGACGGCGTCAACAGCCCAGCGGCCGTTGCCTTCTCCTGGGACGCAGAGCAAATCCCTCGATTACCCGTCCCGATAGCTTGGACCTGGCCAAAGATGACCCTCACCCCATCTTCACGGCCACAACGGTAAGTGATGACAAAGGTGTATGCCGCCAGAACTCGGCCGAAGAACGACCCGCTGCTGACATCTAGGAAGGAGTGGACTGCACTGACTGATACTTGCGTGATATGAGGGATCTGAGATCCACGTGTAAGACGTTGGCCTTGCTCAATGGTCCTATTGCACAGTGACACTGGAAATCGATAGCAGTGTTATCATTCATCCCTTGCCATTGCCTGTTGAAGCTACACACATTGCTCCAGCGTTGTTGGCCATCAAGCGTCTGGCAATCCATCGATTGAGTTGTGTTGCTAGAAGGGAGGGCTCCTCCTCGACACCATATAGTCCAATATATCAATATATATCCGGATCATGGAGGTCGTCCACGACAGGGTTAGTGCCGTTAGTTTGTGCCACTCCTGGGAAAAACATCCTGCTGATGACCTTCCTTCATCAACATTTTGTGTGCTGCAGAGAGTGATTGTGTACCCAGCTTACATCGATAGCAAGAAAACCATAGCTGGTGGAAGGAAAATCACCAAGGCAAAAGGTTTGCTTTCGCTTTCAAAGCTGCCTCTTGCTCTTGCTGAGTTAGAAGCTGCTGTTCTTCACCTGACGCCAGTGTTTGCCATGAAGCCTGCGAGAACCCAACCGCCATGGAAATTGTGGACTGCTGTAACATGGCCCTCAAGCTGCAAGCGGAGCTCGAGGTCAGCCAGCCTGCCTTCATACCCTGAACCTTCACGACTGCTTCTCTTTGCCAAAGAGCGATTGGTTTTCTTTGCCAAAGAACGTTAGTCCATCTTTAAATGTGGTCATGATCTGGTCAGGAGACGAAGGCGTACTCGAGAGACTTTCTGATGCGGGGACGGGCACGTGTCAAGCTGTTCAATGACAGTGGCGCCCCTATAAACCCAGCAATCCCAAACAGTAAGAACCCTTCTTCTCATCCATTATCATTGCCCTCCCCTGCTCTCCCAGGACATGTCTTCTGCCCCTTGGGTAGAGAGATCTGCTCGGACCTTGTGATGTGATGCCGGAATGGGTGTGGCAGGGAGACTCCTGTATGAGAGGGTAGCAGAACTGTGCCCGCGGCATCCTGGCAGGTCAAAGAAGGCGCAGGCAGCGGCTGCAGCAGCCAAACAGCAGGCGACAGCCACCAGCAGCTCAGCAGCTGGCTCCTCCAGCAAATCTGGCGGCAAGAGCGGGAAGAAGAAACGGAAATGATTAGGGAGTCACTCAATGGTTGGGTGTAGATGAGAGGTGTCCTTAGCTGAGTGTATACGAGTGTCATGATGATTGTCACAATGATTGATCCTACTGCTGTATGCCCTGCATGTTCAGCGTATCCTAGATACATCATCTCTGTAAAGGCATCAAATGGACACAGACATGCCATAAACTGCTACCTGAGCGCTGAACGTAAATTTTACAGACTAGATTTTTCAAATAATCGCATCCATAAGTTATTGAGATTTGTATTCTCAGCAAACACGACTATCTGTACTGGTAGCCGGTTGGTTGTGCACCCCATCCCGCTGTACACATGAAGGGCGGATACATAAAACTGGGCAAGGGGGGTGGCGGCGGCGGTGGAGGGTAGAACACCCACCAAGGGGGCTGAGCCATCTGAGCACCTGTCTGAGGCTCATTTTGCTGTGCCTGTCCACTGGACAAGGGAATTGTGGTGTCTCCATGACCAACCCTTGGCCCAGAATCTGCAGCCATGGGGACTCCAGAGCTTTCCAGGCCAAAGCTATTGTGCTCTGAGGCTGCCTCCCCTTGGCTCACTGTGGCCTGCACATGTCCATTTTCATGTGATTCCGTGCATGCCGGCTGATCTCGAACCTCCTGTGCAGCAGCCTGCATGGCTGGCCTGATGGCTTTGTCTGAGGCATCCTGCGCTCCATGCATTACAGAGGTTACATGCATGCTAATGGCATATACTACATCCAGCTGGGCCGCATGTTCATGAGCATGTGCCCGACTCACCTTCCCGGCAACAGTCCTGTCAGATACATCTGTGCTGACCTCCACATCACCCTCTCCAACGTCACGTTGCCCACCCATTTTGTGGTAATGAAGGTACTTGTCAACGGCGCTGTGGTACGTTCTGCAGCGCATTGGAAGGTGTGAATCAGGGTGGCTGAGGGAATTGGCAGGCTAAATCCCTTGCTATGAATTTCCTGACCATTGGAAAACCTCACTTGATGATGATATCATTCGGAAAGTCCATTGGGACTTCCTCAGACTTCCAGGATCCACTCTCCCAGGGTTGGTGCTAGGTCAGAGTGTCCAGATCCCCCTTTGATTGGCATCAAACATCAATGAAGTTTATGAAATCATTGACATGCCACGTTCGAGCTGGTTGTCCTTGGGAATTCTCAGCACATCAGAAAGAGGACATGAACAATCGTCAGATCCTCAGCGATCAAGATAATGTCAATGGGCCCCCGATGTATGCATCGCAGCAAACATCTTGAACGAAATGGGGCCTTTTATCCGGGAAATACTGTTCTCCAGCTTGTTCAGGCCTGCATGATGCAATCGCTCTCTTGAGATGACGTCGACGTGGTCAACGCTGACCAAAATCTGGCTTAGCAGCACAATCCTGGCATGAGGGCTGCATTACTATGTACATTGACATTCCGTCAATTGCACATGTCAAAATTAGCTCCTAAACTCTCTGAGAATAAGCACTATCAAGCAAAGAATGCAGTCGCTTCCTGCTGAGACACACCTAACTTCACTTGACTGGGTCTAGCCTTCATTTGGAGCTGATATTTAAATGATTTGCACATGTGCCGTCCATTATATCACATGCCTTCATCGAGGATGCTTTTGTGACGGACCTCGTAGATTTTTCTTATCCTCACGGAGTTCACATGTAATCTAAGGGCCCTCCTGGTACTCATGCACCAAAATCCCTAATGGTTGGAGGCGCGCATTCCGTCTATTTGAAATTGCTAGATATAGTATTCCTCCTGAAGATCTGAGAAATTTCCCAGGAGAAACTGGTTAGGCATGTCCTTTGAACCAGATGGTGAGCACGTCTGAGCATCAAACACGATACATGTCTGGCAGTGCTGCCTCCACGCAGCAAAGAGGAATTTCTGGGGAACTATTGGACACTGATAGTCACGACAAGCAGATCAAAGCCATCAAGTCATCCCAGGAGCAGGAGAGGCTTGACATTGACAAAGGGGAGCAGCAGCCGGGGTGCAGGAGGCAATCCTGGCCATCCTCTCAAGAAAATCACATTGAATCAGAGCATGCTCAATTTCGACCATCGAGCACCCTGCGCACCGAGGAGAAACCCAGCAGAGAGGTACGAAACGGTGATAGTTCACTTGTTGGCAACTCTTCAAGTTTCAACATGCAAACCCATCTTGTTTGATTTTGCAGCAACATGTGTGTCTTAATAACGCCAGATATAATGCAGGGTGGGAATGGCGGGCACAGACTTTCATCACAGTCTCCAGAGAGGAAGCGGCAGAAGCATGGAGAGCAGGGAAGCGACATGCCAATGGGCAGAGCAGCGAAGCTGCCTTGTACGGGGGCTACTGTTCAGAGCCCCGGCGGCAAAAATCATGAAACATCACCGCAGCATGCCAACGGCAGTGCCCATGCAGGCAAGTTGATCAGTGACATCGATGTGGAGCCCAAACGCTCGGATAGCATTCTTTGACCATTGGAGACTTGTGCTGTAACCAGAGCTTGTGCAAAATTGTGCCATGCATGCAGGCAAAGCCAGGAGCAATTCAAAACCCATAGTGAGCTTCAGTGACGAGTTGGAAGAGGATGAGGGCGCGTCTGCATCATTTAGCCTGGCCAAGACCACAAATGAAAGGTAGGATGCATGCGCTGCGTGGATTGATATCTCATGCTTTGGGAATCTGCTTTTGTGTCGCTGGTGCAAATGGGAGATGGACATGTGCAGTGACAATCCAGCAATTAGACAATTACGAGTATGGATGTGTAGGTTCAAAAAGGAACAAGCGTCACAAATGGCGATGCCAGCACCCACGACATATACAGAGTCCACATCTGTACAGGAGTACAGTGCCCTAGGCAAAGCAGCTGCCTCCCTTGGCCAGCTGTCCTTTGGCGTCTCTCATGCAAGAGGTGTGCAATGACCTTTGTGAGCCTCAATCAATCTCCAGCTGTCCTTCTGTGTGAAGTTATCTCATAATGTTGTTGTGATCATCAGGGAAGTTCCTTACCACAATTTTTGGGTGTCTGGTGGCTGGTGAAGGTCAGACGTACTTCGCTGAGCGTGGCGGTGACATCAAAGGACAGTTCTGTGCTATTGCAGGAGCGAGGCCATACATGGAAGACCGGCATGTCATTGTGGCAAATTATAGCCCCACAGGGGGGCGGGGCCTGCTCGACTCGGATGGCATTCCCCGCAGCTACGCTGCAGTCTTTGACGGCCACAATGGCTCACAGTCTGCAGAGGATGCCTGCTCTAGGTAATGATTATCATGGCGCAAATAGTCACACAGAACACCTGACTCAGCTTCCAAATTCGGGTCTTCCTGCTTCAACCTCTACAGCAAAGATGCTTGTCACACTCTCGCAGACGTCTTGCCTGTAGACCCTCTTCTTTGCATGCTGAATCGCACATGTTGCCCAGAAGTCATCAGTCCAAAAAGTTTCAGAGAAGGTGCAAGTGGCGTGAGGTAGCTGCTCGCCGGCGCAGGATGCACGTGCTGCTGGCGGCGGAGCGCGGCTTTGCCGGCTGCACGGGCGCGGCCGGCGGCCCCGGCGCCGACGCGGAGGCGGCTGGCATGCGCGCCGCGCTGGAGAGCGCCTTTCTGGCAGTGGACCGGGAGATCTTGGACCGCGCGCGGCGCGAGGGCGGCCGAGACGGCAGCTGCGCCCTGGTCGCTGTCCGCATTGGTGCCTGCCCCTCTTCCCCCTGCTCTGTGTTGTTGTTGTTCTTCCTTCTGAGAAAGTGCTCTTTCTGCAATTCCATGCTTCAAATTCTAGGGTCGATTGACTTTGCCTCGTGAGAACATGAACCCCAATCCTTGGCTCCTGTTCATATCTAGCAGCACGCTTCTCCATATTGGAGGGTTGTGAGCTATTCGCCGGGCTGCCTTCTCTTGGCTCGTGATGGTGCCCCACAGCCATTGGGGTTGGGCCATGTGCGCTGAATCATGGAGTGGCAATCCATGAGCAGGCGTGGTGGGGTGTGGCTGCTATTCAGACAGGGGTTGTCTGCGGATGCAGGGGACTCGCTATGGACAGCACATGCAGGGGACAGCCGCGCTGTTCTGTCGCGCGGTGGGAAAGCAGTGCGGCTGACCGAAGGTGCTGTTCTGCATTGATCCACCCCTTTGCTAGGTGTCCCACGTCAGGATAAACCAGAGATGCAAGGGATTAGGATGGCCGCACAGCCTGTCCACCTTGTCATGTGGCTCACCTGTCTGCTTGTGCCTCTTCAATCTTGGAGGACATGTCGGTAGGATCAGACCTTCCTGGCGGTCATGCTGTCCCAGAAGACATGAATCCTTCCCATGCTGTTGCCACCTGCGCAGTTGACTGCTTGTTGGAGGAGCCTAATCCTGGGTGACTCCTAGGCGAACCATGCAAAATTGTATTACACAAACTTTCCTTCAGGGCAATAACAAGGCCTTCAGGGAACAGAAGTGCAGCACACAGGTCTGGCAACGCAAGGTTGCACTTTTGCTCCGTGAGAACAATTGGCTCGGCCCATCAGAAACACACACAGAGGAGCCCTTTTTAAACAATGGCCAAGCGGAAAGATCTGCCTGCGTCGCAGATCACAAGCCGAGCCTGGAGCGGGAGCGGAAGAGGGTGCTGGACAGCGGGGGGCGCGTGGAGTTCCAGAGGTGCTGGCGCATCATTGCGGCGGGCACCAACGAGGACGCCGGCCGCTTCACGGGTCTCGCCATCTCGCGCTCCCTCGGTGACCTCGGCTTCAAGGAGCCTCGCCTGTGCGTGGGGGCCCCCTATCTATTTTCCCATTTCCCCTCTTCTATTTGCTGCTCTATGCAATCCAGTGACCCTGCAGGCCAGTGCATAGGATAGGAACAAAAGGAAACTTTGGTGAGTAAGAATTGATGACATGCATGACATATTGGGCTTGCCTTAATCTCCCCATGGCCGAGATATTCCAATATATAGTGAGGACCCTGAGGCTTGAGTGAGGTGGGTTAAAGGCACCCTTGAGGCAGTGCAGAGCAGCGTAGAACCTTGAAAAGGGTCATGCAACGCAAGGGCTTGTCAGGTGTGACGCAGGCTGTGTGCTATTTCCATGCAGTCAATAGGCTCAATGGGCGTGACACGGAAGGGCCTGTTGTCACTGACGGAGCATGCTAATTCCGCTCGTGTCACTTGGGGTTCAGGTTTGTGGAGCGGATACCGGATGTGGGCAGGGAGCAGCTGCTGCCGGGGGACTCCATGATCATCATGGCCAGCGATGGGCTGTGGGACGTCCTGGGAGACCAAGACGCCGTCAATATCGCCGAGGTAATTGCCTGTTCCCCTGTTACTGCCTGTCACCCCGCACAAGGCAATGCAGTTTGCGCAGGAGTTGCTTTGATACAGCCCACATTTGCCCGGGCTGGCCAGGGGAGGTTGGTAGTGATCAAATAGCAAGCACCGTGCCCCCAGATGTCTGGATTTTGCTTGCATCTGGCGAGACCAAAAGGATAGGATGTGTGGCAGCCTTGACCGGGAGCTTTTCTGCAGACACACCTTGCCCTCTTTGCAGGCACAGCATCTGGCAATTAAGTTTCACATCATCTGGAGCAATTGTGCTGGGCACACAGCAGCATTTGACACTGTAGGTTTTTAGGTGCAATACGGCAGAGGAGGCTGAGACCTGCTGGGCTGTGCAGGAGGCGTTGAAGCCCAAGCACCACAAAACGCCGACAGCGCATGACAGAGACCTGCTGGCAAAGGCTGCGTCCAGCGCTCTGGTCTTTGCAGCACTGAAGAAGGGCAGCCTCGACAATGTCACAGCGGTTGTCATGCTCCTGCGCTGGGACTAGCTCGTGATCCAGTCAGCGGTGATCGATCATCGAGCGCAGCTCACAAGCTACAGCGGAATTGCATGCCTTTGCAGCTCAGCGTGGTGCTCGCAGGGGATTTAGACAGTGTAAAGAGTTTTGGATCGCAGTGTTGTGGCTCAATACAGGGAAGCCACATGTATTCTCCATGGTCAGCCTCAATGATCCCTCGAGTGGGCCAATATAGAGCCGCCCTGCAAAAATCAGTGAGTCTGGCATTTCTAGCTAGCCAGCGCTGGGTACAATTGACCTGAAAAACTTGCATCTTATTTAAGAGAACGGATAGCGACTGTATAGAAGTATTGGCAATGAACATAGCTGTGGTTTTGTAACTGCAACATTACCATATTTTGACTTTCCAGCATGCTGTGTTTATCAAGTTGGTGATCATTTGCAATAAGAACAGGGATAATGAATAGCACATTACCATTTGATTTTCAGACTTCTCCCAATTAGAGTTCTAGAGTGCTCCAGGGAAAGTGCAGACTCAGGCTTCCTAAGCGGCGCAGTGAAAAGTAATTACAAGGGCCATCTATTTCTGATTTTGGCTACTTTTCATATGCATCTTGGACGAAATGAAGCTGCACCATCATCTTGTAACAATTGCAACATATCATTGCCAATTTTGGGCCAATGTCACATTGTCGAATCATCCATGCACGGTGCACTGCCTGACAGATCTGCAAGCTGAAAGAATCGGCCGAATAACTTTCCTCTCACAACACATTAACGGGGTCCGGTAATGAGAACATGCACCATTGCACTGTTCTCATTCGCTCATCACTTAGACCCTCAGAAGGTCATCTGAAAGGTCATATCCGGGACGCCTGAGACAAACATTAATCACATGATCATGAGGCCCCAGGGCCACATGATCATGTCTTACCCTCCAATCGGCCACCCTGATCATATCTTACCTCCCAATCGGAAAGCATTAATCACCCCTGCTCGGCCAAGCCTAGGCTTAACCAGTCTGCTGTACAACACTGGCAGCTTCTTGACGCATTCCATAACATTGCAACATTGCCTCACTGAGGCGCCATGCGTTGTGGGCCTCCACTGATCAGTCGATGGGTGAACGTGACAAGGAACGCCCACGCACTGGCGAGCGCGATCTGCAACGCATATTTCAAGGAATTCAAAATTTAAAAAGACCCCACCCTGAGACAGATATCACTGACACATGACTTCAAATACATGCCAAGAGCAGACTTACTGATAACGTCTCAGCTGTGGCAAGCCGCACCGTCCCCGCATGAGGCACAGCACTGGCACGTGCAATGACTGAAGGTTTCCCGCAACAGCTGATCAATGGTGATTTCCAATGAAGGACTCAAAAGAGCAAATAAGAATGTATGGGTGTGAAGGGCGCAAAGTGGGGGCCACCTGTCACGGTCGTAAGAGGGCGAGCGGCGGCGCACAGGCTCGTAGGAGGGGGAACGCCTCCGGATGCGCTCGTACGACGGCGAGCGGCGGCGATAGCGGTCTACACTCGGAGAGCGCCTTCTGGACGGCGGCGGGCTGCACCCAAAAATATACCAACAGCAAATCAGTTACCACTCACTTCTGTTTCCATTAAGAAAAAAAACGGCCAATAGTGAATTATTGTAATAAATACAACAGGTCGGCGCACCCAAGCCAAAGGCCATAGGGCATACACGCAGGGCATCTGCAGCCACATCTGCGGGGCCTACAAAGGTCTGCAGCCTGTAGGTTGCTTTACATCTCCTGTATCAGTAAGTCAGTGTGACAGAGAGTGATGCAAATAGGAGAACAGAGCGAGCGCCCATGAAGGGAGAAAGGCTGACTCCCAGGTTCAACAGAGAGCATCAACAATAAAAACACATCTCGGCCCAGGAGGTCAATTTTGCGGACCACACGTGATGCCTCACATCCGTTGAGGGTTCTCAGGTGTGACTTCCGAAAATGCACAGCGGGGCGCGGAACACCGGGTACCCGGAGCGAGAGAGGTTTAGAGCAGGGGTGGTGCTGGGTGTGTACCTGCGCTCTCGGCCGCGGTAGGAGTCGCGCGGGGCATCCTGCCAGCGAGGGCCCCTGTTCTTGGAGTGCTCCACGCGCTGGAAGCCAACAACTTGCGATCAAAGGCGGTCAAGATTCAGGGATCTGCAAGGTGTCAGGCCATGTGCACCAATGTGCCAGCAAGTATGAAGAAAAACATGAGGACATTCGTTCAGACGCACCCATCCCTTGAAGCCATCCAATTTGCGCACAGCATCATCTGCGTCCCTTGGGTCCTGCACAATGTATGATAATGCAGGTTCACACAACCCTGTGAGGCAAGCTCACCATGGACATCAACACAAGCAGAATAACAAGCAGAACATACAAAGGTGCGCACCTCGTACTCCACAAAAGCTGCAGAACAGACACACAAACAAGCATCAGTCCCTCATAGTTGGCAAATGCACACGTCCTTGAACTACGTCACGCGCTGAAATGACAGGCAGTGGGTGCCTTGACCACAGAGGCACCGAGCCAGAACAGACCAGCGGCTCACAAAAGAGTGCAGCCGGTGATGAATGATGATGCAGGTGACGAATGACGAGGTGGGGATGTCATTCATGGGTGGAGTTGTGGAGTTGAGAAGTGCAGGGATGTTGAAGTTGGGGAGAAGTGAAGCTGATGGTGGGGAGTTGAGAAGCAGCCAGATGAGGAAGTAGATGAGAACGCTACTAGCCACACGAGATGTCAGCATATCAAGTAAGGTTTACTCCACTTATCAACCAAGAGCACGCGCCACGTAAATCCTGCTGGAGTTCCTCACCAAATCCAGGAGGCTTGCGGGCGACCCATACGCTGCGCAGTGTGCCAAAGCGTATAAATTCCTCCTCTAGATCCCTCTCTGCTGTTGAGGACGGCAGGTTTCCTAAGGACATCCAAATTCACGATTACACACAACGAGGCCTCAGTTAAAGAGCTAGACAGAAGACTTGTCAGAACGAGCACAAGGTAGAGAATCCCAGATGGAAAAAGAGCACTCCAGAAACAACTGCTGATCGGTATAAGAAAGTGGGAGACTGCGCGCACCAACGTAGATTCTGGAAGCCATCCTGGGCGACTGTTAAAGAAACTCTCTGATGCTGCTCGAAGTAGCTGCGTCAACGAGTCGTTGACAACGACTCCAAGACTCTCCCTGTTTTCAAGTGAAAGGTTGTTTTCATTTGGCTACCAAACTTACGGAAAAGTATCCAAATACGGGAAACCGCTGTTCCCCGGAAACGGGGCAGCCTGATCCTCAGCCAGTCAGAACCACGCCGGCTTGTCTGATGTCTGCATTGTAACCTGCTATCAAGCAACGGTCTTTTCTAACCACAGGGCGTGGGAGAAGATGTTCTGTGGTGGGTTGCACCCGAGGTGTGGCGCACCCCTGCACGCCCCAGCGACTCGCATCTGCTTACCTACCCAGTTTGCACAGTTGTCTCTGAAGGCTAGCAGATCGCAGGTGAGCATTCTTCAATGAAGCTTAGGTATCTTATGACTTCAGATCTATCTGTTCCTGTGCCACAGAGGGCTCCTTGCTGTAATGCAATCCTGGAGTTCTAGGCGTTGTGCCCCTGCTCTGTGGCAGTGTGATGCTGCATATTCGTTCTCATCATCTTGCTGACATCGCTTCGGTGTACAAATTGGTTTTCTCTCTTTATTGCACAGGTGAGGCAAAGAGAGTCTGTGCCCAACCCGGTTGTCAGGGCACAAGCTGGTGCAAAGGCTGCCCTTGCTGATGGGCCAGAGGCGTCAGCTACTTTAAAATTCACAAAGGGCTCAGCACACAAGGTGAGCAAGTGGCAGGCTCCTGCAGTGCATCCATGTCGGGTCGCTGAGGAGAAGCCATACCTGTGGTGAAGGTGTGTCATCTTGGCATTGGATGTTGGCTTGTGCTTCACTGTTGGCCTGTGCCTTCTTCAGTTGCGGCGAGTCTTGGACCAGATACGCGGCAGGAGCTACGAGGAGGCCCTCATGATCCTGGAATTCTTGCCTTACAGAGCATGCGAGGACATCCTGCCCACTCTTATATCAGTGCGTGCACCCCTACCTGCTAGATGACTTCAATGTATGGGCATCTTATACTGCGGTGCTCTTCATTCTTCGCGTGGCAGCAGCAAATGAGTGTGAAGCGTGACACGAAAATTCATCATGTGGTGCTGCAGGCAGCAGCAAATGCTAAGGAGAATATGAAGATGTCCAAGCTGAATCTGTACATCAGCGAGTGCTATGCCGACTCTGGGCCAGCATTCAAGCGCTTCTCCCACGGCTACAAGGGCAGGTGATCATCTCAGCCGAAGGGTGTCAAGTTTTCTTCCCCTGCTTTGGAGCCGTTGCATTGGACAGGCAGCCATCAGATAACTATGCCGATGATTTGGACAGCAAGTATCTGTTTACCGTGCTCAGCAGCAGGTCTATTGGCCTTTCAGTGCCCAGAAAGTGATGCTTCCAACTGATGGCAAGTTGGCTGCCTCTGAAAACTCATGTGCGCGTCGTGCAGGGCCTACAAAATCCTCAGGCCTACATCGCACCTGACCATCAAGGTGAAGGAGCGCAGCAGGGGAGGGAGGGCTGCGCAGGCAGCAGTAGCAGAGCCTGTCGCAGCGGAGTAATTGGAGCCACCCTTTGAGAAACAAGCAATGGTATTTTGTGACTATTGCACGTGGGCGGATCACTGCGTCTGCACAAGGATAACGTTCGTGTTGTTTGTGTGATCGTATACAAGAGTTGTGGGGCAGCTGGGTTGGCTCAACATAACCTGTACAATGCCCTTGGCAGATGCTGCTACCTAGAAAGTGCTCGTATCGTCATCATGATCATTTTGATAGCATCATGCCCTACTTGGGATGACAGAGTCACCCAATGGTTGAGCTCTTGGCAGGACTCATTGGATCAGTCCTGTAAGCGCGCTCCATTTGCCTGTGATAGATGTCCCAAAGAATGGCAATGTGGGTGTTGGAGCTTCAGTCTTCTTGTCCAAAAGTCTCGGAGTGTTTGTGAGGCACCCCAGATCATCTGATGATGGTCTGAGAGCGGCATTGAAGGATGCTGAAGCAGCGAGGGCTGACACTGACTCACAAAATTGTCATCTTTGGACGCTGCGATAGGATCTGACACGTGAGACTGTCGCCGTGACCACGGTCGTCATACTATGCAGTACATGCGCTTGGGCCACCGGCTGGCACTGCAGGCCGCAATTGCAAGCCGGTGACAATGTGTCCAGCTTGACTCATGAGCTGATCAGTCATGAGTCAGCTCATGAGCTTCGGAAGCTGACTTGCTATAGCAATTTTCCCCAAAACTGGAACACACACCATAGCATAGATGTGCTACACGAGCCCCCTGAGAATTTTACACGCATTACACGCTCGTGTTATCGCCAAAAACCTCTACACGAGCTACACGAAGGCCTTTACACGAAACCTGTGCCAAATTTGGCTCTAGAGCCAAAATTTTAAGCGAATTCGGCCTCCAATGCCTTGAGATCGCTTCTTGGCACATAAGTATCACAGACAATCGTGCCAGAGATGCTTTTGGGATGATCCATGAGCTACATTATGCTGAAGGAAGGAAGATTACATCACTCCAGCCGCCTAGGGCTGATTGGATGAACTGGCAGCATCCAAATAATCAAAACAATCCATCACAAAATGTGCAACACCAACAATGTCCAACTGCCACATGAATTGCTGCATCGTCACAATGGCTGCACCAAACAGCCCAGGATATCTGTCCCGAACAGATTGCAAGGCAGGGCACTCAAACACAAGGTGGCGCTCATCCCCAATAACCTGCTGGGCACAACGCATGCACAAACGCTGGGGCCGGGGAATCCTTGCCCAGCGGCCCGAGACATTGGGCAGACTATGACAACCCATCCTGAACTTCAACAGTATACGCAAGCAACGGGCACTCAAAGGCTGCTGTAAGAGCTGGCAAGGGTGGCGCACACAAGCTGGCCTAGCAAACCATCTGTGATATGTACACAAGGTGGCATTGCTGGACGGGCAGGTCCTAGGGCAAATGTCAATGTCATCCCAAACCTGCAGTGCTTGCGCATCTAGCAGCTGCATCACAGCATCAACTTCCACAGGAACAAGGGTGTCAAACCGAATAACAAACTCATACCCAATCCGGCGCAAGCCCCGCATGAAGGCCCAAGCCCAATTCTTAACATTACGGGTTATGGCATCCCAACAATCATCAAGGGCCACTTGCCTGTGAAAATTATTTGCAGGCAAGGCAGCCAAATTGTTCCAGAACTTGATAATGCGCCGCCACCACACACAATCAAGGGTCTGCTGATTCAACTCCTTAAGCAAGATGGCACCATGCACAGAGGTGGGGACGCCAGCAATGTCTCTCAGAATTTTCAGGTGAGAGGAGGCCAAGGCAGCCCGGCCCCGCCGGCTGTCGCCACCAGGAAGGCTGCGCAGGCCCCACACCTCACAACCGTAGGAGGCAGTCGGCGGCACACATGCATCATATAGGCGCAACAACAGGCCAGCTGACATGCTGCAATGCAACTTCCCATATTGCTGCCTGAGCTGTGCCCACGCACCCCACATGTTCCTGTGAAGCTTGCCAAAGGTGAGATTAATGCCTTGGGCACCGTCAAAAAGGGCACCCAGGTACTCAAACTGCTGAACCCAATGTAAAGGCGCACCACCACAAAGCCATTGAAAAGGTCCTGGCAAACTTGAAGAGAACACCACAATCTTTGTTTTGTCAACACTGATGACCATTCCCGTTTGTTCACAAAACTCAGCAGCTGCATCAATCAAGCGTTGCAAATGAGCAGGTGTGGTGGCGAGCAAAGCAAAGTCATCGGCATAGCCTAGATCTGGTACACAACTGCCAGGACGCAACTGCGGGCCAACCCCAGGGCACCTCTGCAGCAAGTGCCTGTGCAGGCCATCTGCAAACAAGCCAAACAGCGTTGGGCTAAGGGGGCAACCCTGCTTCAATCCTGTCTCAGAGGGCAAACTAGGACCCTTCCTGCTCCCAATCTTAATGGCAACCGTAGAATTGGCATACAAAGACTGAATGGCAGAGAGCAGGCGGCCATCAATGCCCAGGCGACGCAGACTCTCCCAGAGCAACACCCGATTCACTCTGTCATAAGCACCCTTCAGATCAAGAAAGCAACAATACAAGGGCTGCTTAGCATGGTTTTGCCGGTCGATAAAATGCTGCAAGGTGAATAGCTGGTGGGCCGTAGACAGTTTTGGCCTAAAGCCAGCCTGTGTGGCTGCACGCAATCCAGCCCCCTCTGTGTACTTCAGAATACGAGAATTCAATATGCCAGCATACAAGCGCATGATGGGCTCAGTAACGGCAATGGGTCTATAATTGAGCATGTCAAGCTTGCTGCCTTTCTTGTGCACAGGGGTGATCAGGCTACCATTCACAGAGGGTGGCACTTGCCCAGCCACAAATGCAGAGTTCAGCACAGCCACCAAAGCAGGCGCCAGGACATTTTCCGGAGGAGGCATGCCTGGCGCCCGCTCATCTTTTGCATACCGAAACAGCTCAGCTGGTAAACCTTGCATTCCGGTGGCACGACCATTGTGTAAACTTTTGAGCCCAGCAAGCACCTCCCCAAGAGAGATGGGTGCATTGAGAGCATCAACATGGGCAACAGGAGCACTGGGCTGGACAGGGAAAGACAAGTGGGGCAGCTCAGCAATGAGTGGCAACTGCAAGTTTGCAACCCGCTTGAGATAGCCAGCCCACAATTGCACTGGCTTGAGCTGCTCAGGTATATCAGACTGCTGAGACTTGAGCCGCTTCCAAAAGGCTCGGGGGTCACTGTGCAAATCATCAAGCAGGCGGCGCAGTTGCGCGAGCCGGTGAGCGCGCCGTTTGTGGCGGACGGTGTTGTGGTAGGCACGCTCCAGCGCGCGCACTTCGGCTGGATCGCCCCCGCACCGCGCGCGGGCGCGGACGTCCCGTTTAAGCTGGCGGCACTCCGAATCGAAGAAGGGCGCGTCGGCACGCGCCTTGCGCTGATGGCGCCCGGTGCGGGCCGGCATGCTGTTCGCGGCTGCGGCCTCCCGGATCCCCGCCTCCAGGGTCTGAAAGGCTGCATCAAGTTCCCCAGCCACAGCATGGCCTGTGCAGGCGTCAAGACTTGCACTGGCAACATTGCGCAAAGCAGCAGCATACGCATTCCTAGCACTGGGCTGCCATTTCACTCGTGACAATGGCGCCCCAATACATGGTAAGGGAACACTGGCAGCCACATTCACTTGCAACGTCATCTCAATAGGATGATGATCAGAGTCTTTTCTACCAGTGTTCACAACAAGATGAGAAATCAAGGGGAGCGCATCAGCGGAAACGAGAACATGATCAGGTCTAGTTGCCTGAGTATGGGTTCTGGCCTTAAAGGTAGGCACTGCTTCAAGGTCTCCTAGCACTCTGCCAGAGCATATGAGCATGTCAGTTTCCTTGCAAAAATCTAACAGGCGCAGCTCATGAGCATTGACACCTTCATCAGTGCAGCCTCGAGTATTGCTGTCATCAGCGTCAGGCAAATTTGACACACGAGCATTGAAGTCTCCTGCCAGGATCACATTGCCCTGAGCACGAGCGGCAACAACTTCTGCACATAAGCCCGTAAATCGACTGGTCAGGTCCACAGTCTGCAATTGCCGGGAACCCGCTGGAGGCACATAGCTGGAGCCAATCAGCAGCGGTGTAGAGTCCCCCTCAAACTGCACTTTCACCCATAAGGCACTGTCAGTGTCTGACACCCAGTCTTGTGCGTGGTAATCACGGTGCTTCCGAACCGCAACAACAATGCCTTCACCCGCCTTGCCCTCTTCACTAGCAGCCGTGAAAGTCACAGAGTGGTGAGGCAAGATCGAGTCATCCCAGGTCAAGCAACGGGCCTCAGTCAGAAGTACAATATCGAACTGGTCAAGATAGGCTGCCGTGTCCCACAAGGATATTTTGCTAGCATGTAAGCCATTGACATTCCAGGACAATATACGCAGCGATAGGCGGCTGGAGACTTCCTAGCGGCGCACTGCTTCGGCGTAGGAGTCGGCGCGGCCGGGGGAGGAAGGCGCGGCCTGAGAGGGCCCGGCAGTGGCAGCACCCGGGGCGGCAGCGGCGCCCGGCGCGGCAGCCGGGGGAGGCCCAGGCACAGGCATGTGCTCACGCACGCGGTCGCCCTCCCGGACGAAGAGGCGCTCCTCGCGCCAGAAGGGCTGCTTGCCGGCTGTCTTCAGGGCGACATAGTGTGGGCGCATGCTGACGCGGATGCGCTGCTGCTGCGGGGTGAGGTCGGGATCCAGGAAAATCTGGCGCTGGCGCAGGGCTTTGCTGTGCTTGAGGGCAGCGTGCTTGGCTGCCACGCCGCTGAAGCTGATGAGCATGGGGCGCGGCTTGGTGCGCGTGGCGCTGGGGGCACCGAGGCGGCGAGCTTCGCTGACAACAGCAGGGGGGCCGCTGTTGCTGTCAAACAGCGCTGCCACGCGGGCTGAGACATTCTCTGTGTTGTCCTCTGCCAGACCATGGCAGATCAGGTTGGCACTCCTGGCTCGGCGGGCCTGAGACTCCACCACAGACTCCAGATGGTGCACTTTGTTCACCACTGCTTCATCGTTGGAGGCGGCTCTGGTCTGCGTGTCCTTGGCCAGCTCAGCGCGCAGGAGAGGCAGCAGCTCTGCCTTCAGCTCAGCCACCACCTCATCCTTCAGCTCGGTTTTCAGCTCTGCCTTGAGCTCTGCCTTCAGCTGAGGGAAGAGGGCCCCAAATTTCTCGTCCAGCTTACTGTCAAGCTTGCTTTCCAGGCCGTGGATCATAGACTCGACCTTTGCAAGAAGGAGATCGTGGAGGGGCGGCTCCATCTCCTCATCTGACTGCCCTGGGCTGCCCTGCGCTGGGCGCTTCGACTGACTTCTGGTTCCCTGACTCATCGCAGCAAGATCGCAGATCAACTCGAATGCTGAAACGGCCCAACTTTTCGATCAAGAGATTAGTCATGGTGACTGATCATCACCTCCTTCCATGCATGCATCAATTTTAAGGCTCATGATGGGGTAGCCCATTCATTTGTGCCTTAGTTGGAGCTCTTGGAACTCTTGAGAGCACGAATTCCACGTCTAGGCTGCCCAATAGCACTAGAATAGCGCTAGCTAGCTCAAATGGCAATATGCGTGTAAACTGCGTGTAAAGTGGCTGAAAATCTCTACACCATCTACACTATCGCATTATTTTGCGTTTCGTGTAACCATCGTGTAGCGTGTAGCACATCTATGCACCATAGCCTGTGTCTGCCCTGCTTGGCTCAGGTCAATGGATCTCCTCAAATGACACTGCTCAGAAGACCCCAAGATGTAGGATGCACATCAGCATGCTTGAAGCTTCAACCTGAACTTTCAGGGTTTTATGGTCAAACCCCTTCTTGTGCAGGGTCGCTGAGGGTTATCCCATCTGCTTCGCCTGCAGCAAACTTTACGCCTTCACACCAGATTCTTTGCAATTGTACGAGCAAAGTACTGTATTAGAAAACTATTTCTAGCGAGGATGAGTCTTGCAGCCATGTTAAATGCGTCTTCAGGACCCTGTACTTCACGACAGTGTGTTAGCGACGCCACGCCAGGACTGCCGAGCTGTTCTCAGAGAAGTTTTCCTTTAAAATGGAACAAATCACACTGGCACAGCAATCGACGAGTGCACCAAGAAGAAAATCTCAGCAGGAAAAGGTAAGCGAGACACTTTTGGGCATATATGGGATGGACTGCTTTGTTGCAGGTCAAGCATGCAAGATCTGGATCTCCTAAGATTTCCTTTGATGCAGCTTGTTGATTGCGCCAGCAAAGAGGAGAGATCCCATTGTGACACCGTACATATCTTTGGGAGAACACCCAGAGGTAGGCTCACCACCATCAGCTTGTGCATCCCCTACCTGCCTGTTTTCTACATAAGGAAGTTCCTGAAGAAATATATTGATGCCTTTCAGGATAACACAGACATGTACGGGTACCTGCTCAGAAATAGGGTCATCTTCATAGGCTCAAGAATCAATGATGAGGTAAGCGATGCTTGCTTTCTTGCTGCCCACTTCTGATGTCCTTTCTGATGTGTAATGTCGATCTCTGATGACATTGGCTTGCTTTTGCATGCAGACTGCCACACAGATTGTTGCCTGCTTGTTAGCATTGGAAACACTAAGCGATTCGGAGGACATAAAGCTGTACATCAACTCTCCAGGTGAGGACTTCTAGAGCAGAAATGTCTTGTTGCCTTGCATGCCATTCTGCATGTGCAGATCAAGCAGGATCTGCCCTCTAAGGGTCGTTCTTTGAGCAGGTGGACAGGCATACTCTGTCATTTCCATCTTGGACACCATTGAGGCAATCAAGCCTGACGTGGTCACCATAGCTCTTGGGCAGTGCGCAAGCACAGCCACACTCCTTCTGGTGCGCCGGGTCTTGATACTACACAAGAATTCAAGCGCTTTGTAAGCAGGGTCTCTGCTCCGCAAATGTCCTGAATGAAGTATGCACACGGTCCGTTCAAAGTGTCCTGATTTTGAACTGTCACTCGGTTGATGCAGGCGGCTGGCGCAAAGGGAAAGCGGTTTAGCATGCCCAATGCGCGCATCATGATGCACCAGCCTGCAGGTGGGCATCTTCATCTTTTTGTATTGTTGGGCAATGCGAGTATTTCTTACAGTTCTCAGATGGAACAGGCCTGATTGTAGCTGTCTGCTGTTGCTGATTGGCCTCTATGCTCTGCTTCATGTTATGCTCATGCATCTATTGGATCCCAGTCCACTCTGTACTACTCTGTGACATAATTGCTGTATTTTACTATCAGCAAGCATGGTTCTTGTGTCCTTTCGTACTGACTAGGAATGGCGCGTTCAGGTGGAGCCATGGGATCGGCAGATGAGGTCAACATCCAGGCGTCAGAGCTCAACAGGACAATGAAGGTGTGCAAGCTTCCTGCAATGATTTGGAGAGATTCAATGCACACTCTGGTCGGTGTCTGGTCGTGGTCTGAAATTCAGACTCGATATCCTGAACCCACAGTTCTGCATTTCTCAGACAAAGGACAGACTGCAGCACTGTTTTGTGGAAGGTGTAACTTGAAGAACTCGCTTTAGCAAGAGAGGAATGCAGACAAGAAGGCAGATCGAGCGCGAAAGTTAAGGAAAAAGGACTGCCATTGTACATGGCTGCTGGCACTGCAGCAAGCACGGGTTTCCGACAAGTGGTTTTTCATTGCTGGGAACTGGCTGCTTGCAGGTGGTTCACAGGTTCTACGAGCGCTTCACAGGCCTGCCCCTGGACAGGATTGAGGAGGAGACTGACCGTGACAACTTCATGAACCCCAAGCAGGCCATGGAGCTGGGACTCATCGATGACGTCATCGTCTCAGCAGACCTGCCAACGCTTGCCACAGCCCATGCGTGACCATTTGCACGCAAATACCACTCGAAGAAACTCTGCAATGCAAGGCTGTTTGCTTATCCACTGTAATAACAGTAACAGCTCGTTTGCAAGTCCCCAAACATGTTGACAGTGTTTCGAGGATCCCCAGCCGCTTTTAATGAGGTTTGCTGCAGGCAACTTCTTGTAATTACTGTACAAGTGCGGCACATCTACTCATTTATTTGCCATCATGAACCCAGCAGCCAGATTACATGATGGGGATGCATTTCGTCGGTGATGTGCTGAAGCAGCAACAGTGGCTTGAACAATGATTTGCATGCGGCAGCGCAAGGCCATGTGGATGTCATGTAGCGCTGCTGTTCAGCTTGGTATTCCATCCATTGTGAAGATGTCATATCATGCTGGAGGGTGGACAAAGACATCATGCACAATTACAAAGCATCAGAGCAAGGGCACCGCATTCCTACTGACAGGTCCTCTTCTGGTTCCCTGCCCAAAATGACAGTGATAAATGGCACCATCATGATCGCCACATCCACCCATCCCAAAGTTCCAAAGTCAGGCAGCCACTACAGGCGCTAAGGCATCCTCGTCATGTGTCACACTGTCGGTCATGAATAGCGATGCCTGACATGGGGCACTTAGTACCGCAGCAGCAGTAAATAGAAGGCTTTTGCCAAAGCCACCCTCGAGGGCCCCTCCCTCTCTGAAAACCCCAACCAGCAAGTCCTCACCACCAGAGTCTGGTGCAATGTCATCAATAGAGCGCGCAGGCGCAAAAAAACAGGTGGTTCAGCAAGACAACAGAAGCACATACGTTACTGCCACCGAATGGTCTCAACCCCCGGCCGCATCTTGGGCTTGCAGCGGACACTGGAGCCACAAGCCGAGGGGTGCACACATCCAGTGGACAGTGAGCTGAACAAGGACATCGCAGCCTGCATCTGCAGGGGGACAGGTGCCCGGAATTCCAGCGACATGTTTCGGCCGCGTCAGAGTTGGACCCCTTTGTCCCAGTAAAAGGTATTTAAGCATGTGGGAGACTACGGCTCCCCGCTCAAGACACTCCGCACGACAGACAAACAAACAGCAATTGTCACGACCAGCTGTATAGATATAGAGCGCAGTGAATAGCTGCGCGCGCCCTGCCCTCAAACAGATCAGTGGGTTTGTGTGCTAGGAAAAGTCTCTCAGATGCGAAGGCCGAGATCAGGGCACCTCAAGGTGACAATTCAGATTGAGGACACTTTGCACACACCTCTCAGAGAAACCCACTTCTGAGAGAGCACTCAGGAGAAGAAAAGAAGAGCTCACACCACAACGACAGTCTACAACGGCAGAAGCTACTTTTGGAGCAGCCAAAATCAGTCCAACCCCCCACCAGTCCTTGCATCCAGTCCAAATAGAGGCTCTCGCACCGCAACAATGCTTCTCTGCCGATCTCCCACTCTTCTCACAGGCTGCAAGCCAGTGTTTTTCCTCGTGTATTTTTAATTTTTTCAACTTGTACATCGCTCCTAATGCAACGACCTCATCATCCGCTCTGTCAACCGCCCGAGCTGTATGTTGCAGGTTGTTCCCCCACGGGCATCTCTTTGGGGGCCTGCTTCTTGAGACAAAATTAACCGCAGACACGCTCCACACTCCTATGCAGTCTGCTCCTGCTGCAAAAATTCGGGGGGGTCTCTAGGGGACCGAGCGGCCAGCGCGTGGCGAGGCTCGGGCCCAATACTTCAGAAATAAGACACTGCCATGTCGGCATGGTGAAAGGAATACTCTTGAGCCGTGTGACCAGCTGTGAATGGCTGGGCTGCGGAAGGCCGCTGTCACTTGCGCAGGTGCAACCCCTTGCTGACTGCCTCCATTACTTTCCCAGTGTCCAGCTTCAACCCAATGGGCGGCTTGCCCTACAATCATCCCACAGTTGCTTCAGACACCGCTTCACGTGCCCATGCTAATGCCATTGCAACCAGCCATGCCATGCACAGGGAGACAACAAGACACAGGCAAGGAAGGTGTTGGGCACACCTTGGGCTTCTTCAGGACATCTGCAATGATGGCGTTGATGCTCTCGGACGGCTGGGCCTGCGGCTGGGATGTAGGGATCATTGACGCCACTGTGGCCCAGGGGGCGTGTGGCAGCGCGCATGCATGGCCACCTGCAGTCGCCAAATGTGTTCAGCTTCAAACTCCCCGCACCAACCACAAACAAGTGTGCGCAATCTTGATGCCCAATTACCCAAGAATCCCGACAAAGGTCGGCGGACGCAGAAGCGACAGGTTACTCTCGACATCACTACAGGGTGCGAGGGATTGCGCACCCATCATGTAAGGGGTGGCGAAGGGCGACCAGCAGGGGTAGGCGGCCGGGGGGCAGTAGGCGGCGGCCTTGCAGAAGTCGGACTGCGCGGTGTGGCGCTTGCGGTACTTCTGCAGGTGGCTCGCCACGTTCTGGCGCGTCAGGCCGGCCGCGATGGGCCCCATGTGGTCCAGGATCTTGGACGGCACGGCCTTCTCGGCGCCCAGCGTCTCCACCGCGCACACAAAGCGGTCGTGCAGCTCCTGCGTCCACTCAACCTGTGCCCGGCCAGATGGGAGATCTCAGCACTCCCGCCGATAGCACAGCCCCGCATGCTGCTGCACTTGGGGCAAGATATTTCAGCAGCAGTGGCTGCAGACTGCAGTGGTATTGGATTGACTCCGCCCTCCTGAGCAAGAAAAACAGGGGGCAGATATTTCCTGCAGCAGCCATCTAAATATCTAGGCAGGGGCCAGCTCAGCAGTTTCGAATTTTGGGTGTGCTTTTGGGGATAGGAGGCGTTTGGGGGCTGTGAATCCTGTGCTGCACCTTGTGTTTGCGGCTGCGCTGCTCCTCACCCGCCTCGCTGCCCCTCAGGCTGCATGAGCTGCTCGTAATCCTCTGGGACCCCGACGCGCTGGTATCCTACGCCAGCAATAATACTTTTGAAGGAAAATGACACACATGTGTCGAACAGAAGTGTACGAGGCCCGTTCCCGTCGTCGAGCACCAAGGGATCGCTCAGAAAAATATGCCCACCTGGGAGAAGCATGAGTTCCGTGGACCGCCGGAAGTTTGACTCAGCAGTCCCCAGGCCACGCTCCCCTCGCTCTGGGTGCTGCTTTCCGAGCCCTCGGGACCCGCAGACGCACCCGCCTGCAGGGTAACCACAACCTGTCAGGCCATGAGTAACTCCGATTCCTGCATCCGAGTTGAGGAGCAACCTAGGGTTCTTGAAACCCGTGCAGGACAACATTCTCGGCCTTTAATTGCGTACAGAAGGGCCGCGAGGAGGTACAGGACCGCCAGGTTGAGGTCGGCTCGGTTCAGATCGGGCAGCATGGGCATGCAGCCTCACCTGGGAACAACAACGTCGTCTCTTGGAAGCCTGCCTCTGGCCCAAGGTGTCCACAGAGTCTTCGGATTCGGACTCGCTGTCGAACACATTGCAGATGGCCCTGACGAGGGCTTCCTCCTTCTCGACGTGCTGCATCTCCTCTGAGTTCGCGTGGAAATATGACCCTGAAGACAGCGCAGAGGCATGCTGAGCCCAAAATGCACAGCCACCGGACAATCAAGAAGCCTGTGCGATTCTACACTGATCTTGCAAGCTGATGGGATGGCTGGAAATGGAATCTGGCATTTCCAACCGTTGACCTGGTCACAAGGACAAACGACCGATTCCAAATCGTGACGGGAAGGACCGACCCACCCGAGGACACCGTGCTGTTCTGGCGCAGGAAGGCTGGCACCGGCGCCGAGGTCTTGGAATACAACCAAGGCGCGCTCTGATTCATGCCGTGCTGCGCCACGAGGGAGGAAGAAGCTCCCACAGAAAGCAGCATGTCCCCCTGTTCGAACCCCCTGGAAAGAGGCCTTGATGGAGAGCCCCTGCCGGCCCCAGTCACTGACGAATTGCACCCATGACCGCCCAGTACTGCTGTCAAAGGCGTCAGTTTCCGGTCCTCTCCGGCACCACGGGACGTCTCCTGCCCCGACCCCAACCCCTAGTGGACAATGCCAGTGTGGTACAAGGTGGTTGCCACTTGGTCAGTGCAGACACCTCGAAGCACCCTGAGCTCTGTCCACCCTAGCAAGCACTCTCTGACACTAAACGAAGCGAAGTTTCACGCCCTGAATCGCACGAAATGCAACATGGAAAACTGTCCGTGATTGACGCCGCCATTGGCGGAGGCCAGCTCAGCACTGACCAAGGCAGAATAACTTCTTGACGAATCACTATTTGCCAAGTCAGCGAAACTCGTGGCGTGGGACAGGTAGACTTTTTGGGGGCTCAAATATATGGACATTCGCAAATTCTGGGAATCACATGCACACTCTGCACACCACAGACGCGGAGATCTCATGCACAACACGCCTAGTGACACATCCCGGGCCCCTCTGTGTGCACCCTAGGGCCTTGCCACAATTGCGGTGCCGGCAATTGATGATCACTATCCGTGATGCACACCAACTTGGATTGACTCATGTGATTCGGAATCACATCAAGTTGATCATTCATGATACAATGATGAAAGATCATGATGATCATGACATCGTGCTTTGAAGCTGCAAAATCTAGATCTGCTGCAGTGCAAATCCACATTAAGGGTCTCCGTGAGCTCTCGAGGCCGCCTCCGGCAAGACTTTACTGGATTCAAAGGAAACATGAAGTGCAAAGCGTGAAGGACGAACACCATTGGAAAGAAATGCCATGCATCAGTGACCGGATCCCCGATGCATCAATCAACATGTCTGCGCGGCACAATGTGCAGGCAAATATGAAGAACCCGCCAGATTCCAGATATGTTAGTCCCCCAGATCAGAAACCTCCTGGACATCAACTTGAATAACATATATACATCGCAGCACGCCCCGGGGACAACAATTTACATCCAGATATGTCTTGCCGGGACGCAACAGCACGCACGCTGCTGCAGTACATGCCCCTCTAGAGTGTCAGACTCTCAGGTATAAGACACCCGGTGCGTCCTGCCCGAGACTGCGTATGGGGGTACAGCTATACACATAATGCCGGCAGCATGGCTCCTCCCAGCCAGATCAGTCCTTCAGACATCCGCGTCATCTGCATTGTAGCACAGGGCACATCAGTGACCCCATCAACACAAATGTGACTTCTCAGGAACCCACGGAGGCTCCAGACGACAAAACCCCTCACCGCCAGCAGCAGTTCAGGCTTGAAACCTTCTTTCTGTCGAGATTAGATTTAGACACAATGCCGAGTATACAAGGCAATAACAGGCTCATAACCTTCTTTGTGTGGAGATGAAACCAAGACAGATTGCAGGACACACAAGGCCGCGAGAGCGCCAAGAAATGCATGGGCGGCCTTGAGCAGCATACCGAGGGTGAAGACGTCCCGCTTGCCGGCCTCCGGCTTTGGCGCTACGCTCGGAGGGGCGGCTGCCTGCGCCGGAGGCGGCTTGGCCGGGCTGGCGGCCGGCGACGCGGACGCGGCCCTCGATGCCTGAGGCCTGGCCACGGCAGTAGGCGTTCCCTCCTCACTGCAGCACCACACAGACCCCCAAAAAATCAAATGTGTATCTGAAATCAAACGTGCAAGATGAAGTTTCCTGGTCCAGACTTGCTGATATAGAGGACTAATACTTCTTTTGTCTGCTTGTTGCACAGCTTCAGGCCGGCTCCCTGAGTGATCTGTCTTTCTGAGCAGGCTTGCAATGATTGGGAAAACGACACAGTGGGGTCAGGTTTCCTTGGGCAATACATTTCATTGTCCCAGCACCGACCTCTTCCCAGGTTGGGCATGGGCAGCGCTGGAGGTGGGGGGCGCTGCATGGCTGGTGGGCTCCTTGAAGTTGGGGTTGGTGCCGTGAGTCAAGGGGGACCCGCCCTGCAATGCAATGTAGGGCTAGTGAGTTCGCTCAAGCTTCTGTACATGATGTACACAACCTTTCCTCGCTAGTAGTAATCTATCTTGCTTACTCACGGCACGAATGCAAATACCTGGCTGCTGGAGGGGCTCCTGTTGAAGAAGGGCACTGTCGCGCCCAGGCGCTTCCAGCGTGCGTTGATCTCTGTGGCGGCCGCGGAGATCTGCGCACAATGAGTTCCGCTCAGACTGCCTGCTCGATGACGGTTCAGGACCATTCTTGGGTGTCAAGGGAATCAAAGGTACATAAGGCACCGAAGCTCCATGAACAATGAATTGTACACAGGCGTATCAGTAGTAACGAAGCTCCATGGACAGTCCATGGTAGATAGGCATTTTGATAGGAATGATCGCAACAGATACAACAGGCTTCTGATAAGAAATGAGTACCTGCTGGTTCTCCATCGCTCTGGCATGCACTTTGCCGAAGCCTGTGGCCAGGCGGGTGCCAGCCACCCTGCTGGCTTCCCTGGCAGCCTGCGCAGGGATGCAATTTCAAGTCAATTTCTGTAGGTTTGGTTGTGTTTTGTCGGCCGTAGAACAGGTTTGGCATCTCAGAAGGAATGAGAGAGTTCTGCAGCATTGATGGCAGTCTTTGCAGCTACCTGAACGGCTGAAGCTGCCTGCTGTGACACCCGGTACTTGGCATCCAGATCCGTCATCTGCCACCAACAAACTGCTGTCAGCCGTTGCAGCACCCACTGGCGCACATGGAGTGGGTCTTGTATGGACAACATTGCACAGACGATGTTGTATTGGCTTGAACCTCAGGACTGGGTGGAAAACTGCAATTTTCTTGCCTGCTGGCTCGCCACTGCAGCCGCTGACTTGGTGCGCTCGCTGACAGCTGCGCTCACCTGTGCAGCACAATATTGCTTAATTTGTGCATTTAATATCAACATTATCAGTAATTGTATAACTTCATATTAACAGCACAAGGTGACTTGCACCTTCTCAGCGGTGCGGAGCCTTGTCAACTCTGCAGAAATGCCGAAAGCAAAGTCCTCTTGCACCTGGAGGAGGAAAGAAAGGCAAGTCATAATGCAATGTATTGAAAACCTGCAGCGTGCTGCAAGTCAATGCTGCCTGATGCCCTTTTGCTGATGCATGACTTGGGTTTGGTCCTACCTCAAAGACTTCATTTGTGCAGTCAGCATCCAGGAACTCATCGAGCCAGAGCTGTAGCGTTTCGATATCCGTAGTATCCCTGTATATGAAGCAGTCATCAGCGACTTTCCCCAGCGCAGATGTGCCAGGTCTGGATATAAGCATCTGTTCTGTATGAACCGAGATCTTACCACAGGCTTGTTGATCTGAGGCCAGACGTTGGAAACACCTGTCGAGCACATGCCAGGATATTGTAACTCTTTCCAGCCTCAAGGATCCAGACATATTACGCATCAGCATAGCTTCAGGAAAGTCCAAGGCAGGCTCGGTAAGGATCTGGCACCTGACGACATTTGAGCTCTGGGGGGAGCTTCTTCTGACGAACATGGTCCAAAAGGGCCACAATTGCAAAGGGCACCTGCACAATTTCCCATTCAGCAAACTGGTATTCATCAGATAGTTTGTGCAAAAGTAGCGAGTGCAGCCATCTGCAATGCATTGACGCAGTATAGTCACACCTTTGCAGAAACAGTTCCCACTGTATGTATAGCGAGTGCCAAAACCATCGCGCTCTCGCTTCTTCAGCCAAGATAGATTGAGGCCCCAACAGGATGCAAGTACAGAACCCAGCAAGATATGGCTTTAGGTAGCAGATTTGGGTTGTGGAAGTCGCAAAATCTTCTATGATGTAGAGAACGCACGCCAAAAGTGATTGTTCATGTCTTCCCAGAAAGAAACACGGCTGATCCGCGCCAATTCACCCAGAGGGTCATAAGCTGACTGGACTTCTTGGTCGTCCTTGGATGTCCCGAGCTTCCTGCATCCACCAGTTCCAGACAGTCCCCTTGAGCAAACCCTTTGCACAACAACCATGATTTTCTTGTCTGAAAGACAAGTTTTCATCTGTATCGGATTAAATACAAATCGGGGAAACTACAGGATGTTCATATGACAAGTTGCAGGGCTTTTTGTAGGCGAGCAAGGATGCAGATAAGAGTTGTCAATTGATAACTATACATTACAATGTTTGCACTCTTGGGAGCAACAGCGCTGGGCATGCAACATAAGGAAGTGGTCACAACCCTTCTGGGGATGCCTAGGGAAGCTGTGATCACCTATCTTTTTATTAGTGCAGTGCGCACCGTTTCAGCGGCATTGTTTCTCATCTACTATGGAGAGCTCTCGTGGCGATCGAAAAATCTGCTTCTGAGAAAACACTGGCGAGACCTAGGTGGGCCACTGTATGCAGGATCGCCAACAGCTTTGTCCAGAACAGCGATCACCTTGTCATCCACAACTAAAGCTATCTGAGAGTTATTGCTTCTCATGTGCAGGTCTGTGGGCTACAAAGCTGGGATTCATTGTGCTCTCTGCACACCTGCTGGCCTACCGGTGTCAGCAGGAGTGCGACCCCAGGCTCTTCCACAGCTTTGAGCAGCACTTCTACAGGGTGCAGTGGTACATCCGCCTGTTTGCAGCCGCAGCTGCGACATCCAGCATTGCCATGGCCGCATTGCTGGGGACCTGGAATTTGCTCCTAAGGGACACCCATGATGCTGCGCAGCATCCTTCAAAGATGCTCGGGGCAATACCCAACAGCATTGTAGAGGCAGCAGGCCTCAAGGAGGGGTTGCATCAGCTGAACGGCAGCACAGCTGCCGCCCTGGTGGGATGGATCAATGGGGTCGTGTGTCCTGCTATTTTGGTCTATGTTCTGTGGGCGCTCTGGCTCCCTCAGCTGCCCTTGCTGCAGCATTTCTACTTCGCTTCCTTGAGAGCCACGCAGCAGTCTAGACAGGAGCTGTAGTATTGATGACAAGTTCTCTGGAGGTCTTCCGGGTTTGTGTATTGCTGATGTGAAAGCTTCCATCCAAAAAGAGAGATGCACGCGACTGAGAGATTGACCATGACACTGACATGGTGGTTCTTTGACCAGATTGCCGGGCGTGTCTGAGTTCCCGCTTGGGTTTATGCACATTCTGAAGCATAGCGCTCATGTAATCAGAAGCATTACTTCTAGCGAATGGCGCCAAGCATGGGCGTGCCGGTACCAACTTGGTCAAAGCTGATCAGATTGATCAATGTTGTCATCTTCTAGAGCAGGCTGGGCACTTACGCGTAGGCAATGGAAACATTTGCAATAAGAAAGATTTGAGCTCTCTGTTTGCACCCATTATATATCAATTGATGCCAGGCATTGCAAGTCAGGCCTTGTGAGTCATGAGCAGAGCAGTGCCCGAATGGTCCAGGGTTTCAGTGATGCCGATGGAATTCCAGGATACTTTTACCTGACTAATCTACATGCACACCATAATCATCTTTCGGTATATAAATGTCACTAGACGCACTTGTGCTTGTGCAATGTGCCTAGTAACTTACTAGTCAAGCACATCTTGCAGGTTACTCGAGACGAATAGCGTCACGATTGGGCTCAAAGCCCCTGATCAGCTATGTCACGATGCTTTCTAGACATATCTTACGCACTTTGAGGAGTATATCTCACGCTCAATCAGGCTGCTTGGGAAGACGCACCCTGCATGGAGAGCAGGTCTCAAATTCTCTTTATGCATTTGGCAACGGATCTCAGGTATGGAGATCGTGATTGCAGGCTCGTCTTGATCAATACTGTTGAAAGGTCGATCCTCGATCAATAATGCCGTGTCTTTGATCTGAGTGTCCAGAGGCTATTGTGTAGGGGGCATTGGGTTGTGACTCGACAGCAGACAGCTACTCCCCAGAACAAGTGATCTTGTCAGAGGATGTTGTGGGCGTCTCAGCAGGGCATTATCACAGCCTAGCATGGACATCTGAAGGGCAGCTGTTCAGCTGGGGGTAGGCAACCACCTCTTACCTTTGGGAAAGCAATCGTGAGACAGCTTCCCACTAGGCAACAATACAGATCCATACCAGATCGATTCAATACGTCAGAAGCTGATAAGACTGTGCATGACTGCCCCTTGACAAATGCCTTGACAAGTGCATCAGGCGGAACAATGAACAGCAGCTGGGGCGGGCGCATGCTGATGAGGATGCCCCCTTCGGCGTCAGCATTAAATCTGGCCTTGTGACAGACATTGCCACGAAGGTGGGTGCCTGTGAACACCTTGGTGTAAAACCATGTGCTTGCATGCCTCAATGCTGGATCTTGTGACACAAGCATGGCCCAGATGCGACTACTGGAGAATGAGTGCATGAGAGATCCAAGTTGGAATGCAGGTGATCGGCTGTGCAGCATCAGGAGTGGCGAGCATTGCAGTGGGTGCTGATGGTGCGCTGTACAGCTTTGGCAAGAGCAAGAGGGGCCAGCTGGGGCTCGGTGAGGGCAGAAGTGCTGCTGACACCCCAGAGAGGATCCCAGGAGTGGAGGGCATAGCAGCAGTGGGCTGCGGATGGGGTCACGCCCTGGCCTTGACAGGTGCCCACCTTTCTGTCTTACATCTGCTTGCCTTGACGAGGTTGCCACTCGTTCTCTGAAGACTGTGCTGCTGCAGATTTCCCCCCCAATCTATCTGTGTCAGTCAAAAAGGAAGCTTTGTGCGGGTGCAGAGGATGGCGAAGTGCTGTCATGGGGCTTTCCATCAGGAAACAGGCTGGGGAACCTGCTTGATGGCGGCAGCGCACAGGTCAACTCTCGGCCAGCACTGCGCGCCAGCTGTGTTGAATTTGATCAACTGTATATGATGCTTCAGACCCCCGCGTCATCGCTTGTTGTTGTCCCTGTACCTGCATGCAATTCTCTGTAAGGAGGGCTGCATGGCTGAGCAGTGGCGCGCAGATGGCTGAGCAAGAGGCTCTGGACAGCTGCGTGTGGTCACCACGACGTGTGGAAGCATTGAAAGGCATCAAGGCAAAGCAGGTGTGACTTCTCTGAGGCGCGGATATTGCCATGACCATGCGCATTTGATCCATTGGGCATTCCAAAGAACCATAACTTGTGCGGCTCGAGCCTGGCCTGAACTATGATCTGCACCTGACTGCTGCAGGTTTGCTGCTCGCTAGACTCATCCCTGGTGCTGGCCAGGGATGGGACACTGTACACCTTTGGAGACAACTCGCTGGGCCAGCTGGGGCGGCCATCAGTGTCTGAGCATGGACCGGAAGACTGGGTTGTGCGTGGGGAGGACGGCGCTCCCATGAGACTTCAGCGCATTGCCGCTGGCTTGGGACATTGTCTGGCAGTCACCCATGATGGAAAGGTGTGCACAACTAGTTGGACCAGCCCGGAGGCAATATAATTTTTTGTCTATTTCTGGCAATTTGATGACCATCACTTGCCCATGCACTGCATGCTGGGTGCCTGTTGCACTGCACATTTGCTGTGTGTCTTGCTGCTTGAGGCTGCAGCAAAGTTTAAACAGCAGTGGTTGATGTGTTGAGAATCTCAAGTTGAGATGGGCTGTGGTGTGCAGGTGGTTGTGTGGGGTTGGAAGCACGGTCTTGCAGGGCATCCCGAGACGCTGCTCGCGCCTGTGAGCGTTCCTGGACTGCCATTAAACACACATGCAAGGCTTGCAGCTGGCAGAGTGCACAGCCTCATAGCCACAACAGCTGCGGGTGCAGACACTCAGCAGTCCAGTGAGACCCGCGGTAGGAATAATGCGCTGTATGCTTTTGGAAATGGCCAGAACGGCAGGCTAGGATTGGGATCATCGCAAAGTGTGTTTGAGCCGCAGCTCGTGCAAGATATTGAAGGCCTTAGTATCAAGGATGTTGTGTGCGGTCATGACCACAGCCTGGTATTGACTTCTACCTGATGGAATTCTTGCGCATGCCATATAGATCACCCTTACGGATCTTGCAGTTGAGGGTCTCTGCAAGACTTGCAGTGCAAGTAATGCGATTCTGACACTGGCAGGTACTACGCCCTATGATTGATAGTCTTAAACAAAGACACTGCGTTCAATTCCTGCAACCCATGCATGCAGACAAGTACTCACAAGGAGCATGCTTTTCATAGTGTTACTTCACGTGCCAGCACTGGCTATGCCCACAAGCAGTTCCTTCGTTCGCGTCTGAGTACATCAAACACACAGAGAACCGACCAAACAATAAAGTGCAAAGTCAACAACAAAATGCAGTAGCAAACATTTAGAGCGTTTTGCCATCAGCTGGTCCGGGACTGCATTTATGCACTGTTTGTCACAACAACGCTGCCATTATAAATCCACCCTTGCAAAAGTCACACCCGGCAGCTCCCAGCAGCCCGGCCCTGCTTACTCATGCTGCCCTGACTCACCCGGCGCCCGCATCATCCAGCAGCTTCCTCAGGTACGCTGCGCGCTTGTGGGAGGCCAAGGCCATCCACTCGTGCTTGGCCAGGGGCACCACGGTCCAGCCGTGCCGTGTGAGAGTGCGCCTGACTGCCAGCGTTTCCCCGAGCGGCCGCCTGGGCCAGGAGCTGCTGTAGAGGGTGGGGCCCTCAGGATGGATCGCCACCTTGTCACGCAGCAGGATCGCGGACGTCATGTTCTGCAGGAACTTCTCCTCGTGCCACACGCCCAGGTCCGCCAGGGTTCGGCAGATGCTCTGCCCACAGCTCACAAGTTTTTGTCAGGCTCCCTCGTGACCCATATAACCCTTTTCTCTCTCTACTGTCCATGCAAAATTCGTGTGAAGCCAGCAACTCCGCATCGAGCCAGGCTTGTCTTTAGCATCCCCGTCTTCAGAGACATGCGGCAGGATAGAGCACAACAAACAGAGGGTGATCTGGGTTTGAGGGGCCAGAGGTGTTGAACCAGACATGTTGCCGAGGCTTGTGCCCCTATGCTGTTCTGCCTTGGTCATGAGGCAACAGGGTGAGCAGCAGTCGCGCTGTATTGAAATTATCAAGGGAACAGGTCTCTAGGGCGCACCTGCTGCAAGGGCGTGAAGTTGCTCTCTGCGAAAAGCCGGTCCTGCCAGGCGCTGGCTGCATAAGCCCAGATCCATGTCGGCAGCTGGACGGTGAGTGGGTCCTGGCTGGCCGCCTGCACCATCCGCTGCACCTGGTACAGCTGCTGGAAGTTCTGCGCGCACATGCTCACACCGTGCTCAAGCTCATAATTTAGACCAAGGGGCGCATCTCATCGTGGTGCTCGGCATCCCCTTGATGGATTTCCCAGACACTGCAGAGCCAAAGTGCAACAGCTCTGCCTGGTGAACAAATGGACCAGGAATTACTTTTCAACGAATCTTGCAGGCTGCGTGGTGCCCACTATTTGTACTCAACCAGCCACAACCAGCCGTACTTATCAGTCCCCAAGAACATCAGGAAGGATCTCCAGCACCACTCGCAGGATCCCATATCGGAATTATACTAGAGAACTGTGAGCAAAATGAGCAGGATCCGGCTCAATAATTCCTGCGGCTCAGGCAGTTCTTGGTAGAACGAAAGCAAGGACTGGCAGCGGAATATACCTCAGGCTCGAAGGCTCCCAGAGGCAGCTGCTCGAGCCGGGCGCACATGCGCCGGAAGGCGTCCGGGGAGAGCTGGTCCAGCACAGCCAGGGACCACAGCACGTCGCACAGCGCGCACCCTGACAGCTGCCCCGCGTCCTCCAGCAAATGGTCCCTTAGCGCCGCCACCAGCTCTGGCTCATCATGCCCCTGCATTTCCCAGCCCCCACCGTCACAGCACTATTCGACCCTAAATTTACACCCCACAGAAAGGTGTATTTGTTGGCAGGGGTAATCTCAGTGAGGCCGTGGCTGGACCACCCCGGCAACGCCGTCTGATGCCAGCCATGCTCGCTGGCCGTGACCAACAAGTCAACGCCTGGGTGGTGGCGTCAGTGAGCCCAAAGGAGGGTACTGGCTTATTCTTCGTGTCACAAATCGATCCTTTTGTGGCATCACACACAGGCAGGACCATATACTGTATGGCCCTCTAACAAAAAAAGCCACAAAACTCATCTTTCAAACCAACCATGGACCAATCCTCTCAGGGGCTCACCGGCAGCCATCCCAAGCAGAAAGCAGCAATCACACATAGCTTTGAAAAACGGTTCCATGGAGCAAAGGTAAGAACGGCGCGCACAACGACGGCCAGGGCGTGGAGGAGGTCGGAGCGCTGCTGTGGCTCGAGCGCGGCCACGGTGGGCGCAGCCTGCCGCGAGATGACGCGGTACATCGGCTCGTCATAATGGCGCAGGTGCGAGAAGGAGGCCAGCAGCGACGCCAGCTGTCCCGGGCTGAACGTGGGCACCTGTGACAGCGGAGGGATTTTTGTAAGGCCTGTTTGTTTATACTTCTTTGGTCCTCAGCGCCACAGATGACCATGTGGGGCCATGTCAGTGGGGCCATGACAAGCAAGGCAATTTGTGCAAAAATTACCCCATTTGTGGGTGCTGGCAGCGCTCGAGTGTCTGCCAAGTGGGCAGGTGTAGATCGAGCCGCAGCAGGGAGAGGTGTTTCATGCTTCCCCAAGATGAAAAAGTAACATGTCAGCATGTAGACTATGTAAGTGGGTGCTCTAGTAATGGGGGAGCACCAGGTCCAGCGCGCCCGCCGCTATCGCCTTGAGCAGTTTCCCCGTCCCCTCCGAGTCGTGCTCCGTCTCCGCCAGTGCATGCGTGAGGCTCACCAGGCCGCTAGCATCCAAGTCCTGCACACGTGGCCATCCACGTACGATGACCTCCCGAAAATGTGTTCTTGCGTCAACTTTGAGGTGTTTGAAAGGGTCGTTGCCGATCTGGCACAGCGCTGAGCAGGGCTAATGGACCTGATGGAGGGCAAGATCTGCAACTCATGTCCGCCAGGCCTGTGGAGGGAGCAGGTAGAAGGAGAACACATCTGCAGGAGAGAGATGATGAGGGAGCCCACCTTGAAACTGCGCAACACTTGGCCCACGATGGCGTCTAAAAGCATGGTGTAGCCAGAGCCCCTGCACTCGCAAAATCCGCAAGACTTCATCATTGATAACTGCAAAATGTGGATCTGCTGTCCTAAGCCACTTACAACACTTGCTTGGTTCAGGCATAAAAAGCTTTAGCCTGCAGTACCTGTGTTCCAGCTGCACATAAGCTCCACAGATGGTGGCAAGCTGTGGCGCTTTGTACTGCTGCACAGAGTCGGCGACTATGTCGCTCACCTGCACCACCAAGATACACAGTCGTAAGAAGGCTTTTCTTGATGCTTTTATTCGCTGTACATGGAAGTGTAGAGCGCAGCGCACCGCTTCCAGGACGATGTCAACGAGGGAATCCTTGACTTGAAGGTGTCCCAGTACAGCCACCAGCTGTGTGATTTCGTTAGGTGAGAGGTACTCCAGCTGCGGGCAGAGGCGCTGAAGCGGCACCACGACTTGCCTAGCCAGCTCCTTCCTGTTTGCTGGTGAGCTCTCACCGATTTGCAATAGCCGTGCTAGGTCACTGTTCGGCTGCCTGGCTTCTGCTGTGACTGTACTGATTGTTGATTGAGCAACGCCATCTGCCACTGAATCAGCTGAAGAGGTTTTCTGCTGGCTACGTCCACCGCCAAGGAGCTCACGCACGACAGCACTGGCATAGGGCCAAGTGCTGGCAGGGAAGCCCAATAAGGAGGTAAGCTCCTTGCTCGCACTTGTGCTGATATTGGCCGAATAACTCTGCTGTGATCCTGGAATATGGACTGCACAGCACAGCAAGTGTCATAAATAAAGAAGAGCCCTCATCTTCCCGCATCTCTTGAAGACTGCGATACACGACATATACACATTGTCGGGTGGAAGACGACGCAATCCCGCTGGAGCAGAGTTAATTTTTTATAGTGCATTTTTGCAATCAGCACATCCAACGGATAGAACCTCACCTATTAAACGAGATCTTTTAAGAACAGCCAGCAAATGAGAGCGGGCCATTGTCCTTCATGCAGAGACGCAAGATATTCGCTACTGCTTGATAATTGTAGGAGCTGTGATTGATGTTCTTGTTTCTTGCTCTGAATATCTCAAATTCCCAGTATCTGTGAAGGACAATCCTTGGAAAGCATTCGCCGGGCAAATCGTTGGCGATTGCTGAATCCCCCGCGAATACCTGGTAAAGCCTGGTGGCTTTTGGAAGACTCTCCAAAAGCATGGCATGGGATCCCCTTGGTCATTACAATTTCCAACTGTTTCCTCGTCCACCTGGCCGAGAGCTCTTGTCAGTGATGACATTTATATAGCACCTGCATGCAATTGCTGGCTGCCAGCCAGTGGCCGGCACCGCGGCGGCGGCGCGCGGTCTCAGCGCTGAGCCCGCGCGGCTAGCCTGAGTACGCGGTACCGCACAGTACCGGTCCCGGCGGGCCAAACATGGCCGGACGTGGGCCGGAGCTTCATCCATGGACCCCAACGTGGCAACGACAGCAACTAGTTACTGCCTAATTAGTAATTCGTAAATATTGTCAGGCTTCAAGCATAAGTTATTGAAGGCCGGGCCTTCTAGGATAGATCGTCTACCTACCGTAGATCATCTTATAAGATTACATCAAAAAAGAACGATTCGTAGCAACAATTGTCGGGCGCCCCCGGGACCACTGGCAGGCCGGCGCCTCTGCACCCTGTCTTATATAATGGTGACGTGCGACAATTGACTCTCTCAATGCGTTGCATCAAGATACCATGTGTTCGGATGAGGTCCCCCATTCAACTTGAACAGCACTCTCGCGGAGCATCTGCAATTCAGCAAAACTCGCACCAGGCCTACTACAGCAGATGCATCACATCACCCGCTCCTCAGAGAAGTTGAGGCAGGCTCAAAATTCTGAGGCTCAGACATGCGGTACATGTACAGGTTGTCCTACAACTGTTATGGCAGACCATTCTCAGCATGCAGGCTCCCTTGAAGCAGTATGTAGCCCATCTACATGAAAAAACCAGAAGAGGAGGCTTCATTGTGATGGCTATTAATCATTAGTAATGTCCTTTTGGTCAGACAACAAACCGGTCTGCATAGTCTTCGTTTGTGAGCTGGCACATGTCCTTCTTGCCGAATATGTTGTACCTGCTGTCCGCAATCTGCACGCATCCAAGTAGTTCTCATGCACTGTAGTCATACTGAGTATGCACATGTAAAAGTTTCTTGGCATCCAGTATGACGCTTGCAATGATGGTACTCTGTGATTGCTCTCCCCAATACATTTGACATGAAGGGGCTCACCCGGTCGTACACAAGATCCCTGAAAAAGCCGGGCAGAGGGAAAAGGACTTGTGCCAAAGCTGGGTATGGCGCACTCAGCCGCTTGGCTATCCTCAAGATTGCCTCTGACTTGATGTAGCACGCATTTTGTTCCACCAGCACTATGGATGATATGTCATCCGGTCGCCTTCCACACCTCTACTGCATCCACAGACAACATGTTTGCACTTCCTTTGGTGGGATCATCAGGAGTGTCACTGCTGCTCGACCATATTCGACAGTCTGGGGAGACCACATACAGCAGGACATGAGGTGGAAGAGCATGGCTGGCATCAATCTTACCTGCAGCAACCTCTTTCCCGTGTCGCTCTGTAACGCAGCAAATCGTAGATTGGCCTTTGAGTCGTTCTTGAGGGCAAAATCCACCCCTCCATGGCACCTGTAAGACAACAATGGTGATACATTGCGTCCATCTGATGTTGAGTGATTCGGAGTAGAGAGCACTTAGAAGTTATGACGATAATAAATTCATGGAAACGCACAAATTGCAGACACCATCGAACAAGATGATGGGGCGCTTGTCTGTCGCAAACGGTGCCGATGCTGATGACGATGCAGCTGTCCTATTGGTGCAGCTCAGCGTCTTCCTTGTAGCTAATACTGGACGTTTCTGTGTGAATTGTGACCGGCAGGAACCTGGCCCACAATGCACAGAACCAGATGGGCGCGAAAAAGAACTTGCTGCCTGCATGTGGTCAATCTGAGACGGTGCAGCAAGAATGCTCATGCAATCTCTTAAACAGATCTGAAGAACAAAATGCTGCACAGATAGGCATCCGAAACCAACATGAATCGTTTTGAGGTGGCAGGCACGTCACGCTTACGTCATATCAAAGCAGCTGTGGCCCACTGAACACCTGTGGCAGGACGATCTTCTCTATTGCATCAAACATCATAATATTACGCACTTATATTATCTTTGAAGTGGAAGAGTCTATTTGAAGCACGATCGCTTCGGATCGCGGGCCTGTTGCTGCATACTATATTGCTATTCTAGGATCCAACAGACCTTGATGGAAGCAGGTGAGAGCGCAAGAAGACTATGAGCTTGTTTGATCGCGTGGATGTCTGAAGTGCAGCAGTATCTTATGAATGCTTCCAAGGTTAGTCATTGCAGCTTTTGGCAATATACTTGGATCGTGCCAGCGGCTTCAGCTTCCTCAAGTTGTTCACTCCAACGTTGAAAGTAACATAGTTTAGTGACTTGCAACGTCAGATCGGATGCTATGATAAGGCATGGCGATGATGGTGTGATGTCAGGTGAGGACAGCAGGCCGCCCACACCTTCAGAACCGATGGAGGCGGATGGCATGGAGAGGCAGCTGTCCTGGGCGCTGCCTGAGCTCCCGCCTGCGGTGTCTTCGCTGTACACGTGGGGCAGATCAGACCTGGGCCAGACAGGCAGCGGCCGGGACCAGAATAGCACAGCTCCCGAGCCAGTGCAGGCGCTGCAGGGCAAGGATGTGGTGCACGCTGCTGGCGGCAGCTACAACAGCGCCTTTGTCACCAGTGCGCGCCTGGCCCCCTGCTACACGGCATCACCCGCCCAGCTGACCCCTTGCCGACCTCGAGCCTTGGACATGGGCACCCTTCAGCACCGAACCACTCTGCCAACAGCCTGTCAAGCAAGGCCTGATCAAGTGCCGCTCAGGTGTCATGATGGACACACACATGAGGCAGGAGACAGAGGAGTGCCAGCCACGCCCAGCTGAGCATGGCGGCATGCATGCCTCAAAACAAAGTCACCTAGCACCTGTCTGTCCCAGTGGGATCACACTGACAACCCTGCGGTGTGCGTGGGCAGGGGACGGAGAGCTGTACACGACAGGCTCCAACGATGCGAGGCAGCTGGGGGTGAAGGGGAGAGAAGTTGCTCTGGAGCCGATCCGCGTGAGCGCACTTGAGATGAACAACGTGCACGGCGTGGCGTGCGGGCAGGGGCACATGCTGGCTGTTGTGGACAACGGCCACCTGGCTGCCTGGGGCAGCAACGAGTACGGGCAGCTTGGTGAGCACTTTTATATTGCCTATACCGCAGGGCGTGGAGGGGCAAAATCTTGGCGGCTGTCATTTGCAGCTTGTTTGCAGACGCACCTAGCCTCTAGAGATCTGCTTGCATCAAGCTTGTGGGATATGGTTCCACAAGTTGCTGCAGCAGCAAAGCTCGCCCTAAGAAATATCAGTCTGCCATGCTGTGACGTGACAACAGGGTAGCCTTTTACTGTCACAACGGCGTTTGTTTGAAGTTTGGATAATTATGGGTGCATGGGTGTGTGGCAGGGACTGGGGAAGTGGGGGCGAGCGCAGCGCAGCCGCGCGTGCTGAAGCGCATACGGGGGGCGCACTTTGCCAGGGTGGCGGCGGGTGCCACGCACTCGCTCGCGCTCACCTCAAGCGGCCAGGTGTACTCCTTTGGAGAGGGCAGCTTTGGAGCCCTGGGTGCGCCGTTACCCCAGTCATGCCCTTGGACAGCCCTATCTTAAACCATAACCTGGCCCTGCATTTGCAATGCGTGCAATAGATGAGCATATTCTCAAGTGCAACTTTGACCAGCAGTCAGCAATCTACATCTTAGTTTGGAGTAATGCAGAGCATTTGTCGCTACCGTGTCCTGACAGTGCAATTGCGAGCATGCAGCCTCAGTAGCTTGTTGGCTGCGCAGGCCACGGGGACGTGAACAACAGGGCAAAGCCAACGCTGGTGCAGGCGCTGTGGCCCGAGGCAATTGTCAGCATTGCTGCCGGGGAGTATTTCAGCGCGGCGGTCAGTCTGAGCGGCAGAGTATTCACTTGGGGCCGCAACAAGTACGGCCAGCTCGGCAACGGCGAATTTGGAAATGCATTTCTGCCGCAGCCTGTGCCGGGAATTGAACAGGCTGTGCAGGTGCAGATCCCGGGTCCTCTGTCTTACTCGGCGGCCACATTGTGTAGGTAGTGATGCCTGGTGAATATCTCAGGGCTCAGGGCATTCGCTGTTACAAGTTGCTTGCTGTGGTGCTTGCCATGAGCTCGAGGCCCCAATCTTTGATTTGTGACACCCCCTAGACACCCCCTAGATTCGCTCACTTGGATGGTTTCTGCACAGGTGGCATGTGGGGACCACCATTGCATAGCACTGACGCGGTGGGGAGAGGTGTACACCTGGGGGCTGCACAGCAGTGGGCAGCTGGGCCAGGGGAGTAATCTGGGCTCTGAGGCCCTCAATGGATGCCTGTGCAGCCCCAGCAGGGTGGACTCCCTAGCTGATCAGTCCATCCGTCAGGTCAGCCATTCTACTTGCCGACACTTGCCTTACAAACACAAAGCCTGAGCAACATTTCAAACCTCCAAATGCCACTCTTCTTTCCTGGCAAGGATCATCCTCACGTCAGCAGCAAGAAACCCATCACGATTCACGCGATTCGTGCCCGCTGTCTCTGCTGATGTGGCAGTTGCATTTGATGTGGCGTCCAGGTCAGCGCGGGGGCGCGCCACAGCTTCTTCGTGAGCCCTGGGGAGCAGCTGTGGGGCGCCGGCGCCAATGACGAGGGCCAGCTGGCGCTGCAGAGCGTGCCCAGCGTGGCCCTGCCCACACGCGTGCCTGGGCTGCCCGGCCTGCCCATGCGATTCGCCGTGGCGGCCGGAGACCATTCCATTGCCGTCCTAGATGAGTCCAGTGGCCTGCAGAATGGCGGCCTCCAGCGCAGGACCTCAGGTGCAGGCCCCATTCTTTTCTGCAATTCTCCCGAGAAAGGGGTCTGTTGATAGTCTTGTCCCCTTGTGCCGCACGGCAGGAAAGCAGGCCTCAAGGGGGTCCAATAGAGCTGTTGTCACCTACAAAATGAAAAGAGTGGGTGCAAGCAGAGTTGTGTTGCGGAATTATACAGGGGTCAGGCAGGTCTGCATGAGGGTGTCTGTTGGCTGGAAGCTAGTTTGAAGATAGATTTGAATTTTTTCACGAGGGTTGGTATGCGCGGGAACAGGGCCCTGCAGGAGCTGCATGATGACGCTGCAGATGCCGCCCGACCTGCTGCACTATGCGGAGGCCGCCACCGGGCCCTCAGCAACCAGGAGAGAGGTGCGCAGGCCCTCTCAGAACTGCACCCCTTACCCCCAGCCTGCCATTCCTACTAGCTGACCTTGAGTCAGGCAACCACCATAAATATGTATTACTCTGCAACGAGCTTGTTGCATGCCAGATTGTGTGACAGAGGATGCAGAGATACGAAGGGATGAATATATCTAGTCACAGTGTCACTTTGACACTCTTTTATTTGATGTTTTTGCTGCAGGTGCAGATGTTGAGCCAGGCAGTGGAGGATGTCTTCTCATCACCAGCAGTAATGCTGGCCACCTTTGAGGTGCAGCACTCCCTCGCAAACTCTATCGACGGCAATGCCGATGCGGACGCGGCGGCGGCGGCGGCGGCCGAAACGCAGAATCGTGGCGGCCCCGCCAGCACCGCGCAGGATCACGGCCTGGACCTCACCTTCATGAGCGCCCTCTACACTGCCCTCCTGAAGGTGCGCACAAAGCACTTTGACATCTGCGATCTGCTCCCATCATAGCTTCTACCACTCAATGAGCCTTTGATGAGGTCATCTACTGTGGGAAACTTCAAAACAGACCCTGAAATACAGAAAACTTCTGTGTTGGGCAATGCTGCTTCAGCCGGATGGTCTGGCATCGGCTGGAGAGGGTGCCATCCTCACTTGTGGAACTTGGAACCTGCCGGATAAGCGCGCAGATTCGATTATAGATTCATATTCGGGTGCAGGTGTACAGCACAGAATTGGTGGCCACGCTGGGCAGCGCCTGCAGCCGCCTGCTGGACGGCCTCGCGCAGCACCTGTCGGCGCCGCGGCCAAACGCCGGCGCCAGCTCGCGCGACTCACTGCTGGCTCCCCGCGCCATCTTCGCGCTCCTGCAGAGCCCCATCAACGCCGACGCCTCCGGCATAGGCGGGTTTCTTCACAGACATCCCTAAATTCCTGTCTTGTAGCTGTTATATGCACAATGCCGCTGTGCTTCAATTCCGTGGGAAAAGAACAGAATGGGGCTGTGATGTGTTGCCTCTTACCTGGAAACCTCACAAGATCAAAACCGTGCAAGCATCCATGTCTATTGTTCACCAGCAAGCGTCTGCGGCCTGTGTGCTCCTGCGCTTGCAATGGATCTTTTTTGCTTTCGGCGTGCTTGCCGAGATTACGGTTGTGGGCCGAGGCTGTGATTGTGTGCATACAGGGCAGCAGCTGGTGTCGCAGGTGTGCGCATGCATGGCCAAGCTGAGCGGGGAGCAGCGGCAGGCGCTGCTGCGGTGGCTGAGCGAGCTGCCGGCCGACCAGTTTGGCGCGCGCAACGTGCGGCCGCTGCAACGCCACATCAGCGGCCTCGCTCACCGCCAGGTGGCGCTCTGTGATTTGTTTGCCCATTGATGCATGCCACGTCACCACAATCTAGGAGCCTACTGCTTCTGTCTGCAGCTTCTTGCTTGTGCACAGGCCCTGTGTCATGCATCAAATGGCCAGCAGGATAGTCAGTCAAGGCGTCTCACTTCAACAGCAAAGTGGCAAACATTCCCGAGCATTGAACAGCCTTGTAGGTGCCTCATATAGCGGCCAAAACTCAACTCGTCTCTTGGAGGGTGCATGCTGCAATCCCTGAGAGGTGCCCATGGCTATGCAGGGCCCGCAGGATGCTCGGGAGGCGCTGATGCGGGCGCTGCAACTGTTGGGCCTGATGTTTGGTGCGAATGAGAAAGGCACGCGCAAAGTTGCCTTCAGCGAGTTCTACAACCAGGCGCTCAGCGAGAGCATGGACGTGCAGTATGAGTATGTCGTGTGGCGACGAGCCAAGGTGCGCACTGTGCAAAGAATATCTGTGCACTGGCTGACCAGCACACCCGCTGCAGAAATAGGTGAAGAGCGGCATGACCTCAGCAGACCATTGCTGATAAAATGAGTCTTCCCACTTTTGCCTTGTGCTGACATACAATGCAAGCATGTTCTTGGATGCAAATGTTAAAATCCCCAATAGCAGTGCGTAGCTTCAACAAGACACCAATTGACGTGCACCAAGCACACATGGCGCATGTTTCCTGTGGTGACAGAGCAGGGTGCATTTTGGCGCAGGAGGGCGCAAAGCGGCAGCGGGGTCCGACAGAGCTGGTGTCACTGTGCGATGTGCCCTTTGTGCTCACGCCGGAGGCCAAGGGGAACATCTTCAAGATTGAGGCCGCTCTGCAGATGCACCACCAGATGCACTCCTCCGGCGTCAATGTGCGCCCCCTGCCGAAGTTCTTGATCATTGTGAACTTGCTGCTGTTCATGCCCTGCATGCATGGGTATGTCTACTGGTACTATGAGTGTCATTCTTTCTTGTGGTCACGTTCAGAAAATTTCACATCTCAGGCAGTTGGGCGCCACATGGGCTCTTGTGGACATTTTAGAAAAACAGCCATTCCAATGCACCTGGCACACTTTGCATTCATGTAGTACCATCGGGCGCTCCTGGTGTGTGAATACAGCTGTTTTTCTTCAGATCTCTTCAGATACAGCCGGAATTCATGCAGTGGAGGGCTGTAATTACACTATTGCCATCTCTGACGCATTGCATCCTGGGACGGAGTTGCAATGCTCATACACCTCAAAAGTCCATTTACCAGAGCTGCATGCGCTGAATAGAATACTCAATTGCTGCGGGCGCTGCTGCTGGTGACACATTGCATGAATTTATTTTCCACATTTCATTTTGCCATGAGTTGCATGCGCTGTTTAACGCGCTGCTGCAACCAGTAAGTTTTCATATCACTTGTTCCCTAAAGTGCGTGCGCTGAGTAAAAAACATGGCTGCTGCAGGCGCTGCTGCAGGGGGTGAACCCAAGCCTGGTGCAGTTTTTGGACATTCGCATCCGGCGCGACCGAGTGCTAGAGGACGCCTTGAATCAGGTTGTGGGGCGGCCCCACGAGCTGAAGAAGCCGCTGCGAGTCACCTTCATCTCCCAGGGCGTTGACGAGGAGGGCCTGGACCAGGGCGGCGTCAAAAAGGAGTTCTTCCAGCTGCTCACGCGCGAAATTTTCAACGAGGTGATGCTCAATCAGTATCTGAACCCAACTTTCTTCTCTATCTCATCCAATTGCGGCCGGCAGGTCCCTCTTGCAGGACTTTCTGGTGACCAATACCATGCTGTGGCTGTTACATGCGGCTGCTGCTGCGGTGGCTGCCCCGCCTTTGTGGTCGCACTTGAGGCGCTGCTCACGTGCAAAATTTTCAACAAGGCGATGGCCCCTTGCCGGGGATGCGTCACGTGCATACGCTGCTGCTGCAGCAGTTGTTGGCATCATGTGTGTGAGGCTGGGTGCTCTTCAGATGTGAATGATTTGGGGAGGTATCATGGCGCCTGCATTGAGGGGTGCTTGCCTGTTGAAAGCGCCTCGCAGCATGCATGGCAGACTGCGGCATCAGAAATGAAACGCTCAACTAGCCATTTTGACAAAATGAAAGTTTTGCAGCGAGCATGGTGCTACATAGCCGTTCTCACCAGGGGCGTCTCTTAGCTGGCAGCACTTGCACAAGATGCATGCAATGGCTGAGGCAGGCATGTGTGTCCTTGCGTGCGCAGGCGTACGGCATGTTTGTGTTCAATGAGGAGACGCGCACGTACTGGTTCAATGCCACCTCGATGGAGGCCGAGACCGAGTTCACGCTGGTGGGGCAGCTGATGGGCCTGGCCATCTACAACTCGGTCATCCTGGACGCCCACTTCCCCCACTGCCTCTACCTCGAGCTGCTCGGCCGCCGGCCCACCTTCCTGGTCCGCCCTTGCCCCCACCTTTTGGAAGCATAGTCCGCCAAGCATGCGCCTCCTCTCTTCTTTGCTGTGTGGCCGCATTCCCATGCGCAGCTTTTTGCCATCCGTCTTCCTTCCGCCTCCTATCTTATGCACCACTCGCATGCGCCATCAGACATCGTTGAAAAGCAGCCATTCTTTCTCAATTCAATATTTTGCTAAAAGGCCAGAGGAGATTATGAGGCACTGAGTGGTTGTTCCTGTGCTGCGATGCTGTTTCCTGCACTGCTCATGCATCTTGCTGCTGCGCTGAGATCTTGTTTCCGGCAGTACAGCAAGTGCTGGGTGATGTAATAGCGACTGACACTTCTGGTCGAGCTGTGCAGGATCTGAAGCAGGCCATGCCGGAGCTGGGCCGGGGCCTGCAGCAGCTGTTAAACTTTGAGGGCGATGTGGAGGCGACCTTTGCGCGCAACTTCGAAGTCGAATTCGAATATTTCGGGGAAATGCGCACCGAGGAGCTCAAGCCCGGCGGCGCGGACATCCCAGTGACAAACAACAATCGGCAGGAGTTTGTGGACCTCATGACCGACTACTACCTCTGCAGATCCGTCGCCCGCCAGTTCAGCGCCTTCGCGGCCGGCTTCCACTCTGTGCGCCCCCTGCCCCCACATATCCCCCTGTCACACATGGATGTTTTATTATTGAACGAGGTGCGCTCTGGTCTTCCAGGGTGGCTGTCAATGGCAGCATGCAGCTCATTAAAATTTGTGTGCTGCTACTATCAAATGTGATATGCGGTGCAACAATGCTTCGTGGGTTACGAAGTTCATCCGTCGAGTGCCTTTGGGAATCAGAGCTTTTGCTTTGTGACCTTTAGCACCATTTCTCATGAAGCTCTGGGCTAGTGAGCACACAGCAAAGAAGTGTACCTGAGTTGCACCTCACCACGTCCCTTCCCCTGTCGCAAAGCATGCAGAAAACACTATGTGCATCTCACGTCCCTCCCAGAATTTCTTCCATTTGTCATCTCGATCCCATGTCGGCCAACATGAGGTTTCCAAGGAAGATATAGGGAATGAGGCTGAGGTCCCCCTCCCGGTGGTGCAGGTGGCCGGGGGCCCCGCGCTGAGCCTGCTGCGCGACGAGGAGCTGGAGCTGCTGGTGTGTGGCCTGCCCCACCTCGACTTTGACGCGCTGCAGGCGGCTGCGCGATACGAGGGCGGCTTTGCAGCCGACCACCCGACCATGCGCCAGTTCTGGCGCGTCATCAAAGCACTGCCGCTCGACAAGAAGCGCCGCCTGCTCGCCTTCGCCACCGGCAGCGATCGGTGCGCGGCGTTGCCTCCCGTGCCCTCACCTGCCTCCACGTGATGCTGGAGCAGGGGACTCTAAACTATGGGCGGACCCTTTCCTTTAGCCCTGGCCTCCCTCAGAACGGCCTCCTCACCTGTGAGGTGTTTATGAATGGCAGCCGACTCTAAAGTGACTAGTTTGTTAAGAGTCACTTGCTTGGAGGTTCCTAAGGGGACTACTAGATCCAATTAGCTGACGGTGTGTCTACCTGGAAAAATATAGTGCCCTGTGGGTTGTCAGGGGTTGGTATGGCATTGTGGGACCAAGTGTGCACTCGTCGAAGAGGTGTAAAGGGCGCCGTTACAAATTTGTTTTGAGCAGCCTGGAGGCGGTTGCTGGACCTATTTATTTATTTTCTCGGTGTGGCTGCTGGGTATGCTTGGGGTAATTGAAAATTTATCACAGGATGCAAGTGTGCTGCCAAAATTATTTGGCGGGTATATAAGTAAATGCTTCTGCATGCAATGACTGATTTGGTCTTGTGGTGTCCTTGGAAAGTTATGCTTTGCACATGATCGCACAGCAGTGTGCGTGCACAATCTGACCAGGGATGCCACAAGATGAAGTACCTCTTTGCCTGCAGGCATGTGGCACGCATGCAATTGGGTGCTCCTTCTGTCTTCAATGCAGACCCCGCTTCCTGCCACCCTGTAAGCAGCTTTTGGTGTTTTTTTTTCAAGTTTGGTTTGAAAAACCCGCCACCAGTGGAGTCTTGACCTCTTTAGCTGTGCTGTTGCGGACTGCAGGGCGCCGGTGGGGGGTCTGGGGAAGCTGACGCTGATCATTCAACGGTCGGGGCCAGATTCGGACCGACTGCCGACAGCGCACACCTGCTTCAACTACCTGCTGCTGCCAGAGTACGCCTCAGAGGAGAAGCTCCGGTCGCGGCTGCTGACCGCCATAGAAAACGCCCAGGGCTTTGGCCTGCAATGACAGGCCTGGACGGGCCCTTGTGTGAAACTTGTATGTGCAGACCCTGAACACCATTTTTTCATCAATCTTTGGCCTCTCTGAGGAGGGCCGTATATACCTAAATGCAGTGTTTACTGCAGCGAGTAGGGTGTAGACCTGAGGGCAACTGAAACTGTCGAAACACAATAATTGAACAAAACTTGCAAGTGTTGGGAGTGTACACATGGGATGTCTTTTCACACAGCCCATGTTGTAGAGGATATATATTATATACATGATCCATTGGTAGCGCTGCTCTTTAGACAGTGGCAAAGAAATGATTGCACGGTGGTGATGAGCAGGGCTGGGATTGTCTTACAAACAGCATAGGATGTAAGAGGCTTCTGACAGCTTCTTTGATTATTCCAAATCACTTCGCTGAACGGTTGTAAAAGTACATAGCACATCTTTTTTGTGTGGTCCAGGCGGGTACTGACGCAGGCTGTCAGGGGCAGAACATAGATATAAATCAAGTACCCATTTATTCATGCGAGTGCAAGCAGCTCCGATACTCCTAGCAGTCCATGCCACATATTCAAGAACAGCAAAATAGACTCCTCCAGCAGCAATTAGTCATCTGTACAGACTTTGCTTCTGATGCATATTGTACAAATCAAGTCCAGCTTTTTGGCCTGTTTTGAATGTCATTGGCAGATGCTTCTGCAGAGCTCAGCCTGCGGTGCTGCTGACCAGATCCGCCTGAGGGGCATCCATGGCAATGTCCAGGCTGCTCTGCTGCTCAAACAGCCGGTTCTGCAGATACGCAATGTACCTGCAGCACTTGCGCACTCAGAACTATGCCTTCATGACGTCAACAACATGGATGCAACAGAAGAGATTGAAAAATACTCCTGATTTCCTGTATAGCGTCATGCAAGCGTGTATTGCACTGCAATGCTTCTCAGGGCACGCCGGGCTCATTTAACTGCAAGCCTTCACCATGGAAATTGGCACTTCCCCTTAGATGACTAACAAGTTCACTGAAGTCAGGCAAAGGCCATGGCTCTGCAGCGCAGGTCAAGCAGGGATATTTACCCGTCGATGGAGAGCCCATTGGTCTTGGTGATGTTGGCAGCGATCTCAGCCTGCTCCTGGTAGGTGCGACGGATGGCAGCCGCCTCGTTGACTGCGCGCTGCATGATGACCGTGGCATTCGTCTGAGCCTCCTGCATCAGGATTGTTGCCGTCTGCTGCGCCAGCTGCAAGTCTCTGTTCGCCTGCGCAAGCATTGCAACATGCTATTTCACGCACTTCCCAGGATTTCACTTGGAGGAGTGCACTTGGCATCACTTGGAGGAGTGCACAGCACTTGGAATCCTTCTCTTTTCCAGCCCCTCCAAGGGAACAGAAGGGTCCGTATTGCAGGAGTCTGTTGCCGAGCTGCTGCCGGTGTTGCCAGGGTCATGAGGACAAGTCACAAGCTTGCTCTGCTCAGCATCTGTTGTGCTGTGAGGCGCGGCATGCGATTTTGGACAATCTTCTCAGTCCTGCGAGATTGAATGTGATTGTGTCCAAGATGACAGGAGAGAAATTGCTTGGAATATTTGGGCATCGGTGAGGTCCAGACCAGCGATCGGCATTGTGCCAGTGGTATCGGGTCAAGAACAACGAAGATTTTTTATCAGGCCACCGTCAGACAGGCTGACTTTCATGACATTTTGCCTTTGTCAAGGCTGCCAGTGCTGACAACATCATGAAAGGACCCCGAAATTGAGAGAGATAGAGGCGGTGGCGAGCTCTGATCAGGGCAAACAATGCATTTTCAGAAGGCTGCAGGTGAGTCACCTTGGCGAGTGCCTGGTCGCGTTCGTTGTAGGCAAGCAGGATGTCCTGCTGTGCCTTCTGCTTGGAGGCCACAGCGCCCTTCCAGGCATCGGGCGGCTGCACATTCTTCAGCTGCACGTCCATTATGTCCGCCCGCAGCAGATCATGCACCAACAGCTGCAGGCAGCACAAGAAACCACTCATTGCAAGCTTCATCAAAGGTGCAATTTCTGAGCAGCAGCGGTTCTTGATGGCAGACAGAAATCCGGCACATCTGCTGCTGTCAGATCAGAGCAAGAGATTCTTTCTCAGTTTCTGCTTGGCAGCAAAGTAGGTGGGTTGAAAGATGGTGGATTACCCTTCAAACGCAGATCCTACAATAGCCTTTGGCTGATCAAGTGAATTGTTGTCATATTTTGACATCTACAAAGCAGTGAGCAAACCTGCATCTTCTGTCTGGTGGCTGCTTGCACATCGATGCGTTGGCTCTGGAACTGGCCGACGTTGAACTGCGCGCATGCGTAGTGGATCGCCCTATCTGCTGCCGCGTGCATCACCTGCGACACACCAATGTCAATGTCAATGCTGTCAGTTGTGGACATTTCCTTTCTGTCACGAGCAAGCGCTCGTAGTCAATGAACGAGCGGGTAAGGTATGAGCTTGGGCCTGAGGATACCTGGTGGTACTTGTCAAAGTCCCTGTACTGCTTGGTGAGCTGCATGAGGTCCTTCTTCACCTACAAAGAAACCAGCCAATTCTCAGGTTTACCGGGTCGAGTCAATGTTGTAGGGTTGCCAAGCACAGCAGACACTGTAGGCACTGCAGGATTGAGAGTAGCAGGCGTATCCATTGCGAGTGGCAGTTTGCTGTGACACAAACATATATGGATGTGCAGCTGCCAACAGGGGCTGAAGAGACGCACAATCTGGTACTGGAAGGTGGCAAGCATCTCCACTATGAGCCCTGCACACCAGCAGAGAGCTCGGTTGCAAACCAAGAGGTTCAAGTAAAGGGACAAACAAGTGAGGAACAAGCAAGTGCCAGCTCTCTTCTTATGAGGGAGTGCACTGCAGTGATGGTGAGGAGGGTCTCACCATCTTTGGTGACGCATGAAACATCGGTGCTGATTGTTGGAAGAGTGGACGGATATGTCACGTACTTCAAGTAAGGATCTGCGATCAGCACAGAAAACTTCGGCACACAGCCTGTGTAGAAGAACCCTAGTCGTGACAGTGGAGCGACCTGTCAGAAGTGGCGATCTGATGTACAATCGTTCATATCGAAAACTCTTGAGAACATCTTTGAGAAAGTGAAAGGCAAGGAGGACACTCACGGAAATAGAGCCCGGCCTCTTTCACACCCAGCAGCTGGCGAGTGAAAGGAGACCAGGTAACGGCCATCTCCGTCGAGTCCAGCCGGTGGAAACTTTTGGCGAAGCCGATGATCAAGAAAAGCACGATGAATGCAACGCTAGTGAGCACACAGGACCCTCCGAACCCAGCGGCAAAGGCGCCTCCTCCAGCCATTCTATCTGGAATCAGAGGTTGAACAATTGTGCTAAGCTTCAACGCTCTGCCAACAGCTGACGACGAAGCGAATCACTTGGCTTGGATCACGTAGAAAGCGCCTTTTGTGGAAACTGTTTCGATGCGATCTGGTTCGATGCTGGGGAAAAGATTCCCTGTCGCTTCCGGCAGCTTCCAAAAGATTCCCTGCCTCCAGCGACGGGACCTTCCTTCATTTGGGCATAAGTCAAGACAACCGCAAAATAACGTCCCCAAAGCTTATTGCAAGGATCTGGGTGGAAGTGGCTTGCACTTCCTCTCCGAGGGGCCGCTCCGCAGCAGGCCTAACCGGATCTCTTCCTGTCAACGAACGAGGGCAACCATCAGCAGGGCTCGATGGCAAGGGATCATGAGAGAGACAGCAACCTGCCAGCTATGGTATGTGCAGCAGGGATGCCACCACAACACATCGCAATCTCAGAACCCCAATTGACCGACAAACTCGCAGCCGCAAAGAAAAGCACTCTTTGTCTTTCGTTGTGTGCTTCTGTCCTGGATCGCAACCTAAAAGCTTTCACTGCCAGCTGAGAGCTCCTTTTCTTCGCGCAGATCTGTGGAGCCGTTTGCTTCCTGATCTCTGGCGTCCTAATTACCGTCCTCCTCGTCTTTTCTTTCTCCTACGTAGACTTTTACGAGGTAAGCTTCACTGGAGGCTGCAAGTAATCTTGTCTCTAAAGCAACTCTGCTCATAGATCGTTCTGGCCAGTGACAGTGGTGCTCAAGAGCTATCAGAAAACATTCAAGTCTAATTGCCTGAGATTCAGTGCTGCTGCAGCTTGGTTTGGTGGAGAGCAGAACAACAAAGGTGGTCGACACTGAGCATGTAAGTTCCATTTTCACCCTGACCAGTTTTGCACTTCAACATTCCCTTTTCACAGCCTTCATAACTTTGCCCATCTAAACAAGTGACCTTGGCACCTGAACGTCTGCCCGTCTTTGGGTCTATGACAGCTCCAGAGCATTTAAACCCAGTTCTAAATTCGATTCAATGTGGTGCTTCATGCAGGTGTTTTCCACTGGCCGCTACTTGAATGGGCCGGACAAGCTGTTCCGCAAGTTCAACACGGATGCAAATTATGTCGAGTACCCACAGCTCAATATCTTCACCTCTGACAAGCTGGTGAGCACTCAAGGCATCAGGCATAAATGGTCATAGATGTGAACCAGAGATCACTGTGACACATCCATGAGTGAGCACTATTTTTTTGTCCTTCACGAAGCCTGGAAGCAAAGTCTTAATGTGCCTCTGTGCCGCGGCACTGCGGATTTAGAGTGCGCTGTGCAGTTTTATAAGAAAGCACTAAAGGCAAATGGCATGCTCCTCCTCTTGTTACTGGCCTGCAGCATGAATGCATAGTGATTCATCCAGGATTGTTTGTGCAGGATACATACATCGACATATACTACATTTACTTCATCAAGCCACAGGAGATTGGCGCACTTAAGCTAGAGTTTGACCAGAACTACGACCCCAGGGTGCGCTCTCGGTGCCTCCCCAATAGAAGCACATTTACGTGTCTTGTTTGGAACCCAGCCTGCATGGGATTTACTTTTTGTGCGGAACAATCTTTTGATACACATCGCGGGAACTCACTGCCGTGTATGTGTCTGGTGTGCAGATCAAGGACGTCGGCCAGGTCAGTCACCCCGTACTGATGATCACCTGCTATCCTCCCATGCCGCCCGCACACAGCATGGGCTTTTGACAGTCCAGATGCTAGTGTTCTCCTGACGGAAAGCTCTGCTCCTGCATGCACACCAGCCACAGCACAGCCTTCTTTTGGGTTCCATTGATCAACCTTCTGCCTGCATAACAAGTCCCATGCAATTTTTATTTCCAATCCGCAGTCGGCGCTGAAGAACCGCGCGACGATGTTTCCGACGGAGGCGTATTTCCAGAACCGGACACTGATAGAGGAACAGCTGTACGACGCGCTGCAGACTGCGCTCATCCCCTACCACGTCACCGTCCCCCAACTCTTCCTGGTGCGCTTTGTTGCCTGCTCATTAAAATGGAGGCGCCACTGTTGACACTGCATATCTCTTGCTGTGTTTCCGCATATAATAGCATCCTTCCCCTTGCCATGTGACCAACGAACCTCCTCTAGCAAGTTGACAGCTGTTCTGTTAGCAGTCCTTGGCAATAACATGGCAATTCTTCATATTTAGGATAGTATTCTTTCTTGCCACAAGCGGTGTCCTGTTGCGTGCACAAAAAGGCCTGAAGACCTGGGTCTAAAACTTGCAGGGGCACGTCATCATCCCAGACACTGTCGCACAGAAGCAGCTGAGCTCTGCCAAGCAGTTTGAGGTCAACGCCATGCAGGCATGCCCCAAAGCCTGTTTCTGCCTGCCTGCCTCCTTTTGGTCCCTCGAGCAACCTTTGCTTTTTGATAGCTTTGGGACACCTGTGAATGTGTGAAACCCACCTCGACTATCCCACAGACACTGGGACTTGCTGGCAAAGTGAAGCCACTGTCTGTTCAATGGGTGCTTTGAATGACCCCCCGGCTGGCGGGGGGCGGTATAAATACTGAGTACCGCGCCCACGTCTGAATGGGTCTTGGATTTGGCGAGTCCAACAAGGTGTAGGACTGTGGCAGCGTTCAACCGCAGCTTGTCTGCAGGACGCACCTTTGCCTCTTGGCAAGAATTGCGTATGGAAAGAAAGTCGCTATGTGCCTGTGGCAGGTGTATGACAGCCAGGCGCAGCTGACGCGCCGGACGACTGATCAGATGGTGAATGCCATAAACAACAACGCCACCATCGTTCTGCAGAACGCCAGCTCCCTGGCCTCCATGACTGTCAAGGTCGCCCAGGTGAATCCACCCCCCCCCCCCAACACACCCCGCACTACCTCTCCCTCCCTCTTGCTTAACATAGGCAGCTTCTGGCTCCCATGAAGGGATCACTTCCAAATACCGCACAGAAGCACGCCGGCTTGCAGTCTGGAATAAAATCTAGATATTCTGAACAGCAGATTGTGATGTGAAACCTTGAAGGATTGCTGAAGTGACCTCGGTACTGGGTATGAAGGGCCGAAAGAATCTGCATTGGCCTGTCACCCAGCTGTCTTTCACCAGCTGTCACAGGCTCACCCCTCAAGTCAGGTATTGGACATCAGCTGCAGCAGGCAGCTGAGTCCTTGCTGCGTCTGTCATTTGGTGACTCAAAATCGAATGCTTCAGCCAAATTCTGATGTGTTTGCTGCGCAGGCGAGTGCGCTGGTGACTGTGTCGGCGGCGAAGAACATTGGGCTGCGGATGCTGTATGATGCGCTGAATGTGACGCGCGGGGACCAGAAGGCTCGCCTGGATTATGTGCAGTCGCTGCTCAACAACCCCGCCACCACTCTGCACGTCGGCTATGACACGCGCTTCCTCGCCTCGGGCCACTAGGCCCAGCCTCAATGTGTTTCGGCTTCTGCTGAGTTGCTGCCCTGATAACAGCCCCAACAGGAATCTTAAGCTTTGGGTCTGCCGTGGACCGGTGGGTGCTGCCACTCTGGCACCGCACCAAAACCATCGGCGTCTAGGAAAAGGCTGGAACTCATTGGATGTCCTTCCAAGACACGCATGGCGGCTATGCGATTGCATAAGCTACAACTGTCTTGACTGGTTGGCAGACGGTCTGAAGCCGTAGAACCACAGGGCGAGGGCCTTGTGCTGTACATTTTATAAAAGAGGCTGCTTGGGGGGTGGCTTCAACTGTCCAGAAATGTGGGTGGTGCTGTACAATAGCTGCAAGGGAATCGCCAGATTAGGAAGGTCTAGTAGTTGAGGGTGTGTTGGCCTTGAAACTCGAAGCAACGCTGTTGAGATTGTTCATGAATATGCATATGTGCTACATGCCAAGATTCTGTAATGATTTAGCTATGGATTCAACATATGGGATTTCTACACTACTTCCTTTCTCACAGATCTGAGACCAGCAAAACATTGGTGGCTTGCAATTGCACTACTGGATATGCCGCCTGACTTCTGGAACCACATTGTTCCAGAAATTGTGTGGTCCCAAGTGGTTTTCAAATAGCTACCTATGACAGATGAACAGAGGCACATCTGGTCACAGAGGATCTATAGACCTAGACAGACCTGAGACAGACCTAGGCAAGATGCATGTCCATAAAAGAAAAATTTAGTGTACACAAAGGATATACCCATCGGCGATGAGTCATCGCCATGCATAATACCGTTCAAAACCCAGTTAAAATACTGCGAAGTAGTGCATATTACGGAGCATAAGCACGCCCAAGGCGTCACCATCCAACAGGAGCACATCGGCTAGCTAGAAGACCCCTCAAAGTCAAAGACTGGGTCTCCTTCTGGCGGCCTCTCCCGGCCGCTGAGCGCTCGTATGATGCGCCGCGGCAACTCCCTGTCTCCCAACGCATGCTCAAACACATCGTGGCTGTGGGCCACAGACCTCGTCGAGCTGCCTCCACCTGCGCACAACACATTTAGAGCCTCAATCACTCTCTCCGTTACTCACTAGCCCCGGCTGGCGGGGGGCGGCACAAATACTGAACGCTGCGCCTACGGTTGATTCACTCTAGCATGGATCTGGCGAGTCCAACAAGGGGTAGGATTGTGGCAGCCAATAGATGCTGCTGGCCTGCAGGATATACCTTGGACCTTGGCAGGAAAAGCATAAAAAAACAACAGTAATCATCCTCTCAGAGTGTGTGTGCCTGTCTGCTTCCAAGACATTCCATTGCTGCTTCTCAAACTCAAGGATCTTCAATTACAGGAGCAGGAGAAGGAGCGCACCGATTGTTGAAGAAACCGGTGGTATGCCGATCTCTTCGCTCTGCCGCCTGGGCAGCTTCTGAAAAGCTTCCCTCCTGCACCCAGCACAAAACTCATCGAGGTTCCACTCATGAGTCACATGAGAGGACATTCAACTGTAAGCTTTCACAAGATGATATCCACAATAGTGGCATAACGCACCAGAGCGCCTGTGCTGGTGTGGGGGCACTGCGTAGCGATTTTGCCAGGCCCGCCATCAGAATGTCCTTCAGCTGCGGGTTCAGGTCCAGCAGTGCCTGTGGCCCATCACTCCAGCAGCCTCAGACTTTCCTACTTTCTTACTGTGCTTGATTCTCAAGCATAGTGCATTCTTAGAGACACCCAGCATGCAGAAATCTACACAAGGCCTGGGGCAGTATTGAGAAAGTGATCAGATCACATGATCTGATGCAGAAGACCCATTCCAGCGCCATCAGACTTACAGCAGTTTCATTTTGGAGACAAACGCCTGCACTGATCTTGGTGCACGTGCTTCTGTGAGCATTCCCTCAATTGAAGTCCTCTAATCGGAAAGCTTTATATTGCCCTATAACCAACTCTACCAGGAGATAGTGGTACCTGCAGGTCGTCCATGGAGAGGCGCCAGGCCATGCATGCTCTGCCCGTGGCCCGGAAGGTGGCCGACCTGCGCTCCAGCTCCGGCATGCTATGCGTCAGCATTGCCGACTCGCCAATCACCGCCGGAGCCGCCAGCAGCTTGGTCCCCTGCAAGCTCTTTGAAATCATCTCCAGCGTGCCTGCATGTCGAAGCACAATTAGCCCAGACAATGCAATTTCAGAACAGGCAGATTGGCACAGTGGGAATAAAAATCTGACTTGAGTGCATCTATCTGATTGTAAGGAGCAAATCAGACAAGTCGGTCAGGGGTTCATCCACAGGGGCTTCGTCCCCCTGTAAGATATAGATCCCCCTGATGAGCCCAGCATCCGCGTCAATCTCACATGCAGATGTCGCATGCAGATAAGGTTGCCCATGACGGTGTCATGCCAGGGCGTGTTTGTGCTCTGCCGGCAATAAGGTTGCAAAATAGAACGCCCCCCTCGTCAATGACATGTCCATAAGAGGGCGAGAGAGCCTCAGGGGTTGCTCCGGCGGTTGCCAAGCAGTGACTGGCTTCTGAGCAGGGTATGAGGACAGGGGGTAGAAATTTCTGAAGCGCTTCTTAGTACCCCTCATGAGGGGATTATAAGGAAAATGAAGGGGAATGTACCGTCCTGCAGGAGCCACAGGCAGTCTGCACGGTCGCCGGAGCGGCACAGGTCGTGGCTGGGCAGCACCACCACCGGAGTCACCACCGCCGCCAGCTCCATCTTAGTCATCTCATCCAGACCCTGCCCCAGCCACCCATTGTTGTCATTTGCAGCCTTGTTTGCATGTTTGCTTGCCAGCTTGTACAGGCACTGACATTAGGAATTACTACTCATTTCCTTTCTACTGCACGTGTTCTAGGCGGGCTATTACTCGTTTGAACCCAATTATTTTGCTTCTAGATATACTTAATTTGAAGTACTTCAAATATCCAAAATGCAGAGGGACCCAGCAAAGCTGTGCGTTCCCTGCAGGAAGAATTGCCTTGATTGACCTGCAATGCGCCGCACAGATCACACATGCAATAATGCCAAGATGCAGGGTGTGCCTTGAGCAAGTGGCATGTGAAATAGTACCTTGAAGATGTAGCTGTTCTGGAATACATCTCGCAGCACATGGCAGACCAGCTTGGCGCGCAGGTGCACCGGCAGCTCCTTCAAAATCTCCCCCTCATGCACCTCTGTTACCCCAAGACACCCCAGCACTCTGAGACCAGTTCACATCCCCACCATGCAACCTGCTAAGCATCCCTCATTTTGTCATGTGCTTGACGTGGCAATGACCGCCTCCTTCACACAGCCACGCTGTGAGCTGGTGGATCCACGCCTTGCTGTCAAGCCAAGGGTGATGACAGAGCTGGAGGCAGGCATTATTCAGCATGCATGCTCTCTGTTTGCTTTAAAGAGGCATGGGGTGGCCCTATGGGGGGCATGGCCCAGGGCTGGTGGGACCCCCAGGGAGCCGCTCGCATCACCATGGGGCCGGCTCCCGAGCGCAGCGCGGTTTCAGAGGCGTTCTCTTCCGGCGCCCAGATGGCCGGTGAGCGATCCAGCATGCGTCTTTTGTCAGACTATGGGACTGTGAAGGGCAAGTAGACTGACCGTCGTAGCTGACCCACACGTCCTGGTAGTAGCTGTACATCTCCTGGCGAAGTATATCCGGCAGCTCGCGCGCCTCGCAGTACACGTCCACCGTGTTCATCTTCTTGCGCAGCGCGTGCGCCCGCCGCACCCCCGTGCTTGCGTCCTGAGCCACGATTTGAACCAGAATTTGAAGTGGAGTTGTGAGCGGCGCATCGCTGCCAATCTGAGGAGGGGAGACTTTGTGCAAGGATGTATGCTGGCATCCTGAACCATGACACAAAAACAATGGGGCCCTGAGAGGACCGCGGGTCCTGCCAGCTGAATGGTAGGACAACATCGAGCATTGGTACCTGGGGGTAGTGTGTGTTGGGAACTCAATATTCTGAATGAGCAGGCAGAGGGTACCTTGAGCAGGGCGCCGACAGCATTGATCAGCAGTCCGAAGAACAGCAGCCCTGCAATGCGCATGGCACTCACTCCTCAGCAGATCTGACACAAATCAAAGCACCCAGACGATTGAACAATGAACATATTGAGAAAAGCTCTGATCAAGAATTTGGTCACTGGTCACGGTGCCCAAGCATGTGCCGGCAGGTGCCGGCAGGTGCGCACCAATCACCATGATGATCATTGCCACCAGCCGCTCTGTCCTGGTTCTAGGCGCCACATCACCATAGCCCACCGTCGCCATAGTCGTCATGGCAAAATGGATCGCTGCCACATACTGGTCCATCGTTGAACACTCTCTGAGATCTATCCCGCCTGCACATTTTGCATCCTCTATCGTTGCAAAAATTCACTATGGTTAGCAGATAACCACTGCCTGAGGAGACCTGACCTGTCTGACGAGGCAAGCATCTAGTAAGCCATGTTCTGATCACGAGAGAACCAAAAGCTGTGAGCAAGTTTGTGCATAAGAGGTGATCAAAAGAGGGGCAGGATGGATTTCACACCGACATCGTCGAGCCAGGTTCTGCTGGAGAGGCCTTCAGAGTAAGCGGTGAAGAGCCACATGCAGCCCATGAGGTTGATGAGCACAAACTTGGCATAGAGCAAGTCCACCAGATGCACTGCCCACACTGGCAGCAGCCCCAGCAGCTTCCCTCCCAAGTCCCCTCCAAGCGACTCCACAAACATGGACTGCCGCGCAAGCATAGCCCACTTCACTGCATAGACTTGAAATTTTTGGGGCATGGCAGAGTATTCTCAACATGCATGCTGAAGATGTTGAGTGTCTTGTGGTGAAGGGAGCATAGGGTGACCTTAGGAGATGCACAGGAAGGATGCTGGACAGACCTTGACAATGGAGAAGACGAATGGCATTCTGACTAGGCGCAAGGCGTTAAGGTATGGCATCGCCACAACCAGCGCCCTCACAGCTGGCTCCCCGGCTGCTGCAGCCGCCAACAAAAGAATGACCTGCGCGCCACGGGAAATATACAGGTGGTGAAGTAGCCAGGGTCTCATATGTCTGCTCTGCCAGACGAGGTTTGCCACGGGGAAGTGCTCCATACCTGCACAAGGAAGGGTACAAGGGAGAGCAGATCGATGACAAAGGTGCCCTTCCGTATGTACTCAGCAGCGATGGTCTTGCCATCTGGTATGATCTGGTCGTCGCTCTTCTTGCAGGCCACAACTGCTGTGTGAAACCTGACCCACACCACTGCCAGCAAGATGATTCCTGCCATGCACACAAGCTAGTAAAAACGCACCATGCCCACAGCGAGAACGTATATGGAACTTTGAATTGCTGGAGATGGCATCAGGTGCAGATGGGTACTGACCTGCTATGATATCGCACACAGTGAGCAAGCCATGCTGTGTAGAGTTTTGGTACACCGCAACTCCAATAGGGACCTTAAAGGCGGTGTACGTTGCATCCAGCCACTCCACTACAATGTTAGAAACCTTCACAACCCTGCTGTGCCGAGGATCAAGAACGGGAAACCCACAGACAGATCTACTCCTGCGCCACAGTCCCCAGTTTATAGCCATGAGCAGTGGAGGTGAATATTTACACCTTGAAGACATCGATTCTCTAACATAGATGCAAAGTTTTGGATACCTTCTGGCGGAGCGCTCTTGTCCTAGAAGAGGCTGTCTGCAATCCTTCACTCGCCATCGATTCTGCAGCGATGGATGCTGGCCTCCATTTGTATCACTAGCCTCTGCAGTTCTTGTAACTAGATCATCCATATCGTCATAGCTTCATCATTTCGCAATTTGCTGCCGATCAATGGCAAAATTGTTAGACTGGCCCATGGGATGTTGGCATCCCTTTACCTTACAGGACTGCACCAGTAGATTGTATACCATGTGATATGAAGCAGCCATAGACTCCAAGAGAGGGAACCATGATGTATAACGCATCCTCTGGGAATTGATCTATATTTGCTGAAATGGCACCTGATGACTCAGCATGGCCTAGCCATTCTGCACAGAACGAGATTGCATTTACACAAGTTTCAAGAAGTTGCAATGGATGATCTTGGGAAAATCAATACAAATGAAGGAGCAGGGCAATTTTGCAATTAAACCACCTAGAAATATTTTCTTAATGTGCATTCCAAGATGTGCAAATGAGCCATTTATTGGCCTTTTTGCAGCCAGATGAGACTGCAGCACAGCTCATAGCTCGTACAAATGTCGACCCAGTAAACACAGGACTCTTTTTCGCAAGTGTGCTTCGACCAGGGCAAGTCTTGGAGATCACTGGACCATCCGGAGCTGCGAAATCAGAAGTCTTGATCCAGGTGCAAGCTAATGCCCAATATGTATTCCAAGCAATCACATAGCATTATGGTATTGATCCCCCATCGCTGCGCAGGTAGCTGCTGCACGCATACTACCAAGGAACTGGAAAGGAGAACAGCTTGGAGGTGAAGGTATGTGATCAATTGGGAGAATAACATGCTGAAATATTTCAAAGTCCGACACTCCACGATCCTTAGCCCTACCGACTTCCATTGATGCAGAGAACGTGGTGCTCTTTGACCTGGACAGAACGTTGGACACCCTTCGTTTATACCAAGTGGTAGCAGGGAGACTGCGGGCCGCTGCGAGCAATCAGCACGTAGGGTGAGAGCACTTTGGAATTCACCATCCACACTGCTCACCAATGATTCCAGACGCTCATGTTCTGTGACACGGGTCCAGGGAAGATGAGGTGATAGCAACTGCAGAGAGGTGCCTCCAGCGCCTCCATGTGGTAAGGGCCTTTCCAACCTGGCAGTAACTCTTCAAGGCAATGTTTCCTTCATCTGTCTCAGCATTGCTTGCAGCCATGCTCAAGGATGCCTCACTGCCCCCCTTCAGGTACTCTGCAGCAGCAGTTTCTCCTTTCTGGCCTCGCTCAGAACCTGCGGTCCCCTCTTGAAGCAGCTGCAGGTAATGACACCCTTTTTATGCCTTCATCTTCACATTGTTTTGTCTCATACGCAGCTGTGCATCCTTGGCCTATGGCCCCCCTCCAGCAGTGTACAGACCCACATCAGGCTTGCTCTGTAGACTTATATCAACACCCTAAGGGCTGGCACATTGAAGGAAGGAAGGTAGGAAATTTGCACATCAGCATTGAAATTCGCAGGAGAGTGGGGGGATGCAGCTGCTGCTGATAGACAATGTGGCTGCCTACTACTGGCTCGACAGAGCCTCACAGCCGTTGCCGGCCTGCGCATTCGACCCCCTGAGGGATGGCCAGACGAGCCTGCAGCAGGCGCATGCATGCATCGCAGCCGAGCTGCAGACGCTCATGAGACAACATCGCTTGGCGGTCATTGCCACAAAGCAGGCTGTGCTGTCTGCCAGCAGCAGTGCCTTTGACAGGTGCGCGCATGCTGCTGCTGAAATTGTCATGAACACTAGAGATGGTCCGCATGGGGCACTTATTGATGGGCTGTTCTCTATCTGTGATTTTGCTGTTGTTCCCAGCTCCCTGGTCCCTACTGTTACAGCTCAGAGTTAAATCTGGGCAGGCCATAACCATGTTGGCCCCATTTTCTCTGGCGTGCCTCTAGATTGGGCGGACAATAAAAAAAAACTGAAATTTTTGTTCTGCTTTTCATATCAGTCTTGTGCTGCTCATATGCTACCTACAGGTATCACAACTCTCAAGCGTAGGCGCAAATTTTGCACTTCAGCCTTAACAAATTTTTGCAGCGTCTGCGGACCATACAACAGTGCACCATTAACACAGCAAGCAGGACACTACCGCAGCATCTATGATTCTTTTTGTTTCTTGCCAGGACGGAGGCAGTTGATATCTGGGCACACAGAGAGTTTCTGCCCAAGGCATGGCAGGAGATCGTCACCATGAGGCTGCTTCTGCGCGGGCCCACAATCACAGAACTTGGGGGAATTGCACCGAGGCCGCCGTTTGCCGTCAAGTGGCAGATGCCTTACGGCGACCGGATTGAGAACTTCCAGGTCACTGAGAGCGCGCTTGTGCCCTGCTGACCACTGTTCAACTACACAGTCCAGTCTCTGGTCAGAACTTGTGGGGATGTATCGTGACATTGATGAGTCATGAGAACGTAGTGCTAGCAGCTGCACATGGTCAAGTAGGATTGAGAGACATGCCGTGCTGCACCGCAACCCAGAGGTAAGTGGTATACTGAGACATCTTGAACGAGAGAACAATCATAAAAAGGTATATGCAACCAGAACCTCCAGAACCTTCTCGGCTAATGTGATAAAGGGGCAGCTGCAAGTAATCCGCGTTCCACAGCAACTCCATGCATGCACCTTTCAGGACATGCAGCCTTAGAATGCAGACCTGACATACATGCACATGCAATAGATGGACCACCAGAGCCTCTTCATCGAACGACTCCCAGCATTGGCACACTCCAGAGCTCCATGAGGTCTGGCGTTGCATGAACAGCTGTGTAGCTCGAGCTCTCCAGAGCAAGAACCTGATCCCTTCTCTGAACTCGAATGGTTTAAATCCCAATTCTTTGCGGGAAAGCACAAGCATCACTTCAGTACCCTCATCCATGAGCATGAAAGATTCTCAGATAAGCCTGCAACCGCCACATGGCAGAATTAGTGATCGCTGCACTGGAGTGGCACCTGGGGGAATTGATTTTCCGCGAAGTACGAGTCTGGCCACTTCGTGAAGTAAGAGTTTACAGAGCAGGAAGTGCCTCGATATGTTGAGCCTCAAAGCGCACTGCGCAGCGAGGCTGCACGACGGTGTTTCTGCGCTGGGTGAGTGCTCGATCAACCAATCCTTCAAATATCTTGGCAATGACGCTAGCCAAGCCCTTCGACATGTGCTTTTTATTTTAGGTCCCGATACGCCTTTGTTATTGTCATTTGTGCTAATTCATAACCAATTGTTTGCCCATTGGCTATACTGTAAACGTTTCGGGGATGGGCACTGATGCGTGAGACATGCGCGGTAACATATTCAATGCGAATTCAAGGTCGTACAAGTACACTATAAGTTTCAGGTCATACTTGATGCATCAGAGCCAGACAAAGCGACATCACCGAAGGCTTGCGGATCAACTTGGGGTTTATCTTTTATCAGGTAACCCATCAGAGAGCGGAAGATTTGAGCAGCGTCGCTGTGGGGTACAGATCAGACGCTTAAGATATGGCAAGGTGCGATTTTTAATCAAAAATGCTTATGCAAAACCCGAACATATCGGTTGCAGGCTGGGTGCGTGCCCCAAGTCAGCACGTTCTCATAAGAATAATGAAGCGGGAGCCACTTGCGCTGAATTTATTACTGCTGTAACTTGATGGTATACTCGTTCATCGTAAAACATATCGTGGGTGTACGTGGAATTGAAGCTGTCCGCGTTTCCGCCGTGACTTTGGCCCTGACGGCACGATGCATGCCTGCAGATCAGCTACCCGAGGGGCCCCATCAACCACAGTCTCAAGTCCCGCGTTATCCTAGCTGCCGCTACGTGGGAGATTGAGGTGGGTCAAGCTCAATTGCTGGTCAGATTTGCCACCTAGAAATGCGGAACCCTAACACCCGTGGGCCTTGATGGGAAGACGTTTGAAGAGCTTCAAATTCTGGATAGCACACTCCCGACACCAACATACCAGTTGAAACGGCCATTTGCAACCGCTATTTGCCGAACCTTAGGCTTCTGCTGGCCCTAGTGCTGACACTGAGATGCTGGGTGCGTTGCGCAGCTGAAACTGCACGCTGACTACACGGGCGAGAGCATTGGAAAACCTGATTTAGAAGTGACCCTTGTGGCAGCGGATGAGGTCCAGGCGAACACGATCGAAGTGAACACATCTGCTTTCAAAGCCAAGTCCTGGACCTTGCCCCACAAAGTTGGTGGCCTCGATCGCAAAGGTGCTTCTCGTCTTCCTGGTCTGCAACCTGTCATAATACTGCATCAGGCGTGAGCCTGAAACGGCCTTGTCCAATCAATTTAAGTGCCAAGACCAGCTGCATGTATGCACGTGCGCCTAGATTCTGAGCTGTTGGAACAGCAAATATCCTGATATGATATACTTGTGATGGAAGAATTTAGATGGATCTGCATGCTGGATAAAGCTGTGCGGCGCTTTAGAACTTCCTCTATATGGCGCAGGAGTCATTCTGACAGGGCAGGCGCCTCTGCCTGATGGCTTTGGGAGTCCAGGTCACTTCCTCCATACACGCATGAACTTGTCCATGCAGTTCAACTCAGGCACTTCAAATTTGTGTGTCCTTTTGCCGCTGAGAGGCAATTCAGAGGCTGCCGCTGCTGGGTGGTTGCTCATGTCCTAGCACTTGGTCAGCGCAATGTGCTGTTTCTAACAGCTCCAGAAATTGCAGTTTCCAGCCTTATGCACTTCCCACCCGGCAGCAGACTGCTAGGCTTGAATGTGCCTGCAGCGGATTTGTGCCTCTTTAATGGCTGCCTGACTCATTAGATGCCCTGCATGTCCACTTTCCAGGGTCACCAGGCCTTTTGCATGCAAGAGAGGTCTTCCAAAAGGTTTGATAAACAAAATCCACTTGAGCAGAGCGGCTATACAACTGAAAGGGCTCAGCATATGCCTGCAGGTGCCTTGATCGTCACCAAGAAACCCGAAGACAGCGAGATCAATCGGCTCTACATTGAAGAGGTACATCACAATAAAAATCACTGTTGCTTCTTACAACCTCACGCAATCCCTACTTTTTGCTGTTTGCTTCAAACTGAAGTCCTATCTTAAAGCAATTGCTTGTCATGCTGGGCATTGACTCTGAGGGCCAGATCCGGGCATCGAATCATTCCCAACTTGGCTCATAGCGTTGTAATACTGAGCAACTGACTGATTCGCCGGCCCAATTTAAAGGAGCACCTGAGAAAATGGGGCCAAAGAAATATGGCCTGCCCAAATCCAAGTCGAGCAGCAAAAACAGGGGCTGGGGTGCTCAAAACATAAAATTCACGGATAGATGAAGAGTAGATAATTAGTATATATTTTCAAGCAAGTGCCTTTTTGCGGACCACTAGTCTACTGAGTGACTAATTGCATGCTGACATGTTTTTCAGCTGCGCGCGTGGCCCCATGGCACGGATCCATCTTCGGGCGTGCAGTTCCTGGCAAATTCCTGGGTGCATGACGCGGCGCCCAACCGCATCTTCTTCAATGGGTCCCCCACTCTGCCCTCCCAGACGCCGCCCGGCCTGCAAGCCCTGCGCCAGAAAGAGCTGCAGAACCTGCGGGTGAGTCACAAACTCGCTGTCTGAGCGTACTGCAGTACTCATTCTAAAACCCACGCCTCCGGCGGTGCGGGAAATCTATTCAGAGCAGCTTTCGGGGGTCTAGCTGACTCCAAAACCACCAATGTCATGCTCCATTGGATTGGGCTTGTCGAGAGCTTTCCGAATCTGGTCTCAAAGTTTTCATAGGGTACATATTAGGAGATAGGATCTTATTTATCCACCCTTCTCGGTCACAACTAATTATTATTTGCGATCTTTTCAATGAGTACCACAGTAAGTGTCTTAAAGCTCAGAAAGAGCTCACAGCCGTCGATGCGCGGATGTTGCGTGTACCATGAATTGAATTTGAATGTGAATTCGAGAACAGAACTTCACCTCTGGGGTCATTCCCACAGACAGAGCACCAGTGATTTGTGGACCCGGAGAGTTGCGTTGCACAGTAAGCACGAAGTTTTATGTACTGATTTAGTAGCAATTTATAAAATAGACATAAATTAGCATTTTACGTAACTGGCTCTCATAGCTGTGCATGCATGCGCAGGGGGATCCGCATGACACTAGCGAGCGAAAGATCCCTGACCGCATCTATGCCTATGATGTGTACGATCCCCTTCAAACTGCATTGACAGACTCCAGCAAAAGCTTATGCACCCTTCATATTGGCATGCCATGTTGTGCAAAATCTGTTCCCAGCTGGCTGCCCGTATACCAAAGGGACCCGTAGCATGAGGAGCTTAAAATTTAGGGTTACATGGTTTAGGAATATACTTGGGGTTGCAAACCTGAAAATTACAGTAACTCGCACCTGCACACAGCGGAACGCAGAGATAAGGGAGACCTGTTGCTAGGACCTTGGTCATGCATGCCGCACAGCCAGACGCACAAGCATTCAGAGTGCAGCCAAATTCTGTCAAATTCTGGCAGTTGCTGTCAGGACTTTCAACTTTGTAATGCACAATATTAAAGTAGTAGCCACTGTTAAGAGCATGAATGCATATCGCCTAGACAAAGAGGTGGCCAGATAGATGCGCAATCGGTGCTTCAGGTACAACGATCTGGGGGGCAAGGACTCTGCCACGAACGCGGCGAATCGGCGGCCAATTTTGGGCAAAGCACGCGGCGGGACTCTGCCTTACCCAAGGCGGCTGCGCACCGGCCGTCAACCCGACAAGAACAACGACGAGCCCGCCCCAAAGGGTGCGTGCAGCGAGTCATCTTATAGCATGTCTGTTTGAATGTCTGCCGTCTGCCCAGTCTGTCCAGTGCTTGCCAGCTGAAGTATCCAAGGACACATGATTTGGAACTGGTTTGCGGCGGAAAATTATGTCATGCAGCAACGCGCTTTGTGCAGCCATTGTGTCTGGCGCATTGGCTTGGCAAGGAAAGGTGGCAGGGCTCACACTTCATTAAAGTGGTTTCAATGCGGCAATTCTTGACACCATTGAAATGTGTGGTGGTCTGTATTGGTTATCATTACAGGGCAGCGAAGACTTTCACACATCCAAAGTTTGCGAAATCCAGAGCGCTATCCTCTAGACTGCAAATCCTCTTGACTTCAGTGTCACTTCCCTTACAGGTCACTAAGGGTGACATCACTAGAATGGCACCGGCCTGACTGCTGCTGTGTTCTTGGCCATTGCAGGCACAGCGTGGTTGCCGCTGGATGAGGTGATGATTACTAATCCAAATTGCAGTGTCCAGCCTTTTGCACTTCCCACCCGGCAGCAAAGTGCTGGGCTTGGATGTGCCTGCAGCAATTCTGTGCCTCTGCAATGCCTGCCTGACTCATTAGCTGCCCTGCATGTCACATTTCAGGGTCACCAAGCCTTTCACATGCGCAAAAGGTCTTTCAAAAAGTTTTGTTCAATCTGCTGAGCAGCCCCTGAGGCTGTTGTGTGTGCGTGCGTGCATGCAGTACTTCTCTGCCTCCAAGCTGGACGAATTCAATGGTGAGCACTTCTGCACACCTCTGCGCACGTTCAAGATAGCCTGCACTCCGGCTGCACAATGCCTAGAACTGGAGATTCGAGATGCAAAGCACTTGCTCTGAAAACCTCTACTGGAGGCAGATTGCATTCCTCCTCTAATGTATCTTGGCAATCCTGTCCGTGAAGTTTTGTGTTCAATGCAGTATCAGCTGGGGGACTCTTTAATGTAAGATCAAGGTCAAGATCAGAACCAAATCGAGGTTCATTTAGAGTTTCCGGGCAAAGGGTGCACTGACTTTAGCTTGCTGGCAGGTGGCACGGTGTACGCTGTGGGCGCGGCAGCTTCCACAGTCATCACGCAGCTGTTTGATGCCAAGCCAGAGATCACCAAATTTGCCGATTTCGCCGCAGTCGATCGCATCTATGCGCGCGGCACGGACAAATCCCCCATCCCAAAAGAAAAGCAGGGTGAGCCAAACTGTCTCATCATATTTGCCATAGGTGTTGCCATAGCTGCCATTCGCCAGGCTTACATTTGCACCAGATCATATGGTGGGGACCAATTATGATCAATTATCATCTGCTTTTTCACAAGTGATTGGTTAGCGAATGTGGGGGAAAGAGGTTGCGGGGTTGCTTCAAGCCAAGAGGCGCATGCACAGACGCTGTGTTTCTGGCATGCAGCCATTATTGACAAGATCGACGACTCACCCTTCGAGTTCTCCAGAGACAAGCTGCGCGATGCTTTCAACAATTTCCCACAGGACCTGCGAAACGTGCGCTCTGCACCTTTTGCCACCTTGTGCCTTTGCATGGCAAAATGAATTGCTAACATGGAACACTGGCACTGACTGGTACTACATTCATTTTTACTTCATTGATTGTATATATACACAAAAACTTTTAGGGGTGTTTTTCAAATTGTGGACAAGGAACAAGCCTGTCCAAAATAAGAACGCGTTCAGGGTTTTAGGATTTCTTTCTCCGAATTGTGTAAAGTTTGATACTGCATCACGCTTGTAACAGCCAAAATGAATAGGTGCGTTGCAGCAATTGCGCGATACTTTCCCTCCATCATGCAAGGCAATTTAAAAACTTCCCACCAATGGCATCATGGCATGCTTGCGTTTTCTGGCGTGCAGATCATCACATCGAGGCTGATAGAGTCTGAGACCAAGCCGGGCCTTGTCGCGCGCGTTCTGGACCAGTTTGGCATCGACAACGCCCTCAAGGAGAAGGTCGAAGACTTCATGGGGTGAGGCGGCTCTCCCCTCAAGAAATTTGCATGCCATACCACGCCAGATTCTGCGCTGAGCTTTACAGACGTTATTGGCAGCTAATACACATTCACCTTGTAGATATCACAGATGTAGCACGAAGATGGGATAAATGTAGCTTCCGTACTATCAGCTGGCGGGTATCTTGTAAACCACGAGGTCCATTGTAAGCCGAATAGCTGTATTGTTGGGAGGATGGGTATCCAGCACAAATTTATGTGTCTTAACGTCAGCACAAGGGACAAATAAAGAGAAAATGTTCTTTGTCGGCTGTCAGGCAGAGTTTAACTAGCAGCCTTCCCTGAATGCGCAGCGCATCATGCCCATGCAGCTTATTTTCATAAATATTGACCAAACTAAAATGCTCTTTTCAGGCGAAGTCTCATGGCCCACTTGTTTGCAGAGGACAGATACCGATGTAATGTTCAGAGTTTAAAATCTCAAAATTGTTTTGCAGGGGCCTCGTGGCGACATGGCCGCTGCCGAAGGTGCGCGATAGGCGGCCGAGGACATGGCAGAGTGACGAGGAGGTGAGTCACCAGCAAACAGGCTTGCACTCCTTCTGTAGCTTTGGGGTCCATTTCTGCTCAGTTGCCATCATTCGAAACATTTGAAATCAATACCCAAGGATATCCATGATGTCTCAAGGGCCTGACATTGTCCCAGCATGCTCTGTCCAGCACACCCGGTGCTTAAGAACTGCTGGTCGCCCAAGTGAACCAAGGCAGAATGCCGGGACAAGCAAGGCAGTGCGACCGCCAACAAGGGAGAAAGCACTGCCATCGCCGTATGCATGCAATGCGCGCAGCACACAAGACAATCATAAAATGATGTGCCTCACGTGGGGCATGTGAGCCTTACGACTCGTTAGGGGTAATCAGGTATCATACCTGTCATACTATGCTAATACCAAATATACTTTTTTATATTCGGGTGGCGCCCTGTGCTGCAGGTTGGTCGCCAGGCGGTGGCCGGGTGCAACCCCTTCACCATCCAGAGGGCTGACAAGGAATTCCTGAGCATCACCAAGATCACAGACACCGATGTGACAGGTAGATTCTCCTCATTCCCAAGTCTTCCTTGGCAGTCAGCCTCTTGTTGTGCACGTTACTATCCATGCCAAGTTGTTGTATGATGTTCGGATTGATTGGGGGCCAACCCGGCCCTCCAGTAGCTAGTTCAAATCAGGAATTTTTCTGCGACAAATACTGGCCCATGAATCCTCAGCCCCCATTTCAAAGTCAAGAGTCGCCCATTCAGCCCGGAGATGTTCTCTACCTGCAAATATGAGCAGATCTACCCCTCACTGGCACCATATTCTTGGCCTTGTCATGGTAGCCTGCGAAGCGCAGCCATAAATTTTGTGGATTGTGAATAGTCAAGAAGCCGGTGTGATTGGCTCTTTGCAGGGCTGTTGGACGGTCTGACACTGGAGGAGGCTGCGGCGGAGGGGCGCCTGTTCTGGCAGAACTACTACGATGTGCTGGCCGACCAGGTTGCACCCAAGGTGGGAAGCTTTGCATTTCTGCGCAACAAAGACACAGCCCCTCTGCCATTAAGCTTTGGCGCACTTGCAAAATCGCGCAGACTGCTAATGCATCTGGTGACAGCTCTCACAGAGCCATCCCCTGATGAACAACGAGATTGAGGGAAGCAGGCTGTGGTACCTGATTACTAGATATATTTTGTGCATTTGCAGGTGAAGGATTTTGCGAAGGGTGGCCACCAGTATGCTGGGAGGGGCCTCTTCTTCAAGAAGTATGCCACAATTCTCACCTCTGCACCGCAGATTTATTTGTAGCATGCCTGTCAGCAACATTGCTTTGCGCCTCACACAACTATATGTTAGAAAGCAACAACGCCAGAAGTACTGGTCACTTCTCTCCCGTATTCGCTCATAATTATTATTAGTATTATTACACGCTTTTCCTGCCAAGAGGCATCCTGCAGACAAGCTGCAGTCAAAGGCTGCCACAATCCTACCCCTTGTTGGACTCGCCAGATCCAAGCAAGACCCAATCAACCGTGGGCACGGTGCTCAGTATTTGTACCACCCCCCGCCAGTCGCTCATACCAGGCAACAAACCAAGCACGCTGGCTGCATCACCGGTTGATTTCTTCAGGCCGACCCTCCAATGCTCTGTTGAGATTGCATGTGTTTTCTGTCTTGTTGCAGCAAGGACACTGGCGCGCTGCCCATCGTGGCAATTGAGCTGCGCGAGCCAAACACCAATGACTTCCGCATCTTCACTCCCAACAATGTGCGCCTGGAGGTCTGGCAGGTGCGCATGCTGAACCCATGATTGTCCTCTATAAACAATGTCTGGGGCTGCTCTAGTACTTTAATAGTAAAACGGAGATGCATTGCTGTCACTGGTGCCTGACAAGTGAGGGAAGCGACTGGAAGACTACAACACTGCCAGCAGCCAGCAAACAGGTAATGGGGCAAGCCAAGTGAATACAAATGGCAGATCGAGTTGAGGTCAATTGCTCATTGTGTGCGTTATGGGCCGCATCACCTGTCCAATTCTGCTGCATAAAACAGTATTGTCCTCTAAGCGAAGGGGGAAGCCAGTGAAATTGCTGCTCAGTGTGCTGTCATGCTGCAGCTAGCCAAGGCGGTGTACTCGACCCTGGACGCGGCGTCTCATCAGCTGGTGTCCCACTTCGGCGAGACCCACGCGGTCATGGAACCCTTCGCCATCGCCACTCGCCGCCAGCTCAGCGCCATGCACCCAGTAAGACAGCGTTCCCTCTTTTACCAGCTCGGAACTTATAATATTGGCGTGTGATGACAGCCCAAAATGGCGCGATCAAGGCTTGAAGAACAGCTCCTGCACTCGTGCTTCCTAGGATTTCAACCCCTGCCTTGATGAGTTGCGACAGGATGCAGGGCTCATCTGGATCTTCCCACCTCTTTTCTCTCAGAACTCAAAGTGACTGAGTAGCCCTTAGGCCCGGACAGGATTAACTTCAAGCGTGTCTGCCTTGCATGTCATGCCCTAGGTTGCCCCACTTAAGAGGTCATCTGAGGCCTTGGGGTCCAAAAGAATACATACACAAGAATTACAGGACACCCTCGGACACAACCTGCGCCAGAGGCTAAGAAATTAAGTTTTGGGCATGTGATTGGCAGGTGTACCAGCTGATCCTGCCCCACTTCCGCTACACCTTCAACATCAACAGCAGCGCGCGGGGCAATCTCATCAATGCAAAAGGAGTGGTGGAATCGGTGCGATGCATCCCTACACGCCTTGTGTGCATATCTCAATACAACATCTTTGGTTTTCAAGGGACCTAACCCCCTGGTAAATCTGAAAGGAGACCCTTAGCCGCTGTAATCCTTATCCTCTTGAGACGCTGTCATCAATATTACATCAGCGCATTGCTGGTGGCATGCACTTCCATTGGCGCAAAGCTGTTTGCAGTACATGAAAGTAAAACAGAGTGATGGCTCTGAGGAGATATCATCAGGCTTCTGAATGAGCAACAGTGCTGATGGGGAGTGCATGGAATTGTGGTGCAGGTCTTCACTCCCGGGCCTCTGTCGATGGAACTGTCTGCGCGCGTGTATGGGGACATTTGGAAGTTTGAGGAACAAAGCCTCCCAGGAGACCTGATTGCCAGGTGTGACAGCCCGCACACTTGACCGGTGTTGCTTTATCCTTCACCCACTTTCAAAGTTATAGCAATTCTTACCCTTCATGCATAATCATAATCTGGAAAGGCATGTTTGCAACAATTATAATACTAAAATACTAAAGAATTTCGTAATTTTTTGCAGGGGCATTGCCAAGCGCGAGGAGGGCAAGCTGGTCCTGCTGCTGGATGACTACCCCTTTGCTGAGGACGGCCTGCTGGTCTGGAATGCTCTGGAGGAGTACTTCACAGGTTACATCAATCTCTACTACAGCGACAGCGGCACGGATGGCAAACAAAAGGCATGAGCCTGACCTCCTGCATGGCAAACATGTCTTGCAGAGTTCCCTCTGTCCTAACAAATATAAATGGAGAATCTGCAAAGGCATAAATGAGATAGTCCTGTGTGTTTGCAGATGTAGCTTGCTCAATCTTTGAGCAGATATTGCTAATTGCTTTGCTGAGGCACCAGGGCCTCATGCATGCATGCATGCATGCATGACTTGAGCATGCGACATGCATTGTGAGCCAGCAGGGCCCAACAAAATCTGCAAGGCCTCCCTGCTGGTGTTTTTGTTCGAGAGGTGCAAGAGATTATCAGAGAATCAATAACAACTTGTTAACAAGAGTTCTATTGTTTACCCCTGAAGTGGTGCTCATGCATGGGCGAGTGCAAGCAGGTGACTGATGACGTGGAGCTGACAGCCTGGTACAAGGAGGCGCGGGAAGAGGGCCACCCCGACAAGAAGGAGGGCTGGATCGAGCTGACTGACACTGCAAGCCTGGTGGAGATCCTGGCCACCATCGCCTGGATTGGGTGAGGTCCCTGTGCATTGCACAACCTGCACAAGGAGACTAGAGATGGAGAAAAGAAACTTAGGGATGGTCCGATTCTCTATTTTTCACCTTTAACAATTCATGGAGTTGGCCCTGTACGAGGGCACTTGTTTTATCGCATACAATCTGTCTATCTTTCATGATGTTGTGAATCTCATGCTCTTTTGAGGTCCACAGACTCTCGTTGAGCATCTTGACTTGGATTTCAATTATTCGAACATTGAAATCCTGACGCCCCAGTTTTGCGAGCACCTCTTCAGTGGTTGGTGTACAGTACTTGCTGCACTGTGTCACCTGTCGTTGGACACTCTTGCTGACTTTAATACACTGGCTTTGCAGTAATACTGCATTCAAGCGAAGAATACTTATTTTGACTGAGATATCCTGGCTGTGCCTGCACAGGTCAGGTCACCATGCAGCTGTGAACTTTGACCAGTACATGTACTACGGATACATGCCCAACAAGCCTTCCTTCGTCTCCCACGCAATCCCCTTGCCAGACTCTCCTGAGGAGAAGGTGAAAGCCAGGATCAACACAACCTGCCATTCACTTAAATTGTCCAGTCCATTCTGCTTGATAATCTGCCTCCAAAGAGCAAAACTATGCCAGCCCTAGCAGTACTGCAATTGCTGACACTTGAGTGCGCACAGCATTGCGGTACAAATGATCAGGTCTGAATTTCTCTGCAATGACCATTTATATTAATCAGAACTCAAATGACTGCGGTAAACCTTTGCTTGCCTTCTGCATGTACCTGCTATGCATGCGCATGCTGTGATGGGCAGCCCCACATAAAGGTCTTCTGGTTACTGAAGGCCAGAGAGTTACAATGACCGCTTTCTGACCTGCATCTGCAGGCCCTCCTGGACGACTTTGAATTTGAATTCCTGCGCACTCTGAGCGACCCAATCCGCGCGGTCCAGACCATGCTGCTGGTCAAGCTGCTGTCCAACCACTCCCAAGACGAGGAGTACCTGGCTGGGCCCGAAAATGAATGGATCACGGTGCTTGTTCAGCTCCCTTATTAAAATCCTCAAAAATTCCTTTTTTTTTCCTGTTGTTGATGTCCCTGCAGCAGTGCCTACCTCATTGTCAGCTCCTGTTTTGTCTGATAAGAAACTGCACGCTTGTGAGCGTAGTGAGGGTGCTTGCTGGCAAGTGGAAGCGCTCTGCTGGGGCCTTCAACCAGGCCATTTATGTCCCGTTCTTTCCTAGATACTAATTATTTAGGTTCAGGATTAATAAAGGTCCTTGCACAGCCATGAGAGGGTGATGTTGCTGTATCGACAGGACCCAAAGGCGGTGGCCCTGAGGAAGAAGTTTGAGGATGCGATGGCGGCTGCGGAGCAGCTGATGATTAAGCGCAACTCCGACCCCGAGAGCCGGGCGCGCCACAGCCCGGCCGGCGTACCGTACCGGCTGATGTACCCTTCCGTCCAGACCGATCCACCCACCCCGGGAAACCAGGGCATGACCGGCTGCGGCATTCCGTACGTCCTTCCTTTGCACCAATTCCTCTAACTTACTGTTGGTTGCTGTATGTGTTATGTTCAGGAGATGCTTCAATGCTCAGTCCATGCACATCCAGGCTTGCATGCAATCCTGAGTTCAGGCCCTCATGATCCTGTAGCACCCAAGAGTCAAGGAAAGACGGATGATTCAAGTGGGGTCAGTAGGTTGAAGTGCGCAGTAACATCCGTGATTATATTGAAATTGGAGATTTTTGTGTGTTGCAGGTACAGCGTCTCCATCTAACGAATGAGCCGCTTGACCACATGATCAATGGGACCGGTTCTATGTTGCGCACAACTCAACCCCTGGCACAGGAAGCCAGAGGTTGCAGTGGTGCTGTCAAGTGCTCTAATTTCAACATTGCTGTGCTGTGTGGAGAAGAATGAGCGCATTTTGCGAATGCCCAGCCTTTGAGTTTCACGAGAAGTATTCTTCTTTGAATGTTCAATAGTTTTCCGGCAGGGTTTTCCATACTAAATTGCCAGCAGACAGATTAGCAAATATTTCTGTGGTGCTTTCATCGGGCTTGATTGTGCCTGCTTTTCTTCAGGTATTTGCGTGTCTTTGCAAGCATGTCACAGTATTGGAGTACTGTGCACAGTACGAATTGTACTTTTGCTTCTCAACTTCATTGATTACAGGGAATTTGCACCCAATTATTCACGATAGGAATGTGGAGTGAAATTGAGGGCAGGGCATTTTCTTAAAATTTGTGTCATTGACATTTTTCTTTCTTCTGTCAAGGGATTGAACATGGCTACATACTTTAAGTCAGGCACTATTTCAAATTTGTTAGCATTTACCATGCCGAGGCTAACTTTGATGTAATGCAGCACTTGTAATCATGGTGGTCAGCATCAGTTAGCTAATGGCCCAAAACTTTGCTTCCAATTTAGTCTCAATTGCCAGAGTGCCGTGCTGGGCTGCCTCTGGGCGAGCCACCGGGAAGTACATTTATTCTCTGAGGGCTGTCGGCACCGCTGCCCTCCCTCCACTCTCCATCCTGCCACATCCAAAAACATAACCTTGATGTGCATGTCATGCTTAGCCTGTAGCTACGAAGATCTTCTCCCATCCCAGCTAGCACACCACGCCTGCCAGCTCTGCTTGCAGCATGCAGCGGCTCTCAGCTCCTCGCACTCGCCTCTGGACACAGGGTTTTTTGGTCCGTACCCAGAATTATCCTCCAGCAATCTTCCTGCATACTTGAGAATTTGCACTCAGCTGCATGCGCACCTTTCTGGCTCGGGGTGCTGCGATGGCCTGTGCGCGCAGGCGAGCCACTTCCTCTCTCAGCCCATCTGCGCGCTCCAATTCAGCGCCCAGCTGAGCCTGCATGCCACTCCAATCAATGCTTAGATTCACTGCCCCCGAGAATCTGATTGTGGTGCATGAGTGGCTCTCTTTCGTGGGGCGTGAACTCTGTATGTTTCCCTCTCAATGCCTTTTGTTCTTGAAACCTTACCTACTTGACAAAATTTTGGATTATCATTATTACATTCAGAGACCTATTAGTAGGCGCCCGAGGCTCATTGGTCTTATGGGCAGTCTTCCACTGCCCACCTTCACATAACATTTTTTGGACATTGTCATTATGATGCGAGGGTCTGATTGTAGGAGATGAGTGTGGAAGCAGGCTTGGGGATGGTGGTCTGTCAGGATAAGTATGTAATGATCTGGTCACATTGTGAAGCAGGCGGCCTGCATGATTTCACAATCTGGCATCCGTGATAGAGGATCATCACAGAGTTGAATTGCTGGGACAGGGGAATAAAGGGCGTGCCTGCAGGTTGGCGGCTGCTGACTGGAGCTGGGTGATGCTGTCCTGGGCCTCTCTGCGCATGCTGGAGACGTGGCCCTCAGCAGCCTCCTTTATCTGCGATCACACCAGAACGCTTCAACCTTGCTTTGAGAAGAAGTGTCGCATTAAAAGGCAGAGCTTCAGCTCTCCCGAGAAACCACTAGAGTGCAACAACAATCTGTAGCACGCAATGCTGGCTTGAAGACATGAAGGTTGATATTAGGAGTTCGATTAATAAGTTTAACAAAAGAGCGCTTTCAGCAGATTGTCCTTCATCACCTGTCCTATTAGCTGCTGGATAATACAAATCTGTGCATCATGACAAGAGAAAGTAATGGAGTGCTGACCTGCGCAATGTCGGAGGTGTATGCTAATTGCAGGTCGGCCAGGGCCGCGCGCATGCGTGCCACCTCAGCGCGCAGCGGCTTCACGGCAGCTTCCCTCAGCTCCACCGCCTTCTCGCCGCCTTCCAGCCGCGCCTGCTCCAAGCCCTCCTCACCCCTGCACCAAGGGCGCAGAACACGCATATCAAAACCCCCAATTTCCATGCACTCATCCAAGGATAACACTTCCGTCGTACCATGACCGTGTTGTCAAGCAATGACACCTGCACAATCACATGCAGAGGTCTGGGGAGCTTGCACGAGGATTCTGAGCTGCTGGCTGCAACGCTTGTGATTTCAAGGCAGCCTGCGTGCTCGTCGTCAGTGTGTGAGCCGGCGTCCAAGCATGAGTTGGATTCACGTACACCCTCGTTTTCTCTTCATCCACAGAGCAGGGGGAAGAGGAAGGGGCAGCTCACTGTTTGACGGCGGCCTCCAGGTCTTTGATGCGAGCGGCGCATGCGCCGCAGGCAGCCACGGCCTTGGCGACGCGTCTGTCGAGCCCCTTGTCGAGGCCAAGGACGTCCGGGGAAGCTGCCATGAAGCTGGCGCGCATGCTGCTCCTCCGCGGCTGCTGCACTGGCGGCAGCGCCCTCTCTATCGGTGCCAGCACCCTCTGCACAGCCTGATCCTCCGCCCACGCCCTCACCTGTAGAGTGAAATTAGCAATTGAACCTTCAGACATTAATAAAAGCTTCCATAATTTGAAATATAGAGGCCATTTAAATATAAACATGGCCAAAATATGGTTAGAGCATAAGGGCTAACAAGGAATGCCTTCCGGGTGCATTGTGGCTATCAATGACCTTTGAGGGTAGCAGCCCTGACAAAAGAAATGGCTGGGGGAAGGAATGGCTGATGTTCCCTACCTAGATGACTGGGATGACATATGCAAAACAGGAATAAGAAGGGAAAGGAGGTAATGCAGCATAGCACAGGGATGTGAACCTGCTGCAGCAGCTGCTGGAGGTAGGAGTTGAAGGAGTCGGTGCTTTCGCAGGTGGTGAGCGCATGCTGCAGGCTGTTGTCCAGGGCTATGATTGGCCCGAGGCCGCCAACCAGCAGGCCCAGCTGCTGCTGCAGCTGCCGGGCATCTGCCTGCGCAGCTGCCAGCGAGTCCAGCGCTGCCCTCGTCTCGCCCTGCGCCTCCGCCAACACAGCTTCCTCCTGCACATCAATGCCAGGAAGGGCACCAGTTAGGCGACCCCGTGTGGAAGGATGAATGCGGCCAAACAGCGAAGTGGCTTGGCGCAAGATTCAGTGATCGCGGCCAAGTCTGCGTTGACCTGAATAGCCACTCAGGAGAATGTCACGTGATTTGGCAATGTGCAAGGAGCTTGACACGTGTGGTCTTTCATGTGAAGGTTGCCGATCATGAGTCCTTGATCAGCAGATGTAGGAAGTGGTACGTCCTCAAGAACACACATTTAAAGTCCCGGTGCAGGAAATTAAATGCATGGGGGATTAGTAAGAGAGGGAGGGAACGCTGCGCACGTGCTGCGCGGCGGCCGCGCGCGCTTCGGCGAGTGCGTCCCGGTGGCGCTCTGCGTCGTCGCGCCTGGCGGCTGCCAGCATGTCCTTGTGCGCCTGCCCAGCCGCCACAGCGTCCGACCGCAGCGCCAGCAACACCTGCGCAATCGATTCCATCTATTCCATTAGATATTACATCGATTACATCTCAGGCATAAGCTTGATTTGAGCGTACACCAATGAGCCCAACCTCAGGGCATTGCGCATCTTAGTCACAGCCAGGGATCTCCTAAACAGAGAAAGTGTGCAACGAATGTTCACGGAAGTGAATTTACATTCCAATACAAGCTTCGAGCCAATCTTGGCTCTGTTGAGAAGGGAAAATGCAGATCGCGCTGCAGAACCCCTGCAGAAGGGTTCGCGAAGGAAAAGGATGGGAAGAATTGGAGTTTACCTGGCGCCAGCGCGCCTGCATAGCCTCGACGCCGTTGGCGCACTCCGCGGCTGCGCGTTGCAGCTCGCCCTCAAACGCCGTCCGCAGCAGCGCCTGCTGCGCGCGCAGCTGCAGCACCTGCTTTGACACCTGCGCACACCCCCGTTTGGGATTGGAAAATGCAGTTCTTTGAGGCATCACCATGAAGCTGAGATGGGGAAGTGTCGATTTCTAGTCCGCACCCGCTCCCATCAGAGGACAGGTATTGTTTGCAGGCTCCTCTGTCCGGTGACAGTTCAAGAATATTGACATCCTGCTGCTGGGTGCTCCAGTGCCGAAAAACTGTTCAGCAGGAACCCATGCCTTGAAAAGGGTCTGAGAAAATGAGTGTGGGTGAATGCGCACCTGTGAAGCGACGCGCGAGACGCGCCGCTTGTGCAGCGCGAGCAGCCGCTCCTTCTCGGTCCGGGCCGCGCGTACGGCCGCCTCCGCCGCGGACGCCTGCTCGCGCATCTGCTCTTTGATCCTTCCGTTCTCACTCTTATATTCTCCAAGCCGCTCGTTCAGCTGCAAGGCATCGGCTGCGGCGCGATCCACGGCTGCATGCGCTTCCCTGAGCTTAGAGGCTGCCTCTGCTGCGTCGGCCTCGGTAGACTTGGCGGCCAGCGCGGCATCCCGCGCTCGCTGCTGTGCCGCCTCCTTTGCATGCTCTGCCTGTTCTACAGTGTCCTCCATCGCCTGATTCACACACGGCAATGTCTTTTCAATATTCTTGTGCATCAAGCAAGCTCGGTATGCTTCCATATGTATGCTTAAACCTTGTGCCTGCTCTCTATTGTCCCGAGAAGGCACTCCATTTTGGCAGGTACCATGCAAGCCAGCCAGTGGGTAGCATGCAATGTGCTCAGGGGCCAACCTGCTGCGCAAGTTCGTGCTTTTTCTTGGCGGCGCGCAGCTCGGCGGTGGCCGCCGCGGCGGCGTCAACGGCGTCCGATCGTGCGTCGGCCAGCTCGCGTCTGAGCTGCGCGGTCTCTTCCTGCAGGTGGGTGCGTTCCCTCATCACCCCCTGAGCCTCCGATGCGCTCAACTGGTGCTGGAGGTGGTGCAGCTGCCGCGTGACTTCTTCCAGATGTTCCGTGGCTTCCTCCCTCGCCTCCTGGCTCCTCACATGGTCCTCCTGTAACCCAATGAGGCGCACACTAGCTCAGCATCTGCATTATGGATTTTCAGGGCTAAAAAACTATGTAAAAGTCTCTTTTTCCGATGGATCCCACAGGTCATGTCTTTGGTAAATTTCTTTTTTCTGATTATAAAGTCCCTAGTAGCTGCTGGCATCTTGTTATCCCATGGGTTCCAGAGACCATGGAATCGGTACAATGTCGTTTTCTCATGGTTTCTGGAGGTCAAGCAGCTGGTATGATTTTTTTGCAGGCTCTGTGTAAATGCATGATCGCACAGTCAGGCATACCTTGAGCCGCTGCAGGCTCTTGCGGGCGGCCTCCGCTTCTGACTGGGCGTCAGCAGCCTCTCTCTGGCATCGGTGCAGCTCGGATGATGCCCTCTCTAATTCAACTGTCTTGCGTTTTGTCTCAACCTCATGGTCATCCTGCACCTGCAACACCACCCTGCCCCATGTTACTATGTGCCTCTACACTGCATCGCATCCTGTCCCTTTTCCCATTTCTGAGCTGTTTTGAAAACCCTGCATGTTCGCTACTACAAGGATGGATGCGCAACTGGTATGAGCCGCTCTACTTGCGAGGATGGCCTTTAGGAATCTCAACAAGTCAGAATGAAGCCGGGCAAGTTTGGGCGGGCACCTTGCGCAGCTGCGCGGCAGCTGCGGTCTGCAGCTCGGCCTCCCGGGCGGCCAGCCGCAGCGCAGCTTCCCGCTCCATGGCAGCTACGCGCCGCGACATCTCCCCGGCAGCGTCGTAGTCCTTGGAAGCCAGGCGCGAGTCGAGTATGCGCGCATGCTCTGCCTTGGTTATGTAATCGCTGGGGTTGGCCACCACGTCGTTGCTGGACAGGTGACGCACCCGAAGCTCCAGCTCCTGGGAATCACATGACCCATATTCAAATTCAAAGTCAAATTTTGATGCATGCCTGCCTTGCAGTGCAGACAGCACATTTGCGCCCTTGCGCTTGAATGTTTGGTCTCACCTTATAGCAACGGAATGGCACGTAAGTGGGCTGATCACCGGGCTTGCAAGCTCTTGCTGGACCTTAGGTATCAAAACTCTCCCAACGTCTTCCACAAGGCAATGCAATTTGCTGTTGTCTGGTGCTTAGTCTGTCCAAAAACAGCAGAAATTTTCCAACCACCTACCAATGGTCCACAAGACAAGGCAGCCATGAAGACGCGGGAAATACAAAGCTTTCTGCACGATTTAAATCCCCCAAGGATCTGCACCTGATATTTCTGGCGCCACTCAAAGTCCTTCTGCTGCAGCTGCAGCTTGAGACCCGCCTCCGCCTCGCTCTCGAGCGCCGCGCGCATCTCCTCCCGGCCGCCCTTGCGCTTCGCCAGCTCCTCTGTCAACAACTCCGCCCGCCTCTTGCCCTCCGCCACCTGCCGTCAAAGACGATTTCTATTCTCTATGTTTTTCGGCTTCATTATTTTGCGCCCATGATTGCAATTATCAGAGACTTCTAGCAACTAGTATACCTCTTCTGCTCAGTGGCCAGATCACCTTAGGGTGGAGCGCCCTGTAATAGCATGCATAGCAGCGATGATTGAAAGACTACATGCATGGCAGGACACTGGTGATCCTGTCCAATAATTGAGGCCTTTCTTTCTTTCATCAGATCGACTGTATTCATAAGATTAAGTCGCGCATGTGGAGTGTGTCATGTCACAGCGTGCCACAAAGCCGAAGGCATACGGGGTACCCGGCTGCTTTGGTTGACAAGAGTCGGAAATGCGTTTACGGTATCTTGAAGTGCATTGAATCAGCGCGGCATGCTGTGCAGGTGCTGCGGTCAGTGGCAGGCGCACCTGGGCTTCGAGGCCGGCGATGGTGCTGCGAAAATTGCACAGCGCGGTGTTGTGCTCGCACGCTTCGCGCCGCAGCCGCTCGACCTCTTCGCGCGCGGCCTGCGCGCACCGGCCGGCACGGCAGCCAGCCGCCTTGGCCTCCGCCAGGCGGGACGCTAGCTCATCGCGCTGACGCGACACCGCCTCCAGATCTCGCACCGCCTCCTGCGTAACTCACTACCTTGTTGAGGTGGGATCGAAAGGGAGAAGCCTCAGATACTCTGAAGTCCAACACCTGAGAACGCGGTGCCGCTGTGCAACACCCTGCGGCTCTTGCAGAAACGCCTTGTTTAAGTGTGTACCTGATGTCTTCAGGATTTTTCCACCTTGCTACACCTGTAAGTTCTGGTCTTCTTGGGAAAAACTTTTAAACTTACTTTGGGCGGCGGGACTACTTTTGGCCCATGAGCTAATATGTGCTCATCAACTGGGCCGAGTGTTCTAAGATTTGGGCAAGCCACCTGAACGCCGAGCCGGGCTGCTTCCTCGTGCCCCTGCAGCCCCTCGAGCCGCCGCATGACGGACACATACTTTTCGCGCGCCTCCCTCCGCTCACCCTCGGCCTGCGCCAGCTGGCGCTCCAGCTCGCGCGTGTGCCCTGCCGCCGCGTCCTGACGCGCTTTCACCCCTGACAAGTTTTCTTCCAGCCCCTGACTCCGCGCATGCGCCGCCGCGGCCGCCTTCCTGTGAGTGTCCGCCTCAGACCTGCAAATGCCTTCAGATTAGTAATCGTCACTACAGTAATCAATTCAAGCGTTACCCCGGGTTCACTTGGATTATTTGCAAAAGCAGTACAGAAGAAGCTGGGCTATCTTTTTGTAGGTATATCTGTTTGCGTCCTTCAAGGAGACCTTATCATCCCTTCAAGGCCCAGGTTGGAGGCTGAAGGAAACCACATATCAACACTGCTGACCATTCCTGAACCCTTTGCAGATGAGAAAGTGTGGCGATCATCTGAACAAATTCAAGAGACTGAGTCATCTGCACCGGGCGATAGCGGCGTCGTTGCGCGCTTGTCTGCACTGCTGTTCCAGGGCGGCCTCCCTCTCGGCGGTGGCAGCCTGGCGGGCGGAGCAGTCGGACAGGTGCTGCTGATGCGCGCTCTCCAGCGAGCGCAGCTTCCCGGAAGCTTCCTCCGCCTGCGCCTGGCTCCCTTGCCTCGCCTGCTCCAGCTTGGCAATCTGCACTTGCACATCGTTTGTCGCTCTTTTCACTTTGCTGATGAAAGCCATACTTCTTCATGTAATGTGCAGGGGTTCACAAGTCCCTTCCATACTGACCACCCCTTCCAATGCAGTCAGCCTTAATTAGTCCAGCAAAGCCACAACCTCTGGACCACGTTCCCATGCACCTTGTTCATCCAAATGCAATGCTGCAGAATACGCCTGATACTTCGTGCACTTGTTGCTGGCATTCTCAGACGATGTTGTGAGTCACATAGGTGGTTAGCTGATGTGCGAGTGTTCTCTGTCACCAGAACGATATTGTCTGGGTTGTTCAGTAGGAGCAACAACAAAATTGCTCACCTGCTGAGCGGTGGATGTGCTGGCAGTGTTCTGGCGCATCTGGCAGTCTGCTGCCCTGTTGTCAGCGGCCAGCCGGGCTATGTGCGCCTCCTGGAGTTCTCTGGCTGCCTGGTCCGCCCTCTGCTGCACCGCTGACAACTGCACGCAGACAGCAGCTTCGATGCATGCCAGAATTTGTCATCAGCGGCGCATGCATCCCCTTGAGTCCCAATACAATTATCACCAACTGCAGTGTGCAAGAGGACATAAGTAAGGGAGAGTATGAAGGCTTCCCCCACAAGGAGGAGCATTGTTTGGTGCTCATATGACATGCTGTGCTGGAACACATGAGCAGGATGCCTCCAAGCAAATATGCATGCATGGATGTGCAGAAAGCAAGTGTGAGGCTGCTTAGGAGCAGGTACCTTTGCCTCAGCGCGCTGCCGCTGCAGGGACTCTGCCTCCAGCCTGTCCAGGGCAGTCCTGGCTGCCTGCTGAGCCTGGCGCAGCTGCTGCCTGACCAAGCTTATTTCCTCATGAGTAGCTGCAGTCTCGCCAGCATCCCTCCCACTATAATGCCTCGACCCCTGATTCACAATGCACAGGCGGCCTGGTCATAGGGATCTTCGACAAGTCATGACACGAATGAGAAGTACAGATGTAATCATGGACATTCTCCCTTCTGCTGATCGTGCTGCTGAGTACTGGTTGGTTCTGCATGGCAGTCAGAAAGTCTTCAGGCAGCTCTGGCTACCTGGTGTCCATAGTGTGCGGGGAGCAGGTCAGCTAGAAGCTCCTGTGCGCGAGCTGCAGCCAGCGGAGCAGTGGCTGGGCTGCGCTTCAGGGCTGCCAAAAGGACATCGTTCTCAAGGCCCGCAGCTGCGCTGAGGCCCGCCTTCAGCTCCTGCACACATGAGAAAATGTTGTTCCTTGCCATTGAGCAGCATAGCATTGTAGGTGATGCTGGGATTGGTTCTGTTGAGGCTGATCTTTGCCACACCTTTGCATGCCGGTGGTAGCTACTCTGCAGTTCTCGTTCTAAGTCCTCGTGTCTTGCCATCGACGAGAGATAATGTGGGGCTGGCATAGGTAAAGCAGGTATTGAGGTCCAGTATGCAGCACTGCAGGAGACTGGCAGTCAAAGTATTGCTTTCCCTCGAGCTCTAAGACCTCATACTGAACCTTCAATACAAATGGCCTTGACTTTGCTGACAAATAATGAATGTTATTAGATCTCAAGATAACAATCAGAGTTGCAGGTTGCAGGTTTGGATGGTGCAACTGTGAACTGTAAGGTGAAGGACTAAACAACACTCTTGGTGCGCTATTCTCTTGTCCATGACAAATGAGGATTATTTGTGCACAAGAAGGCCCTCATTGTTGCCTTATCAGGAGGGTCTTGTGCTTGCATCGTTGCAGCTGTCGGACCCTATTTTTATCCGAGTTGACTTGGTGAAGATATTGCATCGACCCTCTCCGGAAGAGACGACCAAAATTTTTGAAATTTGGCAACATTCTGCACAGCTCCCTGCCTTTTTTTTCAGAATCGTGCACTTCTGTCACTGCTGCACTAATTCTGAAGGACTCGAGAGAGGTTGCAGCAGCTATGGCTTCCACGATGCTCCAAAACGACACAACAGAGAAATTTGTGGTCGACCAAGAAAGTGCGTTGATAGAGAGGGTGCAGATGCTGATTGAGTGGACCTGAACATGTGCATCGATGTGCAATCTGAATTCATCCTGATACAATGCCATGAGCACGGTGCCCTGCCAGAATCCTGCCAACTCTTCACTGAAGTTCTGAACATCGTCCTGTTTGTTACAGACACCGCACAGAATGCCACGAGGGAGACAGATCCCCACCGATTGGAGCAGCGCTTGAGGCAGATTACGTATGGGAAGAACACCCTGGGATATGCCAGCTACACCAAAGCTGTTCCCAAGTATGTCACTTTGATGGCTGCTTTGCTGGTGTAAGGTCACACAATTTCAATCTATACATTGCCAAGACTGTCACTTTTGCCTTTCAGACTCATCTGGGTGATCTAACATGCGTGTGCCCAATCAGGGACAAGCGAAAGCGAGCAAAGAAGGGTGAGGAGAACACGCATCCCGTCACTCCGGACATACATCAGATGTGCAGCAAGCGGGCTTTTGACGGCCAGGTGCGTCATCAAACATGTGTCTCCTCATGTCCACTTGTGTCCGTTCACAGCACCCATGAAATTCGTCTCGGCCAGGGCACTTCGGGCTATGCAAAGTCAAGGGAAGGCTCACGTATGTATCTTATTGCAGGTAAGGAAGTGGAGGAGACAGCTGCACTTCTGGGACCCCAAGCCGGAGGGGGACGAGATCAAAATCGAGGTGCGCAGCATCTGGAGAACACACCACACCTGCATGCAGCCAAGAGTAGCTGCAGTGGTCATGTCACCTGCGACTTTTCTGCCCCTTGTAACACCATGACACCAGGCCGCCACTACATTACAACTCATCGATGGGCATCTGAAGACCTGCTGTTGTTTACTCGTCACGAGGCTGATTCGTCTTACTTAGTGCCTGAGAAAAGTTTCTGGGGTGCCTCCAGGTGGTGAACGAGTACGCAGCATCAGAGGAGGAGGCGCTGCCGGTGGCGCGGCTGGGGACGCCGCTCAGAGACGACAGCCTGGATGCTGAGCTCGACGGGGGGTCCAGGCAGGACAACCCCAGCAGCAGCGCCATCCCAGGGCTGTCCACCGGCAGCAAGCGAGATACTGTGTCCGGCTCAGTCAGCCAGCCCACGGTAAGCCGCTCACCGCAAATCAAGACATTTGTTTTGCAATCGCGAGCCCTCATTACCATACAAGCCTCTTGCTGGCCCTTCACCTATCTGAATTGTTGGGCGGTGTAAATCTGCCTGGGGTAAGCCGTTGTATGTTGTGGGTGGCTTCTGTTTGTGCCGGAGCAGTCACAAGCCCTTACTGCTTCTGCTGACTTATGTTGTTGCAGAGAAATCAGGATCTGTGTCTGCTCCTGCGGGGGCATACTGTCCACCAACAAAATGAAAAACCGGTCTGCATGCTTGTCCTCTTTTGCGCAAGCTGCCTGCTGGTTGGATGAAGGTTCTGGCTGTGTGCAGGAGGTAAGCCAGGCGAATGCCACCTCGAAGCGGCAGAGGACAGTCTCTGCGACCGAAGGGCCTCAGAAGAGCGCACCAGCCTCCATCTATGACGACTGGGAAGATGATTGCGTGATTGTTCCCCGCCCCTGATCAAGTTGTATAGAACCCGCTGAGCAGCTGCGATCACTTACATAGATGCCGCGCTTCTGGTTCACTGCTGCTTGTTGTGCTATCAGGATGATTGAACTGACTAATGAATGAATGAAGCAATAAATGATGACGACTTGACTGACTGGCGCCATCCGAGGTGGGTAGGCCGAGGTGCATACCCCCTAGGTGTATGACGCTGTGTATTTGTCTTTCCGTGGACAGGTCTAATATCAAAACGCTCACGGGAAAGCAGATATGATCTGAAAAATCTTGAATGCAATCTACCATGTTTATAGTATTGTTCAGATGCCATTGCGTAATTTCAGTGAAATGCTGTACTTACTTTAACAATAGTCAGATTTTGCTGTTTCTCAATTGGGCAGTATCAATTAAATCCATCAAAGGGCTTGTGGAAAACACACAACACATTGCACCTGCCGGATGTATTCAGCCGCCCTAAATGGCTGAAGCTCATATGACAAAGTCTTCCCAAAACCAATTGCCAACAGCTGTACACTTCCTTCCCAGCAATGGAGCTGCAGCTGTACAGTCAAGTTGATGAACCACAGCGTCACCTTGGCAGAACAGGAAAGCTAGCTTCTATATGCCTAGCGGGCTGGAGTGACTTTCAACATGCAGTCTCTTTTTGGTGTCTCCTTTTGTGTACACTGCATGTCCGCCACAATACATCATTCACCCCGCAGTCCAGATCAGGCCGTTGGTCGGAAAGGGGTCGGCGAGGCCGGGCAGGCCGCCAGCATTCCGCGAGGCCGGGGCCGGGGCGGGGGCGGATGATTCAGCGCCCTCCGTCCTCACACCCGCCCTGTTGCTGACGGCTCCGGCACGGCCCCCGTTTTGCGCCACACGCGTTGCTGCCGCATCTGCGGTGCCCTGCGCAAAGGACAGACCGTATTAAAGCACGCATTTGTCCCTTTCGCCTACCAAACCGGGCTCTGTGTATGAGCAAGACCACTGCACAGGGCTTCTAAAGCATGGGGTTCAACTCCTGAGGCAGGGATAACTTATGGCAAGGGAAGAAAAGCCATCTCGGAGAAAGCTGGTTTTCTGCGAGTGTTCTACCTGGCCGGCAGAGCCAACAGTGACGACTGGCGCGCCTGCAGGAGCCTGCTCGGCGCCCACATACACCTCGTACATTGGCCCCCCTGCCGCTTCCACTGCCACGCTCGGGGCCTGTGCCGGTGCCGGCGCCAGCGCGGCCGCCGCCGCGCGCTCCCGTGCCTGCGTGAGCATCATGTGAAGAATTTAGGCAACCCAATCTGGTTGGTGATGGGGAGAACAGGATGATGTATTTTGGAACTGAAACGCTTGCGGATGAAGCCCTGACCTGACTGGACTGTGAGATACAGATTCCCCGTGCCGCTGATGCAGAGTTCACTGGTGTATTGCATGAGACTGGAAGACTGTCATCGTCCAGTGCGCAGGGATTCTGTTGTTTGGCTCCCAGCCTCACTTGCGCTGCCCCATCATAAACAACAGCTGGCTTAATATAACTGGTAGGCCGTTGTAGGTGCGGCTGTGGGGGTCAGAAGGCAGGGGCCTGGATTTGAGAATTGGGAACAGGAGCCATGCTGCACAAGGTTTAGGGCAAGCAAAGGAGGGCTCTAAGAAGGGGGTTTGCTTGCCTGCTGACGCGCGTACGCAGGCGTTCCTGGGATGGCTGGGGGCCGCGCAACACCAGGGGGCAGCGGAGGCTCTGCTACTGTGGCGCCTGCAGCAGAATTTATTTAATACTACTATCACTAAGAACATAATTATTACGAGTCTTTCCTGCCAGTGACAAGCTGCAGATTAAGGCTACCACAGATCATACCCCTTGTTGGCCTCGCCAGATCCAAGCAAGACCCAACCAACCGTGGGCATGTCGCTCGGGGGGCGGTTTCATACCGCCCCCCGCCAGCAGGGGTCACTTTAAGCAGCAGCAGAGTTAACAGAGCCACATCAAGTTGGATCCATGAGAAGTGTGCTGATTCTTTGTTAAGCTCCTGATAGTTGTCGATCAAGCCCAAAGAGAGTGCAAACATGACGACAGAGCGAGCGTCATTGAAGGGAGGAAGGGCTGCCTCGAAAGTCTAGCAGAGTGCATCAATAATACATTGATTGCCTTTGATGCCACTCACAGCTGTTTCGCGTGAGCTCGCCCTACAGCAATGCATGAACTTGGGTGATGTACACGATGTTGATTGATATTGACAAGTAGGCACACCTGACACGCCGGCCATGTTACTCACGCTGCCGTCTGCCTGTGTACCGCCCTGCAGCATGCCTGCATCGTTTGCTGCACCAGGGATCACCCTGCAGCATCACCCAACTCAGGTCATAAAGAAATAAATTCTGACTTCCTCAAATGGCAGCAGCATGGCGGAGGGAGTATCCTCAGTGAACGGCGGACATAAATCCCTGCCTCATTGCAGCAAAATGCCTGCGTAAATTAGCAGCAGCAAATCCTCTTTGTTCAGGACTCTCAGTAATGGGGGTGTCTTTTTCTTCTAATCATGTCTAGCATGACGGTTGTATCAATGTTCTGTGAGAAATGGAGATTCATGCATGTGGCGCACGTGCTGAGCAGCCCGCTGTTTGAGTTGGCGCCTGTGGTGGTGCTCAGCTGGCCCAGGCTGCCAGCCGATGACCATCCCCACTTCAGCTCGCGCGCGCCGTGAGCGTGGCAAGCGAGACCCAACAGAAGGAGTGTGGTCCAGGCACGCATGATGGCGCAAGAAACCTCCTGGAGCTACCATAACATGGCTTGATTAAAACTGAGCAGCATGCTTGCCTGAATCCACAAAAGTTGAGAAGGATAAATACTTGATCTTGTACCAATGTTGGCGATTGTCAATTGCTCCGCAAAAGTCACAGTATTTCAGCAGACTGAGCAGCACTGCTGCTTTCCTGTAAAGGGTGTGGTTTGGTCAAAGCAGGGCCTTCTTGACCAAAATTGTCCAGTCTACCGAATTTTAATAAACATTTTAAGCTCTCTGTAAACAGCTGGCCTTCTACTCCTTCACACAAATTAATGTAGCAAAGAAGGGCCATCTAGATCTATAAAATTTGGCTACTTAGACTTCTGCCCGTCGTCACAGTCAGCTCCACCAAACGCGCAGATCTGGGAGAACTTATTTGAGACTACGTGCAGCAGTCAGAGGGCCGAGTCACCTTTTGCCTATATGCTTGCTATTTCCCCCGGCAGATGCCTCGCTCTGAATCTTTCGTTGCGACGTTCTTTGATTGAGCAATGCTCTGTGAATGGGCAGAACAGAAAAATATTTCTTCCACAGCGTCTCTGATCGTCGTGCTAGAGTTTCTTTGGGGAGACCTCGCCTCCCTTCCTGCGCTAAAGGAGGGTTCCGACAACCGGGACTCGAGTTGCCAAAAGAGGTGGTCGATATTCAGGCGGCTTCGTGGAAGCAGCAGGAAGCCCCCGCTCCGAAGTTGGGAGTCAAAACACCAGCAGGGCTGCTTCCATAAACGTCAGCAAGTGTATCTTTCTTCTTACTTGTTGAAGACTTGTGCGAATCGACTGGATACATTGGCTGCCTTCTTGTCCTGAGTGCTTGTTCTGATGGCAACCCGCTTGCAGTTTGAGAACAACAACGAGGTTGGAGTGTTTGCAAAACTCACATCTGCATATGCACTTGTTGCATTGGGAGGTAGCGAAAATTTCTACAGGTGCGATCGCCTGTGCTCGAGTGGGGCAACAACCTAGTAAACAAGGTTGCTTCATATTGGGAGTAATAATGTACTCTGGAGACAACGCATTTCACGTACTTGGAACAGTTAAGTGACCGATGTATCTGCTGTTAGACAGCCTGCTGTTCCCCTGACATCAACACAGCAACTTCTGTGCCCTGCAGTGTCTTCGAAACAGAGCTTTCAGAGCACATCCCTGTGGTGAAGACGTCAATAGCCGGAACGAGGCTTGTTGGAAGAATCACAGTAGGTAAGGATGTACTTCCGATACGATGTCTTTTGCTGTAGCAGAAACAAAGGATGCAAGTGTCTCACATGCTGCTGCTGGCTATGCAGGGAACAAAAATGGGCTGCTCTTACCCAACACCACCACAGATCAAGGTGCCAATCCTCTCGAAGATTTCTTCACAGGTTCAGCATCAGGCAGCCGCCTAGCACGTGATACGAGGTAGTTGCAGTGTGGGGTTAATCTTGAGCATGTGACTGTGCTGCGCAGAGCTCATGCACGTGAGGAACAGTCTTCCGGACGAGGTGGTGGTGCAGAGGATAGATGAGCGGCTCAACTCTCTGGGCAACTGCATATCCTGCAACGACTATGTTGCACTCGTCCACCCTGACATCGACAAGGTCCGGCATTGGTCTACACCCTCACTTGTCTATATTCTGTGCCTTTGCCCATGCTGCTCTTCGCCATCACTATAGATCAGGTGGTTGAGAAGACTGTCAACAGGGATATGGAATTCATGGGGGGCCCAAAGTCCAGATCACTACGGCTGTTGATAGGAACGTGCAGATATAAAGGTCAAGCATTCAGAAGTTTAAGTTTTGCCACAGGAGACAGAGGAGTTGGTGGCTGATGTGCTGGGAGTGGAGGTGTTCCGGCAGAGCATAGCAGGCAACACACTCGTGGGCAGCTACTGCACGTTCACAAACCAGGGCGGCCTGGTACGCTCCCTATAATGCCATGCCATGCCCATATATTAACCTGCTACATTCACGTTTTCCTGTCACAGGAGGACTGCACCAATCTTGCCAGCCCTGGACCTTTGAAAACCTCTGAACATCAACATCTCAAGCCTCTTTTCTCTTCTGTGGCTGAACTGAAAGCAGCTGCCTTCTGCTGCAGTTGTACTTGGGCACACAGCAAAGCAGCAACACATCAGTACTTCCAGGTCACAAAATTCAGTGGTCACAAAACTCACACGGTGGTCTTCTGTCCTGCAGGTGGCGCCCAACGTGTCTGTGGAGGATCTGGACGAGCTGTCATCGCTCTTGCAGGTGCCGCTGGTTGCCGGCACGGTGAACCGCGGCAGTGATGTGGTCGGGGCAGGCCTTGTGGCCAATGACTGGGCGGCCTTCTGCGGATGGGACACCACAGCCACAGAGCTGAGCGTGATCGAGAGCGTGTTCAAGCTGCGGGACAGCAAGCCCTCCAACATTGTCAACGAGATGCGCGCGTCCCTCATCGACACCCTGGCGTGAGGCAGCCTTACTGAGGCTCTTGCAGCCGAGGACTGCAGACTATACAGCTCTGTGTAGGGGTCTGTTTCCTGTGGGATGAGCTGCTGCTGTGAGAAGTATGAGCAGGAGGAGTGCGGAGGGGTCATCGTTGCTGCAAATCAAGCTGTCAGACGGTGCAGCTGCCAGTTGTGTGTGTACTGCGTGCATACAACATGGTTGGAACCAACTTGTGCAACAACTGGAACCTTCAAGACCTCTGTGGCTGTCAGTAGCCTTTTGACAGGGGCGGACACTGGACATTACTGTCCCCTATGCCCCAATACCAAGCGCACGGTGCATGGTGCGGCAGCATGCAGGTTGTAGCCTACAACACACGTGGATGCCAATGCTTCCAGACTTTATGTGCTATATAGGTCGACCTGCACGTGTGATGCATTCATTCGCATTCTATTGTGGCATGCATCCGTATTACTATGAAACTTGGAATTTCATCAGAAATTACAACACATGTGCACAAGAGCCCAAGTATCTCGTGTTGCACATAATGATACATATATGGATTCAACTCAATAAATCATCAGTCACATGTGTACCCACTTGCAGGCTGGAGGTTCCAGCTACAATAATTGCGGTCACCAAGAAATTTGCCACACGTACTTCGCAATGGTTCGACTCTAAAATTCTGGCAAGACATAGCCACGCGGACAGCACTTTCTCTGTCCTTTCTCACCAATTGTGGGAGGAGGAGGTATGCATGCTTCACATGCCCCACTTGCTGTATGGCAATATGAGAAGTACCGTGAATGGTAAGCAGATGGGTCAAAGTTGAAGAGCAGGAAGTCAAAATCTGGATAGACTGGCTCTAAGAATCCACCAGTTTCGTATGTGAAATACACGTCAGGTTGTGTCAGAACCTCGTGGTGACACACCCTCTTCAGTGTTGCTCCCACTTCAACCATTGTGTACTCGGAACTCCTATACTCTATATAGAGTGTTTCTAGGCGGGCGCCTGTGGCCTCCAAATTATCCACTATGAGCTCTAGATTGCCATGCACCCGCAACACCAGGGCACGAAGGTTGGGTAGTGCTAAGTCTATCTCCAAATTGCCGTCATCGACCTCCACATGCAAGAAGCGCAGCTGAGCAACACTGCTACCGAGGCACACCTGCTGATTGTTGCTCAAGACATCAATCAAGGATAGGGCTGTCAGGCAATAACAGCTCCCTCTGGTGCTAAGCAGCCGGTAAAAAAAAACCCTCTGGTTCGCAGCATTGCCAGACAGATGAAGGCCATGCCCCGACTTGTTTGCTATGAGAAACTCCAGAAGCGCATCTGCATTTTGCAGCACATCTGTTGCAGGGCCCTGCACAGTCAGCTTGGTGGTAGGATGCACGGACACCTTGATTGGGAAAAGGTAGACAAGGCACACAGCCTGCAGCCGAGAATTCGCTTCAAGACACAAATCTGGCATCTTTTGCGTCTCCATACCTGTGAAATTTGTAAGTTTCAGCGTCTCCAGGTTGTGCAGTGTGGCAATGCTGGCCAGCTCTGTCGCCGACAACATATCCACTGTGATGTCCAAGTGCTTCAAACTTGGTAGCGGCGGCAGCGCTTGCATCGATCTCGAATGCATGATGAGACTATCCAGCTTGGTCATCTGCGCCAGAAGAGGCCAAGACCAAGGTACAGTGTGGAATGCAGTGATAAGCTCAAGTGCCAGCCATCGCACATTTCGCATGGGCCACTCATTTATTGCAGCCATCAGCTGCTCAGCGTCAACCTGTGCAAGCAGACTACGGTAAACAAAGATCGCGTCCAATTTAGATCGCCATGCCGTTTTCACAAACAGATCTTATTCCTGATACTGCACTGTCTTGGTTGCTTGATGTGGGGGTTGGGAATGTCAAAGGAATCCACACAACGTGAGCTTGCGTGACAGAAGATGTTCTACAAGTGCCTCACCATTTCCTTGGCCGTCAATAAGGCTATCAGCCCCACCACATTTGCATCTCTCCCGTGGCGAAGGCCCCATGCAATCCGGTTCACCATCTCGGCTGGCTTACAAATTAAACTTGCAAGGTTGAGGGTCCTTGGCTGAACTGCAAGAAGAGATCTGCAAGTGCCGCAGGCCTTGGCAAAACTCCTGGGTCGTTAAATTGGCAGCTACACCTGCCCAAACGTCAGTGGGCAGATCCACGCGTGGTGCCATTTCTATGCTCTGCACCTGCTTAAATATGTTCGTGGAAAACTTATTTTCATTCTAGGTGAGTCTGCACACTGAGATGTTGCTACTTGAATTTGCATGCCATTATAAAGCCCTCGAGCTCAAAGTGGAAGTCGAAGGTAGCTGCTGAGAGTGGCACGTGCCAGTGGAAGAGGAATTGCAATCAACAGATGCTGTTCTCACGTCGCCCATCAATTTATTGAAGAGTTGAAGGGAAAGATTTTCACTATATCCTACATTGCTCCTAAGGTCGTGCTATTCAAAGGACTACAGATTACCCAAGCGACGTGAAGGGTGTACGACAGGCCCTGTTGTTCAGGAGCCCTTTCACAATATGTTTGCGCCTCGTAGTGCTGTCAAGAAGTCCTTAAAGAATCATGCAGGCAGCCTTACGCCGGCACGTGGGCGCCAGGACATAGAAAGCGATGTGACTCAGAAAGCAAGGAGACCAACACTGCACAGCACGGTGCGACACAGCTGTCCTTGGTTGTCTAACCTGCACAAATTGCCACAATTATATTTCTGAGTCCGAAGCATGGGCCGTGAAGATAGCATGTTGAGACCCAAGCATAGGTATGGAGCAATATATATAACAAGATCTCTTCACAGCCTGTCAAATTGTTCTCAATGTCATTTCGCGTTTCATGCTCGCAGCCCAAAGGCCCTGAGACAACGAAGAAAGTTCATGCACAAGCGGCCTCGGCTGCTAAGTGCAGAACAGTACCTGGAAACCCCAGGCAAGTGCCCTATTTGGGTAGCAAAGAATTGACGCCAAGTATGGTAGGAATTCGAATGATATCCCACAGCCCTCAATATTCATCCCACCTCACTTTCGTAATTCCTGAAGTGCAGGGCACCATGCAAAAGCACGGCATCCACACCCAGAGGAAGTGAAGACGGAGAACAGACTTCAAGGAATCTGAGCGAGCAGCTCAATGCAGATAGCACCTCGTGTACAGACAATGTCAAGGTAGATCCTGCTGGAGCATGCTGTTGGAATATCGAGGCTTGCAAAGAGCGTCGGACAGATGCTCTTGGTTTCACAGGCGTATTTAATAGCTTGCTTGAGAATAATGCCTCTGCTTGCAGGTGATGGTTAGAGTCAGACCAGTAGACACCAGCGAGACACAAGGTGTTGCACCCAATTCCTGACTTTTTCCATCACAAAGAGGATCTTTCCCAATTTTACTGCCATCGTATGTGTCATTTGTGTCTGTTCTCATAAGGTTACTGTTGCAGGGAGTCTCCAGGAGCTGTCCACCACGCATGTCTCCATTGTATCGGCTCACGACCATCTCAGGAATTATGAGTTTGACCATGTTTGTGGCCCCACGGCAAGCCAGGAGGACGTATTTGAGGGCAAGTATCCCTCTTCCCTGAACCGACAATTGTCATCCTTGACAATCAGAGGCCAGTAATGTGTCAATTCCCAATATGTCTGAGATATTATGATGTGGGAACATCAAGCATTGTGCATGCAGCAATGCTAAAGGAAAATTGTGCAATGCTCTGCAGTGGCGGGACGGCCCTTTGTGGATCACTGCCTGCAAGGCTTCAATGTGTCTCTGTTTGCCTATGGGCAGACCTCCGCTGGCAAGACCCACACCATGACCGGCAACCTCAGAGAACCAGGCCAGGTGAATCGTCCTTTCAACCAGAAGCCACAATTTGCTAGATTACCCAGGTGGCTTTCTTGATGCTACTTCAGCACTTGTCTTTCAGTGTTTTGATGAAAGGCGTGTTAATCTGAGGAAAATGCACAGGTTGGACTGGCACCGAGGCTACTTGAGCTTCTGTTCCTCCAGATCTCTGAGGCAGAAGGCAAGGAGGTAACCTGTGTCCATCACTTTGTCCCTTCACTGCATCTGCAATACACGTCAGAACCTTATATGAGAATTCTCCTAGACAATGGCATGATCGGTACTCCCTCCCACAAGCACCTGTTCATGGGGATTTGTTTGATTGGCAGGGTCCAGACAAGCTCAAATTCACTGTGAGGGCGTCCTACCTGGAGCTGTACAAGGAGGTGATCACGGACCTGCTGGGGCCTGCGGATGGGGCAAGCCTGCAGCTCAGGGAAGATGTGTGCAACGGAGTCTATGTGGAAGGACTCACAGAGCGGGAAATCCTCAATGGTGCGTGCTGTCAAGATCACTAGTATTTTTCACCAAAATCAATTGTCTTATTTGGATTGTGGCAGGATGGTATCTCTGTGATATACTGAACATCTTGCCATACAAATATCAAATGTTCCAAGAGAGGCTAGATCTCATACTTGACTGATGCCGCTTTTGAGCATGCAAAGAAGGTGATCCATCAAATTTAAACAGGGGTACTGGAATCCACCCCTTGCTGGGACAGTTTTGTAACCTGTGGTTGTCTTTGCATTACATTGACCCCCCGCTCTAAGGGGGTCTGAGGGAATTGATGCGTGCAGCGGGGGACGCGATGGCGGTGGTGGAGGAGGGAACAGCGCGGCGGCGCACAAACGAGACGCGCATGAACCAGGAGAGCAGCCGCTCACACGCCGTGCTCACCGTCTACATCGAGTCCTGGTCCCGGGCAGACTCCGACGTCGAGTGTATCCGCTCCTCTCGGCTCAACCTCATCGACCTCGCAGGTGCTCGCCTAAATTTAATCTTGGCCATACGACACGGGGCAACCGGCTTCCAGGGCTGATGGGTTCCATTTCAGGGCAGAAAATGAAAATCTGAAAAGATGGACAGTAAAAGCGCGCATCGCGGAGTTGAACATGCAACCGTGGGTGTTTTGGCGCAGGAAGCGAGCGGAACACGAGCAGCGGAGCCACCGGGGAGCGCCTAAAGGAGGCCTGCAGCATCAACCAGTCGCTGACGACGCTGGGCCGAGTCATCTCCGAGCTTGTAGACGCGCAACAGTCTGCGCAGGCCGGCGGCGGCCCGCGGCACATCCCCTACCGGGACTCGAGGCTCACCTTCCTGCTGCAAGTGAGCGCCCTCGGTGTTGCCAATCTTGACAAGCATATCTGCTTGCTTGGCCAGCAATGCCATACCCTGGTGCAGTGGACTCTAGAAACATTATAGAAACATTCAACCTCCATCCTTGCAAACAGAAGATTAGGGCCCCTGCTTTGCAGAAGCAGAAACCCCTCAATTCACAGCGCATCGAGGGCACTCTGCTCGGGGGACCTCAAGAACTTCAGCCTTGCGTTTCTGCTTTCAACCTGCCTGCGGCTTGTGAGGGCATCACACCATTTCACACAGCGGCGCTGCTGCAGCAGTCATCTTTAATGCTTGCAGAGCAAGGCTCTCTTGGCCAAAGACGGCATGTGCAGCGTGCCTGCACTATATACCAAGATGGTGTGTCACGCAGGATTCACTGGGTGGCAATTCAAAGACGCTGATCATTGCATGCGTGAGCCCGGCGGAGGCGCACGCGGCGGAGACGGCGTCCACGCTGGAATTCGCGCAGCGTGCGAAGCGCATTCGCAACCGCGCGCGCGTCAACCGCGACACGCGCGGCGACGAGCAGCTGCTGCGCCGCGAGATCGAGCGCCTCAAGCGGTAATACTTGATCACAAAAATCCCCTTGCATGGGGGTATTATTGCATGCAGGGTCTATGGGGTTTTTGATTCAGGCAGATTTAAACACCTGCTTGATTGGAGGCGCTTGTGGGCCGCGGTTCCTTGCCCCGCCCACCAGCAAGATATTGAGGGAAACTGGTCAAACATGCGTGGCCCAATTTATTGTGAGTATCCCCTGGGAAGACATGGGGAAAATCACCTTGAGCTTGCATAATAAAAGGCTTGTCATGGAGCAGGCGACCTGAGGATAAGACCGGTTCTATCCGCTTACTGCACAATCACACCGGGCATGTACGCCTGGGTCCAGTGCGCCATTATATACGGCCTCTTTTTGCACACTGTCCAATGACCGCAAATGTGTAATTGATGGCAGGGAGCTGGAGGCGCGTGATGCGGCGGCCGAGCCGTTGGCGCAGGAGAACTCGGAGTTGCGGCGGCTGCTGGAGGCAACCCGGCCGCAGGAGTTCCCTCCGCAGCAAGCGCCTTCTGAGGCAACCACGCTTCGGCTGAAAGCCCTGGAAGAGCAGCGGAGGCGGCTCGAAGAGGAACGCGCGGATCTTGAGCAGGTGATCTTGTGGAAGTGCACAAGCATGCTGTAATGGGGTGTTCACTGGAGGCCAGGGTATTGCTTGGCACACATTATCAACTGTAACAGGCACAAAAAAGAGCATATCATGGTTCACCTGTGGAAAGGTTGCCATGAGGCGTTGCGGCAGCACTCAGCAATCCTGACTCCTTGTCAGTCTCAGGACTGACGAGTCAGATAGTGAGTCCTGTCCGTCTTGTGGCAAACACACCATCTTGTGCAACCACCGTCTTACTCACTGACAGAGTCCGTCCTAGACTTTGTCCTCAGTGATTCAACAATAGACAACTAGGTTCGCAGCCTTTGTCAGCAGCATGTGACTTGAACTGCTGTGCAGGAGAGGGATGTGGCGGAGAGGAGGGCGGCGCACATGGAGGCGAGCTGCAGCAACATGAGGGAGGAGGTGCAGCACGTGCGGCTAGAAACACTGACCGAGCGCAAGACCGCCTCCAAACTGCGCTCCGAGGTGAGCCTTGCGCACGCATGGCTGCTGCGTTGCATCACTCATTGGCAGCTTTGTGGTGATCTAATCATTTTGCATGCCCTCACATTGTGCCCCAGGTCTGTGCTGTATCATTGGTGAGTCTGCATGAGTCATTGCAAGGCCTTCTGTGTCGCCCAGCATGGCTCATCCAGACCCTCTACAGATTCATTGCCCCTTTAAAAACTCGTGCCAGGGAATATTCCATCGAACCTGACAAAAATAGGTAGTTTGATATTGATTGTGCCGGCAGATTCTGAGCCTGCAAAGTGTGCCCCCTGCACATCTCTCTGTAACCCATTCAATCTTATCCATATAGCAGGCTGATTAGGAGCCCAGCCTGCTGTGTAGGCCTGCGTCTGCAGCAGAGACTTCCCTATGAGAAGCCACCCTGACATGCAACATGCTTTGACAATGCTGTATCTTTGGTGAGCAGGTGGCTGAGGGGAGCAGGGCGCGCGCGGCACTGGAGGAGCAGCTGCAGAATTTGCAGAGGGAGGCGGATGCCGAGAGGACGGCGGCTCAGGCGAGGCAGGCGCAGCTGCAGGCCAGGGTGGGGAAGCTGCAGGAGGTGAGTCACCCGCTGGCATCATCCATATTAGTCCCTCCCCTGACGCCCTATACACGCTGGATTGTGCGTTCAAGGTTCTGCAGCACTAGTGATCATACAGATGGGACTAACACACGCTGAACACAACTGGTGCTACAGAATCCCTTCAACACATTCCAACCTGCTCACTGTGGCAAATGACTCACATGAACTTGCAGAGAATGTGCATTCTGTGAGTGGAGTGAGGGGAAGACTACTTTTTAATCAAACTAGCGTGTCTCAAGGCTGCAGCTTACTGTACATCATTAGCTGCTCATTTCAAGGAGCTCATGTCAGATATAATATAACTGATCAGCGCTGAGACCCATGCCTAAAGTTATGAAAGTGACTAACTGTGCATGTGCCGATGTCAGGACCTTGCTGAAGAGCTGCAGCGCGCCACAAAATGGAAATTGGTGATGGAGAGCTTCTCGTCAAATGTCACCGCTGCTTACAACCAGGCGCAGACTCCCAAAAGTCAGTCAAAGTCTGGGCTGGGGCTGCGCAGGCCGCCAGAGCTGGAGGTGGAGTCATACGAGTGACTCAGCGGTGCCCTCCTCATATGGGTGCTTGCGCGACATGATCTCCATTGCATGTGTAAACAGAGAGTGGAGCTCTGAATATGTGAGATTTTTGGGATTAATGAATGTCAGAGCTCGTGACATATGTGCTTTCATGGACACATGCATTAAGGTCTGTCTAGATCTAGACCTGCAATGTTGCACAGTACTTTGGTGAGTTGCAACTGCAAATTCTGTTCCACATATGGGGTTAATGCAAAAAAACAACCGAGGTCACTGCGAGGATGTCGGTATGCTAATGTATTATGATGACCACAGCGCCCTTTGGTACTTTGTAAGAGGGGAGAACACAAGAAATGCTTCACACGCCATTTGGCAGACTCGCAGAAAGATCAAACAGAAAATGCTGGGGTCATAAGCTTTGCACAAAGAGAATCCGACACCGCTTATTCTGACAGTTGCACAGCCCCTGTGTTCTTGACCATGCATAAACAAACTCTGCTATTTCTGTGCAACGCACACATCAAATTCAAGTAAGCCCACATTCGTTAGCACAACCGTAATATTGCACGAGTTTCACAAATCACATCAGTTCAACTCTCTCCCACCCCATATGACAATCATGTTTTCAAGAGCACGATTGCTCTCCAAACACAGCAAAAATTCTGCAGACGCTGACATTGCTTGTGCAGAAAGTTGATCTGCCCATTAAAGAGGAATTGCACAATGCCACGTAAAATCAACTGCAGTGCAGCTCAGGCAGTTCAACACCTCACCGGTACTCCATTACTGGCAGCTGTGAGGCGGATCATGTTCCCCAGTAATCAAATATTTACTCTAAAACATTGAATGCAAAGGCTGCTGCACGCTCAGGACGTTGGCTGCTTTGAGCACTTGGAAACGATGTCATACTTGCTCTGCTCGCTCACCAGGAAATTGACCAGGCCTGACTTGCCTGCCAGAGTGTTGGCGTCATCCAGAGTCTGCACAAATGCAACACCACATTGCCCATCAGAACATTTAATAGAACAGAAAAAATCCAGTTCTGATGCACATGAAGAGAACTGCCACTTGCGCCTGAGAAGCAAGCTTGAAAAACCAGTGATAACCTTCAAGCCATGGGATGGTTTGAGAAAGTGATGGGTTGCTCTGCTACCTCAAAGAATATGTTGAGAAATCCAGTAGGTTGTCCTATTCCCTGACACATTCTTGAGCAGATATACACGAGAACAAAAGAGGCAGCGCACACCTTTTTGATGATGCGGCAGCATTGGTACATTGGTAAAAACAAGGATAAAATGCCCGAGGCAGCGCGCACCTTTTTGATGACGGGGCAGCACTTGTTGAGCTGGTCGGTGACGGCGGTGGCCTCCGGCGCGCCGTTGAGGCTGGGCAGAGAGGTGATGCAGCTCTGCGCGGCCCCCTCAAGCCCTGCCAGGAACGAGTCCGCTACCTGCACAACCGCGTAAATACGAATTCAAAATCGACAGTAGGCAACACAGAGGATTGCGCAGTCAACATCAATGCGTAACCACATGACCATGATGTCTGCGCTGGATGTACCCAGTAACTTCTAAACATGGCCTCTCAGAATACAATCCCACCATTAGATGGCAAAGATGGCCTCCTGCCATCAGACGTGGTCAGAAGAAAAGATCCACACGAGCTATTTCTCATGGTGCATCACATGCATGGACTATCAGCTTACAATATGAAGACAGACAGTGTGCATATGTGTGAAGTGGGGACACTACAAGTGCAAGGGTGGGTACTCACCGCAACGGTGTCGCCGTTGGAGTCCTGGGTGTGGCCGAGCGCCTGCACAAAAGCGAGCGCGGTGTTGTACGAGTCGAAGGCACTGATGTAGCTGGGGGTGGACGCGCCGCTCGGGTTCAGCAGCGCCTTCAGGCCGTCCACCACCTGCATGCACACTTGTCATTGCCAGCATTTTGGGCGGAATAAAAGAGAGGCATGTGCTGCTAAGAGGCACAATGCTGCTCAGGGCACAGGCGGATTTCTTTGGTGGTGCTAACACCAAGGCATGTGCTGCTCTGAGGCACGCTGCTGCTCAGGGCAATTAGCAAGGAACCGAGGCATTAAAAGAGCTCAGAGCGCTTCGAGCTCGAGCCAGGAGGGGTCCTGCCTCAATTCAGCAGGATGACTGCATCTTAGGAATCAGATCTTTCAGATCTAATCTGACACCTGTTGATGGGGGCATGGCAGGCTACAGAATGGGTCAAAAAGGCCCGGGCAAGTGTACTCGCACAGAGGCAACGCCATACCTATGCAACGGTACACGCTTGTTGAGCAATACCACAATGTAGAAGAAATGGAGATTTTCAGAGGAGGCAACAGTGCACGCCTGCTGGTACTTGTTCTCGCCGAGCTGCTGGATGACGTAGGTGGCGGCGCGCGCGGCCAGAGCCGTGTCCAGTCCGTTGACTCCCTTCAGGTCATTCAGGGATGACACCGGCGCCGGCAGCTGGTCCTGCACCACGCTTCGGTAGCCGCCGATCGCGCTCACCGCCTGGTTCAGCAGGTCAGTGAAGTTGGCGGTGCTCCCTGTGGTGTCCACCACTGCACCAATGCAGCATGTCACCCATGAGACCCTCTCCGCAGTATCCTGTTGGTCTCTGTTAAATTTCACAGCTGCACTGCTTTGCTAGATGAAGTGATTTGTCATTTCTGAGCCACGTGCAACTTCACAGCTGCTCTGCTTTAATGAAAGGAGTGTCTTCTCCTTTCTGAGCCACGCCCATGAGGTGTTAAATGCTGCTTGTAATGGAGGTGAGGACTGCAGGCTGCGGTCTCCTTTGCAAGCTGCTGGCTTGTCGTGCAAGGAGGAGACTAGAACAAAAGAATCCAATGCACCCCTCATGCCACGGCAGGGCGAGGCTGTGGGCCAGAAGCCAGCCGGGGCTCCTTGCGCTTGTGGATGCACAAAAACCACCTTCAACAGGGAAGGCTTCAAACATGATTTAGATTGAGATTGCTGTGGGGCCACACGTGTGCTGACGAGGGCGGCAGCGGTGGGTGGGTCGGCCGCCACTGAGTTGAGGGCGTCAGCGATGAGGCTGGCGTCTGCGGTCTGCTGCAGCGTGCGCGCCGCGGCTGCGGGTCCGGCGCACAGCAGGGCGCCCAATGCCAGGATCAGGAGTGCACGGGCTGCCATCTGGACCTGCACAGCAATCGCTGCACTTTCACTCTCAGGGTCTCTGTGCACGGTTGGAGCATGGAAAGTAGATTGACGTCTGGAAACGCTTCGTTCATGTGATATGCGCCTTTCTGAGGTGCAGCTCGCAATATTTTTCCTCGGCTACTCAGCCTGTCCTGCTTGAGGCTCTTGCTGAGCGTCCCCCTCATGATTTGGTTTTCTAGCCCAGCTCTAACATCTGTAGGGTTATTCACAGGTATTTAACTAGAAATAGGTACCCTTAAGCTTCCCCTTCATGAATTTGGTGGGCTTCAAACACGTGCTTCAGGGATGTAAAGTTTAAGCCCAAGGCATCTCGCAGCTCTTCATCAAGGATAGTGCACATAATTTCAGTTTGATTGTATATTTTTCTGCGTCACGCAGCGCATTGACGATCACGAGATCCTCTGAAACACCACACGCGCTCCGTCGACCCCAAGATCGGTTCTCAAGACGAATCAATCCCACAGATTTGGAAGTAAATCCACTGTACTCCTAACGAAGAGATGTTTGGATTGATAAATGCCTGTTTCTGTCCATCAGCAGAGACCCTTTGGTGCTCTGCAATTTCTCGCGGCAAGGCGACTGTAACATCCGCTTCCGACCGAAGCACGGCGTCGGATCTATCAACCGCAGATGTCCACAACGGGTATCATAAATCCCCTACAGCGATGGAAACCGAAACAGTGCCGCTTCAAAGCATCATTACAAAAGGCGGCAACACTCGAGCTCACCGTCTGCTCAATCTTCTCGCTCAATCTGCCTGGTGCTCCTTGCTTCCGTCTCCTGCACTCTTGCGTATGAAGATTGCGAATCTGTGGGAATGAATGTTATTTCGTTTGCTGGTTTGAGCAAACGGCGGCCAAATTCCGGCGCTGAAAGTCACCACACCCTCGTGTGCCACCTGGAGCTGGATCTCAAATATCTGTGATGTCAGACAGGGGAGGGTCACACGTTGCCAGGGCACGGCGTTACATCCATGCAGGTCAGGTGATGGCTTGAACTGCATGTGAGTGTTGGCTGAAGTTTCTCCTTTTTACTGGCAGGTAGTAATGATACCCACGGTATATGCATGGAGAAGAATGCAATTACAGTAAACAGATAGTTACGTAATTGCCGCAGCCACGCTTTCAATTTTACGCTGCGTTTACAGCATGCCCTGGAGCAAGGAAATAAATAAAATTTGTCTTGTCTCTGATTCAGATACTCAAGCAGGCAAGCAATAAAGACACCACAAATAAGATCAAATTTATCACAACTACAAGAGTTCCCTTAATTCAAAAATATATTAAATGTACTCACAGTAAGTTCCATCATGTTCCAAAAATCTTTATTCGCAGTTCAAGCTGCATGATATCAATTGCATACATTTACACCGTTGCCCAGATCCTACACTCTGTTATTTTCCTTGCAGCGGGAGTCTCCTTCTTGTGTGTTCAGTGATCTACTGGCAGGCTTGCACGCGGGGGTAGCTGGTGAGAGCCGAGCTGAAGACACTGGCCGTGCCCACCTGGCCTCCGAGCGTGTTGGCATTCTGCATGGTCTGCACAGAGCACAACAAACAAACTCAGCTCAGTCTCGCTCAGATGTTAGGACCCAGATGCCATGCATGGGTTAAGCACTGTTGGTCACTGGTTGGTCTGAGGCTGGTTCTTGTGCCTTGCGTGCTCTGCAGACAAGTGCTCAAGTATTTCTTGGTTGCTGCAGCTAGCGTACTTCTGTAAACAAATGATGGAGCTCACTGGTCTACTGTATCAACGCTGCCTGGTATTTTATGCCTGCTTAATTCACATTCTGTGAGACCAGTGGGTGCACCACAGCAATGCAAGTCAGGCTGCCGATGCATTACACAACCAGCGCATCACCATCAGAAGCATATACAAATATTAGTAAGTGGATAGTCACCTGTCTGACGACGCTGCAGCATGACGTGGCGGTGCCGCCGTCCGAGATGCACTTTGCCATGGCATCATCCAGCCCCTTGGCAAATGACTTACCAACCTGCATGGCACAGGCCTGCCACATCAGCATGCATGCAGACATCCGCATGCATGCGCACGTTGAAAGTGCTTCATCGCCCTGAGCACCTTGCAGCTTCTTCAAGTCTTCAGGCCTGACTGACAGCACTTGACAAAACCCAGGCCAAAAGAGGCTAAGGCTGCAATGCTGGAAGGTGTCCAAGGGCTAGAAGGATAGAAGGATATACCTGGGATGAGAGTTCAGGCTGCACGCGGTTGGCCTTGGCGGCAGCTGCCGTGAAGGTGGCGGCGGTGTTGTAGGCCTGAGTGCTGGAAATGGCGGTCGTGCCCCCACTGGAAGATATGGTGTTTGCCAGCGAAGAAGCCACCTGTTTCGTTTTCACACCACCCTTCAGCTAATGCAGCCCATTCTTGTTGCAGCAAAGCCCTGACATGCACAGCCACCCTCTGTTTGATGAGCAAGGAGCACTGCTTCCTTTGCTCGTCTACAAGCTCTTTTGTAGTGCCACATGCAGCCTGGTAAGCTCTGAACCATTGTGCATCTTTCCAATCACTTGCCCAGCCATGCAGACAGTCTTAAAGAGCCAGGCCTGTCTCATGTCATGTGGTAAATTTTCAGATCCATCTAGGTTCGGGGTCCAGAGATATTAATATTGTGATAAGGGAGGGCAAAGGGTCACCGTGGGGGAGTTGTTGTTGGCGAGGTTGGCGAGCATGGAGTCGGCCAGGCCGGTGATCACATTGTTGCCGTCAGTGCTGCGCGTGGCCGACAGGTTCATGAGCTCCCCAAGGTTGAAGGGCATCGCCTGCGACATGTTTGGAATACCTGCGCCGCACCATAAACACTTAATGGAGCCATTGACGGGCTGCATCTGCCCCTCATACCATGCTCAGCTTAGCTGCTGGGCTTTAGTTAGGGATGGCTGCCCGCTCGAAACGCAAACAAAAATTGCCCTTGTTGGAGGTGGGCTGCAGGCGGCTCAGACAAGGTTGGGAGAATCTCTTGATAATGATTACTAGCATCTCTTCATCGCAGGCAAAGGGATGAAAAAATGTGCACACCTCCACCGCCGCTCGCAAAGCCCATGATGAGCTGCAGAGCTGCACCCATCAGAGAGCCCAAGTCGGGCAGCCCACTGCCACCACCACCCAGGAGCCCTGAACGCAGCACATGCATCCCATTAGCATGCTGCAAAAGGCAGGCAGCAAACTCTCACAGGCTCTCTTCACTCAATTCTAACTGCATTCCACCAGCATGGCATCAGCATATCATGACAAAGGATAGAATAATTGGGACAGGTGGCGAGAGCAGGGCCTCACCAAGGATACCGCCGATGCCGCCGGCCGCCCCAGAGTCGCCGCCATTGTTGTTGTTATTGTTGTTGTTGTTTGAAGAGCCGCCGCCGCTGCCGCCGTTGTTGTTATTGTTGTTGTTGAAGTTGCAGTTGTTCCCCGTGGCAATGACGGCGTTGTTGCCGATGTTGCAGTCGTTATTGTTGTTGTTTGCTGGAGGGCTGTCCACCTGTCCATTTGCCCAGCCGGTGACCGTGTTCTGAGCTGTGTTTGGCCCCTGCACATGTTTAGAAATGTCTTCAGCAACCAATGTCATGCATGAGCAGGTGCATGTCACATCGAAATGCTGACATCAGCTTCAATCCCACCTCAGGGGTGGCTCCCTCAGAGTCCTCAAGATACAAGATTTTGATTTCATTCATTTGATCCCACAAGTGGCAGCACCGTACCTGGTTGTTGTTGTTGGAGTTGTTCTCATTACTACCGCCGCTGTTCGAACCGCCATTGTTCCCACTGTTTCCTCCCCAGCTGCCATCTCCCCCATTTCCGTTTCCCCCACCCCCACCCCCTCCATTATTCCCCCAGTCGCCGCCGCTGTTGCCCCATTGCTGCTGGGGTTGATAGGGCCTGCCCGGACCTCCAGGTCCCCCCGGTCCACCACCGCCAGGTCCGCCGGGTCCGCCGGGACCACCGGGACCCCCCGGCCCCGGCAGCTGCCGCAGCTGCCGCGCGCACTGGCCGGTGCACAGCAGTGCGAGCAGGATCAGGCAGCGGACTGTTGTGCCGCGGGTTAGTTTGAGTTCCATACTGGTTGGCCTGCGCATTGGGCAAAAGACTGTCAGCAGTAGGCGCCAGCCTGCCTGAGGAGCAATAATGTAATAAAAGCTACACCCGCTGCAGCTGTTGACCGGTGGGCAAGGGCACAAGGTGCTCAACTTTTCGCGATCAGAAATGAAAGACTATATGCAGACTATAGACTGTAGTCACATGTGGAATCGAGTCCTTGAAGTACCCTTGCCCAGTCCCTTGACACGTCATATCACATATCGATGGGACACAGCACTATATCTGCGATAACTGACTTGAAGGCTTGAGAGCATCTTAAAAACATATTAAACCATTTATGAAAACACTAAGAATGTCAAAGAAGCGTTCAGCATGACGATCGCTGTCAAACACGCGATGGCACATCTACGACCCCTCAATATCTGTCTCGCAGGATTTCCCTTATCATACCATTCTAACATTATCATAGCTATTTTTTTACATTTGAAGTGTTTTGAACAAATATTCTCTTTACTAGAAGCTCTAGTGCCGAAAAAAAGCCATCAACTTGTCCTTACGGAGCCCTTTGTCAAAAGTGCCCTGTGGGGGCTTGTTGAAAAATTAAAGCGAGAAGTGGTGAAATGAATATCAAGAATAAAAGCATCTAAGGCAATCTAGGCAATGCCTGCAACGATTTGAGCCCACCTGCTAGGTTTCCGACACCGATTTGGAAGTGATCAGGATCTCCGAGATACTTCTGCACGTCTTCACAACACGATATCGATCCCTTTTGCGCTTCAGATACCAGTTGATATGAATGCCATCTTTGGTTGGTCAAATTGGTGCAGATGACAAGAATCGAAATAGCTGAACATTGTAGCTTGGCGTCGGCCTGTCGAGCACATTTGAACGGGAGCCAGGCTGGATCATCGACCCCCGTCCACCCCTTCCTGCTTGCCACCTGCCTTCCCTCCGCCACCTGTACCTGAGCGTGGCATACCGTTGCCAGCACATGCAGAGTGTTGCTTGAGACCTTTCTGTCTTTGTTGGGAGTCACAGGTGGCAGGAGCAAGTGCACTTCACGTGAAGAGGTGTACACATGTGCATGCCCTCAAGCTCAATTGAGATCTCGAAATATGAGCAAGCTAGCAGATCATAAGTTACTGCTGGACATGCAGATTGCGACGACGCCCTCAGCGCACCTTGAGCACAGAGAGAATGCAAGACGATATTAATAAAGCTACTGCGAACCCGCGTTCCACCTACGTAGGTATACATGCAACTGCGAGAATGCACTCACTTGGTGACACTTCATAATGTAGAATTTTAAACACCTCTTGAACAAAATATGTGGCATGACGAACAGTCACACGACCCAACAAAGACCTTAGACCCCGAGGCGGCTAACACTAATCTCTGTGAGACTCTTGGTTGTTTGCAGGACAAGACCTCTCAGCCAACTCATCGACTACAAGCCCCCAGAACAGTGATGCTAGTGATGATCTATGCCTTTCTGTCACGATAAGAATTCCTGCAAAAAGTATAGTACAGGCCAGCTCAGTCAGCTGCCAGCAGTCATTGGATGGACTTGACTGCCTTGGTTGCAGCATCGTCCAGGTCATCAGCTGCTATGATGTCCACATCGCTGTTGCTCAGGATCTCCTTGCCCTTCTCCACATTGGTGCCCTCTAACCTCACTATCAGGGGAACTGACACGCCCACCTGTGCACATCGAAGACCTCAGCACCTTCTGTGCCAAAGCCAGGACAGCACAGACATATCAGATCCCCCTCAGCTCAAGTGCAGAAGAGCTGGACGTGTTGCTCACCCCCTTTGCTGCGTTGACGATGCCAGCAGCGATGACATCGCACTTCATGATGCCACCTGCGCAGCATGATCCCTCAGACAGTGCAGAATGCTTGCGGCCTGAGCATCCATGTTGCTCTGTCCTTCGCTGCAATAGGCAATTGGAGACTGTGTAAGGTGTAGGTGCTCACCAAAGATGTTGACCATGATGGCCTTGACTTGGGGGTCTGATGTGAGGATTTTGAATGCCTCCACCACCTGCACAGACCAGGGACATTTCTCGAGTCAGTCTGCAATTTTTTTGGTATGGAAAGGCTTGTGGCATTAGTCAATACAATAGCTGACCCCTGTAAGGAGCTGCAAGGCACGATCATCAATTGCGGCAGTGTTGCATGGCAGTCCCTTGCCAACAAAGCTCTCTTCCAAGCACAGGACATCAACACAGCGGCTGCAAGCCAGCAGGGGAGTTGATGTAATAAACCTGCTGCTCGGAGGCATTGCCTCCCACGTCCAGGAAGTTGGCGGGGGATCCGCCATGCAGCTTGATGATGTCCATGGTCGCCATGGCCAGGCCAGCACCGTTGACCATGCAGCCGATGTTGCCGTCTAGCCCGATGTAGTTCAGATCAAACTTGCCCGCCGCCACCTCCCTGCGCACACACCAGACATCCCATTTGCTTCTCCCTCGTCTACAGTGCGTCAGATGAGCTTGACTAGGCGCTGGTCTCTCTCCCCCGGAGAGATACGCCAGGCTACTTTGTCTTCTGAACCTTTCCCGCAGATCAGGCCTTGCACAGTTCATTTTGTTTCCAAGCCATACACTTTCTGACAATCAGTCACAATGCATCAGAATTACGGACAGCGGAAGTATGCATGTCAGGGGGTGCATGCAGGCACCTGGGGTCCTCCTGGGACGAGTCCCGCTTGGCAAAGAGCTCCTTCTGCCTGAAGGCTGCGTTGTCATCGAAGCCCAGCTTCGCATCGGCTGCCACGAGGCGGCCATCTGTCGTCTCAGCCAGAGGATTCACCTGCAAGGAAATCCACATTGCTTGGTATGGAGAATGCATGGTCAAAAAGGCGCTGCTTTTGTGAAAGCGAAGAGGCCAAGATGGAATTAAGGCTGACAATGCAGTGATGTGTCTCGGGTATGTGCTTATGAACACACACCTCGACCATGGTGCAGTCGCTCTTCACAAAGGTCTCGTAGAGAGCCTTGATCTGGTCTGCCGCTGCCTTCTTGTCACCACTGACCTTCAGTGCCTCCACAGCTTGGTTGGCCTGTATGCAGCACCTCATATAGCTCACTCATATAGCTCACTGGACTTCCCAGCTGTCTTGATTAGATCAGGCTCGTTGATGGCATTTCCATGACATGCACATGCAGAGAGAGCACAGGTAATGGTAGACATGGCCAGCTAACATGGATGAGGGCAAGTGAAGGTCATTGGTAGGAATGTGGGCACCTGAGCGTCTGTAATGCCCTCGAAGATGTCAATGGTGATCTTTATGATCTTCTCTGGGTACTTCTCTGCCAGATCCTCAATGCTAGTCCCGCCTGCAGACGCACAGAATGTAAGCTTCATCCATGCATGGTGATTAGAACATCAAGCAATGAAGCAATTGTTGGGGTTGTGGTTAAGAAAAAGGAGGAGCCTGCATGTGCACCTTCGCTGCATGCAATGATCATGGGCCCTGCAGAAGCCCTGTCGAGCAGGATTGCAAAGTACATCTCGTTTGCAAAGCTCATCTTGTTGGCAATGTACAGGGTGTTGACAGGCTTCCCCGCTGGGCCAGTCTGCTTTGTGACAAGAACCTGCATGCACATATCACATCCGTGAGGAATCCCTTCCTATGTAGCAAGTGTCCATCAGGTTCATAATGCCTGCATTCACCAAGGAGAAAAGCTTGGATCAGTACCTGTCCAAGCATCTGCTCTGCCAGCTTGGGTGCCTCATCAACGCTGCAGATGTGCACCCCGCCTTGCAAGCCGCTCTTGAACTTGCCCAAGCCTCGTCCACCAGCCAGGATCTGACTCTTCACCACAACCTGTGTAGGGGGACCCAGATCAACGCCGTGAAAGGGGCTATCTGGGCTGCTCATGGTGTAATCAGATTTGCAAGAAAGAGATAGTGAGAAGCGAGAAAAATTTAATCATGACATACCTGGCCTTCTGCATCAGCCATCTTTTTTGCTGCTGGCAGCACTTCATCCAGCTTGAAGACTGGAATGCCAGGAGGAACATTGACCCCGTATTGGCTCATCAACTCAGCGCCCTGATACAGGCAAATCCAAACCAGCATCAAGAATCGATTCGAAGACTCTTCGAATGAGTAACTGATATTCCGATCGAGGCAGAATACACAAAAACCCTAAGGCGTCTTGAACACAGTGCGAAGGACAGCAGGCCCCCACAAGAGAAATACAATTGAATGGCATGTGGCATTATTGCCATCCATGCGAGGTTCAGCTGAAGGAGACAATGTCAAGTCCATGTTGTAGACTTGTAAAGGTGCCTCAGGTGCCAACACAGTCACGCCAGTACACGAGCAAAATCCACAGGAGATAGATTGTCCGAATATATATGTGGAACTATCGATCGCATTGTAGTTCTGACCAGTAGGCTGACCTGATACTCGTGGACATTGAGAAACCGCAGGTGTTGTAGCTGCATGCCATTCTTTCTCGATGCCTGCGATGCCCTGGTGAGGGCCCGGAGGCAAGATCCAAGCATGATTGCAAGTTTCTTGTACAGTGTGGACTGGAGAACTGCCTGAGCGAAGAATTGAAGTAAGTTACTTAAGCACTTCAAGTAACAGGACAGAACACTACTAATACAGTTGTAACGATTACTGATCTGTGGCGTTACCCACCCACGTGCCTGCTCACATCTTTCCTTGTTCGTTTCTGAAGGCAGTGGACTCTGTCCAAACAAAAATATGTATTCTTGAAGTGCTTAAGCATCCTTTGCGGTCCGTTCTGTGTCTTCATTACAGTCTTGCACAAACAGATCGCAACGCAATGCCCCAAGGTGAAAGACTCAAAAGCGCTCTGCTTCTCGATATAGCCCATGTTCAGTCACTACATGATAATATGGTGGAAAATGTATGTATTTATGATCAGTGCACAAGGTATCGTTCTGTTTGGACGATCCAAATCTCTGTAACCGCCAGTCACAATGTATGTCTTTGAGAGCGCCCCGTGGCTTGGAATATGCATCTTCGCTTTGAGCGGAATCTCATCGATTTCTCTGATAGTCAGCAGAAGATTACTGCCCTGTCATGGTCGCCAACGAGGTACTGCTAAATTTTGCAGCTTGTGCTGTTTATCGAAACAGTGCTGTTTATCGAATCAGGTGATCAGCCAGATTTTCATGACAGCGCAAAGTGATAATTTGCCGTTGACAGGCAGAAGATTGCGGCAGCTACCGCAGACAGGGTGATCTACCTGTTCGATGAAGGAGGCGAACTCAGGGACAGGTTCAGAACAAAACCAAATGATTCAGATGGGCACTTTGTTTATATGGTGTGGGGAATGGCGTTCTCTCAGGACTCAACAATATTGGCCACAGCGCAGGTGAGCTGAGCAAAAATGAAGATCTCACCTGTCCCTCAAAATAACTACTTACTGGAATTGTAACAAATGAGAACAAATGAACGAATGAACAAATGAAAAAAAAACCCAAAGAACTTAGCTGGTGCTTGCTACATGCAGAGCGATGGGGTGGTATTTGTGTATCGATTGGGACTGGAATGGGGAGAAAAGAAGAGTATCTGCGCCAAGTTCCCGGCCAACAGTCCTGTAACAAGTATTGTCTGGCCGCCAAACAATGCTGACCGCCTCTATTTTGGAGCGCTCGATGGAAAGGTGAGCTGCAACTGAATATTGCCATGTTTCCTACAAGTAGAGCATGCATGCATGACTTACGTGTCATGGTGTCGCAGGTGAGGGTTGGTCATCTGGAAACCAACAAGACTGAGGTCGTGTCAGGTAATTTGGAGGCAAGTGCGATCTTGACACTTGCTGCCAATGGAAAAGGCGATGCTGTCATTTCTGGGCATGAAGATGGTCGCATCTGCAGGTAAGGCCCTCATATCACCATTCTTAAATGCTCAGGACAGCTCAATATTTCACAGTTTTGGACACTTGAGGGGGTTCCAATGTCACACAGGTATGACCTGAGCCGGACATCAGGAGATGACAACATGCAAGTGATGGTGCGGCATTCATGTTCGGTTGAGGTTCTGGCATGGGGTGATGTCATCCTGGCAGCTGGCCCAGACTGCAAGGTGGCAGACTCTTTGAAATCCAAACATGCTCTTAAAAGTGCATGAAAGACAGGCCTGTACAGGTACATGAGTTTGTGAACCTGTGAGAAGTGACAAGCAACTTACATGTAGGTGGCTCTGTATACAGCGACCGGAAATCTGTTGCATGTCTTTGAAGCAAGAGATGGGTTGAGGCTGAGCCCAGCCACGGCTGCAGCTTTCAGTCCCTCAGGCCGAGGGATTTTAGTAGGCAGCCAAACGGCAATCGCTGCATACAGCAGGCTGCCTAACAATACTTGGGCAGTTTCTCAGGCACTCGAGGTGTGAATTTTTTGTGAGCTTACTTCTCGCAGGGCCTCCTATATCAGGATACACAAAAAACATGGACTCTGTGGCTGAGATGGCCCGCTCCTGACCCAGTCATAGTATGCATCATAGTCTGCAAATGTCCATGCAGGTGGAGAGTTTGCATGGCACAACTGCCATGTGTTGGTCCCCCGACAGCAACTATGTTGTCCTGGGAACACTTTCTGGCGGTGTCATGCTCTATTCAACCTGCCTCAAGCGACAGCTCTACAAAGATAATTTTGAGATCACTTACTCTAGCCTCAGCAAGGCAAGTGTCCAGCACAGGCCCACAGGTATGACATTGTCTTTGTTTGTCACAGACCCAGCAGTTTGCGAGCCATCCTTCTTGCATGCGTGAGGACAAACTTGCTTAGAAAAATGCATGCGCATGATGCACAAAGTATTGTGGTTGTCCTGGCAGGTCAAAGCGTAGCGATGGCGTCCTCCCTTGGGCAGTCCATTTCCAATATTGATATCTACCAGGACCGCTATGTGGTAGCTAGGACTTCCAAAAGCCTTGTTCTTGGGGACCTCACCAGAAAGGTGACTGGAGAGATCCTATGGGGAGGGAAAGGGAAGCAGCGCTTCTATTTCGGCAATCCCGAGGTAACCTAGCAACACCACATGCATGCGCACAACATTGCAATGGAGCATGCGCAGCTACCTCTCACAACCATGGTGCTTCCTATGGAAGTGATGAACACATGCGTCTGCATGCCATCATGTGAGAAATCTCATTTCGACCTGTGATGTCGATGTCCAGGTGTGTGGCATTTATGACTCTGGCGAGCTTTCTGTGGTGGAATATGGCAGCAGCGAGGTGCTGGGGTCATGTAGAGTCTCTCGCGTCAGCCATTACATATTGTCCATCAGCCTGCAATCACACCTTTGTCCAAAGGCTTGCATTGTTGCCCATCTGGAGGGCAAGAGGAGCATCAAAGTGACAGAACTGGTATCTGGCGCAACCCTGGCTTCATTTGAACATGCTGCCAAAGTGGATTGGCTGGTAAGCTCCATGACTCCTTCTCCCATGCACAGCAGCACTACAGCACCATATTTTTGTAGCTAATTAACATGGTGTTCAGAGGGTGCATCGGGGTGGCAGTGAGATGGTATATGCTGCTGACAGAATGATGTGCCTGACTGCTTGCAGGAATTGAATGCATCGGCGTCCCACCTTCTGTTCAGGGACCAGCATGCCAGCCTGCACATGCTTTATCTTGCTACCGCCAAAAACGTGCTCCTATTGGAGCGCTGTTCTTACTGCCAGTGGGTGCCTAGTCTGGACGTCATTGTGGCCCAGTCAGGCGGCACGCTGCATGTGTGGTACTCTGCTCGCTGCCCAGGCAGCGTTGCCACTGCTGCAGTGCAAGGCGCAGTTGACAGCATCATCAATTTCCAGGTGATTATAAAGTCCGCGCATGATGAAACTGCCGTCTAAAGGATAGATGTGCGTCTGCATGCATTCCTCAAGCCTGGTCAAAACTTGTGGACCCTGGTTGCGACCCTCCTGAAGAAGCCATCCATCCTCCAGAAAAATGTGCGTGGAAATTTGTTGGGTGCTGCTGCAGGGTAAGGTGGAGGTTGTGCTCACAGAAGGAAGCAGAAAAGAAGCACATAGGTTGGACCCAGCCCTCATCCGATTTGGGCAGACGCTGGCTGCAGGAAGCACAAGAGAGTGAGTGTACATGTCCCTCTTGTGTGCCCACAGGCGCATGCAACACAAACTTCTGCATTCACTTCCGAAAATTTCGTTGTCATCGCTGAAACATCCTCGTAGGGCTTACGGCATTGTGGCTGCCCTGCTGGGACCACCAAACAAGGTGATGTGGCAGATGGTGACAGAGACAGCACAGTCACAGAAGGACCTTTCCATGCTCGGACTGTGCCATGAAAGGATGGGCAATTCTGAACACGCTCTGCGTGTGCGCCAGGTGAAACATCTCCACCAAATTTGACGGCCGTGTATGCATGGCAAATTACCTTTGTATTTGGGCAATGGCATGCATGCAATATGGCCTCCCTTGAACTGTGGTGGTGCTTCTTCTGACAGCGATTCACCCATATGCAGAACTTGGTAAATCTCTCACAAAGTATCAAATTGTCCCTGTGCACAGCTCCAGGAGAGGGCGCAGGCTGAGGGATGGGCTGCTGGAGATACCAGGCTCGCTGTTGCTCTGGCACAGCTGTCCCAGCAATGGGGTATTGCAGAGGAGCTGTTGCTTGGCCAGGGGGAGGCAGGATCAGCTGTGGAAATGTACAGGGGCCTCGGCATGCTAAAGGATGCAGTCAGGTTTGATCATTGCTTCCAGCAGTTCAGATCACAAGACATTATAAAGTGCAGCAGGAGATTTTGGGATGGCCATTCTGGACCATAACCTAGTCCTTGAGGACTGGAATGATAATGATAACGATAAAAATAACGATAACGATAACGATAACGATAACGATAACGATAACGATAACGATAACGATAACGATAACGATAACGATAACGATAATGATTCTGGACCAAAGTTGCTGCTGCTTTTTGTGCAGGGTTGCTGACATGGCAAAACAATCTTCGCTGGAGCAGCTCGTGAGTGATCTTGTTGAGCAGTTGTCAAGGGATGGCGACTTTGGAGAAGCGGCCAGTGTCCTGCTCAAGCAGGGCAACCTGCAAGCGGCCATGGAGTACTTCTTGAAAGCTGGCATGCCTGATCAGGCAGCACAGGTGTGGACATCTGTTCCTGTCAGCCGCATGACAGCTCCCTTGTCACGCCTAATTAGTTACGTTTGATTTTTTAATAGCCATTTGCCTCTGGACCTGGCATGCACGCATGCAATGCAATCTCTCCTGTGAGTTGCAGCTGTTGGCATTGCGCTGACCACTTGGCAATTGCAGGCTGTGCTTCAAAGTGGTGTTTTGGAGGGTGCACTAGGAACAGGATCTCTAGTCAGCGCACTCGAAACAGCAGGACTGCACGAGCTTGCAGGCGATCTTTTGTTGAAGCAGCAGAAGATACCAGAAGCTCTTGCAGCCTTCCAAATGTGCGCACCTCTCCAGCAACTTGTTCTCCTATGAAACGAACATCTTTAGTCTATCTTGTGCTGCCGTTAAACGTCTGCATCTTTGCTGTAAATGAGGCGGCATCGATTGTATTGCCGTGTGGCAGGGCGTGTGCATATGACAAGGCTGTAAAGCTGGCTTTGAAGCATCAGCCAGGCAAAGTAGCAGCGCTGCATCATGAGTGGGCACAATGGCTGCTAACACGAGGGGAAACAGAGATGGCCGTCCAGCACTTTCTGGAGGCTGGTGACAGATCGGCTGCTGTGGACGCTGCACTGTCTGCCAAGCACTTTGACACTGCAGCCGGAATCATACAGGAGGAGGTAATTATCCTTGCTCTGCTCAAGCCGCATCTGTTCTGGTCTGTTCTTTCAAATATTGTAATCTATGGATGATTTTCATGCCCCGATGGTCTCTGACAAGGCATGCATAAAATCTCTTGCCACATGACCTGGTCCACCCAATGGTAACGTGCTCAAAGCTGCCGATGCTCTTTGCTGCAGGACACCCGGACAGCAGTGCCGCTGTGCAGGCGGCTAGCAGCTGGCTACGAAGCTTCCCGGCAGCTGGAAAGTGCAGAGCATTGGTACATCAGAGCGGGGCTTCCCAAGGAGGCCGCGCAGATGTGGCTGCGCGCCAAATGCTGGCCACAAGCCGTGCATGCGGCATCACAGCACCTGTCTGACACAGCTGCCCATGTGCGCGCCGTATCCCTTTATGATCTGGCGCATGTATGCCAGGTCACGTCACTGACACAGTTCAAAGACAGCTATGGCTATGCTCTGATAGAGGAGGCCCCGGCTGGCAGGGGTGGTATTAACACTGAGCACCGTGCCCATGGTTGTGCCGCATGTGCTGTATGCACTCGCTCTCCAAGACTTGCGTCTAGTCATACCAAGCATTTCTTTTATTACACTGTTCTTTTGTGTCTTGCATGGATCTGGCGAGTCGATCAAGGGATAGGAGTATGTGGCGGCCTTCACCTGCCGCTAGTCTGCAGACGCACCGTGCCTCTAGCAGGAAAATCGTGCTTTGAATATTACCCCATGACTGTTAGCGATAGCAATAGATCATGATGGTGGGGGTGGTTTTGCAGGAGCTGTTTGTGGTGCATGCAAAAAGGCTGGAGGCACAGAGGAGGTGGCAGGATGCGGAGAGCGCCTGGGTGGCGGTTGGAGAGCCCGCGCAGGCAGTGGCAATGCATCGTCGCAACAACGATTTTGCCGCCATGTTCCGTGCAGTCCGTCAGCACCAGCCTGTACGCCTCGCCTCTACGTTATTGCTTTGATGCATGCATATGCTGCCATTATGGCTTTTCCCTGCCCTGAAATGCAAGTGGCAGAACAAAGCCCCTGCTGAATTTTCCGGAAACTGCCTTGCACTGTCTGCTTTGTGGCAGTAGACTAGAAGGAGTACATCGCCTTGCTGCCTTGTGAAGCATTCCAGTGTTACGCAGGAGAGGTTGGCAGACACGCATGCGCAATTGGCGCGAGAGATGGAAGCAGCCGGGGATCTGAAAGGGGCTGAGGCACATTTTGTGGAGGCGGGGCATTGGCGAGGAGCTGCTGACATGTACGCAAAACACCACTCATGGGAGGACGCACTGCGGATCGCCAAAAGTCACGGCGGCACTGCAGCCCATGACCAGGTGGGACCTTAGATGCAGACTTCTGCATGTTGGTGGTATCATGACCTGGCCTTGGCGAGCAGATGCATCACTGGAAGCTCAATGCTGAGTCCTTGTGCCTGGTGGAACTGTATCTTCTTGTTTCAGAATTGAATAGGTGAGAACAGACTGATGCGCCAAAGGAGGGGTCAATTGTTGGCATGATGGCGTGCAGGTGGCAATTGCATGGGCATCAAGCTGCAGTCCCCAGAAAGCAGTTGCAATTCTGGCCAGGTTAGACTTGCTCGAGGCTGCCATAGATGCCGCCCTGAGCGCTGAGAATTTCCAGCATGCCTTTGACGTGGCGAGCGCTGCTGTCCCAGCTCTGGTGCCAGAAGTGCACCTCAGACATGCAATCTACTTGGAAGACCAAGGCGAGCTCCTCAAATCCTCCTAAAATCTCAGCTATATCTGTAGCTTTTTGCGCCTGCCTGACATTGTTCTAAAAATAAGCACATTTGTATTCACAGTATTCATTCTTCTGTATGTAACACTTGAAGAGGTGTGCAGGGCATTGGAAGAATGCAGAGCAGGAGTTCCTGTTGGCAGGGCAGCCAAAGGAGGCGCTTGAGATGTGGCTGTACCAGAAGAACTGGGCAGTCGCGCGCCAGCTGTGCCAGCAGCACTACCCCTCTGGCATGCACAGTGTAGTGGACGCTCAGGTAGATAAGGTCCCCCTCTGCAGCAAAACCTCAGGCATACTCTTGCCCTCTCCCGGTGCTGAGGTTTGCCGCAGAATCTGAGTACCTGCTCCTCTAGCAAGCAGGTACGGTATCAACGGATGCAATTCAAGGGGCACTGGTGTGCAGGCAAGAGTGGCTCGTGAGGAGGGGGACGTTGCGCATGCAGAGGCTCTGTTCCTTGAGATCGGGCAGCCGCAAGTGGCGCTGCAGATGCACCAGGAAGCAGGGGACTGGGACGCTGCTCTGCGGCTGGCAGAGCAGCACCTGCCCTCCATGGTGAGGCTTCTCCCCAACCTTGATCTTCAAAAAAGGAGCCCCTTTTTATAGAGCTGCCTGATGATCCCCCCAGAGCTTGCATTTTCAGTTGAGACTCTGGAAGGTGTCATTGCGGTTGCGGTTGTATAGAGCATCCTCACACGATGCAAAACTTGTGGATGGGTGCAAGCATGCCTCGGATAGTTTCTCATAGTGACTTTCTTGGAGCTGGCCTCGGCTGTGCTTAGAAAATTCCATCTGTGCTACAACAGGTGCCACAGATCCAGGCCAGGATGCAGCCTGCAGCACTGGAGCCGCCGCAGCCGGCTGAGAGTCCGCTTGTAACTCATGCTGAAGCGTTGGAGGCTGAGGGCAGCTGGGCCAAGGCGATTGATGCCTACCTGTCCATCACTCAGCAGCACATCAGCGACCAAGATCGCCAGATCGAGGTAGATTTGCTGGGCTCTTACAGAGATTGCTTAGCATGCGTACTCTGAAGCAGTCCTCATGGCCTTCTGTCTGTGCCCACATGTTCAATTGGAACATGGGAGTGGCAGTTATAGAGTGTTCATGGGCCGGTTTGATGACTCAGGAGCTGATATAAAATTGCCGTTGTGCTCCCCTTTTCTTGACTACTTAGCAGGTTTGCAGTGGTTTGACCTGCCAAAGAACCAACCTATGAATCAAGAAAGACGCCTAGTCAAGACAGCAAAATCATTTACAACCTTTGGTCAAGTTCTGAAGTGATACGCCATGCTTGCAGATGTGGGGTCGGGCGCTGAAGATTGCAGAGACCAAGATGCATTCCAGGCTGGCGGAAGTGGCTGCCACAATAGGCCGCAGGCTGCAGCGTCTGGGGCAGTTTGAACAGGCCGGCGAGCTGCTCATGGGCGCCCAAGATAACAAGGTAACCTTCCTCTTACTGCATCTGACCGACATGCTCACACGCTGTCAGCATGCATGACCCTCCAAACCTCATCTTGTTTTTAAACAAGATGAGGTTTGAGACAAAGACAAGGACAAGATCATCCTGCTGACAAAGCACCTGCCATGTCTCTTGACGGTTGCTTTACATGGTAACATTTCCTCCTGTAAAGAAGACATCCATCAATAATGTAGTATATTGGGAATCCATATGACTGGTATAGGAAGTGGAAGAAACGAGAAGACTGGAGGGCAATAATCCAGGTGTTGCTTGACGTACCTAGTCCTTGAGGACTGGAAAACGTGTAATAATAATTAAGAATATAATAATAATGTAGTCTCATCGAGTCACACATGTGGGGCCAGGGTGCCGTGGAGGCTTTCTTGTTGGGTTCGTTGTTTGAGAGGGCGCGGGCTGCGGCTGGGCAGGACAATGCGCTGCGCATGGCTGTGGAGCATGCACATCTGCGCTGTGGCGTTCCCACCGCAGCCGAACTGCTGGAAGCAGGTGAGAATGAGAGCCTGTATTGCTGGCTCCAAAGATATGGACTGGCTGACCGACAACCATTGACTTGACCTTGTGTAAAGACTGTTTGACTTTGCACCGTTGCAAAGGCATCCAGCAGGGATTGTGCGTATTGAAAGAGCACGAAGAGCTCCATTTGTCATTGCCATCCCTAGGATGAAAGCGCAATCGCAATCAGAGGTGATGACTGAGCAGCATGAGGCGCTGTTCATTCTGTTCTTGATGACAGACAGAATGGATGGTGCAGGAGGAGCACACATGGCCCTGCCAGTCTACGCAGATGCTGGACGTTGGGAGCTGGTGCATGACGTGGCAGCCAACCTTGACAGCGCCACCAGAGATGACTACCTCATCAGGTAATATTACTCTTCGCAGCGCACCTCAAATATACAGCCTGCAGACCAAATGCTGACATGCCAACGACTACAAGAGTCCAATAACAGCAGAAGACCGCCTCGCTTGCTTGCTCAACTGTGAGTGTATTCAAATGCATCCGTTGACTTGGGGTGTTCGTTGGCAGGCATGTGACTGACCTGATGCACCAGGAGCAGCCAGATCAGGCAGCACCAGTCCTGGCGCACTATGGAGCTCCCAAGGCAGCCGGATTATACCCTTTCTACCAGAGCATAGCCCAAGCGCTGCTCAGCAAAGTGCTGCGGACTGCAACGGGGAAGAGCGCAGTGGAGACGGCTTTTTCGGCATGCCACAGGTTCCTTCATGGTCTGTTGGTGGATGCCAATGGCGCCACACTGCATCACGACCCTGCAAAGCAGGTCAGGCATCTTTGCGATTATAGTTTCGACCTTGCACATGTAATGGTGCTGAGATGATCGTATTCAAGGCTTGAAGTTCTGAAGGCATGTGGGAATGTGGCAGGGCTTACGCAATGCATGGGAAGCTGTGCACTACAGCCTGCTTCACAGTAGATCCGTCAGGAAGGGCTGGCACTTGCTGGCTGCCAAGCAAGCCACATCTTTGCTGCGCTTCTGTGTGTTCATTCCTGCCGACTGGGCCTATGCTACAGCTGGTGCGCCTGCTCTTCCTATTTCTCCCACCTTCCTTGCAACAGCTCTAAAATTGTGCACTTGAGAGTGTGCCTGTTTTCCTGCTTGTGACATGCAAATCCTCACTGCTGAAATGCTAGCATGCATGATGCGCAGGGCTGGCATGGAGGGATGCAGGCGCAGCAAACATGGCGCTCCTATTCCTGAATCGCTTCCTTGACATAGCGGAGGCCATTGAAGATGGGCTTGCAGGCATAAAGCTAGGGCCAATCCAGGGTGCAGACTTGCCAGGCCATACTCCACTGCCACAGAAGCATTCCCTCAGCGAAAGACAGAAAGATGAGGTGACCCATCTATGACATTCAAGGGCAAACAGCATAGTGCATCTTGAACATGCCAATGTGCCGAGTATTTACATTTCTCAGGAGCTTCTTGACTCTTTGAAGATATCACTATGTTGCGCAGGTGCGGGAGTGGGTGATCGCAGCTTCCTTGGATCCCAAAATCTCACAATCACCAAATCAGCGCAGTTGTGAGTCATGCGGAGCGGACACCTATGAGGCCAGTCTTTCATGCCACCGGTGTGGGGCCCACAGCGAGCAATGCACCATTACAGGCAAGTGCGAATTGGAATTTGCAGATGCGCCATCTGTGCTTGTGACTGAGTGCATTCCTTGCCAGTCTCAGGCTACCAAGTTGTGTCAAGGTGCTGAGGAATAGCGTTCTGTCACAGGCTACCCAGTCGCCAAAGCAGAGGCTGTGTATCTGACTCATGGAGGCACTAAGTTTGTGGTGCGGAGGTCAGATTGGCATCAGTATGTTCAGCATTTCAGCTCCTGCCCCGTGACAGGCATAGACTTAAAGCCAACATAGAACCTCCAATTCCAAATAGAATGTTATGCCTGAGTAATCATGGAAACATTTTTTGATGTTGCAAATGAATGCACAAGCTGGAAAATTTACAGAAAGCTAGCATATAAGCTCCGCCACTTTGAGATACTACAAAAGGACTGTCACTTCAAGGATTCCAACTCCAAAGCAACACCCAAGGCAGTGACAAAACTGATATAAGTTATATTTTGTCACTGCCTGATATCATCCTCATTATGGAAAGGCGTGCTTGCTTGCTATTTGAACCTGAGCAGGTCACCAACCACTCTTATCAAATACACAGCAACATGTAATTCCGACATTTAAGCCAGCTTCCGCAAATCAGATACACAGCAACATCCGTTTCTGATCTATACAGATCAGCTTCCGCAGATTTTGGGCCCCCTGCTGGGGAACAAAATCTGAAGACAACAAACAAATACCCGAGACCGCCCGGCCACCATCTGCAAGAGCTGTATTCCCTTCAAAACAACTCGCACTGCCTATCATCAGGAGTGCACGGTGCGCCTGAGGTCCTCAGGGATGGAGCTCAGGGCGTCCTCCAGGCTGTGGGGCTGGTGTGACCCCCCGCCTGTCAGCTCTTCGGTGTGCCCCTCCCCCACCGTCTCAACATCCCCTGCCGGGTCCTCCCTCTCGCTGTCCACCACCTGCTGGTCGCCAACCCTGCCGGAGCGGTCCTCCCGGCCCTCCGACGTGCGCTGAGTCAGCGGGGTACCAAGTGAATCCGCCCGGCCGCGGCCCTGCGGCGTCCCCGGCCCAGAGCGGCTGAACATCCTGTGCACTCTGTGCATCGAGCCCTGCTGCCCACCGCTCTCCCTGCGCATGCTCTCACTGCGATCATCTCCGCCGTGTTTGTTTCTGCTGCGACTAGACGTGCTGCGGATGTCTGACCCGCGGCTATCTGCCCTGGATGCCCCGGGCCGGCGGCTGAGCTCAACATCGCCCTGCTGGTCGCGCTGCGATGGCGCCTCAGCCCAGTTTCCGTAGTGCCCGTTGGGTACGGGCCGAGGCTGCCCAGAGCGCGGGCTTGCAGTACTGCCGCCGGCAGCAGCCTGCTGCCTGGTGGTCAAGAGCTCCGCCCAGTCCTGCGGCTGCAGCTGCCCCCTGCTATTGCTCCTATCCCTGTCCTTCGGTGACCTGTCTCCCCTGCGTTCCCGCCTGCTGCTACTCTTGCTGCTGCGCCGCAACCGCCCAACGCCCTCTCCAGGACCTCCATTCCCGCCGGGCGCCGACGCCGACGCCGCGCCGCGCGCGTCCCCGTTAGTCCCGGGCACTGACTGGGCCGCTGACGTGGCCGCCGATGTGGCAGTTCCGGCGGCGAAGTCCCGGGCGTCGGCGTAAGAAGTGGGGGTCATCACCCTCGCACGGTCAGGGTGGTTGATGTAACAGACGTCCTTGAGGCGCAGCCGCCGCTCGCACTGCGCGAGCGGTTTCAAATACTCCGGCACGTCTTGCAGCGCGCGGCCGACCGTCATGCGTTGCCCGCTCGTGCTCGCGGCGTCGTCCCAGATTGGCTCCACGTCGTTCTCGAAAGGCGAGTCATTGTCGGTGTCGGGCTTGCCGCCACCACCGCCGCCGCGGCCGCCGCCGCCGCGGCCGCCGCGCTCGTCGGATTTGTCGTGCTCAGAAGCGCTGCCCTCGGGCGGCTGCATCTGCTGCGCCAGCTGCGACGCGCGCTGAAGCAGGCTCTCCCTGGATAGCGGCGTCAAGTTTTATAAAACATGTTTTTGAAATTGTTTTTCGAGGACCAATCATGGCTATCCGCTTAGAAGAAAAAGCTCGAAATGAGCTCAGAGGTAAGCTGTATACATTACAAGTTGTCAGATTCAATCTGAAAAGCAGCACTGCAGGTCAGCTGTGCTGGCACTAGAAATGGGTGTTTGGCATGAGATGAGCTGGGGCAGAGGTTGTTAAAAAATTCAAAACGAAAATCGCAAGCTGGGAGTGGCAATTAGAATGGTGGGGGGGAAGCAGCGCACCAGTGCTCGCGCTCGTCTTTGGCGGCATGCCTCAGGTTGAGCTGCATGCGCCGCTCAAACATGTCGATCAGCTTGTGGCGCAACTCCGGCAGGATCTGCCCACTCACGCAACATGCATCAGCCTTCCATGGATTCCACATGCATGTCCACTGGGGCAGTGTTTGCCAAGGCATCATTGCAATTTGAATCAAGTCAGCTTCACCGCCCTGGAAATGGGAGTGAAAAGCCGGCAAGCACCCAGCACGCAATAAGGAAAACCACAGTAGGTGCTTCTCAGAGTAGGGTGGCATGCAGGTGCAACTGCCGAACCCACTATAGATAGCCTGGCATTTTCAAGTGACTGCCAAATCCCAAAACCACGGCTGCAACATTTCGGAGGAGACAAGACACCAACAAGACGCCAACTTCCTATTCCTCATCTTCAGGCGCTGGTTGCCTCAGTGCTTAGCCTGGGATCGTGCTAGGTGCTGTTCTTGACAGAATTCATGTCGCCTAAAGGAAAGGAACCGGCTCTGAACATAAAAGGATAAGGCAGGGGATAGACAGGAGCAGTGGCTCACGTTGAAGATGTGTTCCAGGTCGCGGATGGTGAGCGCCCAGAGCATGCAGGGGGAGATGGCGCGCAGGGTGACCGGGCGAACGTGGGGCCCGTCTGGCAGCAGGTTGAGCAGCACGCTCTCCCCCACAATCGCCGGCGCCGTCACCAGCCGCATCTCCTCCGTGTGCCGCATTATTAGCAGCTCCCCTGCGCAAAGATTGCCGCCATTAAAATTGCACCTCTTCAGTGTTTGAATCTTCAATGGCTGGCGGGATACCAAGCAGCTCGATGGTGTGGAGGGGGCACGGGCACAGGTTGAGCTCAAGGCATACGAACTCAGCGCCTGCGCTGCCAAGACAAAAATACTTTCTGAAAGAGGCCGGCACATTGACACAGCATTGTCACAACAGGTCGTAGCACCTCACCCTGCCAATAAAAATCATTGGACACTCCTGTACATTATACATCTCATGACCACAACTGATAATTTTGACCGCCGCTGTCTTGTGCCAGACAAGCGCCTTCACTTTGTCCAGCATGCAACACAGCGCAACGCACCTTCTTGAAGTAGATAGAGCGCGTCGGCGTCGTCGCCCTCCTGCGCAACGTTGTGGCCGGCTGGCACGAGGCAGGGCTGCAGGCGCGCGGCCACCTGGCGCTCGGCAGACTCGTCGAGCGCGCGAAAGATGTCGGAGTGCGCGAAGAGCGGCCGCGCCAGCTCCAGCGCCATATCCGTTCGCAGCGCCGCCGGCAGCTCGCTCCAAAAGTCCTCGTCATTCACCTCTGCGCGCGATAAAAACACAGGTACTCATTTGATCTGAATCTGGGCACCCCCAACTACCCGTCCGGACGAGAACTGCTGACAAACAGTCCTCGCCGTTCACCTCTGCGCACAGCTGGGGCACCATCAGCACTGAAGTTTGAGTTGAGCTTTCAGCCTGTGATATTCCCATCACGTCAATAAGCTGCAACCAAAAGGCTTCGTCATGCAGCTCTGCACGCAGGCCAACACAATGTTGCGGTTACTTTCCGCTCCTTGCAATCATCTGTTCCTTTCTTGAAGGACAATCCTCAGCTTACCAGCCCCAGAATAAGTTGCCATCAGGACAGCACCTTGAGACTGGTCCTGAACAGATCTACAACAGATCTTCCTGGTGCTATTAGCATGACTAAAGGGACAGGCCTGTTGCCAGAATCGTGGCATTCCTCCTTACAGACCGCGACATGACATACTGCAGGAACAGGCCCAAAGGCGCTTTTCTAACCCAAACTTCAGAGTTAGGGCGCAGCGCATCTGCGCTGTGAAGCAAGCGAGCTTTGTGACGGAGCGCCTGCAGAAAGTGACAGCCACCTTGTCAGGAAGCTTGCATGCTCCACAGGCACAAACACCTGCAAGCGGCAGCAGCAGCACACACCGGTGAAGGGCAGCCAGACTTCGGCGTAGTAGGCGCGGATGCGGCGGGTAATAGTCTGACTGATGCGTCGCTGCCGCGTCCACATCTCCACTCGCGCCAGCTTCTTCCGCAGCTTCCCCGCGCGCCGCGCCTCCGTGCTCAAAAACTTTATCAGCTGCCTGCACGCGCACACCAGGGATCACGTCCAATTAGGCCGCCCCACTGTAATTTAATGAGCTATCTGCTCATACATTCAATGCATGCATTACACCTGAGGTGCGGAAAATATGACGAGCCCATCAAGAAAGGTCAAGGCTTCCAGGCTTTGGAGCAATGTGTGCTTCCGTGTTTCAGGTCTGGAGGTAAGAAGCAAGGCTTTGCAGACAACACAACGCAAGAAAGAAACGCACTGTGAGCTGGAGATGACAAAGCCAAAGATGATGATGCCGAACAGCATCAGGATGACGGCCATGATCTGCTCAAAGGCATTGGTTGGGCCGATGTCGCCGTACCCCACCTGCACAATCGAAGCAGCAAATTTCTTGGCATGATTATCTACATTAAGGTCAAGGTGGACAGTGATTAAATCAAATTAACTTCAGATTCAAATAATCAGAAGGCAGGGAGGCAGCGCACACCGTTGTGATGGTCATGGTGACAAAGTACAGGGAAGCCACCCACTGCCTTGCTCCTGGGGCATTTGAGAGGTCAATCTGGCCTGCGCATGAGCACCCATCGCCCAGGCATCAGGCGTCTTATCTGCTGTGAACATTGAGATGCGCATGGTGACCACTTTGCATATGTCACCTGTCAGCTGCACTTGGAGAACAGAGCAGTATTGTTGCAGGAGAGGGCACGCACTCACCAACTTTAGTCAGCCAGCTGTTTGCCACTCCCTCCAAGGTGGCCACATAGTACCACACGCATGCCAGGAAGTTCAGCAGCACACACCTGTTTAGCCACCATCGACACTCAAAGCTGCTGCCAAAGCAAGCGCTGTCTGCAGTACTAGAGAAAAATGGCAAAAAGACTGGTGTGTAAATTTGTTGCATGAGGCAGGAAATTGGGTAGAGGCCACTCACGCTGCAAAGGTGACATTGATGAAGAAGATGTGGCCAATGGACAGGTGTCTCATGAGCGTGCGGTTGAAGGTGCCGATGAGAGAGATGAACACGAGACGCTGCATGCGCACCACTCATATTCAACCTTGTCAATGATGAGAAATTTACAAACAAGACCATGATACTGAAGGATGCATTGCAGATGGTACGAGAACAAGCAGTGCGCTCAGGCTATTTTCCCATGTAACATGAGCTTACCTCCAGGAACTTGATGACATGCCACATGCGGAAGAGCCTCAGCAGGAGGATGATATGCAGAGGCATGCCGCCTGACTGGTCTGGTATCCCAAGCACTGCTATCTGCGCAGCAATCATGACACTCCATTCTCTTCTCTTTCCAGCCTTTCAGCCTGCTAGCTCACAGTGCTCCGGATGCATGTTTCACACTGCACTAGGTCCAGTAAGTGAATCAGTGCAGAAGGCAGCTAAAAAATAACGTAGAAAGGTCATCAGATTGGAAGATCACCTCAGCAATGAGCGGCAGCGCGGCCAGCAAGTCCACGAAAAATGTGGAGTAGCGGACATAATACTCCGCTATCAGCCGCGGGTCTCTGATGACCTTTCTGCGCAGATTGTGGATCACCACAAAGCCTGTTGAGAAGCCCATGAGGATATCCAGCCAGTAGACAGTTCCTGCACATATACATAAACTCTAAACGACTCAATCGCAAGCTGTGACTACAGATCCCCATTTATAAAATCAGAATTCGCCAGGCCGCTCAGCAATGGCACAGATGTCCAGTGGGGAAACTTTCAGACTGCTGCTATGTGCCTGCAGGGTCTCAAATTTTTGCCTACAACTACAGTGCTTGCCTGCAGCGATGTCAACGCCGTTGTACCATGAGAAGTGGGTGGCCTTGAAATGGAATGCCACTCCCAAGGGCACGATGAAGGCGGTGTATGTGGCGTCGACCAGAGTGGTGAAAAAGTACCAGGCCATTGCCGGGCGAGACAGAGGGTGGATTGTTGGCAATCTGCATCTGTACCTCCTCCTGGCAGCCAGTGACAGCCTTTAGATATTAACAATATATCGAAAATAGGGCTTTGACTTCCCAGGGGGATCCCCACCGCGATTGGACATTTGCTTCTCAGTTCTGGGAATGGATTCTATCCACCTAGAATATTTGGCCACATTGACTGCCAAGCTTACTAGGCAGGTCAAGAATCCATGGGGTTTGTCCAGAGACATTGAAATCTGCTGTCCGGGCAACCCAGGATCTCTGTCAAACCCTCACTTGTTCTCCACACTCAACACCTGTCTCTTGACAAGAGGGATTGTCCACCAATGTATGAGTAGCTCACCCTCTGGCTGCAAGCTGCTGAGCTTCCTTTGCCTGATCCTCCTGGTCCTTGCGGTGGATGCTGTCTTCCACGTCATCAAAGGAAATGCCATGTCTGCTCCGCAAATTCCGCCAGGCATGCTGGAAGGCCGTTCTCCAAAACAGTGGCCTGTTCGCGCGGCCTCTGCAGGCGCGCAAGAGATTCTGGTCAACATCCTGTGGAATACATTTGTTGTGGCAGGCAGGGAAAGCTTCTCATCTGGGATTGGTCAGAGGGTATTCACGGAAAGGCTTACTTGGTGAAATGGTTCCAGCCAATTTGATCGACATGGAGTTCTCTTGCTAGATAGGTTGGTTGATAGGTATCTGAAGAGCCGGGAAGTCAATTAGTACCCAAACACGCATAGAACGATAATAAAACGTCTCCAATGCTGATCTCCGTGGCATCGTTGCTTGTGGCCCCACACAGCATACTATGGCACTGCATACAAAATTGTACAACTACAGGCTATATCATGTATCAGACGGTACCTTCATCCTTGTGATACGGCCGGTCTGAAGGCTCGCTAAACAGGACAAGACCAAGGTCATCTTCTTCTTCACCGTCGTCTTCTTTCTTGGATTCTTGGCCGACGCCTGTTTCTACGTCAGTTTCATGTTGCGGAGACTTGTCATTGCCATGCTTATGGAACAAGGGGCCCATTTGGTAAAGCAGTAAAACTTTCAACATGCATCTCCTGTGTGATAAATACCCACAAGTAGCCAGGCGTCTGCGTTACTGCGCAATTTAATTATTTTAATTTGCACCTTCGGGACTCCATTTAAGTTCATAGCTTGTTTTCCATCATTCCAAAGTGCAGGCTTGGATTATGTTGGACATCGCCCATTGTGCCGCTGCCTGGAAGCTGCGCAGTTGCACTTTCATTATTTCCAGACCCCCTCCCCATGTGAGCCATGTGGCGCACATGGACTGTGACATCAGCAGACTTACGTGAAATGACCCATCATATTTGACCCCAAGGCAGACGTGCCTCAGGGCCCTTGTTCTATCGTTCAGGCGTTGATATTTGCGTTATTTAATTCTTTAAATAAGCACCGATTCCCAGCGGGCGCGCCCACACTTATAGCCTTCCTACATCTGCTCCTGGTGCCTTGTGTGCCGCGAAACCCCAGCGATGAGTACCGATGGACCACCGATCATCGACCTGTCAAACTTTGAGGAGCGCAAAGAAGAAATCAAAGATGAGCTGATGAAGGCAGCAACCACCATAGGTAAGATCGAAAACCGCGGAGCCAGCTGCCGGATGTCCGGAATCCTAGGGCGTAACAAGCTTTGCACTCTCTCACGCCGAAATTAATCAGACAGAATGTCTCAAATTGCAGACCTGTCAGAGATGTCCGTGGCTTCTGGTTGCATACCTGGACGGTGTGCCAGTTGCTCTGCGCAGTGCTGCTCCGCTGCTGCACGAACTGTCTGCTTAACCCTTTGCGCTCTATTCTGCAGCATAGCACCATCACAAATTTGTATCCATGCATCGGATTGAATGATTTTTTTATGCCAAATTTACCAGTATAGTCCTGTGCCACTTTGTAGGCTTCTTCTACATCACCAACCACGGCATCCCTCAGGAGCTCATCGACCGCGCATTTGCCATCAATGACCGGTGAGTGGACACTGCATCCTGCGAAGCAACACGTTCACAGCCCTGCATTCCTCAACAAGAAACCCAATTGTCGGGGCCCAGCTCGGCCAATTCTCACGATGGCTCAATTCGCATGGCGTATACGTACCCCTCCACAATTTGCGTTCGGCTCAATCTTGCTGCTCAACGCCACCGAACCATCAGACTGCTTCGCGTAAGCTGACGTCTGCCAGCAGTGCTTGGTTCAAAGCGCTCTTGTGTTGCCTGCAGCTACTTCAATCAGCCAGCAGAGGTGAAGGCCAAGTACCCCTCCACTGACTGGGCAGCTGTCAAGCTGCTGGGCTATGAAGTCAACAGCATGAGTGAAGGAGGTGCGGCAGTCAAGGCTGATGCTCCCGTCGCTGACACCACTGCATCCGCTTTTGGTGTCCAGGGTTCCATGAAGCATACCTGATGTAACATCCAAACTGTGCAGTCCCATGGTGCAAATTAACTGCACCTGGCGACAGTACATCGATCTCACTTAGACCTGGATGTTGTTGCCTTGTATACTTTGCCACCTGTTGCTAGCCCTTTCTATTTGTCATCGTCATGGGGGCTGTGGCTATGACAAGACAGAGTCTGTAATGCTCGTCAGCCTAAAAGTGCCCGCCGAGCTTGTGTGCAAGCAGCAGCACCACAGCTGTCTGTCCCATCACATGGTCAAACAAATGGTCCGTACATAGGCACTTGCTACTCTTCATCTATCAGTTAATCGGCTGATGTGTCAAGATCCCCAGCTTTTCTTTTTGCAGCTCGATCTGGATTTCGGCAGGCCTTATAGAAGAGATATATCATCTCTTTGGCCCCAATTTCTCAGGTACTCCTCTAAACGGGTGGACTCTTGAGAGTTGCAGGTGCATGCAGGACTCGTGCGGGAGAGCTGCATCCAGAAATTCCCTGTGCACAAGGAAATGGAGAAGGTCTGGCCCCGTGAGGAGGACTGCCCCAACTTCAAGTGAGGCCTTCTGCAATCAAGCATGCAACATTTAGATGCAATTTTGGTCTAGCCAGGATCACCTAAATCGTCATATGCCAGATAAGTCCTAGTCAGCATCAGTGAGACCGTTAACTGATCATGGTCTGCATCACCAGAGATGAACTCATATTCAAATGGCACAATTGTGGGCTCATAATTGATCATGTGAAGACAAAGATAAGGAGTAGACGCGATGATGATGCCTGGGGCGCGTTTCAGGGGTGTGTCATGCATTGTATCAATGTTCACCCTTCTGCACAACAGAGGATGTGATATTAACTACATCCTTGACATAGAAAGTGTGGATTGAGTGTGAATTTCACCTGGTCTGACTGCCGCAGGGACACGACAATTGAGTTCATGGAAGCTCTGCCTCCAGTCGTGGACCGCCTCATGTCTCTGTTTGCGCTGGGCATCGGCTTCCGCGAAGACTACTTCAAGGATGTGCGACCCTTTCCTTGGTTGTTTTAAACCTCTGAACAATGAACAATGTTCTGTATTCTTTTCCCGCTAGCGTGTGTATGTGCACATGCTTTCAGCCTGGCAGCAGCTGGTGTGGCAGTGCAAGGCTTGTTTTCCTGATGAATTATCGCAAGAGCAGGTTGGTTGCTTTTCCTGGATTGCTGCAAGACCCCCTGCTCGCTCATCTCACCATATTGCCCCACTCCCTATCATGAGCACCTCTTCAATATTTATGTACAAATAAGGCGACCTAGAGGGTAAAAATTAGCATCACAAGGGTCTTTGTTGAGGTCCCATAAGGGTCATTGCATATATATATATATATATATATATATGCAGGAGACAGTGTCCGTCCAAAGAGCTCCAGGTTAATGCCTTCGAGCGGATGTGACCGTCATATTGACCTTACACCTTTTTAGAATAGTTCAGAAAATCACATGAAAGATGATGATTGTTCTAGTGCAATGACAAATACTTGACTGCTGCAGATCACTGATGTCAACAATGTGGAGAACAACACTTTCCTGCAGTACCACAAGTACCCCTCCTGGGAGGGGGTTGACCCTTCCACATGGGAGCAGGGTGTAAATCGCATCACAGCCCACACCGACGAATCTCTCATGACTCTCCTCTTCACAAGCCCTGGTAAGCCCAGAGAAGAAGGCTTGGGAATAAAACTTTCAAGCAGTCAAGTATGATTTTATTGGATATGCCTGCATTCACTGAATCTCTATAAAGGCTGGTACAGCGTTGGGCCAGCTGTGTGATCAACATGGGCAAGTGAGGGTCCGTATCAGGAAACAGAAGAGAGAAAAGCTGTATCATGAAGAAAGGGTGAAGTGAAATCATGGTTTCCTTCAGGGTCTGTTGGACTGGAGCTGGCTGCTGGCAAGGACGGGCAGGCAGTCGGCAGTGAGAATGGCCACTACACGGTAAGAAGGAGCCCCGTGCGGCTATAGCACCTATGCTGTGCATCCAGAATGTTCCAAACGCACGAACGAGCACAGTATCAGATTTGTTGAATAGATTGCTCAGTAGTGCGTAAATGTGCCAATAGGAGTGAACAGGATACAAAGGCACATCAAACCAGAAGGGGCCACGGAATGTTTCAATTTTTATTATTATTATTACACGCTTGTTCTAGCCCTCAGGGCTAGGTGCGTTGCAGCAACCTCTCAATGATTCCTCTCCAGCCTTCTCTGTCTTGGCACTTTCTCCACTAATGTATGTCAATATAATGGAGTCCAGGTCATCCCTAACACAATCATTTCAGTTTTTTCACATGATATTACTTGCAATTAGGAGTGAACTGCAGGTGGACAAGTGGACGGACTGCCCTCCGAAGCCAGGATGCATCACTGTGAATGTGGGGGACCCGCTGCAGTTCTGGAGTGACGGCCTGCTCAAATCCAACTACCACCGCGTTCGCATGCCCAAGCCTGGCGAGTCGCTGGTACGAGAACCCTGCCCATGTGCAACACAGCTAATATGCCCAGCCCAAATCGCTCACACCTTAGGCAAGGTTTGACTGCCCCCATGGGCCACCGAAGAAATTGGCCTGAGTGGTTCAGGGCTAGGGGCTGCAGATCTGTCAGTAAATGTGATCCGCTTACAATCCGGGTTCACCAGAAGATTGGCATCTTCCTCTTCAAATACCTTAGGGATCTCAGGGATGCTCCAAAAATGCAGCTTTACCGCGGCAGCCCTTGCCCTTGCCCTACTAAGGGGCTGGCTTCAGATTTTCTAGGACCTCTGTCAAAGCCTGCCATAGTATGAGGAGGGCAGGACTCCAGATGTCTTCCAGTGTGCTACCAGTTTGCTAAATGACGTCACTCTTGACCTGCAGGGCTCTTTTCAAGTCAGGCCCATTGTAAGGATAAGAAGTCTTGCAAATTGGTGTCATAGGAATCACCCTGCCTTAAGCATGCCCGAGCTTGATTTGGCTCGGAGCTCTTACGAAAGTTCGTTTAAAGCACGGGAAACCTCAGAATTGCCTCAACATAACGAGCATCTCTCGTGTACAATCACAATAAATTGGCTGATGGTTTGACATTTTAAATCTGCAGGCTGCCCGCTACTCCATGGGCTGGTTTGTGTGGCCCAAGGATAATGTCCTCATCCAGGGTCCTCAGAAAAAGTACCCTCCCACGACCATGACTGAGTTCATGAAGGTGCCCCTCTCTCCTCACTTTCTCAAATGTGTGCATGCATGGCTTCCGCATGCATGCTTCTTGCTGCTATGCTATCAGTATGCTTACATTTTAGAGACCTGCTGGGAGCCACCTGAGGCTCATTAATATTGTGGCCAGTCTTCCACTGCCCATCTTCATATCACAAGTTCCTGAAGTGTCTGCATGCCATCAAAAATTTGGCAGTTCCAATATTTCATGGCCCAAAAATGCATGCAAATTATCTTGTGCGACCAGCTTGCCACTGTGCAGTACTTAGCGGCTGAATTTATTTTGGCCCCATTCTGATGCCTGGCCTTGGCGTCAATATTGTCTTTAAGGCTGCAATGTGCGGACCAGATCGCATTATTTATAAATCTAGATAAGGGTTGCCTTCTGCGGAGATCTTGCAACATGGTTCCAACATGGTGATTACAAGCAGCTCAATCACCCCTGTCTTGTTGTAATATCCCAGACTTACTAATATTTGTTGTTTGAATTTCAAGTGTTATGAACACTGCAGGTGAAGGGCGCGTTGTATGGAGCCAGCTTCAACCCTGATCCCGAGGTGTACAAGGCAAATCAGCACATCGCCTTTGGGCTACCACAGGTTGCCGCAACAGCAATTCCAGCTGCCTCTTGAATAGAATTTTAGGGATATTGATGACTCAGCCGAGGCTGTGATAGCTATTTTTCGGGGGTTGTGACAGCTGTTCCCGCCAATATCTTTGATATGGATTGAGGAAGGGTAAGCGCTATGGTGAGACAGGAACAGGGTTCAGAGTCAGCTTTTTCCATCTTCAAGTACGGTCCTTGTGAAGGATGCCTTGTGCAGGCTCGCTGAATAGGATAAGGCCAAGGCCGAAGTCAAAGTCATCTACTTCTTTCACCGTCCTTTCCTTTCATGTACATGTGTTCTTGGCAAACACCTGTTTCTAGTTCTACTCTGTGTTGCGGAAGTGTATCATTCTCATGCTTGAGAAATGAGCGGCACGTTCGATAAAGAAGTGATATGTTCAACATGCACCTCCTGTGTAACAATTTATAAGTAGTAGCGAAGCGTCTGCGTACTTTGTGCACTTCAATAAGTTCACTTCGCAGGTTGAGAAGTCCAAGTCTTTTCATTGCCTAAGTACCAGTTTTCTACATCACAATACTGGATCAACTTTGGATTTTGCCCAATGTGCCGCTGCCGGGAAGCTGCGCAGTCGCAACTCATGCATTTGAGACCCTCAAGAAGACCCGCCAAATGTCTCAATACCCTACAATGTGCATCTTCTTCCTAAGCACTAGCCAAACACTTATGACATTCCACTCTAGACACTCCAGATTAAAAATCTGTACAAAATGTATGACTGAACATAGTTCAGGCACCACTCAAGTTCCTCAACATGCAATGAGATGAGACAAGCACAACAGTCAACGTGCGAGCGCCCACTTGGCACTCTAATTTACATCTCACACAAACCTACAAAGCAGCTGAGCATCTTCTGCTAGCTCGGTGCGTGGTTTACATGCGAGGCAAGGGTGACATTGAAGACCCCTGCTGGGCTGCTTTGTGCATTGCAGCAAAGTGCGACCCCTTGGCTGCCAGCAGCTGCATGGGTGCACCCGTCTCAACAACTCTGCCGCCCTCCAACACTACAACAATGTCGCAACCCATGACAGACTCCAAACGATGAGCAACCTGTGAGCCATAAAATTTTCACTCAGCCTCGGCACTGTGGTCGGGCAGGCTCCCCTGACTTGGCAACAAGAGCATCCTGGGTGGCTACTTCGACTTCTGATATAACTTCTCAGTTCAACTTCAAAGCTCAATAATGAATAGATTGCTCAATACATTCCCCCGGACATTCCAGCCATGCACCATGTACCATGCACCGTGTGGTAAATACCCAGGTGACTTACTGAGAAGGCATTCAGAAGGAAGAAACACCCAGTGCTGCTTCCAAGTAAATCTTAGAAGGCAGGCGCTCGGAATTATCAGGTTTATGGGACCGGAGTCACCTGGAGGATGGTGGCATGGCTGAGCTGGGAGGCAATGAGCTCCTGCATGAGACGGGCGGTGGCTGCGTCCACGTTTGCGGTGCACTCGTCCAGGCACACAATGCGCGGCCGACGCAGCAGCACGCGCGCCAGGCACAGCAGCTGCTGCTGCCCTGCGACAGCAGCCCCCCAACACTTTAAACAGGCTGTCACCCTTCAGCTCAGCTCATCCCTTCCTTCCCTACCCTTCAGCTCAGCTATGCAAGACACAGTGCTGTTGGCCTCACCTGCAGGCTATGCACCTGCGCTTCATTGCTCGAAAGTAGCTGCCAATCTTTTGCTCTCACTCTTTCATCTCACCTACTGAAGGGCAGGCTCTTGCCTCATCTACAGGCTATGCACCTGCGCTCCCGTTGCTCGATACCAGCTGCCAGTCTTTGAAAACATTTGGAATGGAAAGAAGCGATGTTGACACCTGTGCGATTCGGGTGTTTGTCTTCAGCACCCCTGGGTACTCCAGACCAGGCGGATCTACATCTCCATAGGATATTCCAGACACTGGAGCCACATGTGCAGACTCTCCGGCTCCTTTCCTTCTGCAATAAATGAGTACGAGCCTCTTGAAGTTGAAGCATTGAAGAACGACTGCAGCAAATGCTTGCAAGGCAGATAGTCCTACCCTGTGACAGGCCGACGCCCCCTTCGCCGAGGCACACAGACAGCAGCTGGCCGCCAAAGCCGCTGTGCACGAGCACGCCTGTAGACTCGCGTGCGAGCGACTCAGCAAAGCTGCCGCCTCCGCCGAAGAAGCGCGAACGCGGCGCCGGCCGCCCCCGGTGCCCCGAGTAAGACGGCTCCGGCGCTGCGCTCATGCTGGGGCCTGCGCGGCCCTCCTCTGCCAGCAGGGACGTCCTGTGGGATGAGCAATGCAACAAGTCATCATCCTTCACTATCTATCAGGAGATTGTTGCCGTTGTCAATGTATCCAATCCCAGGGATTTGTACACGCACCTCAACCGTTCCTGTTTCCTGTAATGTGCGTCTGCAGGGTTTATTGTACATGTATCTTCCTCTGGTGATGGCGACATCAATCACGGCGACAGCCTCCACATTCCCTTGGTGGCATTCCCTCTCTCTCTTTCTCTTTCTCGATCTAGATCAAAGGCTTGTCCAGCCAAATCCAGAGATGAGCGAGTCAGCAGCCTGCGAAAAAATTTGGACAAAAGTCTTGTTGGGCGCTGCACCTCTCGCTGCTGCCGGGCGATTCGGCGGGCGGCAGGTAGCTGGTGCTGGGCGCTGACGACGGCCGGTGCCGCGGCGGAATCGGCCGCCCTAGCTGCGGCGAGCGCGGGGGCGTGCCTGCGTGCATACCAGCAACTATGATCTCTCCATAATTTACTGTGTTCTTAAAGTTGCAAAGCATACCGGCGTTCATTGAGAGACACATCCACATCATGTTGGTGCACCATGCAGGGCACTGTTTTCCACAACAAGGCCACTGTAAATAATGTAATTGAGAATCTCAAACCCCAAGAGATTTTATCAATTAAGAGCGAGGGAATGATGGCACAGCGTAATAGGTAAGGCTGCGAGTCTGACTGAATAAGACAGGCGCAGATGACAAACGCCGCTATCCTGCAATTCTGACCTGGCCCGGCCATGCCATCCTACAAACATATTCCAGCTCAAGCGAGTTCCTGTAACGGTCCATGGCGAGAAGCCGCACCGAAGGCGCCGGGAAGGGCTCGTCAACCAAGGTCTACATATGGGATATTCTGGACCCAAACCCAATCACAGTCAAGGTATTCTGGCGCAAGTAGTCAGGCTGCGAGCCGCACCGAAGGCCGCAGGAGGGGCTCCTCACTCAAGGTCCACATTACCGGTTACTGAGGGACCTCGAAAATGCAATGATAAACCCATAAACTGTGGCGCAAATATTTGAGCTGCGAGCCGCACCGAAGGCGCCGGGAGGGGTACGGGAGACGGAGTGCAGGGGAGTGGCGGTGGCTGAGGAGGGTGCCCGGCGGGCGGCGACCGGGCTGGAGCGCTCTGCGGCGCCCTTGGCCTGGCTGAGGCTGAGCCCGCACAGGATGTCCCACAGCCGCGTCACCTTGAGCACGCCGATCAACTCCCGGTCGCTGTGGCGGCCCATCGGGTCCAGGTTCTCCCGGATCGTGCCCTGCCGCAAACAAATGACCACGCTCAGACAAGATGAAATTTATTCAGTGCCCTGCTACAACACGCAACATTCAGGCAACATGACCACATTTTGCCCTGCCGCAAAGCATGAATTCGGGCATTCAGGCACAGAGAACCACAATCCCCTGCCGGAACAAATGTACCAGCCAGCCACCGAAGCAGCCTAGTATTATCTTTTCTACTAAATGGAGATAGTTATGTGGTAAGAACCATGGACAAATTCGCACAGTGAAAAGCTGGAGAAGACAGCCAGCGTTTGCATTGGCGGGATCTCCTAGGACGGACATTGCGTGGAGAATTCCCGGGCCAAACTCAGGATTTGCAAAAATGCCCAAGCTCTTCCTGTTGCAATTCCGCATTCCATCGTCCCCATCCAGAGGCAAAGAGATCATCAGTGGCTCTGAGTGTGCCAAGAAGACACACCTGGAAGAGGAAGGGCGTCTGCGGCACGCATGCAATGCCGGAGCGCAGGTGCCTCAATGGAACGGCCCCAATGTCCTGTCCATCCACCAGGATCGTGCCCCCCTCTATCTCAGTCAGCCGCAGCAGGGCCGCCACCATGCTGCTCTTCCCAGCCCCTGTTATACAACACACCTCATTGTTTAACTGGTATCAGCATATCAGGATATCCTAATGCTGATGACTCAGTCTTCTGCAACCCGCAGTACCCAGTGTGACAGCTTGACCTGCTACCCATGAAGACACCTGATAAAGGAGGCACATATGAAAAGACAGGCCAATGTAGGGCATAGCCTCATATGCAGGAGATCAAGTCAGGCTGGCAATTACCTGTTCTGCCGCAGATTCCCAGCTTCTGCCCAGGCCGGATGTCCAGAGACAGCCCAGCGAGTGCCAGCGGAGCATCCGCATGGTACCTCAGCCTCACATCCACAAATGACACCCGTCCCTGCTCCGGCCAGCTGCTTGGCAGCGCCCTGGCTTCCTCTCCTTCCAGTGCCCCATCGTGAAGTGTGTCCGCCTGTGACACAGTACACAGACCAGCATTCATATCATTCTGCATCCTGCACTGTACATGACATGGCACATGGTCTGCAACAGCCCTGCTTAGAAACATCCTGGACAGATACCCCTTAGGAAAATCTCCTGACATTATAGATTTCTGCCAGCACCTCTGCATGCATGCCAGGTTGCAGCAGATATAAGCATTCAGAGACAGAAAATTCTGCTGAGGCCAGGAGAACAGACCTGGGGCTCCAGGTCTGAGAATTCGAGGATGCGCTCCACAGCCACCATCTCCTGCTCTGTCTCGGCAAAGGACGTCAGCAGGCCGTTCAGGAGCCCCGTGATGGCCAGCGCGTAGCTCAGGCTCAGGCCCACCAGACCCGCTCCCGCCCTCCTGCACACGCAGTCAGTAGTACATCAATGGGCCCTAGTAGAGACGTATCTAAGTATGGCATTGCCTGACCTTGCCCTATGCTTGCAGAAGAAGCTTGAAGACTGCAAACCCCTGAATGAGAATGCATCACACTTGCTGCGCTCCCTCCTTGAGGTAGCTTCAGCCCAGGTGTTGAACAACTCATAATGACACTGTTGCAGCCATGGCTTATCATTTCCTGAATGAGTGTTCTGATAGAAAGGGGAGAGGAAATGTCACGCACCCTCCTGCCTGGCTGGCAAAGGAGGGCAGCAGGCCTGCAGCGCCGGCCACGCCGAGGCCCGCCACAAGCGTGATGACCGACGCGGCCAGCACCTGCAGCCGCAGCGACAGCCATTGCGCCACCGCCAGCCCTGCACAACGCACACCACCTCCCATGTCAATCTTATTATGGAAATGAAAAGGCGGCATAGTACAAAGTGCAGTCCTTCCCCGCGAGTCACAAACTTGCAAAACAGAAGTCGGTCTGCAGCCTGTCATACTTTACACATCGGATGAGATGCAGCTGTGTACCAGCAGCTTAATCTACATTTGTATCCTCAGGAGCACAAATTAGTGGCTGTTGGGACTGCATTCAAGGCCTCTTGCGGTCATTCCTATGTCTGGAGCGTCAACTATCTTCACAATGTGTGTGCACCTGCATGCACACCCACTATGAACACAGTTGACGATCCAGACATGCCATGAGACATCCAGACATATGCGGGAGAGGAGATTAGGAGTTCAGGAGGGATGCCCTGATGAGCTGCACCTGCAAAGTTGGCGCGCTGCAGGGTGCCCAGGCGGTCAACGTTCTGGGCGGCAAAGGCGGCCTGAGCGCGGAAGCCGCGGATCGTGGCGGCCCCATCGAGCGCCTCGGAGAAGCCAGCGTACACGGGACTGCGCGCCACGCTGCCCAGGCGCCGTATCTCCCTCGACGTGTGCCGGTAGTACCCCTGCCAATATAAGCCCTATCTATACCAGCTGACTGTATGCACATGACAGGGCGACCCTTTGTCATCTTCCATGATTTTCACATGTACAAGCTACATGTAGATCTTGGCCAAAATGGAGAGATCACCCACATGAGGGCACAATTACCACCTTATTGTTACACTTGTGTGCAAGAGCAACATGTTCACGTGGCATACAAGCAGACGCCCTGCATACCCAATGATCAAGCAGGGAGGCTGACCTGTAGCCAGCGGTAGATGAGGGCGAGGGGGATGAAGGCGGCGGCCAGCAGGGGTTGGCTGTAGGTGAGCACAGCCACGACGCCCAGCATGGAGAACAGCACAGCCAGCAGGATGTTCAGGATGAAGGGCAGCGAGTCGTCGGCGGTGGCCGTGTCGGAGGAGAAGCGGTTGAGTGTGCGGCCGGCCGGGGTCGCGCTGAAAAAGGCAGCCGGCGCGGCTGCCACTGCCGTCAGCAGCCGCTCATGCAGCCGCTGCGCAGCTACCAGGCCGCCGTTCGCGAAGGAGAACGCCCGCACCTGTAAGCACAATGTGTGGTGATACTCAGCAGGGCAATCCCCTAGCTTCAACATGTGTGAGACGCGCAATGTTGCTAGCAGACAAGCAACCGCCCATACATGTCATCTGCATGTCCTCATTGGAAGAAACACTTCCCAATATCCCGCACTGCCAAGTGAGTTCCCTTTCAAGTCACAACGAGTTATAGTGAAGTGTCGGGCTGCTGCACAGGATGAAAGCTGCGTCCAGAGGACTGCAAATTTCATTTGGTGCAACAGGACAGCCCAAGCCTTGGCGGCCACGCCCCCTCAGAGCAAACAGGGGAATCGAAAGCAACTTAGTCTTATTTAGAGTTCCCTGGAGTGACAGGGAGAGGGGTTTACCAGGATGGAGAGGGAGTTGGCAAGGGTGAGCATGAGCAGCACGCTGAGGTAGAACTGCACGTCCGGCTGCAGCTGCGCGACACTGCGCCGGACGCCGCGCCGCAGCCTGGCCGCCTGGTCGTGCACATAGTCTCGCACAGCAGCCATCGCATCCGCCATCCACCCCTTGCTCTTCTCCCTCGGCCGCAAACCGTCCACAACCCCGCTGTTCCTCCCAACCCCTCGATCCCTCACCGCCCCAGCCTCGCTCTGTTCCCCTCCCAACACTTCTTTCAGACTCCTGCTGACCGGCAGTCCCCGCCCATGAGCTTCCGCCGACCCCTTGGTGCTCCTCATGGTTTTCACAGCCCCCCAAGCAGGCTTGGCAGCTCCCTCAAGCTCGTCTGAGTCCCAGTGAGGGCTCTGCGCTGCTGATTCGCTGCTTTCCCTGAAGCCTTCCTTGGGATCGATCCAGGCAGCGGCTTCTTGGGAGTCAGTGGGACCCCAAGTGTAGCCTGACTGCGGCAGCCAGACATAACTGGCGGCTCGGGAGGGATGGAAGGTGGGCATGGCCTGCCAGCTGGGGTAGGGCGTCTGCTGCTGCATGGCTGTGGCGTTGAAACCGCGGAGTGAAAGGTCCAGCTCGACTTCCTCGTGGTGCTGGTGTGACACCCAGTAGGACAGCCACAGGTCGCTCCCGTTCTGGGTGACCTGCAGGGGATAACACAGGATTTGGATTAGAGTGATCAAGATTATAACGTGATTGGCTCCTTATCTTCCCCAGCACGCCTCGTGACGATGGCCCGACAGTATTAAGAGACATGTGCGCTTTGACACAGGTTCAAGTCCAGCACATATCTATCAGAAGTCCAACTTGGGGAAAGGTTAGGTCACCTGCATGAGGGTGAGACTGATGAGGATGACTGAGACCAGGAAGGGCCCCGCAGCCATGGCATAGGCTGTGTACACCCGCGGCTTCACATGCCCTGTCTGCCTGACTTCCTCCACCTCGCCTGACCCCTCCTGAGGCGTTCCAGCCGGCCCCTGAACTGCAGCCTGGGCAGGAGGTGTGCCGGGAGGCTGCTCCAAGACCGGCTGCTGCTGTGGCGCTTTCCCAGCCCCTGCCTGCTTCATAGAAGCCCCTGCATGCAGGATCTTATATCATGGAGGGTTGCGCTCTGCACAGGACCATGTCCATTTGGGTGTTGCCTGTTACTATACAGGAATGAAGCATGCGGTAACGTGTGAAAAGACTCACCTGGAGGGCTCTGAAGGGAGCCACTGGGCTGCGTTGGCATGGAGGAGGACATGCGCCTCTGGAAGCTCTCATGCAGCTTGGCCTTGCCCTTACCCACCTCCTGTGAGGCAGCATGAAACAGCCTCACAGATCCAGCTCTCAGGCATAAAGAGTCAGAACACCTGAGAAGACGCCAATGACGAGGTCATTGGGACCTACACCGCCAGGCACATCGCAGTGACCACGATAATGACATCTCTCGACATTGTATTGCTGAAAAGACGACATGCACAAGGTTGATGTGACACTCGCAGTCGGCGCCCTTCGAGCAAGCCTCACCTCTGTGTCGGGCTGCAGGCCGGGAGTCCACAGCTGCAGGCCGTAGGGGTCCTCTTCTGGGGGTCCCTGTATCCAACAGTAAAGTAGCTAAGCAATCATACACTTATTTTCCCAGCTGGAGGGGGGTGGTATAAGTACTGAGCACTATGCGCACGGTTGTTTGTGTCTTGCTTGGTTTTGAGCAGTAGGGATACGGGTCTTGTTCACTTGCAATTGATCCCCACATGCATGTAATCTTGGGAGGAACTGCAGGTAACAGGGATCGTAACAATAAGATTCAAGGGCTCATGCAAACGGAACGATCAGGGGTCATACCAGGTATGCCACCCGGCCGCCCTCCAGGCGGAGCAGGCTGTCGGCTGCGGCCGCGAATCGGCGCGAGTGCGTGACGATGAGCCGCGTCTTGCCGCGCAGCAGCGGCCCGCAGATGGCACGCTCCCACAGCTCAGCCGCCACCGGCGCATCCACTGCCGCCAGCACATCATCCAGCAGGTACACGTCGCTGTCCTGTATACAGCAGTGACGTCCATATTGACACAAATTGCAAAGTCATCTCTTAGCATTGAAACCTTGACTCCCCAAGGGCATGGCGGACGGCACCACCCATGGCTGATGCAGCACGCCACCTGGCCTGTATCTTATATATTTATTTTTATAGGGTGTACGGGAACATTAATACCTGAACTATTCTTATATACATCTTTGCAGGGATCCCTTAAAAACATGATGGAGTTTCAAATGCTGCTAAAAATGATGCACGGAGGAAATTGAGTTTGTGGCACTGGGGCAACAATGCCTGCTTTCAAGCAAGGATTGCAGGTATGCTGGTACGGCAGTGACATGCAGGAGTGAAGCGAGGCAGACCTGGTACAGGGCTCTGGCCAGTGCAAGGCGTGCACACTGGCCGCCAGACAGTGTGGTTCCCCGGTCGCCCACGTGAGTCAGATCTCCCGCTGGCAGAGCGCGCATGTCCGCATCCAGACAGCACGCCTCCAGCACGACGCCATATCTGGACTCCTCAAACTGTGCGCACAATGCATGTCTCAATTGGTTAGAAGGTATATTAGAGTTAGTAACCGTGCGCATTGCTTGGAGGCAATTGTGGTTTGCCGTTGAGTTGCAGAAGGTCCCTCACAGGAGTGAGCGCCAAAATGGAGGTTATCACAGCGCAAAGCTACAATCCTCTGCTGCCACGAGAAATTGACGCGGCAGGCATGTTGGCAGCCTGGCTCAAAAATTCAGCTGGTTTGACATGAGTGACGTCACTCATGCAGACTGGACTGAAGGCAATTTTGAAGGTGGGCTCACAGCATGTCTGTCGTGTCCAAGGGGGATTACAGCGGATGAGGCGGGACGCACCGGGCGCTTGAAGAGGATGTTGTCGCGCAGGGTCCCGGACATGATCCAGGGTTGCTGGGGGACATATGCGAGCGATCCGCACACCCGTACCCTGCCCGCCACCCCTTGCAACTCCCCTAGCACCGCCGCCAGCAGAGAGCTCTTGCCTGCCCAGCGAGATAAAGAATCTGTCAAGCCACTGGTTTCTATTCTACCATACACAATGCCAGACACAGAGATGCATTCAGGGAGTCCTGCAGGCTCCATGTAGCGTATGTTACAAGAAAAATGTGCATGTGGCAAATTCTTATCCCTCCAAATGCACCACTGCACAAGGAAAGATAGTCGCATGCATACATGCTGTGCAATCAGCAAATGATAGGTGCATTGCCCCTTTGTTAGAGATAGGCAATGCTCAGGGGAGTAAGTGACGTACCGGATCCCACATCCCCCACAAGTGCAGTGAGGCTGCCGAATGGCAGCGCCAGGCACAGCTCTGTCAGCGCCAAGTCACTCGGCCACCAGGACACCACGCTTTTAAAGACCACGTCCCGATTGCCTCCATCTCTCTGTCCCCCATATCACCCTTACATCACCCTGTCTTGTTTCACAAATGGTCTCTATGACACAGCATGGAATGATTGGTTCAACTTAGGAATGGCCCCGGCTGGCGGGGGCCGATATAATTACTGAGCACCGTGCCTACGGGGATTTGGGTCTTGCATGGATTTGGCAAGTCCATCAAGGGGTGGATTTTGGCAGCCATTGACTGCAGCTTCTCTGCAGACGCACCTTGCTCTTGGCATATTGTAACAGCAATAATAATAACGAATTGCCTATTCCTGACGATTTAGGGGCGCTCACTCTTGCTCTGGTACTCTGGGGAACATGCCCACTGTACAGACTAGGTTGAAGGAAACCATAGGTACCTGTGTAGCTGTGTCTCCCTGCGCCCTGGAGAGGACTGCACCGCCATCTGCAGCCACCCAGGTGAAGGATGCATCCTGGAACAGCACCGCGCAGCCCGCCGCTGACTGCCCCACAGACAGCCGCCTCCCTGCAAAGAATATGATCTGGCACATCAGAGAAGTTGCTACCAAGCAGTCCTCTTGCCAGCTATGCAAGATCTGACAGAAAGGTAACTGCAACACGCACTTCACCTGTCTTCACGACAGCTCTTATGACCAGGCTGTTCACACGCATGAAGATGAGACGTCTACTTGTTTTGCTATATGGTGCAACAGGTCCTAGCGAACCTCACAGGCTAAAAAGGGGCACCAGGGACAGACCTGATGCTTGCAGTGGCTCTCCCATGGAAGACAGCGCGAGGCGGTCTGCGTCTCCCTCCATATCCCCGAAGAGGCTGGGGAAGGGCAGAGTAAGCATGCTTGCCGAGCTGGTGGAGCGCAGCCTGCCCTCAGGGCTGGGCTGCACACTCTCCAGCATGGCAGCTGTCCACTGCGGGCTCGTCTCCCTCGCAGACAGAAACCTGCTGGACACACAGCCCCCGTCAATGAAATCCCAAGCCAAAGGAGCTCAGGCAAGATTCCTTTTTGACAAGTTTATGCATCAGGTCTGAAGGCGACTGCAGATGCCAGTGTTTCCCCCATCACAACTACAAGCATTGTCCAGGGCAACATGGGTCTTGCCATGCAAAAAGAACATCCGTTCAGAGCCTCGAATTAACCACTGCAAGGGTGTATAGATTTGAACATAAAGACGGGGATATTAAAAGCAGTCAAGGTTCATGACCCAAGGCTGTGAGGGAACCACAGCCCCCATAAAGAAAATCTTGTCAAACAAGCCCTGGCAATGTACCTTTATATACCGTATCCATCTTCATGCATGAGGTAAGACTCAAATCACTATGCCAAGCTCCCTAGAATGACAAGCGTAAAGAGGACCAACACAGGACCTCACATGCAAGAAGATTTCCCCATTCAGAGCGCCATTTTTAATTGATGTGTACACTTGAGAGTGTCTGGCAGTTGAAGCTATATGGGGTGGATGGGTGTACATACCTCTCGAGGCGCCGAACAGAGACGACGGCCTCCACGCAGCCGTTGATGACCCAGGGGAAGGAGTTGAGGGGCGCGATCAAAACCCCGAACAGCGCAAGCGATGTGAAGACCACCTCGGCCGTCAGCGCGTGGCCCAGCAGCACAAACAGGCTGAAGGTCAGGATGGAGGTCAGCAGCGATGTGGCCGCCCAGAAGTAGACGCACAGCGCGTCCAGGTACTTGCGCACCGCCAGCGCTGCCAGCTCCCCCTGCCGAGCCTCCTCCACCTGAAAGCAGGCGATTTTTTCTTGTTTTGAACCACTGAGATTGACCTGTTTGTCAGGAGTGTCCTTGTTCTGGGCCGGGGAGGATGTTAGGTCTGCACCTCCATCGCATCCCTTTTGGGCATTTGCTCCCTTGCAAATCCTTAGGGAGGACCATTAATATCTCGAAACACGCATGTCATCCAGGCGCACAGTGCAAGCTGGGGCAGGCCTGGTGATAGCAGCAACTGAGCATCACCACCACTGATGCAGGCATAAACGCAAAAACATACTACCACCTCATGCATGTGAGGAAGAGCCATGCAGTGGGTAGACCGATTGTCCAGCAGGCTCCCCCCGAGGCCATATATAGAGTCATCGGTCGAGTCACCCGCGCGAGGAAGGCGGGCTCCCATGCGGCGGCCTTGATCTGGCGGATGCCGCGAAGCAGCTCCCCCGTGCGCCGAATGCGCGCGTCCTTGCAGCCCATCATCTCCGCGCTGGCCGCCTCGATGCGCCGCGCCAGCCAGCGGTTGATCGGAATCAGCGCCAGCACCACCGCCAGCCCCGCCAGAAACGCCACCCGTACCTGGATGAACACAAATTTTGAATTTGAAGTACAATTTCATGTAGTACGGGAATACGAAATATAAAAGTACCATTCTTCATCGCTCGTCTCTGGGAGCGCGTGTGCTTGCGTACGTTCATCACTGCCCCAACAGGGGCAAACCTGTGGGAATATTAAAGCTCTGAAGACCCCCTCTTTTCATGGCCACTTTGCAGTCTTCACAGCGGCAAAAGATGGCCATAACTTGTTCAGCAGATTGTTCAGCAGCAGCTCCAACGGGACATGCACCGGGGAGATCTCACGGCGCTGATTGTCCGTCAGGATATACATATTCACATTGATATCATGATGAACTGCACATGCAGCACAGTGGCAGTAAATATCACCTGGGTGTAGAGCAGGCACAAGGCCACAGCAATCTGCAGCGGCAGGCTCCACAGCTCGTGCAGGCTGGAGAACAGGTTGACCACTCGGTCAGCGTCCACGGACATGAGCGTCTGCACCGCGCCGCTGGAGTGCGCCGCCATGTCAACGCTGCTCACCAGCAGGGTCTTGTCGTAGACCAGGCATGTGAGGGCCGAGCGCAGGCGGCAAGCCAGTGCCCCCTGCCTGAAGCTGTACTGCGTGTTCAAGGTTGCCTGCGCCGCATAATTCCACCTTTTCAGTGAGGGACAACATGAGAACTGTATAATCGAGTGTTTGAGTACATGAGAACTGTCTAACAAAGAAGTTTCTAAGAGTGCAAAAGAATCGGGTGTGTAGATGCCATGAGAAACTTTTAAGAGTTCAGCAATTGAGAGATGCATGGGTCTTGCACAAGCTGCAACCGTCAAAATGGATAATTATGGGACCCTGCACGTCAGTCATGCAATGTTTCATTCTGGTGGATTCCAGCCTTTGCAAGATTTAGCTCCATCAGAATCAGACTGGGATGACACTTCGCTGTTGTCAGCTCATACCAGACACCATGCAGCTTGCCTGTCTGCTATTTGATAAGTATATGGCATGGGGGCTGACTGGACCTACCTTGAGCACGGCGGCCAGTCCGAGGAGGGCGACGCAACAGCAGCCATACGCAAGGGAGCCCGGAGAAGGGATCCAGGAAACCTGCGCCCATGCCTCTGCACCCACCACGACTGGGTGGCCATCCCTTCCAGCATCATCCGCGTCGCGCGCTTCCTTCATGTGCCTCAGCAGTGCATTGAGGAGCAGCGGCCCTGCAGTGACAACAACCGTCACTCACTTTAAAGAAATTGGGATTTGCTTTAAAAGCAGCACATGATGACACCCATGAGAGATTTGATAGTGCGTGTGAAAAGCTGGATGGAGCATTCAGTGGTCCAAGGATGGTGTGAGGAGAGGAATTTGCCTGCAAAGTTGAGGGCGTCTCCAAACAGCTTCAGCAGCCCCAGTGAAACATATGGCCATCCATACGCGCCCCACAGGGCGGGCCATAGCTTTGCAACGCCTGCATCTCTGCCCTCAGCGCCCTCCTTCCCAGGCTGTCCTGCCTGTACAATGTGCATGCATCCCAACCTCAACACAGCGGCCCCTTTGAGATGAACACATGGACATTATGTACAGTGATGTATGTACAGAGGCGGCGTGACCACGTCATATTGATGCATGTGGTAGAAAGAGGCAGAAACAAGGGGGCCATCATAGATCAGCATCTATAACTCATGCAATTTCATCTATGTCTGGCAGTGAGCGCGCACCTGCTTCCAGCTAGCCCACATGACCCGCCTGCATTCGGCCGGCTGCAGCTCATGGGGCAAGTCCAACATGTCCCCCTGCTCCAGGCGCCTCTGTGAGCCCAGTGACATCAGCGGCGTCACCCAAGCGAACGCCAGCTGGCTTGCCAGTCTTGGCCGCTCCTCACCAGCCGCTGCAAGTCAAGAACCACCCACGTTCGGCCGGTGTCAATGAGACCCTATGCACTTTGCCTACCTCAGTCGTTCATGACATTTGACATGCTCCCAGATCCTGCCCTGCTTAATCCGTCTGAATATTGACTAGATCTACAACATTTGAGCAAAATGCATGTCAGTGCAAGCGCATGTCTCTCACCATCGCCATGCAACAGCTGCTCCTCCACATCAGACCGATCCTTCTGCCAGCTGGCCGCCAGCTCCCAATCCAGAACCGCCACAAAGAGCAGCTCCACAGCCATGCTGACCAGGGCTGGAATGACCTCAAGCCCCACTGCCCAGTACCACAGAGCCGGCACAGCCACCAGTGCAGCTGCTACAGGTTGCGCATGCCACAGCAGGCGCAGGTGCAGCGGGAAAGGGGCGTGCCCCGAACCGGCGCGCCTGCTGCGTATCACTGCCAGGGAGACCAGCCATGCAGTGGCCTGAGAGAGCCCGGCCAGGATCACATGGGGCCTGCGCGCAGAGAGGGTCGCCTTCATGTGTTGCAGCCAAATAGAGCCGAGAAGCGTTGCAAGCGTGCGGGATGCCCGCAGAAGGAAACACTCTGAAGCGATTTGACACAGCACCCCTCCCAGAGGTGCTGCATGGATCATACCCACAAATGCCACAGCCTTCGAGGCAAAGCATGCAATGAGCTTATGACGTGCACCAGGTCCTCAACGACAACTCATTAAGATACATCCAATCAGGCTGCTCAAGGTCTCTAGTAAGAAAATATCACCATCCGGCATGCATGTGCAAGCTCGCTTGGGGCGGTCTGGATTGCATGCTCATGTAAGATATTGGATTGAAAGCTGCAACATGCTCATTCGGATGATCACCTCTCCTTGATGAGAGTCGTTGGACCCTCTCTGGCCGCTAACACTGTGATGAATGCGAGCCAAGACACGGCAGCACAGGCCGCCAATGCCTCAATGACATAGCACCCAGCCAAAGTGCTTGCACGCTTCACCGAGTGCCAGATCTTCGGTCTCCCCTGCGTTTAGGATGCTGCAATCAGCTTGGATTGAGAACAGTCTGCTGAGAGGGACAGCCAGGATGTGGCAGTTTAGGGAAATTTACCTGGCTCGCAGTCCACAGAAGAGAGAGGATGCTGATCAAAGCAGCTCCAGAGATGAGAACTGTGTCTCCGAAGCATGAAGACAGGCAGAACTTGCCCTGTCTCCACACCTGCAGACAGCAAGCAAATGATGGCAGCGTTACAGTAAAGATTCCATGCAAGATCCTTGGAGCATTGTTGAATTGGCAATTGATACTTGTAGACATTGTGGGGAGTATCTGGCGATGAAAACACACCAGAGATTCATCATTGCCGCAAGCCCAGGACCAAAACATCCCGGCATCGCCGCCCATCGCCTCACATTTCAATGTCCTTCACCTTGTTTACTACTGTCACAGTCAGAAAATACTTCGAACAATACTTCCAAATTTTCAATACATTGTGATTGACCTCGGCATTCCTCGGCAGAGATTCGCAGATCAACAATGCATGCTAATTTGAGCGTGCTGCCTGCACGTGCTGCCCTCAATTGACTTCTCCTTTGCTGTCGTCTCTTGCAAATGTGGAAGGAAATTAGTAGACCATAGTCAACAGTAACTTTCTGTGTCAGTTGCAATCAATGCTAAGTTGAAAGGACCAGATCTCCAAAAAATTCAGCGATCATCCTGGCACGAGTATACGTTGTATTTGCGTAATCGATGCATTCTCCCCAGCTGATTGTCTATGGAATAACCTCAATATACAAGGCTTCGATCAGATCAGGGTTTTCATGATACACACCACTAGAGGTGTGAAGCAGCTCGTCAGCTTCCTACAGACGTCTCCTCTAGACATGAGCGCGTTGGGCCTATTGCATCTGGGAGAGGCTGGACATCAACCATTTTTAACAATCCCAGGTCTGTGCAGTACGCTTGTCCTCTTACGGATGCTCCTACTGTGCTGTATGCTGTGTCACCTTGTGAAACACCACCTGTGGTGCCTGTCAGGTGTTTCACATTGGAGATCGAGCATCAAGGTGGCCCATCTCAGTAGCGCATCAAGGGTGGGCGCCTTCACGCCCCATGCAAATCAGGGTCAAGCCAGGCCGGTGCAGAACCCACATCAGCAGGAGCCAGCCACAAAGGATAGCAGCGCTTTCTCTTTTGGCAGGCAAAAGCGGCGGAGGGGTTTGCAGAGTAGCGACAGAACCAGCACAATAGAGACTGGCAGCAACACAGCTTCAAGCTTCAACGTGCCATATGGCCAGCCCAGGCTCACTGAAATCTCAAGCAGGATGCCAGAATTAAATGGCAGCACCCCAAAACCTTCCAGCAATGGCCGGCAGGAGCCAGAATCAATGCCGCCTCACCTCGCAGCTAGCTTGGACCGATCACAGGGCCACAGGCGTCGCCCTGTCTTCGGCCCCAGATCGGAGCCAGGTCAGCAGTTGGAGCAAACCAAGGGCAGCAGACGGAGCAGCGCCTCGGATGAGAGGCGCGCTTCTCAACAGGGAGCCAGCACCAGCGCAGCAGAGGTTTCTGATACAGGCGACAAGGCCGAGGGTGTTCTGCAGCTCGGCGCAAGTGGGGCTCGAATACCACTGTACGGCAGGTTTGCCCTCTTTTTTCTCTTATTACTTGACCTTGAAGTGCAACGAATATGTTCTATGCAGATCAACAGCTGCTGCAGGAATGTTTGTACTTCCTGGTTGGCACAGAGATGTCAGATCGAGGAGAAGAAGAAATTGCCAGCTTATCACGGCACGTGAGGTTTGAGAGTGTTGACATTGATCTGGATGTTGCAGGGATGTTGAGACCATACTGCAGGCTGTGAACCTAGACAGGCGACGCCTGGATGGCTACTTGGAAGAAGTGGCAGATGCAGAGGATGACATGCTGGAGATCACCTATGATCAGCTGCCCAAAGGCTACATGAACCGCGAGTTTGATTGGAGCGGCCAGACCAACTATGCTGGCATGCATCGCAAGGCAAGCAGACCCCATGAGCAGATTATAAGTAACATGCATTGGTGCTTGCTTGTTGAAAAGGTTAGGAAGAGGCGAGGCCATGGTGACTCATGCTTGTCTGTGGGGTTGTGAAGGTGCAAGAGCAGCGCATGCGATGGCATTCTTGCAGAATAAGCGGCAGCACGGACAAAATTGAGATGACTCTGGATGGGGAGCTGGTGTCTGTGCTGCCACTGTGGGTTGCTGTGTTCCAGGAGGATGATGGTGGCCTCGCAAGGTAATTTTGGATGCTTCCCACCATTTAGTCAATTGTCAATGCACGTGAATCATATCAATGATTCATTCTTCTGCATGCACGTGCAGCTAAAGCGAGTGACCTGGCAACACGAGCAGTGCTCCAGTCCACCATCATACATGACGCTCTGAAAATTCTAAACATAATGTTCCGGCTGCAGGCTGCACGAGAGCACCATCCCCCTCAGCCCAGACCTGGTGAACGAGCTGGAGTCCAAGCTGCAGCCCTTTTGCGCCGTTGCTGGGCTGCGCTTCGATGGATGTGATCAGCGCAGCGGGCCCTGGCGCAACTACTATGTGGGCGTTATAGGCGATGTTGACTCGGATGAGGACGATGTGCTCTGGCCCAACCAGGTGAACATGCATGTCTGCTTCCGTGCATTGCCGCACTGCTTCATGTTCAACATGCTCAATTTGCCAGTAGCTGGGGTGTCAATTTAATAAAAGAGGAATGCAGACATCAAAGCAGTATGAGCGCCAGGGAGTAGGGAGAAAGGGCTGCATCGCGTGAATACAACGCGTGCAACATGCAAGACACCTCCGGCCCAGGAGCAGTTGCGGTACCAAAGAAATTGGGCTGCTGCTGAGGTGTAATATGACGCAGGCGATTCACGGCAATCGCACCATTTACAACGTGCGTAACGGCTGGGACATTGCACGCTTCCTGGCTGACGCTGTCAAGGAGGACGTGGAAGGCCATCTGGGGAATCTCAAGTGCGCCCCACAAATGCCATGTTTCACGATGTCACCAGTATGGAAGGACACTGCATGCTAACATGTGTGTTCGCTCATTCTTTCATCAAAAGCCATCCTGTCGTTGATTTGCCTGGGCTGATGATTGCTGTTGTGACGCAGGAGATTGCAGGAAGAGCGGCAGTACAAAACGGGGTGGGCCTACCACATGCTGCGCTCCCGCTGGGGAGAGCCTGCGCTGCGGAACTTTGACATCCGCGTTGACACATAATGTGTGTCGAGTGAGACGCTCAGTGGTGACTTCCAGGCTATTTAAAGTTTGCGAGCTAGCTAATGTACACCCAAGTCTGCACACTGGGCAAGTCACAGTCATTATGCTTCATGGTGATGCCCTGGTGGCCACCAACACACCATGGCTGCATGTAATGTACAATGCAATAGCTGGCTCGGGGACCGAGCAAATGTATGGAGGCCTGTGGAAAAAGAGAACCTCAACCCCTGTTTTTAGCGAAGCTGACTGCTAAAAGGGAAGGTGCTCTCACATGAGCCTCATTTGGCGCATTTCGTCGTGACCCTTAATTTTGGCACACCTGTATGACGATTCTCCTGCTTAATCACGCCCGGAAAGCAGTGTATTTTAGAATCCTAGGAGGACATTTTCTAGAAGACGATTAAAAATGCTGAACTCGGCTCGACGGACAGCCGCCCGTCTGGCACAATTGATTCCTCGCCAGTTTGAGGAAGCCTGTATTGCACAGCAGAGCCGTTCATACAGTCCATGTGCGTCGTTTCAATTCGGTGGGCTGCCTTGCCCCAGCGGCGACCCCTCTAGAGGCCCGAGCTTTCAGATCCATCAGCCTGCGATGTGCGACATCAGCAAGGGACCTGGGCAGGCTGTTGGCAAGACGCGATCATTCAGCAGCGTAATTTATCCGCCGTCGGAAGCTAAAGTTGGTGGTTCTGCTCCTGACTTCTCTGCTCCAGGTAAACATGTCATTGGATGAAGGGGCATGCCTTGCAATTGATCTGGAAAGTAGGGCTTGTCCCTGGTGCTTGTCTGCCAGACATCCCTAGCTTTATTGCAAGACTTATGCTTCAAGGGGAACATATTTTGGTGTTCCTAGAGAATGCCATTGTTGCTTGATCACAAGTAGAGTGTGTGAGGACCTGCCATTGTGCTGTATTGCAGCTGTCATTGATGGCGACATCTCCTCGGTGTCTCTGAGCGACTACAAAGGCCGGTAAGTCTGACTATGCATTGCTGTCCTCCCTTGATACTAGATCTCACGCTGCTGGTGCCATGCAAGCTTCCATTCTTGATCCTGATATCATGTGTGCATGTGCAGGTGGCTCATTCTTTTCTGGTATCCCAAGGTGAGTGCACTTCCTCATCTGTGTTTATTGCTGCATCTCTCGCACCGCACCCTTTACATCATGCAGGACCGTGCGTTCTCTTCCTCAAGAGTGCGTTGTGCAGGACTTCACTTTCGTGTGCCCAACGGAGATCATTGCATTCAGCGATCGCGCAGAAGAGTTCAAGGATCTCAACTGCGACCTGATTGCTGCATCAACAGACACAGAGGAGGTGAGATATGATGCTGTTCAAGTTCAGCAGCATTTGCGGATGTCGCATGTGCTGAATTGATGGAACTGTGGCGCCTGGTGTCCTGTGTGCAGGTCCACCTGGCTTGGATCAAGACACCTCGCAATAAGGGAGGCCTTGGGCACATGAAGATTCCTATACTGGCAGACACCAAGAAGGCATGCTTCCTACTGTGCATTCTGAACGTGTTGCTCAGATTTCAAAAAAGAAACAGCAAGACAAATTAACAACTCCCTATCCTCTTCATTGTGGATCAGTTGCTGCGACACGTTTCATGTTGTGCCAAGGTATACCGTAGTACAAATAGCCCATTGAAGTCACTGTGTCTAATGTCGCTGCAGGAAATTGCGGCAAGATATGGTGTGCTCAAGGTGCTGCCCTCATCTTGTTACAGTGCCAAGCTGGGCAGTGCAAGAACTGGATCACCCTATTTTGTGACCATGTCTTATTGAACGAATAACTTTCTCTTGTGACTACATTTCCGAATCTGAATTAATATGCAAATTATCCCACAGGAGGATGCAGGCGTGGCGCTGCGTGGGCTGTTCATCATCAACCCCAAGCAGAACATAGAGCAGATCACCATGAACAACATGGGCATCGGTCGCAACGTGGACGAGGCCAAGCGCCTCCTGCAGGCCTGCCAGTTCGTTGCAGAGCATGGCGAGGTGATTCTGCCTCTTTATTCTCCCCTGCCACATGAATGGGGCATTTTCTTTCCGTGCATGCATATGCCTTGTGCTAATCCATGGCAAGGTGCTCAGCACGCACTGCTTTGTACCTTGCATCATAGCTGCATGCACAGAGAGAAAGCAGCGCCTTCCTTATTTGTTTTGCCCAGGTGCTGTTTTCAGATCGCAATGGAATTGTGCTGCGTGCTTGTTGCTGGGCATGCATGTTCTTCACAAAGTAATTTCACGCAGGTGTGCCCCGCTGACTGGCAGCCGGGCGGCAAGAGCATCAAGCCCAGTGCAGAGGGCAGCATGGACTATTTCCAGGAGGCCGGCAAGGACACCAGCCACGAGGAGGACTTTGGCACCGCCCTGAAGCCCGTCAAGTCTCGCCAGGAGTTTGAGGAGCTGATCCAGGGCGACAAGCCCGTGGTTCTGGACTTCTATGCACCCTGGTGCGCCCTCTACCACGCTTGCTTCAGGGTCCCAGTGTTGTCCATTTTCAAATGCATTTGTGAGGTCTTAATAAAAGGGTGCCCAGGCAGTATGATAATCAAATCACAAAGGCGCTGAAACTTTGGCTGCATGCATTCTGCAGGTGTGGGAAGTGCCGCCAGATTGCGCCGTTCGTAGAGGAGCTGCAGGTGTGCAGCTGTCCTGTCCTCCTTGAGCATTGATTGCATGCCCGGATATCCCATTCAATCAGCAAGGAAATTGACAGTCCAATCCGCTGCGATGCACGGCGGTGAGCCGCCTGTCTGGTGTTTGCAGGAGAAGCACCCTGAGGTGGCGTTTGCAAAGGTGGACACGACGAATGAGCAGCTGGAAGGGCTTGCCTCAGAGCAGGGAGTGAAGGTGCTGCCAACCTTCAAGTTCTTCAAGGGTGGCAAGGAGGTCAAGGACCAGGTCTCGGGCTACAAGAAGAAGCCACTTGAGGACAGCGTCAAGAGCTTGGACAAGTAGAGATATCTACAGACACGCTCTTCGGGCAATGCTTTCGTATTTCCTTCCGTAGTTCTTTCCGTTCTTGATTGCGAAGCTCTCGGAATATGTGGCCAATGCGGGCTTCACATTCGAGCAATTATCGGGCAAAACTTTCTGGCCATCCCTCGGACATTGTTGACAATATTGACCTGCCCAATAAGGGCAGCTTATTTTTGGGTTTGAATTGAATGGTGTAATCATGACATAAGGGATGGCGGCAAGCTAAACTTGGCCCTAGGTTCCATCAAAAGCGCAATTGGAGATTCCGAGAATAATTTCCAATCAAGCATTTATCGGTCGGTTCCCCATATTTGTTTGTCGCATAGACCTCTCATTTAAGAATTGAAGAAGATGTGGGGCGGTAGATTTTGGTGGGTGGGCATGGGAGCAGCATCGATGTTGTTGGGGGAAAGGATCGTATCACCAACGTCCCTACATGAAGTGTCAAATTGTTCTGCAGCACCGGATCAATTAAAATTAGTGCAAATAGTGTTCAGGTGCGATCATCTCGCTCACCACAACGTCTCACATACACAAAGACGCCCCAACTGCGGCGCCATAATTATCATAAGATAATTATCAAAGCTTCTGACCTTCACCACATCAATGTCGATATTTAGTTATCCATCTATGCTGGGGTTGATCTGGGTGCTGACCAGTGCCTGTCAAAGACACCTGTCTTCCAGTGAAGATCTCATCAAAATGTCTATCAAATTTTCGCTTACTGACATGTATATTTGGGGGCTTGGAGGTATATGATGCTCAAATCTCACCTGCCACGGTGACCAACGAGAGTGAGGGACGCTGTGCAGGCACGGAGCGCGCACGCCCTTGACAGACTCTTACTGGGACGGTGTGAAATGGGAGGCGGGCAATGACTGCGGCATACTGCCTGGTGCTCTGCAGATAGCTGTCACAGACATGGCTGGAGGTCCCCAGCCACCACTCTCACATGATGCTATCCAGGTGAGCACATATGCCACACTCACCCCCTTCTCATCACCAGATTTACAGCACAGTCCTCCACATGTCACCATCTGTAACATTCTCACAGATGCTCACATGCTCTATACTGCGACCAAGTGGCAGACCTGGATGTCTATAAAGAGAATGGTCTTGTAAAGGGAGCAAATATGTGATGCAGGCAAGGACACAGCTTCCAGGCGGTTGCACCAAGGGGGAACTGACAAAGCCGGGACAGCAGCAGGCAAGGGAGCTGGGCAATTGGCTCAGGCAGACATACATTGAAAAGTACAACTTCATGCCGCCTGACTACAGGGTACGCCACTACCTTGCATTTTCCGTCCCACCTTCCCACAAACTGTATTTCTCTGGAAAAAGCAGGTCACTTGTCAGCATTCAGCTATTGGCTTGAACCTCATCGATCTCCTTCCTCCCAGATCGTCCAGATGGCCTTTCAAGTGCCTGTTAGGGAACTCAAAATCAAACATGCAGTTTTAGAGTCCCCTGTGCGCATTCCATCACTTCCATGAATATGGGCTTTGCATGGCCGCAGGAAGGATTGGTTCTGGGCAGGACGACAAATTACAGGCGCACAATAGCCACGCTGCAAGGGGTGCTGACGGGGCTATATCCCGATGCACAGAATGCGATCTCTGTCCAGACTGCCCCAGACGCTGACGAAGTCCTCTTTGGTCGCACTGACAGCTGCGAGCGCTTGCGCAACCTCATGAAAGCACAAGCACGCGCCCTCAAAGGTGCGGAGCCTTCGTTTCTTTTCAGACATACAGAATGACCTTCCCTGCCACTGGCCAAGTCGTGGGAGGAGGGAGCAGTGATTTCTTGGTGTATGAACTCCTCCTCCTCTTCACCTCTTGAAATGCTGAACTCTGTCAGGGTGCTCCATTTGAGCTTGGAGGCGCATCTTTCACCCTCTGCAGGATTTTATGCACAGACATGCAGGCAGGCATTGTGTGCATGCTAGAGAACTTCCCCGTTGCATGTTGGCCAGCCCTGCGCTGGCCAGCTGCTGGGCACCTGCTGTATTTTCCTGTGGCATGCCAGAGACATTTTGGTGGAGATCTACAAAGCGTTGCTGGGATGACAAGTTTGAATGTCTGGGAGAGTGTGTCACAATATAACAAACAGTATTATCTGATGCTGGGATGTCCAATACATTGTGGGTGCAGAGAGCGCGCAGACGGACGAGCGGGTGCAGGCGCTGGAGCAGAGCGTGCAGAGCGCTCTCAGGCTGCCGGGGGACCACCGCGTGCACTTCACCGACCTCCACGATGCTATGACCTCTATGCGCTTCCACGGCAAACCCCTGCCGCAGGTGCGGAGAGCACCCTAATCTGACGGTCGTTTATGAAAAACTTGGACATCTTTTCATCATCCTGCAAAGAGCAGGGAGGCCCCAGCTTGACGTGCAGTGAACAGCTTGATGTCTCCTCAGCAGCCCGTCAATTTGCTGTGAAAGTCGCCACTTTGTGTGAGAAAAACACGTTCTACTCCACAGGACATCACGGGCTATTCTCAGACCTGTCCTCCAGACTCGTTGCTGGGGCCCAGCAGCTGGGATGAGGTTTGCAGATGCCCTTACTTGACGGGCAGGCGGTGCTTTCACAAATGCAAACCTCCACAGGTGAAAATGAGGGGACCCTGCTGAATGATGTATTTCTAGACTTAAGGTGACAAATGGTGATGACAAATGGTGATGCATGGGGCAGGGCATGTCGGAGGAGCTGCTGATGGAGGTGAACCGGGAGGCGACGCGGCGAATGACTGCGCTGGTGGCGCCCCAAGCCAGCGAGCAACATGGGCCTGACATGCTGCGACTCAGCATGGGACCTCTGTTTGAGCAGGTACACGCTCTGCTGTGCTCTTTGCTTTTGCTGCTCCACCACTTTAGCCCTCTTTGCCAGTCACACAGCATGAAATCATAGCCATGCATGAGTGGGCACCTAAGAGCTGCCTGTTGACTGCGTATGCCAACATGACTAGGATCGTTTGATGCTGATGGCCGTGTTCCCATCAGTCTATCAGAGGCACAAAGCTAGTTGCATCAAGGATTGATTGTTTACCATCGAATGATGACTTCTCGAAGGGATGCAGCAGTAAGGACATGGTACTCTGACACATCCGGTGTGTTGCAGATTGTGGGTCGGATGGCGGCAGCTGCAGATGGGGCGGATGCGTGCCCGCTCTTCATGTACAGCGGCCATGACACCACCATCATGCCAATCCTTGCCACTCTGGGGGTGCAGCTCTCTGACTGGCCCGAGTATGTCAGCAATGTGGTGAGCAGCTTCTTCCTGAGCCTTTGTTTTAGTTCGGTTCAAAATGGTGCATTGCCCATCTCAAGTGCATGCGATGGCTTGGAAAATTGGCAAGTGGTATATGAATGTGGATGCAGGTGTTTGAGCTGTGGGAGAGGAAGACTCAGAAAGGGGAGAGCAAGCACTATGTCAGGGTGCTCTACAACAAGCAGCCGCTGTCCCTGGCAAAACACCCAGAAGGTGTACTTCAATGTTGGCCCTTGAACATGAGCTTTCCGCTGCAGGAACACAGGATGACTGCAATATATAACAGCCAGAAGATTTGGTGACAGTCGCTGGTTGCTGCAGGTGAACCCATAGAGCTGGAAGACTTTGAGGCTGTCTACCTGAAGCCGTACATCCTGTCGACGCAGCAATACAGGGAGGAGTGCGAACTGACATTTGACCACACTGCACCAGCACCAAGCAGCAGCGTGGGTGGTGGCAGTGCAGTGCAAGGCTTGTGAGGCGCTGCAAATATTTGAATGTGAATTCAAATTCTTCAGCGCACTTCTATAGTGCCTGAACGTGCCATTCTTTGGAGCCATATCAACGGAACAGTAGAGGGAATGTTTGCTGTCCACATTGGACGGGGTTTTACCTCTTACATCTAGCAGCCTATTATTTTGCCAGAATCATCTGGCAACACATCAAAGGCAGTAGGTAGTAGATAGAAGCACAGCTCTGCATGGGTCTTTCTAGCTCAGCACGGACATCATGACTGTCTTGATCTGCGCCAGAATTACTTGCTGCGGGTGGCCTCCAAAGTCTGATAGGATTGAGAGGACTCCAGGCCATGAGCCGAGCTCTGGTTTCTCAGACAGGAGCACTCCAGCGCCAACTATGGCAACGGCGGTCAGACTGCCTCCTGCAATAGGAACAGTGGAATCCGCCGAAACTCTAAGCAAGCTGATTTGGCTGTAGATACAGGACATGCAGAATATAAAGTAGTAGACATTCTTTCCAGGCATGTCTGAAGTTTGGGTGCCGCATCTGGAAGTGCTTGCAAGACGGCCAAGCCAAAGTGATTCTGCCTTGCTAGAGCGGGCATGATAACAGAGGTACTCCGCGCATTCTTGAAGTCAAACTACTGAAAAAGAGCGGCTAAAATATAAGGGGACACACCTCGAGTCAAGCAGCCCTGGAACGTGGGGTTGCTGTGCAGAGCCTCCAGAACTGTGAAACACAGATCAGGCAGGTCCTGACTGCTGAAGGCAGGCATGCCTGTGCGCTGCATCCCCGCCAATGTGTCCTGCATGATGTCTGAGACCAGTCGCAGCCCCCGGCTCACATCCACTGCTGAAGCAAGCCAAAGCTCTGCAGAGCCAAGATCCTTGCATGTGCACGTTGCTTTTGAGCCCAACACCTGCCACAATGCATGCATGCAAAGCATGAAGGCAAAGCGTGCAGCACAAGTTGCCTGACCCACATTTGCATGGTGCGGAAAAGAATTCAACAACAGACATCGTGTCGGGTTGCAATGCATGGTGTGCATGCAAAGAGACTGAGTACAGGTACCTGGTTGGCAGCCTGGAAGACACTGTCGCTCGTCAGACTGGCTTCTTTATCAGGCCTCAAAATTGCAGCTAGGGTGATGCAAGCACAGGCAAGGACCCACAGAGGGCTGCCATCGATTGGGCTGGCCTTGCATTTGCTGAGAACTGGCAGGGCCCTGAACAGGGAAACAATCAGTCCTTGGCATAACGAGCCAGAACTATCGTTCTTTCAGCAACAGCAACAGATCTGGGCCGGACGTCAGACACACACCGAAGGCGTGCACATGGGATATTTGCTAGACGACAGACAACCTGTCCGTGAAGACAGCAAGCGCCAAGAACTTCGTGCTTCTCTCAAGGCGCAGGTGCTGGCTCACGCAAAGCAGGACCTGCAGGGCGCCATGGACGTCCGTCTGCTGAATGCCTTCTGGCATGGTCGGTCACTGCGCGCTGCAGTGTGCAGGGATCGACTGGTTTCGAGTGCCCAATTGTTTTGCTGTTCTCAACACTGATCGACAGCTGTCACATGCAAAACAGGGCAAGTTAGTACCCTTGACCTTTTCTTCTGGAAGCTTCCTTAAGGGAGTGAAATATAAATCCCTTGAAACTTCCCGCAGGAGTGATCCCGCCTGCTCCAATCGAAGTCTCTTTACATCAGCAACACAAGCTCAGAGCTTTCTCGAATATCCTTCCCAAAGCTTGATCAACGCGCACATCGGAACAAGGATGGCTCTTCAGCTGGCGTCGGTGTTTGCGGCAGCCCTGCTCGCCTTCACCCTCTTAGCGCCAACTTCTCGTGCAGGCAAGGCTCATCCTGCTTTCATCCTATATTTCGGGCGGGAAGCATGTTTTACAGTTGATCAAGGCGTGGCAGACTGCTTATGTGTTGAGGGGATCGGGCCTGATCGCTCATCTTGGAGTCTAGCAGCCTGGTAATAGTGTCCAGGCCCAATAGTGGTCACATCCACCGAGTCCATGGTCAGATGGTCGAAGGAATAAATGGAATTTTACCTCCCCATGAGTGTTCCTTTTTACTTTTGGTCTATCACTGAAGTGGGCCATGAAGCCTGAGAGCTGTGGTGTACCAGGACCTACGGATCATGCCAGAAACTTTGTTTGTAAGCTTCGAAGTGCCCTTAGCGTGAATCAGCGTGTATGATTTTGTCCATCTCCTGCTTGCAGCCCCGGCCCCTGCGCCGGCACTGGCAAGAAGAGCTGCCCGGCCTCCCGCCAATGGTGTGCTTCTGGTCACCTTCCATCAAACATCATAACACCTCCATCTGCCTGCTGTCCTTGCAGGCAGAAGAATCCATTACACAATCCGCTTATGTCCTCAACAAGCTGTTCCCTGTCGCAACTATCCTGAGAGCTCCTTGGAATGCCGCTCAACAGCACACTGTGGCAAGATATCTAGCGATCCTGGTCTGGGGATTCATTACATTGTTTCTGCGTGATGTCGACCTGCGAGGCAGCCTTTACCTCTGGCGCTCGCTCTGCCTTGATGTCTGCATCTGTCTGTTTCTCTACTTAACGCACAGAAATCTGTGCTTGACACATCTGCACGCAGCTCGCGCAGGCAGCTACAATGCAATTTGTTTGCATCAGGCGCACGATCACCTAGTGGTTGAGTGCACGCTTGTGTAATGCTTGAGACATGTGTGCGCAGCTGCCTACCTGGGCCCCGCAGCTGCGTCTGCGATACAGCGCAGGAACGCAGTGCTACGGGCGGCAGGGCCATCCGCGCGCGCAAACTTTTTGCGCCAGGAGCGGCCCTTCAATCTCCAAGCCGCCGCCCCGACCACTTTACCGGCGCGCGCCCCCCGGCCGGCTGCTTACCGCAGGATACCCGCTGCCAAGGTGGGGCCCCTCGCACAGACTGCGAGTCCCTTCCAACCGTTGTAAAATGAGGGATTGCCTGCTGGGAACACTGAGTGTGCCGAAGGCCCAAGTCACTGTGAAGCCATTGCACAGTCTGGCCATCATGTCCTTAATGTCTGATATCAGACTCATGCAAGGCTGAGGTCACCCTGATGGAAAACGGCTGTTCACCTGCGAGAGGCGCCCTAACAAGAGACATTCACAACTGCCATGATTCTGATTGTGGTCTTTGTTTTGGTGCAGGCACCAGGTGCTGCGAGGGCACCTGCCCCGGCAGTACGGGGATGAGATGCCGATTGAACATGGCCGTCAAACTTTTGGTTGGTCCTTTTCCAGCTTGTGTTGCTCTGCCATTGCATTGCTGGACTCGTCTGACAATAAACCAAGCAGCTGCTAAAGGCATTGCTCGTGGCCGGATACCCTTGCATACTTCTGCATGTCCGCTGCTGCTAGCGCATCTATTTCTTGACCAATGTCACAACTATAACATGGATTGTGTCAGCACTGCGGATCAATCCCACCCCAAAGAGTTTGTGTCTGCTGTGACTTGTGGCATCTCCCGGGGGACTTCTGGTGTACTCTGAGCTTGCCACTACAGCCTAATGCTAATTCGCTTTGTTGTTGGCGTTGTTGCATCTTTGCTCAATGCCATGATGGCACCAGCACGATCGCAATGTGCCGGTATGATAATGGTGATGATTATTATTATTATTACAGGCTTTTCCTGCCATGAGGCAAGGTTCTTCCTGCAGACAAGCTGCAGTTGAAGGCTGCCACAATTCTACCCCTTGTTGGACTCGCCAGATCCAAGCAAGACCCAGTCAACCATGGGCACGGTGCTCAGTATCTATGTCGCCCCCTGTCAGCCGGGTCCATGTGCTGGTATATGGCACAGGGCAATTTCACAGTACTGTACCTTAAGGGAGCCTATATACTAGAAGCCTAAATGAGCAAGCAAGGGTGACTAGCACTTGCTTTTCCTGACAGCCGCAAGATGATATTGCCAAGCAGTTTATGCATGTGTCTGCCACCACACCGATGATTAAGCATGACCGGGATATTATCATTATTATAGCAAGATACGTCCTGCAGACAAGATGCAGATAAAGGCTGCCATAATTCTACCCCTTGATGGACTCGCCAGGTCCAAGCAAGAAGACCCAATCAATCAGTGGGTACGACCGGTATGCTGAGGGAGAAAGGGCTGCAATAAGGTTGCACAGCATGCAGAATGAGAACAGGAGCACGCAGGTGCGCGTTCAAGCCTCAAGAGCTGCATGAAACTCTCGAGCAATTCTCATGCAATCCAATCAGCTGTCATGCAATCGGAAGGAAGAAAATTACACCTGGAACTGACGGGGCTTTCAATCGGGACTTTTCTCTTCCAATGACGTGGAAAGGGATTCGAGAAGATTTGAAATTGAAGAACGCGCTGACATAAGCAGACGACGCCCCTGGAAAACAAACGACAATTCCAATCCAAACAAGAACTTTCTCAAAACATTTCCTAGCAACTCAGTCGAACACCTCTTCCCACAAAGAGACGCCATTTACACCCGTTCAGCATGGTGAAGCGTGGAGGACTCGCGATCCTCGTCTTGACGATTGCCTTCCTTGCCTCCAACGGCGTAAACGCAGGTCAGTTTTACGTGCATCAATCAAAGTATCAAGGTAGATGTATTGCCTTGCCTTGCCTTCATTTTGCTTTGGACAATGCCGTCTGCTGCTGCTGCGGTCGTTGTTTAGATCACTGCGGCGCCCCTGGACAAGAGCGGCCACGGAGAAGGCTCTGCGCAGTGGAAGCCCATCAGATGAAGTACTCGTGATTGTTTCTTCTGAATGTTGTGCCTATCTCACAGTTATGAAATGTTGCTTCGCCGGGACAGGAACCGACTCTCGGAATCGCAGCCCCAAGGTTCCGGCGTCACCGAAGCCTACCCATACTCCAAGGCCTTCTCAGTCTCCGAAGCCTCCCAAGTCTCCGAAGCCTACCCAGTCTCCGAAGCCGACCCATTCTCCAAAGCCTACCCGTTCTCCAAGGGTGGAGGACCGGTCCCCGAAATCCCCGGTAAGCGCTGAAGTTCCCATCCTAAGTTCAATTGTATCCTGTCGACGCGTCTCACGCAGAGCATCAGAAACCGAGCAATCAAGATTCAACGGTTTACTGCATCACAAGAACAGGAGACTCGGTGGGATAGAGACACCAACCACGGGAAACAATCTTGCTGATTCGACTGGAACAACGGAAGCTGTGACTGACCTCAGCTGTGTTCCTGGACAGGGCTCCGAGAAGTCTCCCAAGCCCCACCACACGCCAACGCCCACACCAAAGCCCACACCAACAGACACTCCCGTCGCCACCACCGCAGCTGCCTCAACCAAGCCAGCCAGGCTGCACAGGCGCATGATCTGACCTGCAGAGCCTGCGAGAGATCTTAAGCGCTTGAGAGATGGCAGCTTGACGTACAAACGGTGCTCTGACTGGATCGGTGTCATCTTGACAGAAAATGATCGAGTGCATACGCGTGAGGAGAGTGCAAAACACAATGCGCAGCTGCATACTCTATGCAGCTAGGGAATTTGGCTTGAGGCAGATCTTTCCCAGCATTGCAACTAATACCATTTCATTTCAATAGGTGAAACAGCACAGAGGAGACACTAAAAAGAGGTGCAGCAGCACAGAAGAGTGTGAGACAATGGATAGGTGAAGCTGCACAGAAGAGACACTGAAAAGACATGCAGCAGCACAGAAGGGTTTGAGACAATGAATAGGTGAAGCTGCATAGAAGAGACGATGAATAGATAAGAGGACTGAGAACGGATGGTTCCTTAGATGACTGCACCTGTGATGTACTTTCACGCAAGGGCCTGAGCCTGCGCCCTCAGATGATCGAGGGCAGCAAGTGCTCAGACGTCGAAGTATTTTTTTCTCATGTTCAGAGTTGTTGCTGACATGATCACATGTTCAAGAACAGACCAGAAGGTGACAGATTCAAAGAAGCAGGCGTGCTGCCCATTGTGATTTTTCCCTTCTGGACTGCAAGAACTGTACTGTGCTTTTTGCGGCAATTGTCCAAGATCAGTCCTTGCAATGTGGCAGTGTGAGCGATACTGTGAGTAATGCCCTTGCCACGTCCGGGGACGTCAGTGTACATCTGATGTAAGAATACAAGTTACCATGGTCTCAGTTGATGAGCACATTCCATCAGACATGCCTGGGGTCAAGAGAAAATCTGCTACTTGCTTCAGCACACTCAGGTCCATGTCTGGAGCACAGGATCTGTCCGCCAAATAGATATCTACAGTATCAGTACAATACATTCAATCTGGTGTTCTTGAGAAGATCAATTCCCTGCTTTGTTCTTTGTTCTAATCACTAGCTGCTGCCCTTCTTAACGGTCCAAATACATGTCTGGCACTTGGCAGTGATTGTCAAGCCACAGTATTAGGCAAGCAATCTCCGCCCTGCTGTAGGACTGATGGTGAAGGTGGTTGTGGCTGCAGGTGCTGTGGCATTGCTAGTCACTTGGTTGTTGACTGCCAGTGGGGCAACCTGCGATCGTGAAACAGCTTCAGCAGGTTATCGGAAGTTGAACAAGCAGATGGAAACAAGGGGATTGGACTGAGCTTCTCTTCGGATTGGCAGGGCATGCTGTGCAGGCAATCAGATGCGGCATGCGGACAAGGAAACGCCAATGCTTAAGAATATTGCTAGGAAGGTTCCAGTATGCAGATCAGTGGCACAAGCTGAGCAATGCATCCAAGTGCCTGGGCCAACCTGATTCACTCCTGTCGTTGGAGTGGTGGGCGTGCTGCCGATGACTTGGGCTATGGGCCCCTTCGAGGCGAAATATGCCAAGGCGCTCAAATTATCATTGGTGGTCGTGGAGGGCGTTGTTGTGGCTGGAGTGGTGGTCGATGGTGTTGTTGTCGTAGTGGCAGTGGAGGTGGTTAGAGGACTGAACGAGCTTGTGCCACCGCTGCCGACAAGCGAGGAGCCCGAAGTGCTCCCACTGCCGCTTGAAACGGCCGTTGGGACAGTGTTGATCGCGCCTGCACTGCCGAAGAGGCCCCCGACTGTGCCTGTACTGCTGCTGGTGCGTGTCGGGGTGCTCGTGAGCTGGTGCAGCACACGCAGGCGTACATCTGCAGGAAAATGTTTAAGTGAATCGCGCAACTGGAAGTTGTAGCAAGTAATTTCAGGCAATCGACAACTTTGACGAGAATCTGGGCTGCCAATGGCCCTCCCATCACCAGAGTTTGATTACTTAATTCTTCAGGGATCATGCACTCAAAGGTCAGTATGAACTAGAGAGAAGTCCCTTCATAATACCTTGACAATTGGCTTGGCAAAGCTTGGAGGCCAAGGCAAGAAGGGCTACGCAAACAAAAGCAGTTCCTGCAGGTTGAGCCATTCGGGCAGGCTTCTCCATCCCCGACGAGTTGCGCCCTGATGGTTTCAAGGTCCAGAATCTGGGCAATTCATTCCCACTCTCGCCACACTCTGTGAGCCTTCGCGATGATCTCGTTAAGGATGTGGGGTTACGACTGTAACCCCCGCTCCCTATTTTTGGCAGCAACCCCTGGAGAAATCCACGTGGAGGGCGCCCCATGCTGGCACCAACTGAGATCCATCAAAAACTTTCTCGCTGATAATCCATTCAGATTTACTCTGCTCATGTGATGAGCAACCTGTAAGACGTGTGTCTCTGGGCTTACAAGGGCATTGCCGTCAATATTGACGGCGCTGCTCGTGGCGTGCACGCGCCGCGCAGACAAATGTGTGGAGTTGTCAGACACTTTCACGGCCAAAATGTTCATTCATACATGCTGCACTCATACTCTCCTGCACTACAAGCTATTGCGTCCACGTGGTGCTCTCACACCATCCAATAGTTTGCCCAGAAACATCCGTTTCATAGGAGCTTTCGTGGCTTTGCCTTGCGCGCAGCTCTGCATAAAGCACAAGCAGCTCTGCAGCCAACGCATGCCTCAGTAGCATATCCTTAGTCATAAGCGCTCCTTAGTGGGCAACCCGTCATAGCTTGGGCTGCCCTTGGGCCGCTGGCGATACGCGGACAGTGCAAGCGCTAGCACTGTCCTCAGTCACGGCCATCCTTACGACAAACAAGTCATCGCTTGGGCTGCCGGGAGCGGCCGGACGTGCGCGCGCGCTTGCTGGCGGGGCCGGTGCCGGTGCCGGCCTTGGAGGGAACGCCCAGGATCTGGTGCCAGTCCTCGTCAGCCGCCGCCGCCTGGCCGTCGATCTGCGCATCTTCTGGAAGCCGCCCGAAGCCGGCACTTGTTTCCCCCTGTTGCCATTCACCAAACCTCTTCAAGGAAAGCGCAAAACTTGGACAAATCTGCTTTATGGGTTGCTGAACCCCCAACTAGGCAGTACGACAAGGGATAGCCTGCCTGCAAGGTAGGCTCTGCAGAACACAACCCCTCAGGAATCTGTAAGACAGACATGCAGACTAGGGTGCTCAATCTAGACAGGCGCAGACTCCCAGAGCAGCTCGAGAATTTCCTGCCTCTTCCCATTTCACACGTATGGCACTGCAGAGCGTACAGCGCACAGCAGCAGGTGGATGCAGTCAGGTGTGTGACACCATGAGAAGCAGCATGCAGCACACAACATGTCTTTAGCAGGGCTGCACCATTTCTTCTTGAGCTACCAGGCTTGCCAGTTCAAAAGCCGCGAGGCGTCCAGCATTTGAGAACAGAGCAGCATTACCTGGACGGCGGCTTGCCCAGATTTCCAGGATGCCCAGTCGCCCCAGATGCCATCCCCCGCAGGCTCGGGCACTCTCTCGGCACTGCTAGCCAAATTGCGCTGTTGAGCTCCGGATGGAGTTGCTTCCATAGCATCCTGCGCTGCCTGCACAAGGGGCACACACCAACTATGTCTCAGATGCCTGCTCAGTCAGGAAATGTGGATGGCAACATGAAAGAATTGTCACTGTAATCTTGATATTTGTATGACAGCCTTTCCTGCCAGAGGCAAGGTGCATATGCTGTGCATATGCAGACAAGCTGCACGTAAAGGCTGCCAATATCCTGCACTTGTTGGACTCACCAGAACCAAGCAAGGCCCCATCAAGATGCAGGCATAGCACCCAAGTACAGCACTGGATTGACACAGGTGTGTTGCATGCATCGCACTGCACCTGTTCTGTGGCTATCGGATGAGCGCCAGATGTGGATGGCTCATTTACGGCTGAAAGCGGCCCAAGGAGAACTCCTCCGCGCGCAAGCAGCGCCGCATGGCTGGCCGACCACACCTCCAGGTCATTCAGCCCTGCAGCAAACCCATCACCTGATGGCACTAGCGTTGATATATTGAAAGGTTGATAGGGCCTGAAAACTTGCATTGCTTTTGGAACATGCAGTTGCAGACATGTCTGCATGGAGGTCTCGAACTCTGAGAGACCTACAAGCACACATGCATCTCTCCACACTGCAACAACAAAAGTGACTGCAGTGATTCCTGACAAGACAGAAGCATGCCTGTGACGATCGGCAGGGCACCACCGCGTGCGTCGGCGCCGTCAGGGCCGCTCCCTGCCTCCGCAGCGAGCTGCAGGGCCGGCCCACCATGGTCATCGGGCAGCACGCAGAGCGCTCTCTGCGCCCGCGGCAGCAGCCGCGCTGACGTGGACAGCAGCTGCGCCAGCACTGCCGCTGACTCATCGCCTCCTGTGCGATACACATCACACAATACTTAATCCTTCACTTGGTCATGCAGAGGACACTTCCATCTGTGCACAGTACTTCCTCTGAGTCAAAAATTGGTGTGCCCAAAAGATGCATGCTTTGAAGCTGGCCTGACTGGTGCTAGACAATGGAGGCATGACTTATCAGAGGATCAGATGAATAATCGCATTTTCCAATGCCGGCATAGGAAGGCGTAGCAGACACTGGCGGCTCACCTGGCACGGGGCTGCGGACGAGGCGGGCATGCGCGTGCAGCGCCTCGGTGATTCGGCCGCGCAACAAAAAGTACAGGGGGAGGAACCGCACAGTGGTCTTGCCAGCCTCCATTTGTCCTTCTAGCCACTCACACAGCACCTGCACACGCACACCAATCTCAAGTCCAGTCCTGCATATTGCCATTGTGACTTAGAAATAAGTGATCAAGTGTATACTATTTTTTGCACTCCAGAGACACTCCTGGTTATTCAAAGAGGACTCTGGAGGGCTCTGATATATTAGCCACATGTCATTCAAGCTGCATTAGAAGGGAGGCCACCATAACGCGGGGCAAAGGTGCGTACCTTCTCCTCCAATGTGTTGAAGGGCAGCTTCACAACATCAATCACGGCGTTGTTTTTGGCAGCCCAGTCTGCCAGGGCGCGTATGAGCGCTCGAGTATCCCTGGGCCTCTGCTCAGGGCTGACCCGCTCACAGTGCTCCCTCGCCTGCCCGAAATCCAAGCGCATCAGCTTTGTGTATAGCAGATACGACTGTACAAGTGCCGATGACACAAGAATGCTTAAGCATTCTTCTTTGTTGCCTGTGTGGACAGCGAGGCCAGACCACCTGGATAGCAACGAGTATAAGTGGACATCCATTCTCTCAACGCTTACCCCAATACCAAGGGTAAATGCACACAGTATAAATGTAAAGACAGAGGGTGAGACCTCCATGAATGCTTCAGTGACGAGGTTGCAGTCCAGGCGGATGCCCAGTGCCACCTCTGCCTCCTCGAGCGGCTCGGCTGCGGGGCCGGCCCCGGGGCGGCCGCCGGCGGCCGAGCGCGCGCGCAGAACGTCCAGCGCCACGTCAGCGCATCCCCGGGCCGCCAGCGCCTGCACCACCTTGAACCGCGTCGCCGGCGCCGCCGCAGCTGCAATGCAAAACACAGATCGTCTTGTCAGACTTCTGCGGTTCATTTAGAGCGCCCCCTCTGTTTTTTGGAGTATTGACTCCGGAGGCGGCCATGTGTTCGCCGTTGCCACGGGGCTAATATGCAGGCATAACGTTTTGGACATTAGCACTTGGATGCAGCGCTGTATAGGTTTGCAAGAGGACCTGTACAGTTGTCAAGGAACAAGCATGAAAGGGAAGCAGCGGCACCTGGCAGCGTGCGGCATGCCTCTTCCAGGGAGGCAGTGCTACCCAGGAGGGCATCGTCCAGGTGGAAGTAGGCCTGCCACTCCACCATCTGCCGAGGACTTACGCTGAAGCCTTGCCTGTGACACGTGCACCCTCAACGCAGTCAGCAAGACCTTCTCAGCTTCACCACTCCTCTCAAACAACACCAGACCCTCGGACGCAAGAAATGTGGCCCCATTGGAGGTCCCGGAAGCCGATCAGAGGACCGGCAGTCAGACAACTAAGGTCACGAAACAATTCATTAAACACAGCAAAGTCAGCCTGCACCGTTATGGAATGCCGCGTTCGCCACGATTCCTAGATGCTGGAGGGTGGGGCAAGGAACGGGGACCTCGCCATCTACAGCATCGCAGCTCAAGGCGAACGTGACATCCCACCATGCTGGGATCCAACGTTAGGCTGGTCCAGGGGGATAAGCTTTGCTTGCGCATACACCGTCTAGCAACCATCTCGCAAGCTAAGCCGTGCAGAGGAGTCTGGTAGCATCTCACATGAACTCCCCGGGGCTGGGGCTGAGCCCGGCGTCCATGAGGTAGTAGAGCAGCAGGGCTAGCTTGCTGTGCCAGGCGGCGCGGTCCGTGGCGCCGTTTAGGAAGATGCCCTGGACAGCCTTCTCCAGGGATGCAGGCGGGTACTGCAGCGCTGTCACCCCCTGCTCCCAGTGGAAGAAACCCTGTCAATCCACAGCGCCCGCTCTTGACCGACATGCGTGGAATTGTGCCAAGGTTTGGACACTTCAGTTGCAACACTGCATTTACTTTAAATGGTGGAGCCACAGCATAGCATTGCATGTCCAATCTGGGACGGAGGCATCAATGTCGTATAGATTCTGTTGCAAGCCAACACCACTCGCTGGAACATTCTGTGAAAGCTCAACTCACTGAAGCGTCATGGCCCTTGCTTGTCATGAACTCTTGCAGCTTCCAAGAAACTGCATTGAGCCATAGCCGCAAGGAAGCAAATGCAGATGAGGTGTTGCACAGCAGATGAGGGGGGGCTCACATGCTGGGAGGCCAATTCCTGGAGCAGGTCCTGCAGAAAAGGCGTGGCCGGCTGCGCGGCATTGCGGCGCTTGTTGACGGCTGTGCGCCACTCCTGATTTGACGCGTACCTCCCCGGACCGCCCCCTGCCTGCGCCACATGCTGCGCGACCCACTCCAGCACCTGCCGGCACATGCCGCTTGCATGTCATGACATGTCCAACGCCGATTAGTTGTCTCGTCACAGCATCATGCCTCCTTGATGAGCCTCGATGGGTGCAAAACGCGTATCTGACTCACTATTCGCTTGAGTGAGGCAATGCATGCCAAGGATAAACATTATATGTCCCATCTTGGGCCTAGCGTAGGGCTCACCAGAGCGCATTGGTAGAGCTGTTTTGCCAGGATGAGCTCGCGGGAGTCCTGTGTTTGGGCTGCTCCACTGGGCTCTGATGGCTGGCCCAGGGCCTCCAGGATAGATACAAGCGAAATGAGGCGGCCCACATGCCTGTACAGATCCCCCTTTGTTGCCAGAGAGGCCAGGCCTCGCGTGAGGCCCTGCAGGATGTGGCTGTGCTCGCGCTCCAGAGCGCTGTGGCACCACTTCTTCACGCACTCGCCATCCAGCAGATAGGCCTCCAGGGCATCACTGCAACATCAAGACAGACGGGTTGTAAGTCCGTGAGCAGCCCCTCATTGGCTGCTACATGCAGGACTAAGACCAATGGAAATCCAGATAATGGAGCTCACCTGGATGTGCAGTATTTGTCTGAGCAGACCTCCACAACATAGTCGTACACCAGGCTGCCGAGTCCATACTGCAGGGCTACATCAAAGAGTGCATGCAGATGTGCCACATCGTTGTCACTGTTGGGCGCGGCCGTGAGCCCTGCCGCCCGGCACTGAAGCAAGAGATCGTGGAACAAGCGTCGCCCTGATTGTGTGACTCGCACCAAATCACGCGGTGCCACTGCTGCAAGTTTCTGAAGGGCTGAAGCTGACATTAAAAGTTTCTGTGCCAGATCTTATATGATTTTATCGATCTGCTAAATTAGATCTATGCAGCAAAATTACTTTTTCTTAATGTCTAAGCAGCTTGTATCGACAAGTTTCCAAATTTATGTCGGTGATGCAGATTCCATCAAGCCAAGAAGGACGAATAATTCACGAGCTGTGAACTTTGTCTGCAAAGCACAGCCTTGACAACTCGTTGTTGCATCAAAGTTTGCATCTTGTTAATCGCTAAACTGGTCAAATTCATGTTTGCCAAATTTATGGGGTGATTAAATTAATGTATGAAAACCCCAAAACCCTGCCGAAAACAGTTACAGTCTCGCAGAAGTCTCGCACTTTCCTATCATCCCATAAAGGCAGCTTGAAGAGGTTCTCGTGGCTCAAGCTGCAACTCTAATTCATGTTTCGGCGGGGTAGACCAACTGTTCCTATGCGTTGCACCTCATTTTGACATTCGCTCGAACGGATCCTTCAAGGATGGTATTTTGATTCTGAAGACCACAGATATGTTTGCTAGAGGCATATATCTGGATCAAACACGGGATGGTAGGCCTTACCACATCAAAAAAACGCCCTGACGGTGTCATCCAGGAGAGATCTGCAGTCTCCCATGTCCTCAGTAATTAGATTAATGACATTTGCTGCATGGCTATTCGCAGAAAAATTGTTCTCTACCGGATCTGCAACGGTACGAGATCTCCCTTGCACGATCGCTTGGAGCCCTTCTGGCACACATCTGGCAGTGACTGTTGGGAACGAGAATGTGCTTGTGCACGACCGCCATGGCACATTGGTGAATGATATTGCAATACAAGATTCTGATAAGGGAGCAGAAAGCACCCCACAATTGCAGGTGCTGCTCAGTGCTCAATGGTACAAAAATTGCCGGCGTGCCATTTTCGGGTATCCAGCAATCCCTATTCATGCAGTGATCTGATTCTGTGCTGTGCAGTGGGATTCACAAGGTGCACTGCTGGCCATCTCATGCTATGCACAGTCGCAAATATTCTTGTACACGCTCGCCAGCCGGTCAACTGTCCGGTTGGAAAGCGGAGTGAAGGTGATTCCTGCCTGCAGACTTGCTCCTCAGCGTGCATCTCAACGTCTGTCTCTCTCATGACCTTTTTGCAGCAGTGTGGGGTCATTTCTGATTGATGCAGATGTTTTGATGCAAACACAGGAGATGACATGCCTTGCATGGTCAAACTCTCATCAGCTGCTGGCTGCTGGGAACAAAAAGGGAACACTGGTGCTGTTTTCACTGGCCGAGCAGAGGAGGGATGTGATTGCTGGAAGGCACGGCCGAGCAATCACATGTGCAGTCTGGAGCACATCTGGCCTTCTGGCAATGGCAGGTCGGGACAATCAGGCAAGCATCAGCATTGCCCTACCAGACATGTGATTCTGGCCAATCTTTCATAGCCACTGCCATTGCAGGAATCCCAGATCCATCAAGAATCCCGGTTGAGAAAGATCGCCTCCTGCTTGATGCAGATTACTATCAGCAGAGGAAGCGATGGAGCAACGCTGTTCTCACATGTATTCAAGAAGGAACCTTGTGACATTCAGTTTGCACCCAGCAGACAAAAGAGTGGAGCGGTCCCCTCAGAGTCTCTTTCCGCTGTGCTCGGTGCCCGAACCCTCAGTATATGGAAGGTACGCTGACATTCATATCCGCGTCATTGATGTATCTGTACAGGTGAGGCAACTTCCATTTACAGTGAACTTGTGATGCAGGTGTCAAATGAGAATGCGGATCCAGGCCAGCTCAGCTTCCAGGAAACTTATGGAGACATCAAGGGGCATGCATGGTGTCACCAAGCAAGGCTTGTTGTCTCTTTCCAAGCTGGTAAGGCTGGACACTACATTTCCATATCCTGGCAAGCCCTGCAATCGTTCCCGTTTTGCTGGCTGATGATGCCATGCGGGTGTGCAGGAATCATTGTGGTGGTGTCAGCACCTTCCAAGGGGCCAGCAAGCCAGATGCAGGTCTACAACTGCTTTGCAAACGCCCTCACAGCCTCAGCTTTCTGTGCAGCAGCTGGCCGGGCAGGTAATGTGTGATGAGTCAACTGCTCGACCTCATATCTTCCCAAGCATATCAGGGCCCGTTTTGTCAGAGCTGTGTTCAAATGAATCTGTGATCTCAATGCAGCTGTTGCGAGCGGGGGGAGGGTGGCAGTCTTGGCCGTGGCAGAGACCGTGCAGGAGTGTCGGGAAGATGCAGTCAGCATTCCTGGGGACGTATCCTCGCTGTCTTGGTCCCCTGATGGCTTGCTGCTGGCTGTGTCGTCGATGGTGAGACACTTTGCCAGCAATCATTTTGTTAGTGAATCCCATGCATGCGGATTTCACAGGCCAGGTCCCTGTGTCACATATCCAACTTGGTACTTTACTCTGCAGCATCATGCGTACATGGAAAATTTGTGCATGTCAGAGGGTCAGAGGCTACAAAGTAGGCAGATAGTCTAATGTTTGGATAATATAACAGGATGGACCAGTGCATGTCTTCTTGGCGGCTCTGCCAGCTGTGTGCGCTGTGAGGGACTGCTCCATTGCATGCCTGACAAATCTCAGGGAGGTCACCATCACTGACTTCAGCACTGGGGCTGGATCAAAGCTGCGCTGTCCTGTCGTGGTTGAGCCAGCCTTCCTTGCTCTGGGGACCCACCATTTGGCCGTGGGGCTAGATTGCAAGGTATGCCTTAGATTGCAACCAATTCAAGATTCAGCAATGTATGGTTTGTTCTGCCAGTGAAAATGCAACTTGCCTGCCAGCCTCAGCCAAAGCTTTGTGTCTTGAGATCAAGCAATTCAACCAGGCAAGGTGTGGATACAGGTATATTATTACCTGCTGCCGTTGATAGGCGGCTCAGAAGCAAAGCTGCTGATAGCGAAGGAGTGTTATGGCCCAATCGAGCGTCTGCAGCTCAACTCCACTCATGTAGCTGTCCTCATTAAAGGTGTGCCAGCACACGTGTGTAGCACCTTTTCACATCATTGGAAGCTGCAACTTATTAGTGGGGTAAGCTCATGCAGCCCTGCAATGAACTCCCAATGACTAACTCAGACACTCTCGGCTTGCAGGAAGGGTGATGGTGCACACATTAGAGGCCTTAGAGAACAGCACTGAAGACTTTGTGCTGCCACCACCTGGTGTCTTTGCTGAGATCACAAGTATCGTAATGACTCAGCAATTTTTGGTAAGCGTTCCTGACCTTTGCTAGACCATGTGAACCATGCAATTCTCAGCCTAAAGTGCAAAGGCCAATGAAGCATCATATAGGGCCCTTCCTAAAAAAAGACATTCTGCGTGGGTCAGATAGCGTGCACGAGGCAGGGAGATCTGTGGTACTACAGCTGTGAAGACCGCGCCTGTGTGGCAGAGCACCGCTTACATAATGGGCCAGCTGCTTTCATATCACCAGAACGCTCTGGTGTCAGGTATGTCATACATCACAATTGCAAGAGCCTGATATCATGGGTCACGAATATGAGCTGCTCACTCTGGCAGAGATGTGAGGTTTAACTTAGTTGTGTGAAGTGCAGGACTCTCTGCTCAACAAACGATGGCCACATGATAGTGCACAGCGCTCTGGACAACTCCTGTGTGGCGGTGCCAGCGTTTCAGGGGCCCCTTGTGGCAGCCCTGTGGGACGCTCTGGACAGGAATGTTTTCCTGCTGTCCAGTGGAAAGATGTTGCATGTCTTTGTCCTGGAGCTGACAGCCATCAATGGCCCAGGTGAATTCCCAGCAGAAGAGCTCCATCAGGGAGGCAGTAAGATAAAACAAAGCCATGCATGCTGGTGCAGAAACTCCCAACAAAACTGGACTGGATGGTGCCTTGATTTGGAGGAGTGCCATGCCATGCAGGCATCAAACATTTGGGAAGCCAGCCAGCATCAGCAGAGCTGTCCCCTGTGCTCCTTGTTGGAGGCAGGCTCATCAGTCAGCACACCAACGGCTCTCTTGACAGCACAATCCTGGACACTCACAAGCCTTTGGAGGTATGAAACATCATCTCCTTGTCAATTAACATTCATGGAGCACTGTCACTATGTGTTTGCCAACATTCACTCCATGGAGCATCCAGCATCATTGCTGGCATGCATTCTTTGTTACAAAGCAGGAAGCGAAAGGTGAATCACAGTCCCAATGGGGTTTCTGCAGCTGAAGCTGTATCCTTGGCAGGCCGTTGATGTGGGAGTGCGAGGGGATGAGCGGCTGCTGATGCGCGTACGCGCTGCTATTGCCATTGGCAGAATGCAGCAGGCTCGGGACACGGCTGCGATGCTGAACAAGACAGCTGGGTGGCAGGCACTGGCTGCTGCTGCCGTCCATAGCATGGACATCCAACTGGCCATTGAGTGAGTCCGCAAGATCCTGCATGCATTGCTCCTGTGGCCCCTCACGAAGCAGTGCTGAATCAATATTGGCAGCGAAGTAAGGCCATGCTCTTCGTTGCGCACAGGTGTTATTGTGCGCTTGATGATCAAACAATGGGTGACGCACTGGAGAAGCTGACATCTGTTGAGGAGAAAGAACTGCGGCGCGGACATCTGTTGTCTATGATCGCTAAGGACCATGATAGAGCACAGGTTAGTCACATAGAATATCTGTGCCATTTGCTTGGCATGTGACATACAGCCAATTGCTTGCTGGTCTGGGGCTCTGTCAGATGCACACAAGATCAAGGCCCTGATTGGATTGAGGAATGCGCAGGAGTGTTTTTTGAGGAGCAGCCACCCAGCAGCTGCCCTGGACATGCGCATGCAGCTGCAGCACTGGCCTCAGGCCTTGGCATTGGCCCGGGAGCTTCAACCTGCTCTTGAACCCATGATCACATGCCGCATTGGGCAGGCATGCCGCATTCCCCTCTTTTTGGTCAATGTCTCTCCGTTGCTGCCAGAAATATTGCTTCTTCAGAAGAGAGAGTGTAAAAGCCTGGCTCACATTGTGCTGCAGGCGAAGGAAGAGCAGGAAGAATATGCTGAGGCTCACAGGTGCTACAGTGATGCTCTAGCAGCGGATGATGAGGCAGCAGAAGAGTGTCTCAGTGAAGCAGACAGAGCACTGTGCAGGGGCGGGCTGGCAAGAACCACTGTCCTCCTGGGGGACTTTGTCAGAGGCAGGGAACTGGCAATTGCCACTGGGGATGCAGCGTTGATAGCGCAGTGTGCTGCCCTCCTGGACACACTGCAGCAAGTGCAGGCAAGCAGGCTGCCTGACAATTACCTGCGTGTGAGTTTGTTTGAACCAGGATTTTACTAAACATCAAACTTGAGGGAAGTTACAAGTATACTGAATGACTCCAGAGTGCACTGCAGGCTGCTGCAGAGCTGTATGCGCTCGCAGGCGACAGAAAGAAAGCAGCAGCGTTGTACCTCGGTGCAGGCTCTGTGGATAAAGCATCCGCCATCATTGGGCGGGGCGAGCAACCGGAGCTGCAACTTCCCTTGGCTCAGGCTTTTGAGGGTGCGCGACCAACACAAGCTTACACACACCCCACCTCCCATGGTGTTTGCTGGATCAGGAGGGGACTCAAGTGAGCCTTCGCTGGCCGTTTCTGGCTCTCTAAATTGCATGAGTCACACCATGCATGACTAAATTCAGAGATGGCGTGCGAAGTGGCTGTGCTTATGCCATGCCCAGGTGCCGGGAGGTACAAGGAAGCTACGACTGCATATGAAGCAGCAGGAGCCATTGCTGAGGCTGTGGCAGTCTTGCTGCAACACCTGCAAGACGGCGACGGTGCAGCCGCTCTAGTCGCCAGGTCGGGCGACGCAGCTGCCGCCGCCCTTGTGGCCCAGCACTGCCAGACTATTGGCGAACATTCTGTGAGCAATCTGCCATCCCTGCCACGGGCCACGGCCATAGACCACATGCATAAACTTGAGATCCATGCTGTTGCCATTTCCAGTCCATGCAAGGCTCCTCTTGCACTGCTGCTGCTGATCTAATGATTACAAGGGAATCTATCCTCATGTTTGCTTTCTCTCTTGGCTTACAGGAATGCAAGCAGATATTACTTTGATTGATTTTCATGCCTATGCATTTGCAGGCAGCGGTGCACTATCTGATGCTGGCTGGGCAGCAGGAGGCGGCGTTTGAGGCCGCGCGCCTGCATGACGCCATGCCGGCCTTTGTTGACAGCCTGCCCGGCAGCGGCCCAGCTGCGGAGCAGGGCTGCAAATGGGCGTGCCAATTTTATGAGGAGCGAGCGCATTGGGAAGCTGCGGCTGACCTGCGCGACAGATTCGGCTTCCACGAAGCTGCCGTGAAGCTGTACCTGAAGGTGGGTGCGATCAATATTCCATGTGCTGCTTGATGCTGGCATGTGGTCCGACTGAAAGAGACATCGTTCTCAATTTGCTTGAGGTGTTGTTAACAAGAGCTAAGCTGCAGCTCGCTGTAAACCATATTAGCATACTCAAACAGTCGGTAGAGGTGTCCCCAACTGAAAATGGTGTTTAAAGATTCTGTATTGTCGCCAATGATGAAAGGAGCCGACATGAGGGGTATGACAAGGGTTCATCTCCCCGTGCAGGCTGGCGGTGATGCCATCAACAAGGCTATAGAGATAGTGGGCCGGACCGGGGATGCTGCACTGGGTCTCCAGATCGCTGACAATCTGGAGAGTCACTCGCCCGCTGAGTCAGCGGCGCTCCTGTCCAGGCTGTACCTAGCGCTTGGCAGGCATGAGGACGCCGCTGCAGCCGCGCTGCATGCTGCACACATCGACCAGCAGGCGGGAAACTACAAGGTGAAGAGCTAAAAACAAATCCACTGCAAATCGTTGAGAGAAGCTGCTTCTGAAGCATCGATCCGTGCTGCTGCCATGGCCCCATAGCTGTGATTCGGATTCTGTGGGCTCTCAAAGGACTGGCCCTTGTTCAATGATCCAGAGCAGCAAACTCCCTGGAAGAAAGCTCCCGAGATCTCGCAACATTGCTGTCATCAAATTTGCACCAAATGAAGGGCGCAATAAAACGATTGGCACTTTGACCTGCGTTGCAAGATATCAATGCACTGTCGTGACTTGCATTCACAGATGGCGCATGAGACGCTTGTTGCAGCATGGCGAGAGTGCCAGGGTTGTGAGTCCAAAACCCTTAAGCTGTTGAGGGGCGCGCTCATTCTGCTACACTCCTACATCCTCATCAAACCCCTCGTCCGCCTGGGGGACCATGAGGTATGAAATTTGTACCCGCTGAACTCACACTTGGCTTCATGCATTGCAATGGCCACATGCTGCTATGGCTTGAAGCCTTAGGCACAGATCAAGGAGGTGTCAAGTCTGCATGGATTGTCCTGAGCTAGGTGCAGGACCTCTAAAACCAGACCCTCTCACATCCCCAAATCCAATTACTCATCCTGATCCTTTCCCCTCTAGTGTTTAAAAAGGTGAGTGATAATGTACCCTTGAAGGTCACAGCAAATGCCACATGCAGGGCGCTGCGCGCATGTTGGCGAGGGTGTGCACCAATGTGGAGGCGTTCCCGAGCCACATCGTGCCCATCTTGACAACCGCAGTGGTGGAGTGCAGTCGCGCAGGCCTGAGTGCATCCGCATACGATTACGCAGCAATGCTGATGCGCCCAGAACACAAGGATGCCATCAACCCGGCGTACCGGCGCAAGATTGAAGGCATCGTGCGCAAACGAGCCTGGTGCGCTCTGGCCATGTTACTTTATTGAAATGCACTTCTTTTCCTTGCTTTGAAGTGCATCTGTCTGCTTTTGCGCGCTTCAGAACCTTCTCATCTTTGGTGATTATGACAGCCAGGAGGTATCCATCACCGCGCTCCCCCTGCCTAGAGCAGGCGGCATTGAAGGTGTTGCATTTGCAAAGGGAAGCAGAAATCTTGTTCACTGTGGGAAATAAGTCCTGGGATTTGGGGGTATGCCAGGGGAGAGGACCCTGAAGAAGGCCAGATTGCCTGCACGTTCTGTAGCGTTGCTGGCCCATGCAGCGAACTGCGCTGTGGACACTGCGAGAGGGCGATCCCATTCTGTCTGGCCACAGGTACTATGCCTGCCCCAAACTGCTTGCTGGTTTCTCTCGATTGCCCTCTGACCTTGGCCAAAACTGTTTTAAGCAACTGCATGCACTCTCAAGACGTTCCTTGGAAGAAAAACTCATGCTGCATCAGCACACACAGCAAACATGCTAGTGCGAGATCTGTTTTTCCTCGCACTGATTGTGATCATTGTGGTGAAGTTGCCTTGTTTTTTGTTTGGCAGGCAAGCGCATGTCTCAGGGAGACTGGGCGGAGTGCCCTGCTTGCAAGTGCCCAGCAAACGGACTCGCATTTGCGCGCCTGCTGGCGGTACAGCCGCAGTGTCCCCTGTGTGGATCAGAAGTGAACGAGTCCGAAATCATAATGAAGTAGACCGGGGCGGGAGTTGCATTTGCAAGTTTGGGGCAGATTGGAAGCTGCGTGGTGCAAAGCGAAGCTAACTAACGATGACGTTATGCTTACTGGCGGGCCTGTGTGCCAGACATTACAAAGGATCTGCAATTCTCGTGCTGTTTAGCATCTTTCAAACGTCCAAACGCACTTTGGCAGCGTCTTGGTCGCGCCTAGCCCTTGCCGAAAGCCTAGCAGGATGTTGATCGATAATTTCAAGGTAGACTCACCAAACGTCCAGTATGAGAGCGACGCGATCGCCGCCACATATAACTACGACCATACCGATCTGTCACAAGGGCCCGACGGAAAATGGATTGTAAGGCCGACCACAACACAATACGAGCTCAGAACGAGCACGCGGGTACCCAAGCTTGGGTAGGTTACAGGACAGTAGCTGATCCTTGACCGTGCCCACTCAATTTTGGAAACATCGTGCATGATTATGCGCTTGTATCTTCACAACCACATGATATATATATTTATACCACTACCAGAAGGTGGCTTCTTGTGTGGTTTCGCAACTACTCCTGCATTTTATTGTTGTTTGACTCGTTATGCTGACAACGTATGGACGCGGGCGAAAGAAGTGATTGTAATCCCTTGCATGCTCAGGGTAATGCTTGTTGGATGGGGAGGCAACAATGGATCCACAGTGACGGCAGGGTGCCTCGCCAACAAGCAGTAAGTGCCTCTTAGCTACATCCTTTTCAGACTTTTCGATAGCACGAGGCTGCCTTCGGTTTGGCCTTGCTTCTGATCCCATAGCGGTCTTAACTAACAATCATGATCAAAACTATGCCTCAAATACGAATTCATGGGATAGATTTATTGGGACTTTCTTACTGTGCACCACATCTGGACACACCAGAGGGGCTAGGCAACCACGCAAACTATTACTGTTTACTGGACCTACAAGTCCTCGGCGTCACCCTTCATTGTTTGTGCACCAGCACAATGAACCCTCGTCAAGCCTCTCAACCTGTGTCGGTGCAGCGGCATCACATGGATGACCAAGGAGGGTCTGAGGAAGCCCAACTACTGGGGCTCGGTATTACAGGCATCCACCTGCCGCATTGGCAATTACCGCGGAGAGGAGGCATACACCCCTTTCTCCTCGCTTCTGCCGATGGTCCACCCCAATGACATCGTCTGGGGCGGCTGGGACATCTCCAGCCTCAATCTGGCTGAAGCCATGGAGCGCGCTCAGGTGGGCTTATAAGAAAATGAAAGGGTCCAGCAGTGAGCCTGTCAGCTTCCTCAGGTCATGCTCAGGCAGCAGCAGTGGGCATGGCAGCTTTATAAGGTCAGGCTCAGGCAGCAGCAAGAAATGCCGATGGATGGGTTTCTGTGCCGGGGGCCTGCACATCATGGACAGTCCTGTCACTCGGTCATTGGAAGATCATCTCATCCTGGCGACACCCGAGATGATGGTGTGGCAGACGGACCGACATTATGCGCGTGCTTCTGTTGCCAAGCTGGCTCTAGCCCCAATACTCCGCGGCACTCTCAGCACCCCGCCACTCGCCTGCTAATTGTGAAGCCACCCGCCTTGAGATGCTGTAAATTCAAGAAAGTTTTCTAGGGCCAAAACCAGTGATGTAAGAGACGTGTGGCGTGTGCTCTTCTGTTTGCAAGTGCAGGACTTTGAGCTGCAGCGGCACTGCAACGCTGTCCGCTGCGTTCTGACGGGGTGGTGACACTTATTTTGAGAGGTGTGTAATTTGGGCGTTCCCTGCCGCAGGTGCTGGACTTTGAGCTGCAGCGGCAGCTGGTGCCCTACATGAAAGACATGGCGCCGCTGCCGGGCATCTACGACGCCGACTTCATCGCGGCCAACCAGGACACGCGCGCGGACAACCTCATCAAGGGAAGCCGCCAGCAGCAGCTTGACCAGCTGCGCGCTGACATCCGCGAGTTCCAGCAGCGCACCGCCGTTGACAAGGTCGTGATATTATGGACGGCCAACACCGAGCGCTACAGCGACGTGAGTGCCTTTCTCCAGTCGTCACTGTTTTGATCTTCCCTCAAAATATTGCACATCTGAGGGATAGCATACAGGAATGCTTTGTCCTTTTCCAGGGCATTGCAGGCTGTGAAATTTCTGGGGTGCCTGGATGAGGCTGCTCCACAAGGAGGAACCCGAGAATTGCGTGAGGGATGTAAGATAGGCCTGGCTTGGGCATAAGAGGTTGCTTCCGGCATTTGCACTGTACGCCTTGCCTTTTGTCAAAAAAGAAAGTGTCGGTCATTAAACAGGCACGCTACGCCTGCAATTATGGAATGGCAGGAGCTTGAGACCCATGGTGGCCTTTCTGGGCGGCGCACAGCACAGCCCTTCACCTCCATTCAGATGGGTCTGCGAATTTGGCCGCCACATATGCAGACCTGTGTCTCTGGAGATGAATTGCTCCGCAAGAGTGATGCTCGGCAGCCAGTCATCTTCAAGCCTTCAGAGGGTGCTGGGTGCTGAGTGCTTTGTATGTGGAGCAGGTTGCGGAGGGCCTGAATGACACAGCCGAGAACTTCTTGGCGGCGATTGAGAGGGACGAGAGCGAGATTGCGCCGTCCAGCATCTACGCGGCGGCTGCCATCCTGGAGGGCGTTCCCTTCATCAATGGCTCCCCCCAGAACACCTTTGTGCCGGGCCTCATCGAGCTCGCCGTCCAAAAAGGTGCGACCTATCTCCGTGTATATCTGCTCCCGGCACCCCTCTCTTCGCATGCGCCATTTGCCGTAGCAGTGTTCATTTGTCACTTGTGTATCTGCTGGGGCAAGAGGCAAGAGGCTCCTGGACAGTGGGTTGTTGGTTGTGAGCTCAGCAATGATGGAATGTGCACGTGTGCAAGTGCTTCAAGTGACTTTAAAATGCGATGCTGTCCCACATGTCTCTTTGCGCCTCACGCATCACCAATGCAGGCTTGTCAGCACCTGACCCTGGTGTCAAGGGCGGATACTGTACATCTCATAATGCAGGCTGTGCCTTTTGCGCAGCCAGGTGAATAGACACCTGCTGAGGGCGCTTGCTCTGTCTTGCGCGCAGGCGTGCTGATTGGCGGGGACGACTTCAAGAGCGGGCAGACGAAGATGAAGAGCGTGCTGGTGGACTTTTTGGTGGGCGCGGGCATCAAGCCCACCTCCATAGTGTCCTACAACCACCTGGGCAACAACGATGGCATGAACCTGTCCGCGCCCCAGACCTTCCGCTCCAAGGAGATCTCCAAGAGCAACGTGGTGCGCGTTCCCCTTCCTTCCACATGCTCTGCTTCTATGAGGCCCTCGCCCTTTTTGTGCGACACTTCACGCAGCACAGCTTGGGCACCATCACTTCAAGCCTACCAGCTCTCCCGGCATCTGGATGTATGCATGGTGCTGCATGGAGAGCCGCGGGGGGGTGAAGCCAATCTTGCGGAAGTGATGATAGCTTTGCACCTGTTGATCACCAGACTGTGTAACACTTGTCAACGCTCACCTCGCCGTGCAGCTCTATGTGCAATTCATTGCAGAGGTAGCACTGAGCACAAGCATAGTCCGCCTTTACACCATGCCAATGAGACCCTCACCTCCTCCCCAGTATTGGACCCTGCTTCGGGAGGTGTGTTTATTGGGATGATGTGCGTTGCCCCCAGGTGGACGACATGGTGGCGAGCAACCCGCTGCTGTACTCGCCTGGGGAGCACCCGGACCACTGCGTGGTGATCAAGTACATCCCCTACGTGGCCGACAGCAAGCGCGCGATGGACGAGTACAGCGCCGAGATCTTCCTGGGCGGCCGCCAGACCATCGTCATGCACAATACCTGCGAGGACAGCCTCCTAGCGGCGCCCATCATCCTCGACCTTGTCATCCTCTCAGAGCTGCTCGGCCGCATCCAGGTGCGCCGCACCCTTGTGACCCGAGAAGCCTGTTGAGGAGCAGTGCATGCTGCAGCAGTAGCATTATAGTGCTGAAGAGGATTTGTGTTTTGGTGTCGGCAGGTCCGCGCAGAGGGACAGGAGGAGCTGCACGCGATGCATCCGGTGGCTGTGCTGCTGAGCTACCTGACCAAGGCCCCACTGGTGCCGGAGGGAACGCCTGTGATCAACGCCCTGGGCCGCCAGCGCGCCATGCTGGAGAACGTGGCGCGCGCCTGCATCGGCCTGCCGCCCGACAACAACATGATGCTCGAGTTCAAGGCCTGAGCGTTTTGACCGAAGATCAGGACGCATCTCATGATCGTCTCTTTCGAAACAGGGTAAATCCGCATCACCTGCATTCTGATAGATGGTGGGCTGGGGCTGGTGGGAAGGAAATGGGGTGCAGGGATGCAGGGAGGGATTGGTGAATATACTCGTGATTATTTGAGGATGGCCCGAGGCCCCAGGAGTGTGCCTGCGTGTGGCACATTTCTTTGGTGGAGACTGCGGAGAAGGGGGAAGAGCAAAGCGATGAAGGCGTTCTGGTGGAGTTTTTTTTTTGGTCTATCATCGTTTGCAGGTTGCTCAACGGCCACAGGAATCAGCCTGCTAAAGCGCTTGTGGTTTCTGGAGAACATGTGAGGCTGGCAAGCTGGATGTTGGGGGCATGTAGTCACATTCAAATTCATCCCATTGGTGACAAAATGGGGAGACCATGTTTTCACTTATGTTTTCACTGCTGCTTCTTTCTAGTGTAGCCATGCAGAAGTGGGACAAGAGGGGCAAGATGCAGAGCTTCCTATGCCCCGAGCGTGTTGCAGAATTTTGTGCAAGCTGTTCAGAGCGCGTGCACAATCCCCCCAAGAAAAGAGCCACTGGTCTGTCGACTTGGAAATGCAGCTTCAGGCAATGCGACATTTTTTGCTTGAAGCAATTTTGTGGACGGGCTGCAGTCTACCACTGTCTTATGGGTGGTGTTGGCCTGAAGTGTGAAGCACTTGGCGCGGTAAATTATAGCTTTGGAGTCGTTGTGTGCAACAGATCTATGTATTTAAATCTCGAGTGCATGTGGCTGTACACTAGCCTGTTTGCTGTGAGTCGTAGGTATTGCTGTCAGAGTCCGTGATAGATGCAGTGAGGAGCATCAACATTGCTCTCCAAATTGTTTAATTATCTTTCCAAGATCGTGCAGGGCAGCTCAATAGTAAACCCGAGTCTTGACACCAGAATAGTCAGTTTGTATCTGAGATTGAAGCTTGAGCCAGCCATCATGCGTACTGAGGTGAACGAGTGCAAGAATAGAAGTATTTTTTAGAGCTTGCAATTGAGGGTGTCTTGTAGGTTCAGAATTTGCAGGACTGTCCGGGGAATTATCCATAGACTGTCTATGATAGACATGCATGCCCAGCAATGAACTTGTAACCAAGTACAGTATGTACGTGGCATGTTGATATCAATATTATCGATGAGATGCTCTAACTCATTACATAGATGTTGAACATAACATACTGTACACCAGGTCCTTGCACCATCTGACTGAGTCCTGATGCACCACAGTACTACCTTGCATGTGACTGCCTCTTGTCCATTGTACGTATTCTTTCTGCATGTCAAACGCTGCACACATGATTTGGCCTTCAATGGGGCCAAATCCCACGCCACAGCCCGCATTCCATATATCCATGAGACGCCCTTAGCCAGCATATATGGCAGCATGTAGCCAGCATATAGCGCCCTTGCACCGGATTCACTTCACAATGTTGATGCGTCAAACAGAAAACAGTCCAAAAGCAGGGGCAACGAAATGATCGCCATTACTTCGTGGATACAAATGCCTTTTGCCTCTGCCATGTCCACACACTTCTGCACACCTTGCATGTATCGTCAAAGAAGCAAGAAAGTAGAAATCCCTACTCAGTGCCTTCAGAGAGGCGTACATGTACTTGGTCCTACCGCCCATTGCCTGCAATTGCTTCCAGTCAAAAAAAGTACCCATACTTTGTGCGAGGTTCAAACAGCAACAACGTACTTGGGATACACAGGGAGCAGCAACTTTCCCGCCCCTGCCAAATTCTCTCTAGCGCGCAAGCTTCAATGCTGCTAGCTACATGAACTTCCATACTTCGCCGTGTCACCCAAATATAGCGCTAAGTCACAAGCCTGTGGCTTCATGGCGCATGAAATTGACAACTTCGCTCAGGGGTGGCGCCGTGCATGAAAAGGCACAGGCAGCCGGATCCCCGCCCATTTGCCATGAAGCCAACAGGTATAATCTCCTTTGCGCGCAGTGGGAAAAGTCACTTGGTAGAACCTGATCGAGCATTGGTCCCAACAGCACAGAGCACAGAGTCCCTTGAATGGTAATCTACTTCCGTATGACCTCATCATTGCTGCTGACTTTGTGGCATACTTTGTCTTCCGCTGACATCAGCAGGTGCTGAGCTGGCCCGATGACGTCAGCATGCGCTGAGCTGGCGCGGCGCCGACACTGGCAGGCCGCGCTGAGGTGGCGACTGCTGGTTGCTTGTCAGAGGACGTGGCTCGTTCCAGCTCGCTGCGCCGCTGACAGGTGACGGGGCCCAGATGGCGGCCAGCACTGGGGGCACTGACAGGGGGAGGATTGCCTCCTGACTGGCGGCGGGGGACGACTGCGGCCGGCTGGCATGCGCGGCGGTGGCATGCGACAGCGCCGCCATCTGATGCGGCGGCGCGCTGTGCTGCGGCTGCAGGTCCATCGCTAGCGACCCCTGGACAAATTATATCTCCAATGTCAGCGCACCCAGACATGCAGACTCTTGAAGAGCATTCCCTTGCTTGTCACGCAAATGTGAGCATACTGCTTCGACAGGTATGCCAAGTACCTCGTCACTCCTGAGGTGATTGCAGTCCAAAGTTCTTTGCACCATGTGCAATCTGTCTGATTCAGCCAGTGTAAGAGCGCTCGGCACAAACACTAGTGGTGGGGGCACAATTGGGCGCTGTGAAGCATCAGAAGTGCAGATGCATGGTTCACGCTGCAACCCATATTAGTAGCTGGGTGCACAGGTAAGGAGCGCACCAGTGGCTGGCTGGCAGCGGCCCAGTGGGGGTCCTGGAAGGAGGGTGGGCAGCGCGCTAGGCCGGCCGCTTGGCCACTGCCGGGCAGGCGGTCCAGCATGGAGCCCAGCTGCGAGGCCGAGCGCATTGCGGTGCTGGACGCGCAGCTGCGCGCCGCGATCCACGCCGACAGCGCCGCCTCGCTCGTCGGGCCCGGTGCCGCTGTCATGCGCGGCACAATGCCGTTCGCGTGAGGCACCTGGCCCTCAAACGCCGCCCTGCTCCCACACAAACTGCCGTCAGTGAATGCCAGATGCCCAGATGATCGACTGTTCTAGCGCCCCTGTCACTCGGAATGGGATTGCTGCTGTACAAATTATCCAGTGTAAAGCAGAGATGTCTCCGCAAAGGTGCAGCGCTGAGGAAGGTATACGTGTAAATAAAAGCAAAGCATGGGGACAGGGGCACACCTGCGCAGCTGCTCAGGGCTGAAGGTGAGCTCGTCGTCGCTGCCGGAGAAGTGCGCGGCGGCGCCCTCCGACTCGCAGCTGGCGGAGCCCATCGGCGACGACGGTTGCTGCTGCGCCAGGCCCTGCTGCTGCTGCGCGAGTGCCGCATACTGCTCCCGCAGCCGCATGGCAGCCGCCTGCAGGTTCAGCTGCTCCTGCCGCAGCGCCTCCTGCCCCTGCTTCAGCGCTACCTGCTGCTGCTGCAGCATTGCCATGGCCTGCTGCTGCTGGCGAGTGGCCTGCTGCAGGGAGGCTTGCTGGCTGAGCCCCGGCTGCTGCAGCTGCTGCTGCTGCTGGGATGCCTGCAGGCTGGGCGCCTTCATGCTGCCGAGCGAGGGGCCGCCAAAGAATGCGGCAAAGGCCGCTCCGTCCGGGCTGTTCGCCAGCGAGGCTGGCAGCGTGGGCGTGCGCAACTCCTGCAGGATCAGCAAAATACGAAAGTTCAGGAAAGGAACTCAGTGGTATCAAGATTGCATGCATCAGCTAAGGCTCATGCCTCAGTCATGGCAATGATCTATGGCGTCGATTGCAAAGACAGAAATGTATCAGGGCTGTACGATGCGATGGGCTGGGCACAAGTAAACAGTAAGGCTCAAAGACTTGCCTTTATGCTGTGCGCGAAGAAGCAGACGGGGCGATCACATTCGAGGCCGTCTTTGCACAGTTGCGTGCGATATCTGCAACAAACAGGAAAATCAGCTTTCAGAGCAGCAAGTTATCAAGCTTGAGAAAAGGGTGTTGAGAGGACCTATCATCTTGCAATCACTGCACTTTGGGAGTCTCATTGTTGGAACAGGCACCACAGTCTTTAGCATGCGCAGCAAAGAAGCACACACCTGCCAGGGTGCAGCCAGCTCTCAAAGACTCCATGGGCAAACGGGCACTGGTCACCACGCTTGCATGTCCCCTGCAATGAATTTGGTGCAACATCAATTGTCAGAAAAGCGCGTCTCCTCAACCTTCGGCTCAAAATGGACAGAGGCAACAACACAGGCGCAGAGCAAGTCAGGTAGTTCGTCTAGGGGTGCCTTGCTGCCCGTAGGGGGTTGGAAATTATATAAAGTGTGCGAGACATGGGCATCTCGTATTCTGCTTCCACCTCGCAGAGGCAGCTCTTACCTTGCGGAAGTCAGGGCATGCTGTGGCAACATACTTAAATGCAGCAGTCCCCCTTCTCCTGGCTTTCTCTCCCACGTGTGCGAATGCGCACAGGGTCCAATCGTGTGGCTCGATGTTGGAACACTCCGTCACCTGACGGGACAGCACGCGCCTGTCAGGCTGAGAAGTTGCAATTTGAACTCAGTATCCTGCAACGTCCAAGCCCTTCACAATGAATTGCCCAGGCACCACGACACCGCGCATGACAAAAGACGCACACCTTGAAATAATTGATGCGAAAATCGTCGGTCCTGAATTCCGCGTCCAGTAGGTTGCCCTGGAGAGGGATGACATCGGGAACATGGGCGCCCTGCATATTATGGCAATACCGTTGAGCTCACGAAATGACTGCAAGTTACTCTGCAGGCCGACAGGGAGCGAGGAAGGATACACCCGACCCACCAAGGAGGATGCTGCGCAGCAATTCTCCGTTTTCACTGGCGTTTGCGCGGTGGCCTGTTTGGGGGCTCCCGAGGTGTTGGAGGACACTGGAGAGGCTGTACCCGGAGATAATCTGCAAAAGCTTCCGTCGAAGCACATGGAATCCCTCCGGGGCTGGTACAGCTCAGCCAATCCAGCAGACAAAAAGACCTCCCTTGACATTAGTCAACAGGATTTAGGAGCACAAGCTACACCGGGCATGCGAGTCCTTCCCCGCAAAGTGGCCTTTGCAAATGCGTGCAACATTTGAGTGCCCCTTGCAGGCAGACATGCCTGCGCTGCGTTCTGGAGCGAGGTAAGCACGAGCCAGTGTTTCGATCAAGGAATTGCCAATTAGGCCCTTATGGCTATTTAATTCGCCCCTCAGGGTATGAACATGACAAATTTTGGTTACTAATTGCCACTTTTCCCCAACAACTCACGAAGGAAAGTGGCTATTTCGCCAGAGCCATTAATTTCCCACAGCCAAGTTGTAGCTGCCCAAGGCATCCCCAATAATTATGAAACAGCCACGAAATATCTTACAAGGTCAAAGTCGTTCTGTATCACAAACATATAATATTAGTTGAGAAGTAAGACAGCTCTCTTTCCTTCTGTCAGGCGATAGACAAGTACATCTCAAATAAAGCCGCTTTGTTTGCGGCTATCCCAGGTGCGAGGGCTGCAGTGACCAGTGAACACTTTCTATCATTCCAGGGGCCCTTGACAAAGGCCACTCGTGCTAGTAACATAGTTCTGCAGTGCACAGCCAGAGAGACGCTTCACAGAAGGACCTACTCAGCTTGCTGCTCATCATGCAGCAACGAGCACCATAAGTTCACAGCACTGGCAGGGAAGATTCCTCTCGAATCTTTCATCTTTGATCGGCAATCAGAGCATCATCTCAGTGGCACATGGTCGGCGGGCATGCAGCACGCACTTCACCCAGAAGCCAGATCAGCGGCCCAGGGTCTGGCGGTACTGCTGGTACCAACCCCTGACCACATCCGGATTGAAGGGCGTCCCCATCATCTTGGAGTACTGCTCCCACACGCGCACATACTCCTCCTCTGAAATCTGGGCTCCCCCGCTGCCGCCACCGCCGTTGGGCATGCCCCCCATTGATGGTCCCCCGGGCCCCATCCCCATCATCCCCCGGGGGCCTGCTGGCGCGCCGGCTCCCATGCCACCCATGGCTCCCATGCCTGTCATGCTGCCCATGCCCTGCGTGAGTGCACAAACTGCTCAGCCTTCGCAGACACTGGCCTAATGGTTAGTCCACACACACACCTGTGACCAAGGGCAGAGGCCACCACGAGGCAGAGGCAGGCTCTAGAAAACAGCCATTATCTATCCAGACAACCTCCTTTCACACACTTTTCAGATGCTGAGCTATATGCACAACCCTGGCTTGTGGAAAATTGTGGAGACAAAAAATTTCAGAAAGAATTGGAGGCTACCTGTGACATCATGGCTTGCGCCATCATCATCATGGGGTTCACGCCCATCATCATGGGGTTCACGCTGCCGGCTGATGCGCCACCGCCGCGAGCCTTCTGCTGCAGCTGCACATCAGCAGACAACAAAAGGTTCTCAATACCAAACTTACCCACATGCAAGCCTGCATAATCGCACACCCCAACAAAAAATGAGCAACACTGGCATCAGCACAGAGAAGAGCATGAGCAATTACCTTCTCAAATGTCTCGAGGTACTGCTCGTAGGACATGTCTGCCAGCCCCTTGCGATCCCGGCTCCGGCTGCGGGTTCGGCTGCGGCTGCGCCGCCGGCTCTTCTCCCGACGAGGACTCGGGCTGCGGCTCCTGTCATACATATTAGATTGTAAGCACGCTCACATCCTCCGAAGAGCTCTTTGTCTTGCTAATTAGGCGAATGTCCACAAGCCACCTTTTCAATGATGAGCTTCATCCCTTTGATGCCCTCAGAACACAAGAGTCCGCTGTTGCCCGCCAGAGAACATGCCAGGATGCATGCAGAGGAAACAGGAGGACCAGCTTTCAACTGGCATGGGCAAGGTTCACACCTGCGGTCCCTGCGCCTGTGCCGGTCATCGCCTCGGTCGCGCTTTCTGCCATAGCCCTGATCGTACCCGCCGTCCCAGTCAGCGTTGTCATAATCTTCCTCCATGTGCACAAGGCCCCTGCCGCGGCCTCCCTGCGCTGGCCCTCGGCCGCCTGCAGCCATAGGCTTTCCCCTGCGCAGCAGATTCCCCTAAGACACCTCAGAATACGCCGCAGTGCCCAGCGAACATAAACTGCATCGGATATCCTTCTAACTTGGTTATCTGACAGCACCTGTCTGCAGACCAATCATGCAGCAAGCATAATGCTGCAAGTTATATACTTACAAAGCTCATGAGAGACAGTGATTACTACTGCTTGCAAGATGAGGTGGGAGGTTGTGCGCACATCACAGAGGTGACTCTGCGCGAAGCTGCAGGCATGCCGGCAACCTCTGCCGCCGGCGGCTGAGGACCGCGGAGCCCGGCTGAGCCGGCGAACGGCACCATCTGGTCCGGCCCCGCGTGCTGCATGCCCGGGAAACCAGCGCCAAAACCCCTGTTGAATGCTGGGCCGCCAAACCCACCGAAACCCTCCATGCCGTTGGACACTATGAAGGGCGGCCGGCCAGCGCCCATGGGGAAGTTCATGCCCATGGGGCCCATGCGCATCATGGGGTCCCCCATGGGACCACCCTGCATGCCAAACTGGCCCATCTGTGGCCGCGGCCCGCCAAAGCGCCCGGGGAATCCGCCCCCGCCACCCCGGCCCCGACCGGGGCCACCAAAAGACCCTGTTGCATGCATGCATTACAGCTCGTGACGAGAGAACGGTGTAAGCACCCTGCAATTCACTACGTGTTCTGGACTGCCACTCATGCCTTATAATTGTCAGGCAAGAAAGGAACACCATACCAAGCAAGAGAAAGCTAGGCTAAATGCAAGTTGTTCTGCGAAGCGATCAACCGTCAACCTCATGCCATGCAACAGCCTGCCGATTTGAAGGTTGCAGCAGCGCGCACCTGCCGGGCGCTGGAGAGGGGGGATGCCGGCTTCATCAGCGCCCTTATCGAACAGCTGGCACAGGGCGCGGCCCACATCTGCCGGCAGCTCCTGGCCGTCTCTGCCGATGCGCACAGGCTTGCCCTCGTTCATGGAGTTGTACAGGTGGTTGGTGGCCAAGAAGGGCAGGTCGAACCGGCGCTTCCAGTCCACCCTGAAGGTGCCCCCAACTGCTGCTGTGTCCTCCCAAAGGCCCGTGTTCTGCACCAGGGACGCATAATTCACATACAGGGCACAAGACTCTATTCACATCCTGCACAGGGACTGACAGGCAAGGGCAACCCCACATCGCACAGCACAGGAGAAGGCCTGCTGGCATTGTCCGCAAAGGCAATTGGAAGCACACTACAGGAGGACATAGAGGCAAACCACTCCGTTTCTCACAGACAAAATGCAATGATTGAGAGTACGCAGTCTACCTGGTTACTGGAGACATAGGACTGCATCCTGGCATACCCCTGAAAGTGGCCACTCATATTGACAGAAAAGATCAGGAACACTCCGCATTTCTGCCTGAAGGCCTCGTTGAGCTTTTCCTCGTTGTGCTTCTGCAATCCAGATCAGAGACAAAGGGTGAGCCTGCCACAATCACTCAGCACACACCAACAGATTTACAGGGGTTATTCACCACCCATGCCATCTGAATTTTCAAATCTCCTTGGCCTGTCCTGCACTGTTATATGCTGTGTGCAGGCCGCATCCCACACCTTTTGGATAAAACCTCATCTTGCGCTTCCACAGAGTACAGGATAGTACAAAAGGCTGTTCTTTAGGGGATGATGCATCTAAGAAATGTCAGTAAGCATGCTGCCACAGGCACACCAGCTGAAGAACAGCCAGCAAATCAGAGCTAAGCATTCCTACCAGCATTATAGTCAGCAAACGCAAAAGCACTGAATTGGATGGAGATTGCACCTCTGAATGCCTGGCTAAGAATGTACAGAGGTTGTACATGGCAAAGGAAAGGGCGTCCAAATTGCACAACAGGAACAGGGAATCCTGTCTGCCAAAGGAGCCACTAATAAATGTACATAATTCCGGTGCACTTGCAGAGACAGACAGATGAGGTCCGGAGGCAGATGTCTCAACAAACCTGCGTTGCCCAAATGCCCTTCTCAACACTTTGGTCAACATTGAACATGCTCTTGCTCTTCAGGATGAAGAAGCGCGGCGGCTGGCGGCCGTTTTTCTTCTGACCAGCTGCCTGCACGCCCTTCCCCTGCTGCTGCTGCTGCTGGGCCCCTTGGCCAAAAGAAATGATGCGCGCAGTTCCATTCTGCTTCTGGGCAGGCTGAGTGGCTGCACTGCCATTGGTGGTGTTCATTTCTTGTTCCTGCTCCTCCTCAATATCAGCCTCCGACATGCCAGCATCCTGCTCTAGCAGGTCTTGGACTCCCTCTGGCTCGTTTGACATTGCAGCTCTTCAAATGGAGCACCCCACAATCGAGTGAGCCACTCCCAAGCTCCCGCTCAGAAGGAAAATATGAGTCGGCTGCGGGTTTTGTTCAACCCCAGGCGGGAGCGTTGGCGTAGTTGACAGTCAAGCGGCCCTCGCTGCCATATGCCTGCACAGGTCATCCCATTACTCACAGCACAGGGTTGAATTTACAGAATAGTTTGTAGGTGAACGAGTGCGAGCATGCCTTAGACAAAATGCAACGGATCCTACCTCATAAAGCACAGAGATCTTCTCGTCTAGCGAGGGGCAGAAGGACTCCTTCAGGTACACGAACTGGAAGGAAAATTGATTCACAGAGTTAGTAGGCCAGGTAGAGCAATCAGGTAAACGTGTCAACTCTGCCACCAATGCAGCGATCGAAAGTGTACATAGGGAAAGATGCAGGTGATCAGGCTGGACATCAAGGACCCACCACTTGCTCAGACTTGGTCTTGGTGCGCAGCACCTCCACAATCTTTGAAAACTTTTCGTTTGCCGATATCTGCATAAAGCACTTCGCCATCTCAGTGAAACAAAGTTGATCGGCAGGAAACAACAAAGGCACAAGGCAGCAAGGCGAAAGAATGAATTGGAGCCCTCAGTATTCTACCGGACCTTGACTTTCTGTTGTTTCAGAATAGGAGCGTCGCCGGTGGCCCGTAGCCAAACGATCACTGCATTCAGCACACACAGCAAGTTGGGTTTGCTGGATCAAAGCACCATACTGCAGCTTGACAAGAACGCAAATTCCCGGACCCGCAGCTGTATGGAATGCGGCGTCTTTGAGGGATGATCTTGTGTAAAGTCGGAAAACTTTCAGGAGGACAGACGACAACTGGTGAGATAAGAAGATCGCTTGCCAATGTTACCTTGGTTTCCCTTGCTCTCACTCATTCAGCGGTTGCATCCCCTGTCCTGTCTTTTGTGACGCCTCCCAAAAGATGTAGGCTCATACAATTGGCACCAATTGTATCGCTTTCCTGGCGATCTCGTCTTCTTCAGGCCCCGCTCCTTGCGAAGACATCTGTACAAAGGCGTGCCATCCCATGGTTTTTGTTGATCGCTGAATGAGTAGGATTACAAACTGCACTAAGTACATGCAGGTGATTTAGATGGTGAAATTTCAGTATCAATACCTCAGAGGTTCAATTCAGTGAAGTGTACGAAAAGGATTGTCTTGCGAAACTGATCTGACGTTGCTGTCAGTAACATCTAGACAATGGAGCTTGAATAATCGACAATAAACTCAAAATATGACACAGTAACCACGCGCTGTGTTTATTTTTCAACCAGTTCTATGAGTAAAACCGGCCAAGTTGGCAATAGAAGCCCAACATCAAACAATTGGCAGCCTGATCTTTCTTTAAAAAGACAAGTTTAGATTCTGGAGACAGCGAAGAGGACAACTGCAGCTGAGGTCGGGCGTGAAGCTCTGGATTGACGAGGACACATACAACTCAGATGGGACATTCTCCAAGCTGCTGACCGCCGATGGCAGATCGTAATTTAGACAACTGGGTGTCAGACCAGTTATATGCTCTCCTCGGTGCGCAAATAAATCCCTGAAGCGGATGTGGAATAGCGGCAGCGTACCTGGGAGTGCACGGCTGGTGCCATAGAGCAATGTTTGAAGATTGTTCTGGGTATGCAGGCTTTGCAGAGAGCGCAGTGGTCAGCTATGTGGTATCCTTAGGGCGAAAGGCGTCCAATGCAGCAGTCCTGGCTCGCCAGCTCGAGGGCCAGGTGACCCATTGATATCAGCACTCGCCCTGCATCTCTCACAACGCCCAGTGCCACACTCCTGTGTTCATGCACCGTCATGCTTGCTTGTTCCCTGTGTACTATATTCCCGGGCAAACTTGGGCCCACAATTTGAAGGGATGGGGCCTGTACTTGCACAAACAAGGCGCCAATCAGCTGGCTGTCTCGCAGGGGCTCCCGAGTGGCATGGAGACGCGGCGATTTGCCGAGGATCTCCTGGCAAAGATTCCCCGTGCGGGCGCCGCGCCCGGCCGCGCCGCACTGCAGTACCAACAACGCGAGCGGGATGCGGCCGCCTTCGTGCGAAAGAACGCCGCATTCGCGATGCTGGAAGATGACGAGGATGACTTTGACGAGCCGCCTCCCGCGCCCACCACCGCGCCGGTGCCCAAGGTCGCCAAGAAGAGCCTGCGCAAAAGCAAGGTGTGCTGCTCGAGGACTTTGCACGGCATGTGTGCAGACCTCAGCTCTGCTTTAGCTTGGTTGTTAGTCTGACGTCTGCTGCTAAAAACCCGCCAAAATTTGGGGTCTGGACCATGTTGTTCTCATCGGTGCCGTGATGGATATGCATGCCTGCATGTGGTGCCCACCTGAAGGATGGCTGGTATGCGGGCGTTTCTCATAAATGGTGGCTTTATGGCTGCAGGCTGCGGCGGTGAACGGGGAAACTGACGATGGTGTGGCGCCTGGGCTGGCTCGCAAGAGGCAGAAGAGGGCATGGGAGGAGGACTCTGACGCAGAGGGAGGGGACGCACCAGATGAGGAGCAGACAAAGCGGCTGGCAGAGGAGAAGGACGCGAGGGAGAGGGACGAGTTTGCAGAGCGACTGCGGCAGAGGGACGAGGCGAAGACGAGGAAGCTTGCCGAGGCCAAGCTCAGCAAGGAGGAGCTTGCGGTGAGATTGTAGCTACGTGCCGTTGTATCAAGAAGAGACCTGTGTTGCAAATTGCCTCCGGCTCAAAGTTTCACAAGGCAGCACATCTTGTCCTGGCAACGCCTTGAGGAAACACTGTCAGCGACATAATGATTGCAATTGCGGACCATCAGCAACCTGTAAGCAAGGCTGCCGGGGTTTAAACCTGAGCTGTGCTGCAGGACATAGAGAGGAGAAAGTACGAGACCGAGGCGCAGAAGAGGGCGCTCGTGCCAGAGCTGCGAGGGATTGCGCGCGAGGAGTACCTCAAAAAGCGCGAGGTGCTCAAGCTGTCAGAGATGAAGGACGCCCTGGAGGATGAGGAGATGCTTTTTGCGGTGGGACCCACTGTCTCTTTGTGTCTGCTTGCCTGCGCAGTCTACTTGCGGGTGTCTTGGAAGCAGGAAGAGCTTCACCCAATGGATCTGAGCTTGAGCACTGACAGAGAGGTGGACAGGGCTGTCCTTGCTGACACTCGTGTTGCCGGTTGCTTTGTGTTATGGTCCGTGGGGCAACGGCAGTAATAGGAGGTGTGACATCAGAGTTGCAGCGTACAGGAGGATGAGTTGTGAGGGCTGATTTTTCTGGGGTGGTGTCACAGGGCCAGAAGTTGACAGAGAAGGAGCAACGGGAGCTGGAGTACAATCGGCAGGTGTACGAGCTAGCCATGTTGCGCAAGAAGCAGGAGGAGGAGCTGGAAAATCGGGACGAGTACCACATGCCCACCTCCTACGACGCAGAGGGCCAAAACCAGAACAAGCGCTACGAGGTCCTTTCTGCACGATACAGGTCCGTTCCCGCCCGACTGCCACACCGTTTTCTCGTTGTGGATCCAAGGGAGGTCTTATGGCTTACTGAGTACTGCTGCAGTCGTGTCGTGTGTAGAGACGCATTGAGCAGCGCTCTTTGCATGCCATGCTGGAGGGTGGCAAACCGTCCGTCATCCCAGCATGACCTGCTTTGAATTGTCTACATCGATTCTGAGCACAATGGAGCGGTAACAGGAGGCCATCCTAATTGTGCCGGAAGCAGGTTTACTATGCCAGAAGCAGGAAAGCACCGTGTTTGCAATGCTGCAGACCATCCAGGCACATTACAACAGGATCATAAACAATGCAGTATGAGATAGAAGCATGCGAAGGCATGCAGGTCCCAAGGCATCCAGTGGTTACCATCCTGCCTGAATGTGCCTGCGCTGTTCAGGGAGGTTGATGAGGAGGATGAGGCGACGCCGTGGAAGGAGCAGGAAAACTGGGAGGTTGACAAAATTAAGACAGCCACCATGAAAGTGGGGTCCAAGGACCGGGCCAAAAAGGCGCAGGAGTACGACTTTGTGTTCGAGGACCAGATCGACTTCATCAAGGACATGGCCCTCGCCGGGGACGTGGTGCGCCCCTGTCTCAACATCTCCTGTGTCTCGTCCTCTTTTGTCAGTTCCTCAATACCTCCTGTTGGCTGTGAGCTACACCAGACTTCTTCCTGTGCCCCTCTTGTGCCCTGACATGCATTTCTTGTACCCTCACCTCGTGTGCTGCACGGGTTCAGAATCTGGTGCATCCTTACATGCATCAATACTGTGCAGTGTGCACAGTTGTCACAATACGGTGGCACAAAATATTAATTATTATCTCTGATTATGAGCTCTGATTATGTATCGAGTGAGCGTCGTTGGTTTTCAAGCCACGGATGCATCATGTGCTTGGTACACCCCAGACAAGCTGGTCCTTCAGGGCTGATTAAGCACGGAGTGGCTATAAATGAGAATCAAGCAAATGAATCACCCGTCTTCTTGCGACACCCCAGGGTTCCGACAAGCTCAGTTTTGACCGCTCTCCATCTAACAGTGGCCGCTATTCAGCCATGGAATTGAAGCAATATGTTCTTGGTGCGCGCCAGGATTTGGACGAGGAGCAGGCGCTGGACAGGGAGAGGAAGGAGCGGGAGGATGCGGCCAAGAGCGAGTTTGAGCGGCTGCAGGCGGACCGCAAGCTGCTGCCCATCTTCCCCTACCGCGAGCAGCTGCTGCAGGCTGTAGCCGAGCACCAGATCGTCATCATCGTCGGCGAAACCGGTTCCGGGAAAACAACCCAGGCGCGCACACCCCTGCCTTCTTGGCCACACAGATTGCAACCCGCTGTCCACCTGACATGCAGGCCCTGGCACAGAGATCAGTCATGCATCCGCGTGCGTGCGTGCATGGGCAGACTTCCTGCCGCCCAGTACGTTTTGCGAGCTTGAGCAGCTGGAGAGGATATTCTGCCGCTTGACACTTGCAGATCAGATCCTAGAGGCCTCTCCACAGCTACGAGAGGCAAATGCGGAAGTGTCAGCTCTGCAGTTCAATGTTTACTGGTTGGTTCCGCTTTTCACGTGGTGTCTGCTACGGAAGGGACGGCCATCTATTACGAGTGGCCTGTCTAGTAACAAGAGAGATTATTTCGCTGAGGTGGCGGTGGTGGGTGCAGATTCCGCAGTACCTGCACGAGGCGGGGTACAGCAAGGCGGGGCGCATCGGGTGCACGCAGCCGCGGCGCGTGGCAGCCATGAGCGTTTCGGCGCGCGTGGCCACCGAGGTCGGCTGCAAGCTGGGCAGCGAGGTCGGCTACTCCATCCGCTTCGAGGACTGCACCTCCGACAAGACCGTCCTCAAGTGCGCCCTCTGTCTTGATACAAGATAGCTGTTCTCATCATCAATTCAGCAGGAGATCTTACCATTCCCTCCGCCATCCCCTGCCATACATGACTCTTGCCACCTTGCCCTGATCATTGGTCTCAAGGCACATTTGTCCCACTCCCCTTGCTCAGCATTGCCTCCGTGTGCTGTTGCGTACGTCGCATGAAGCAGCAAACATCAGGGCAGAGATCAGGTAGAGGATCGTGGCTATGGCCCAGTATCTTACGATGATACCTTGAATTTCAGTTTGAAACAATCAACTTCTTTACATCGGCCGTGAATGAACAAGGATTCGCTCTTTCCTTGCTAAGGGCTGTGTGGTCTTGTGCAGGTACATGACGGATGGCATGCTGCTGAGGGAGTTCCTGGGAGAGCCCGACCTGGCCACCTACTCAGTCATGATGGTGGACGAAGCCCACGAGCGCACGCTGCACACCGACGTCCTCTTTGGCCTGGTACGCCCATGATCTTTCTAATATGCAGCGCTTGTCCGCTTCAGTATGTGACACGGCCCTTCCATGACATTGTTGTAGTGTGCTTGCAAGGCACTGCTATCCCCCATACTGGATCACCTGGTGTTGAGAAGGTCCCTTTTTACAGCCAGGAGATCCACTATGGATGGGCACCAAGATCGCCAAAACCCTGTGCAAGCCTGTGGTGCCCGCTTCCCTGCAGCATCTGTTTTGCCTTCAGTGCTTCTTAATCTGCAGCTTGGGGGCCCATCAGCACAGTTGACCTTGCCTTGACCAGTAGCATGCAATGAATATTTATAAATCCAGTGTGACACTTTATGTGTGTGGTACGTGGTGCAGGTGAAGGACATAGCGCGATTCCGGCCGGACCTGAAGCTGCTGATTTCCAGTGCTACGCTGGACGCAGAGAAGTTCAGCGAGTACTTTGACTATGCGCCCATCTTCCGCATCCCCGGCCGCCGCTACCCAGTAGACATCCTCTACACCAAGGCCCCCGAGGTGGGTAAATTATCCGCCGCTGCATGCATGGCCGGATGTTGCATGCGCTGTGTGCTGCGTGGATGTCAGGCCCCACATGTCAACATTGTGGGCCCGACATCCAGGACGCATTCAGTGCATGCTGAAAGCCGTCTGCCCTCGAGCTTGCCGGAGAATGTACTGTACAGATGCGAGAAAACGGGCCAATTGGGGTTTTCTGCCGTATTTTTCCCTGAATGAGCATGGTGTCAAAGCGGGCAATCTAGCACTGACCCAAGCGGGGATACGTACCATCAGGCTGTGTCGCTGTAAGTAGGTTAGCCGGTGAAGCTGCACTGAATCACAAATGTCTTACAGGCCTGTGGGTATCTGCGCAGGCGGACTACCTACATGCCGCGGTGGTGACGACGCTGCAGATACACGTGACGCAGCCGCCGGGCGATGTGCTCATCTTCCTGACGGGCCAGGAGGAGATTGAGACGGCCGAGGAGCTGCTGCGGCAACGCACGCGGGGCCTTGGCTCCAAGATTGGCGAGCTCATCATTGCACCCATCTATGCCAACCTGCCCTCCGACCTCCAGGCGCGCCAACTCCCCCTCCTACCCTCCTTCACTTTGTCAGCTCTATTTATGGTGTTCTCTTGCCTACGTCTGTCCTTTCTGTCACGGAATCTGTGGGATCTAGCTGCGGGGACTTGCGGAGGCTAGCGTCACCAATCGATAGACTTGTGCCCGTCCTTTATATAAATCTTGGAGGGGTGGAAGTCTCAGCAGGTGCTACAGTGTTGCAAGCTTCATGGTGTGCCTGGTGGTCTTTGAGAATTCATTGCTTGCATTGGTGCCCTCCTGGCCTGTGGAAGTGCTTATTGTAAGGCCAATCTCCAGTGGTGAGGGCAAATTCCAAATTATAGAGCGAGATGCATGGTTGCCTGGGTTATCGGCTCTGCGCGTTGCTTGCATTGCTTGCCTGATGGTGTCTGCATGATGTCTGCTGCAGGCGAAGATCTTTGAGACGACCCCTGTGGGCGCGCGGAAGGTTGTGCTTGCCACCAACATCGCTGAGACCAGCCTCACGATCGATGGCATCAAGGTGCGCTTCTTACTTGTGTCTCCCGCCAAAGGACCATCCTTCTGCTCTCTTGAGTGCTGAGCCTGTGCATGCAATTACATGCTATCATGCTTGAGAAGCATGCTGGGATCCTTATTGTGTGAAAATAAGCTCCCAGAAGCTCTATGTTGGCATCAGGTAGAACTGGCTGGGCAGCAGAGGTGATGCCATGCTGTGCTTCCTGTGTCACGCTATGCACGCTATCTTACGCTCACAGCGATGTGTGCTGCGCAGTACGTAATCGACCCCGGCTTCTGCAAGCAGAACGCGTACAGCCCCAAGACGGGCATGGAGTCGCTGGTGGTGACCCCCGTCAGCAAAGCGTCCGCACAGCAGCGCGCCGGCCGCGCGGGGCGTACCTCCCCCGGCAAGTGCTTCCGCCTCTACACTGCCTACTCCTTCCAGCACGAGCTGGAGGACAACACCATCCCGGAAATCCAGCGTACCAACCTCGGTGCGCCCCCCTTGCAACCCCTTTTCTGCCCTAGCTCTGCACTCACTCCGCCTGTGTAGTGTGTGACTCGGCAGAGCAGAGCACAGGTTCCTGGTGGGAAGGTACAGATTGCTCATCTTCTTAGCCAAAGTCTGAGGCATGAAGAACATCCTGGATCCTGCTGACTTCAACACTTGTTGCCCACCCAGCATCTAGGAGCTTTTCATCCTCATACTTGAGTGCCAGTGGAGACAGACATCTGTCGACTTCTTCATGCAGCCATTGAGGAAATTCCATGGCTTGCCTTGCGCATGCCTGGCTGCTATAGCGCTGTTTACCTCACATGACTGCTCCTCCAAGAAGGCGCATGTGCTGACATGTACCTCTGCACCTGCGCAGGCAACGTGGTGCTGATGCTCAAGTCGCTGGGCATCAACGATCTGATGAACTTTGACTTCATGGACCCCCCGCCCACCGAGACGCTCTTCCGCGCTCTAGAGCAGCTGTACGCGCTGGGGGCCCTGAATGACAGGGGGGAGCTGACTAAGCTGGGCCGGCGCATGGCGGAGTTCCCTCTCGACCCCATGCTCGCCAAGATGCTCATCGCCTCAGAGGACTACAAGGTGCACCTTATGTTGCCTCACAATGATGCACACTCATTTTCCTTCTGCCTTCCTCCCTGCCGAGCTCATCCTGCCTTTGCATGCAACAGCTCCTGGTGCAAATACCCCTGCAGGAAATGAGCCGTTTTTAGCTGCCGTGCATTGCTGCAAGGAAAGGCTCGGCCTGGTGATGTTACAGGCGCTGGGTGATCCCTGAGACGCTGCATTATCTGTATTGTATATGTAAAATGCCATCATATTCAGTGGCTCCATTCTTTAGCTGGGAATGTCCATCAGCGGATCCATCAGCGGATACTGATCAGGGTATGATAACAAGACAGTAGATTTGCGAAATGTGTAATCGGGTGCCGGTGTGGGTACAGTGCTCGGAGGAGGCTGCGTCGGTGGCTGCGATGCTGGGAGTGGGCGGCGCGGTGTTCTACCGGCCCAAGGACAAGGCGGTGCATGCGGACAACGCGCACCGAGCATTCCACCGCGGCAACGTGGGCGACCACATCGCGCTGCTCAACGTGTTCAATGCCTGGGCCGAGTCTGGCTTCTCCACGCAGTGGTGCTACGAAAACTTTGTGCAGGTGCCTCCCCGGTCCCATTTATGCATTTGGTGCACAAGTGCAAATCTGCTGTTACAAGGGCAGGATATGCCTCTCTGGATCTACTGCTGTTGGGCTCCATGTTGGCTGAGGGCAGGGCGCAGAGATGAGTTTTGCAAAGCAGCGGAATTGCCTTGGAATTGCTGGAGGCAGCCCTCAAATCTGCAGAGGCAGCGCTCAGATTTGCAGGGGCATGTGCAGTGACTGTATGCTGTTTTGCTCTTAATGCAAGGGGGAGTGGCTTTCTTCCTGGATGTGGCTCCTGATGAGCCTTGCCTGAGAGCGGGTCTGGCAGGAGGCCCTCCTTTGTGCCAAACAGTAGCCAGATCGCCTGCATGACACGATGCACATGCAGGTGCGGAGCATGAAGCGGGCAAGGGACATCCGGGAGCAGCTGCTGGGCCTGATGGAGCGAGTGGAGATTGAGCTCACCTCCAATGGGGGCGACCATGACATCATCAGGAAGGCCATCGCGGCGGGCTTCTTCTACCACTCCGCACTGCTGCAGAAGAACGGCACCTACCGCACCGTCAAGAACCCCCAGACCGTCCACATCCACCCCTCCTCCGGCCTAGTCGAGGTCCGTGCCGCGCTGCTCTCTGTGCTATCAATAAATATAATGTAATCTAGGTGGACGGGAAATGTGCTGCGCATTGCACAAGGATGTGCTTCTATGGAAGTGCGTTAGCAGTCTGATCCAGCTCCTGAAAGTCCCAGCCACAGGCTGCATGCGGACTTTCCATGGCAGCATCTCTTTGTGCAATTGTACAGAAAGCATCAGGAACGCAGGAAGTTTATTTGAACCTTGCCATCACCTCTGCAGGTTCATTCATACATGCAGCAACCCTGCATGTGGCCTGCTAGTGTCCTGCTCAGCAGACAGTGACTTGAGCAGCCAGAGCATGTGCGTGCAGGTGATGCCGCGGTGGGTGATCTACCACGAGCTGGTGATGACCACCAAGGAGTTCATGCGCACGGTGTCTGAGATCAAGCCGGCATGGCTGATCGAGATCGCGCCGCACTACTACAGCAAGAAGGAGCTGGATGACCCCTCCGCCAAGAAGCTGCCCAAGGGCGTCGGCCGTGCAGCCGCTGCAGATCTCTAGCGCGCATATATCATGAATTAGAGCTGATCAGCTGGCCCATGTTGTAGTTCTCTACTCGTGAGGGAATGATCCATTGGGGTCGACCAGTGACATTTTGTTGTATGCTCTAGCTAGAGGATCTGTACGGGGACTTTCCTTGTTAAGGACACCTGATCTGGCCTGGTAAATCTGGACAAAGGAAACGAACTCTTTGACGTTGGGGGTGCTGGAGCATGAACAGCAGAAAGAACGATATTGTGGCTCTGATACAGCAGCTGCAAGAGCAAGTAGGACCACCATCAGTCAGTCTTTTAGATCTTTTCCAGCCGCTTAGGGCTGATCAGACGTCTGGCCACATCGCATGGCCAGCAACCAACACAACAACCCGGTGTACAACCATGATGAACGATAAGCATCCATCACAAATCAATGAAGCACAATAGCCCAATGGTATCCAGATCTCTAGAGAATTCCCAAAGTATCAAGCAGCACATGGCATCGCAGGTAAGAACACAACCCAGAGTACGAGCAATCGTAGACGTCCATGAAATCAGGCAAGCACAATCACGCAAGTCACATCTATGGTAGATCTTTGAAATGATCACTCCGCACAATAGCAAACAAAGGAAAGTTTCATTGGCATCACAGATAAAGTAGCACAGCACAAAGCCTGGCACCGCAACCTCTCCAGGTAACAAGATAGGGCACAAACCAAAGGTCTGTGCCTTTTACATTGCCAGATCTCTTGCTGAACACCTGTAAATTTTTTATGAATCTCTGCCAGATTCTCTGTTGTACACATGTGGTAGTTGTTGCAAGATTTTCACCTCGCCCTTTAGTCTACAGAAACTCAGTCATGCGTTGAGGACTTTGACAAGCTCTCCGCTGTCTTTACATCACTTTGATACATTCTGCGCCGCCTCTGCACGCTCAGTAATCAGGCCTAGTAATTCAGATCTCAGATTCTGGACGGCATCAGGGGTCAGCCTGAGCCTCAGCTCAGAGTCTGTATCTTGCAAGGCTTCGCCCTTCACGAAGCTCTCTGCAATTACATCTGCCATGCCTGCATCATAAGTTGGATTGTCAGCTGTTGATGTACTCATCTTGATCCATGATCTGAATTCCAGTGCTGCAGTTCCATCTGTGAACTCATTTCAGATGCTCATGCTATCACCCACCTAGCACGTACAATCCACAGTCATGCAAGTTGATCTGCTGTGGAGCCTTTGCACACTCATATCGCAACTGCGTGCCTTCGTTTCTCCTGCAGGTGGCACCTAGATTTTCGTGCTGAGCACTTCCTTGAGTGATTATGATCAGATCTTGAAGAGAACAGAATACCGACCATGTAGCTGAAAAGAGAGGGGAGAGTCCTAAAATATCGTAGCACCAGAACTCACCCCAGCAACTTCCAAGCATTCTTGGCCAGACCCCTGGCTGCTTCCTCATTCATCCCAGCTGCTGAGTTGTAGTGCCGGAATGTGGAGTCATGCTTTGTGAAGACTAGCAGGCTCCTTTGAGTTGCAGAATGCACATAATGAGAATATCCCATACCGGTAACACCTTTACCTTAGGGTGGCTTCTTAATGGTACTGCATAACCATGACAGAGTTGCATGCTTTGCCAAGGTTACACACCAGTGGCTGCCTCCGCTGGATTGTGAGGGGTCGGGGTTGTCATTGCAAGCAAAGAGTATCAGCTCCCTCTCATCCAGCTGGCAAGCAACAGAGACATTGTCAAAACCCTGTAAAATGGCTCGTCTCTGCCCAAGGAGCAGGTATTGCAGGATGTACCTTCATGGGTGCCAGCACAGCTTCCATGTCCATGGCATCTGCACATGGGCACAGCACATGATGGACACCGTGATTTCATTGCAAATAGCTTTGGTCTCCACTGCTGTCTATTGATTCTGGACCCGCAGGCTTGAATCATACTTCCATGCAGCAGGAGATAGGTTAAGGATCCTCCAAAGAAGAATAGCTCGTGATGATGTTCATATTTTTCCTTCTGGAGATACTCAAAGAAGAAGGAGACGATCTGTGGCACAAATCCAGAACCTTGTTAGGTGGTACGGGCTCTGAGCGGATATGTTTAGGCCCTGGACTGTCTGACCATTGGGCATCAACATCAGATCAGACCTGATCATTCAACCAGAATTCACCCTTTAGGAGATCGACATCGCTTCTGTATAGAAGGATGTCATGATAATCAAGAATTTTGGGCTCTTTTGCCATGTGATGGCTAGCTTCTCATTTCCCTTATCACAGAAACTGCAAAACCGGTTTCGGCAGTCTTTAAGCTTGTCTTTAAATTGACAATTGGATGCTCAACTGGAACCGGATCTCAACCGGATTTCTGATTCTCTTCTTTCCAAGGTCTCCAAATCTGAGTGCACCCCAGAATCCACGTCGACGCCGACAGAAGTCGGGAAGACGGGCGTGCGGGCTCAAGATGGCAGTATATATATAGCAAAAATTTGAGAACGGTCATCTGGTCCGTGATCGTGGCCGAGCGGTTAAGGCGATAGACTAGAAATCTATTACGGAGACGTGCGCAGGTTCGAGTCCTGCCGATCACGCTTTTTCCATGTTTTTCTTTTTTGCATGTGCATTGTTGCACGTTCATCAAGGTCCTCACCAATATATCCACACCACTTCCTCTTGTACCAACTTGGAGTCACTTCAAGTTGCCTGCATCGCAGCCATGCGGCTCGGAGCCGCAGCTCCAACCGGATGGCCCAGGCGTTCATGATGATCATGATAGGACCTTGCATAGCATGCGCAATACACGTTCATCATGGAGACTCATTAGAAATCCTTCACAGTGGCGAATCGCGATGGAAGGGTGGCGTCAAAGCACTGTACACTTATTGCATGCAAAGCCCTGGAACTCATTCGAATCCTATGGGTCAGCCTAAGTAGGCTTCCTTGGATCTGCATAGCACAAGCACAGCATGGAAGGATTTCGTTACGAAACTTTCGTACCTCCGAACACTTGAAAAGGGTACATTTCCTGCAGGATCAGCTTGATCTGTGTTCTCATGAGGTGAAGGAGATCGGCTGCAGAGCGTGCAGCCCGTTGATAACATGAAAGGGAGGGTCACCTGCATTCTCTCTCAAACAGAGCCGTAAGGCGGAGGAAGAGGAGTGACATGCTGAAGGAGAGGTCTTCCTCATCATTGAAACAATTCAAGGCAAGACTTGCTACTGCTCCGACGGCACAGCATTGCTCAATTAAATGTTGTGTCCCAACCTTCATCTTTTGGCGCATGCGTTCTAGACACTTGGATCTTTTGCTTTGGATCTGATCAAGGCGTCCAATAAATATTCTTGATCAGTTGAAGATCTCATAGCTGTCTCTCTTCGCTGCAGTCTGCGACAGCGAAGAATGCAAAGTCAAAGAAGACCCGGGCTCTCAATGGTCTTTCTGCAGGTGGGTAGTTTCCTTTCTAATTCATGCTGCACATTTCAGAATTGTTCTTTGCACGTATATGTGCGTGGTGATTCTTGCCCGCTTCGAAATTTCTGGCGATTTTGGTTCTTCCCTCTCATACTGATCCAGGATCAACCTATGGCGCAGCTGATACAACATCCTCTGGCCCAGCCAACAGCGAGGAGAGTGCGCAGATGGGCGCTGCAGTCGTGAAAACATCCAAAGAAAAAGTTGCGAGCGTTCTTGGTGGAAGGGTGAGTGAGGTCTCAACCCATCTAAAGTATTATCTCTCTGTCTGACGAAGCACCTCGTCAACGATCTCCCTCCAATGCTGTCCTTCTGGTTACCTGGCAATCAAAAATTTTAAAGCATTATTTTTCTATTTATGAACATCATGCATGGACCATATCAGAGATCCCTGACGATGTCAGTCTGACACCTGCGCAGGAGGGAGATCGGCAGGGAAGCAGGGCCTCGCGGCCGAGCACGATGTTTGTGGAAGTGGATGCCAGCGTCACCAACGGCGAAGCCATGAGAGCGCGGCTGCGCGGGTGCACCTCTGATCCCAGCCACTGCGACAGCACTGCGCGCATTCTCCAAGATGTACCCCCAGCTGTGAACAATGCCACCGGCGCAGACGCAAATGAGAAGGGAACCGAGGGCGCTGTGCTTGCCGGCTCCAGGCGCGCTGAGTCAGTACCGGCGGTGGACGAGGAAGAGCGGGAGCGGCTGAGGGAGGCGGCCAAGCGCTCGGTCAAGTCGGACTTCGACATGAACTACCTGAGGACCTTTGATAACGTGACATGGGTACCTCTGGCAGAGGCTCGGCAGGCAGCTGCCAATGTTGGGCTTGCAACCGATGACCAGCCGCATCACTGCGGAGGACCCCATGGCTGTGGTGCAGAGGGCGGCGGGGGGAATGCAGCCACAGCAGGGGGAGGCAGGCCGGGGCATGATGCAGGCACCCCGGCAGGGGAGGGGGGACCCGACGAGGTTAATTCCCCGGGAGCGGTGGCCGGCGCGGCCCGATATCTCAGCGGCGGCGCTGTCACAGCAGAAGTGCGGGAGAAGCTGCACAAGAAGCTGGAGGAAGAGGGGAAGCTGCACCTGATTCCGCTGACGGCGAAATGGGAGATGGGCAGGAAATTGGAAAACACCTCAAGCCGAATGTGGTTCCAGCCGCCGCCAGAGCAGGGCCGCAAGAAGAAGCTCATGTCTTGTAAACAGGCAATCGCGTTCCTGGAAGAGCTGTATGGTAAGGGACAGGAGGCTGTGCAGCCAGGTGCGCTCTTTCCGCTGCGTTCCTGCTTTGTGCCGCTCACAGCGCTGGCATAGAGGCTGCTTTGTTCATTAATAAAGCCCTGCCATGGTCTATTTATTGCGTGACACCTTGTGCTAAACTTGTCAGGCGAGACAGGCAAGGGAGCCCAGCAGGGGGCAGCAGCAAAGGAGCCGGCCGCACCCAGGAAGCCCGCCAGCCTGGACCAGCATTCTGCTCTGGGCGCCCCGCACGCAGCAGCTGCGCGGCAGGACAGCGGGGAGCATGTGTCGCCTCGTCTTGTGAAGCTTGCTCCCCACGAGGAGCAAGTGGAAACATCTCCGGGCCTCAGCCCGCCCGGATCTCCCAAGAGCCCGCCCGAGACGCCGCGCTCGCGCGCCAGGCGGCAGACGCACAAGCCGGACGTGTTCAACCCCACGCCGCCCAGCAAGGAGGAGAAGAAGCGCATGCACGAGGAGGCCCGCAGGAACACCGCCAAACAAACCAAGGAGATGCTGGCTGGGGAGGCGCCAGCTGGCGGAGGGGAAGCGCTGCCGGCAGCTGCCGGGCAGCCGCACGGCTGGGAGCTTCCGGCCGCCGGCGCTGCGCCGCAGACGAGCCCTGTGGAGGTGACCTTTGCCAGAAGGGGCAAGGGCCGCGGCAGGGGAGCCTCTCGCGGCCGCGGAACGAAGACGGCCGGTGGTGGCAGGGGCAGGCGGCGCTCTGTCTCTCCTGCTGAAGCATCTGCGCCAGAGGATGGCGCAGAGCCCCAGCCAGCAGGGGTTCCTGAGGGCACTGATGGATTGCACGGCGAGGAGATTGACGTGGAGGTGGCAGAGGCCATGCCCAAGGGCACGCCGGCTTCGCCAAAGAAGCGCGCGGCCGGCGCGGCCGCCGCGGCGAGGGTTGCGAAGAAGCCGCGCCGGGGTGCTGCTGCCGACACATCTGCAGGCACCAGCAGTGGCAAGGCCACTGCCGCCACCGCTGCCTCCAATGGCCTGACGGAAGGTAGGGGGCACGGACCCCCCAGCAACAATTGCCCTGCCAAAGAGTGTGATATAGGACTTGAGAAGGGTAAAGCATGTGGGGAGAAGCTGCTGGGTTTGCTGAAGCTGCTGGAGAGCAAGGTGGACAAGGCCTTTGAGCAGGCATCACTTGGGACGGCAGTGATCTCAAGAACGGCGGTGTGGGGTGCAGGGGCGCAGCCGGGAGCAGCGACCGGGAAGAAAGCCAGGGGTGGGAAGAGGGCGGCTGCGCCGAAGGCCCTCAAGGAGGAGTCCGATGTTACCCCTGAGGAGAGTGAGGAGGAGAGCAGCGAAGCAGAGCCCATGAGCGATGGCGAGGCCAGCGATGAGAAGCCGCGCTCCAGGAAGAAGCCTGCAGCGGGCAAGCGCAAGGTGGTTAAGTCTGGCAAGGGCAAGAGCAGCGCTGCCAGCCAGAAGCCAGTCAAGAGCGGAGGAAGTGCAAAGGCTGCTGTGCTGGCTCCTGCCAGAGAAGCGCTGCCACCCCAAGAAGGGTACGGCCCTCTGCCGCTCCTCTAGCATCAAGCTACACCCCATAGAACTTTCTTTTCAAATATATCTTTATATTCTCTGATCTATAATGCTATTGTCCTGGGACTGATGTGGAACACTGATACTGCATTGTGGGCCGGGAAGGCTGACTTTTGCTATAGGTGGATTAAAGAATCGTATTATCATGGCTGCTATGGGTCAAGGCATGGTGCCTGTGAACTGCAGGCGATCTACAGAGGCACACTATTGGTTTGACAGGACAAAGGCCCAATTGGTGCAGCTGCCAAAGCACAAGAAGGACTTCACAGCAACACAGCTGGAGGTGAGCGGAGCACTGGCGCTCCTTCGCCTGACATCACTGCATATGTTCAGATTCGCATGGAAGGCACTGCGCTACAGAATGACCGCATCCTTCAGGAAATCATTGGCACTGGTGGTGCATCACATCATGGGCCTTCCAGGGGATATCTGATTGGTTTTGTGTTGCGCAGCTCAATGCAAAGTCATGTCACAGCTGCATGCTGCAGCATGTGGTGCTGCCGTGCAAGTCGAACAAGAAGGACTGCGACATCAGCTTCTGCATACGGCAAGCTCTCCACTGCAAACGCCAGACTGCACTTGCAGGATTTTCTTGCTATTGGTCTTATCATTTGTCTGTCGCATTTGATATCCTGCTATCTTGGAGCAACCACTTCACCATGTGAGCTGCGGAGTGCAATCTTCCTGCAGCTTCTCTGGGCGTGCAAATCTTGTTGCATTGTTGCTCGCCTTGCCTTGCCCTATCTCATTGTATACTTATCTGCTAAATTGGATCACGCCTTGGCAGGTGCTCCGAGACGATGGGGTACATCGCGAAGGTGTGCACGGACGAGGAGTGGCGGAGGTACGCCGCGGGCTGGTGCCCCCGCTGCCTGGGCTTCTGCACCTGCCGCGCATGCATGCGCAAGCCGCACCCGCGCGAGCAGTACTCAGCGCCCGAGCACCAGGAGGAGGAATATGCGCGCCACGTGCTGCGCTACGTCGGCCCCCTGCTCGCTGACCAGCACGCCCACAAGGTCGCAGAGGTGCAAAATACCCGCATGCCCTCCTCATCTCTCACGTCATTTGCTATCTACAAGCATCTGGGCACATTTTCCAGAGTGAGTTTTTCCAGCTGGTGTTTCCACTGAGGGGCCCCTAGCACCTCTGGACCAAGCTAGGAGCGGTACTCGGATGGCTTCTATACCGGGAATAAGGCAACGACCGACCCTGCTAGCCTTGAAGATAGACTATCAACAGTGCCTGCCTGCGGCATCGCTCAACTGCAGAGGTGCTCTTCGGATTGTCCATGGTTGTCTGAGGCGGGCTGGCTGTGCCCCGGGCGGTCAATGATCAACATTGCCCGCTTGTGGCAACCCTCCACTGCAGAGCTGTCCCCAGAACAATCACCTGCCAATGCACTTGGATATCTTGAGGCTGGCTTATGACCAGGTAAAGCGCAACTTTTGGGCTTCTGCTTTGCCGCCAGCTCTGTCATCTACAGATTTTCTGCTGCGCGCAGGCGCTGGCGGGCCGGAAGCCGTCGCCGTACGCGGAGGTGAGTTGGGCGGACCCGGAGGACTTTCGTCACCTGTGCGACCGCTGCGCCACGTCCATCCCCGACGTGCACCGCACCTGCGCCGCCTGCGACCGCAACGCTGACGGCTACGACCTCTGCCTGCACTGCTGTGCGCAAGTCCGCCAGCCCGGCGAGGTGCACCCTCTGCCTGTCTGCATGGGCTTCTTCTTGCTTTGCATGCATCCATCCCCTTCAGCAGTCTTCCTCTGCAAGGCATGCAGTTTGTGCACAAGGCACCGGAGATCTGCCTTGTCGCTGGACACATTTGAGATGCAGCCCTGGACACTGCTGTACTTCCTGCTGGGTCCCTCAGCCCTGCGACCAGTGGAAATTCATGCAGCGCCACATCACATGCAGCGGCAGAGCCAGATGAACGATGTGCATTTTGCATTATAACATGTCTTCCAGTCCTTGAGGACTAAGTACGTCAAGCAACAGCAGCAATATTGCCTTTCAGTCTCCCTGATCCTTGCACTTCCTCTACCGTGCCACAGTGCAAGTGCTTTAATGTCAGAGCTCTGGATCTGAGGAGGGCAGTGTGGGAAGAATAGTCACACTTGGCCGGCAGCGCAGAGCCTTTAATGTCAGAGTTCTAGAGTTGAGGAGGGCAGTGTGTGGAGAACAGCCACACCTGGTCGGCAGGGCAAAGGACAGCAAGAAAAACATGCATGCCAGCCTCAATACAGGGTGTCTAAGAGTTCAGTCCCTGCTCAAAGATTGTGGATGGCTGCCGACTGACCGCTTGAATGCTTCTCTATTTGTAGCTGCAGAGGTCTGAAAGGAAGGCGTCTGTTGCACACTTGTTGTGCATCGGCGTGGCGTTGCTGCATGTGCTGAGTGCTGTGTGTGTGTGTGTGCCACAGAAGGATGTTCTCTGCAACAAGAACCACACCATGAAGCTTGTGCGCTTCTTCAACGACGACATGGCCTCAGCTGTCAAGCAGACCATCGAGGTACCGCCCTCCCTTCATCATATCCTGGCTGCACCATGACTTGCATGTTGCTCCAGATTCCTGGCAGGGCTCGGAACTTTAGAATATTCGTGCGGGAATGCCACTGTCGCTGACTGGCTATTCTGCCCTGATTTCAGATGGCGAAGGATGGAGACAAGGAGCTGTGGGAGTGGACGCCGGAGCTCAAGCTGGGCCTCAAGAGGAAGAAGGCTGTGGTCTCTGCTGAGGCCGCTCTCGCTGGTCGCAAGGGTGTGTATACCTCTCTGCCTGTAGAAAAGCTCCTCCACTCCCTGACAGTCCTTTATGGTGTTCAATTTGTGCATTCCCTAAGAATGGTGCGTATCAAAAGGGACACAGATTAAGGTGGATCCATGGAGTGTGCAAGATTATGTATTACAGCATTGCCAGCAACAGCTGCATCCTTTTGTGCAGGCAAGAGTGGCTCCTGGAAGGGCGCAGCCGAGGGGACCGCAGCTGGCGGATCTGGCAGCATCAACGCGGCTGCCAAGCCAACCGCCGACAGCGAGCCGCTTGCAGAGGCTCTACACAGCGCCAGCAACCCGCAGAGCAAGGCGGCTGCCGCAGAGGGGCAGGGCGCAGTTCTGTCAGGCATGACAGGAGACCGGGGCACCGACAGCGATGTTGACATCGTCGATGCTGCGGTGCCGCCTGCCGGGTGGCTCGGGGCCGGGCTGCCGCAGCAGCAGCCGCCGCCCGACTACGCAGGCTTCAGCGCAGAGGTGCAGCGGAGCGTGAAAAACCCGCAGCAGTTCCTCGCCAATGGCGGCTCGCACGGGCCCCCCGGCGTGGCAGCAATGGCGGCGGGGGGGTGCTCGGGGGACCCCGAGGCCGCGCATCCCAGCAAGCGCGCCCGCACGGTCGCCCCGGCCGCGGCAGCCGTGCAGGAGGAGAGCGATGCTTGCGAGGTGCAGAGCTTCCGGCAGAAGGTCAACAAGGGCTTCCCCAAGGAGAAGGCGACCGTTGCACCCTTCCTGCGCACCATGGCGGACTTCTGGGAGGACAAAGTGGCTGCAGCACATACCATGTTCCAGCTGCAGCAGGCCGCGGTACCGGCTGCCGACCCGCCAGAGGCGGCTGCGCAGCCGTGCAACAGGGAGGAGGCAGGATCCGCGGCTGCAGCGCAGGAAGCGGCCATGCCTGACCAGCGCGCAAGCAAGACGGCAGAGCCGGCTGCGGGCACAGCAAAAGCTGCCGCGGTGCCTGCCGGCATTGCGCCACTGCCTGCCGGCCAAAAGTGGTGGCATCAGGTGCCCATCACAGCCCAAGCTCTCCCAGAGCTCTTAAACGTACCTATATATGATGATCTGCTCAAGTGTAGGCGGCTCAGATGGCTGGTCACGTAGCAAGGATGAAGGAAGGCAGGCTGCCAAACCAATTGAAGTTTGTTACTGTACAAGGGTCTGGGAGAAAACACAGGCCTGTCAAATCCCGGAATGATTGTGTGAAAAATGACCTGGATTTCATGGGATTGAAATGCCAAGACAGGGAAGATTGGAAGGGAATTATTGAGAGGTTGCTGCAACGCACCTAGCCCTGAGGGCTGGAATAAGCGTGAAATAATAAGAATAGTAATAGTAATATATGATGTGCTCACAGTCAAGAGTGCGCCTTTCGTCCCATCCAGCAGGGCTTTGAGTATTTCCTCCAAGAGCTGGCCTGCAGGCGTCTGCAGAGATTGGGCATTTCAGGACGATTTGATACTTTCATGAATTCTCGTTGTGTGGTGGAGCAGGCGGTTCCAGACGAGTGCAAGAGGATGGCGGCATCGCGGCCAAACGGGTGGCAGAACTACGTCTACACGCCCCACGCGGACGACCTGGCCATGTACAACCCCGACCGCAAGGCGCAAGTCAGGTGCGCATCAGCCGCTTGGTCATCTATATCCAGATCTCTCTGCTGTCCTGGTGTGCTGCCTAATTTCTGTTGGCCAAAACACCTGTTCACAGCTGCTACTCATCCGCTGTCGCCGAAAAGGGTCTGCTGGCGCCTTTTGCGGCCGGCCGGCAGGCACTGCGGCGGCTGGCGCATGAGGAGCAACTGTGCCACTGTCTTTGAAATTCCCGCGGCTGCCATATCCTGCATTTACGTGCACTAACATGTCGCATGCATCTGGTCCATGTAAGAGACGTGTTGATCTTGGCATGTATTTGGTGCAATTCAGGGTGTTCCAGGAGGTGTGGCGGGAGGGTGTGCCGGTGGTGGTGCGCCGCTGTCGCAAGGGGTACCAGTGGGACCCGGCCACGATGGGCCGCGCCACCACCGAGAAGAACGCCCGCTTTGGCAAGGACAGCGAAATCGAGGTGCGCCGCCTCTCAGTCCTACCATGTTCTTTCTGAGTGCCATCACGGCTGCATGAGTCAGCTTCCCGGCACGGTGCTGCTTGCGGTGGTCAGTCATTGCTGCATGCCGTTGTTGTCCTTTCCTTAAGCTGTTGTACCTGATCGTCTGCAACAGTGGCCGTTTTTTGTACCGGAAATATTTGGTGCTGACATGAATGTCTTAACCCCTCCTCAGGGAGCAGATATTGCGCCCATGAAGAAAATCTCTGAAGGCTGGGGTGCACTGGCGGGGCAGGTGATAGACTGCGAGGACTGGAACGTGGTGATGATGAAGCAGGGCACCTTCTTCAAGATGTACGAGAAGGACAACGAGGAGGGCCCCATGTACAAGCTCAAGGACTGGCCTCCCAACGCCCACTTTCGCAAACGCCTCGGCCGCCACAACCAGGTGCTTGCCCTGCTTTCGCACCACTGCATATGATTACAAGAGTGCACACCTCCTTGAAACCCACATGAATTTCCTGATAGCTTCCCTTGCATCATTACTTTCAACAAGGCAGATGTCATGCTGTAGATGCCGCTAGGGCAACTTTCCTTTTAACGAGCGGAATGCACATGTGACTGACCCCAGGAGCACCATTGCCGAAATGCTCCTTTGCACTTCGCAAAGTTGCTCCACAGCCCAGCAGAAGGGACCTTGTTTCAATTGCTGCCCGCCATGTGGCATAGTGATTGAGTGGCTGACCAATCAATGTGTGGGTGCCCCGCAGGACTTTTTGGAGATGCTGCCGATGCCGGAATACAGCCACCCCAAGGGGCCCCTCAACCTCGTCTCCTACCTCAGAGACAACTCCGTCAAACCCGATCTTGGACCCAAGTCCTACGTCGCCTTCGGCAGGTGCGCGCAATCACCCCTGCTTCCTGCACGTGCACCTGGCTCTCCGTCCTGCTTGTGCACCCACAATCTCCACTAGTGCAGACTGTTTCTTTCTCAATATACATGCTGGATATAGCACCTATATGGGCACTTTTGCCGTGTGGGCTGCCACCACCCCTGCATATTTAACAGGATCTGTATATCCCGATGGGTGTGCAGTACTTACCTTACTGCTGTATGCCATGCTGTCTGAGTCAAGTGGCAGCTGCACCATGCTGGAGCATGCCCATTGGACTGCTGCAGGGGCAGGCAGGCTGACTAATGCTTACATTATGTGTTGACATGGACAGGGTGAAGGAGCACCTGGGCGACGGTGACAGCGTGACCAAGATGCACTGCGACCTGAGCGACGCCGTCAACCTCATGTGCCACCAGTCCGGCGAGGGCGAAGGTGCCGTCATCCGATGCGGCGACACGCCCGCCGACACAGACACCGACCCCAGGTCTGACATGCACATCTCATCGCTGCCTGGTTGATTCCACCCAAGCTGACGAGAGGAGAAGGGGTGTGATCAGGCCATATTGTGTGCCTTGAAGTCTTCCTGTGCTGGCCGAGTGGCCCTTGTCTTCTCAGTGCAGAGGCTTATGCCATTTCCAGTAAATGCGGAAGGGGATGGGCCTGATATTCTCTGCAGTGGCAGCAAACAGCCTGCATTCTAGACTTGGTGACAACATGGATGGCCCATTTCGTTCCAGAGCGTAGCTTTCATTTTGGGGTGGACGACGGCAGCGGAGATGGATGGCGGTGACTACTCTGTGGCGGCAAATACTGACACAATCTTTTCTGTCCTGGGCGCAGCTACGGGGGCGCAGGAGCGGTGTGGGACATATGGCCGCGCGACTGTCGGGAGCAGCTGGCAGCGTTCCTGGTGCGCCACGCGGACGAGTTTGCGGCGGAGGGCCTCAACATCGACCCCCCCAACATCCTGCACCCCATCCACGACCAGGCGCGCCCCCACCCCCTATCCCTCCCTGAATGCAGATGCCAAATTTGACTGCGCTGTGTTTATCTGCACTTGTCTCTGTGTCAGTGATAAGCCGGGAATCACGTAAGTGAGAAGCATGCAAAGAAACGCTGTCTGGAAGAGTATGGTGGGTAGTGCACATCATATTCTATATGCTGACGTCATCCTCTGCATGCTGACCGGGACCTTCTGCGGCACAGTTGCTTTTGCCTATTGCGATGTCAATACTGGTTTCTGAGATGGCGGTGTGTTGTGATTGTGCGCAGGACTTCTTCCTGACGGCCAAGCACCGCGCGATGCTGAAGGAGGAGTACGGCGTCGAGTCGTGGCACTTTGAGCAGCACCAGGACGAGGCCGTCTTCATCCCAGCCGGCTGCCCCCACCAGGTGCGCCAAAACTAAGTTCCACTTGTGCTGACCAACCCGTCCCTGTCAAAGCATGTAGATACAGACAACTCATGCGCATCCTGAATGCAGCAACCTGCTGATATAAGTCCTGTCCTAGGTGCCATCGGCAAGCATTGGCTCTCAGGAGTCTCGTGATACAAGGTAGCAGGAAGAGGGATGAGAGTGATGGATGGGACAGACATGCAAACCAGAAAGCAGAGCCCTTATATTTTCGGACCTTTCACTTGCTTCACATGTTTCGTTGGGGCGCAGGTGCGCAACCTGAAGTCGTGCATCAAGGTGGCAATCGACTTTGTGAGCCCGGAGAGCGCGTCGCAGTGCCTGGAGCTGACGCAGGAGCGCCGCCAGCTCACCCTGCGCGAAAACCAGCTGCTGTCCGCCGCCGGCCAGGAGCCGGACGCCCCCATCGACCGCCGCCACAGCGACAAGCTGCAGGTAGGACTAATTCAAGATTTCTTGATGACGCCTGCACTAAGTAGTACATTATAGTGCAATTTGGGGATTGGAGGGGGTATTATCTTCTAGTAGTCATATTGCTTGGACTTAGTACCATGATGTCACCTGTTGCAGGCCGAGCTCATGATTGCACGCGCGGCTGCCGCCTCCCTCGCGCAGCTGCGCTGAAGCAGCCCTCCAGCGGATTCACCCTTTGACCCCCCGGCTGAGGGGGCAAGATTGCCATCAAAACGTTGCTGTGAGGGGGTGATACAAATCTGTGCTGGCTCCGGTTGTGATGGGATTCAGGAGCAGATCTTGTCTCGGTGGCTCCAGGCGCCAGACCAGCCAGAAATTTTCCTTCTTTGCTCCTACGAGAGCTCTGTATTGATGTTTTACACCGTCTTCCACTTGCCAATGCAGAGGAATGCTGGAGCGGGCTGTATAAAGTACCTGTTGAGAGATTTTTTTGTTGAAGGCAAACAAAAGGACAGGATTTGCATGTGACATGCTAAAAAAGATAGGCATCTTCATATCTGACATGCAGCAACTTGGAAGGTGAGATCTGCAGACTTTCCTTCTTAACTGTTGGACGTGGCCTTGTGTTTGATATTATGCTGCTTTCTCGAAGGGTCAAACGATTGGCTTGGCAGCCTGCTGAAACAGATGTGCATGCAACTCTTGAAAGAATTATCTTTTGACACCCTTGGTTTTCTATCTGTGTGTTGGTTATTTACTCCTTTCAGAGATTATGTGCTACTCATCAATTTGTAAATGAAGGAACTTAAGGGATCAGTGATTTATGCAGCTGGAACATACAGGCATATCCCTTTCCATTGTCAGGGACTTCATTGAGACGTCCTCATTTGGCACCACAATTTATACAGCATTGATTACAGGATACCTGGGGACCACACGCGCATGTATACATCTTAATTGCACTAAGGCACATATCAAGGGCATGCTCCCAAATGTACAGAAATCACAAGAACTTGTCTTTATCACAGATATATCTGCACCACAAACCTCGTCCTGCCAAATGTATCACCAGACCCTGAGAAGGGGCCCTTCGCCAAACACTCTGCGTTGCTTTTTTTGTTTTTTCCTTTTTTGGTGTAAAAAGAACACATTTGCAATGTGTCCCCTAATGCGGGCAATGGCGGGCTACCAGCAGATTCACCCGTAGCCACCACCACGCCAGATTTTCCAAAGTATTGCGCAGCCTTTGCAGGACTGCGCTGCTTCCAGCTGCTGAGCAGGGTCTTAGAACAAGCAATCCTACTCCCCCTTCCGTAAGCTCCAACCCTTACGAATCTGCCATCCAACCACCATATGTTTCCATGCCGGGCTGTCTTGAGGACGATATATACTTTGCGTGCACACAAGCTCCTACCAAAAAGTTGCATTGCCCTCACGATTCACACCCTCAGTAAAAAGCAAGAGGGGCTCCAAGTTGCATCTTCCAGGATTCAAAATACCCAATCCCCAGGGAAGGGCGCCGAGCATCCAGCCCTAGCCTCAACCCCAGATTTTACTACAAGAACGCATCAGCAGGAAGAAAAGAATGCGGAAACCACGCACTGTTTGCAGCTGAGGCCTTCAAATACGGCCATTGCCCAGCTTGCACTGCTTTGCACCCAGACACTTTGAGCGCCTCATAAGCCTTTTCAAGATCCTTTCGTGCCTCTAAGCTTTCTAGACGTCTCAATCAGGCTCCTTGCATTGCATGCCACCCATTACTGCAGGCAGTCGCTAACCTTCAAACTTCTAATTAATCTCTTCACGCCCATTTGGACTATGAAACACTGCGACACTGGGTGCGGACAGGACAAATGATGCAGCTTTTCCGGTGCTTCTCTTAAGAAACCTGATGGACAAATGAGACGACACCTGCAGGATATGCTCCCCCCGCCCCTGCACCAGGGGCGGGGTAGAGCCCGCTCTAAAAGCTCGTGCAATCCTGCTCACCACAAAAGGGCATATATATGAACAAGAAGAAAAGAAACAGCAGGGTCCAGGGCCGGGGCTGAGGAGGCGCCCAAAGACTCCCCTTGTCCTGATCCGGCCGGGAACCGAACCTGGGCACACTGACTTGTCAGTGTCACCCTGCGCCAGCTCACACACGGCAGCTGGCCCCCAGCAGCCAATCCTGCAAGCAGCAGAAACTGCAAGCAAGTCCATCACAGGCCCAAAGGAGCCATCGATGCAGCACCCCACAAGCAGCCGCACGAGGATTTCACCACCGACCCACTTGGTGGTCGGTGGCAGGTACGCCGTTGCACGGGCGCCAGGCACCCGGGAAGGGGCGTTCCAGTCCATTAGCGTGGCCGATCAGATGGCGGGAGCGGCATCGATGATTTTCTCGAGCTGGCCGGCGAGGGTGCGGAAGGATGGGCGCGAGGAGGGGTTGACCTCCCAGCAGGCCTCCATGAGGCCGCGCCACTCCGGCTCGCACCAGTGTGGCACCTCCGGCGCCATGTTGCCCACCATCAGCCCTGCAACACGCGCGACACAACTCAGGACATCTCAACTCAGAGCGACTGCACCCTTGTACCCAATTCAGCTCCCAATCTCGCGTTGCAAATGATGCAACAACGCGTGGCAACTAACTAGCTCGCCAGAGATGCTGCGCAGCTTAGCAGGAAGTGCATACATACGTGATGATTTATCTGACAAGAAAAGAGGCTGGACAACAGTGATGTCGCAGCCGCCCCTGTCCCCAGCACAAGTCACTGGGCGCTTGCGTCGCCATCGAGTGGCCTCTGATGGGACCTGGCGCGACAGCACAAGCTGCCACAGACTGCACACCCTGACAAACCTAGACAAGAGAACACTGAGTCGCAAAGGGGGATCAGAGGAACTCACCGGCGATGATCTGCTGGGGTGCGAGGGATTGGAAGGGCGCTTGCAGCGTGAGCATCTCCCAGAGCACCATTCCTAAACTCCACACGTCGGCCTTCTCGCTCACGTGGTCCGGGTCCGACACCAGCTCTGGCGCCATGTACGGCAGCGTGCCCCTGTCACAGCGCAAGCAGTTTCAAAATTTTGTTAGTGCACGCTTTCAGGTGAAATAGAGGGATATGGATAGGCTAGAGATGTGCAGTAGCCGATGAAATGTTTCAAGGCCACAACATTCACAGGACTACTATCTGTTGTTTACTTGTGAGCGACACTAACTCTGAACAGGCATGCAGGATCATCCTGCATGCCTGTTCAGATTAAGTGCAAGTTGTAGCACCTGCGCTTCAATCTCTGCTTCCTGGGCACTTGACATGCCCCGACACCCTGTGCCCAGGAAAGCTAAGAATGATGAGCAGGTGCTGCAGGCACATGTGCAGTGCATCACAGGATGAAAAAAAGCAGCACCTGAGGTCCTTGACGCCGGAGACGTAGTTGCTCCACTTGTGCTTGGACAGGCCAAAGTCGGCCACCTTGAGCATGGGCACGGGGTGCGCGCCGGCGTAGCCGCCCAGGATGAGCGGCCCATCCAGCAGCAGGTTGTCGGGCTTGAGGTCAAAGTGCACCACATGCATCTCGTGCAGGTACGCCAGGCCGTTCACAGCGTGCAGCGCCAGCTCAGCACGCACGCGCAGAGGTATCACCCCCTGGTTGTATGCCCTGCGCACAATATTTTACACCCTTGTCAGATCTGCTGCGCAAGCAACACACTTCACTTTTCAAAGGGCGCCAATGATCAATGTGCCCAATGCACAGGTATCAAATCGCTCTCCAGTGCCCAGCTCAACCCACCAATAGCAACGTCACAAAGCTGGCACCAAGCTCCGCAAAGCATTATTCAATCACTGCATAGGGCAACATGATCAGGCCTCTGAAATTCGTCCAAACCTCTCAGCAACCAAGCTGTTGCTCAACTCAGAGGCTGCATCGTGTCTTGGAGACAAGAGTCCAGCAGTGAGAAAGAGCACGGGCCAAGTGGGGTATATAAAAGAGGGCGGCTCACGTGAGGAACTGGGAGAGGGAGCCGCCGCGCATGTACTCAGTCATGATGCCCACGACGGCGGTGTCTTCCGGAGAGGCCACAACGGCGCCGTAGAAGCGCAGCACGTTGGGGTGGTTCAGGCTGGCCAGCATGTCCGCCTCACGCCAGAACGACACGCTGTGCGCCGCCACCTTTCCAGGCTGCATATGCACCCATGACAGACTCAGAACCAAGGAAAGCGCATTATCACTTATTGTGTCAAACCTTCACTTATTGTGTCAAGCCTTCAAAATTACAACACAGGAGCCTCTGCTACGGCAGTTGCTGTGGCTTGCTGTAACAAGTGGGAAGTGGCAATGATGAACAAGACAGAATGAAAATGTTTCTTGAGAGTTCCTACCTTGAGCCACTTGACGGCGACCTTGCCAAAGATGGCGCAGGTGGCAAGGGAGACCTCGCCAAAGGCGCCCTCCCCAATGCGCCCCAGCACCTTGACCTCGTCCTGCACACAGCACTCCTTGATTCAGAGGCGCCTCTTCCCACCGACAGTCATAGGCCGGCAACACCATGTGAGCAACAGCAGGGATGCTAGATCATCCAAAAAACATCATACATCATAGGCCCTGGAATACAGATGGATCACTTGTGGCCACATTAGTGGTATCATCAAGCCTGAGCACAATGGTGGTCAAATCTACTCAATAGCACACATGACCCCAGGTCAGCACAGCGCACATGTCCTACAGTGCTAGCCAACTGAAGGGGATCAAACCCAATTTCTCAAAGTCTCACCGACCTGGTTGCATGGTGCAGCCGGGAGCCGTGATGAAGGATGCACACCTTGGGGACGCGGTGAACGTTGGCGTAGATGGAGTTGGAGGGGTTGGTGGAGCCGGAGCCGCTGCGCTCCATCATGGCCACCGACCCCCCCAGCATCAGCACCTCCCTGTCGTACGACATAACCACCCCCTGCCCATACGCGCCGTAGTGCATGCCTGCACCCATACACAACCGACTTGTCAGCAACACAGCAACACCACAACACATGCCCCGCAAGCTCCTGCGACAGGTGAATCAGTCGAGGCCTGCCGGCCAATGATATCACGTCAGTCCCCTTTGCTGCCAAGCGAAGCGCTCCCCCCAAAGCGCTGCCGCTGTCAGGCTTGCTTAGAACCTGCAGCAGATGGCGACTATCGTCTGCAGGCAGCAGAGTGTGGAGAGCAACAGGTAGAAAGAGCAACGCACCGAGATTTGTGTTGTCGACGGCCGGGTGCAGGTGCGCGGTGCCCTTGAGGCCCTTCACAGCGAAGGCCAGATCGTCCTCGTCGCCGTCCCCAAAGGCAGAGATGTGGCTCGGCAGCCGCACGCCGCCGGCGTGCGCGGCTTCGATGGCGATGTCATCCTCGGGTCGGCCGTCGCCGAAGACAGAGATGTGGGAGGGCAGCGCGGGGGGCCCGCCGGTGGCCATCGCTCGGGGGGACTGTGTGGGGGTCGCGTAGGCCGAGACGTCGCCCTTGCTCTTCTTGGATGTGACCGTGTTGAGCGTCACCAGCGCACCTGCCGTGCCATCCTCCGGGCTAGCATACCTGCAGCGCACATTCTCGGTTGATGCCAGACTTCTGCTGTGCAACAGGTGAACGTGACTGCACAAGCAGCAACTGCCAATGCACTGTTTCCAAGGATGTGTGCAGCCTGAGCGACATATCCTTGCACACATTGGAGTTGGTAACAAATCTCAGCAAACTAATTTATTTGAGCGTTGCTTTTCATGTGAACCACAATGAGGGCGCACCAGGATTGGGTGCGGTAGGTGTAGCCCTGCCGCTGGCTGCTGAGCCCAGTGATGCTGGAGGGCTCTGACAGCTCCCCAAAGGCGCTGTCCGACAACTTGTAGGGCACCAGGGATGTCACATTGGACGCCCGCTGCATTGAGACCAGGATGGTGTTCTGCACACCACAATCCAATTCTCACACAGTTTTCAGAAGACGCTCAGCTACCAAATCCGTGAACACTGTCTATGTGGAAGCCTGAAGCCTGCACGGCAGTAATATACGGGAAGACATGCACCTGCCAGTGCAGAGGCTCCTCCATGTAGTTCTTCTCGAAGCCCTGCTGGTCTGCAGCATGCAGGTACTCGACGTCCTTGGCAGCAATGGCGGCCTGTTCATCATGGTGCCTGGATGCTGCTGCAGTGCCAGCTGAGTTCATCGAGGCATTGGATCCTAGCGAGGAGGCTTCCCACTCGCCGTGGCTATACGTATGCTTGCGCACCCTTCTGCCACTGCAGGCACAGGGGCACAAGTAAGGCGTGAAACAATGCTGACGTTGTCACTTCCATGCAAAAAATGCAGCAGCAGCTACAAAATGACCGATAATCACAAAATAATTAGGCACGAACATAGGCATCCCAGCTTCCTTCCTAAAATAACAACGGCTGACCAGAGTTTCTGGCAGGGAAGAAGCACCTGGCAGTGCAGAAGAAGGCACATCCATCCTCATACTCCGCTGGGGTGAGAGGCTCCTGGATCATGTCAAAAAAGAGGAACACCCGCAGCTTGAAGTTTTGGGCAGGTGTGCCTGGCAGGTTCAAGCCTCGAAAATACTCCTCAAACATCTCCTGCACAGCACATGTGAGACGTGAGAGGCATTCTTGACAAAGAGGAAGACAAGGACATCAGCTTGCAAGAAGAGCACGGGACTGAGGTGTCAGCAACAAGGGCAAACACAATCATCCTGGGCGTGGCAAAGACGCTGCTGCAAATAAAGATGGTGTCCACTCACGCGAAGATCATTGTCGTCTGACACGCTGATCAAAGCATCGGGCTCGAGCTCCTCCCCGGGCAGCTGGTACTTGAGCCCAGTCAGGTCGCCCTTGACTTTCTCGGTCCACCGGAAGGCGACGTCGTTGTATTTAAAATGCAAGGGGAGACTCTCCAGGTGCGAGTTACCGTTCTTGTAGCCCCACTTGCCGGTGGAATCCTGCCAGGCAGCACAGGCAAACCTTACGAGATGTTCGGCTGTCCCCGCCAGATGTGAGCGTGCTGAGGACAACGCCAAAAAGGCACACACAACGAGGCAGTGAAAGATGGCAGGGCTGCATCGCCGCACGCACCATGTGGAATGAGCCTCCGTAGCTGACACGCAACTTGATGACCTTCTGTTCCCGGCTGGCCTCGCTGCTGGCCAGCAGCTCCTGCCTGTCTCCCACCATTTGGTGAGGAGTTTGTGAGGTCTGAGTGCTGGGCGGCACTCCTGCCTGGCGCTATCTAGCGGCGCACCGCTGGTCTGTGGGACGTGGCCATCAGCTCAAGCGCTGCTCAAGCTGATAAGACACATTGTGGGTAGGGAGATGGGCTCTAGTGCTGCTGCACCACGCCCTACGCCCGAGGTAAAGTGACGGACAGGCTCCTCCCCAGGCTCGTCCTGTGTTCCAAGTCTTTCTTTTTCAAATCGTAGACTGGACAGGGATGGGGAGAATGGAATGTTGAAGTTACAGGCTGTATCCAGAAGCTGCATGTGACGGCTAATAACCCTGCAGAGGGAATTGAAAGGGGATTGAGGTAAAAGCCCTAGAGATCACGAGTGCCGCCAACTCAGCTCCAGCTAGGACCGCGCCTATTTGTCTCAAACTCTCACGATCTGGGCAGTTTTCTTGCATATCAATCGATAAACTCGCCTTTCAAGGGATTCCCTCATTCAATCTCAATCGAGGACAAGCAGATGGGAAGCTCGGCTGAGCGTCGGCTGCACAACCTGCAGAGGCAACTCGCGACGGTGTCGGTCGTCGATCCTGGCCTGGAGAGGATGCTGACTTCCAGCGGCAATACCCAGAGCATCTGGCAGGCCATCCCTCAGGTGCTGCCCGGGCTGTTTGCGATGGTGGCTTTTACTGTTTGGCAAGTTTTTTAGTTTGTCACGATCGGTTGTTTCCACCGTGAAAGGAAGCGATTTATTCAGTACTTTTCATTAATAGTAGACACACATGATGGCAAGCATCGATTTCGATTGGCAGATGCACATGCGGGTTGAGGTTGTGTTAGGCATGTCGAACCGTGTGTGCTTGCGTGTCACTTAGTGAAACACTGCGAATATTTGAGATTTTGCGCATAGCAGGACCTGTTCTGACATTCAAGTCCTTCTCGACGCTTGCAGGGTCCTCCCGATGCAATCCTGGGAATTTCAGGCAAGCTCAGATCTGCCCTTCGATGATACCTTCGTTGCCACCCCACTCCTGTACAACTGTGATTCTTCACACAGATAGTGTAATAATGCTCTCTATGTCCCCGCAGAGGCATTCAAGAAGGATCCTAGTCCAAAGAAGATCAACCTGGGAGTGGGAGCATACCGGTGAGTCATCAGTCCCTTGTTTCGGCAGTGGAAGGCATGCATCGCAAATGCTAGTTTCAGACTTGGTCATATGCTGCCTCTCCGACCCTTCTCTTATCAGCTAAGACTGGATGCTGACTCCTGTGTGTGCCACTGCAGCACTGAGGAAGGCAAGCCCTTGGTGCTTAATGTTGTCAAAAAGGCTGAGCAGAAAATCATCAACGACCCAAACGAGAACAAGGTGTGTCCTTGTGCTACACATGCAAAGGTTATCAAAGGCTGCATGTCGATTGGATCTCATCGCAAATCTTCATTCTTTGCATCATTGGCTCAAAAACGTATTCAAGCCTGGTCTTTCTCTGTCATTGTGCCTGAACCTTTGTCATGCATGTGGCAGGAGTACCTGGGCATCACTGGCAACCCCAAGTTCAACGCCCTGAGCGCACAGCTGGCCTTTGGGGAGCACAGCCCTGTCATCAGGGAGGCGCGCAACGCAACAGTCCAGTGCCTGTCCGGCACTGGCTCCCTCCGGGTGAGTCATCTCGTTGGCAGACTGCGCATCAGTATCAAGCATACAAGATGTTGATTGTGCCCTCCGTTGCCACGCCTGCTTGCCTGTCACATGTGCATAAAAAACCATGTCTTGGCATGTGCTCTATTATGTGTAGAGGACTGTGTCGATCAATACATCTGGTCTGGTCAGATTGGTGCGGAGATCCTGGTATCCTCTGTTGTTGTGTCTCCTTGTTCCCATGTGTGTACAAGTGTGTCAGAGAATAGATTTGGTCTTGTCAGATTGGCACGGAGGTCCTGGTTTCACATGGCATCGTTTCTGCTTGTTCCCCTGTGTGTAGGATAATGTCTCAAGGGGTGCATCTTTGTCTGGTCAGGTGGGCGCGGAGTTCCTGGCGCAGCACTACACGGTGCACACGGTGCTGCTGCCATCGCCGACGTGGGCCAACCACCACAAGATCTTCCCGCTGGCCGGCATCAAGGACGTGCGCACCTACCGCTACTACAAGCCTTCCACGCGCGGCCTCGACTTTGAGGTGCGGCCCATGCGCTCAGTCAACAGAGGCTGCTGAATGTTGTAGAGTATTCCCCCACTTCCGATCTGCTAGATGTGGTAGATATACTGTGAGGCAGAGTTAATCTCTTCATCCTTAAGGTGCCGCCCATCAGATGAATATAAGCACTAGGCAGCTCTTCAAAGACCGCTTGCTCTTCCGTGCGTGCTAGGCTGAGCATGACGTCCTGTCGTCACTTTGTTGTTTCTGTCTGCTTGAAGTCCTGTGCACATAATCCCTATCAGGCACAGCATCTCATGAAGGCGGCTACATCAAAATGGACACTGGACAGTCCTCGTCCGTCTAGCACGCATGTGGATGAATTGAATGTGTTTACGGAGGTGCACTGGTAAGTCCACGCGGTGCAGTGGGAGATACAGAGAATCACAGAAAGCTGGGAGCAGATGACATTTGAGACTAGGTTGTGATCAGGCAGATGTGGTGAGCAGGGCATGATTGAGGACCTTCAGCGCGCTCCGGAGGGCGCCATAGTTCTGCTGCATGCATGCGCGCACAACCCCACCGGCGTCGACCTCACCCCCGAGCAGTGGCGGGGCATTCTGCGCACCGTGCAGCAGAAGCGCATGCTGCCCTTCTTCGACTCCGCCTACCAGGTAGCTTGCACTGACACCCACTACTTGCCTCATATACCCATCTATGTTCTGACTTGCGGTAAGTTGTGTGCAAATTAGTGCCATTTCAAAGATCTTACTTAAACCCGGGTTGTTTGCCAGTGACAAGAAAGGCTTTTGTGAGGGCTGCTGAGCCTGTCTGATACACTGTGCATGTCTGCAGGGCTTTGCGAGTGGTGATCTGGAGCGGGATGCCACTGCCATCAGGCTGTTTGCAGATGCCGGCCTCGAGCTGCTGCTGGCCCAGGTAAGGCATCCTCATGCATTTCCGGACATTCCAACTTCGCTATTCATGCTGCTGCACCAGGAGCAAACACTTGCCCTGTGCATCAAAGGAGGCAGGGCAGGGCAAAAAAAGGCATGCTAAGTATGTGCTGTGCTGTGCAGAGCTATGCAAAGAACATGGGCCTGTATGGGGAGCGAGTGGGCGCACTGAGCGTCATCACCAAGAGCGCTGACGTCACCAAGCGCGTGGAAAGCCAGCTGAAGCAGGTACCACTCTCCATAATCAGAGTTTAAACATAGCTCGACCCCATTCTTACAGGGCAGCCTGTTTGTGGAAGCGCACTTAACACTGCCTCTTGTTTTACCTTGAAATTTTGAAGCCCATGGGTCTTGCTATTGGTGAAAGTGATCATGAAAGTGAGGATACTGGCTTGTGTGCAGGTGATACGGCCCATGTTCAGCAATCCCCCCAGGCATGGAGCGGCCATTGTGGTCGAGGTCCTCAGTGATCCCTCCCTCTACGCGGAGTGGCGGGTAAGCACTCTGCGTACAAATGCGCCACCAAGCGGCACATCTTCTAACATTGTCTGGGCACCTTAGCGGAATGTTTGCTTCGGTTCCAGCTTTGATTTTGTGCTACACACAAGGGACCGCTGTTCCAGAGTCTGCAGCAGGTAGTAAAGGAGCAGCAGTTCTACCTACCTTCCTTGGGACAGTGCCTGAAAGTTTATGATAATAAAATTTGTGAGCGGTTGTGGGGGCTGGTGTGTGCAGGAGGAGCTGAAGGGGATGGCGGGGCGCATAATGCAGATGCGGCAGGAGCTGTTCAGGGCGCTGCAGCAGGTGGGCGCGCCCGGCAGCTGGAACCACATCCTCGACCAGATCGGCATGTTCAGCTTCACAGGCCTCACTAAGGCAAGCCACCTCCACTTCTCCAGCAAACCCCTACACAATCACGCAACCATTCAATGAATCTGTGCAGTGCATGCCAGCCACCCATTCGCGGTATGAGACTGGAGATTAAGCAGCTATTAACTGGTGTCTCAGCATTGCTTAGTCTGGCCGGCTTTGGCAGAGAATGCCATGGGGACTCTATTTATGTCAACGGGACAAGGCAATGAGTTTGTTCTCCTGAAAGGTGCATCGCGTACGTCTGCAGTAGCACACTGATGAAGGGGCGCTGGTGCATGTGTCATGGATATGTTGGCATGGGGGATACATGTCCCCTCTGTTGACTCAACATTGTCTCAAGACTGTTCGGGCCTTAGCAGAGGTTGTTTCTGCTTGTGGTGCTGCAGGAGCAGGTGCGGGTGATGACGGACAAGTGGCACGTGTACATGACCTTTGATGGCCGCATTTCCATGGCCGGCCTCTCCAGCTCCAAGTGCCACTACCTCGCCGAAGCCATCAATGACGCCATGCGCTCTGCCTGATGACTCGTGGGCGACTCATCATTGATGAGGAAGACTGCAGAGACATCCTCGGACGCACCTGCTGCGCAGAGCACCCCCTGCTTGTGGGGCAGCTTGTCCTGGAGCGTGACTCGTCAAAGTGTTTTGCAGTACTTTATAAATTGATAAACGCAAGGGAATTGGCATAAATGCTTATCCAGTTTTGTAAGTGTAGGTGCAGATCTGTGTGACAAATAGCTAGAGCTTATAACAAGGGTAGGTTTGGTTTAGCGACGTTATGGTGCATGAACCATAAAGTCTCTAGAGGTATTGCTCAGCGGACTTGCTGCAGCTAGGATGTTAGAATTTGAAATTTTGATTGTACATTGTTGTACTTGTTGAATGGCTGGCCTGCATTGTGTGCACAGCACATCAATAAAAATCAGCACAGGTTCAGTGCCAGGTCAGGATCAGTCATGATCAGAGCTTTATAGGCATTTAGGTATCTGCAGCTAGGTATCTGCAGCTGTGGCTAGCAAGTGGCTTGCGCTTGCTGCTTGTGCAATGCTGTTAAAGTCAAATTTTACAGACATTTTAGGTAGGTATGGTTAGCTTGTTTTCATCAGCATCTCGACTCTTAAGCATGCGTATGGACAGACAAATAGTGGCATGCGCATCCTGCCAATTGGATCCGAAATCCATCAAAATGAAGACTGGACCTTGCTTGGCATAAGAGATTCTTCGTAGCTTATACACCTTTGCCATCCTGTAAATTCAAGATCACATTTCATGCTCACGTGCAGCCATTGTTGCATTCCAGCGCTTGGTTTGCTGGCTGTCACATGAAGTCACTAATGCCAGTAGGGTTGGAGCTGACAGTCGTGAGACTCTTCAGGCTGGTGGTGCACTGATACCATACCAATTCCCTGTCTTTGACAACTGAGCCCCCGTCTGCATGCACAAGACAAACTCAGCATCAGTACATGCTTCTGCAATGCTTCTTTCCAAATTCGCGCATGGACATGTTCATTTGCTTCAATGGTCCATTCAGTTTGACAGATTTCTTGGCACCTGACAAAGCCAAAGACAGTTTAGTGCAGTAGCATCCCAGGATGCAATGCCATGAGAAAATCACCTGCAGTGCTGTGCTCCAGATCTATTGTCGCAGAAGCAGTTGCTTCACATGTCTCTGCAGCGGAGGCGTCAGTCTGTGGTGTCCCCAGCTGTATCTGTACCTGCAAGACACCAGGCTCTGAGAAAGTTGAATCAGGCTCATTCTGCATGCTGCTGCTGCGTAGTAAGGATTACAGCAGTTTAATGTGAGCTCCTAGTACTGACCTGGAGGCCCCTTCGCTGCTTCAGCTGGAAGGCTCTCTTGGGCATGAACCCTGGAGGAGGTGCCTCTTGCTGTGGCGCTTGCAGAAGCAGAAAGAGCTTTGTGGTACCTGCATATTTCATGACAGCAGAATTGAGCAGTTGCTTGTCAGCTGAGAGGGGAAAGCAAGATCTTGGAGAGATCGTGGGCTTATGCACAGAACATGCTGCAGTCTTCATGAGATTCTCATGCATGCGCAGGACGGGGACAGGAACAGTTGAAAAGCTGAGCAACTGGCACATGCATGCCCACAAGGTGCAAATTTGGATGATACTGAATGTGCAGTGTAGGAATTTTACCTGCAGACGCCTTGCCCTCAGGCACAGCCGCTGTGTTGATGATGAGACTGCGCAGAACCTTCCTGGAAATGTCCCTAGCCACTTCTGCACATCTGTCATCTGGCTCTGCCGCTACATGTGCAGTGGCGCTGCATGAGAGAGCATAGATCTCCACTGGCCGCAAGGCCGACGGTCCCAGCAGGAAATACAGCGTTGTGCATGGCTGCATCTCAAAGATGTCCAGCGATAAGGCAGATGTCAGCTCCAGCGCCTTGTGCACGAACTGCATGCCATGCAGAGGAAGACTGGTAAGAGCCATGCATGCGAAATAGGAAGACCTTTTGAGGTTATTTAGCTGAGAAGCTGAGCTTAAGCCTTGAAAACTGCACATGCACCTGCTCACCTTCTCAGTCTTCCTGTTGCCTCTCGGTCTCCTCTGCTTCCTTGCAACGATTGGATGTAGATCTGGTTCCAATTTGTGGTCAACCTATTTACGATGTGCAGAATAACATTCGGCTGAGACTGGGGCTTTGACAGCATACTTGAAACCCTTTGACCCTGACGAGATGCTTACCAGCATTTTGTCTGCCAGATCATTGAAGAGGGACGGTATCATATTTCTCATGAAGAGTAGATGCTTAATGACTTCTTCCGCAACATAAGCAGCCTGCCAGCTGGACATTGGGGCTGCCAGCTGAACATCACAGTCTATTCTTTGTACAGGCTCCGCATTCTTCCGTCTCATTTGACCCAGAAAGCATGCACATTCACGTGGTACGACTAAGTACTCCTAAGAGTTGATATGAAATTTCATCGCGTCGTCGATAGCGTCACATATTCAGGTCAGGACAATGCGGTGACCGTGAATCGTCAGCGATGCTCAATGCGATCTGCTCTTGCTTAGGAGCAATGGCGAAAAGGAGATTCTTCATTGATTTGTGCAAGTTTCCCGTAAGAGTTCGTTCCAAAAGATCTGTTCTTTTCAATACTGCATCAAGCTGTTCTGAAACCCTGATCATATACCTTTCGCTGTCATTGACGACCCCCATACCCTTGACCAAAGGCTTTCACAGATTTCAGGCATAGCAAGGGCCCTTCAGCAGGTTGACAGGAAAATTGCGTGCCTCTGGGGTCCTTGATACCTTAGGGTGCTGGGGGAAGAGGTATCGTGCGATGTTTCGGCAGGTGGCGCAGCGCCTAGCTTGCACTGCTCGCAGAGGCCTCAGCACTTCAGCAGTTTGCAGAGAGGGCGACAAGGGACCAGCAGGTCTGCCCTTTCTTTATTGCATGCAGTTTGAGGTGGTTAAAAATTGCTGAATTCCACAATCTGAGGGTTTATCTGCACATATTCACCTAGAGGAAATTTTGCTGGAAGGTGTCTTTACCACAGGATCCGAAGTGTTCGATTGGATGGGGAAATAATGGCCAATTGATTGTGTTTGTTGCTTGGACGGAGTGTCTTGCTTGGCACGGATCGCTGAACAGTCTCATCGCTGTTGCTGCTCGCAGAGTTCTTAAAGAAATTCAGTCCCCACGTCTCCTCGACTCTGTCTCCGCCAAGCTTCCCATCTGAGTTTTTACCTAAGGCAAAGGAGGCCGAAGAAGGCGCAGCCGTACCGGAGAAGCTCACGCTCAACTTCTTTCTACCTCATGAGACAACTGTGAAAGACTCAAAGGTGCTCCCCTACTCTGGATCTCTGCACATGATGAGGACCTGGATTGCTCCATATGTTGCTAGTTTGCTGCGTATGCAATGAGGTGCTCACTTCAGGTGCCGACCTGTACCAGTTCACAATATTCTGTGAACCCTAGCTGTGATGCTGAAGACGGCAAAGTGCGCATACATGCATGCGCTCAGGCGCAACAAGATAAAGCTGGGGCCTCATATCTTTTAGGGACGCAAGTCATGATCTCAGTCTGGCATACAAATCCAACGCATGACATGAAGATTAATCGAGCAATCTCCGGTGTTGGGGAGCCCTGAGGTTTCCCAGTCGTTGACTCTGTTGGCGATCACTGCATTCCTAAAAGTGGGTTGGGGGCACAGGTGGACCTGGTGCTGCTGCCAGCGCTGACAGGAGACTTTGGAGTGATGCCCGGCCACGTGCCGACGGTGGCGCAGCTGCGGCCGGGGGTGGTCACGGTGCACAAGACGCTGGACAAGGAGATCGAGAAGTATTTTGTCAGCAGCGGCTTTGCCTTTGTGCACGCAGACAGCAGCACGGATGTGTGCGCGGTGGAGGCTGTCAAGCTTGAGGACCTGGACCCCGAGGCTGTGCGCGCAGGGCTTGCGGTGCGACAACTACTTGCCCTTAATACGTGCCTTTTTGTTGCCAAGTAGACCCGTCTAGTTGCCATTGGTGCGTGCCTTTGGTTGCAAACAACATGATGTGCTTTTTGCTCCTTTCACGGTGATTAGCGTCAAAGAAGCCTGTCAAAAGAGGCCTCGCATTCCCAGAGCAAGGGCCTTCAAAAGCAGCCAGCCAAAAGAAAGACTGACCTGGCCCATTTTTGGGGCTTTTGATCCTGTCACACTCTGCAGCTTATACCCACTGGCATGAGTGCTGCTGCTCCTTGTAGTATGCAGCTGGCGCCTGTGCAGCAATCTGCTCCTTCCGCATGCGTTGATGTTGGTGCATGCTGCAAGCATGCAGCGCTGCACACATGCATTCCTTTGTAATGCTAGAATGGGAAAAGGAATTGTCCTCTTGTAAAGTTCTTGTGCTTTCTACGCGGGGCGTTTGATGACTGAAGTATGTGATTTTGGCTGAGCAGGAGTACACAGCAAAGCTTGGAGCTCTTCAGGCGAAGGGCGATGACTACGAGATTGCTGCAGCTCAGATCGGTGTGGAAGTCTACTCAGCCATGAACGCGGCTGTGGGCGCCTGACCGTAGCATGCAATGTACGCAGTCAGACTGTTGTGTCTCATGCAGTCACCCATTTGATTTCCAGGGCAAATCAGACTGCAGACTGCGGCATGGCATGTAAAAATGGCCACCAAATTATGATTGCTGGGCATTTTTGGCCCTCCCTGCGGGATTCGATCCTATTTACATAAAAAGCAGTCAGATGGGGCAACCATGCATTGTCATTTGCACAGCTGCAAACAACAAACTGCGCAGCTCACCCATGCGTAATACCCATTGTGCTCCTAGCAGGCCTACCTCATTATAAACATGCCTTCATGCCCCTACACCATCCTGACCCTGTACTTTCACGGAAACATGCCCATATTGGTGGCCTAGTCAAGTACGACTGGGTCGCAACTGTGCAAAGAAAAAGCTTGAAAGCAGGGTAATGTCCTGAGGGACTTGAAAGTTCCCCAATAAGAATCAAGTCAGAGAGACACTGCATGGTGTTGTGCAATGCCCTTAATCATCACTCACTTGCAGTCAACCGAGGGGCATCTTTATTTCCCATAGTCCCCTTGTTTTGTCCACATGTACATCTTTGCGCATGCGCAACAGTAAATCTGATTCTCGAAGATCATCTGTCTGAGCGTTGCGGGCCAAGATAGCAAGCTAGTATGGAGACTTTTTGAAAGGGTGCCCCTCTTGTGCAGCTGACAGTGCCAGCTTGCAATTATGCGCGCAGTAAGAAAGGATCCCAGCGTCTACAATTTGTAAATGATGCCTCGCAAACAAAAGGCCTGCCAAAAATCTTCAAGATGCCTGATCAGAATTGGCCGGGAGCCACTGACAAAGCAGCCGCACACCGGCAAATAGAAGGTCCAAGGAAAATCAGTGAGCAGCCCGCTTCTATACTCTGACACTGCTGTAGATTATCTAACATATCAGCCTTGCATCTGGATTTGACGACACCTGTATCTGCTAAGGTTGTGGCCTGGCCATTCCATCAGCACAAGGCTTGTCACAAGCCTGACCAATAATCCCCTGAAAACTTGCTTGCCTTTGTGAAGACAGCTGGGCTGCAGTGCAAACAAAGGCTCGAGCACCCCAAAAAAACACCCCCCAGAGCTAATTACATCCAACCAACCTCCGCACCAAATCTTCCTTGGCAGTCTTGCTTTTTTCTGTACAACCCACGTCCTCAGATCAGAGCGTGCTTGCATGCCCATAGCCTGAACAACAATCCCTCCAACACAAGCATGCCTTCCCAAAATCCCATATTTCACATCCAATGCCCTTTCAACCCTGCCCTGTAACTATTTGAATTTGCAGCGTGGTGGTTTGCTGCCTCAAGACCACAGCCTGCTCTTGACCATTGCCAGTCACGCTGCTGCAGAAGCGGACACTGCAGTGAAGAACCTCATCAGCCCAAAAGGGCTACATATGAGGCGGCAGGCTGAGCACAGTGTTTGCAGTGCCTAACAAGTCATATTTCTCAACATGTCAGTGTTGCCAGAGATGATCGGCTCTGCCAGCCCCCACACCTTTAAGGGACTGACAAGTACCCCAAAATCAAGGAGCCCCGCAAAGAGAGGTTGTGGACCACACAAATCGAGTCCCATTGCAGCTGTGGCGGTAAGTCGTGCTGTGAATCAATCCAGGCAGAGCAGGCGCTGCCCCCATTGAATTGCAAGTGATGAGTCACAGTGAGTCACATGGTGAGTCACGTGCGAGTCATCCCCAGGGGTTGAGCTCAAGGCTGCGGCGCGAGTCGCGCGGCTTCCCCTTCCCGGAGTTGTAGTACATGGCGCGCAGGTAGCGCTCGATGTCGCAGAAGGGCGGGCGGTTGGCCGGGTCCTCGTCCCAGCAGGCGGTCATCAGGTCCTTGTAGACCTGGGGCATGTCCGCGGGGATCGGCGGCCGGTAGCCCATCAGCACCTTGAAGAACACCTGCACAGCGCCGTTCCCTCCACCTCAGATTCCATGCGCAGCCACAACCAAGTGCTTGGATGGCATGCTTGGTGCTGACTCTCAGATTACATTTAGACACTTCATCAGCCTTTTGTTGGCTGGCAGCTATGTCATGCGAGTGAGTAAGTGAGCAGGATATTGACCCAAGCATTGGTCAGATACATCTCCTGATCGGCAATAGGGCGTCACAATTGCCCCAGCAAGGGAATAGTGGACATGACTTGCAATATGCGGAATGAAGAGGCCATGTGTAGATGCAACATGGGGAGAGCCCTTGCCTGGGAGCTGTTGAGTCCGCGGAAGAGGGGCGTGCCAGTGTAGATCTCCCACATCATCATGGCAAAGGAGTAGACGTCCGCCGACTTGGTCAGCTTGCCGTCCTTCAGCAGCTCCGGAGCGCAGTACGACACCGTGCCTGCAGTTTGTTAGCATGAACTCAGTGAGAAACCTCCAGGTGTTTGGAGTCATGCTGGGTGCTGAGTCTGGGGATCAGGATCTGGCATCGGATCAGCCCTTAACTGGCTGGAGGCAAAGTGACGCGACTGTGAAAGCCAGTCGGGACAATTGGCAACAGCACATAGTGTTATTTCTCCTACGGTCATGCACTGCTCAAAGGGGTGCTTTGGCCGCTCCTACAACATAATCTTAATCTGAAAAGACTGCACATGCAAGAGATGCGCGCCCTGCCTGCACCAAAGATTCTCTGGGCAACGTGACGGCGATTTTGCTGAAATACCGAGTTGTTGCAGTGCGCAAGGGAGGCAGGTAATCACACACCATATGTGCCGGTGGAAACGTGGGTCGAGTTGCTCTCGAGGACGCGCGACAGGCCAAAGTCACCAAGCTTGCACACAAAGCCGCGGGGGTCGTCGTGCATGGAAGTACTCTTCAACAGCACGTTCCCTCCCTTCAAATCCCCTGCACAGCAAGGGGAATGACACCATTAAGATGTGTGAGCTTCAGCAGGTCTTGAAGAGGGGTGTCCAACAGATCAGAGTCCGCCGGGGCATCAGTATGCACTGCAGAGAATGGCCATTCTCAGCTCCTGTCGATAGCGAGCTGGGACAGCAAGAGAATGGGCCATCGGGTGTGTACAAACGGTGCAGGCAAAGACAAGCCCACAAGGCAGGTTGTTCAATGGGTAGTGTCAGCCAAGGAGCATGCATAGCAGCTGTAAGGAAAGCAGATTGGGACCACAGGCAGCAAGCGTGATGCCAGGACTTCAATCTGTTCAGTAAGTTAAATGCAGCGCTCACCGTGCAGAACACCGAGCGAGTGCAGGTAGTCCATGCCAGCGGCAATGTCCAGCAGGCAGCGATAGATCGCCATCTGCGCACGTCAACATTCCTCAATATCCAGCCTTATTCCCTCTAACCTCAAGCTTGCACTGTCCTCTCAGCATCCACAAATTCTGCCCTCAAAGCCCCACATAACACACCAGCAGGTGCCATTTGTAATCTTGCGCCAGCCCTGCAAGAAGTAGTAACTCGGTGATAATTTGGGAACGCACCAATTCTGGCGCGCCAGTTGACTTGTCATGGAATCTGCCGCCCGACACTGCCCTGTCCAGGTTGCCCTTGTCACAGAACTCCGACAGCAGCCAGGTCTCCTGTGCAACACCACCCACGCTAAGCTCAGGCTTTGGAGGTGATATCATCTTCATCAGATGCCTGCAGACCCTCTCACATACAACACAGCCTCCCCTCTCCGCAGCCGCCTTCACACATCTCCAAAAGGATGCCTGCCAAAAAATGCACGGCATGCGCAAATTAGAACAAGAGGCAGTGCGCCATTTGGAGACATGAAGAACTCTCTCTCCTCATCTGCCTTCAAGTACGTTTACAAGGATGCCTGTCAAGACATGCATGGTATGCGCAGACATATGAGGAAATGCGATGCATTAGACGGGGATAAGAAATCGCGTATGAGCAAAGGAGGCATAAGAGCGCGCACATGCACTTCTTCAAAGTCGCCCGCGGTGCTGCGCGGCGGAGAGGGCGCGGTGCCGGCAACCTGCGGCGTGTGGCCGGACGAGCCGCGCGCCGAATCGAGGCTGCCCGGCTGCGCGCCCGTCACCTTGCCATGCTTGCCAAGCGTGATCACCTGTTGGGTACATGCATGGAACCACTCAGCAAGACGCTAATGCTATCATATTTCTAAGGACCTGCGTGCAATGCTGCACTTGATGGCATCTGGCATGCAGGGCAGGCAATGCACACACCTCACAATAAGTCGTCGCCAGGACAAACCTCTAGCAATACAGTGCTGGCCAAATCCTGCCCCACCAAGAAGGCTCTTCCACACGGAGACAGACCCATGGTGCAGCACGCACCAAGCAGAATGCGATATGGAAAGAGGAGTCATTAATGAGATTCTGAAGTGTCTACGCTAATTTTAGGATCGCCACCTTGTAAGTGATGAGGACGTTGGGGTGCTGGATGTTGGAGGAGACCAGGTTCTCGCGGAAGCTCTCCATCTTGCTGTTCTCGTCAGCACTGTGCTCTATGATCTTCACCGCCACCATCGCGCCCTTCCACCTCCCTGCACACCACAGTATGAAGCTCAACACATTACACTTCAGCGCTCCGCTCGCTGCAACGCTGCATCAGTTCCGGATAGGAGGTAGCAGCTAGTATGTGCTGTCAAGTGCATTGCATTGGAGCCCCCATCAAGTGGCAGAAGAGTACAACTGATTCACTGCAGCCCGAGCTCAATTATGGGTTGAGCAAGCTGCCTTGATATTTGGCGTGCTTCAAAGATAATGCATCGGGCAACAGCACAATGTGTTTTGAAGAGAGCGAGGATGCCATGAAGGCGAATTAGCGCCAGAATAAGAGGATAGAGGTGCCTCGCGAATGTAGATGGAATTCTTGCACGTACAAGACACCTCAAGCCCAGGAGCACGATCGACCACATTGGTTTGCATTGTTGAAAATGCAGTGTCAGCAAGGAGGGCGCACCCTTGTAGACCTTGCCGAAGGAGCCGCGGCCGAGCACCGCGCCCAGGTCGGGAAGGCATTCCTGCGTGGCACCGGCGCCGCGAGTGCGCAGCAGATCTGCCATGCCCAGCAGCGCGTCCAGATTCTCGCTCTTAGCGCGGCTGCTGCCGGTGCCGCGCCCCGAATTGGCGGCTGACCCGGACTTCCACGACGTCTGCGCAGCACACAACACGCGCGTCAGCAAAAGAGGACACCTTGTCTGACTTAAGAATGGTCAAATTCTTGCTTTGAAGCGTCTGCCTGATAGCCAACATGCGCTTCAGCAAAACACGGCACCTTTCTTGTGTTATTAAATGCTCGTATTGTTCCTTTGAAAGGTCTGCCTGATAGCAGCCAGCGCGAGTTTCAGCAGGAGGTGGGCTGTCTCTGCAGCACATGGGAGGAGTAGAGCTCTGAGCCAACCAGAAACTGAACAAGGAGCCCCTGTAATGGGAGCTCCTGTATTATAAAAGTCACAGCCAAAGCCGGATGTGTTAATAGCAGGTGCGCATGAAACTGGTCAAATTAGGACACATTGAGAGGATGTGTGCGCACATAGTCGTCCATGGGAGCCGGGTCGGAGAGGCCAAAGGCGGTGGGAATGTCCGAGGCCGGGGCAGGCTCCGACAGGGCTGTCGCCGCAACGGCGGCGGCGGCGCTTGGCCCAGACGGCGGCAGGCCACAAGCGGCCGGCAGGCTCTGCGCAGAATCGCACACCGGCCGGTCGCGGTTGAACGCCGTGTCGAAGGGCGTCGGCAGCGGCTCGATGCGCATGGAGGGCATCTGTGGGCGACGCACACAAGATGTGAGCTATCCGATGCAGAACGCTGACTTGGCTGGCTGAGCAGCAGCCTGTGTCAACCCTGTGCCAAGGTGAGCATGCCGCTTGGCTGATCAAGGCCTTGTCAAATGGCAGCTGGCGAAGCTATAGGGGCTTTTCTTCTCTCTGACCAGTAGTCCTGCAACAGCTGCTCCAGGGAAGCATGTGTTCTCTAGTGAGAGGCAGACAAAACACAAGGGAGGGGTGCACGAGGCACAGCACTTACCAGCACTGTGTGTTCACTTTCTTTGGCTAGGGAGACGGGGAACACTGGCTGCTTGGGCGGCGGAAGCTGTGCGGAGTCAGGTTCCGATGCCGAGACGTTCTCCACTGCGGCCGTTGGCTGGCAAGCGGACAGAGATCGTCGCTTCCTGTAGAGGGTGTATGCCGCCACGGACGCCAGTGAAATCGTCCCAGCGCCAAGCCACCACCACCCTTGGCCAGTGCCTTTCCCAGAGAGTTCTGCATTTCCGACTTTGGTCTTCTCCATCCCCGCTTGTGATCGATGTGCAAATTTTCAAGGAACCACTCAGCTGAAACACTTGGAGAATAACGATATGGGTGTGGTATGGCTGCACTACGGACTCTCGGCAGTACTCTTGTCTTCCAGGCTACGCACTGGAGCGCGCCTCCCAAGTCCCGACACCAAAGAAGCAATCCTCCGTTGGGAAGAGAAGGGTTGGAAGGTGAACCTCCTCAGGTGACACGGGAGTCTAAGATTTTGACGTCAGCAGGATTTTGCCTTCATAAGCAGGACTCCGAATGCCCTGCACCTCTTCTCGCAAGAGCGAGTTCTTTCACGATCAGAATGGATGCGACAGCCCAATTGTCTTCTTTGATGTCACGCGTATCTAGAAAGTGTGAACTGACTGTGCGTGAGCAGGTGGAAAAGTGAACACGTCCTTCGCAGATCTGTCTCCAGATCCGAACGGGAAGTTCGCAATTGACGACCGTAGGCTGAGCTGGAAGCGCACGCTTGAAGCGGCGTTCCTGTTTGCCCGGACGGTTACATCGCGTTTCGGCGATTTGGAAGACTTTTGGACATGAACTTCTGGCCAGCCAAGTGAATCCATTCATGGATGCAGAGGCCGTGAGGAAGATCAACCTTATTGAGGTACAAAGACTTTGCGACCACCTGAACGTCTCGATCTGGAAGGCACGCAGCAACTTAAAGATTGGTGCCGGTGTAGGTTCTCCAAGAGAAAGCAGACTCTGAGGGGAAAAGTATCCGAGATCCTCCCTTAGATTGGTACGGCTGGTGTTCAAATTATGCACAAATTTCGCAGAGCAATGCCAATGTGCACCAAAGACTAAGCTACAAAATCGTGCTGTGAAGGAGTGAGGATCGCATACGGCTGCATTTCGCTCAGAACGGTTCTATCACACCCTCATTCGCGCCAGTAGATGACGCCGAGTTCAGGAAATGGTTTCCAGGCCTCCTTCTTAGCCGCACATCCTGCCCACACCCCAGGTGGCTTTCCACTATCAGAGACTTTCTTCCCCGCAATCGCACCTGGCACTTCCGCGATGCTGTCGAGATGTTCAATAAGTGATATTGTGAATGTTCTAGGTGGCGAGTGGTGTGCTTCCCAAACGCTGGCAATGCAGAGGACATGTACACCAGTGAGGGCACTGGCGCAAGAAAGGTCTCCAGTCCTCTTCTGGTGCGTTTATGCTCCTCATTGCTCCATATTTAGCTAATTCAGAGCACAAAAATGGGTTCCACCTCCAGTAGAAAGGCCAGTCGAGCCAAGCGGAAGGAGACTCTTAAAATTTTCCCTGAGTGGGCTCTAACAGCCAACTTCTCCCCCCAAACTATGCTTTGCGGCCACCAGCCACAGGTTCTGTCATAGTCCCAGGCACCAAACACACAGAGGCCGCCTGACAATGCTCTGCTGCACAGGAGATTTTCCTGGCAGCAGAATTTTGTCGCTGATGTCTGCTGTGCGGCCACCAGTCAGTGATGCTCTTATTGCGCTACACACCCAAAGGAATAGAGATTATATGAGATTCCCTTGCTGCACAGGAGTGGTGCCGTGAGAACGATGCAGAGTGCCTGGCAGTGCAGCCGCCTGGGCGCAACATGCGCATGAAGGAGCCATGCATCACCACCTGCCGGCACATGGCTGCAGCCCTGCTGCCTGTTCTGGCACCCAAACTGCTCGACACGCCTTACATTGTGAGCTGCAGTCTGACCTCATACCCCTGTGATACAATTACAACACCTCCCACCCTCCTCCCACGCCTGAAGGTCCATGCACAGTAAAATGTCACACTGAAGCAGCCCCTCAGCTGAAAGACTGTCATCCTGTTCTGCTGCAGAACCTAGGCTTAACACATAATCCCAAAAACCTCCTAATTTTCGAATGCACAGGTGATCGGTCACAGCGTGGGCACATGGAACGCCTTTGAGTTCCTCATGTTGGCGCAATCAGAGGGCGTTCCAATGCCGCGGCATGTCTTTCTGTCAGCCATGGCTGCGCCCAATATCCCCACGGAGCAGAGACCATGGAGACGACAGCACTCCCTCTCCGAGGCAGACTTCAAGGCATGCCACCCTGAACCTCACATGCACACTTGCAGGGCTTGCTTCGTTTGCATGCATCAATGGATGCACATAGAGTCAAATTGGGAGTTCTCTTGCTGCTTATGGTTCTGCAGCTTAATAGTGTGCCTGGGCATGTTTTAATGCACATGTCCGAATCCAATTCCAGTTCCAAGAAGAAATGGTGTCGTGCAGGAGGAGTGCAGGGCATGGGATGTAAATGAGGTGTTGTTCACACCTGCTCTGTGGCCGACCTATCACAGCCTCATGCGGGCAGACTTCACCCTTTTTGATGAGTACGAGTTCACACACACTGGTACAGCCCTTACCCGTGCCAATGTTGCTTTCACAGCATCCACCTGCAGGATTGTTATTGGACCTGACTTTTGATTCACTCATAGACGGTGGTCAGCGCCGAGTAATCAGCAGATTTTGCTTCAAGTGCAGGTGCTAGCCCTTTCGCATTTCCCATCACATCGTTCTTTGGAACAAGTGACCGTAGGATCAAGGAGGAGATGGTGGTGAGGTGGGCACGATTCACCACAGGAGGATTTGAGTGCCTTCCAATTGAGGGACACCATTTGTGGCCCCTAGTGAAAGAGAGCAAGGTTCTGTGGCTGGGTGCGATTGTTGAGCGACTGAAGAGGATGAAATGAGTATCACCAAAGCCCAACACATGGGGGCCAAATCTTGCTTTCAGTTGCAAAATGCAACAGCTGCAGGCATCGTTTCTTTGATAGATCAACTTGTTCAAAATCCCCCAATTGGGGGGCAGGGCATCCGCTTCATGCTGTAATGCAATTGCACAATAATGGTCTTGTGCCGGGTCTGGTTCAGGGTGTTCATTGCACGTTGCGCGTTCATGTGTTCTCATTGCATTTCACATCATGGACAATCTAAAAATACAGTAGGACATGTCCAAACGTTTTTGAAAAAGTACCGGCCTGCGATCACCAGTCTCCCACAGTGGCTGCTATGCTCTTGTCGCGCTTGTGGTACTCTGTGAAGAACAGTTGCCTGCCCTGCTCGGAGCCCACTGGCGCCCCTACCCACCGCTCATACAGCGCTGCAACTGTGGGGTTGTCCTGTGGAAGCCTGGGAACCACCTGTGCACACATCATGGTAGCATCAGCAACCCTTTCCCACGAGCGCCATTTTGCACATGTATTTCCAGAACTCAGCACCACAATAAAGCTCTAAAGATGCCAGTCAAGCCTCGTAAGATGCTGGCAAAGCCACAGTCATGCTGACAAAGCCACAGTCAAGCCAAGCACCTGTTGAAGACATGGCACCAGAAGCATGCACCACTGGCCGACACTGGCATGGCACACCAGGGCATGTGAGGACTTCTAGACATACATTCTGGAATCCCACAATGCCATATAAAATAGATTATTACTGCACAGAACATATGCTGGTCTTGAGAGGGGCTATGACGCATGCCTGGGGGTCATGATAGATGGCATCTAATTCGTCCAGCAGCTGCTGACTGGACTGTCCAGGCTGCGGCTTGATCTGGCCGCCCCCGTTCAGGCAGCCTGACGGGCAAGCCATGATCTCCACGTAATCGTACTCGGAAGCCCCCCTCTTGATCTTGCGCACCTGCACAGCCATAATAGCCGCCAGCTCACCCATCATGCATGCTACACTCCTCGCCATGCATTTGCATAATTAAGCGAGAACAACACTCAGAGCATTTTATCTGTTGCAGACAGAGTCACAACAAATGCAGCATGGTATGCATGCAGCCCTGCAAAACCGTCTGCAGCAGGAGTGATACAAATTCATTCTGTTGCCTGCTGGCACGTGTTCGTGTACCTACTAAGAGCATGGGCATCTGCCAAGCAATGAATCAAACCCTTTCACGGTGCGACTGGGTGAATTACGAGCGACTGGGTGAATAGTGGAGAGGTCTCACCAGCGTCTGGATGTTTCTGAAGCCGTAGGCGATCGCGAATCGCAGCGCGGGTCGGCCGCCCACGTCCAGGGACACCTCCTGGAAGTCCGCATTGCGCAGCGTCCGCAGCGGCAGCGGCCCGGCTTCCACCTCCTTCCCGAACAGCTGCGCGGCAGCTGCCCTGAAGATGTACTCCAGATAGCCGCCTGCGGGCACACGTAGCACACAAGTCTGAATATGCGGCCGAAAGAGAAGTCTACCATCTCCTGGCGCTGATGAGAGGCCAACTTCAGGGATTGCCCCCATTCACTCTGTGCAAGGATAAAAAGATCCCTTGCACAAGGAAGATGTAGACTTTCCCTGGAACTAGCGAAGCACCAAGCCCACCTCGGAGCTCCCACCAAATTTGGCTTGCACGGAGCCCAGGCTGCTTGAAGGGCACAGGAAGCAATAGAGATGCCCAAACAGGACGTATAAGACTGTACAGGTGGGCAAGGCCGGCACCTGAGCCTCCAGGCAGGCCATAGAGCTGCCCGTCCTCGGGAGCGCTGCCCACCAGGCTGTCCAGCCGGGCAGAGGGCAGCTCTCCCAGCGGCCGGCCATGCACCTCCAGCATCAGCTGCACCTCCCCGCTCGTCAGCACAGAGTCCACCTCAGCCACACTCGTGCCTGCATCACACAAGCATTGCTCCATAAAAAACTCCAAAATTAATCGCGCGCACACAGCGAGGCACACAGCGGCTGCGCCCCCAAAGAGGTTTGCATCACCATTAAGATAGTAGTGGGCGTGGCACCGCAATGCACATCCTTGCGAGCTCTGTAGAGCAAACAGTGCATGCTCTAGAAAACAGTCAACCCGCCCTTCCAATCAATGATGCTAGCAATTTGTGCTCCAATACTGACTCCAGAAGATGCATTCCCACGGGCTCGTGAACTGATCGCCCTGTGAGAGGCAAAGTGTAAGGGTGAGACAAGGGTGCTGACCTGGGACGTTGAAGTCTTCGCGCGAGGCCTCCAGCTTCTTGTCGTAGCAGGGCATGATGGCGCAGTGGTACACCTGCCCCGGCTGCAGGCCCCACTGCGCCGCCAGGTGCCGCTTCACCAGCGTACCCATCACCGCCTGACCACAACAGCCAACATCTTCACCTCATGCATGTATTGAAGCGCAAGGAACCTCTTTAGACTCGCCCACTCAAGACATGAGAGCCTCCCTCAGGTGAGCAACCCCTGAGGAGGAATCAGGAAGGCGGCACTCAGATGAGTGACCATCTCAAGTCATTCGTCTCCCATCTCGCAGAAAATGTCCTCAAGTTTGATAATGATCAAATTGGTGAGCACAAAGAGGGAAGTAATACTGGGTGTATTGGCTGGGAATTTGTAGAGTTGGGGGCTCGCCTGGGGGCTCTTGGTGGAGCTGATGTGAGGGAGCACATAGTCGCCATGCGTCTTCTCTGCATAGCACACCCACCCTGGGCAGGCAGATGCCAGCATGGGCAGGCTCTGTTGATGGACAGGCTGATGGGCCCTTCTGATCCCATTTGCACCTGCTCCCACTCCTCTGCTGTTGGTTCCATTGGCTGCATGTGCATTGGAGCCGCTGCTCTGCAGTGCGTCTCTGCCTGATGTGCCTGCCTGGCTGCTCCGGCTGACTCTGTCGTCCACATCCATCAAATCATCCTCGCTGGGTTCTGTATGCACAGCAACTTTCAGACAGCCACCTAAGGAGGCCGCATGCTTGGCTGCAGTAGTGATTACCTGCCACCTTTTCAAGCTGTGCGTCATGCTCGTCTGAAATCCAAATCATCATGATGATGCTATTGTTCACGATCTTAGAGGCAATCTGTGTCTTGCCAAATAAAACATTTCCACCAGCATAGGGCGATCCAGAGCGACTCAGACAACAGAAAGATGCCAATGTGGCCTGTCAATGTGACTCACAGCCACGGCGGGAGGCCCCACCCTCTAGGACCTCGATACAGCGCTTTCAGCTAAAGCACAGCTAGGCTGCCCAGACCGCAAATAAACTGACAGGCATACTCTCACCTGCAAGCTCTGGGTGGGCCTCCCTGTAGCGCTGCACAAACTCAGCAGCAGCCTCCAGCAGGGCAAAGTCTCTGCCAGTGCTGGTGTCCAGTACAGCACGCACTCCCAGCCCCTTGAAAAAGCCAGTTAGCTTCTGCAGCGTCTCCGCAGGTGACAGGCCATAGAAAGCGGCAAGCGCGGTCCGTGATTGAGGGGAGACTGAGACCACCACAGTCACCCCTGGATCTGCCAGCTTGGACATGAATTCCGCCGCTGACTGGTGCTCCAGCAGCACGGTCTCTGCCGAGGTGACACAGCCGGAGCACGCCAAGCAGTCCTGCAAGGACATGATATTTATTAACTTGCTGGCCTTCTTTGGCATCCAAGTCGACAAGGTGGCAGACTGGCAATGCTGGTGCTGGTGCTGGTGGTGTTGAGAGCAGCATGAGTTGATCAGAGGGAAAGAGGCTGCGGGAGCGTTTTGCACGAACAGCACACCTGTAGTGTGACCTTGATGGCGCCATTGGGGCCTGTAGGTGCAGTTTGTTGGAAGCCTGGAGGGGCACGCTGCTGTGGCTGCACATCACCCACCTGGGCAAGGTTGAGAGACGTTGAAAGGAGAATTGCGATTAGCAACGAGGTATAGAATAGTTTATAGGATTTAGCGCAATACATAACGTGGGGAAACGGCGACGATCAGTATGATAGTCCTTGCAGTGAGACACCACTTCAGATGCCGGGCAGAAGCGAACGCACCTCAGGAGGCTTATCAAGAGCATCGAAATCTAGCTTAATATTCCCTTCTTTCTTACCATGAATGTTGACTACACAGGCTTGCGAAGGCGCAATGAAATCGTTCAGGTCTGCAAGTTTTACAGCACCAGAAAATTGGGCCATTTCTGCAACAGCGATGCAGCAACGCAAGCCTCCCAATCTATTAAATGCATTCAATAATCATGTCTCCAACAAGTTTCTTGCAAGCTGTTCGACTTTCGCATTTCGGAGACAACCATGCCGATGACGTGATCGTTCAGCTTCCGCCAGCTTCCCCGTCCTCTCTTCTTGAATTCCTCAAGTTCGACAGATTTCCCGGACCTTCTCGAAGATCCACCTCACTTTTCAAGCAATGGCAGGTCTACAATCGATATTTCATCACGCTCCGAGCTTGATTCAAGTACTGGCTCCTCCTGCCACTCGTTGTTCTCCGCTTGCGTCTGGAGAATACCCACCTGCTCAGCAGGCTCTCGGAAGATTTTTGAAAATATTGCAGACTTTGATTTTTTTAACGTGAAATACTCCACATTAAGATTTTATCGTCAAAGGACATCAAGAATGAGCAGGTCATCACCTGGTCAGCCCACTCGCCACCAGCAGCAAGAATGATGTTGATGGTGCCCCTTGCTGCATGCTCAACAGCGGGGTTTGGATCTTGCAACAGGTCCAAAATGTAGTAAAGTGCCTGTCATGAAGAACAAACCAATCGGATGCAATCTATTTCTGGTGAATACTCACTGTGCTGAGCCCCCAACTGGCTTGCAAGGCTGTCAGAGGTTGCCAAAGGAAGCATATCAATTGCAATGGAGCTAGGCAGTGGACACGCCTCAGAGGTGCCCAGCGTTGCATCGTGCGTGGACTGATATCCGAGCAAAATGTGCAGCGAGACAATGATCTGCAGCACGAATTCATCATCATCCTTCCTGTCTGCCAGCAGAGATATGAGCAGCTGTCCCTGCCGAGGCACACAGGCTCCTTACAGCCAGAGCAGGGCATGTTGTGCATGTTAACCCACCAAGAAGAGCATTTCAAGGACTATCTTTAGCAAATACTCTGAAGTAGCATGCCGGGAGCATGATGTTGAGGGTACCAGGCCGGCATCTGCTATGCTTTGGGCGCTGCCTTCGTTGCACACGGTGGCAGTGAGAATAACGGCCTGGAGGATGATGTCATCGGGTGCTGAGCCCACCACCATCTGCCGCGCCAGCCAGGCAGGCAGGGCTGAGTCAGTCATGACTGCCTGCCACTCCTGGTGTGGAAGGCTCAATGTGGCCAGGGTTCCCATGGCCTCCACTAAGAGTTCTACCTCAGTTGTAGGGTCCTCCATTGAATACCACACTTTTGTTTTGTTAAATGGATTTTTCGGAATTCTTGGTCCAAAGAATCGCTGTATAGCATGCATGTAAATGGCTGCGTGCCAGAAAGGGCATCTCACCAGGAGCAACTTTATGATGTCTTCTATGTGGGGCACAAAGAAAGCCTGCACTACAAGGCCGCCGTGCTGGCTCAAGTTCCTCACAACCTTGAAGGCCAGCGCATCTCTCCTCTGCAAGGCTTTTGACATCAACTTGGACATCCTCTCACTGCTGCAGCCTAGCTCCTGCATTGTGACACAATGTGCTTCTTCCTATCAGATGCTTCAGAAGCTGAATCTGAATTCAGGTCATTCGAACGACCGAGCACGGCGCAAGTCATTGCATATTTAACTGAAAAGCCAAGTGCATGTCTGGAAATAAGAATTTCCAGGGCAGATCTACCCACCTCAGCAATGCGCCTGTCATGTGTGATGTTGACAGCCAGGGCAAGGAGCTCGGGGGCAGTCCTGAGATCCTCGGTGTGTACAAAGTGTTCGTATATGAGAGGCAGCTGAGCCATGAACAGCGGCTTGTGCGCATCCTCCATGGACAGATGGTACAGCACTGCCCATCCCCCTGGATGCTTCTGCAGTGCTTTTGCAACCTGCTAAACACAAGCTTGCATTCATCTCAGCTCGTGTCAGATCATGTGTGCCGGTGGAGTGACCTATACAGGTGTCAGCTACATGCAATGCCTGGCGACACCTGCTGCAAATAATGCAGGGCCGCCAGTCACTAATTTCCAGGGAATTCAACTGGCATGTAAGACTACAATGTATACCAGATATATCTGATGGGATGACTACCTTGGATATGGCCCCGGCAGTCACCATGGCAGCACGCCCTTTTTCATGGAAGGACAGATTGTGCAGCAGCCTCAGCGCCAGCTCAGCAGTCTGATGTCCACCATCAGCGACCATGTGCACCAGCCGCGGCATCACGCCAGCAACCATGATGTCAGCGGGCGCCTGATCAAGCACCGACAGCCGCAGCAGGAGAGTCACCGCCAGCTGCTCCACGTTCGAGTTCGAATTCGGGAGCAGCCGCGCCAGAACAGGCACCACCCCTCGCGCGAGCATCCTCGGCGCCACATCAGCGCCCTCCGCCAAGTTAGTCAGCGTTGCCAGTGTGAGCCAGATCAGGGTCTCCTGTCTCTCATCAAACTCCTGGTGAGCGGCTGGGGAGTATGCCGCCTCTCTGCTGCTGAGGGGTGGTGTGATCATGCTGGAGCGCTGGTCTGCAGCTGTGCGAGTGGGAGGCCGGGAGCTTGTCGCAGGCCTCCAGGCAGCTGCACTCCCTGGTCTGGAGGAGAAATTCTGCATGCAACATGTGGGTGACTGCCAATGTGCTACAAGCAGTAAAATGAGCCCGAGAGGCATCGGGCTGCTGTTCCTCACATCAGGTCTGTTTTGATTTGCATTGGAAGCTGCCACCTTAGATATTTGAGCATTGCATCCCTGAGAATTTTGTTTGCACTGAGGCACACTTGAGGATGCCTTGAATCGCACTCTTTCATGCCAACAGTCATAGTGTCTGGTGACTGTGCTGCCGGGTCCACTCACCTCCCTGTGGTCCACCCTGCGAAGTCCAAGATCCAGCATGTCCATAGCAAGTGCGCCGATTCTGAGCTCCAGCAGCTTTCCATGGAGCTGTGAGAATTGGCTGAGTGCGAAGAAGGCACTCAGCCCATGTATGCTGAGGTCTTGGCTCCAGCGGCCATCCTCTCGCAGGCTGCGCGCCAGGACGGACAGCAAGGAGGTGTGATCTAGCAGTGCAGCTATGTTCTGCACTCGCCTGAACAGGATCCCAATGTGGGCGGTGGCCGCTGTTTTCACAGTCAGGTCGTCACTGTACAGATCCTCCTGCGCGCACCATGGCGTTCAGGGGCCCGAATGTATACCTAATTTGATCCTGGAGGTCAGGATGTATCACACCGCATGGAGGGCGAGGCAGCCTCACGATGTGCCGATTAAGGGCGTCCATCCACAGCGGTGATTTGAGGCAGCTGGCTCTTTATGCACAACCAAGCGTTGTGTTGAGCAAGAAACGAATTAGTGTCCAAAAGACATCAAACTTGTAGCGGTCGACCAACAGCATGGACTGTGCGTGGGGCCAGTGGGACATTTGGGCGAATGTGCCACCTTGTGAGCTTCTTGACCACGACTTTTGTGTTTTTCGAACGAAAAGATTATAATATGATAATAGAAGTGTGTGGTGCACAGTTTAAATTTTCTGCCACGATCTATGAAAGGAATGTAGATTGCTGCGTTTCGACAGTTGCACATGCAATTGTTGTCTGCCATCACAGTCAGCATTTGCAAAGCTTTTTGTTCCTCATTGTCTTACAATTTTGGGGCACTTGAAGAGGCTTTTGCTACGATCGTTACTCCCGAGGACTGATACTTTGGATCTTGTTGGGCACATTCACCGAACACGCTTATATAAAACTGTCCATTTGAAGACCTATCCCAGCGACTATCTGGAATAGCACAGTTGAGGAGCAGAGACATGCAATCTAAAAGGTGCGATTTTCAAAGGAACTGATGGACGACCACTGTCTTTATTCTACGACGGGGCCTGGACATGTCTGATGATGCATCTGCAAACCCCCTTACTGAGGAACAAAGCTCAGAGCAGGAGCTGTCTTTTCATTTAACTCTGAGAGCAAAAATACATTTTATATTTGCTACAGGCGCAAGAAGACTTGCACAGAACATCCCGTGTGCACAGCGTCCTCTTAGCCTTCACCACTTTGAGAACGAATACCAGCCTAGCGAGAGTATATGGGAGCTTACTGCAGTCGTGCAGCTGATGCTGTTTGTGGACACTGTGGCTTCTCATGTCAATGCACTACCTGCAGTGGAACTGGGGGAGAGGCATCAGCCAGCTGTGATTGCTCCTGCAGATGGCTTGTGGTACGACACTTCACCGTCTTGTCTACCCAACCCTTGTCAGTTACAGCAGAAAGTTGCCATCATCTGATGTTGTATCTATCAATGTAGAATATCAATGACATGACGTTTGGCCCATACCATACGCAGGTTGGGGGCTTTGCGTTGATTGCTCTATCAGCATGGGTGGCATTCATGGCTTACAAGGAACGGAGGAGATGGCTACTGACGTGGTCCAGTGTCTACTTTGCCACCTCTGTCTTCATGACCCTCCTCACATATGTCAAGGGCCCAGATCCTCATGACATGTTTGGCTGCAGGTAAAGGTTCCTTGCTCGCAATTCCCTCCCAAAGCCACTCATGCAACCTTTTTTTAAAGTTGGTCAGGGCCTTTTTCACCTCACAACAAGCTTTGCAGCTGCCAATTCGCTCTGTGGTGCATGTGGATGTTCCCATACTGGCTATGTAGATGCATGGGCTGACTCGGGGTGGAACATTTTGATGCTGCAGCGTACCTTTCTCACTCTGGGTTGGGAGTCTTTTTGTGGCCACGCTCAGTTACTACACCAGTGACTACATGCGGCAGGGGCAGGATGCCCCTGAGAAGCGCAATGAGCGCTATGTCTATGATCCCACTGCTGGTAAGCAAAGTCTCTACCCCAGTTTCTGCTGCAGCTTGCACAAACTATGGAGCAGAGGGACTCTCTCATTTTGCTGCGAGAAGGGTAGGTCTAGCTGACATTACAGGAGTTCAGTACCCGGACAAATCTGCTCACATTATGCTTGCTGTGTGTGAACAGGAGAGTATATCCTGGCAACCCAGCTAAGCGAGTATCATGTCGTGTGAGAAAGTCATGGTTGCACATCGAGATTGGAGCGCTTTTTCATTGGACTACATCACTAAGTTTTGCAGCAAAGGGTGCCGTAGAGCATCATGGCGCAGGAAGTGAGCGAGCAGAGACACCTGCCAGACTGATCTGGGGTGCACTGGAACGTTTATATTATATATATATCAGTGTGGTACCAATGGGAAAACCAGAGGGCCGATTGCAATTCATTCTGGAGTGCCATAAATCATTTTATTTCGACTTTTCAGCCTCGATTGTGAAAGGCAGGATGTATAATATGATTGAAGAGCTTGTAATGTGCATATGGCTTCACATAGGAGTGCGTCACAGTGCAGTCATAAGCCATCCACATGAGGTGTCTGCCTGAATTTCATACTAAGGTCAGGTGCCAGCTTTGTACTGAGAGCAGCAAGCATGGAACACAACGTCATGATCATTGGCTTGCCACATTGCCAGCCCCAGCTGAAGCATCATTGTCTTTCTTTTTCTTCTTCTTCTTTTTCTTCTCCTTCTGCTGCTTCCCATCGGGCGACTCCTGCAAAGCACACAACCTCTCACGATGAGCATGCGAGCTCCAGCAGTCAAAGCACTTCCAACATATAAAAAATGTTGACAGAAACGTTGGCTGCAAGGGCCATGCGGGCATGCACTCCTGCCCAGCATTCACGTACTGACCAACACGGTGAACAATCGCCTCAGGGAATGGTGGCAGCGCGCACCTGCTTTACCACAATGTCCTCCATGCGCAGCTCCTTTGTGCCTGGTTGCTGCACATCCTGCTGCGCTGCTTTTGCCTTCTTTCTTTTTGGTGTGTCCCCACTGCCATTGCTGGAGGGCCCAACGCCTGGCTGCTGTGCACTGGGCAAACCCTCTTCTTCCTCCCCTGCCAAAGCCCCTGAGCGCACAAGGGTCACGCGCCGATGTATCTGTGCTGGCACGCCATCCTGTGACAGGCACGCAGTCAGCTTTCAGCAGCAGAGAGTCTCGCTTCTAGCATAGCAGAGAGCAGCAGTGAAGGCGGTTTCAGTCACTGCCATCAGGGTCAAATCAATGTGTGGTTGGTACTGGTGCTTAAGATCCAGTGAAGCTACCTTCAGCGTGGCGGATGCCACATAAAGGGGAGCTGCTAGGCTGGCATGCTCCTGAACAAGGGAGTATCCGTCCCCTGCAGAATGCAGGAAGACAATCATTGACAGAGATGTTGAGAGTAAGAAACGAACGTGCTGCAAAGAAAGAAGGCGGCATCCCAGACAGACTTTCAGCAGCCTCCGCTGTGCATGAGAGAACATTGTCAACACAGTGTTGACAGCACCTCTGTCACTGGTGCACTCGCCCAACACGCTGTCTCCTTTTCTCCTCTTCACCGTGATCTTGGCCGGCGCCTTGAATTGCCACTGCAACAGGGGCAGCTACAATTTGATATGTTCTCAGCACCAACTAAAGGCTATAAATGCCAGTTGGAGACACGTGCAGTGCAATATCCACTGGCAGGAACTAGACAAAGGCACCTGTAGCCATCTGTTTAAGCAACAGGGAAGACGTGGACCACTTACATCTAGAGGGAGCTGGAGCAACCACAATTCGTGATTGCTTGAATCCAGCCCATTGCAGGGAAGGCTGGGGGACTCTTGGCTGAGGACAAAGCCGGCGCCTGGCTCATACCTGACCACAGCAAAAGGATTGTCCTTTGACCTTTCCATCATTCTGAGCGATTTCTGCGGGCTCAATGGGACAAACTGTCCAGCAGGATAGATCAGGCAACTCACGGTAGCTTGTCTTCGAGGAAGATCGACCGTGCTTCTCCAGGAAGAACTTCGACTGCTTCTTCCCTCACGCTATCATTGGCACCAACATTTGCAGGCTGAGCCACTAACGCTTTGTCATCCTCATCTGCTGTGTAAATTTTTTTCAACGTGTGCTTCTTTTTCTTCTTCTTTTCTATGCCATTCGCGTTTGGTGCCTTGTGCGTTTTCTCGCTGACCTTCGGCATTGTAAATATCCTACTGGACCTAATGGAACATGAATCAGTCTACTTTGCTGATGATCTTGCTAGATGCACGGTCTTAAAGGCCTTCCCACGATTAGGATGGAGCACTGCAGCCAAGTTGGCGCAGCTTCCTCCGGCTAGGAAGCTATGTTCACGAATTGCGCGTGCATGAAGCTTACATTCATACGGATTCGGCTGTGACGACTAAAGCTCGATCAATGGTAGTGAAACTTCCCCTCGGGTTTATACAAAGCTGTACCAACAGCTCGATTTATTTGACATATCCATGGCCACTGGCATATATGATCACATTTCATAAAAGTGGCAACCCAGCCCTGAGGAGTGGCCCCATGGGGTTAACAACAACGTTAGGATGTCTGTCTGTCACACCTCCTGAAAAAACTCTCGGTCGGCATGCCCGTCTACTTCAACTTGTGCCAAAGCACGTCAGCACACCTCAACAAATAGCACACTCACATTCCATCTGACGAAGCCCTGGGAATACGCTAACAACCAAAATCAGAGGTCTTCCAAAGCCAGTAATTGGACACCAGCATGCTCAGTCAATTGTTCTGTTCACAGAATTAGCAACACTTTATTTGCATGCACGCCCAAGCACAGTATAGCATTGCGGACCTTGCCACCACTGCAGTGCATCTCAGAGCGCTCATCCAACTGACAACTGCCTTGTCAGCAAGGGACTTGTTCCCGCAACAAGAGCGGCTCTTGCAAAACCCCAGAAAGTACGGCCGTTGACTCATCAACACCGGAGTCAGATCTCCAGGAATAAATGAGTCCCCTCATTCAGAATCAACCAGCATGGCATCCTTGAGGACACGTACTAGCTGGCTCTTGCGCATCTTCGAGTACCCTGTGATTTTCCTCTCCTTGCACATCTCCTTCAGGTCAGCCACCTGCATAGAGCACTCGCCCGTCACCAGAGGAGAGCACACCACAATTCATATTCTCTGGTGGGCATGAACAGGGAAATGAACGTTCCAACTGAAAGGTGGCAAGATGAGAATAGCATGTTCTTTGAGAGTGACAGCTGCCAACGTGGGGGTGGACTTGCACACCCGCAACGAAGTCAACGTTTTGGCAATCTCATCCTGAAGATCAGGTGCGTCTTCGTCACTCAGCAGCTCATCCGGATCTTCTGGGTCCTCGCTGAAGTCCGGTATCAAAGCGCCATTCGAGAGCGTCGCTGACTCATCCCCTGAATCGCAGAGATTTTGCATTGACGACAACATGATGCGAATGAATCAGTTGCCATGGAAATTGTTGGTGAAGGCTACATCACATTGTGCATACCATGTGTGCTACCTGCTCAAGTGCTGGCAAGAGATGCATGCGTGGCGTCCTTTCAAGCCAACATTTAAGGAATCTGCCAGCAACCCGGGTGACACTGGAAAGAGGAGCAAGCTGAGTCAAACCTGCTGCAGCAGCTCCTTCATGGACTTTCTCAATGCGCGCCTCCTCATATGCTGCCTCTGGCTCAGGAGCGGGGGCCTGTGCGGCCTCTGCTGATTTGTTGGCTGCTACCGCCGCCTCATCTCCAAAGACGAAGAGAATGGCTCCGTCGCTGGTCTCTGCAAACACCACAAGGCAGCCTCAAAATAGCCAAGGAAACCTTCCCTTCGAATCCCGCACAAGCTCACACTTGAAAAAATCTTAACTCCCCCGGCCACAACGTAAATGTATCACATACTTCGCGCAACATGCAATATCGATTGCCAGGTGCATTGTAAGTGCAGGTCATGCATACCACTCAGAGGTATTGATGGAGCCATTGATTAAAGCACACGTTTTCACATAAACTTGCTACAACACTCTTCTCACAGTATCTGACTAATAATTATGTCTCCAGGCCATGCAAAAAATCCAGATTAATTGATTTTCTGAGTGGTCCCGCTTCTGAGACTCCTGCGCACATGCAGATCCTTACCTTCTCTTTTCACGAGCTGCAAGTCTGCGTCAGCATTCTGTTTTGCTCTGCAGATAACTGCATTAGGTCCCAATAGTCGTCTGAAGGGCTTGAAAGCTGCTTGCTGTTTCTCTCCGTTCCTGTGCGAAACGAATGCTGGAAGATGCGTATTGGCCAAATTGCCCTGCATGCTGCGCGGATGCGAGTTGTAATTGTTAAAACTGGTCCACCATGTTCAGATGTTCAAAATTAAGTTACTGATACGTCCTTCAAAGGCTTGATCAAATCCAAAGAGTTCAAGATGGCTTCTGGATTTGCTCCGGCCGCCAAATTTGGCATGCATGCGAGAGGCCCGCCTCTTGCCCGCCTTTTGCCCGCCGCTTGCGGAGTCCAAGGCTTGGACAAAGCTGGAATGCTTGTAACCTGCTCACTCTGCGGCAGTCTCGACGCCTGGATTTTAATGCTGCTTTCAAAGTTTTCGTTGAGTCTATTCGCATGGGAGGCCAGTCTGATATTTATTTTGTGAAATTGACATCATGGCCATTGAAGGCCACTTGGAGGCGTGGGAAGAAGAACGGTGGTGGATGTTGTTTGGAAAATAGCCAGAGTTTCAGTAGTAAGGCCATAGGCTGATAACTGCCAGGCTTCTTAGCGTCGATCGTTATCCCGACGCACTATGGCATCTCCAGAGGAGCTGCCTCGTGTCCTAGAAGTCCAAAGATTTGCTGCTGCTCGCGAAGATGAGGTACAAATAGAAATTTGTCTTTCGATACACCTTTCATTGTTCTGGCTTTACCTGTGGTGTGACCTGTGAATTTTTTTGTGATCTGCTGCAGATCATGGCCATATCAGCTGCCTTGAAATCCCCCGACAGCAAACACAAATGGGGACATGGCGCCCTGCCTCGTCATCTGCGCCGGCAAGTGTCTGCCAACCCTGCTGCTGTTTAATGGATTTTCTTGAATTCCAGCTCCTCCAATACTGCTCACGACGCAGCAATCGCCTTGCCTTAGTCCTGACTTGCTGTTTACTTGCAGACGAGCCACAAGTCACAACAGCTACGTCCATCGCCGACGTCCAAACATACAGCTGAGTGCAAAGCGCCAGAAGGCTGCTGTCAGCACCAGCGCAGAAGCAGAAAGCCCAACATCAGACCGTGCGGTAAGTTACCCTTCACAAACAGCCTTCCATCCAGAATGTTTCAAGTGACCCTCTGTCTGCTAAGTGCTTGCAAGCACGGGCGGCCATCGAACCCCCTCGTTTGCCTTGCTCCACATGGGTGGCCATCGAACCCCAGGCCACGCAAAGGGAGGAGTGGGTTGTTCTGTTTGACCTTCTTCTTGATCCAACAAATTCTCTGAGGATGATCACGTCTAGCTTCCCCTTTTGGACAGCTGAAGGGGTCTAAAATACTACCGTGGTAATGCCTACGAACAGCGACAAGGAGAGGCTGACCTTTGGTATGCATGCATATAGGATCCAGTTGTAGGGGCGCCGGGGTATGAGAACAGGGCCATGCGCAGGCGCAAGGGGCGGCTTCAGCAGAACATTTTGGAGGCGGCTAGCAAGTTTGTTCCCGGCCCGGTGCCCTGCGCGGCGCGCCGCCTAGAGACGCATGTGTGGCACGCCAAACGTATGAAGATGGTCACCAGGTGAGTTGTCAGCAAGCCCCCAAAGTGGAACTTCTAAGGAACTTTCAAGCATTTAAAGTCGCTCCTTGATTGCTGTGAGTTTCTGCCATTCTTGGCCTCCTTGTGAGCCTCCAAGAAAGGATCTGCTCCATGGTGAAAACTATGAGTCGTGCATGAGATAGAGCTGCATGGCGGTGGCTGCAGGTGGGGGCATGTGCTGGCAGAGGGGGCCTGTGGCAAGGGGCGTGGGAGCAGGGCGTTCTTGGCTGCCCTGAAGTCAGGCGTGGTCATCCATGACGCATCCTACAGGATTGCCTTCCAGTTGACGGGGCCGCATGCAGACCTCATCGCAATCATGTTTTCAGTCAGGTGAGAAGCATCACTCATTATCATCTGTTTCTACACAGGGTTGCAGGGATTTCCTCTCGACTTTGATGCACAGTGAGCATAATTTACGGCGCTTTCGAAAGAAAGAATGTTCAAACAAAGTTATCTGTTCATGCCAGCAGTGATCAGGCGGCCCTCTTTAGCCAGCGGCCACAATTGGCGCGGGGTGTCTTGGAGCATGACATAATGCTGCACTCGCCTGGCAGCTGCCCCAGCGGCGCGCTCACCCCGGCAAAAATTTTGTTTTGGAGCGCATCTCCTGCAGCTGCCGCGCAGCTTCCCGCTGAGGCAGATGCCTCGGCACCCCGCTTGTCAGAGGCTGTCATCTGGGTGCACCCTGCTGCCAGCTCAGACGCCCATGCAGCGCTCCTGAGTGCCTGCCAGGGGACTTCAACAAGCCTCTCTTGCAGGTGACCACTCAATTTTGTCTACTCTGACTGCATGCTGGACCATGCCATTTGTTCCTTATGATCCTCGAGACATGCTTGCCTGTACTGCTGAATGCAGAGGCATGCAGCTTGATGATTGGGACAAGCTCAAGATATTGTAGATGTGTTCTTGTACAGGGCTGATTTGAGGCGGCTAGAGCTAAGAGGCGCAAAGAGTGACAGGGCAGTGTCCGCTGCACTGACCCTATTGGGCAAGGAACATGCTCAGTTGCCAGGATCAGGCAATCTGCAGCCAACCAGCAGAAGCATCTGGCAGCTCATGCAAGCAACCAGTGAGTGTCTTCCCTGAACCCTGTGGCGTCCCTCTTAAACATGCATGTCCTCCAAATGTGAGAAGAAATTCTTGCTGTTGCCCATGCGCTTACATCATGCTACCTTACGCAGACGGGGCCATAGGATCACAGCTGCCTCACAACATGGTTCTGCCCCTGCACCTGAAAGACCCTCGGCTGGCCAAACCCATCAAGGCTGCAGAGGCTCTTGCAACCCTGGAGGAAGCGTCCAGCCAGGCCAGTCTAAAAGTCCTACCACAGCCACCAAGCTACAGTGCGCCTCATCTCTTGTGCTGTGCTGTGCGCACCTGCATTGCATGTGTATGCACCGTCGGCTACTAGTGCCTCGTGGGTTTTTGGGCTGTGTCTTTGCTTGGCGACCCAAACACTGCACCATGCGTTCGGCACGATGGATACTGGGTCTACCCGTCTACAAATCTGGATCCTTTTTTTGACAGGGGCGGAGATTAGGGATGCAAATAAGCTGGTAAAAACGATGATGACTGCGGCTGAGTCAGCCGCTTCCGCGCCAGTGTGGGAAGCAGGCAGCGTGTCCCTGCCAATGCCAGAACAGGCTGTCTGCAAAATCAGGCACAATGCCAAGCTGGCCGCGCTGCACCTGCCTACAGACAACCTGCAGCCGCTTGCACCTGCACTTGCACAGGTCAGCATCCCATTCTTAGACCTAATGTTTTGTGACAGTTCTTGCCACGCCCTGAAGAAGCACGAAGCGGACATGTCGTCTCCAGTAGCCTCGTGGAAAACTTGGCGCACGATTGCAATGCTGTGCTTCAAGCAATTCCCTAGTATGTGTCTTGAGGAGCCAACCAGCTCCTTTGCAGATGCTTTGCAGATGCCATTTGTGAGTGGGCGTATTAATAACGCAACACTTGACGTTGCTAATCTCTAGCAGCGCTGTTATTGATACGGACTTCATTGCTGGCTCAGCAGGAGAGGGCTCCAGAGGGCTGCCCAGCGCTGGCGGTGCGGCGGGCCGCGGCCGACGGCAAGGCAGCGCCCGGCTGGTCGCTGATTCTGCCAGCTGGCTGGGCCAGCCTGTTCTGGCAGGCGCTGGTCTACAACCGCGCCCGGCCCGCGGGACAGCGCGAGTGGCGCTGGGCCGCTGCGCACCAGGTGACTAACCCATACTGCTCTGTCAGCATTTTGGATGCCCTTTTGTGTGCGCCATCGCATGGTGCAACCATCACGGATGAATGCAGCATGCGTTTGTGCTCTCTGCGGTCCTGCAGAGGTCGAGCTTCAAGCTCTGGAAGTCTCTGAGATATTGAGTTGAGAGGTCGGCTGCGACTCTCTTCGATTGCCATGCAATGCAGGGTCGAAGATGTCTGGAAGATTCACAGCTGAGATCTGGGCTGACTGCGAATAATCACATGTTGTGTGTCCAGGGGGTGGGCTTCTTTCCGCACGACTTTCCAGATACGCCGGCGTACGCACGTCTGGCTGCAGAGCTGCATGCGGAGCAAGAACGCCTCCGGCAGCTGCGCCCAAAGGGCCGTTTTCCCCCAGGGACCCCCCACCCGCCCGACTGGGCAGCCGTGGGCAGCTCTGGCTTGCCCAAAACGCCCACCCCTTCTGCAGGCCCTCCAAAGCCTGAGGAGCAAGCTGCTGCTGCAGATGTGCAGCCGATGGATCAGGACGGGCAGGAAAGACCCAGCGAGGAACAGGCTCCAGCGCTGATGGATGCTATCACTGTGGAGCCAACTGGGGCCCAGAGTTTGGCTGAGGACACGATCATTGCAGCAGATGAGATCCCAGCAGGGGAAATCGACACAGGCAGCCCAACAGCCATGGACATAGAGCCCTCTGATCAAGATGAGGCAGGTCTGGAGGCCGCCTGCGCAGCCGACAACGGTGTTGTAGCAGCCAGGAGTGCAGCAGATGAGGCCCCGCAAGCACTCCCTGCTGTAGAGTGTGCAGCACTGGATGCTGTGCCAGCACCTCGATTCTATGTGGCTCGGACTTTGGCACAGCTCGATGCAGCCATGACACCTAAGGCCAGCCCCGCAAGAGGACCCAGCGACCCAGTAGAGAGCGCTGAGGTATCTGAAGGCAGCAGTGCCCCTGCAGAAGCTCCAGCTGGCAGCAGAAGAGGGCGCCAGATTTGGCGGTCTGTGGCTGAGACGGATACACTCTCCTTCGTGCGCGTCAGCGTTCAGGTCATCGGCTTAGGTGTGGCCGAGGAGGGGGCGGCCCTATGCGCGCTGGCACCGTCGGAGGCGGCCGACCTCCGCAGGGCTATGATGCGCAGGAAGGCCCCAAAGAGGGTCGAGATTGGGCAGGGGCAGCTGGCGGCAGCTGCCCAGAGTGGGCAGCAGGAGAACGTGCGGGAAGTGGTGTCCCGCTGGGGTGAACAGAAAGCGGAGGGCCGACAGATCATCGGCTATATCACCAGCGCCGCTCCCCGAGGACTGGTGAGCTGTTGTCCAGTATGATGAATACTTCTTTCTACTGCAATGCTGCCCCCTGTACATATCAAATTCAGTGTCCTGCTCAAAAGTCTGTCATTGCCGCATGTGATGATCAAAATTCTATGTACGGACGGTCCATGACAGCAGAGCCAATGTGTCATATGATGCGCTTCGCTGACTGCCATCAGGTGCCGTGGCGGGGAGCGGCGGCCATCTGCAGAGCATGCGACATTCTGCGCCTGCGTGCCGAGCAGAAGGGCGCGGGCGGCGGCGGGGGAATCTTAATGGAGCTTAGATGCCCTGCCTCAACTGCCATGCGGGCAGCGGAGGCCAGAGTGGTGCTAGATGGCGGAGCAGATGTGGGACAGGTATAGCTGTCATGACAGGCTGCAGTAGGATTTGCTGGAGCGCAGCATTATCCAGACTAGCGGAGCCATGCTACCACAAAGTGCCCCTGCGACACATGCGCGACAGGTGCTTTGCAAACATATAGAAGCGTGACTTGAATGTGCACATGGAACCGAGCCTGGCTGAGCAAACTCCGAAGAACATATGAACCACCGTAGTCGGGAAAATTGAGTAGACTACTATTAGGCTGATCATCATTGTGCTCATCAGGATCACCGTGATGGCGATTGAACCTGTTGGAATGCAAATGCTAATCAGTAATTGAGTGTGATCTCATGTGACCGTGACGGCGTGCACACTGCAGACGTCTCACAGAGGCCACGGTATCGGTGGCCATTGGTGGCATCATGCACATGCCCATCATCATGATGGTATGATACCATAAGCCATTATATCAGTATGATGTACACAGCATGTAATCAGTAGTTAGACACAGCATATACATATATCATACGATGCATGCACATGCCACGCAGTGCCAACCTCGAGCTCGCTGTTGATATTTTGTTTGCGGCAATGTCATGAGTGGCAGTGCATTGCACTGTGATGAACTCCCTCACTATTCAAAATTCACACCTCCCTGCAAAGCATTTCCATTCCTTTGGCACGGTGTCGCCAGGTTTGGTCAAAGAATTGTCACCCTTAAAATAGATACGCCTCTGGAGATCTGCCAGGCGCATCGTCAGCCAATCAGAGCAAAACTAGTGCAGGACAGCGGTCTGGAAGTATCAAGCGGTTCCTGGCATCCTGCATAGCTCTTCGCATCGCAAAACTTTGCCAGAGTCATTACTAGTAGGCATTGACATCGTAACCTGCAGTTGCTTGATCCTCTCGGGCCAGATATACTCGGAGGCTCGAAGTTGCAATAACAGAGAGTCTCAAGTGCTGGGCTCGAATCACAAAAGGAGGACCAGTATCACTATATCTGCCTCTCATAATATTATTACGCCTGTATAGAGAGCTGAGCGATTTGATGGCCCATATCTCTCACACACCTCAGCTGTCAGCTTCGGCACAGGGAACACGCAGGGTACTCCACATGCGTGCGCCTGGAGCATGCAATGCTCGCCACCTTGGATCGTCTCACAGTCATTTGATCAAAACCAATGGACGATCAGCGTTCCTCCAAGGTATGCAGCCCAGGCACAACTTGGCCATCCTGGTGTTTTGGTGCCTATTTACAGGTGTTGGAAAGCAATTCTAGTAAGAACAGACCTCAATATGCTTACAAAGTAGCAGGTGCAGGTTTTAGATGGACGTGATAGAGACTGGCTGGAATCTGCTTACCTAGCAATTTTGTTTTCTTCTAGGCACACAATTGGCCAGGCTACCTGCTCGGCCGAGGAATGCAGCATGTGGAGCTGCTGGCGTGCAGATGAACTTGTTCAGCAGGTTGTTTCGCGTCGCACGCTCCTACGCAAACGCTCTGGGTGAGTAAATCACTGCCACACCTGCAGCATTGAAAATTTTCAACTCTATTGTGTAGCATACTCAGGAGCTATCCCAGCAGCATCTGTGAGAAGTAATGCAAGTAAACATAACGCAATGCTTTGCCTGCAGTGAGCTCCGTGGAAGACCCAGAGAAAATGCTCGAGCAGACGGTGAATGAGATGCAGAGCGATCTCATCAAAATGCGGCAAGCCTCTGCCCAGGTATGGGGCGCAATTGCTCAACTTTGCCGTGATACAATACTGGTTGGGTGTAGTTCACTGCAGCAGGACGGTTGCCGTTTGTCACAATAATCTTATTCAGGATTTGCTGTGTGTGGCTGCAGGTGATGGCGTCACAGAAGCAGATAGAGGTGAAGTACAAGCAGGCACAGCAAGCTGCGGTGAGTCATCCGTGCATCCACACATCACAATGCTCCCCCTCAGGCACCTGAGCTCATTATATTTGCGCAGGACAAGCTGCTGTGCTTCTTTCTGGACCTCTGTGCTGTGTGTATTGTCTTGGATCACTCATCACCTCGTCCTGTCCCAAGTTGAGGACTTTACTGGAGCTGTAGCACCCACGCCCTGGCTTTTCAAATCGTTGGCATATTAAAAACGCATGCGGAGGCCAAGTTCCGCCACGTATTCTAGATCCTGTAAACTGATCCCGTGTGTTGAAGGCACTGGAAAATGAACGCCGCATGATTTGGAATTAGGTATTCGAATTCGAAGTCGAATTTGGACGCGCAGGACGAGTGGTACCGGCGCGCGCAGCTGGCGGTGGAGAAGGGGGACGATGAGCTGGCGAAGGAGGCGCTGAAGCGGCGCAAGAGCAACCAGGAGAACGCCGACACCATGAAGGCCCAGCTCGACCAGCAGCGCAAGGCCGTGGACCAACTCATCTCCAACACCAAGTGCGCCGCACTTCTGCCTTTCACCTTGTGCTCAACATGTTCTGCTTTGTTCACCCGGAACACCGCCCACAGCTACCCTCTGCCTTGTGCCCTACATGTTTGGATGACTGTGAACCCCCAAACTTGGACGTTAAGCAACTCTCCATTTAATTGGCTCAGCAGACATGATTAGGCCCGCAAAACTTTGTCAGCACTTGGGGCGTGTAATCCTGCCCTGGGTGTGCGCCGTGACGCTATGGCTTTCCTCTCCCATGAGTGCCGGCGAAGTGCTGGATGACTCCTTGCCAGCTGTGCTGCTGCACTGCCCTCAAGTCAGGGGCATCTTGAGTCGCCCGACTCTTGGGCAATGTTGCTCCAGAGAGGCTGTAATTTCTCGAGCACCTCACTGGCATCCATGGACAGCAGCACCTAGAGATCTGCCATTGAGTTGCAGGCTAATTGGGTTGGGGCCAGCTTATTATCTCAATGCTGATGTTGGTGAGCGCGTGTGCAGGATGCTGGAGTCGAAGATGGTGGAGGCTAAGAGCAAGAAGGACACGCTCAAGGCGCGCGCCAAGACCGCGCAGACCTCTCGCCAGATCGCAGACATGGTCCAGGTATGCTCCTTACCCAAGCCTGCACTCTGACACCGTGCGCTCGCTCTGTGCATGTGCATGTGCAGATGGCCCTGCAACTACTTCACCCACGGAGGAGGTCCACCTGCCGCGATAGGCTTGCTAGATGCAAGACAGCCTGCGGAGGTTCTGCAATGATCCAAATGCTTCTTGAGCCATTCCATTGTGAAGATAAGGCTGCAGGGAAGCTGTCAGTGCTGAGGCAGATGAGGTGATGTGCAGGGCCTCAACACGAGCAATGCTGTGACCGCGTTTGAGCGCATGGAGGAGAAGGTCATGTCCCTGGAAGCCGAGGCAGACGCCACGCTGCAGGTGCGCACACAACTTGGTTTTCACCCATGTCTGTCCTTTACGCGGGTATTCAAGCACTCTTTCGTCTTGGTCCTTCCAATGGTGATGTGCAAAAGAAGGTCAAACAGGTGCAGGTTATTGCATGACCGCGCAGAGCCATGGCAGAAATTGGCCGCTGTCACAGTCAATGCAGCCCAACTCGGACTAAGACATTGTGGGTGATTTGTGATGTGCTGGTCATAGCTACTCGTGTGATTGTGGAAGTGCAAGCGCATCCGAAAACCCAGAGACCTGTGGAAAACGCGTGGCAGCAAGTCATAGTGTTGGACATGAAATGGTAGTTCACTGGTGGGATGCGTGGTGCAGCTGGGCACGAGCGACAATCTGGAGAGCAAGTTCAGGGCGCTGGAGGGCGGTGACGTGGAGGATGAGCTGGCGCAGATGAAACGGGGGGTCCTCACCGGCTCCCGCACCAGCGCGCCCCAGCAGCTGCCAGAAGGCCGGCCCATCAGGTGTGAATGTTTCCCCCCCTTTGCGCAGTTTCCTTGGTTTGGCTAGACTGGATGATAAAAGTCGTTCAGTTGTAGGCTGCAAGACATGGTGGTGGAGATATTTTCAGATATGGGCTTTTAGGCAGTATATGTGCATGTAAGAGACTCTTATGTCGATCATAAAGTGGGCATCTGCGCTCTGTGCTTGGCTGAAGCTGTGTGGCAGCCATGCTTGGAGCTGATACACACTGACGTGTGCACACATACAAAGTCCCATGTGGCATTGTGCAAATCAGTGCCAGTGCTGGTCCATTTAGCCCTTGCTGTGTTGCAGGGATGCCATTGACTTTGAGCTGGATGAGCTGAGAAGGAAGGCGCGCGACTGAGCATGGAGCTTTGATGGGGCAGAGGTTGATCCTGCCTCTATTCTGTGGCTCCTACTGTGTGTCAAGGTGTAGCTGCCGGTTGGGCCCTGTCATGCGGCTGCCTTGTGAGCTGCTGGGATTTGATACTCATGAAATGCATTTTCTTCTCTGTTGAGGGATTGTGAGGGATGGTGTCAGCATTGTCATGCTGCTATGGTATATGAGTGTGTGGGTGTACTGGATGTTTCGGCACCACCATTTTTTTTCCTTAGCACCTTAGTTGTGGTTGTCTTCCCTTTTAAAATGATTCTCCGTTGAGCTGATGCACACGACAAGCACAGGCACGATACATGGAATTGATTCTAGCATGCCGGCATCATGGCATGAGCATCTGTCAAATGCTGCAACCTCTATTGGATCGATATTGTACACTGTACATGTATGCATCCACAGGTCACTCCTGTTGCTTGACCGAGGAGACCCACCAGCTCATGTACCATTCTGGCTGAGACCACCACTGGGCCAGCTCTGCTGATCAGACAAGTCATGACAGAACAGGTCATACACAAGACATCCGTTCCCGCCCTGTTGCTGCTTGGCATCATCCCTGACCATAATCGGAAATGATGAAGTCCCTGATCTTCCCTCCAATACTGCAAACTGCCAGCTAGCAAAATTGCATGCTTGCAGAAACTTGCCTTCCACAAGCAGATCACGGCGTGCGCACGTATTGTAAGGCAAGGAAAAAATGGCTCCCTTAAGAGTGCCGACGAGCAGTTTATCAGGCCTTTGCAAGCACCTGCGCGAAGGTCTCCGGGTCTTGGGCGCCTGACAGGTGGTACTTGCCATTGATGATGAAGTGGGGCACCCCTGTCACTCCCGCTGCATACTCCCGCAGCTCCTCCCTCACCTCCACACCACACAACAAGAAATAGGACTTCAGCACCCTTCTGATGTGACCTACAGTATCCAGCAGATGCTTCTTGCGAAGAATTGCTGCAGCACAGTCGGTGCGTGCACATTCTTCTGGGTTGGTACAGCGCCTGCACCAACGCAAAGACAGCATGCACACAGCAACTTTGCTGGCAAAGGCATTGTCAATATACGTGTTGGTTGCTTAAAGAGCGTCTAGGGCCATTCCAATCCTTACTTGTGCTCATCAAATGTGAAGTAATTTTGAATTTATGTAAGATTTCAGTTCTTGCCTGATCCTTGGCTACATTGGGATCTGAGATAACTTGCTCGGCATCGGCCACTCCCGCCTTCTTCGCAGCTTCCCTCAACACCTCTGGGTCATTGATGTACTTGCCCTGCAGCAAACCCAAGCAATCCGTTGTTAGGAAACTCATGAGGTGACAATTCACTTCACACAGAAAAGAGTAACCTCTTTTCTGACCCACAGCGCAGCACCAGCAATTTCTCACGGAAAGCAGACACATGAGAAGTTTTGGATATGGATATGGGCAGTGACAGACTGCCCACAAGACCCCTGAGCCTCAGGTGGCTCTCCACAGGTCTCTAAAATGTATTGTTCATTGGCAAACCTGTTGCCTCACATAGGCAGGCCAACGTTGCATGACAAAGCAAGATAACAGTAGCAACTTCGATGACACAGACCCTCCAATAGATGCACTTCATCACAGGCTGCTGCCTTGGGCACACCTCTGTGAAGTAGGCCTTGAAGAGCTGTTCCACAATTTTGTCCTGCACGTCAGGCCCCTGCCTGCCAGCAAACGCTATGAGCCGGTGCGAGTTCAAAGTGTTGCCTGTGTCGCCCTCCATCGTGTAGTTCAGCCCCTCCTTTGCAAAAGTCTCCTGCACATTGTTCTGCATGATCATGTCTGGGTCCTTGCTGCTGCTGGTTTTGCATGCATTGTATGCCTCTGTGGCAGTTCCAGATTCCCTCCATCCGCACAAATGTCTGGAGTTGACCAGGCACCATTGCCTACCACAGGGGGCTCTTCCACCAGCATTGATGTGGAGACCCCGGTGCCAAGCAAGCCAGGGGAAAAGAAGATCATGCAAGATCTGAGGGAGGGAAGGAATGCTCACCGTCATTGTTGGCACCATGCTCTTTGTCCGCTGCTCCCCAAACTTCTCCTTGTAGTAGTTCAGCTTGTTGATGCCGGCCTGAGGCGCGTCCGGGTTGAGCTGGAAAGGATGCCATCTGACCTCGAACTGCTTCTGTCCCTGAAACATGATAACTCATGCATTCAGCTGTCTACTTGACTGTGAGTTACACTACAATAAGCATGAAGAGGATAAAGTCCCTCGGTCGTGCGTGAAGGTGATAGAAATATCTCCTGTGTGATGCATTTGGTTATCAAATGTATCTCCACAAGGTAAATGCCAAGAGTCCTCATGGTGAGATCACACATGCCGGAGTAAAGACATCATCAGAGTATTCACTCCCGGCATGCATGCATATGTGGCAATCACAGATAATACAAAGCTTTGGGATTTAAAAAATACAAGGTACTGACTTTTGCCGAACATCACCTGCAGCTGTCGGATGGCAGTCTCGAGCCTTCTCTTTCCAATGAAACACCACGGGCACACTGTGTCCGAGACGACATCGATCATCACCTTGCTGGCCATCTTGACGTTTTATTACACCAAAACAGTGTTCTCTCAACTGGAGTCGGGAACAATGCCGGTTGAATTTGGACTTCGCGTAATATCGAGATTGGACGTGCACAGGGTTTGAATTCAAGGGTTGACATTGAGGGTTCCGATACTCCGGAAACTTGCACGTTGATCTACTGGTGCGTTTGTCTTGCTAGATCAACGCCTCTTGTAATGATGGTACTGGCAGTTGTCTTGTTGCTGTCATCGATCTGCGCTAGTTTTGCAGACCCTCTCCCTCTTGACAGCATCGGCCTGCCGCCTGGCTTCAGTGTGAACGTCTTTACTAATGCTACGCCAAAAGCACGTTCTCTAGCTGTGTCTGGTGGAGACAGTAATATCGTTTACATTTCAAACGATCTACTGGTGACCTACTTCCCTCTCTTTGTCTTTGCTGTTCTGACCAGTTCTTGAGTCATCAAGCTCTCTAAAGCTGGTGATTTTCACAGCACATTGCTCAGATCCGTCAAGATCTCACTGTCCTTTTCTGTCGGATACTTGAATTGAATCAGCAACACCTCAATATACATATGCTTCGCAGCCTGGAGGGGTGTATGGGGCATATGACAAGGATGGGGACGGAGTGGCAGATCAGACTGTGACTTTGTTGTCGGGTCTCAACCAACCGAATGGGGTGGCGTGGCACAACGGCTCCCTTTTTGTTGCCGAGGTCAGCCGCGTCACTCGCTTCGACAATGCTGATGCCTCTGTGATTGCAAATAAGGTGCGTACTGCTGATGGGATAGTGCTCTCACACCTCCTGTCTTGATGTTCCTGCATAAATTGACTATTAGTATGATATAGTATAGTATGATGATAGCAGCATGCCAAGCTGCCAGCCGATTCCTAGCAAGTCAGACGAAGTAATGACGAAGGAGCATGGAGATTGCACCTGACATGAGACAGCGCTGATAAGAGAGTTCCGCTCTGCTAACTCCCACCTTGATAGCTCTGATGATGGGAATCCTGGTTTGCTGCAGCCACTGCCAGCAGGCAAGGTGATCTTCGACCAGTTCCCAAACATAACCTGGCATGGCAACAAGTACATCCGGATAGGCCCGGATGAAAGGCTGTACATAGACCTGGGCGCTCCCTGCAACGACTGCATCCTGGAGAACGCTGTTGGCAACGTTTCTTTTGGGTCCATCAACTCCATGCGCCTGGATGGGAGTGACCTGCAGCCCTATGCAACAGGTGCGTGCAGACAGAGCAGAGGTCATTTGCACTTGCAAAATTTCAGTGGCTGCGCAGCTGGGTGGCAGAGGATCGAATGCAGCGGCTGCAAAGTTCACTCTGCCCAGATTTTGTACAGTTCTCTCTGTAATTCATTTGTCTGCAGTGGTGTAAAGCTGCTCTCCCGCAATTGTTGTGCTCAAAGGGACAGCTCAGGCCCCACAACCTTACTTGTATAGGAACACGAGTGTGCCACTACAGGAGCATGACATGTCTGCTGCACACGTTTTTGTGCTTCTCTTGGGGAACCCACTGCTGGATGTGGTGGTGCTGCAAGCACAACTTGATGAGGCATGAGGGATGGCCTTTTTCTTCTTGTTGGTGGTGTGGGGCTGATTGCGTATCTACATGGCGTTGCAGGCATCAGGAACTCGGTGGGCTTTGACTGGGATGCGAATGGCACGCTCTACTTCACCAACAATGGCATAGATCAGCTGGGGAATGACCAGCCGGACGACGCACTCAATGCTGCCCCCAAGCCTGGCCTCTTCTACGGCTTCCCCTACTGCCATGTGTAAGCCTGCTGCTCCCATTCTCTTTTACCCATCTCTCCGCTGGTACAAAAGTGGTGAAGTTTTGTTTATAGCGTTTTGTGTTCCACCTGTGGTGCAAATGACGAGGGGCCTTTTGCATCTCATTCTGATATTGTTGTTGCATGGAAGGGTGAGAATGTGGTGACAGCGCATCTGTATAGGCCCATTGGATGGCCGGAAATAGTTAAGTCACGTGCAGGCTTTTATGTTTCCAGGCCTCCATCAGGTCTATTCTGATGTGCAGAGCTCAAAGCGACAAATGTGCCTGCTTTTTCTGCATGACAAAGTGCCGTACCTTATACGTGTGTCCGTAAGTGAAATGTGTGCATGCATGCTGCAGGGTCGGTGTGGGAAACCCAGTGCTGAGGGTGCCTGGCGCTTCTCAGTTTGTGGCGGATCCAGACTTCAGGCCCAACAACGCCACCAACAATGCAACCCATCTTGCCTTTTGCGAAGGTGCATCCTCTATACTTGAGAAATGATTGTGGCTGTGAGACATATGCCACAGCTTCAAGGAGATGCGCTACTGATGAGCCAAGGCAGGCTCTTGGCTTTCCCGCTTCTTTCCCCTTCATTAATGTTCATGTTGGGGAAGTGCCTCATGAGTCTCCCACCTGCCGAGCCGTGCAATGCTTCTACAGGAATCGAGGATGGGTCCTCTTCTGATGTGTTGTGTCATTGCTGGGTGCAGAGCGCGTGCAGCCGCCGGTACAGGCGTTGGGTCCTCATGTTGCAGCTCTGGGCATGCGCTTCTGGAAGGGTGAGTCATGATATCCTTGAGCTGCATGTAAACAGATATGAAACGCCGTTGCTCTCATGATCCATGATATAAATCTTGCTGTGTGAACACCCATGAAGCATTCTGGCTCCACACCGTTTGTAGTTGTCACCTCTGCAAGATTCCTGCTGGCACTTACATTTATTGCAACCTTGTACAGGCACTGACGGTAGGTCTGCTGCACGTGTTCTAGGCAGGCTATCACTCGTCTGTACTTACACTTAATTCTGTGTGATTGCCTCTTCAGGTGGGGGTTTCCCGTCGTCCTACACAGGCACGGCGTTCATAGCGGAGCACGGCAGCTGGGCGCGCAGTGCCGCCATCGGCTACCGCATAGCTTCCGTCGCTCTAGCGCAGAATGGAACCGCCGTCAGGCACACCATATTCGCGTCAGGGTGGATGCTCAGAAATGGCACCGTGTGGGGTGCGCACTCGTTCACCTCAGACTCAAACACACCGATCGAGAGGGCATGCATGAAAGCCAATGCGAGCGCCAAAGTTAGGGAAGAAGGGCTGCCTCGCTGTGTCAACAGGGGTGAACCAACAACGCAAACAACTCCCGGCCCAGGAGCACTAATGATCACAACTCCCTGGCACAGTGTCTCTGCAATGCAATATATTATCCCTCATGAGCCTGTCTGTCTGCTGTGACGGGTCTGCTGCCAGCTTGCAGAATCTTCTGGGGCCTTTTTGTGTTGTCCTGCCAGACCTCTGAAACCCACAGCTTGGCCGCCCCTCCCCACAAGCCCCTGTCAGGTGCCAAAGAGCCCTCTAGCGTGCGGCCATGCTCTGGCATCTTACTGTCCGGCAGGGCGAAAAACGGATCAAGATGGCTCTGAAATAGCTCGTGCGCACTGCTGGTGGCTGGCGGGCAGTGTTGTTGTGACACATGTTCCACTTTGTATGGCGTGCTGACCAATGAGTGAGTCATCTCTCTGCACGCATGCAGGGAGGCCGGTGGATGTGGCTCAAGCCAAGGATAACTCCTTGCTGGTGTCAGATGACAAGGCCGGCGTTGTTTATCGCATCTCTTACAACAGCTCCTTTGAAGCGGCGGCCTCCGCCGCTGCCGCCACTCCAGTGACAGCCTACCAAGGACCTCCTTGAGGTGGCGAGGGCCGGCTATGTTCAATGCACATTTATCTTTTTAATTTCTGATCTCATTGCGTGTCTGGACCCCTGGACAGAGTCAGTGTGCTGGCGCTGCTGGCTTTGGCAAGTGGCTGCCTGTGAGGCTCCCCCAGTCTGATAGAAATCAAGACTATGGCCACTTCTCCGCGCATAGGAGGCTGCAGCCTCGAGGCAAACAAAAATGAGGCAAAGAACCAGTACTTTGTTGAAAACCTAATGAGAATATTCCTAGTATAATGACCAACCGCAATTCTCAAGCGGCCTTCTGTCGTGTTATGCACAAGGTGCCAGTCCCTTGTCTCCCAGAACAGTGTTAGGCTGTTTATTGCAGCATGCTGCCCTCACTTAGTACCCAAATAAATAGGAGCGCCTGCAAACCAGCTGTGAATGAGAGTGCAAACTGCTTGCAGCTCCTGCATTGAGCTGCTTATCACGGCTTAGCCTTGTAGCTTCCTGAGTTTCTCGCCATGTAGCATGCACTGGGAGTTGGCTCTGCAATAGACCTGAAGAGGGACCCTCTTAGAGGGTAGATCCAATGGGGCGAGGTCTGTTGCTTATTGGTTCCAGAAGGCCTGGCCTGGCATCACACAGTTGGCTGCTTTTGTTCATTTCATTTCCAAAGTGATGGTTTATTTGTTGGCATCAAGTGTGTGGTGTGTGAGAGAATAAGAGGCCCATTGGATCACTGTGCTCCAATTCTGTGAGTGCTGCCCATAGGCCCAGTTTTGGTGCTCGTGCACACATCTGAAGCATTTATGTCGCCACATCTTTTCTTTGATGAAGAGGAACCACAATGTTGGTTTCAATCTGATTGGCAGTCTCAGCTAACCTGCTGGCCGAGGCAGCCGACAGTGCAAAGAACGATGAGAGCTTACAACCATTTGATGTCCAAGTGATGTCTCATTGATTCAGTCTGACTTCCTAATGTATGAGATTGTTTTATGGCTTCAGAGCATGAGTGTGGTGCTGACTCAAATATAAGAATGGCATGAAGGTCATGCACCGCTGTGCTGGATCTGGTAGACTATTCCGATTGCATGTGATCCCCAGATCTTCCCTCTGCAGATCTGCATGATCAAGCATAGAGCCGATGTGTGCCTGCTCTTTGCCTCCCTCGAAAATGAAATTGCTGTTTTTGTGTCATGGTTACCGGCGAATTGCAATTCCAGGGCCACTGGCTGGGCCTTACACTTGTATCTGGCTTCTCACTGCATTGTCACATACTAAGTTGCTGTATGTAAGGGCCACTGGCAACCTGTTGGGTCCAACACTCGACCTCTCTCTGACTGACAAGTGTAAGGCTGGTTGCTGGGCAATCTGTGCACGCAATTGAGAGTGCATGAGCGATTGCATGCTCGATCTGCTGCTGATTTGCGGCGTGCTGCTGCCTTTTGTAAGCAGCAATATAAGGTGCTCTGCTGTTAGACCCTGTCAAATTACTGGCAATGCCTGCCTCCACACCTCCTCTTTGCGCCGGAGGACATCCTCATAAGATAGAAGCTGATGGGGTCTCCACTGCATGTGCACTGGCAGCTGGCCCTCTTGGCTACCCAGGTCAGACTCCACAGGATCACCTGCTTCATGATCACTAGATCCAGGGCTGATATCCTCAGGTCTGTGAGGAAAAGCAGCATCCCTCTGTGTCCGCTGTCTCACTCTTCTCTGAGGACCAGAACACGCTGCACTGCGTGCTGCTTCTTCCTATGTCAGGGGCCGAGGTCTAGCCACCAACCTGATGGCTCCACTTGTTCGATATAAATTCTGCATACAGCCCGGGAACAGCAAGATCTGCTAACGAATAAAAATAAATTACATAAATGGATCCTGAGTTCGACCTAAGTCATCTACGCTTGACGTGCTTAGCTTCGAGCATTGGCATGGGGGTTCCGAAAGAAAGAGTTCGAGCGGCTGCAAAGCAGGGAAAAGCTTCGAGGGCTATCTCTGCCAACATTCACAGTAAAGTTGATCGTTGTGGTGCTTAATCTTTCGTTCAGGCAGCAAAAGTCATCCTGAGGGTTACAAGGGGTTTGGGAGAATCTACAAGGTTAAGTAGATAATGGATATACAAGGGTTTGTAGATAGGTTTGTACGCCTGTACGCCTAGCTGTCGTGACTCGCCGAAGGTTGCAAACCCCAATCCCAGACTGAACATTCTTCGGTGAATAAGGCACTCAAATTGTACCCCAGTGACTTCTTTGAGGGTGTTAGTTTCAGCGATCGGCGCTCCACCGCGCCCAGACCGTTTATCGGCGAGACTGCTGCACTCCTTCAAGGTGCGTGCAAGCCACTGCGAAGCGAAGGTATGTATTTGATACTTAGAAGTGCCTTTTGTAACATACACACTTTTATTTTACCGCTAAGGGGCACCTTTAGCACCGAGGATGTCGAGGACAGTACTTCTCACAAGTCTTTGTTGCAGTAATGCTCCGCACTCTAGATGAGTGCATCCTGCAATGAGGTTTTCAAACCCTGAAATACTACTTCTACCGCCACAGGATATTACAGCTTGCCGTCCATGGCGAGGAAGGTATCAAAGAAAAAGCGTGATGCCGCAAAGAGGGCTGCGTCAGAGAACAAGAGGCAAAACTCCCCACCTGCACCAGCGCAGGAGTGTGCCATGGATAAGGATCACCAGGATGCTGGATGCGATGAATTCAATGCTCTTGCCCTGTACGAAGAAACCAAGGTGATGCCCTACGAGAAGGCACACACCCTGCACTGGTGTAGTCTTGTCCGCCCACTGCGTGTTCCGGTTGTGAGTGGGGCAACATAGCTGACTTATGCCCAGACAGCCAATAGCTCACTTGAGCCCGCATGTCTTCATCACATGTCCTCCCCAAAAGTGTTCATTCTGGTGCAGGAACTCACAGAGTACGCCAGCCAATACTTTGCACGCGCAGACTTTCGGGTACGCTAGAGACCCGCTGCTGTCCATTTGCCACATTCATCAAGCTGCATTTTTGAGAGTCCAAGCCACCATCACTCCAACACCTTTCGATCTTGCACGCTGCAGGCTTGTCTTCATACCTGTTGTCACAGTCTACCTTGCAGAATTTTTGCTGCCCCGCTGCATGATTGTGTTAGCGGTACATAACGGTGCTGCCATGCGATGTTGTGTAGGGAATTTCGGATGAGCTGAGGATCCAGGGAAATGAGAAATACACCTCCCTGCATGACGGCCTCGCGCCAACCATCTATGCCAGCCGCCTACAGGCATCCGTCGAGCTCTATCAAAAAGTGCGTATGCCCCTGCCTCCTACCCAAACTCGATGAAGACTGTGTGCTCCCAACTGCAAGAAGGCGTTGACTATGTTGATGGGTGTCCATGATCATTCCTTGTGCAAGCAGCATCCATCATGTACTGATGCGATTGGCCCATGAAAGGACCTCTTCTGAGTGAACCCAGCAATATTGATGGAGCAGTCCTCAATGATCTGTCCAGGAGCCTCCAGGCTGGAGTAGGATCAGATTAGGATGTCGCCAAAGGCAAGCAAAGCTGATGAAGTGTTTGTCGTGCAGGCGGTGTCAACAGCCAGCACAGCGGACCAACTGGCGAGCGCATCAAAGAATCTGGGCTTTGCGCACCGCAAGCATGCGTCCATGGAGAGGGACTTTGAGCCGCGCATGCGCAACCTCTGCACTGCTGTGCGCCACCTCGGCAACGCATTTGTCTTTGGGGCGGCCTGCAAGCCTGCGGCCTGGTGCGCACAAACTCAGCTGCTAATTCCCTTGGAGATCCCTGTGCCACGATGGCTCTCGCCTGCTCATCTGCTCGCAGTTATTTGGTGTCTTAGGCCATTGGTGTTGACCTTCACGTGGAGACTTGCATCCTGCAGCTCCCGTACCCAAGATGCAGCGCTTACAGGACTGCATGCATCATGTAGATAGAGGTATTTGAACCAGAGTGGAACGGCAGTGCTCAGCAACAATGTTCAGCTTGTTGCGGACATGTCTCTGGCGCTTGCATTTCCTGAGAGGGCTGAGACAAGAGCCTTCCAGCAATTGTCGCCCGGGCTATTTCCATTGCTTGCAGCAGTTATCTTTAGCCAAAGATGTCAAGTAGGTCGGTCACTCAGGGTGCTTACTGCATGCCTGCAGGCGTGTGTCAGTTGGGGAGGATGCGGTCGGCTGCATCGATGCTTTGAAGGATGCGCTGGGCACCTGCAGCATCAAGCAGCCACTGCGCTGGCTGGAGAAGATGAACGCGGCTGTGCCAGACGCTTGGTCCACGCTCAAGGCTGACGTCAGCCTCTTCAGGCAGATGACATCGTCAAGGAGGCCCTGCTGGGTGCGCTGCGCTGTTGCTCTGATCCCAGCACATTGGATCTGCATTGCTGCAACTTATTGCTTGCAGAAGAAGCCAAAAATCGTCCTTGGTAGCGTTTCCCTAAAGTGTTGCACACACAAGATAGTGCTCAAGTGCCGAACATTGTGCCTCCATAGTGCATGGAAGAGTTTTAAAACCAGGTCTCATGAGCAGCTGGCCATGTGAATCAGCCTGTCGAGAATTTATTGTCCAGGAGGTCATTGATTGTTTTCCGCCCTCATACCTATTTTCAAAATTACTGACATTGGAAATCCTCTCATAAGTCTCCAACATTCTCTAATTCAACAACGCCTTGGAGCTGATCTTCCGGACAGGTCTGCATCACATAGCCAAATCTCCCGTCAATTGAGTTTTCAAAAGTTGCCCTTGCTGCGCAGCGATGAGCGGGGAGGAGCTGGGGGCGGCGGACCACATGCTGTGCAAGCACCTGATGGAGGATGCATCGCGGCCTATAGAGGACGCGGCGCGCTTCAGTCGTGTGGCCCGCTGGTGCAAGGGCATGTCCGACGCCGAGGTCTTGCGGGATGATATGCTCAGGAACGTCTGCATCTGCTCTGCCATTGAGGTGCGCAGTCTGTACATATCTACAACGCATAGGCAAATGCAATATGCTCCATCAGAGTTTGAATGTTTTGTTGATATGCTGAGACATCCCGGTCCAGTAGAAAGTGCAGCAGTTTGTGGCCCGCATACGGTGCCAGCAAAGAGTCAACAGTCTATGGCTGTCGATTCCCATTGGTCTGTCAGGGCAAGTCTCCTGCAGCGGCACCTCTAAGGGATTTTCTCCCTGTATTCTGCAGGAAGGTGTCCCTAACATGCTGAGTGGGTATGCCACTCTTGGAATGTTGCAAAGGCCAGATCATCACATACCCCACATTGTCCCCTCTGGTGTCCAAAGGAACGCAAGACAAGAAGTTGTACATCACTCCTTTGACTATCTCAACAAACTTACCCGTCCTGAATATTATTGAAGAACTCCTTGAGCTTGTAAAGTGTGTTTGCGAGCACTTCCTGCCCTGGGTAACCTTGAAGCCGAGCCTGACCTGCTCACAAGCAACAACTTGGGTTGCCTCTCGATAGAGATGAAGAAGGTTCCCTCTCCATGCTCATCATCAAACTCTCAGCAGGCTGAGCAGAACTAGTGCCGTGCAGAAGGGTAATATAACAACTATATAGAGAGGCGTACTCATGTGGTGCAGGAGATGAAGCGTGCAGATGCGTTCTTGGACCGCGCGCTGTACAGTGCCGAGGACATCGACATGGACGCCATCTTCCTGGCCATCGATGCCTACCGCAATGCCATCCTGCTCACGCGGTGCGGCCTGCCATCCACATTACTGAGATGAGTAAAATTCTCAATGAAGATATTGCGATAGGTGCGATAGGTACTCGCCGCATGCGAGGTGAGTTCGCCGATGCACGTGCCCCGTATCGTGCCTCCCTTTCCAAATTTGGAGAAGCCTGATGGCCTTAATAGAGGGGTCCTGAGGCCTTCCTCTCCAATGATGAGCGCAATCAGCTACCCGGCTGAAACCACACATTTCCATTCATTCAATCAGTCAGTCAATCAGTGAGTTACGAGGGAGTCAGTCAGTCATCTAATCAGTCTATTGTGCTAGCCTTGCCATGTGCATGCGACTGCCGTGCCTGCTCCTCTCAAAGAATGTCCTGCCCAGCAGTTGCAAGGCGTGACTGCCATGATGTGTGGCGCAGGGGTAATGACCTGAAAGCAGAGTGCCGCGCGTTCTCACGCCTGGGCCGAGTGTACGGAAAGGTGAGCCCTGCAGACCCAGCCTCCCACCTGTGGCGCAGCCACTCAAGCGGCACTCCTGCCTAGATACATCTCTTTGATGGATCACATGCTTGCATGGCTGCCACACCATGCCAAATAGGGGCATTCCAGCAGCATTAAGCCCTCTGGGTCGCACGTTGCCCTGCAGATTGTGATGCAAATTTTGGAAGCGCTCCTGTCGGGACAGATCTGTTGACAAATCCCATGCATGCACTTGCGTCAGAAAATATCAAATGCGGTGCGGTCAAGCGCCCCCTGCTGAGCTTTTTAAAGTGCGTGGTGGGGTGCAGATCATGAATGATCGGCAGCGCGCAGCAGACTGCAACAAGCGCTGCATCGTTCTGGCCAGCACCATCTACCCCATCCCCTATGGCGCAGACTGGTACAGGGTGCGTATTGCCATTTTCTAATATCACAGCAGTCACCCAAGCTCTGGCCATTTCAGATTGGAGTCACAGCCTACTCCATGCAAGACACCTGGCACAACATGTTGCTGGAGGCGCTCAAGTCGTCGCCTGTAACCCCTTTCTCAGGGTTATCATCGGCTTTTCCGGTGCGATAGCAAGTTCACTTTTCGTCCATGATCAAGCCCTGGCATCATTTTGCGGTGATCCTGGATACTGCGCGGCTGAGCCGATGGTGCCACTGGCCAAGTCTGCATTGCGGCACTCTTGACACAACTGACATGAGTGGCTGGGGCCTGTCTTGGCGGCAGGAAGCTACAGCGGAGCTACAGGCGGAGCAGAAGCGGACGGCGCTGGAAGAGGAGCAGAAGCTGGCGCAGGAACGCGGACCCATCCTCGGTGCGCCAACCCTTGTAATTCAATTTCAGGGGTAGTAAATCAGGGTCTCTGCCAAGCTCAGATGCAGTCCACGTCCTCCTGAGCGCTGGTCGTGCCTGAGGAATTAAGCGGAGAGGGTGGTTGTGCTCACAGAGACGCTGAAGGAGGAGCTGCGTGCGCTGAAGAAGGCGCACTCAGAGGGCGCGCACAAGCTAGTAGATCTCATCTACAAGGTGAGCACCCCCTGCTGAGCTGCGCTGAGCTCTCTTGACACTGCCTGGGACTGTGCCTCCTGAGTGTATCAATCTGCTTAATGTCAACACGCATGGAATTTCGCCAGCGCTGTTTCTTAATCTCCCTGAGCTCTAATGCCTGTCACTATAGTCCAGTCCCTCTGCATCCTGTCTCTGGCACGGATCGCCCACAGGTGGTAGATATGTGTGGGAGAAGTGCTTTGCGGGGGCTTTTCCAGCATAGTAAATGGGTCGTGGTCAACTGCGGTGTACTTTTCAGTGCTGAAGCTTGTGATGCCTGTACAGGAGCACCCTCCCAAGAAGGAAAAGGCCGTGAAGCCGGATGTCAATGGGGAAAATATGAAGAAGGGCCTGCAGACAGCTATCCTCCACTACCACCCGGTGTGCCACCTTCAAAACAATTTCACAAAGCCCTGGGATTTTGTGACGTTTAGCAGCATGACGGTGTCTTTCTTTTGATTGCCGCTCTCAGCAGGCACTCAGGGAATATGTCAAGAGTATGATCTCGCCATCCTGCCTTTGCATTCCCAGTACTTGTGCGAATACTTTCTTAGGCATGCACAGACCGCAGGCACATGAGGGTACATCAAAAGCAGGAGAAATTTGAGACCTTTCCTTGGATGTAGGGTGTTATTGGTAGTGTGTGTGTCAACCAGGATAAGAACTCGGAGACCATCTTTGGGAAGAGGTGGTGCTACCTGTGCAAAGAGATCACAAAATTACTGAACGACAAATACCAATATTTCGCATGCTGACGTGAGGCTTTCAGGTCAATCAGCAGCCGCTGAGAAATGTTCTGATTGGTTTTGCAGAGGGGTTTCGGCTCTGAATTGATAAGCAGCTGGTACAGCATGAACGCAATGGTTGTTCTCTTCGTTTAATCTTAAGTGGCTTAGTTGAACGTGATACACCCTGTGAGACCTCTTCCAGCACTCCGAGTTGGATTGCTCAAGTTGGATTGCAAAGCAGGAATCTTTATCTGGGCTGCTTGGCTGCGCAGGATAAGAATGCTGAGAGCATCTTTGGTAAGAGGTGGTGCTACCTGTGTGAGGAGATCACAAAGCTGCTCAACGATAAGTACGAGCACACCAAGGGCTGCTGAGACATGAATCATCCCACGGCCAAGCTGCAACGTCCTCAGAACAAGGTTTTCCCTTTGCCAGGGTGACAAGGCATCAATTGGGGCCGTTCAGATTGTTTATTATCCACCAGGATACTCCTGTCGTTTGCTGGCATCCCGATTTCAAGCCCTGGCGCGTCACAGCGAGTCAGGCCGCCCAACTCGGCGTTTCAGGGTTTTTTGAAAACAAGACGTCCCAATCTGCTCAGGAGCAGTGTGAATTAAATTTGATTGGAGCAGCATTGAGGCTGCATTCCTGCTTTGCTCACTGGATGGCTTTGCTATCACTTCTTTTTTAAATATGAGCAATATGATGGGGGCTGTTGAGAGCATCTATATTGTCTGTACCTGCCTAGGGGAGTGTTTGAAAATGCTCATGCTCTGACGGCCCATTTATCTTCGGCCTTGAAACCTTGTACTTCTCAGAGCTGTGCCAGTACATTACATGCCATACTCCTTAAAGATTGCAAGGACTTGAAGTGAAGAGCGAGAGCTCGATGTTTTGTTGTGGGCATTCAATTTAAGTGTGATGAGCGTGAGGCTCCAAATGGCGGATGCAGACTTTGAGAGTCAATATGCCAGTCTAGAAGTTCGTCAGCAAGAGCAACATCAAGTTTGAAATTGGAGTTTCGATTGCAGCTTGTTGTAAAGTGATCTTCTCAGATCTCTTGCTCTTCTGCATAAATTTACTCTGTAGCTGCAAGCATGTGTATGTCCCTTAATTGCTGCATGAAAAGCTGACACTGCGCTATGCGGCCCTGCAATGCGCAGATTGCATTGTCCTTCTTGGAACAAGTACACAACAGCAAGTTGCGTGGTGGCTGTTCTGAACGTCAGTATGTGCTCAACATCTTCGTTCCTACACTGAAGTTTGCTCGAAGAGCGCACCATTGATTTTGTGGCGGAGGCTGAGCCTGTGCGCGGCATGTCTGCGAGGGTGGCCGACGACGGCCGCGGCGGTGTGGCCTTGCCCGGAGGCGACTTCCTTACTCCGGCAGAGCCCCAGCTGTCGCCATTCTCCCAGGCTGCTTCTGCGCAGCTGGAAGGAATGCCAGATCATACTGCGGACCGGACAGCACAAAAATGCTGACCGTGTTGTGCAAAGAGCAGAACCCAATATATTGATGGCGCGCAATAGACATCAACCATCACTGCCTGAGCTCAAGAAGTTCCGGCTCATTACCCACACTCCTTCCCACTCAACTTTCGTTCCTGGTGTCAGCTATTGGGAGGTTCATGACAACCAAAAAAGTGCAGCTTCCTACTTAACTTCCATTCCTGGTGTCGACTATTGGGAGGCTCATGACGTAAAAGAAAGTGCAGCTAAGATGCAGATGCGCACCATCCCAAAGCCAGAAAAGCCGCCCGCACCGCCGTGGGACCCCCCGCTGCGGTTGTTGTACCAATATAGAACTCTGCGCTTCTGCTCCTCAACCCAGGCACCAGTACTTATCATTCCCCAACTCCTGGTCATTTCTCGCCTTGCAGCACAGCAGCTGCCGGGTTGTGACAGGGACCCAAGACCTGGAGTCCACATCAAAGACGTGCATCTGGCTATCGGCCGAATTGCAATATCAGGGCCACTGGCTGGGCCCTAAACTTGTATCTGGCTTCTCAATGCATTTTCACATACCAAATTAATGTCTGTAAGGGCCACTGGCAACCTGTTGGGAACACTGATGCATGATAAGGTCCAAGGCTGCGAGGGTGCATGCATGGGAGCAATTTCGCCTCAGTAAGGTATGGATATGGGGTAGATGCATATGTACATGCATATGATGAACATGGTGCCAGCAAGTGAGTTGCATGGCGCTCACGTGATCATCCTTATTATTACAGCTACCCTCGCGCATACTTTGAATGCATGCATGCAAGTAAAACGAAAGCGGACGTAAAACATCAACGCCGCATTTTGGCCAAGCTGTAGCGCAAGCAGTCAGCCACCACTGAGGGGTGTTTGAGCTGCAACATGCTGCCGCCTGCCAAGCCAATGAAGGAATCCCAAAATTGCGTCAGTCCAAACCCAGAGGGCCAGCAAATGCCAGCCCACAAAAGGTGGAATGAAAGAAATCTAAGAGCATCCATAGATAATGTACACTCATACCCAGAGCCACCCGCCCCAGCAAGCACACTCTGCAACTGTGGTGCGGTGCCCTAATACCTATCAGCAAATCTACATATGATCACCCGGTCAAACAAGATTGCCTACATAAACCAAAAAGAAGAAGAGAACACCCTCCCCCCGGATGAACTGTCTTGTTCTGTTTCATCACTGACATGCAGGCTATATCTGGGAGAGGCTCCATGCAGCAGCAGAGAACCTCCCAAAGAGAGAATACCAAGGTTGCGAAAATAGCATATGCCACAGCAATCTCTAATCTCAATGCTCCCTGCCAGTCACTTCTTGCAGGACTACGTATAATGTTTTCCCTCTCGTCAATCTGCTCAGGTGTCCACAGAAACCGAGGACGGTGAACGATTTGGTACAGAGAAATGTCAGCTGCACGGAGCCTCCCCCAAACCAAGAACAAAGCACAGCATCGAAAACCAGCAGCCACTGCGGTCACAGCCACGACTAATGCAGCGAACGCACGACAAATGAACTATCCCTGAAGACGCATGATGGGAGCAAGACGTGTACACATGAGAGCTGCAAAATTCCTCTTCTGCCTCAGGGAACAAACTCAATGCCGGCATGGAGTCACAAAACCCGGGTTCTGTACCCCCTTATACACCCCTTTGCCAGGGGCAACGCAAAGATGGTAACCAGCGCAGAGGAGAAACAGAACCAGTGTTGATAGACAGGATCTTGCGCACTCCACAGAGGGCACCAAAGCCTTCCGAAGAAAGCAATGCAGAGCTGAATAGGCTGTCAGCGTCCGACGCTAGTCTTTCCAGTCATCAAAGAAAATCAATGCAGATGCACCAAAAAAGACATCATCAGACTCTCTTCTACCTTCCCTTGTTACTTCCCCCACTTCTTCCCCCTGAGATTGCATATTTTGCGTTCGGCGCCCCTGGCAACGTCTCTGCTCTGACAGCCATCACCCGCCCAACAGGAATACAGAGAACTTGGGTTGTTTCATCAAGTAATCTAGCACATACTGACACAAGCAGCCCTCAGGGGCACTCAATCTCGCATTGTTAGTGGCCGGGGTCCCTTCACAGGAATGGGTTTGCTCAATGGGAAGCATTCCCCCTGGAAACATATTATATTTGGCACTCCCTTAAAAATGATGGAACCATTGAATTCCAGGTGGCTTCCAGGCGGAAGAGCAGCAGCCTGTTCAGAGGACTGCGCTAATAGGACAGTATCAAAATCTCCTTAGTATCAAAATCTCCTAGGAATGTAAGAATGGGTGTTTGTAGCACAGGGACCCTGCCCCCATGCGGGGGCCAGCAAATTGCAGCACAGCAAATCGCCAGTAAATCAGTCACGATTTAATTGTTTCTGCCTGCTTCCAGGACAGACAACAGCAACACTCCCACCTCAACTCCACTCATTTACTCCAACACTTTTGTGGAAGCGGACATACATGACACCAATCTCTATATATCAAGAGTACTCCTGAAGAATAGAAAAGCATGCGCTTAGATCTCCTTGCAGGCTTGGGACACTCGAGGCAACACGTATCTTGTGCTGTCTCTGATACCATAACCCCATGATGGGGCCAAGGCTGGAATGCAACACAGCAAGCAGAGCTGCAGAAGCAGTGCAATAGGCAGAGAAAACGAGAGCCCCTCCCACCCATCGCTGAACTGTCAACCATCGTTGCTGAATCAGTGGGGTTGGTTTCGTCAGTACTGCCTAGTCGGGATCTCAGCACAGTCCTGGCATTGACTTGGCTAGATGCTTTGCTGCTTGTCCCAGCCGATACTGAACTGCAATCATTTTCACGCCTCTGTAGAGGATGCTCATGACTCATAGCCTTGGGAGGCGGGCAGCCGACCTCCGGGGTTGTTATATATTATAGGGACCGGCGGGGAGTTGATGCGCGCATGCATGCCGGGGCTGCCGGATCAGGTGCTGCTGGCGGGGATGCTAGTAGGCATGCGCGCGCTGCCGAGATTGTGGTCTGCCAGATTCATGTCGGAGATGCTCCTCGGCAGCTCCGCGGACAGGCTGCAGCGCACACAAACCTGTTAATGGTCTGCTACTCTTGTGTTCACAAACAGGTCCAAATGCCGTCTCGTACAGGCACACCAGGGGACTACACAGATGTAAATACCTGATTATACTCCACTGGACACTGAATGCACCCGCAAGCAAGCTGTAATGCCCCTGGCCAAGTGCCCTGAAGAAGTGCAGCCCCAACAGCTGACGCTGGCAGCGACTACAAGACTGCAATCTTGCAACCAATCAGCGGTAGTATCGGAATAGCCAGATATCCACGCAGAACAGATGTGATATGACCGAAGGGAGCCAGCAAGGGAAGGCGCAGCATCGCGGCCGCACCTCTCAAAGGAGGTGTTACGGGCCATTGCCAGCGAGGCATGCGCGTGGAAGTGGGGCATGGAGCTGTGGCGCTGGCGCTCATAGAGCTGCAGCTGCTCCAGGAGAGTGGGCATCCTGCGCGCATGGCACGCTCCAGCAGACGCGGCCTGCTGCTGCTGCTGCAGGGTGTGCGGCCAGCCGGGGCCCTCCTCTGGGATGGGCGGCTGCCCAGTCAGACCCATGGCCATGCTCCTGTCAGCAGCGCACAACAAATTAGTCATCGGCACGATATCCTCAAGCCTGCTGCAGATCCCAAACTGCCTAGGACTGCTGAGGCAGAGAATACTTGACTAGGGATGCTGCAACACACCCCACATAGAGCTGGGTGAAAGAGCTCAGCGCTCACATGGAACACTCTGCAATTGAGGAGGCTTGCATGCTAAAAGACGTCCAAGGCCCATTGCCTGCCTGGTTGCTGAGCAAGAAAAGGTCACCGGGGATTCGTGGCATGCCAGCCTGATCATCAAATGCCCAACACTCATTCCCCTACATGGCGATGCAGGAAGGGGGAGAGCTTCCGGCGGTGGGAAACACACATGGGGCTGGTCTCGTAAGTGGTGGTGTGGGAGGCCGGGGAGCTGGCATAGAGGGAGCTGTGCATGGATGGCGGCTGCTCGCGCGGTGACATCATCCCATGCTGCGGCGCGACGCCTGCACGCCAGACACCGAGAGATCCCCTCAGCTGAAGGGCCGGAATTGAAGAAAAGTCAAAAGAGAGAGACAATGAGCACTATTCACGTCCACTGAAGCTGTCTTGTTAAGTCTGAAGATGACGCGCCCCGCATGGAATGCTCATCTCAAGGTGATTAGGAATTTCTGGCATGCACGATCAGGAGTAAAGATCTGCGCCTGCCTTCAGGACCCCAACAATCTTCACAGGGAACACTTACCGGGTGTGGGTGGCCCGCGGGACGGCGTGGAGCTGCCACTGCCAACGTACTGCTCCTCACCAGCCCTGGCGCCCTCCTCAGGGTGGAGCAGGGAAGCTGCCAAGCCCCTCTCCGCCGGCGGCCCACCGGCGTTGTTCCCCTGGTACCCCCCGCGGGGCTGGGGGTCTCCCCCCTCAGTCATGGGGGCGCCCCCCCAGCCCCCGTTGTTGATCGCATCCTCCATGTGTGCCTGCTGCTGCTGCTGCTGCACGTCCGAGAGGCGGCCAAGGCTGTCTGCCGAGCTGAACGAGTGCCGGGCCGGGCTGTAACGCGGCTGGCCAATGTGGTTTTGCATGGGGCCGATGTGTCCGGAGGCTTGCGGCAGAGGCTGCCCAAAACTGCCCAGGCCGCTGGAGGCCTGCCCGAGGCTGCTGAGCGGGCCGGAGCCCTCGCTGATAAAGTGCCCGAAGCTGCCCAGCCCGGACAAAGCAAAGTGCCCGCTGCCCTGCGTGCTCATATCCGACGCCTGCCTTGTCAGCTGACCCGAGTGCTGCCCGCCCAGCTGCTCCAGATACCTCCGCACCTCCTGGCTCTGCCCGTTGATCTGGGCGCTGCCGTAGCCGCTCGGTGCACGCTGGAAGTTGCCAAGGGAGTCCTGGCTCTGAAGCACGCTGGCGCTGAGTGCGGCCTGGTCTGCGGGGGCGAGCCCAATCAGCTGCTCCATGCCCGGCGGCTGCCGCGCGCCTGCCATGAAGCCATCGATCACCCCTGGGCCCTGGTTGAAGGCATTTGCGAGGGCCGTAGCCTCTTGCTGCGGCTGCGCGCTGGACTCAATGCCCTGTGAAACGGAAAAAATGCAACGCCCGTCAGATCAGCGTCCCTCTCATACCAACTCCATAGGCGGTCTAAAATATTGCTGATAGTGAAAAGTCAGGTGTCATATAATATGCATGGCAAAGGGTAAAACGAGAGCCCTTCGGACATATCCTGTGTGCTACCTGACTTCCCAGCTTCTGCAAGATTACCGGCACAATCATACATTTTGTACAGCTATCTATTCTCTACCTCAATCTTGAGTTTAAACATGGCAGGCTTGGCGTTACACTAGGCAATTCAGCAAGACATCGCACAGCGGCCAAAACGATACCTGCCAAAGCTGGTGCTCAGATGACCTGTCACCCTCTGTACAAAACAACAAACACTTCTGCAACTTCAAGGGCGTCATAGGGGAGCGGGAAGAGAAAACTCACCGGGCTGCAGACAATAAACACACAATAGAGTAAGGTGAGTAACAGTAAAACTCACCGGGCTGCCCTCGGGAATGGAGGTCTGCTCGCCAAACTGCTTGGGGAAGCCGGCGCTGTTCCCTCCGTGGCGGCCGGCTCCGCCCATCGCCGCCGCGTGCGCCAGCATGCCCATGTCGACCGAGCGCCTGTACGCCGCGGTATTCCTGCCCTGGGGCTGGCCTCCCGGGGCGTTCACTCTCTGCGCCGCCGCCAGCGCCGCCAGAATCCTCGGGTCCAGGCCTGTGCAGCGCGATTTCAATTTCAACACGACCCGTCTGATTACACAGCATGATGTGCTCAATTCAATACATCGAGACACACCAGCTGAGCTGATTTCTGCTTGTTTCAACCTGGTATCAGTGTCATGGTCCCTCCCTGGCCCTGTCTCATGTTTCAATGCGTCACACTTTGCTCCAGAGCCATGAGAAAGAGCAATCGAGGGCATCTGTATTCCGCTGAGGCCGTGTTTTCATGAGTCCGGATGCGCACCGGCGCTGCCGTTGATCTGGGATCTTGCGTTGTCCATGGACATGCGGCGAACGCCAGGCGAGAAGTTGTTGCGCGCGTTCCCTCTGCCGTCCCCGTACCCACCATCGCCATTGTTGGGCAAGCCAACACCTGTTGCCCAAGACACAAGAGAGAATCAGCAATGCCAAAAGACGGGGGGTGTGTAGCTGCAGGCATTTACTGCGTGCACAGAGTGATCTCCTCGAGAGTGAGTTCCAAGCAAGCTGACTGCCTTTCTATGTGGTCTGGCAAAAAGTGCACCTCCTGCCAGCCATCACAAATGAAAGAAATATTATATAATGGGCAATCCACACAGCTTAGAATCCATTCAGGTAATGAGTACATTTTGTGTTTGAAAGGGCGCACCGCTGTGGCTCAAGTAGGAGTCTTGGCGGCCCAGGTCTGAGCCCATGCCGGCGTCAGATGACATGCTGTTGCGCCGCACCGCCTCAAACGAGCTCCGCTGCAGCATCTCACGCTCCGCCTGCCATCCACATCTCACTTCAATAATCTTCACTCTGAGCCAGCTTCCCAGTGCTCAGGTTTCAACGTTCCCCACCAAGATATTATGCTGCCAGAACAATATGTAAGCTTGCTGTCCCCTCTCCCACTTCTCATGTCTGGGCCCTGAACCAATCCATGCTGGAGGTGACACTGGCAACATTCCACACCTGCTGCTGCACAAGTGCCTGGTTGGCGGCCAGCAGGCGACCGAGCTCGATCCTGTCCAGGTTGCTGAGCGCGTCACTGTGCGCGGGCTGCGGCGGCAGCGGGGCAGGTGCCCGCAGCTGCGAGCAACTCACCAAGACAATGTCAGCCCTTGTAATTAGGGAGAAGCAAACATGTACCCAAGAAGCTCACAGGAATGTGAAGTGGCAAGTCTGTGGGATATGCAGGGCCAAAAGCCAAGTTCGCCGCATATAGTGTGGGGCCCAAGATCAAGCAAAATAACGCATTTGCGCCCGCCCACTTCTCTCAAAGGCTCGGGGAGTCTGTGTTGGCAAACAAGCCAGTATGTGTGCGTGTACCTGCAGAGCAGCCAGCAGAGCCTGCAGCTGGTACATGCGGCCGCGCTCCTGAGATTCGCCGTCCACAGCCCAGTTAATCGGCAGCCGCTGCGCAGCTGCGCCGTTGTTCTGCAGCAGCGACTGCAGGATCTGTGCGCACCCCACATCAGCCATGTCAGCCCGGCGCAACGGGGAATCTGTATATTTTTTACTCGTGTTTGCTGCAATTGGGCTGTGCCCCTGCACGTGACTTATCATTAGGCTCTCTGGCCGCTTTTCAGTAGAGCCTGATGCTTGCAGTCATCAAACGCAGAAGAGCTGTGCATTCAGCATTGCAAAGTATGAGCATGGATGATCAACAGCATGTTCATGCTGTGTCTGTAGGTCTGCGCATCAGGAGGGACAACAGTTGTGCAGGAAAAATCAGCCGCACCGCAAGGTTCAGCTGTGGGTTGGCATTGCTTGCAGGAAGTGCCTCTGGCACCGAGTCCAGGCTTGCTGAGGCCAAGATCTGCTGATACGTTTCCGTGCCTGAGCAGCAAAGTGGGGCCTCAGTTCTGGGCAGCTGCCCTTGAATAACACAAGGGTGAGCCCTTTGCAAACGCGCTGCTTCGTCTCATGGCATTCAGATGGTACAGCAACTATGCATAGCCCGAGATAACAGTTGCAGTGGCATAAGGGGCATACTTGCGAGGGCCTCCGCTTGCAGCTGCGCTGCAAGCAAGGCAGGATCGTCCTCGGGCTTCCGCAGCTCCGATTCCTGGTGGGCGAAGAAGCACACGCGGCGCTTGCACGCAACGCCATCCGTGCAGCACTGCAACTCAGCAGGCAAGTCGTAAGCCCTGGTTCGTTTAGTTGTTGAAGGCCAGTCAGGACTTATCATGCGATTGAAGTTTTCCCGGGGGTTCGCTCTATGATGTTTTCTGCGCGATTCCGCCGCGGGCAGAGCTGCTAGACGTACATTGAAAGCTTTCAAGCTAGACTAGGGTCGGTGGGCTGGCCGTCCCGGGCTCCCCAACCTGATCCTTGCTCACGGTGTCCACAGAGAACCCACAGGACGGCCACCCCCCGTGCTTGTGCTCGCCATCCAGATGCCCTTCAGCCTTGCGGATCCAAAGATTGAGAAAGTGGCATTGGCGCCGCGCGTTTTGGACCAGACAACAAACATCGCAACCGATCGGAAGCTGAGTCAAGGCACACCTGCGTGCGGTAGCGAGAGGGGTGCAGCCAGCTCTCGAACACGCCGTGCGCAAATGGGCATTTGTCCCCTCGACGGCAGCTGGCATTCTGCGTACGACAGCCCAGCTGTCAGGTACAAACTGGGGGCGCCCACGGCCGGGTTTCACCGTATAGTGGGGAAACGCACTACTTTCTCACCTTTCGGTAGTCTGGGCAGGCCGCTCCCGTGTAGGCAAACCGCCTGGGGTCTCTCCGCTTTGCTTTCTCGCCTGCGGGCCGGGATGTAAGGTGTCAGCACTTAAAACTCCATTTTTCATGAAGTGCACTTTATGGGCAACCAGCAAGAGCAGCGCTCGCCTGAGTGGCTGAAGGGGCACTGTGTCCAGTCATGGGGCCTGCTGCGTGAACACCTCTTGACCTGCACATGTCCACAGGTGAGCTTCAGTCCCCAGGCCACAACAAAACACACACAGGTGTACCGTCGGATTTGCAACTCACTTTGTATGAAAAAATTCGGAACGTGTTGGACTGGTGATCTTCGCTGTCGTCCAAACTGTTTGACTTTACTTCATCCATTTGAACAGGCCAAAGGGCCAGGAGACTCCAAAGATGTTATGGCATTGTGAGGGAGCGCTTCGACGTTGGGGAGATCCATGAGATCTGGGCAGATCTAGGAGTCTTACTCATCCGTATCACGTATCACGGGGTCGGTAAACCGCCAGCTCGCACGTTCGCAAACGTCATCTCTCGGCTGCCGTGCAGCTGGAAGCTGCTCCTGGGACTTTGATTGATGATGATGGAAAGACCATCCTCAGGGTTCCATCCATCACACCCCCAATTGTCTGCCTAGCCCGCTGAGGCCTTGCCAAGCCCCGCAGTTTCTTTGTTCGCTTTTTCTGTATTTGGATCAAAATTCTGCAGCTGACTCTGTACTGAGAATCACCCACTGGGAAGACCCACCTTCCAAACAATAAGAAATAAAGAAATCTTTATGGTCCACTGAATTTGTTTCCTAGTATTCTACCTTTGGAACCAGTATGGGATCCGTTCAGCTATCCGTCGAGAGCGCTCTTGCGCAGATGGCGGTTGCAGTCCAGCGGGGAGAATTTGTGGAGGTTTGTGAATCGTTAACACTTCAAAAAATTCGAACATCACAGGTTTTAAAATATATTTCAACCCAAGTGTTTCATGTCTTGAATTCGTGGGAAAATGATTGCACATCTCGGGTGGGCATCCTCACTGCAGGCTGCCAACATTGGAAACGAAGCAAGCATCCCCCTGGGGGTGGCAAAGGCTGATTTGCACCTCGCAAAGACGCTGCACCGCGGGCAGCAGGGTAGCGTGCTGCAGGGCACTTTTCAGACCGAGGGTGTGGCCGTGAAGAAGGCCCGCATCAGCACAGCCCAGGCATGGTCCACATCTTGTGTGCCCCTTTGCGCTTATTATCAAGCAGCGATTCAACGCATGGAGATCATGATCATGGTCAGCAGGGGCTGGCCTTTGATTCTATGCCAAAGAGCGTGCTCCTCTTTTCGCAGGACCTGGACAATTTTAGAAAGGAGATATACCTGATGAGCCGCATCGACCACCCAAATGTTGTCCGCCTTGTGGGCGCCCGCGTGCTCCCTCCAGGCATGTGTCGCTCTTGCAACTTGCCTGTACACGCCAATATTGATCAACAATACCTTCAATTCCTGTAGAGTTTTCTGATTACATGGTGTGCTGCAGAGTACATGCTGGTCATGCCCCTGGAAGGAGACAACCTCGCCACGAAGCTGCATGAGCAGGTCTGCAAGGCCCTTCTCTCCCAACAGCTACCTGAAAAGACATGTCTGTACATGAGGACATCGTTGCTGGCTTCCTTATGTCATGTGTCTCCCATTGCATGGATGCAGTTGTGTGGTCACATGGGCATGGTGTTATCGAAGGGGTGGCGTCCCAGCTGGCAGGAGGTGGTGCGGCTCTCTTTGGACCTGGCCAGCGCTGTGGCCGCTGTGCATGCGGCCGGCATCCTACACCGAGACATCAAGGCCTCCAACGTCATGCTCGGTGCGGCAGTCAGAATGAGTCTCTCTGACAAGCTTGGGGGCTTTCGTTTGGACAATCTTCTCCTTGGAAAAGTGTTTGGGAAACTCTCTCCACCTGTAGCACTCACAGGAGCCCACACCATCTCCATAACCCTCAGCATGTCTGCTAACGGGCACGGATGTTATCGCTGATTTGGAAATCAAGCAAAGTATGCGATTTTCCCAGAAGCCAGCAGGAACTGAGCGCGAGGCTGACTCATTGGCAGGGGCTGATGGGAGCGCCATACTGGGGGACTTCGGCATTGCTGAGCTGGCGGATGTGCTGGCGGAGGAGCAGGCCGACAGGTCCAATCTCATACGCCGGGGCAAACCTTCCGGCGGCTTCCACAAACGCCACCTGGTCAGTATTTGGCCACCTTCTCCCCCTGCGTCGCATTCAGTCTTGTCAGCTGCGACCATCTGATGCCCTTGACCAGCCTCTAGAAGCAAACTCCTACTTTATTTAATAAATGAATGTTGACATGGCAATGAGATTGATGAGACGGCTGTAGAGACGACATCATTCAATGCGGCACATGCAAGGGAAGTGGCCGTTCTCCTCGGATACCCCAATTCTCCTCAAATCCAAAAAGCAAGCAACACAGTGGGATGCAACCAGTCTGCAGCAGCCTGTCATAGTATGCAAATATTGTTGTTCCTTGTCTTCTAATATATCCCTGCTCAGGTGGGCACACTGGAGTACATGGCGCCAGAGGTACTGCTGAAGGAGCCCACCACGGCTGCATCGGATGTTTACGCGTGGGCGGTGACGGTGAATGAGCTGGCTACTGGGGTGTTCCCTTTCTCTGACTGCAACAAGGACAACCCCCAATGCCAGACCATCCTCAACTTTGGCTACGGCAGGCGCGCCACTTACGGTCATCATGCTTCAACATGTGTGCACCATCTGCTTGTGTATCACGTGCCTTGTCATAATGCCAGCAAAGAACGGGCACGAATAGTAAGACTCCTGTGCAAGGCATGTTGCCAGGTGCTGGAAACTATGTTCCAGACGCAGGCCGAACCCCTTCAATCGGGTCTGCCGCATCGACTATGTGGGTAGATGTTGGTCATTTGGCCAGACACCCCAACCACCCCGACCGACTTGGGAACGTCCTAGCTGATGGACCAGCCCTGCCTATAGCCTGGCATGGCAAAGACTGTTGAAGAGTTTCTTGGGCTGCGACAAATCTGTGCATAGCAGGAACGGTGGGAGTCAAGTATTACATATCGGCCCTGATGGCCGGCTTTCAGGTCCATAAAGGACCACCGGTCACCGGAATGTACTAGTCTGGTCTATATGGTCGTCAAATCTGTGATACCAAGAGTCCGTGGTGTGCAGGCAAGAGCTGGCGGCGGCGGTGGCGGCAGAAGGCCTGCGGCCAATTCTGGCACCAGACACTCCAAGGGAGCTGGCAGCGCTGCTGGAAGCTGCCTGGCAGCTTCAGCCGGCTGCACGTCCGGCCGCCGTGCAGTTGGAGGCCCAGCTGGGCGCTCTGCTGAGCCGCATGGAAGCTGCGCCGGCAGCTGCAATAAAAGATGATGCCAATGCCGCAAACGGCCATGGCCCTCACATTGACAGTGTGTGCTTCTTCTCTGACACCAAGATCTGCTAATAATGCCATGTGAGGGTACTTCAGATGTCTGGAACAATTTTCCGATTCAAAAATGGGAAGAAATTGTATCTTGCAAGCCAAGACTGGCCGGAGGAGGCAAAAAAGAATCTCAGGGCAGAGCAGGTGCAGCAAGATCTTCTTGACTTTGGTGCGCAATCACAAGGGAACACAGTGCTCTCCATATACCATGGGGTCTGGTGATCGCATCTCAGTCCAGAAGATCTTGTTGTGTCTTGAAATAATCTTGCCCCCAGCTGACCATTCTGTATCTGTACAGGCTTGGCATTGTTAGAACACAGCGCACTTGGTCTTGGCGGCACCTGACTGTGCCTTTTGGTCATGTACAGTCGGAGCCACACATCTTCTCCCCTTTACCATGAACAGCTCAAAGGCCTTCGCTAAGCTTGGATGCGAAAGGTTTTGGCGTGGAGGCCCACCCGCTGCCCTGTTGATGCAGGTCTGATGCGCAGCATATATGCACAGGTCTGATGACACTGTGCTGACTCTGCAGGCCCCACGAAAGAGGCGGCGTCAAATGGAGCCGCGCACGCCTCAGTGCTCAGCAATGGCGCAGCCGCGAGCTCCCCGGAAAGTGCCAGTGAAGACTGGGGCCAGCCTGCGTGGTCAGCAGCTAGCAGCAGTAGCTTCCAGCCAAAGGCACGCACTTTTACTAAAACCCCTTTGCTGTGTCTTTGTAGCTCATGTGTTTCCATTGCTTGTCTCTAGAATATGTAAGTCTCATGTCTGTCATAAAATTGCCAGGTGGTTGGAACATTCTTTTAATTTAAACCCTTGAAGATTGACTTAACTGCGCAGGTGGAGGCAGGGGCCTTTGAGACTGCCGGGCTCCGGGGCGAGGATAGAATGGAGGATTACCACTTTATCGCATCACCCCTGCCCGCTGCAGGACCCAACACCCATCTCATAGGTGCCCTTCTTTGTCACCCACCAGCCCCTTTGTGTCATAACTTCCCAGATGGGGGCCTAAGACATCTGAGACACCCAAAATGGCACCAACTCTTCCAGAGGTTTGGCATGCCGCTTGGATTGGTTCACTGCAAGATCTAAATTAGCTGGCAGACGGTCTGCCGCAGCATATTATGCTACATGTACTAGCAAGCATCCTTCCATCCTTCATCCCTGCCCAGGGCGCTTGAGATATTGGCACTTTGAAGCACACCCGAGCACCCAAGGCAGGAATGCGTCAGAAGGATGCTTGCCATTACATGTTCACAGGCCCGCCCTTCCATATCGGTAATGCCACATGTGTAGGAATATTTGACGGCCACCGAGGGCGGCAGACGGCGGAGTTTGCGGCGCAGCACTTTCCGGGTTTCCTGCAGCGGGAGTGGCACAGGGACAGCGCAGAAGCAGCTCTGCAGGCGGCTTTCTTGGCCCTTGATGACGCGTTCAGGCGGCAACAGGTGCCTTTTCCTCTCTGCATGCTCCTATTGCCCCGGCTGGCGGGGGGCGATATAAATACTGAGCACCGTGCCCACGGTTGATGGGTCTTGCTTGGATCCGGCGAGTCCAACAAGGGGTAGGATTATGGCAGCCTTCAACTGCAGCTTGTCTGCAGGACGCACCTTGCCTCTTGGCAGGAAAAGCGTTTAATGATCTAATATAATTTAATGCTCCTATTCTCACACAACGCCCTTGACCGCCCTTCTTACTAGCGCTGGACTGTCCTGCTGGCCAGACCTGTCCCATCTTGCTCTTTGCGGTCATTCTGCCTGTTCATGAAAAAACTCACACACAGCCACATCACAGCCGTCTCATAATTTATACATGTGGCGCACTTACAGAGGCTTGTAGAAATCTGTTCCTCAGCTAGCAAAACCGGACTGCATGTTTGCGACGTGATCAGTAGTGCTTTTGGGCCGGGGGGTGTTTGCACAGTTGCTGCACTTTTTTAAAACAGCGAGGCAGCCCTCCGTCCCCTAACCCGCGCTCGCTTTGTCTACATGTCCGCATACTCTCTTGGCTCAAGGCTCTCGGGGTCAGAACATGACAATCACAAACATCTCTCTTTGCGCAGGATGCGGAGTGGGCGGAGCGGGTGGGCCGCATGGGTGTGGCGGCTGCCGGGGAACGCCCCTGGCCGGGCTGCACCGCTATTGTGATATTAATCCATGCCGGGCACCTCTACGTCGCCAACGCCGGAGACTGCCGCGCCGTGCTGTGCCGACAGGTGCGCGCATGCCTGATCTTATATTGGCAGGATGATAAATACTTGCAGCACAAGGATGTGAAGTAGAGAACTTGCGGGGCACCCGAATTCACATGTGACCACATGCTTGTGAGATTGTCTTGATGCTCCCTGTCTTGTCCGGTGTCGGGAGTCTGCTTAAAGTACAGATCTACAAGTGTCTGCAGTGTCTTTTGATGCCGTGGGATTTTGCTAGACATTGCATGGGGAATGCCAGGCCATCATTGGGCACGCTGGCATATCTTGATCTGTGCAGTGCACATTGCATGCTGCGAACCTGTGTCTACCTGAATACTTTACGGGTTTTCTGGGAGCTCCATCACCCGATGTCATTACTGGATGCCAGGGGGGCGCTGTGGCGCTGAGCACGGATCAGACAGCGGAGCGGGAGGATGAGCGGCAGCGCATAATATCGGCGGGCGGCCACGTGCACTTCAGGGTTGACAGCTGGCGCGTCGGCAAGGCCGGCATCCAAGTCTCCAGGTGCGTTTAAAAATTGACTTAATTCTTTTATTCGAGTTTGAATTCTATTGTGGGATTTTCAAGGGCGGCTTTGCCGTTGCCAATTCTCCAAGTGAGATGGGACCCCATGCAAATATCGGTGGCAAGGGCAGCATATTATGGGTGACCAAGTTGCCCAATCCCTCGGCTCCAGATCTGGGTTCTTGCATGCGCAAAACCAGGCAGACTTGGGAGGATTGTGTTGAGTGTTCTCCTAAGTGTTAGTGTCGTTTGCGCAGGTCACTGGGGGATGCAGATCTTAAAGCAGAGGGGCTGACAGCGCTGCCAGAGGTGACAGGCAGGGCGCTGGACGAGCAAGATCTGTTTGTGGTGGCGGCCAGCGACGGTTTCTGGGACAAGGTCGACAACACCGAGGCCGTCAACATGGTGCACGACACAGGTGGGTCACTGGACACACCTCCCTTCATATTCTAGCATGAGCATGCGCAAGGTATTGTTTTTCGCAGACAAGTGCTTGTCACTTCGTTACAGGGTCACTTTGCGCAGATGGGAGAGGGGCATACAGTGGTCGTAATTCTCCTGTTGATGTGGTGTGGTGCTTTATGTTGATGGCACCTCCAGCCAGCACCATGTCAGTTTGTGTAGATGCACTCAAATCTTCAGTGGGTTGAGACTTGACACAGCCTTCATGGACACTGTATTTTTGCTGCAACGCAAGGGCAGCGACCAACTCCTACAAGCACAGAATCCCACAGCCTGGCGCGTTCTTCTATACATCATCCCCTTGCATGCATGCTGACTGCGGTTCGTGCATGTCTCCCCCCAGTGAAGGAGCCTTCGATGAGCGCCAAGCGGCTTGCGACAGAGGCGCTGACGCGCGGATCGGCTGACAACATCACCGTGATAGTGGCCTTCCTGCAGCCGGTCAGCACCCTGGAGCAGATCTACGCCAATGGCCGCCAGAAATATGCGCCACACCAGATGTTTGTCGGTCCCAACCGGGCCGTTAAGCCCTCCACCTACCAGCCCGCCAGCGCGGATGAGTTGCGGGACACCTATTGAGAGACTCGTGGAGACAACTAATTTGTCAGGATTCGAACTCAGGATCAAAATTTTAAGTTCGTGAAATGAGCTCTCGAGATTTACTTCTATGGTGAGGAAAGGTGACAGCGTGTTGCATGGAGCATGCAAAGACTTGGGAGGAGCGCAGATGCTGTGCGTTCATTCTGAGTACTGAGTCTGAAAGTTCAAGAGGTTCAGGCATGAGATATTATTTGGGCTGCAAGCAGAGTCTGCTTGGCCTGGCCCCAATTCTTTACAGTATACAATTAATCCAGATACTTTTGCCGGTCCAGACTCGCTCTTGAGCCGGTGTCACGCAATCTTGATGGAGAGCTTTAGAGCTGCAACAATGTATGATGCAACGCTAGGATTGCCCCAAGTTATTTCACAGTCTGTACAGTAGACTACAGTAGCACACCCAGTGTGTCCCAACAGAAAAAATGAACTGGATTTGTTATTCTACAAAATAAATCACGAATCAATGTGTCAACGTTGATGGCAAAAGAGCTTCGTCCAGATGAGCGTCCAGATGGCCGGCCTGACGTGCTTTGCGCCTTGCTGAGATGTCCAAGCTTACTAATCAGGCACGCCTGCGCCTCTGCCCGCGCCAGCTGTTGGGCTTTGTGCTTGGCTCCAGCACTTTCAGCACCTGCATGCGCACAGCCAGTCTCTTCCATGCATTCCAATCCTGAAATCCGAATAATTTCCTGATACTCCAAAACATGTACCCTAGTGAGACATACGGGCGGTACCTTCAACTGGGTACACCTTACAGACATTGCCAACGCCATTGACAGGATGGTAATAAAAAAAGCCAAGGAAAGTTGAAATGAGTGCTTCGAGGAATTAGAGGAGAGAAATGAGAAGATCCACCACTGGCACCCACCTCGACATCCATGCCACCGGCGGAGAGCGCTGCGGCCCACGCGCGCTGCTGCTCTGACAGCCGGTCGCGGGGGCCCTTCACCTCCGACGCCTTCGCGCGCCGCCGCTCTGGGTGCCACAGCAGCAGGTCCGGCATGCCACCTGCGTAATTCCGGCCATTATCAAACTTCATCATCATCGCAATTACGCAATTCCATTTCAGACCTGTTGGGAGCCACCTCATGCTGATTACTTTCATGCAAGATTTGACGGTGCAACATCTGTTGCTGCTCAGAGGGCACACCTGACCACCCGGCGTGGTCCTCTGCCAGCAGGCGGCAGATGGACGCCAGTGCATGGGCCCCGATGCAGTCCGCTATCACCACCAGCTCATCCAAGCCTGCAGCCACCTTCAGCCCATCAGTATAGGTATCACGCTGGCTTGACCAGTAAGGCGCTCAGAAGTGAGCAAATTTCCCTGCGCAGTCTTGGTATGTGCGGACTTTGCAGAAGTCTGATTCCAAAGTTCAGAGTCCAAAGTCCAAAGTCCAAAGAAAGGACAGAATAGAAAGGAAAAGCAGGCGCACCTTGGCGCTCCCAGTTGACGCCCACGCACATGATGCCGTGGTGGGCCTCCCATGACTCGCGCACAAGCGCACCCACGTCGCCGCTCCTTATCTCCGCCAACCGCCCCTCTATCAGCTCCCTTCGCGCCTGCCACCGCCCAGAGACACTTCAATTCAGTTTCCAACGAACACAAATATTTCAATATCTCTTCAAGATCTTTTTAGTTCAAATTCTTTTTTAAAATTTTCTTACTTTTGTGCCGGTGGCAAGGAGCGGTCTGCAGACAAGCTGCAGGACAAGGCTGCCACAAAGCCCACCCCTTGATGGACTCGCCAGATCCAAGCAAGACCCAATCAATTGTGGGGCACAGTGCTCAGTTTTAACACGAACATTGAAGACATGATGATGCCGACTGCCTCACACAAAGGGGCAGTGAGTAACACCCTTCCCCAGTATTGCGCAGGGGCAAAACACCCTTGAAAGCACAAAGTAAACAGGCAACATTCTGTGGCTTTGGTGTTCAACAATGTGGTAAATGTGGCCTCTACAGGGTGACAGCTGAAAGGCACTGTAATGTACGTGCTCCATGGCATGTGCAACATGACCAAAAAGGGGCTTCATGGATTATAAAGGACTACAAGTACATCTCAAAGCAGAAAGGGGTGTACCGTGTAGAAGGTGGGCGTGTGGAGATCGAGGGGGCTAGTCTGGAAGGGCGTGCGCAGGCTGTCCGCCACGTCAGCGAAGAGTGCTTCCCACATCAGCAACCCCCACAGCGTCGCCCACACTCCCCCCTCCGAGTGCACCCCTAGACAATATTCCGATATTTGCATTAAAGATACTGAAAGCCGTCTAAATGCTCAGCAAACAAAGGAGCCTATTTGCAATCACTGGGAGGTTCTTTATCTGAGCACATCCTGGTTTTAGCGCGTCCCACTGCATCTTTCAAGTGATGATCAGCATCTTCAGCAAGTGGTTGGGGCAGCTACGAAGGCACACATTCAAAAAAGAGTGCCTCTCTTGGATGCCGCGATCAGGACCTAGAAGCGAAGCCTTTGCAGCTCTGTGGCTGAAGCGCTGCTCATATCAGGAGGAAAGAGTTGTGGTGTGGGCACCTTGCCAGCCGCCGCCGTCTTCACTGGCATAGTACTGCAGCGCCAGCTCCTCCACCTTGACTGCCTCCCCATCCGCAGACCAGAACATGCTCTTTGTGCCGATCTTGCTTGCTATCGGCCGGCCCTCTATGCACACCTGCACCGCACCGCCAACCCATCACCCACCCTGTCTTCAATCCCCTCACTCAGCCACTGGACATGCTCACGCAAAATGGATGGACGATCCAGTAAGTCGCCTGCCCATGGTAATAAAGGCACTTGTAGCCCGCTCACAATGTCCAGGAAATTGAGGAATAACCACAAATTTCTGAATGCATGGCCCGTGTTCCAATACTGCAGGTCACTCAACGGTTTGGATTGCAGGTCAATTGACGGGGTGGCTTCAAAAGAGTGGGATGGATGAGTCACCTCGCGAGGGTCAGCCGGAACTTGGGCGGCCCAGGGCGGCTGCTTCCATCGGCGTGGCGGCTTGCCCAGGCGGAGGGCACGCCTCTGCAGCGCCAGCCGGTCCCCACCGCGCACATGCTCGTCCGCCAGCGCTGCCTCCGCCACCTGTCACGTCATCATCTTCACTTTTCTTTGAATCACAGTTCGAAAGAATTCCACGTACTGTACCTTCCCTCTCCTTGTAAGAGGTGCTTGCAATGCAACTGCAGAAGCTTTTGCAGGAGTCTGCCTCAAGGAGGGCCTCAGGACATGCCTCGCAGCATTGTTGACTAAGGTCAGGAGATGTCCTCTCACTTTACTCAGCTGCATATGTTGGACAAGGTCGTTTCTTCCCAACAGAAGTGGAAATGCAATGGCCATAGGTGCGCGCCTCCAGGGCCATCTCTGGGCAGCCCAGGTGCTCGGAGTTGATGGACAGCCGCACCCACCACTCACCCCTCCTGTTGGGACAGCACACCCCTCCTGCGCACACAGCACACCGGCAAGCCTCAAACCTTGCGCAACATACAAGCCTGTTTCCAACAGGCGTTTCCTGTCCACTGCGTTATCAAATCCATGTGTCAAAGCAGGAATCGCTGGGGGGGAGGACATTTGTCCAGCATGCTGAGCTGCATCCCCATAACATGTGAGCAGCCCTCTCGCGCTTTCCCTCAAAGCCAGAATGAGGAAAGCAGCTCCCTCACCTAGCAGCTTGCGAATGGTGTCACAGGCCTCCTCGTAGCGCTTCTGCTTCTCAAACAGCGACACTCCCGCCGTCGCCATGGCAACATAGACCCACGCGGCAGAGAAGCGCAGCAGGAATGGGCAGTGCGCCAGCGGCTGCGCGGCAACTGCCGAGCCAGAACAGGCGTGGGGTCCCCCCGGCTGAGCTGGCGAGAGGGGGGCCTTGTGCAGATTCGCCTCCACCGCGTCCCACGCCGGCCGCAGCGCCGCAACCGCCGCTGCATGGTCGCCGGCCTGCGTTACATTACTGTGGTATTAGTCAGTGAGCAGGACCTCTTTGTTTGCGCGCATGGTGATGCAAGACAATTGCATGCAGATGTGTGTTCAGTTTGCCGTTCCAAGAAGATGTTGTGGACTGTGATACATTGATGAAACAGACGATGAAGCCATTGCCTTCCAAGCGCCGTCAAGTTTATGAATACGTGAGTGACGCTGAGGTATACATACAGCACCTTTGTGCAAACATATGATGCTGTATGCCTCAGTGGGTCGATTTTTGTCTGCCTTGAATGAAACAGGACCCTTGAAGGTATCAGGCACAGGCTGCCATGCCTTGGAGTGTGCCACAGGGGATTGACGCCCAAGAGTCTCAAAGACTGTGGTTGGTACTGGATATTCGAGGGCTTCGTGTTGGGCTTCCTCTGAGACACATGGGCAGTCTCATACACCAATATCATTCTGGCACCTTTGCCTGTCCTACACATCCCAGGGCTTCCTGCCTCCCGGCATCAATACGCCCATATCGCTGTGTCTATCCCTATCCACATCGTCCAGCAAGCCACCCCATACCTGATCACCTGCAACAATTTCAAATCCACAGTATTATGAGGGCCTTACTGGGAATCTTACAGGTCCCAGTTGCGCACCTCGAAAGCAGCGTCCAGCGCCTCGGCGTGGCCTAGGGCCGCCTCATAGGCGAGGAGGGAACAGCGGGAGGCCCAGACGGGGCGCGTGCGGCGGACGGTGTAGCTCGGGTAGGGCATAATCCCCAGGTCCGCCACCAGGAAGCGCGACAGGTCCTGGCCCTCGTTCAGAAAGAACAGCCGCTGCAGCCGGCCTGCCCACTCCGCCGCGGCCGGCGCCAGCGCGCAGCAGCGGCCCGTCACCTGCTCAACCTCCTCCCACACCCGCTGCCCCTGTTGAAGGGGAGAATTGCCCTCAGCCCAGAATCTTGCTTGGGGAGAGTCGGTCACACTTGTAAGGGGCACTTGAGAGGAGAATATACTGTAGAATGCAGCAGGAAGCAATGCAGCTGCAATTTGTGCGGCCAGTGAAGCTGGCTTTCAGGCAGCAACAACTCTTTGCAGGTAGGGCACAATTGGTAAGGTAGGAAATTGCATGGCATGGACATGTGTGCCGGCAAGTTGACACAGGTGGAGGCCTCTCTTGTAACTTACACCTCACCGTCATTTCAGTGATGACCCCCAATCCATAATCACTATTCATATGCTAAGTATGAGTCACAGCAGAGAGTGATGGAAATACATGCCTTGGTCTGGCAGGAGTGGACGGGCTGTGCATGGAGGGCGTCAAGCAGCGCTTCCAGCAGCTTGCTGCGAGGGATGCCGTACGACGCGCGCCCCTTGGCAGACAGGCCCAGCGTGGACAGCAGCGCTAGTATCTCCGGCACTGTCAGCATCTCCACCACCGTGCTGCGCTCTGTGTTACATAGCCAACGTTGGTGCAGCTGTCAAAAGGAGAAACATCCAGAAAAGACTGTACCCTGGGCCTGTCCAGTTAAAACCCCCAGGGTGTGGAGGGGGCAGTTCTCTTGATGTGAGCCCACGGGCTTGTGTCGCCCGCCCTCTCCTTGTAGGTTGGGTTCCTCTCTACTCACAAGGGCTTTTGGCAATCCAGGAGACCTTAGACCTCGAATTTTGTGCTGAATAGCCATCCTCTGTCGATGCTGACAGGGGCCACTGAAGAAGACGATCGAGAATAAGAGGTGCACCTTTTACTGTTGCATGCAAGAGTGCTTTGTGAATTCCATTGAAACCCACAGATTAACACCCAAAGCCAGCATTACACATTGGATCTGATCGATACAGGTCCATCGGGTGTGCAATTGATCATTGTCATCAAAGTGGCACAACATCAAACAGGAAACTGGTTCCCCTGGGTGGCCACACCATTGTTACACCGCTCTAATCTGCTGCACAGAGGCAAGAACAGGGGCCTGACCTTCAGGAGAGACGGAGTCCGAGGTGCGCGCGAATCCGGCGGCCACAAGGGAAGCCACGGCTGCATCTATCTCAGGCACCTCTGTGTAGCTGAGGGCCGCCATCCTGAACCAGTCCCTCCTGCGCTGGAACAGACGCAGGAACAGACACTGCGCTGGAGCATCCAACTCCTGCAACGCCAGCTACACCCAGATTTCCAGACGCTGCACTGGACAGGAAAATGTGCAAATAGAACAGTCATGATCCTTGCATTGCATGCACACACAGACAGGGTTGCGTAAAGGTGCGTAACATCTGGCAAATGATGAGCATCCCTTAGGTGCCTCAAGAGTGAGGTGCATCAGGCATAAGCAGAGCAAAGAGGGCAACATGAGAAAACATTATTCTGGGATGGTCTACATCTCCAGCTTCAAGAGAGCATGACTTGAACTGGACCAACCAAGAGAGGGAGAGAGAGTAGCGCCAGAGAAAGAAAGTGTTGACAGCCCTCAAAGTCCTTGCCTTGAACAGGGCGGTGGTGGCTTGCTCTTCCTCGGACAGCAGGTGTCCATCCTGGCCCAGCACGAGGTCTGCAACCACCACAAAGTTGCTGCGCAGCATTTCTCCGGTGCCCGACCCGCTCCTCTGCTGCGCCAAGCTGGCGTGTGTCTCAGCCGCCACTCTCGCTGCATCAACTCCCTCTGCCGCTGCCTCTTTCTCAACTGCGCCCTCCGCACACAGCCGAATCTGCACACACACAATCCCAAGTTCACGTTGCATGATATGAGCTGTCCTACACAACCGAAACGATGTCCTGAAAACGCCTGAGCTGTGGCGGTCATTGCTAAAGAACAGACACCAGCCTTAGCACACAGGGCCAGAACATCTCATAAATGCCAAAGAGCGCTGTCTCCATGATTAAGGCTTCAGCACAGTGAGCAGGCTGGATGGCGTGCCTGAAGCTTGATGGGCAGGGAGGCTTTGGGAGTCTTGGGAGGCTCCAGCACAGTGAGCAGTACTGAGATGGCTCCCGAGGACAGGAGAGGCGCTAAAGCGGCAGAAATCGTGGCCGGCAGGTAGCCCAAGCAATGCTCCCCCTCTGGTGACTCGCTGTGACTGACTACGAGCAGCGCGTTGGGGTCCCTGGCATTGCTCGGCTCGGCCTTCAGCGCCGCTGTTTGGCCTGCAACCACCTTGATCACTGGATGAAACCGGCGGCCCACTGCAAAAGTGTTGAATGTGACTGTGTCGCGGTCCTCTGCTGAGCTCCTTTGTGGGCTGGCGGCTTGCTGGTACACTGGGCCTGCTGCACTGGGGCTGTCCCTGCAGGAGGCTGTAGAGCCTCTGTTGGGAATCCAGTCATCGCTGTCTTGGCTGGCAGATGAGGACCAACTGCTGTCCGTGCGGCCCTTCTTTCTGATGGGAGAGGTGATCTCTGTCGCTGCTGACTTGTCTGACGTCCTGGGACTCCTGCGAGTCGCCCTGTCTGCGGCTGCACCGCTGTCTGGGTTCTCTGTTGGTGCGCTGGTGTGGCGGGTGGGGAGTGGCTGCTCGGCGCTGGGTTTGGAGTTGGTGTTGGGTGTTGCGGATGTTTTGCATGCCTCGGTCAATGCAGGTGCAGAACGCGCAAAGCGCAGCGTCGTTTGGGATTTGCCTCGAGAGGTTGCTGCCTTCGCCAGGCAGTTATCTGCGATGATACTCACAGAAGGGCTCAGCTGACAATGCATGATTGATTGAGAGGCCTTCAATCTGCGCCGCAATACAATGGAAGGCCACAGAGAAAAAGTTTTGTGGGCACACCGAGGTGGCGGTTGATTTCTACATCGTTCAGTGGCAGCTGCTTGCTGCAAACGGGACACGTGCTGCCTGTCGCCTGTACCGACTGTTCTCCAAAACTGTGACTCCTGGCCTTTGTTCGCGGCGATCTCCTGAGCAGACTCTGGCTGCCTTGCAACCTTGGTGCTGCTGCAGGAGACTTCTGTTCTTCTTGGCTTGCAAAAGGGCTTTCCAGACCATAATCTGGAGCCTTGCCTACAGGGGAGGATTCCTGCCGCACTGCAAGGCCTCTTCTTCGCTTTCCAATGGCTGTGGGAGGAGAGCTGGTTTCTGCGCCTTCCTGCGCTGCAGCTGGCGATCCCTCAGCACCATTCTCCAGCTTTGTTGTTCGTGGCTTCGAACTGCGACGCCAGCTCTGAGGGCGACCAATGATCTCCTGCAAGCTGGCCTGTCCTCGCAGCATGTTGGATGATTCCCCAACCAAGCGACCTCCAACAGCGCGCACTCAAGGCTGATCATCAAAGTAACTGGCGATGAACGTATATTCCGAGCATTAAGAAGGACGCTTCCAGTCTGCAGCACTCCAATCCTGCACAAGATAGTTCAGGCCATGCCATGTGGGAGAATCTGTGCAGGGGCTGATGTGTGACAACAGGAAGGCGAGTTGCACTGTTCAGCTGGTCAACTTCCATCCACTATTTCTATGTATTATGTGACTTTCTCTGTGAACTGGGAAAGGCAGCCTTGCGGGCTCAGAAAGGCCGCTTGATGACGCAGGCCAGCAGGCGCAGCATGCACAGCGTTCCAGGCATGCATACAATGGTGCTTTAAATTGGCTTGTGTGGACCACCTTCTTGATTGCATTTGCTGCCTTTATCAAGTGTATTACTCGTCATGTCCTCCCTGTCCTCAATATTACACTTGACTTTGGGTGTGAAATGTTGTATAAGAATCCTAGGTCATGACCAACCTCAGGCTTGTACATCCATATGGCGCCACATGCATGTGGCACATGCATAATGTTTATCGTATCATAACGGACCCGCAGCAGTTGCAATATAGTAAACTTATCACACTTGACTGTACATTGCTACATAGCAATTTTCACAGCTCGCGGAAGCGCGCTTTGATGTACTTCCGCGCAAAGTTCTTGGCAGCAGGCGCCGCGAGCTTCCAGATACCTTCCAGCTCAGATCTGCGCGTCCTCAGCCGCTCCTGTCTTTCCTGCTCCGGTGCCTGCACCATGAACACAGCTTTTAGATATCGCAGCCGTGCCAGCTTGCGCATATTAGCTCAAGCGAATGCACGTCGCATATGCAATTCCTGCACCAAGCTCTCTCACACATTTGCGTTTGCCGAACGATGCATTGCTGCACTTCTCCACCATTACAGACGAAGAGAAATGCAGACACTCAGCCTAATCCAGCACCGGACATAAGAGGAGCTGCCTTGCAAATGAACATCATGCAACAACAACCCTGCTGTGCATTTTTATTACTGTCAAGTTCATCAGGTTTGTCACCTGCAGCCATGCGCGCGAGTTTGTGCTGCTGCTGAAAATCCAGATGGTGTCGCGCATGGCCTGTAGGGGGTCTCTTCCCACTGCCAGCGCAGCAGTGAGCACCTCTCGGTTGTTCAAGACCTCCTCAATGATGTTGGACACATGGAAGTCCACTGCAGAGAGAGGGATGTCCCCAGGCTCCATGCAGCCCAGCTGCTGCAAGTCCCCGCCTGCATGAAGCAGTGCATGAAATTCAAGTGCAAGCGGCTGAAAAGGACAATTCGCTGCTTAGCATATGCAGAGGTCTGCAAGCACAGCTTCTGCGCTTGACCTTGCGCAGCAAGCTCTCCCTGGATGGGTTTTCTGTAAAAATGTATTTACCGGGTGGTGTGTGGAATTTGGATTCATACTATCCTCACCTGCTGCTGCTGAGAACTGCTGGTGCAAGTAGGCCATCCAGGGTGCGTCTGGCTGCGCAGTCCGCTGGGTCACCGGGGCTCCCTTCAGGAGGGACAGCGTTTCAACACATTCAAACCTGAACACACACATTCAGACAATTTCAACAACAGTGATTGCTTGGCTAGATGTTGCTGTGATCTTGCCATCATGTGTACATGATTCCCTTGAGCAGAGAGGCTGAGATAACTGGTGAAGAAATCCCTGCTGTCACGGACCCTTGAACATTGACAAGAGAGTGGGGGCTCCGACCTGTGTTTCCAGGTGGCAGCAAACTTCTGCAGCATTGACACGTCGCCTCCCATGCCCCCGTATGCCGCTCTCAGCATAATGCACCGCACCAGATCGCCAGCAGCAGGCGCCAGCTGCAATCCTGGTAATGAGCTTGAGCCTCCTGCTGGCCCTGAAACAAAACCACATTATCCCTGTATTTTCGTTTCATCAATTTTCATTTTATGGTTGCCATTCTGCAGCCATGAGAGTGTTCCGTCAGCTTGAGCTCAAAAGGTGCATGATTGCCAATGAGACCGCCCGTAGAAATTTGTCATCAGAGCATTCTAGCATGCAATGAATCCGCACTGGGGGCTCACCAGTAGTGTGTTGGGCCCGCACAGGGACGGAGGCAATCTCATGGATGATGGTTAGGCAGGCCAGCGCCAGCATTCTGCCCAGGGCATAGCCCTTTGGCACAGCCGCCATCAGCCACACTAGAAGTGGCAGAGACGGGTGCAGCAATGCATCCTACATTAACCATAGCTCTCGCATCAAACCAACACTGCATGTGACCAATGAAACAGTTTATTATGGGGTGATGCATACAATAGCGCACCTGTTGCAGCAAGTTTATTCAATAAGTCCTAAAAATCAGGGCAGCTCTATTGATGGTTCTCTGGGCACGTTTGGGAAAAGGAAGTCTTGCCTCGAGGCAGATGATGCATGTCCGCCTAAGCAGCTCGGAGGCATCCAGCTTCAGCAGGTGCAGAGCAACCCTGCGCAACTCATTCTTGTGTTTAACCTCACTTGTTGGAGCAAATAAAGCTATACTGAACACTCCTATGCAGTTGGACATGGACACTGACAGCTGAGTGCTTCCAACAGGATTGCCATTTCTCCACAACGGCGCTGGTGTATCTGGCGTGGCATGAGGCTCTGCTGCTGTTGCAAGCAGCCTTAGACAGAAAATGGAGTTGGATACTCGGTGAAGGTGAAATCTGGAGAATGACACTTAATGCGCACCTCACAGCAGCGTCTGCCCGGCCGAGCCGGACATTCTTCTGCAGAGCGCTCTTCAGGAGGCTGCTCGTGCCAGTGAATACCCAAGCCTTGCCTGAAGCCTTCTCAGCAGCCCCGTCACCCAGAGCCTTCAATTCTTCCTCGGAGCCCGGTTGAATGTCTGTCAGCAGCCTCAATGCCACCTGCAATCATTGCTCTCTTCTCAGAAAAGAAGCTTAGACCAATTGTTCATAATAAGAGCCACTTATGGTGCGCCCTTTATCTTGCAGAAAATCTTCAACCATCCCCTCAGTCAGAAAATGCATCAGAAAGAAGCCAACACGCTGTCAGCGTCTACTGCCACATCTGCTCTTTCTTATTCCCATGGTGATCACTATGCTAGGAAACAAGGGTTGGGTTGGGAACAAGCCGGTCAGGTCACCTTGGTTTCCGCTGCGGCAGGGCCGCTCTCGCATCGGCACTCCAGTGCAGAAAGTGGCACCTGCACCGAAGCTGACCACTTGGCAGCACTCACCAGCCGCTGCTGTGCAGCCTCATCAAGCCCTGGCTCTGCCTTCACAACCCCTGTGAGCGCACAACAAATCTTAACAAAATAGAGACATCAACTTTTGTAAGTAGGCCTCAGGATCCAGGCGCCAACTTGCTATTCACAGGATTTGACTGACGGACGAGACCAAGCAGACTGAGCCGATCTAAAGACAAGAAAGCACCAGCTCAGACAAGACAGCAGTATATCTGAAGACAAGATAGCTTGAGGGTTGTGTTTCACAGGCCCTACCGGTGTTTGCAGCATCAGCAGGAATGTGCTTGTCTCGCCACATGTGCCAGTAGTATGCCCCATCTGGATGCCTGCCCAGAAAGAAGGACCAGGTCTGGCTGCGCTCTCTCTGCCTCTGCATCATGTGCGCAAATGCATTGCCTGCCGTGGCACTTGCTGCCTGAGGTGCTGAGGGGGTCTTCACAGGCTGCGACTGCGCGCTGGGGCCTTCAGATACTGGCTGAGACAGCTCGGGCAGGCTCTGTGCGAAGGTCTGATGTGATGTGTCTGCGACTGGACTTTCTTCCAAGATCCCATCCAGGCAGCCATTGATGTGAAATTCCAGCAGCGATTTGGGCACTTTCTTGTTACACAGGGGACAGTCCCCAAAGGAAGATTGCTACAAAGCACAATTGAGTGAGTCAATTATCCAATGCAAGATTGTCAATACAATACTTCCGAACGCTACAGCATTGAAATTTTCTGCTCACCGATGCTCCTTCACTATCAGTAGAATTTTTATGCTTCTTGTCTGCAGAAGCCCCGTCCTTTGGAGAAGGCTCCGTGGGCTTGCGCTTGCCACTTTGCTGCAGCACAGCGAAAGCGTTCGGGAGACCCATTTTTAATTATGAATTGGCGAATGTAAAAATTTGCAGTTGTTATGCAAGACTTGACATTAATCGATTCCCTAATCACCCGGTTTTCGAAGAACTTCTCCTAAACAATTCGAAATTGGACCCGCAGCTTCTATCAGCTTCCCCAGAAGCTGGCCATCCCCACATTCCTCGCTTTTGTACCAATGCGTCCCAATATAACTTGTATGTGAGCACAGCGAAGCATAGAGAGCATTCCTTGCAGAAATTAATTGAGAAAGGAAGATCTTAGCTTGTGTACAAACTCTTTCGAAATCATCTCTGACGCATATATATGCACCTCCAGCTAGCCAGCTGGCCATGGCTTGGTAAACCAGGGTGGTCCGCACGTAGGCGCTTGCTGAAAGATTCCTAGTCTCTACTTTCAGTTATCTGTGAATCTGCTGTTGTTTTGAGCTCCCCAGCCCCTCATTTTGCAGCTCGATTTGGATTGGGCAGGCCATATCTCTTTGCTATCGGCCCAATTTCTCAGGTGCTCCTCTAGATTGGGTGGACTAATCAGCTGACAGGTTGAGGGCCAGGGACGAAAGCAGCAGCTTCAAGCAGAGGACTGCATGTGTACACAGCTCGCTTTTGTGCACATGAGTCTTCAGAGCCTAATTCTCCTCAGTTGCAGGATCGGCATGCCAAAGAATAGTTACTGTGAAAAGGCCCTGCAGGCGGCCGCCCCGGAGCAGTCTCAAATGCGAAACACGAAGACTCATAGTGAGACACACAGTCTTTCAGCAATGGGCGCCACAGGACTGACTGGATTGAGTTAATGTGCCGCACATTAGCTTCGTATATACCCGCGATTGTGATCAGTGCACCACCAATGCATTGCTTACTTCTGACAAGGTAGGACTGAAATTTCCAGAATTGTGCGTACACACTGGAATATCGTATCCCTCAAGGGTCTGGTGCTTCCTATAGAAACGCAGTATCCCCTGTAAGTCACACTGTCCAACAAAACTTTTAGACCTGTGATACAACATACATTCGTGTTCTAGATCTACTCCAGATAGGGGATAAGCTGGCAAGACAGGCTCAGCAACCCATTTTCGATTGGAGTTCCCTCAAGACACTTGGTGAGCTATCCAGATTGCACATTAAAAAGTCATGTCACAACTTTGAATAGCTAATCAACACGAATTCAGGAAGTCACACAACAGCTGCTCTTCAAAGCTGTTTTCCCGGCTCATCTTATTTGAAAGCATACAAATTCAATGAAATAAATGCTGAAACTACCGCAGTACTAGCAATTTCACAAGTAATCTCTAAAATGCACTGTAACTGTAAGAGGCATGAGCATGTAGCCACACAATCATAGTAGAGATGGGCCCCGCTCTGTTGCCCCTGCACCCGCTGCCAATCTTGCTCTAGCTCAAGCAAAACTATGCGAAAAAGACAAGTTTTGGGACTTCTGTTTCTGTGCCAGTCCTTGCTTGCATCAGCGAACCCCACCCTGCCACTCACAAGGCCTGGCACGCAAGCTGTCTCATACCAGCAGTTGCCCACGCACTGCTGCGCTCTTCTCGAGTTACGGGCGCGAAAAAGCTGCCCTTCACATCAGGGCTAAAGATGCCCTTGCAGTCATTTCTGCTGCAGAGGCTGCCTTTTGAATAGGGCTGAGGTGCCCTGGCAGTATATCAGGGCGTGCAGCTGCTCAATTGAATTTGGTGAAGACAAAGGGGGGCAGTCCCTCCAATTCGCTCTCCTCCCCATCCAAGAAATACCTGCGCCCGAGTATCACAGCACTTGTCAGTGCTACTGTTCAAGGCCCACAACAACATGTCATTAAGTACTGTGCAAGCTCTCACTCCATCAATAGCCCACCAGCATTCAATGCTCTGCATGCACTTTCAAACAAGAATGACATGCCCACTCAGAGCCCAGGCACATGCATGCATTAGAACGGGATCAAATGAATAGGAAATTTTCCTGACCAGGCAATGTGCTCATTATCATCATTTAATTTTTCTCACTGTACACGCATCATTCCAGCCCACAGGGCCAGGTGCGTTGCAGCAACCTCTCCCAATAGACCCTCTCCAGCCTTATGTAATTTGGCACTTTCTCCACCGATAACATGTCAACCCCATGGAGTCCAGGTCATCCCTAACGCAACCAATCCAAGAATGGACAGTCCTGATCGCCAAAAGGGGCGCTTCAGAAAAGGGCGCGCACGTCCCGATCAGGCAATGTCCGGATGAGGCAGCGGCTGAAAAGGGGCCTGAAGAGAAGTAGGGCAAGTAATATGCGCATCAAACCCCATAACACCCCTGAGAAGAGGGGCGCGCACGTGATGTCGGGGCCGTCGTAGCTGGGCTCCATGACGATGTCGCGTGCTGTGAACACCGCTCTGTAGTTGTACACAAGCATCGCAAGCTCCTCCTCCTTGGACTCTGGCAGGTGCGCGCTCTGGCGAGCAAAGTCCACGAACAGGTTAGAGAGGTGCTGGGAGACGGAGATGGCGTCGTGGGTGTGAGGGATGGTCAGATCGCTGAACTCGAAGGGCGGTTTCTCCGGGTGCCACTGCGCAAGTGCACACAGACAGATGAGCATTAAATCTGGCAAGGATGTTGTGTGTCACAGCGTTGGCGTCAAGGCATGCTGTGAGTGCCATCGCGCGGGAGCCGTACACATGAAGCAATTTGAGCATGCAGGATGAGACTGGAAACTCTGACTTTGTTGTGGGATGCATGCAAGGCAGGATGCATGCTATGGCATGCATAGCCCTCAGATTGACATGGTGAGACAGAACGTCTTGACTGGATCGCAAGGTGGGGAGCTGAACCATGCAAAAACCAACTGCCTATTGCCAGCGCAAAACCGTGTAGCAATGCAATCCCTTGCAGCAGCTACCATCGCATGCGCGCAAGTAAATACCGCTAATGTCTTGCAGGAGTCACTTTCAGTGCATCTCAATTGCTTCTAACACAGGAACAACCGCTCTGATCACTGTACCCTTTCAGCAATCAAGTGCTCCAGTAACAACAGCATGCTGGTAATCCGGGAGAGAGAATTCATTGCTGACCTGGGTGCCGAAGAAGGGGAAGCGCTTGTGCTCGATGGTGGACACATATTCAATTCCCTTGCGGTCCTTGGTCGTGGTCAGGATGTCGAATGTATCGTTTAGCTTGGGCCACAGCGTGTAGTGCGCCGGTGGCAGCCCAAATTCGTGGTTCTCCATCACTATGTTGGCCTCCGGGTTCTGCATCTGCTGCACCAGGTCCGGCTGCGCGCATGCGAGAGTGAAGGTTAGTCAGCGGTGACTCGGCGACACCAATCACAAAACCCTTTAAAAAGCCTTGTCATGCAACATGTTACATCACATCTGGTGAGAGGCCTTGTGTAGCTTCACTCGGCTGCAAGAAAGGACAACTTGAAGGAAAGAGCATGCAGCACTGCACACAGCAGCCATAGTTGGGTGGGGGAGGAAAACAAGCAAGGTATGAAATCATGATCAACAGATTCAAAGCTTTGGAGAACAGATTGTGAGTGGGGCGCACCCTCTTGCTAAACATGGTGGCGAAGGCCTTGCTGCTCTTGGCGACGTCCGAGAACTCCACAGTGGAGGGATGCGACTGCATCAGGCACACCAATGAGTCAGTTCACCTTGCCTTTTGCTCAGGCCAGACAAGAAACATACATTCAATGCCAGCGCATGAGCTGAGGTGCTTTGGATCAGCCATGCAAGCTATACCCCAGATCTGACCAGCTGATGACATTTAGTCAGGGGGTACCAGATATAAATGTCCTATAAATGAAACAGCTATTCCCTGATTGAATGCAAAGAAAGGGGAGATGGGGCGCAGCTATTTCCTAATTAAATGAGACTAAGGGCGCAGGTGGCTCACCACAGCATCAGTCTGTACAAGCAGCTCGTTGTAGCTTGTGTTGGCGGCCAGGATCTGCAGTAGCTGGTGACCCAAGCACGTTCCCCACACCTGCACCCGCAAGAGACGGCTCACCTCCTGCTTCACCAATTCAACTCGGCACTGTCCTTCCACTTTCAGAGCAGTATCTCTTGAATTATTATCGACGAAGGCGCTTTGAGTCTGCTTCCAATGCCAACCTTCCTTATATTGTCGCCACTGCTGCAGCGCAAAGCAAGCGAGGCATGCCGGAGTGCAAACAAGATCAGGATTGGTATCATTTGTTCAAAGCTCACCGGGAAGACATTGCCGGCTGCATTCTCCGCCTCTGCCATCTTGACCAGCTTGCTGGCAGCCACCACATAGGGGTCATCCAGCCACAGGTCTGTCAGTCCACCCTGCATGCAACCAGTGCATGCCTTCACGAACTGCCCCACATGCGCCGGTACAGCTGTACAGAAGATGGCACGCAAGCACTAGGCAGGTTGCTTTGTAGTCCGCACAAAGCTCTGCCTGCCAGGTTTCCCAAAAGAGCATGCGCAACTCCACTGTCTCGGTGCTGAGAAGCATTCTGGTCTTGGCCAGGTGACTAATGGAAGGACGATTCAACAGATGTAAGATGGGAAGAAGAGGCTCGCCGGCAGTATGAGACCATCGATGCTCTTGAAGAGGGACGATTCAACAGATGTAAGATGGGAAGAAGAGGCTCACCGGCAGTATGAGACCATTGATGCTCTTGAAGAGGCGCACCAGCTCCTCATCAGAAGAGTAAAACCTGTTGGGACAGCAGACATGCCTTTCCTTAGCAATAACTCGGACAATAACTCGGACAAAATGCCCTGGAAAGCTTGCAACGCTCGTGTGGCACATGCTCCAGCCTATAATGAGAGACAATGATTGACGAATGCAGAATCAGCCTTGAAGTTCTTTTGAATATGACAAAGACAGTGATTTGAAAACCTAGATGCTGGCAGAGGTTGACCAGCTCTCAGCATGTTCTTGAGCAACCCATGTGGCCAAATCGCACCTAATTGGAACGGCCCTCCCACCTGCTTGCTCAATCCACTTGATGTACGCAGCAGCAACGTAGGACCTGCAGGTCAAGGGTGGCACGTGTGAGAGATCAGTTTCAACTGGCAGGACCGAAAACGCAACATCGTGCCGTTCACATAACCCGCATATTACATATTAACTTTCCAAATGTATTCAGCGCAGAGCCAATGCGTCAAACGCGTGTATCAGACAACTCGGCCATCAGGTGTCGAGGCACTTGACCTAATTTTGCTAGAATCTAGTTAATTATGTATGTGATATTGGACTGAATGGGCTAGGTCTATAGCAACTTACTTGCCCGGGCAAGCGTGGCACGCCTGCGACAGGATCCCGATCAGGGGCCTGAAGTTCACGTATTTCGGAGACGGTGGCTCAAGGGTTCTTATTTGCAAATCCTGTAGGGCACTGTCGTGACCAGGCAAGGTGAGTCGGGCTGTGGCTGCGAGAGCAGAGCTAGTGATGGCTAAAATTACAATAACGCCCGCCGTCAGACGCAGCCCCATCTTGTTGAAGGCTTTCAGCCTCTCGAATACTTCGCTCTTCCCTGGCTACACTGTTCACGCGTATAAATGGTCCGGTTAAATAAACTGTACCAAGATGATCAAAAACACCAGGTTCTTTGACTTACGCGCTGAAATGGCAGTCGCAGACAGGCTCGTGCCCGAAAGATGCTTTCGTTCACGTGACAACGTGACATCGCCGTCAGAGAACCGGCCGATTTCAAATCTGACCACGGCCGCAGAAGCCGCGATCTGAAAGGGGCCTGTGCGGATGGAGTAGGAAATGGTCTCCTCTATTTCGACCTGTAATCCGCGGAGGAAACACATTAAAGATTTACAAATGGCCACTTAGAATTTTTAGCACGCATTTGGACCGTCCGAGAGTGATTGTCCGAGGATGACTTCCAAGGATGCATCCGCATGTTCACAGCAAAATCGACAATCATTGGAACCCAAGGCTGCAGAAGACTATTTCAACGGTTGAAATCCGACAAAGCATTGTGACAGCGGACTGTCCGGGACTTCCCTCAAGTCTTTGTCACAACAATCCAGCATGTCGGGTGACTCCCTCGCCAGAACTGCAAATATAGCCAGGATCTGAACTTGATAACTTAAAATTTGGAAAATTACCAGTCTAACAGTAGCATTTATGGTACAGACAAGATCGTATCCGAGCCAAGGACGGAGCCTGAAAGTCCACCAAGAACACATTTTTGGATTCCAAGCGGTGCAACCATGAAGAAGGTCGCCATTGGAGCAGTCGTTGGAGGCGCCATCTGTGCTAGCCCACCTCTCCTCCTGTATGGAGCCGGCTTATCAAGCACCGGCCCAGTAGCTGGCTCATTCGCTGCGTGGTGGATGTCAGTCGGTGGTCCTATTGTGAAGGGCTCATGGTTCGCTTGGTTGCAGTCTGGTGCTATGACTGGTGGTTTCATGTCCACCAGCTCAGTTGCTGTGGGCAGTGCAGCTGGAAGTGGAGCCGTGGTGGCCCGCACTGTTGCCGGGAGAATTGCTGCCCATAATACATAGTACATAGACTAATAGACAAAAATTACATATAAGAGGACATTCTTCACAGCCCTTGAACTGCTGCCCATAATATGTTGTGCCACACTGCTCTCTATCTATCTATCTATCTCTGCACAGCTCTCATGAGTGTCAATATAACCATCAACTGAACCCCTCTCTGCAGCTGCGCAGAGTGACCAGTACACCCGTGCTGCAATTCGTATGCACAGCATCCTTCGCTTGGCTCCCTACGCCGCAATATCAGCAGATGATGCTGAATCTTGGGCTGCAGCTGCTGGCTCTGACAGCCGCTCAAGGGCGTCCAGGATGGCCTGCCTGAATGCTGGCTGCTGCAGCAGGAACGCTGACACGTGCCCGCCTGGCACCCACCTCACCTGCACACAAACATCCCAGATCTCTTGTAAATGTTCTATGACATGAAGAGGATCCGCTTAAGACCATGAGAAGAGCCCTCTCTTTGTAATGTCATCTGATGAATTGCATAACCTCCTGAACACGGGGTCTAGCACAGTGGCAAAAGCTGCACAGCAGGACATCCCAAGGTAGCCAAGCATCAACAAATGAATACAAGTTTCTCCACTAATCCTCAGGCAATCTTGCAGACTGAAACCGCAGAAAGAGATGCAGCCCTTAACCTCCATCTGTGACAACATCGAAAGAAAAAGTCCCCTTATCGAAGTAGAGCGACACAGATGCTGGAGGCACCCACCTGCGATCCTGGCCAGTGCGCCGCAAGCTCTCTCACGCTGTGCGCTGACACATAGGCGTCATTGTGTGCGCCCACTATCACCGCTGCATCCGGCCGCCGCGGCCTGCGCACGGTCAAATTTCCCTCAAAACCTGCCATTTTCGACATGACTGAGGGGATTGACGGAGTATTTACTAATCCCTGACACAGCTGCACCCAGTCATGGTGCTGCAGAGCTTTGCGGTGACCTTGTCAGGTGCCACGCTTCTGTCCCTACCACGCCAGTTGGAGCATCTCAAAATGACAATGGAACAGCTCAGCAGCACAGACACCGATTTGGCCCTTGAGAACATCACAGCTGCAACTGTCGCCGGATCTCTACAGTGCATTCTGAGAGAGCACCGGGCAATCCATGATCTGTGGCTCTGCCCTCAAAGTAACAGGACTATCGGGCGCGCCTTCGCGGACTAAGATTACTATCATCACTCAGTGTTGAGAGCTCCAGTGCGATGGAAGGAAAGTCTTGTGCACATGCGCCAATACTGTGCTTACCTTGGAAAGCGTGTGACATCTGTGTAGGTCTCCAGCACTTTGTCCAGGCGTTCGCGCGCCAGCTTCTGGGCTGCCACGGTCTCGTGGCTCTGCTGAAATCGCAGCCAGGAGCGCACAAGCGACTGCAGATGACTCTCCGCTGCCGCTGCTCGCTCCGCCGCCGGACCCCTGCTTGAAAGATACAACGCATTCCAAGTTGCGAAATTAATTCTAAAGTTTTTCGTGTGGCTCTGAACAGGAGAAGTGCTCCTCCCACTCGCATGCCGTCATGCCCTGAAACATGGTCCCTCCGAGACCACACTTGTCGAGGGAGTGTCGAGAACCCTTGGGGATTTTTTTGCTTCACAAACGATGCGCTGAAGAGACATGCAACTTGTCAAGTATGAAGGAAGGTGCAGAGCTCTGATAGACCCCTGCACGAGGAAGGGGTGTTCATGATCCTTCCCATGAAGCTGTTGTGTCCCACAATCCCACAAAAAAACGAGTAGATTCTCGCCACTACCCAGAAATAGTTCCAGCCCACAGAGTTTGGTGCAATGTAGCAACTTCTTCTCAGTTTCTCCCTTCTATCCTTCCCTGTCTGGGTATTTTCTCCATCAATACCCAAATGATCCTAGAAATGAAGCATTGCAGACGCAATATTTGCAGCGTCAGTGTGACACAGCTGGAGCCACAGTGCTCAGTAACGAATGGACCAAAACGCTGAAAAGCTTGCAGATAGGCACGATTAGAAGTTAAGAGTCAGATTACGCACTGCTGACTTTTGGTGGAGGGGTCAGAAGTGGAGGTGCCAGCTGAGCTGGCAGATCTGTCCTGGCTCTGTGAGAAGAGGTGTGCCGGCAGCTGCAGGCTCCTCAGGTCAGCAGACCACTTCAGCAGCTGCTCTGCTTTCCCCAGGTAAGACGCTGCCTGCACAATGACAACACTTCTATTTGAAACACTTCCCAAAAATTTATCTGCAGGACACTACTGCTCATAAAGACCTGGCTGTGTGCTGGTATTTGCTAGAAGTGCAAATATGGTTTGCAATTGTGAAGCTCACCGCACTTGCAATGTCACATGACACAATTCAAAGGGTAGCTTACATGCACATGCACACTTTACTCAGGCTTTCCAATTTGTAAACTCTAAGCATTCACGGAGATGCCTCTTCAGATGAGCAAAGAGTGCCGACCTGCTCTGCAAGTGTGGCTCCTGCATTGGAGGGCGTCCCAATCTTGTTCCGGTCTGGAGCCATGGAGGCAGCTGACGCCAGCTTCTCAAGTTCCTCCACCTGGACGCAGACACTCTGCCTCTTGAGAGCCCCCGCAATGTTTTGCAGCAGTTTCAGAACGCTGCACTGCTGTTGCAGACAGCTGGCATTGCTGTGTTCCTGGAAATTAAGACTCCTACACAGATGGTGAAAGTCTTCCTGCAGGGACACCCATGCTGTACAATGCGTATGAATGCTTTACTGTGCATCCCCTTTGGCTATCACTCCTTCTTTGAATAATCCTTCACTTGCTTCTCTGTTCATTTTGCAGCATAGCTGCTGAGATGCAAAGAGGACCACAACGCAAACGATTGGCTGAAAGGATGGAAGCTTGCTCTTGCCTCTTTTGATGGTTGCTGCCCAGCCTCTTTGCAGGCCTGCAGGACTCGTTGCGCCGCTGCTGTGACCAGGTTTGCTTGGGCAGCTTGCAAGACAGTTGCGTCCACGTCCTGGACAGTAGCATCAATCCTTCTCAATCAAACACCCAAGCACTTCACAAGAGAGTCTGTCTGTGTGCCAATCACACTTCTTTTGCCCTTAGGTAATGCTCGAGCGCCACAGCAGGTGAGAGACAATGTACACAAGCTTCAGCAAGCTTCATGCAGCAGATAAGTAGCCAAGGTCATTTGAGGATGACCACAGCAGGTGCCAGGAGCCCCAGTGCAGGGAGCATTTCCTGGCATACATAGAATGCTAGTACAAAAGGAACAGCGCCGGGTAGGACCTTGTCGGCCTTGTCTGCTGCTGCGAGAAGGGGCTGCCAGGCGGTGGCTTCGCGCAGCATTAGAGCAGACTTCCTGGTGAGGAACACTAAGGGCATGTGCCAGCTACCCCAGCACAGAGCAGCTGCTGCCATAAAAATACAGTGCGTTGTCTGCCACCGAAGGAAAGACAGATGGACATACCTTGTCGGCCTCGTCCGCCGCGGCCAGAAGGGGCTGCCAGGCGGTGGCTTCGCGCAGAGCTCCGTGGCAGAATGCGACCGCGGCTGAGCGCGGCGCGAGCAGCGGCACGCATGCGAGCGCCTTGGGGTACAGGCTGGCAACCATGCATGCATGCACCCCGCCCATTGAGAAGCCGCAGATGCCTGCATGCAGGGCAGCGCGCTCGTTTCTGGCATGGCTTCAGTGAAATTTACAGCGCCACGCAGGAAGTATGGGTGGTATGCATGCAGGCAACAAGATCTCCTGATACCCGTTTCATCAGTGTCGAGGTGCCCAGGTGCAAATGCAAGATTGTTTCCAGACCACATGACTCGCAACATGGCCAGGAATCAGCTTCCCTGGGTTCCTTGCAGTCACAAGAAAGTGCTTCCACAATGTGCTTTGCCGCAACATACGTCAGACAACACATTCAGCGCTGCAGTTGCGCAGACACTTCCCACATGCATGTGCACGTCTAACGGCATGTAAAGCCACTGCAAAGAAAGTGGTAGGGCACAAAGGGCTCACCCAGCCGCCGGAACTTCTGCTGCTGCGCCCAGGCAAGCAGGTACAGCGATTCCTCGATGGTCGTGCGCCCCAGTGTGAGCAGGTCGCTCACTCGCTCAAGCTTGGACCCCTCCTGCCACGGCGGCCTCCTGCTCCCGTAATACGGACTCTCCAACGCCATCGTCGCCACCCCCTGTTGCATGTTGAATTGACTTCTTGAAGACATATTTCTCCTCGGGGCTTATAGTGAGTTCATGAAATTCCTATTTGGTCAATTAAAGGGGCCAAGCCATGGCCCAGTTGCCTCTGCACAGAAGTAGATCAAGCACCAAATCTGCAGGTGCCCGCATATGTGCCTGCATGTTCAATCTGTGCTGATTACAGCAGGCGCCATCCATATTGCCGGAGGTGCACGTTCCACAGTGCAGAGCAAGGGTGCAGAGATGCAGGTGGCTCAGGTCAAAATGGGTGAACACCTTGGCAATGAGGGGTAGGCCCAGGTGCGTGCGGCGCTCAAAGCCGTGGTCGCCAGTGCCGGCCAGGTGCACGACGCAGTCTGTGGCCTCCGAGGCGCCCCTGGGCAGCAGCAGCCTCACTCGCGCCGTCCTGCTCTCCTCTGGGAGCGCGTCATACAGCCGCCCATGGCACGGCGTCCTGTGAATTTACCCACTCGCTTCAAATGTGTACCAAGCGCTGTGAATGTGCACAATGTGTGGGTCAAGCTTGATGCCCTCAGACAGGTGGTCGGGTGCTGAGGGCCAAAATTTGACATTTTGGCTCAGAGAATTGTTGTCAAGACTTTTGCAAGTCAGGCTGTGAGCACGGGCACTGGGAATGGGCACAGGAGGTCACCTGAATGCGCCTTCCAGGATCTCGTATTCTGTGCCATGTTTACTGCCCTGGCCCTTTTTCTGCCAGTCCACCTGCGATTGAGACGATGTATTAGCTATTGAGTATCAAGACTCGGGGGCATGCAGGGGTGATCGCCCTCCAAGCAGTTAAAATAGCTTGCCTTGAAGTCGAAATGCTCGGGAGGCCAGCCTTCGAGCAGTTCGGCCGCATCTTCGAAATTGACAACGCCGAGATCGCCCCAACCACGCTTGAAGAAGGGTTCACTGATGCCAATCCTGCAGGGCAGTCCCACAGCTCATGCATGCAGGGGGTTTCTCGTTGGACTTTCAGCTAATACATACCACTAGCAAATACGTCCATAAGGCAAGGTAGATACTAAGCAGAGACTGTCAACCTATTTTCTTCTCTCACTACACGTCAGCTTTCCTTGGAAACGGATGAGATCTCTGCGTCTCACCGATGTACAAATGTAGCGTATAGGGTGTCCAAAGTCCGACCAGTGGAATTGGAAAGAAGGTCCACAAGAGATGCGGAGTGTTTTTCCAGGTGCTTCAGGGTCATGTCAACTCTAAACACCATCCTCCTCGATTGAGCTCAAGGGCAGCACTCAAAGATTGTGTGGGCCTTGCATACAATCAAATCGTATCTTGGCAGCATGAAATTCTCCTGACATGCTGCGGAGACCTCAACATTTTGGTCATTGAAGCTGTGTCAGAAACACCCCTCGGCATGCACACGTTCTCTCTCTAATAGCGGGAGGAGCCCTGGTGTGCTGCTACATTCAGCCCTCAATTGAACGATGCTACATTTTTCCTTTCGTACAAGGCTGTTACACTTGGTGTCAAGATCACATGCGTCCGACAGATGCGAAGAATCTGGGACGTTTTTTTGGAAATTTATCATTGGAACCCTACAAGGGAGCAAGATCTTAGGGCTTCTGTTACTCAGGTGTCATGCTGCTACAACACACTCATAAAATTTCGCAACATGCCCTTGTCAATGGCACAGCACGGACAGGGTTTTAAAGGACAATAGAAAGCGACACTAAGTGTCACCTGAAAGAAAAAATGACAAAACTTCAGCTGCCAGTGTCAGTAAAATGCCCGCTTTAGCGCCTATGAAACTCTGCATTCAAATGTGCAGACTGTCTCAATCATGGATGCTACTTGCTGCCCAGTGCAGCGCTATCATTACAGCTGCTAGCCCTTGATGACGTTGGTGGCCAAAATGCTGGAGCACTGGTAGCAGCTGGCAAACACGCCCAGGTTGTTCACTTGGTCAACGAGGTTTTTGATGGCCGCCCATGTGCCAAAGCCCACCCCAAAGATAGTGAACCACAGCAACATGACTGTGTTGAGCAGCATTGCCGCCGTCCAGCCCCCAATGAACCTGCACGTGCAAGCAAGTAAGTGGGAAATTTACTATGCAGGCTTTTCTCTTCCACTCTTAGCTACTCCTACAGCAACGGGAACCCTGAGTGCCGCAGTGGCTGCAGGGCAGGCTTCAGGTCAGCTGACAAAGGCTTGACCTTAGCCTTATGTGAAGCCTGCTGGGTATTTTTAGGACAGCTTAAGTATCATGTCCAGCAATCACATACTTGCCAGTCATTCAACGTACTGGCCCATTTGAAATGTGCGCTCTGCATGCTGAAATGCCCTTGGGCTTTGGGGCCTCTCTTGAGCTCAGTGATGCGGTGCATGCATGCACAAAACTGATTATGAATTTATTCTGCAGAGCTGGCAGCCCTACCTGGGCACTTTGGGTGCGTTGTTCCGGGCTTTGGCGCTTTTGTAGACCCAGAGGTAGGCGGCTGTCGGGAAAACAAACGCTGTGAAGGAGTAGCCGACGGCGCCTTGTACGGCGTTGATGGTGTCGAAGAATGGGAAGATCAGCGCAAAAAACCAGACGAGCAGCGCTGCAGCAATGGCACAGACATAAAGTCACACCTGATTATCATTACAGGCCGGCAAATACAAAGCCCAAGGCCATAGGGCATACACGCAGGGCGTCTGCAGCGGGGCCTAAAAAAGTCTGCAGCCTAGCGTTGCATGCCATCTCATCGGAATCTCAAGGACTTTCTCACCTCGCCCACTTTCTTGCTCAGTTTTAAAACCCTCGTTGAGCTTTAGTGATAAGAGCACTGCTAGCAAGCTGCCATAACTATCAGGAATGCTTGCTGTGAGAGGCTGAAAATTTGATATTTTGTCCCAAACAGTGTCTGTAGGCGATAGGCTCACCTACAGGCAGTCTTGAGGGCAGCCGGATCCACAGCGGTTTGTCATGTGTTCCCACCAGCTTCTCCCACATGAAGAACACTGCAGAGTGTCATGAGGACTAGATCACTCTTTTCTAAAATTTTGGTATTGCTGCTTATCAAGACTATTGAATTGATGACTTAGAGTTGTCAGCTCAGCAAAAAAAAGTGGGCGGATTCAAATGCATGCTTGTTGGCTGGCTTTCAGCCCAGTGGGGACGGTACTGTTTTGTGTGCCGGCCATGCAGTCATTTTCAAAGAGATAAGTCATCATTGCCTTTAACAGACAAGGCCAGGCATTTCATGGAAAGGTGTAGCCTACCAGGGGTCACGTAAAGGGCGTAGGCCACGGCTTGGTGAATGATCATCAGCACAATGGATGCATTTCTGGCAGCGTTATTTGGCACTGCTCCATAGATGTTACCTGCGCATACACTAAGACTGCTTCAATTTTCTTTTCTGTACAGAGATTCTGGCATGCCTTCAGAATATTTCAGAATTTACACCAAGAAAAAGTCCATACATGAAAAACAAAATGAGGTGCCAAAGTAAGGAGGAAGGGCTGCCTCGCAGTTTGAATAACATGTGCATTGACAAAACAAGAATTTAAAAGGAAATGGCACAGAGTGAAAGTTCCAAACTCTTACTCCTTTGTGTTTCTGCCAGCGTCTGGGGCCTGTACATCTTTCACAAGTGAGCCCGGGCAAAATGCCTGTTTTGGCCCGCACATGCACCTCACAGCAACTGCAAGAAGGGATTTCTCCGGAGGGAGACTCACTGTACTTGGCATTGTCGGCAGGGAAGGCCAGCTGCGCGAGCAGCGAGTGGGGAATGGTGACAAACCACGTGAAGAGGTAGCTGTAAGGGTAGACGGTGTCATAGCACCCGGGGTTGAACAGTGCATCAATCACCTCAAAAGACATGCTGCGGTCACAAAACATAACAACAAGCTATCAGACGACTGCAGCCTGCCAATTAAAGTTTCTTGATCAGGATTTGACAAAGGCTCCACAGAAACCCAGACAGCACTTTTGAGTTCCTGTGGACAATCTCAGGGATTTCTGATCTGTCCAGTAAAGTTGGCCTTCTATGTGCAAAAAGTTCTGGGCTGAACGAAACCCGTCCCAGAACCCAGAAGCATGAGCCCAATCCGAGGGGAATCCCCCTGAGATGTTAAACCCTGATCCTGGCAAGCTTTAATTGCATGCAAGCAGTTGCTGGTGCCAGAACAGGAGTGACATGATGGAAGTTCCACTCGAGAGTGGGGGTCAGACCTGTGGCCCCCAAAGCCGCTCATGAACACATTGGCGCCCAGAAACACATTCTGCGCTTTGAGTGGGCCAGCCGTCAGAGCATAGCTCGCCTGAGGCAGCCCAGTGGACGCTGCAAGCATTCCCCGACCCCTTAGTACCTCTCTAAATTTGCAATATCATGCACAATCCACCCATTGCATGCTACACGTGCACGGAGTCTGTAGACAAGGATATCTCGACCGCCCACAAGACCAACGGGTCTTTGAGTGTAACAGTAGGCTCTAGTGTGAAAATCATAATAAATTGCTTTCCTGCTCTGATCAGTAAGAAGGGGCAGGCAGGAATATATACCTGCTGTTGCAATAAGGTATACTGCTGTGTATGCAGTGCCCACAAGGGATATAATGTTCAGCAGCCTAAAGTGGCGGAAGTTTGGAACCAGGGACATTGTGACCGAAAGTATCCCTCCCCATATCAGCGTCCAAGTCCTGCACACATCAAAGCAGCTCTTGGCAAACACTCTTTTCCAGAGCGGCAAAAGAATGTGCTTGACATTCCCTGCATGCACCATCGAGCCTAGACCTCATGCACATTCACCTGCCACTGCGTGCCATCCGCTACATGCAGCTACATCGGCTTTATCATCAATCCATGTCCCTTATGCCTCGGCGTGCCATGCTTGTCAAGTCTGCCAGGCGCTCCCAGCACTCACACAAATTGTCAGGTCAATGTGCGGAGAGGGATCTCGCACCGTTTGTCGATGGATGTGTTGAGGTAGTAGGACCCCGTGGCAATGGCCACGATCTGGGCAATCCCCGTGCACAGCAGGGAAATAATGGTGATAACCGTGACAAAAACCTTCACGATACTGCTCCCTGTTAGCTCCCCCACCACATTGAAGTACTGTGTCGCCCTTTTCTCGTGGCCTCCCGCCCATGTACCAGCAGCAATCTGGACACCACAATTTGAACCTCTTCTTACATGTACTCTTTCAAAAAACGTGAATTCAAGTTACCATCTCACAACAGAATAGATGTTTCTCAAAGCCCAGATAGACAACAATCAAAATTCACTCTTCAAGTCAAGGAGCTCCCGAATGTAGTATCACCACTGTACTGTGGAGAAGAGGTGCAATGTTGTCAGGCTGCAGGATTTTAAAAGGGGAAATAGCACCGGACCTTTCTTTGTTTGAGCTCCAGGTAGAGGGTGGTTAGCAAGTGGATGGTCCAGATGGAGCCCAGTGAGTAGAGGACCATCATGGGGATGGCCACTCTCATGCCGCACAGTGAAACTGCGTGAGGCATGGCCAGCATTACTTGCCCAATCTGCACAGCACAAAAAACGCTGAGGCCATCTTGAAGTAGTGCAGTGTGCGTGCCATTGAATGCTCATCCTACCGGTACCATAAAACGCAGGTAAGGGTGGTGCTGACAGGAGCACTGAGATCGGCTGGCATTGTCAAGCATGTAAGTGCTGTGGAGACTGTTTCGGAATGCTGCCTGTGCTGCAGATGTGGTGAGCCATGCGTCCAGTGGGCTTCCCGCTCCACCTCCAAACCAACCTCGTTTCAGGAACGGCGTTTTTGCGTTCTCCCCTGCAAAGGGATCACCAGTCCGTTCTTTACAAAAATGTGGAAAGTTTGCCGCGCATCGATGTATTGCAGGTGGATGCCACCTACCCGAATCCGAATTGTCGAGGGAAGAGTTTCTGACGCTGAGGTCATCGTCGGGCTTGAAAGGGGATTGGAATGCCTCTGCTATGTCGGGCGACGTGCCGGACAGGCCCATACTATGGGCGTCTCGTTGCGCTTCCTGCTGAAACGGCGGCCAATTTTGTCACAATATATAGATTTCTGTAAGAATAGAAGTCGTTACATTAATATAGGAACAAACCACACTAGCGACTACATGGCCCAAGGCCGTTGACCGGTCTTGAGATCTCAACGATCTTGACCACAAGGAGCAGCTCTGAATCCAGGAAGCACCAGATATGTGTTTTTCACACTGTAGTTGACATCACTCATGAGATCAACATAAAATAAAACGTAGTATCGGACGGGATCGGACCTGGTGGAATATCTGGACAAGGTTATTATTACCGCGACAACAAGCGGGGAACCACCTGGAATAAGTACAGATACCTATCTTACAGCTTCTTCAAGTGGTGATATGCTGAGACATCTGCGCAATCAGCAAATCTCTGCACGAAAACACGGCACACTGCAGCACGTGCTGGAAGCCAGTTGGAACGTGCCGTGATCCTTTCGTTACAGTGCTATTTAAATGTCGAATGAGCGACATTTATGTGTGAAATATTTGACTTTTCGCAGAGTTTTGTACTCTGTGCCCTGCTCTTCGAGTCCAAGACTCTTGCTGCCCATCAAAGAAAAGCCCTAGCAGGTTCAATTCAACTGAAGGGCCTGGATAGGAAAGCAAACTGCAGATTATCGACTTGGGGTTCACCAATTATTGCGTTTAAACAAAAAAAATGCCTGCTCGCCTGTCAATCGTCGATCTGTCGGATATCGAAGCACGCAAGCAAGACATCAGCAGGCAACTCCTAGAGGCAGCTACTGGCTCTGGATTCTTCTATGTCACTGGGCATGGAATCTCAAAGGTGCTCTCAAATTCCTTCTTAACGTCGCCTCGCATGCATGCTATCTTCAAGCCGTCCTTTCTCCTGCAGAGCCTTTGTGCCACTTCATGCACCGGCTGTTTCACTGGTGCCCATGCAATATTTTAATGTCGACATTGACGTCGCAAGAAGCCAGAAATGTGAGAAGCAGCAAAACCATGCGTGCCATCATGGTACACAGGAGGAAGTGGAAGAGCAATTTGCAAATGGGCGGCGCTTCATAGATTTGCATGAGGCCACCAAGGCGCCCACGAAGTTTGTGCCAGACCTGTTCATGGGCTGGCGCGGCCGGCAAGACACCAATGCTGCTGTGGGTGAGTACATCAGTACAACATACCTGTAGAAGGGCTTGACCTGCAGAGGTAGCGATCTCTTTGGAATCTGCAGGCTCAGAGGACGTTCTGGTCAGTTGCATGCATGCAGTCAAGTGAACATGGATGGCACGGCTGTGTTGCAGGTAATGATTCATGGGAGCAGTATCTGGTTGGAGTAAATGATCATTACATGGACGCACACAACCTGTGGCAGCCGGAACGGATATTGCCAGGCTTCAGGTACCAATAAAAATAGGCTTCTATCCTCTGATCTGGCAGTTGAGCATGGCAGTGAGAGAAATGAATGCATTGGTGCCAGCGCCATGTAGACTGTTGTAATGCATATATTCCCTTCGCCTGCTGCATGACTTCTGCTCCTGCCCACAAAACTTGAAGCCCTGGTGTGGATTGGCTTGCTTGATCAGGACAAGCGCGCTGGCATTTGCTGCTAAAGCAAACGCAGTGGCTGCAAGCATACTTTCTTGCTTTGAGGAGGCCTTGAAACTGCCAGCCGGGTTCTTTCAAGAGGTCAGGCCCTCTTACATAACAGAGCATCCTGCCATGTCTGATTGTTACCATAACCATATTACAGCTGCAGGCAGCTGTGCAGCATCCAGTTGTCCCTTGTCCAGTAATTCTGTCAGTGGCTGCTAGCTAAAAATTCGTGAAAATTGCCGCCAAATGTATCGTCAATCCGGCTGGTTCCTTCCCTACATCTGACAGTTTTCTGGGCGTCAATTGACAGTTCCTTAGTGTTCACCTGGTGACAGGACACCACTGCAATTTTGTCCTCAAATACAATCTGAATCGGTGCCTTCTGTGCAGCATCTGGACCTGCAGGCGTCAGATGCGCGCACGCTCTTCGGATGGAATTACTACCCAGCGCCTAAGCCCGGCAGCGGCCAGGCGCGCCAGCTGCGGCTGCTGCCGCACGCCGACACCGATGTCATCACCCTGCTTTTCCAACGCCCTGGTACGGCCGCCCCCTCCCACCGGGCATGCACGAAATTTTACATTTTTTGCCAGCACAATCGCAATTCAATTGCAATTTGTCTTCCTCTGGAGGCACTGTTAGCAGCTGCCGCAGAAGCAATTTTAAGCCATTACCAGTCAGTGCAAGTCCATTCTTGCAACATGTGGTCCTTGCCAGACTACGCCTGCAAGTATCATGAGCCACCAAATCTGGAGCGATGCTTGGCTTAGCATCCCTGTCTCTGACCCATGTATTGAAGTCATAGGGCTACATCCAAAGCCAAAAACTGACCTCGGATGATTTCCCTCAGGCGAGCCAGGGTTGGAGATCCTGCCGGGGAAGGACGCCGATGCGCACGCAGCCGACGACCCCTCAGGAAAGGACGCCACCCGATTGAACGGTGCTTGGACGGGGGGACTGCCACGGGGGATCTGGACTCGCATGGACCCCCTGGAAGGAGCTATAACGGTGAACATTGGAAACATGCTGATGCGACTCAGCGATGGTCTGCTGCTCAGCACCTACCACCGCGTCAGGGCACCCCTGCCTGAAGAACAGCCGGTGCGGACGACTTGCGTTGAAATTACAATTTTGTAAAAGATAGTGTGTGAGCATGGACACTGTTACCACTACTGGCGGCCTTTTGAAAAGGCATTGAATCTGCAGCTAGCTGCATTGGCACCAAGAGATATAAAGGCCAGGCAAAAGCATTGAATCATTTTGCCCATTCCTGGTGTGTAGTTCTACGACAAATTCAGGTCTCAAAAAGATGTTCGACAAGCGATGTCGGCTGTGCTCTGAACGGGATTCACTTTGTCACTGCAGGCGGATAGGAATACGATGGTGCTGTTTGTGCATGGCAGAGGGCACGCCGTTATGCAGGGGCCCAGGAAGGTGTACCCGGCGCAGACGGTGGCAGAGATGATTGCGGCGAACGGTAGGGTTCCTTTCGAATTTAATTCGAACAGGCTGTGCTTGCACCAGAGACAGTCCCGGTGTCAACCCCGCCTGCTCATGTTCAAAGATCCTGCTTTGGCAGTAGGGCAATGTGCGCTTGATGAGTCCCAGCTGGGCATGCATGCGAGACATCAGGCGCCTTCATTATTGTGACAAGAAGGCGTGGTTGCTGCAGGGAATGGATATGAGAAGGTGAAGCAAGACAAGGAATGGCAGCAGCAGGCAATGACTTTTTTACCGCACACCTCAAGCCGGCCCGCTGCTATTGAGGCTGTATGAACTGCATGATTTGGCTTGTGAATATGTTGCAAGATTATGGTGTGTCGTTGTGGGAACACGTGTGTTTTGAGCGTCCAACCATGAAGCCAATCCGGCACAACAAAGGTCACAGTGCTGTTGTGTGTGGCCCCATAGAACGGTCAACCATTTACAAGCTTTCAACATCTCTAAGAACCATCAAAATCAGTACTCCTGACCTGATCCCTACTAAGCACAACTCACCAGGGTTTGGGGCTGCTCTGCGGGGAGATGAGGTCATGGCAGCACCATTGAACATAATGGACACAGTTCAGTGAGACATACATAACAACACAGATTTGAAGAGAATGCCCAGAAGGAAGAGCTTACCTGTGATGGAGAGCCAACCAGCGCCCCCGGTCTGCACACATAGTGTTAAGAGGTATCTGATTGTGCAAAAATGTTGGTAAGTATATGGGGAAATGCGTGCCTCCCCGCAGAGCTGAACCCATATATAGTCTACCCACCTCCCTGCGTCCCTCTATATGTGACACTTATTCATAAACGCTGGTGATTGCACCTAAAAATGGTGGAGGATATCAAACCTGTACTCAGATGCACAAAAAAAGCAGATCACCGCGCTCCTCAGACTGCCCATTGCAGCAGCCACATATAGTTGGGCTTGGCCGGATCAGATATCATGCTGATAGCACAGACTGCCTGTCCAAGGCAAACATCTAGAGGGCTAGGAAAGCTTGACCAGCTCCTGAAAACTCAGCCGCATAATTCAGGCCCATCATTCAACCACCGAATCCCTTTCCATGCATATTTTCCGAGGGACAGCCGTGGCATTCAGTGGTTCCCAATCTCTGCACCTTTGGACCCCCATTTGTTCAGCCCGTGGGTTCCTTCTCACCAACCTGTGTCTCTGCTGTGCTGCCATTTATGCCAGAATCCAGCCTGCTTAGTATGACCCTTTGCCACTGTCAGGATGTGGCACCTCAGCCTCAATCCCCAAACATGTGTAGTGCTTGCAGTGGCCGGTGCAACTAAAATTCACATCTTGGGCTTATTCCTGCAAGCGTGGAGCTTGGCTGAGGCAGGAGTGCAGCCGCGGCAGAAAGATTGTGTGCAGATTAAAGCAGTGGAAGGCTGCCCGGCCAAAATGCCTTCAAGTGGGTGCTGCTGCAGGTGCAGTCTGCTCGGGTGGGGTGCTCGGCACTTCTGCATGTTCCTCTGCGCCTGGAAAGGAACACAGCAATTAAGTCAGGCTCTTAGGGCTGTGCTGGAGCCAAGGGAGCTGAAGAGTCAGCTGCCGGATGTTCGGAGGATGTTGAAAACCTGACGACATTGCCAAGAATGCTGAACATTTTCAACATCCCTCAAACTTACCAGCAACAGACTCTTCAGCCAGGCTCCCGTCCTTCGGTTCAAAGCCGGCAGCATGCTCGCAGCATCCTACAGCACCCTTAACTGAAGACCCTGTCTATAATCCAGTTTCCTTGCCATGCATCCTGGAAGGTGTCAGCGGAGAAATGTGGGAACAGGCTCCCACCTTCGGCGCCTTCCTCCTCATACTCTCCCTCTGCCTCTTCTCCCTCATAGTACTCTGCGTACAGCAACAGCAAAATATCAGCAAACCCACATGCGCTGCAACACTGCAGTTGCAGAGCTGCACAATTGCCATATCGCATAGCACCTCTTGAAGTCTCTGTGTCAAGAGCTGTGAACAGCCAGGGGTGTCAAAAACTGGTTTTGCAGCATGCAGCAGCACTTCTGCATGCAGTGCAATGTGCACAACCCATCGGGAGCGCCGTCTCAAGAGATCGTCCACAGGACACACCACAAAACAACAGCCAGCATGGCCGCATGACGGCATAACGGCTGATCACCTCCTGATGTGCCCAAACCCCCACCAGCTGTTCAGGTCACTCCTGCCGAGTTCATGCCGCCATCCCACCCGCTGCCGGTATCAGAGAGCTTTAGCAAGCAGGCAACCTGTGGTGTCCTGGGGTGACTCACCCTCAGCGCCCTCGCCCTCCTGATACTCCTCGCCGTCCACTGCCACGTACTCTGCCTGGATGGGGTTGCCGTGCTCGTCGAATATGTACGGCTCATCTCCCTCGTACTCTTCCTCATCGTCATCGTCATCCAACAGCTCTATCGCCACGTCATCGCTCTGAGCCACCTGCCCCCACACATCATCATGCTCAACTCCAATTCCTCATCAGCATGATGCATTCCACACTTGAGGAGTGCAAGGGGTCCTTCAAGTCATTTAAATTAGCTGCCATGGCCTCACAACTGTTTGTATGCTTCTCATCTTGCATCCTTTGTGTGTGGGAAGTCTTCATCTGCCGGGGTGCCGGAATGTGCAACCAACGGGTGTATAAAAATTAATAAAAATGGTGATGCAGAGGCCAATTTGCGCGACTGGCAGATTCATCACAGCTAAATTTACCAGAAGGATACTGCACTCAAGAATGCATGGGGCAAAGGAGTGCAGGGGGCGCGGACCGGGTTGTGGTAGTAGGCGAGGGGGTTGGGCCAGATCTGCTCCTTGATGATCTCCGCAATCTGCAGCTCGGTCTCCTGCGCCACGTCCCCCTCCAGCCAGGCGAAGAAGGACAGCGTGCCGCGCTTGCGCTTGCTCCCCGTCGGCTTCCCGCCCTCGTACACCGCCACCTCCGTCAGCGACTGCGCGTGCACACACTACATAAGGAGTATGTAAGAGTTATGTAAGTGTTATGTTAGCCAGCAATTTACTCATATCAGCGCACACCGTGCAGGCTGCATTATAATGGCAGACGGGCACATGGCATGTCAACAGGCAGATCCTCCCTATCCAGTGATATCACATTAGAGAAAGAGGGATGCAGACATCAAGGCAGAGCGATAATCATATATTTGGAGTCGGCAAGATTCTAGACCTATTCTGACAAGATAATGCACATTGCCCACAAGAGAAAGTGCATGCATGATCAGAGAAGGTGCACGCAAGATGCAAGGTCTGGTCTCTTAGCCACTGACCGCTTGCTGTGCACAAGGTTCCTGACATCAAGGCAGTTGCAATGAATGATGCCACCACTTTTGCTGCCCTATATCGTGCAGGCAGCTATCTACACCCCGTGCTGCTGGCCCTCATTGCAGCAAGCAGCACGCACTCGAAGCAGGCAACTGTGTGACGGCAGATTGTTCCAACTAAGCCAGGCAAGTGAGACAGATTGAGGTTTATCACCTGGCCCGCGTGCCACTGAGGCCCGGCGCTGCTGATCTCAAAGGTGCCGTCCTCCAGGTAGCTGATGTTCTTCTCCAGCTGCGTGTTGCGGAAGAACCGGTTCTCCAGGAAGGTGAACACGATCTTGAACCCCGACTTGATGTCCGGCGCATCTTCCACTGACACCTGCCATGAACACACCATTTTTTGGCGTCATCAAAAACCTCTGTTGCCACAGAAATGAACTTCTGTCTTGCGCGCACACACAGTACTGCTGAAGGTTGGTGAGAGAAATGCTGAGAGATCTTTGCTGAGCTTCCCAAAGGGCATGATTGCAATGGAAGGAGTGCCACAGGACGGCAATCAGGTGTGCATGCAAGGTGTAATGGCAGTGCGGAACTGGTACCTCTTGGAGATGTGCCAGGCCTTCCTCGTCCTCAGCGGTGATGACTGGGCGGATGGCCTCATGTCCCCTGAACACTTCATGCCAGAAGTCAGGCATCTGGCGGATGATTTCGTTGCGCTCCTTGTAAATTGGCTGCCGCTTCAGGTTGTACTCCTGCTCAATCTGCAGCACTTTGTCGCTGGCCTCGTCGTTCACCTGTGAAGCAGAAACATCTAAGACCTGAGCAGGCAGAAGGTAGCACTGTGCACGGCTCAGGGCCCACGGTAAAGGCTGGAACCTTCCCGTACGTGTACGAGGTGTACTCTCATTCAACACAACCAGCACGCGGTTGACAAAGGCGTTTCAAGTGCAGATGAACAATTGACAACAGCCCCAAGGAAACAGTGCGTACCTCGCTGAGTTTGTCTTGCACATCCGCTAATGCCGCCAAAAATTCGTTTTCCTCCTCATCATATTCGTAAGCCTCCTCGGCACCGGTCAAGTCGCCAAGAGCGTCTGCATCGCCTTCTAACGGTACCTCTTCATTGTCTCCGGCCACTGCTGCCTGGTCTTCCTCGGCATCTTCAGCGGTTGCTGCTTCTATTTTTGTCCTCTTAGTGTTCGACATGACGCCTTTCGGACTCTCAAAATGCAAGGAAAAGTCCCTTAGATCCTGATCGAATGATCTAAGAAGCCCCTTTCAGTCTCTCCTTTCACCGTACCTGCATATTTACGCACTTTCAGACTCACTAGATCTAAACCTTGGTGGGGCTCGTAAGCTTCACGATTTGCCTGGATTCTCACGCGAGCTAGTGCCCGCAGCTTCGGAAGCCCGGAGACCCGTCGCCGCATGCGCACCTGTCCACAGGCGTTCCAGAGCATGGATGGGCAACATTCAGCAACATTAAGAGTGTGTGAATTTATCCGCGAGAAATTGCTTTAAGTACATGATAATTGCGGACGTGATGCGAGAGTTTCAGTGATGGCTAGGTATGGAGCCCTCGAGGTGGGTCTCTGGTGGGCATTGTGCTCGTGTGCACTTCCAGGTCTTTCCCTTTCCACCTATGTATGATCTGAGAAGAACCTTTATTCTGCAGGTGTTCAAATTTGGATGCTATATCTCCATCCCCATTGTGATGACAATTTTTGTAGCTGGTGATCCTGGAAGACTTGAAGCCATCATCAGAAACGTAAGGCGCTTGCCCAAAGCCCTCTGACAAGTCTGATTGAGAAGGGACAATTTGAACTTTAATATGCCATCTACCATCTGTTAAGAGGGCCTGCAAGGATTCGTAATCTAGCTGTCCCTTTCCTGGTTGAAAATGCGCGTGTGCTTGCAGAGGCAATACGTTGTGTATCCACCTGAGGGACCCCGCCCACCAACAGCTGAGGAGCTGCACGAGCGCATCAGGAAGAGCAAGCAGCAGTGAGATCTAGTATCAGCACAACTTCCAAGACACCGGCCCAGCCAGCACAGCAGCAATTACTCAGATCAGATGGTGAGCACAAGGAGCAGCGTGGGAAAGAAGAAATGCTTAGTCACTGGCGGAGCTGGCTTTCTGGGGAAGCACCTTGTGGAGAAGCTGCTCGCGTCGGGGAAGTACGACGTAGTGGTGTTTGATATCAGGGACATGGGGGATCCCAGGGTGGCGAGTATTGTGGGGGACCTCAGGGATGCCAAGCAGGTGGAGGACGCCCTTGCAGGTGCGCAAATTTAATCTTGCATGCATCACAGGTTACTAATTACATATCATTTAGTTCCTGCTCCGCCAACAAGACTTCATGCAACATGCGATACGTCAGTGGTTATTTTGTGCTGCCACTGCGCCTGTGAGATTTCATGTAGTGCAAGAATCTTTTATCGATGCATGGCAACATCACTACTTGTCATGAGAATCTTCATCCCATAATTGATGGCAAGATGGCATGCAGGTGTGGAGGTGGTATTTCACTGCGCGACGGCTGCGCCGGCAGCGGCCAACACGGCCAACAAGGCGCTCATGCACGATGTGAATGTGAAGGGGGCGCAGAACATCATCGATGGCTGCGTGACCCAGGGCATCACCAAACTGGTGTACACATCCTCCGCCTCGGTTGTCTTTGATGGCAAAGACCTCATCAATGCAGATGAGGACACGCCCTACGCAAAGAAACCCATCGACTTCTACACAGAGACAAAGGTGAGCTCACATAAACAACACTAGTGTCTTGCTAAATGCAGGTGTATCTGTTGGTGCTGTGCCTAGATAAGGCCATGCATGCAGCGGCACTAGGGGTGTGCTTTGTATGAAGTATGCAGGCATGTTTTGATGTGAGACATCTCTCATCTGCTCTTCATGAGTGGAACAAAAGTCCCCTTGTGCCCTGATGGCACGCAGCATCCTCACTACGCATTGCAGTTTTCGCCGCCACACCCTCTCAATGCATCCGATGCTGCCCGGTTGCCCTCGCAGGACCTTCTTCTCTCCTATCAAAGCTCATGGGCTGATGTTATATTACCAGCTGCTGAGCGAAGGGGTGTGGGTGTCCTGCCAGATTCTGGGAGAGAAGCTGGTGCTGGCGTCGAACAACAGGAGCGGGCTGGCAACGGTGGCGCTGCGGCCGAGCGGCATCTTTGGGGAGCATGACCCGCTGCTGGTGCCCCTGACTGTGGCCAACGCAAAGAAGGGCAAGATGAAGTACATCATCGGCAGCGGCAAGAACCTCATGGACTTCACCTATGTCGGCAATGTGGCCCAGGCCCACCTCCTGGTCCGCCCCCTTGCTCACACCCCAGGGCCTGGTGGTTGGGTGCCATTCAAACTAGTGTTGGTATCGAATTCAGAGGCTTTTACATGCTGTATTCATATTGGTATCATAAGCGTCACACTTTGCCAGGACTGAAACACGGTATGAAATGCCCATAGTGCCTCACCATAAGAGAGAGCAGGCTGCTGACAATAGATATTGTTGCCTGAGGCCTGTTGTTTGGAACCATCAAGACTGTCACTGTGAGCTTAAGGCTCTCTTCATTCTGCAGCTACCGATATTGAAATTTCTTAAAATCACAGGATACCCATGACTCCATTGTGATGAGGGGGCCTTGTGCTGATCTATGAAAGGAATTCAGGCCAATGCCGGGCAAGTGTGTTTGCCCAGCTTATACTTTCATGAAAACGGTATGTGTTGTTGAAAAGGGTGTGTGCTGTACAGAGTATCTGATTTTGTTATTGCAGGCGGCAGATCTGCTGCAGCCAGGGGCAAAGTGCGCGGGCAAGGCGTACTTCATCACCAATGCAGATCCGCAGCCATTCTGGGGGTTCCTGGGGGACCTGTTAGAGCCGCTTGGCTATGCGCGCCCGAGCAAGAAGCTGCCCTGGCAGCTCATCTTTGTCGTCGCTGTCATCGTCCAGTTCATCATTTCCCTCCTGAAGCCCTTCAAGGTGCCTCTCCCAACACAGAACTCTCATGCCTTGCCGTTTTCCCGATCTGTTGCTGAAGGGTCTTGTCATTCTACTGAAGCTTACAGGGATTTTCAACAGTCTGGCGTGCCGATTCTAGCAACTATTGGAAATATCTGTAAGCATTCAGCAGTGTGACAGGGCTTGTTGCTGGTTCTATGTCTTGGACCACCGGCAGGAGCGGCGAGCATATATTCTGTGCTGTGCTTTAAAAACCCCTTTCATATCAAAGATTCTGAGATCTTTCTAGGGTATCTGTATGCCGTCCAGCTTGTCCCAATCAAAAAATTATAAGCTGGGCAAACACACATGCCCGGCATTGGCCTGAATTCCTTTCATGGGAAAAATGGGATTTTGAATTGGGGCATTGGGCATATGCGCAGGAGATTCCACCCTCAGAGTTCACTCCCATGCGCATCCGCATTGCCAAGGCCAACAGGCTGCTGGACTGCAGCAGGGCCAGGGCAGATCTGGGGTACATCCCAGAGGTGTCCATCAAGGATGCTCTTGAGCGAACGGTGAAGCATTTTGAACACCTGAGGAACCCAGAAGGAGGCAGCAAGAAGTCCTCGTGAGAGAAAGGCAGCTCTCTAACAAAAGAATATCTTGATCCTGGCTCCAGAGGTGAGATGGATGAAATTTTTTTGCAGCAATGTTGATGAGTGAAGTTGTGTGACAAGAAACAGTTGTAATTAAATGCAGAGTGTTGCTGGTAGTTTCTAATCCTCTTAGCGGATTTTTACCATCAGATCACACGAAGCAAATTGCGCCATGATGGGCAATGCCACCATTGAAACATTAATTCACAGACTTTGATCATCATGTGCATGATGCTCGACATTGCTAACCTCTCAACAGCTGCAGACACTCTCTGCATGCAATCAAATCTGACACGCAAAGCACAGACAATTTTTGTGCGATCACGCCTTTGTGGAATCTGCCGGGTCTTTCAACAGCACCTCTACCATTGCCAGGAAGCCCACTGCCAGAACCTGCGCGCACAACAGCAGCAACAACCTCACTTGCCAACCATTGACACTGCCAATGCAGTACTCGTGTCAGGAGACAGATGTTCAACATGATCCATAGACTGTATAAAGTCTGTGCGGCATCTGAACTTGAGAGGCCGGGCTCAGATGCGAATGTGTGACGTGCCTTCAAGGTTGGTGGGACTGGGTTGTAGCCCTTCTTAGAAGCAGCAATCGCCGTGATGCCACCACAGAAGATGTGGAACAAGCCCAAGAGGCCCAGAAGAGGTCTGAGTCCCAGCTCAACGTCTTTTGATATGACTCCAATGCGAGACCAGTCCCCAGAGTACGCTGCATCAATTGCTGCCAAGATCACCAGCACCACAGCTCCTGCAAGCATATCGAAACGTTTGTGCGATATCGAGTAAGGGGTCTACAAATCTTAGTAGATCAAATGCCAACGCCATTAACTTAGCCGATGTACTATAGCTGTGATTTTATACCTTGCAGCCAGACACTGTAGGCCTGTGTCTTGGTGATGTCTTTTGTAATGCCAAGAGATGCTGCATAGTCAAGCAGAAATGCTACAGGGGTGCTGGCCTCGACTTCGCTCTGTTTTTGTGCCTTGCACACACCAAGGCCCTGCGAAATGCACGAACTTGCATGTCGGGGCGACATTCACTGCGATGATCTGCCTTCCGAAAGGTAGTATACACAGCGCATGAAGCGAGCTGTACATAAGTTGAAGTCGTGAAAATATCTAGTGATTTCCTACCAGATCCCTCCTTCGCAGAAATGCGTTCTTACTGCATTGTCTCCTTGGTGTTCTCAAGAGCACATGGCCATTGATCTCTCTCGAAAGTGTGCAGCCGATGTGTTGAAGAGTTCTTTGCGATCGATGACATTGCAGCAGTGATTCGAAGCTGCAAGCCCTGAGTGCCATGGTTAATTCTTGGAAGGAAGAGCGACAACCGAAGTTGCAGCGGTCCACGACAAACGCTTTTGCATGCAAGCTGGGCGTCGCCACATTTGGCTCACCTAAAGGGTTTCCTAGGGTTCCTGAATTCTCATTGAACGCGACCAGTCCTTCGTCTTCTCCTGCTTTCTTGCTCGAAAGCATTGTAATAATCCAAAGCTCTCTTCTTGTTACTTGTGTTTATCAAAGAGGAAGAAAGGGGCACTCCATGGTGGTGTAAACCCGTGCGCTTCAGAACGACACCACCACCGGCAGACCCAAGGAGAAGACGCTGGAGCCATGGATCCCCTGACTATTGCGTACTATGTCACAGGACATGGTCTTGGTCATGCAACCAGATCCCTGGAGGTGTGACCCTTGAAGCTCCTCACATATTCCTCACAGTTTCAGCCATCGAGTCTGCTGGGTTTTCCTTTTCTGTGTATGGAGCATGAATGCTGCATATTTCCAAATTCTGCTCTTTAGGAGCCCGTTTTGCTCGGAAGCGGTGCTTGCACTTTCCGATGGGGTGCTTGTACATTGCCCAACAGCGACTGCTTGGTTGCCTTGACATCACCATCGAAAGGAAGAGAAGCTCACCACACGGGGACAGCGTCTGGCACACAAAGCACACGGATTGAATGAATAGACCGTAGATCCCAGATGCAGCCATGGGCTATTCCATGCCACTGCACTCCAGGCAAACCCAGGGTGCACCCTCCAGGTATACAAATCCCCAAATGCTGCTGCGTGCAGGTCTGTCGCGCCCTTCTTGACCTCGGTCACAGCGTCACCGTGATCACGGGGCAGCCAGCGGGCTTCTTCCTGCGGGAGCTGCGATCCCCCAGACTGGCTGTGCGCAAGGCTGGCCTGGATTTTGGCGCCAAGCAGCAAGATGCCTTCTCCGTGGACATGTCAGGCGCGCATCATATAAGCCCTACTGTCTTTCTGGATTTAGCCAAGATTCATTTGTGCCGCACGGCCTAAGCATCACAAGCACAAAGGATGGCAGGCCCTACTGTGCCATCCGTATCTTTGTGCATGGGGAGAGTGACAAAGGGAGCGAGCGGGATGCTCTTGTCACTTGGTGGTTCACTTGGATCCCTCACAGCCGCACTGTCTTCCTGCACGTTGACAGAGTGTGGCCAGTAGCACATGCCAGAGCATGCATGACACTGCATGCCTGATACTGCATGCCAAGTGGCAATGTGGATCTCACTCACTTCTTGACGTTAGTTCTTCCGGTTACGCAGCTTCCATGGAGGGGTATCACAGGATAGCGGGAGGGGATCAGAGGGGAACGCTGCTGCAGACGGAGCAGGCCTGGCTAACGGCCACGCGGCCTGATCTGGTCGTGTCCGATGTGGTGCCCATGGCATGCGCGGCCGCGCGCGCCGCCGGCCTCCCGTGCATCTGCGTCTCAAACTTCAGCTGGGGTGCGCATTTTTAGATTTTCCTATACTCTTGGCGAACCTGTCACCCCTTGATCCTGCCAATGAAAGCTCAAAGTCAAAGTCCACTGATAGCTGTCATTTTAATTTCTTCAAGAGATGGCTGTGACCAAGGATGGACAGCACAGGATGCCATCATTGAGTTTACGGACATCAGGCTCGATGCATGTCTGCATGGAACAATCTGAAGCATCAGAGGGGGCGAATATCATGCAAGACTGACCCAGGATCCGACACCCTTCATGTCATGGGAGACCGAATCGTTCCCAGATCAGGCACTGAAATTGAGGATCACTTTCTGTGGCGCAGACTTCATCTACAGCCAGTACCTGATGAGCGGGCACAGCTCGTACCGGGGCATGGTGTGGCAGATTGCAGAGGACTATGCATGCGCGGATCTGCTGCTGCGGCTGCCGGGCTATGCTCCCATGCCGGCCTTTCGAGAGGTGGAAGATGTGCCGCTAGTGGTGCGCCATGCGCGCAAGACCAAGGAGCAGGTGGGCCCCTTTCCTGAACGCCCATTCCCACCGCAGAACCCGTGCCAGATCCTTGTTGACTTTGCTCTTGGGCACCTAAGCGGATATACTCATGCATGCATATGCGGCCATCCTCTCTCGCGGCCAATGCGTGCTTGGTAAGAGAAAATGGCCGCCTTTATGTGCATGCATATGTTTCTGCATGGCATTGAATAGCTGAAGCTACTCATATAAACTGCAGATTCTGGAAATTCAATCTTGGGCATTGACACAGTCAGGCCGTGCCTGCGCTGCAGAGATATTAACCATCCAAGTGTGTTTCAGGTGTTTACGGATCTGGGCTTGAGCCTGGACCAGCATATGGTGGTGTTCATCTACGGGGGCCAGCCGCCGGGGGACTGGCACTTGCGAGAAGAGTGCCTGCCCAAGGGCTGGGTCTGCGTTGTCTGCGCTGCTGGCAGCCCCCCGGGCGGCCACCCGCTGCCCTCCAACTTCCTGCTGGCACCCGCAGACGCCTACACGCCTGATTTGGTGAGCGCTTGTGTCACTGATGAGGCCACGGTTTTGAAAATACCCTGTCAAGGCCTGCTTTGCGCATGCCCCCATACGTGGCTTTTGTAAACTGTCCTAAAAACAATCTGAACTCTTGAGCAATGCGCAGTGCCTGATGGTGAGGTCTTCAGTGTCTCGTTATGTTCTACCAAGCGCCTTCTACAACAAGTTTACGCATGTGTGTCAAAGGCTAGCTGAAGACATTCGTGCTGTGGTGGACCAGCAGCCCACATAATTAAGTTCAGGTGTGCATGTGCTCAAACAGCTCAATCTCGCCGGCTGCAGATCGCGGCGGCGGATGTGCTGCTGGGCAAGATCGGCTATGGGACGGTCTCGGAGTGCCTGGCGCACGGGACGCCGCTGGTGTTTGTGCGCCGCGACTACTTCAACGAGGAGCCCTTCCTGCGCCGCCTGCTGCAGCTTCACGGCGCGGCCGTCGAGATCCGGCGGCGCGACTTTCTGGAGGGTACTTGGGCCCCCTTCCTGCTGCGCGCCGCTGAGCTGAACTTCTCCTACGAGTGCGCGCCCCTTCCGCCCCTCTGCATAGGAAACTTTGCAAACGAGTGAACTTGACTCACGCAGGTGTACAAAAGCAGGATCCACAGAAAACATACCGTCCAATTCCAGAGCAACTTGTCAAGCAGACGTGCACGCAACAAAGCAGATGACAGATGAAATTTATCATCTGGCTCGCTATCTAGGAGTGTATGCTCATTCTGAGCAGGCTAGGACAAGAGATAGGCAAGGAGTGAAAGGCCAACCTGTAGCACAGCAGAGAAACTCCAGTCTCGGAAACGCCGAAAATGGACAAGGATTTCTTGTGTGCAGCCTCAAAGAAAGTCTGGCAGTTTCCCTTGCCTTGTGCACCAGCAATGAAGGTGCAGGCAGGTGTCTTCATCCCGTCTTCACGCAAAATAGTATATTACAAAGCAAACTTTCAGGGACTTATCTTGCATGAAGTTCACAAGGTGCATGCTTCGTTGGATCGCCTTTTCAACCCCTCTGCATTGCGCCATTGCAAAAGGAGACTGCGCATAGGCGCCAGCCGAATCAGTCAGGTACAGTTTGTTGGAAATGCAGTGGCCCCAATATGGCATACCTAGCAGCACATATGCAAAGTGCACTCCTCACAAAGGTCTGTCATGCCACATTGACATTACCTAGTGCGTAAACGCGCTCCGCATGTGCGCACAAGCTTGAGGAATGGGGCAACTTTCTAGAGTGTGGCACAGCCATTCAGTTGATTTTGATTCAGTGTTTCTGTAGGGTGGCACAGGCGTTATACTGTTAAGATTTTGAGTGCGCTGTCTTGATAAAGTTCACCTTGTTGGCACAGCGGGCCCACAAACGGCGCAGAGGTGGTCGCGAGCAAGCTGGAGATGGCGGCTAGGAGGGGCAGCCAAAGGGGCGCGTCAAGTTCTGGGCAGATATCTGCAAACGGGTCCGCGCAAGGTTTGGCGGACATGCACGGGGGAGAGGGGGGTCCCCAGCGGGCAGGCTCCGTGCGGCTGAGGGACGCCATCGTTTGGGGGTACATGATGCAGCGCCACGACGCGCGCGACAAGGTGACTCGCTTCAGTCAGAGTTTTGTACCGAGAGCAGTCAACTGATCCATAGCAGACAACAGCGCCTGGGGTTGGATGCAGGCAGGCCGAGAACAAGTAACAGAGCAGAGAGTGCACTAGCTTTGGACTCGCAAATTCTACGGATACCCATATGATGTTGCTGCCTCTTCAAGTCCCTCGAACGAAGCAGCAAGGATGATGAACAACAATCCCGCCGCAGGCTGACAAATCTTAATATTCATCAACTTTGTGCCACTAGTCTTAGCCTGCTGGTCCTTTTGAACCTCTCTCTCTCGGCTGACAAATTTTGTCGTCAAATTCTTGCTACTATCTTCATAAAGCTGAGTTTGCCTGAAACTTTCCACATTGCTGCTGGGCAGGTGGAGGTGCCGGAGTGGTACACGTCGGGGCACATGCCGCCAACGCGCCAAATGACATCCTTCGAGCGCGACATGGCGGCGCTGCAGCTGCGGCGGGACGAGGCCGCGTCTTCTGAGAACGGCGACGCCCCCGAACGCGCGCCGCGGCAGCCGCCCTGCCTGGAGCATTGGGACGTCGTCTCCGGGGGCGATGCCCTCGCCGACTGCTCCGACACGGTCAGCTTTTCACTTTTCTCGCTTTCCGCCTTGATGGGCAGCATGCGGAAGTCTCAGATAGATGAAGAAAAGACCTGCCAATTATAAATAAAAAAACATGCTTATTTTATGTATGCCTACAAACAAAGCCGAGCCCACACAATCTACTATAACTCCGTATTAAAAGCTCGAGAGATACTTTTCCACTACTTCCAGACAAAGAAATTTGGAAATACAAGCAGAGTTTCCAAAAATACAGGGGGGTTGGCGCGCAGGTTGATTTTCTGTACGAGCTGGTGCGGCTGGATGAGGTGGCGGCCCCCTCCGGCAGCGACAGCGATCGCGAATCCCCCGGCCGCGCGCCAAACGAGCTGCCGGAACGCCGCGCCGCCCGCGGCCTCTTCCGCTGGGATGTGAGCTCTCGTCCCTCTCAAATATCTGCTGATCCTTCTCATCTTCTTAGAGGACACTCCTGATGCCGTACTGTCATTTAACAGATGAGCATGCAAATATGATTTGCGTGCTTGAACGTGACGGACGGGGCACTGTGTTGCCTGCAACAAGCGGCCTTCTCAAACAGACCCTTCAAGAGCACTGTAAGATTGCTCATGGCAGGTCTTGCGAAACAACAGAACATGCACAAATCAGCCATTTTTTATGTCTGACATGTATCAGCGGGTCAAGAGTGCGCGTGACCATGCAGCAGGATGACATAATAGTGACGCGCGCGCCTGGCCGGCTGGATGTGATGGGGGGCAAGCCTCTGTAATGTTGAGTGCACTGGGCTACACGTTCATGCATTCGGTTGTACCATATTTTGCATTGTTTCACTTGGAACCTTTTCCACAGAAGCAGATCCTGGATTGCTGTGTGGCAGGATGACGTAATCGTGACGCGCGCGCCGGGGCGGCTGGACGTGATGGGGGGCATAGCGGACTACAGCGGCAGCCTGGTGCTGCAGCTGCCCCTGGCGCAGGCATGCCACGTGGCCGCGCAGACCCACCCGCTGCCCCTGCAGCGCGTCTGGCGCCACATGCAATCCCGCCACGTGCGCGAGTTCTCACCTGATCTTCTCAAAACCACCGCTGCTACTTGCACTTTTGTACGCATGGCGCGGCCGGATTGCCGGAGACCTGCACCTCGCCCAACGACCGGCATCTTTGGAGGCCAGCCCTGCAGAAATTGACGCTCAGGATGGGATACTGTTTTGAGATGTGGCGGCATCCAGGGGTGCTACACTTCCAGCAATCCACGGGCTTGTTGGCAACATTTGGCTGAAAAAGATACATCACAGCTCAGCTCAGCCCCTCTCATGTAGCATAGCTGCTCACGATGCAGTGCAGTGATGTGACAATTTGTGATCTAGATATAGTAAAGTAATAACAGCCATAATATTAGTAGTTGAAGTAGTGATCTATGTGCAGGAGGCGGATGGGGGCCCCAAGGCGGCGCTGAGGGTGGTGAGTTTGGGGGCGGACCTGACCAACCGCGGCCCCACCTTCGACATGGACCTGGCCGAGCTCCTGCGCGACGGCATTCCCATCCCCTACGACGAGGCACGCCAGTACTTCAAACGCGATCCCGCCCACAGGCATGCACCCTCAGCCTGCCCTTGAAGCCCACCATCGAGAGGGAATTGAATAGCGCTAGATGGGGGGTACAATGCAGATTGCAAATGTACATACAGCTATTGCGCGCCCGCTCATACTGCCTTGGATTGAATCAGTGAAATAAGAAAGATATTGCCGAATGAGAGCCATTTGTAAAGTTACAAAGCCACAAAAGAATCGCATGCATTCATGGAGATGCGCCGGGCATTGCCCTCTAGAACAGCTGCCATTGCCGGCTTGGGTCCAATGCTTTGGCAGAGCTTTGCACTACACGACAACCTTTTAGACCTCCAAGCCTTCAGGCTTGAATGATTTCATGCCGGCGCTCTGCAGCTGGGCGGCATACGTGGCCGGTGCGCTGGTAGTGCTGATGCATGAGAAAGGCTGCCGCTTCACTGACGGCATCTCCATCCTGGTCTCTTCCGCGGTGCCCGAGGGCAAGGGCGTCTCATCCTCGGCTGCTGTCGAGGTGTCCATCATGCAGGCGCTCGCGGCTGCGCATGGGGTTCAGTTGGAGGGCCGCGAGCTCGCGCTGCTCTGCCAGAAGGTGGGCGGCTGCTCTAGCTGTCAATGCTGGCTTTTAATCCACAAGGAATGCAAGACCCACAAGGCAGTGCGAGCGGCATTTAGCGTCATGTAGATATTGATCCCCCGGGGAGCGTATGTGGGCTACAGTCTCCTCATATATGGCTGGCAGGGTCTTTGAGGCACTTTTTTTGAATCACTAGCTATCCTGAATTGCTTTACTGTCAACAGCAATATGTTTGGCATGTTAGGCAAGCTTGCCGTAGTGTCATGCAAGGGCGACAGACAAGCGGAGGTGAAAGGATGCGTTGCCAGCATAAGAAGAGTCCGGGTGTCAATGACGGCATTGTTAGTCACCACGGCACATGCACAAGCGCAGGTGGAGAACTGCGTGGTGGGCGCCCCCTGCGGAGTGATGGACCAAATGACATCAGCGCTGGGCGAGGCGGGAAGCCTGCTCGCGCTGCGCTGCCAGCCGGCTGAGATGCTGCCGCCCGTCAGCCTGCCGCCCCACATCCGCCTCTGGGGCGTCGACTCTGGCATCCGCCACAGGTGCGCAGCAGGGTTTCTTTTAGTCGCGCCCTGAGGCCAATATGGCTCTGACAGATGAACAATGCATTTTTGTGGCGCATAAACTACCTGATGGTGCCCTAATTTGAAGCCACTGATTGGCTTCCAAAATTAAGTCACCCTCGCAGGAAGCCACAATTTAACCATTTTCAGCAAGACTATGCCAGAAATCACAGCTTTCAAGGAAAAAATTTGTGATAATTCCAGCTTAAGGCACTTTTGTAGCTTCAAAATAGCTTCAAACTACTAATGTGGCATATGTTTGTAGCCTGATTGGCTTCCACTGGGCAGGGTATCTCATGGATCTTGTTCTCTGACTACTGGCTATAGAGGTCCTGACCGCAAGGAGCACTGTAAGAACTTCAAGGGAACCTCGTCTGGAGTCTGGTGTGCATCCCTGAAATTAGCGGCAGAACTAGCAGCAGATGCTGTGGTGTCTGCAGAGGCTTGATCACTTATTGCAGAATGCGATTGCAGAATGCAATAGCTGCAGTTGTTGTCCTATCCTGTGTACCTGTCATTGTCCCTGCTTGGAAGTTAAGATGCAGTTCTGGCTCAGATCAGCTGACATTGCACGGATGCAAGCCTGCAGAGTGGCGGGCTGGGTTATGGGATGGTAACTGCACCTTCAATGGAATCCACAATTTCTCTGTCATCAGCTGTCCCTGATGGTGCGCATGTCTGCAGCGTGGGCGGGCTGGATTACGGGACGGTGCGAGCAGGCGCCTTTATGGGCCTGCGGATGCTCAGCGGCCTGGCCGAGCAGCTGCAGCGCCAGAGCTCGTACACGTCTCCCTCCAAGCCCCGCGCGTGCTCACCCGCCAACGGCCTCGCCTGCTCACCCATAGGCAAGCATTCGTCCGTTCTAGACTTGTGCAGCATGCACAGTGGCGGTTGTCAGCGACAAAGTTTGCATTGAGTGTGCACTCCGGAAGGACGGCGTTGGCAGTCAGAGATAGCCTTTGTGCAATTTGTCCTGTGTCAGTTGCACTGTGCCCGTGGAGCATGCGTGAGCAAGCAAGCAAGCAGGGGTTAGCAACAAAGTATACATGAAAGAACGAGACGGCACCCGCTCTCAGAAGATACCTCGGTATGGGAGGTCCTTTCGAAAGGGCAATATCTGGATGCTCTCACCCCATCTACGAAAATCAGCAGGCAGCTTTGAAGTATGAATCAACTTTCCTTGGATGCTGAAAGTCGCATTCTAGTCTGTATGATCCTCAAATTTTGCAGGTGGGGGCTACCTGGCAAATGTGGCTCCAAGCGACTTCTGCCGCATCTATGAGCAGGAGCTGCCCGAGTCCATCACCGGTGCAGCCTTCCTCAAAGACTACTCCGATCACTGGGACTCCGCCACACAGGTGCAGACCACATAAATCTTCAACACACCTCCTGAAATGCTCATTCATAGGTATATAACGCTCACCGCAGCTTGTCTGCAGGACGGACCTTCCCTTTTGGCAGGAACATTGTGTAATAGTAATATTAATAATGTTCACCGTTTGTGCTCAGGGATCCAAGCCTGCTTTCTTATAAAAGCCCACCCTATGTCTGGGATCCCATTGATCTGCTTGGCTTGCTGAAATTGCTAGTCGGATCCCACGACCAGTTGACAGCCATGCGGGCCTCCCTCCAAATGCAGAATATGAACCTGCCCTATTGAACATGCCCACGCTTGATGAAACTTATACATGGTGCAGATTGACTCGGATACGACGTATCTTGTGCGGCAGCCGACGGCGCACCCGGTGATGGAGAACTGGCGAGTGCGCACCTTCCGCCAGCTCCTGCGCCCGCCCGCCGCCGACGCTTCCATCAACGACGATGATAGGGCGGAACAGCTGGCCATGCTCGGCGAGATCATGTACCAGGTGGGCACCCTTCCCCTTCCTCTGGAAGTCTCACATGCAGCTAATTCGGCCCCTTGCATAAAATTTGTAACTTTGCATCCGGCATGACCTGGCAGGAAGGTGCGTGTGTGTCGTGCATCGGCAAAAGCTGCCGCAGTCCGGCAAACACATCGGTCTGTCTTCCATCGCATCTCACTGCAACACGTCGAGTATTCTTTACCACCACCACACTAGGGTCACTGTTGTTTGTGTCAAAAGTCTAAAAGATCTTCTCAAATATGCTGTTATTGGTCGCAGAGCCATGCAAGCTACAGCCGCTGCGGCCTGGGCAGTGACGGCACCGACCGCATTGTGGCGCTTGTCAGGGACGAGGCGGCCGCAGCGGCCGCGCGCGGCGAGCGCCCAGCACTGTACGGAGCTAAAATCACCGGGGGCGGATCCGGCGGTAAGACTCTCTCCTGCGAACGCTTCACCAATTCCAGCCAAAAAAAGTGACCCCTGTTCTCAAAAAGACCATTCATGGATCTAGTAGATCGCTGAGCTTCTCACTCCTGCTGGATTATGTCCCATTTTATGCCCGTGCTCACGAGTCTCTAGCACGTGGTTGTTTTTTATTTCTGTTGCTTCTCTGTAACCTTGGCTAACTCCATTTCAGGCAAAGCAAGTCCTGGATAATCTCACAAACTGCATTTTTAGGCTCGGACCTTGGCAGCTTGTGCTTCCCTGTCTTCAGGCTCAGAATGATGGACTGTAGGGCTTTTGGGTACATGGCAGACGACCTTGTATCAGCTTGGCAGTAGCAGCTCTGGAGCTAGCACGTTGATACTTGCTCACAGCGAAATGAAAGCTGAATTAGCTGATGTGCATGTGCCGGCACCTGCAGGCACAGTCTGCGTGCTGGGCTCCGCCGACGCAGCGGGCGAGGCTGCGCTTGCAAGGGTTGTCGAGCGATACGCGCAGTCCACCGGGGGGTACCAGGCGCAGGTTTTCTCGGGTTCCTCTCCCGGGGCAACAAAATTTGGCGTCCTCCGGCTGCGGCGGAAGACTGCACCAGCCGCCCAGCCCTAAACCAACGCATGCTTTTCCAAAAACGCATCTCAGGCAAAAGAAAGTAAGCATTTTTGCTTGTCTGCCTTTGAGCAGACTGGGGTCTCAGCCTTTTTAGAAGCCTTCACGGCTGTGAGTAGAGTAGACGAGGAATTGACCTGCAGGTCTCCTGTGATTCAAACTGCTCTTTCTCACGACAATTTTAATCAGTGGGTCTGCAGGTGTCTTAAGTGAAGAAATGCAAGCTGCAGCTCTCTGTATGTCTACTCGTTTAGTAGGAACTGTCCTGTGGCACCTGTGCGTGTGTGCAGAGAACATGTAGCATAGGAGATGTTTTGCATCCCAGTCAAGTGCTCTTGAGACCAATTGTCTTTTGTGGCAGGCATATCCCGCCTACATCCTGAATGTGCAAATGCATGCTGTAAAGGAACTAGCTTGACGCCATGCTTCAAGAGAATAGCCATATCACTACAACTCGAGACACACTCACAGACACACACACACACACACACACACACACCGCGCCAGAAGCAACTCGAGGATACTTGTTCACTTCCCTACCCTGCGGCAATTATGCACGTACGTATGCGAGCTGAAGTGCCTGTTAATCTTCCGGCACGGTATAATCGCATGCGCAGCAGAATGGCTGGAGTTCATCTGCATCCATGCCTTTATCAGAAGCCAGGCAAGCGCCACACGCGCCGCTCGCCACGTCACAGAGCGAGAAGCTTCCACACTCCACAAACTCACTTGAAGGCAGGCCTGGCCCTGCACGTCTGCGTTTCCTGCCATCTTCAGCTTGCTGCGTCGTTGTGTGCACGTGCTCCTGCACCCAGATTCGTCCAAGTTTGAACAGATTCAAAGCACATGACATTCTGTCTCTGCTGAATGTGCATCTAGCGCTGCTAAGTCTCGAAGTTTATGACACACAGGCAGCAAACCTCAACCTTCTTTGAAGGAATTTGCTGATCGCACATCCAACACGGTATAAGGTGCTCTGGCGCTCTCTTTAATGTAACGTAGAATTGAAGGGCTATCTGTTTTCGAAGAAATGAGTTACATCTATTGATTTTGATATTACTGAGTCGTTTCAGATCCGCCAGAGCAGAGCGAAAAGCCCTCCTTTGATTGGAAGGAAGCTCGATGACGTCAGCCGTTTCCGTGTCATTCGTTCGTTGCAAAAAATAAAACGCCCAATGCAGGGCGACAACCTAATTCTTCTAGTAGCTCCCCTTCTTAATTTTGTTCCTGACTTCTGCAGCATGCAATTTATTGGTTGTGTTCCTGCAACCAATGAATAGGTAAATGGTGTTTGAGATGGTGCAGCAATGTACATTCCCTTGACCTTGTTACAGAGCTGCCCTCATGCGGCATGAGGAGATCAGATGATCCTGGAAGTTGTTGATTGCCACTGAGTGTGTAGAAATAGGAATAGATGGCGTTTGCATACATACTATGTCAGCTCTAACCCACCTTGGCTGCAGCTAATAGAACCGCAATCTACTTCACAATACTTGGAAGGCCACTGCTGATGATCAAATGCGCTACCTAACCTGTACAGAACGACGACAAGTGAAAATTTCTTTTGACACCTACCTTCGTACACATCACTGCGCGGACAATAAAGTCATTTCCTTTCTCAATTCGCCGAACTTGACAGTATCTGAAAGACTTGGACCCTTGCACGGCTACAGGGCACACTCCAAATTGGCATACAGCGTCTCAAAGTTGCCTTGCGTCATCTGTGAACAGAGCGGAGGGGGCTCGTTGAACGCGCCCAGATTCCATCTCTGGTGCCACCTGCAGGACCAGCGAACCAGCATGTGGATCAACTCATTGCGCGCGTAGCTTTTTATTGAAGCCCCAGGCTGTGTCTACAATGAATGTCCCATCAAGCAGGCTCACATACACTTGGTGCCATGTCGATCTCAATTGAACTCTTCACCTGCCAAGACACCCAGCACCCTGCTCCTGAATGTTAAAGAACCAGGAAGCACAGATCGCTTCAAGAACAGAGCTTGCAGCCATGATCACGAGGGCTGCACCCGACAACACTCCTTCAAAAACTCCTTTGCACAAGAGAGGCTGGAACTAAGCAGACATAAGTTTGTGGGCCGCGAATGACCTCCCTTTAAAAATCCTTCAAACTCCACAGATGGCATTGAGGACGACAAAAAATTGCAGGCCGCATTTGACGACGGCTTTTTTGGGGAGAATTAAAAAGAAGAAAGAGGAGCTCTGATCATGTTGTCTCTCACCTGACGACGACGTCTATGGAGGGAATGCTGTGGTTTGCGGCTGCGGCGCCGGGGCGCATGCTTCGGAAGCGCTGGCGTCGGCGGATGCGCTGCTGAGTCAGCGCTATGTCAGCGCCTCCTGGCACCTCCCTCACCCACATGGGCAGCCAGATGTACCTGCACGCGCACAAACCCACAAAGCTCAAGTTTCCGCAGAAAGGAATGCTTCAATGTCATGCTGAAGGCACTACTACCACTCAGCTGCACAAGACATGAAAAGGGCTAGTCTGCACTTTGCTGGTGCATTCCAGGCCGGCTTGACCATTCAAGGAGGAGGCTCCTGCCATGTGACATAAGCATTTGTGATTCCAACATGAGCTACTGTATTTGCCACATGTATGTGTACCACCACCGCTGCGAGCCATCCCCGGATGCGAGTTACAGCGCGCATGGCGGTGGTTTTCTTGCGGCGGGTGGATGTTTGGGAAAGCTTAACAATGGGTTAAGAGGAATATGGTTCCCTGTGCATAGCGCGGGTACGCTTCTAGTCTGTAAGGATGCAGGCAGTGAAAATTCTAATTCCTGAGGGTTTGGAGCTGGGCTCACTTGGAGGAGCCGAGGTTGGAGGGAACCCAGCGGTCTGCCAGGAACAGAAATTCGCCCGGCCGCCCCGGCATCGGCAGAACATGCGTGGCCTGCGCGTAGAAGGTGCGCTGGCGCGCCATTATCGTGCCCCCTATGCAGGGGTTGCCCAGTGACTCCCACTGCCCCAACGGCGACCTGCAGCCGAACACTTCACAATGGATCACAAAGGAATCAACAGCTTCTGGGAACCCTCAACTAGGCATCCCTTCCTGCTGACATTCCAAGGGAAGTATTAGTGCTTACTTTGGGTCACTGCATACTGCAACGGCATGCGGTCTCTTTTCCGCAAGCCCTGACAGTGATTTGAAATCACTCGCTATCGATCCTTTGAAGAATCCTGACGCGCAAGACAAGTGACCGAGATAAAGCAGTGCCACTCTGTGCTGCGAGTTGGTTATGGCGGAGGGGCGCACCTGGCAAAGAATATCTCTGCTCTGTTGGGGTCCCACCCGGTGCACCCAGAGGTCAGCATCAAATACAGGCCCTTGTATTTGAACATCGCTGGTGCCTCCCTGCTCATTCCCACCTGCACACACCCGCCATCCCTTTCGCTGCCTGCTCCATAGTGAAAAATCACTTGACATGAACTCCTGCGTTGCTCTCTTTGACCCCTACAAGAACATGCTTTGAATGGCATATCAATCGCTCGTGTGTGGGATGGCAAACAGGAGGGCAGGATGCAGGGCAAAGAGTCAGCAGCAGGGGAGGACCCTACCATGGTCCGGACAAAGTCCTTGCCGACTGAGATGTAATCTTTTGTCAGCTGCGCAATGTGCATGACCTTGTTGTCCTCTGATGAGTAAGCTATGTAGGCGCTGCCGTCATCATCCTGTCACAATCCATCGTGCATGTGTCAAGCACTTCTTGCTTGCTTCTGCCATATTGCAGTAGAATTGTCTTAATGTTATAAGAGAAGCAATTGCAAGGCTAAAAGCAGCAGCAGGTTCATTGACAGTGCGCATGGAAAGAGCACTTCACAGTCTTGAGTCGAGAAGAGTTGCTGCAGACGTCAGGCGAACCACCTCTGCTTCTTTAAAGCAGGATGACAGGTGCCCAGCGCTGATAACTTCATGCTGACCTGCATTCATGCGGAGAAACGACGCAGAGCAACCAAAAACCGGCAGCAAAGCCTGCAAGTTCTCTTGTGCCAAAAAGGGGCGTGCCTTGAATACGGTGAAGTCCCGGCACATGTGGCCGTGCGGCCGGAAGCTGCCGCGGTAGGTGAAGGGCCCCCCCGCGCGCGTCGACGTGGCAACGCCGCAGCGCGCCAGCTCGTAGTCAGCCTCGTCAACGTGCATCCACATTACGTAACGCTTAGTCATGTCATTGTAGAGCACGCGCGGCCTCTCCACCACCTTGCTGGGGGCCAGGTCCGGATGCTGCCCCGCCCTCAGCGCCAGTCCTGTGCCATGGCGCTGAAAATCTCAGAACATTTGAAGGGCATTCTTCGGAAATGCAGCTTAGACTCCTAAGGCAAGTTCACAGTCCTGCAAGAATGGTCATCTTTGATATGCCTCGTGCTTATGGGAAAAAGGTCACTGGAATTTTTTTGTGTTACACATGCAATCAGGTGATCAAAAGGCATGATGAGCTGCGGATGAGAAAGCAGAGATTAGCCTGCGGCTATATTGATGGACAGGGGCACGATGGTGAGGTGCGGGGAGAAGGAAGACAGGCAGAAGCTTGCCTTCATAGTGCCAGTTGAGCAGGTCCCTGGAGGAGTAGCAGCTGATGCCGATCACATCCACACGGTGCACAATGGATGGAGGCCTCCCACTGCACAGCATTCACAACAGCAGCTTTCAAAGTTCAAACACTCCACTGACCAAATTATTGTGCTGGGAGTTTGCCTACACTTACAGCTTGTACAGTGGCCTGCAAGGAAGGGTAATGCCTTCAGGGGATGTGCACTGCATCTGAAAGTCAGTAAGGAATATTGAGAACTCACGATCCGGGAGGATGTGTGATGCCGCCTTTGTTCTCGCCATACCAGTAATACACTCCCTCATGGTACAAGATTGACCCCCCGTGTGCCTGCAGGCTTCTATGCGTCAGCACCCGACAGAAAGACGGCTTTTTGTCCAAATCACAGTGGAAGAGGCAGCGCATGAGGGCCTGGAAGAGTGCAGGCGGTCTCCTCACCTGGATGAGTTTATTCCTGTCATCCTTCCAGAGCACCTCGTTGATGATGTCTGCAGGGCACAGTGAGCAGAAAAAGTCAGAGGCAGACCCTTCAGACAAGCAGATGGTCTCCATATGTCACGACGCCAAGCAAAGCAAATGGCTCGACGCACCTGTGCGCGTTGTGTTACCCTTGCTGGCAGGGTATCCTTGACCTACCCTAACCTGTGACGGCACAAACACAGAAAGTAGGTTCAGATCATTGATCGGGCACAGCAGAGTCAGCAGAATCAGCGCACTCCTCGCTAGGGCATGGCGACAGCAGAAGGATTAGGAACACGAGCACCACCTGTCCAATGCCCCTCGATAGAGCATGTGGATCTTGCTTTACAGAAGCCAATTGAATTGATGGAACGGTGCCCAGCAAGAAGTCCCACGGAATAGCTCTGGGCAGCGCCCAGCAGAGCAAGATGGCAAGCTTCAGCAATGTGATGCTGGCAATGATGACAAATTTTCTCGGTGATGTGCGATATATGCGATGTGCATGTTTTTTGGCCCTCGAGTAGATGCTTCTCCCAGGGCTCAGTGCTCTAGTTGGCGTTGAAGGGGCCATGGAAAGGTCCCATCAACGCTCTCTCAAGCTCTTGGATCTCCATTGTCCCTCAGAAAAAGACAAATTGACAACTTTCAGGGTCATATGATGGAAATAAGGGCCCTATGTGACAAGTACCGTCACCTTTGGGTGTCAATCTGCACTTTACAAGACTCGGTGTAGCAGGGCAGTGAAGGGATCAGAACGCGGAATCTGGTGAATATTTGCGATTCCAATCCCAGGACATACAGCATATGTTCAACATGTAACAGCATTCCTGCTTCTGCCTCGAATTTGCAACTCACAGCTCGTGCTGACATCACGTCTGTCACGTGCCGACATCATTGGATCTGGAGACTCGCAGCAACTCAATCAAACCAGACACATACACAATTTTAGTTGAAGGCTCAAAAGGACTAAATTGGTGCCAACTGTGCTAGATAGGCTCAGACCTGTTGTACATGTGCTGCTTGCCAACAGCAGTGTGCAAGCAGCGTTAACGGCCCCGGGCCGGGGCCCGAGCTCACACTTTCTTGAACGAATACATCTGGGATTGTAGACCCTGCACTCCCTTGCTGCTCTCCTCTGACAGTTTTGTCACGTACTTTCCAATCAGTGCAAAAAGCAGAGGCGCTGCTGGCAACCACACAAATTTCCACCAGTTCCTCGCCTCTATGCTCCCAACCTGCGCATGCGCATGAGCCATTTGTACATCCATTTTGCCGGACCCTTAAATTCAACGCTGCCATCTGCTTGCTTCCTTCTGCAGCCGTGATCGGGCAAGTGACACCTGATCAGAGGGCCTGTACGATTTATTGTGTGCACAGCAATGCAACCAAGACAAACCCCTGGCCAAATTATAAAAGTCCTCAACAGTGGTAATGCCGGTGCAAGCAGAATAGGCGAGGAAATGCAGCCATGCAAATAAATGCAAAGCAGCAACAGCACAGTGGTCCCTTCCAAGCATGGCTACATTGGGTGGCCCAGGAGCACTGTTGAACAATCGTCAGGACCACAATCCACACCTTCACAGCGCCAATGAGCGCCTGCGTCCAGAAGATGCTGAGGCCCAATCCCAGCGCGAGGGGTGCAGCGCTGAACCAAGCACTAACCGGCTGCCTCCTGCGGCCGGCTTGCCAATCCACATGGCGCGTTATTGCTGAGCCTGTAAGCATGATGCATGCGCCAGATAACACCTCTCCAAAGGCAATGCCCCATGTGGACAGAGTGCCTGCAGGCACCATGTACATTTTGCAGGCCCGTGAGCCCAGCTGCACCATCACTACTTGTAGGACACATGCCAGACGTTCTGGACATTGAAGACAACAGTGAGCGCATGCTTGGCTTGCTGGTAACTACTTGCAAATGCGGCGTGGTGCTGCATGCCGCCTGGGCTCCTCATCTCGCTGAGACCCAGGCAGATGTAAGCTAAAGCCAGAACCCCTGACAGGGCTGTGAAGATATTGCACCAGAGCCTCTGCTGCAATACCTGCGTGACCGCACAATACTCAAGCAACGATGGAGATTCTACTGCATTAAAAAAGGACTTCAAATCGCTGAAAAACCCCATGCAAACGTGAGGAAGGGATCGTATTACCACTTCATCTCTTAACAGAGCCACGACCTCAGCTTGTTCATCTTCATCTAAGAGATCATCCCTTTTTAAATATTCTTCTAGTATTTTCGTTTCTTTCCTCTTGCGTATCATCTTATAGCTATTCTACTAGCGACTAATCATGCGATCTGGGCATGCACTGAGACGTTACACTACTTTTCACGCGACTTTGCTGTGGTGGCCCACTCGTTTAGCGTCACAATGCCTCTATGATAGTCACAAGACCCTGCTACACCGATAAGAAATGTAACTAGTTTGTCCCATTGAAGAAGAAAGAGAACATGGACTTGGCCAAGGTCACCGGGTCAATCGGCTTTGCATGGGTGGACTCCTCGGCTGCCTTCGTCCAAGGACATGCAACTGATCGTGAACCTCGGACAGCAGCATAACTCGTACACTTGTGACAAGCACTTTCATCTCTAATGAAAGGTTCCTCTATCTACTTTTATCACGCGATTAGAATTCTCAACTTGAGTACCTTCGAGCTGTGGCGTTCTGGAAGGTCCTTGTCCTTACGTACATCATCTCGGAGCCTCAAATTTCCAGGCTTATTTGCAAGGCATCTGTGAAGACACCCAGCCATTTCTGCATCTGGCAGGTGGGAAGCAAACCCGCAAGCTGGCGGCACAATATATCTAAATCGAGACAGCAGAAAAGCTTGTTAAGCAACCTTGAAGCGATCATGCCAATGTACATCTATCATATATTCATCTCTTCGTTAGATCAGCCAAGGGCTTCCTTGGCTATCTTTTCCATGACTGTGCTCAGCAGCAACATCAGGTCGTGCAAATATTGCTCACCTGCGATGCTGCTTGGCCTTGCATCTGCATGTGCGTTATATGTAGACAGCAGTAATTATTTGGAAATTTGCAAGATAGAAACTGAAGGATTTCCCGATTTTTGTACAGGCGCCACCTCTATATGTAACAAGATGAGGAGGAGGAATTGAGCGAGAGCACAGTGCTGGACTGTTCCTGATGACCGAGTCTACTGTATCAGGAATAACACCAATATTTTGAGAGAATTGGTGGTGGCAATCTCCCTCAATATGAGAGAAGGATGACCATACAGCACCTCACACAGCAGGCAATTTGTGCTCGAGGAGACAGGAGCGCTCATGAGACATAGCGGAGCCTCAGGGGCACACAAGGCGCCTCGGGAGAGGTGGCCAACGCTCAGCACGCTGCGATTCCGCCTCACAGCAATCACTTGCCTGCTGAGCGGGGTGTCAGTATTCTACACATTCCACAGGACGGTGCCGCCGCATGCCGTCGAAGTGCGGCAGCAGAAAATCTCCTTCATGGCCACATACAGATCCAGGACCACATGGGGTGCTGAGAAGGCAGCGGATACCAAGCTACCCGTCTGTAAGCACCCCCGATCCTTCCTGTGTTGAACTGACTGGTATCTTGCAATGCCAGGGTCTTCGGCTGCAGAGCAAGTAGACTTGGCTTAATTAAGCTGACACATGTAATTTCTTGCAGATTTCAGGCCGGGAGAGCCATGGAATGATGTTGATGGAAACCCAATACAGGTGAGCTTGATAAACCTTGGTTGGATTGCAATGGACCAGCAGACAGGAGACATTCCCAGAGGAGTGTGTGCCTGTCGCGTAGCAAATCGAAATTAACGGGCATACAGCCCTATCTGTGTTATAAGTGACCAGCAACTGACTTCTCTGCAGGCTCATGGAGGCGGAGTCTTGCTCCATGAGGGTGTCTACTACTGGTATGGAGAGGACAAATCAGGGCCGACATATAAGAAGTTCTCTCTCACGTGAGCGCCACTCACCCACACACACCTTATCATCAAATTTCAAGACAACAGGTGAAGAAAAGGGAACAAATCCAGACTTTTTTGAGAGATCTTAGAAAGAATAGTCCCATCGGTCGGGCGTGTCTTCATAGCTTCCAGCGGATCACAATTCCTGAGAAGCAGCCAAAGCTTTGCCAGTCCTGTCTTTCAAAGGATTTTTGAATGGAGGTCTCATGACAGGAGAGTGCCGACCTGTACAGGGGCGACAGCGCGGCCCGAGTGGATGTCATTGGCGTGAGGTGCTACTCCTCCACAGACCTTGCAAACTGGAGGGATGAAGGTCTGTCACGCAGCCCTCGCCTGCACCTAAACTCTGCCGGACCATTAACTTTCATGGGGCCTCTGCGCCCCCAGCAATGCGCTTATTCTAATATCCAACATCTGCATCTCTGTCTCACCGTCTTAGAAATGCAAGTAGCACTGCTTTGCAGCACAGAATGTGCAGCACCGCAGTGCAATGTTAGTACTCTAGCTTCCTCAGACCTTAAATTAGCTCAGATCTACTGTAGCATAGATTACATGAAGAGCTCAGCAATTTAGATGAAGATTACCTTGAGAGCTTAGCAATCTGAGTGCTGCATTGCAGGGCTGGTGCTGAAGAGCACCCCAAACCATCCAGACCTGGCGCCCAACATGGTGTTGGAGAGGCCAAAGGTGATCTACAATGACCGCCTGCGGACATTTGTCATGTGGATGCACATCGATGACGCAGAGTACAAAATGGCGCGCGCGGGCGTTGCCGTGAGCTCGGCGGCCACGGGACCCTTCAAGTTTCTGCGCAGCTTCCGCCCCAACGGGCGGCAGTCGCGCGATCTCAACCTGTTCAAGGTGACGCTAGCTTCCTCTCAGCTGCGCTGCAGGCCTCTTCAAGTGCTGTGCAGACATGCTCTGCTGTGTGCCCTGCGAAACATCACGCCGGAAGAGGATAAAGTGGGTTAGTGCTGTCAGGCCGGCATGGTCTGAACCTCATGCTCAAGAAGCTCTGCAGTCTGGAGGCCACGTGTTATCGGCTCAACTTGCAAGGCACATGGATGCAGCTGTTGGGTGGCATCCCAATGATTCATTTGGCTTGAAGCACTCTGCTGCGGGTCTGCACTGGCAGTTATGTCCTCTGTGGCAACCAGCAAGGACTGTGCAGAGAACTAGCTCATTGCTCCCTGTGGCTAGAAAAACAAGGGTGGTAAAAAGGGTGCATAACATGCGCAGGACGATGACGGAACGGCGTATGTCATCTATTCCAGCGAGGGCAATAAGGACATGCACATCGCCAAGCTGTCACCGGACTACACTGACACTCAGCCGCAGCACCTGAAGATATTCATCGGGCGCAGCCGAGAGGCGCCGGCCGTGTTCAAGCACGGCGGCCTTTACTTCATGCTGACCTCGGGCTGCACCGGCTGGGAGCCTAACCAGGCCGAGGTCCACTGGGCCAAGTGAGTAAGGCTTACGTGGCTTAGTCATCAGTGACCAAGCATATGTTTACACGCTTCCAGCGCTGTTGCGTCGAGTGCCAGGCATGTGCAGAAACTGTGCCCCTTCAGCCAGCTGGGATATCTCTGAGAGAAGGGATTGCCAGGAAGGCAATCTGTCAGCAATTGGTTTGATCCTGTGGGTTCTGCGCAAGTTGAGATCAAGCTAGGCTGCAATCTCTTGTGGGCTGCTGTGCAATCCACAGATGTGTACAGAATAAATCTCAGGATCAGAATTAAAGCCAGTTATTCACAGGAGCAGCGCAAGAATGATGGGGCTCGTAACGACAATTTCAATTAAGATTTCACTCGGGTGTTGTGTGCTGTGCAGTGATATGTTTGGGCAATGGAACCTGGTGGGCCATCCATGCGTGGGAGGCACGGAGATGGATGCGGCCTATACATTCCAGTCGCAGGGCAGCTTTGTGCTGCCCGTGCCGGGCCGGCCGGGCAGCTTTATATTCATGGGCGACCAATGGGACCCTGACAACCTGGCAGAGTCTAGGTGGACTTCATCTCCTTGTATGTTTTTGAGCTTCTTGTGCTGTGTTGCTCATGAGTTTGTCCTGCAGTCCATGTGCAGGCTTCCAACAAGACTGTATCAAGTATTCTCTGTCGCGTTTAAAACCTCAGGGCTGCCAGGGAAGCATCATGTCAAAGAACATGGTTAGCGAGCCCATTATTGAGAGGTTGCTGCAACGCTCCTACCCCTGAGGGCTGGAACAAGTGTGATATAATAATAATAATAATAATAATAATAATAATAATAATAATAATAATGATGATAATAATAATAATAATAATAATAATAATAATAATAATAATAATAATAATAATAATAATAATAATAATAATAATAATAATAATAATAATAATAATAATTATAATAGCAAACCCATGCATAAGCATGCTGGATTACATTGAAGAAGGTTTCAGGCTAACACTCTGTCATGGCATGCGCAGGTATGTGTGGCTGCCCTTATGGGTTGTCCCAGTGCAGAACACACCGCACGAGCTGGAGGAGGCTGACCTGAGAAAGGGACAACACATTATATTGCAAGGCAGCGAGGGACGTTCGGCACAAACAGGTGGCAACGTGATGCCAGCAGATGTGGTTTTGAGATGGCATGACTTGTGGCGGTTTAGTGACTTTGACAGAGTGCCTAAATCGAGATGGGAGTCAGGCCGGCTGTATCATATGTAGATTGTGTATACACATAGCGTTAGACCTGAAGTATGTAAACAGCTCTCCACGCGACTCTGGACGTCCAGCAGAAGCTCTAACATGAAAGTTGAAGAAGCGCGTGCCACACGATGGCATCTTGATGGCGTCATGCACTTTAAAGAGCCATAAGTGCTCAAAGCTTCAATTGCATGGCTGGCATCCAGCGCACAGCATCCAGATGCATTGTCAGCCGTTCAAGTTCTCAGATTTAATTGACTGGATGCACTGCAAGAGGTTGTGCAGGTCGATGGCTACAGTTTGGAAGTCAATCACCTGTACTTCAGATACATCACCCACCAGCAAACCACCATTGTCTTTCCTAAATGCACTAAGGTCAAAGTATGCCAGCGACAAAGTGCTCAAATACCACCACCCTCGGCAACACATGCAGCGCGCGCTTGTTAGCTGGCACATTTCTGCTGACTTCCCATTCCCATGATCCAAATGCTCAATTGAGCCAGTCCTGCCCAGAAAACCCATCCTTGCGCTTTCCATCTCATCTGCATGGGCTTCAAGTCGTGATCTATTAATTCTGCTCGTTGCTTGTTTTGCTGCAGACGAGAAGCAGCACACATGCGCATTTTACGGCACAGGATTCATGCTCTACTGCAGCACCTCTCTCTCTGCACCCCTCAGCCCTTCTTGAGCAGAAGGTACACATTGGAGTCCACCTGAAGCTCTTGCAGCTTGTCCACATCCCCTGTCAGCTGCATCAGCAGGCCCCCAAAGGAGATGTACACCTGCACCTGCGTCTGTAAACCCCCAAGAAACTTGTCTTCAGATTTCTGGGACACGCAGATACTCTGGCTTTGTGCTGCCCTGTGCTTTGTATGCAGCAAAAATTTGATTGCATGCAGCATTGACCGAACAAATATTCGTCTCAGATGTCTGTGCCATCCAGACACTCTGTCATCGTGCTGCCCTGTGCTTTTCCATGCAGCTAAATTCTAGACCGCATATAGCAGCCAGCACCAAGAGTTGATCTCAGACATCTGGGTCATGCAGAGCCTCTGGCAGAGTGCTGCCCTCTAATGTTCCCATGCAGCAGCATTTTTCTGCTGGTATTGCATGAAGTACTGAGCAGAACAGATGTGACGAGCAGCGTGACGATCTGTAGCCCACAAGAAAATTCCTACCGTGTTAGTGTTTGTGTCAACTCCTGCGTCTGCATATTTGAAGATCTTCCCGTATGTGACATACTCAAACTCGTCCATTTTGGTCTTCCGGCTGCTCTGCATCGCCTGTAAACCACGCAGGTGCTTGCTTGAATCTGAATGTAAGCCACGCAGCTTTGCATAGTCAACAATTGCATATGTAGGCACAAGCACGCACCGCATTGTACGTCCCATCTGTGGGAGTGTCGTCCAGATTGATGGTTGGAGCTAGAACCAGCCTTAGCCGCTCTCCGACCTGAAGGCAGTCAATGTCAACTCGCCACATTTTGCAGCAAAGCTGAGATACAGGTGCAGAGAGGTGGCTAGTGCCTTGAATATGTGGATGCAGCACTCAGAGGGAGCAGAAGAGCACCTTCACTGGGTAGATGTCTGTGTTGATGTCCAGCATCAGCCCCATGCCAAACAGGTCGCTGTGGCATCTGAATCTCGACACTGTGATGCACAGCAGAAATTTAAATATTATCATTGACAAAATACGAGAATGGACGCTTTTTCTGGTAAGGTTGGCAAGCTACATCCGACTTTGAAGAAGTACCTTTATCAAACTGCTTGCCGTCGGGATCCTTCTCTAGGACTTCAAAGACGTCGTTGAAAAGTTCTCTTGACATAGAGGTAGTTTGAAGGCTGCACCTTGGCTAGCCAGGTCGGTTCTCTTCACACCAAAATGCGACCCTCAGCCTTAGTCTATAGTGCCTTCTAAGGACTTGGGGAAATTTTGCAGCGTGACATTGCCGCTTGGAAATATTGAATTCCACAGCAAGATGTGAATCAGACTATACTCTTAGAGGAACAGCTTGTGTGATCCAGATCAAGCACCAATTCTTTTATTAATCCACAGCCAGTACTTTCGATGGCTGTACAAAATACTACCGAATTTAAGGATGCTCAACATTCACGAAGTATCGTATCATTTAGATTTGACTGAGGCTTGCCACTTGAAAGGCTGCCCAGTCACGTAAGCATCGGTCATCCGAGGCGTCAGCAATGCAAGCCAGAGCCAGACCCATTCATCTGAAAGCTCTAACAACACTCTTATAAATCTAACAGGACTGTAGTGTATCGAGAACAGACTTCGCATGGCAAAATTTTGTCAATACAGTATGATCGATTTTTGAAGCAATTGACTTGAGCCTATGCGGGCAAAATTTCCCTGGAAACATGCAGGGCCAAGGGATGTCGGTAGACTATGCTGTGCAGATTATTGTTATGGCCCAGCACCCCAGCGCCTCCCGCGAGCAGCGCCTGGCGGCGTCAGAGCTATTCACTCAGGCATGGCCTCTGTTGAGCTTTACAGCTGTGTTCTTGGTTTTAAAACATCACCAATCCAATGCAAAAAAAAGTTGTTGTTTATTATTCTAAGGCATATCAGATCCATTACTTACCTTTGCAAAGCTCCTCTGATGGTGCATGGCCATTTTCACGCTGTGCATAATTCATCTGATCGGTATAAAGGCCTCATTCAATGTTCGTTGGAACGCAGATCAAGAGCGGAGACGCACGAGAGGCTGTCACATTGGCAATGGGCCTTCTTGTCAGCGGGCGACCGCTGGAGGTCCAGCACTTTGGCTTTCAGCTGCTCCAGACGCTGGTGCGCCCTGACATGTGGTATTTTACCAGCATATTTTACCATACAAAACCTCGTTGCACCAAGTCCTCATCTCCTGCAGAAGCTTTGAGGGAAGTGATCCTGCATAGTCAATGTGCTTGGGGTTGGGCGCAGGTGTCCTCCCAGTGGGAGAAGTTCAGTGCTGATGAGCACATCCAGCTGGCCCGCCTGGCTCTGAGCCTCTTCCAACAAGGTACTGCCACCTCTGCTGGCCCCGCCACATTGCAATTCTCCCTGATTCCAATTGCAACACTCTTGTGACATTGCATTTTTACTTCAGTGGCCTCAAGATTACATGCCACTCCAGGGGGTTCATCAAACGGTTTAATGATTGACCTACCTTGTCAGCAAGGCCGGTGTTGTCAAAGGGGTTGCAGAAATGGCCCAGCATCATACCTCAGTGGCATCATACAATCTTTTGAAATGTCCAATGCTGATGTTTTGATTTGCATGGCAGTGGGAAGGGACCGGGAGGGGTGGGCGGTGCGAAGCAAAGCTGCACTGGTTCTGGCGCTGGTGGCGAAGCGGCAGGGGCCCAGCATGGTGCAGGAGCTGCTGCCACAATTATTAAACATTGCCAGGGAGAGCCCCACACACACAGAAATGGTGAGGCCCTTTCTCCTGGCCAGAAATGAATCTCCTTCACAAGCGGGACTGTCCAACAAGCCTTCACATGCATAATGCCTGTGCCTCTTCCCATGTGTCCTCCTTTTGTATTGACCTTGTGCTTGAGGGCAGCGAGACAAGGGGTTGAAAAAACTAGAGATGTACCGCACACGGATCTTGTATCACAGTTAAATACATAGTTGATGCACTTTCACTCGTCAAATTATTGGAAAGCCTGGTATTCCAAACTCCCCAGCCTCGATTTCCATGTCGATTTGGGCAGGTCATGTACTAGGACCCTGACATCTGCGAGCCCATCCCCAGTATTGGGGGGACTGAATAAATAGAGTTCTCGTCCGCAGGTAAACTGTTTGAATGCAGGCTGTGATGTGGCTGCCAGGTGTGCATGGTGCTGCGGTTGGAGGCAGAGGAGCTGACTCAGTACACTGATGACCTGGACGCTGACCAGAAGAGGGAGCTGCTGGGGGCGCTGCTGCACTCCCTCGACTCCGTCCTGCCCTTCCTACAAAAAGCGAGTCATCTCACTGCGATCTGTCTGTATCAAGCCCCTGCGAGTTCCAGTACTGCTGCGCTTACATGCTAGCATCCTCAGAGATCCTGCATGGCATCCAGCAAGTGTGCATAAATTCTTTACATGATGAATTTTGACAATCTGGTGACTAGTGCGGGCTTCTTGCATTTGTTTAAGAGAAATTGTGCGGGCTGCGCCAAGGTATCCTTACCCTGTGCCTTTTATATTGACACAAAGTACAGGCTTGAAGGTGTAGACATTTGGTGTGCTGGCATGCAGACTCTTCAGGATCATTTTGGGGAGGCTATGGCCGCGCAAGGCAGGGGAGACAGCTCAGCTGCAGCACTGCACAATGGCGTTGTCACCGCCGCTATAGGTGTGCTGCTGCCCATGTTCCTTTGCTCAGCATTAGCAGTGCATTTCCTACTCGTCATGTTGCATTTCACCCTTCAACAAGTCTCCGCCCATCACACCTTTCGCGTGTTCTTCTTTGTGATACACAGGATTATCTCATGTTCATGTGCCACATGTTTGACAGCTGCCATGTGCGATGCAGAGGCAGTGCAGGCGTATTTGGAGTGGTCGCCTCTGGGGCGCGTGGGAGCAAGCGGGCTGCTGAGCGCGTGCGCGTATCTGCTGACCGTTCCCTCCCACCGCATGGGCTCCTGCGGCATGCTGCGCCAGGTGTCGCAGCGCAGACAGCTGCAGGTGCGTAGCTGTTGTTCTGAGTTGACACAGATTTTTAATTCAAATTGTCAGATTTTTGTCCTCTGGCTGCATGGTATAGAGCAGCATGCTGCAGCCAACTTGTTGATGCCTTCGCATGCAAGGGCGCTATGACTCTGACTGTACGACCCCGCAGCTTGGAGGCTGTAAATTTTGTATACAAATATTCCCATATTTGTTCTTTTTTCCTCTCCTGTTTGTCAGAAAATTCTGGCTTCTTGGATGTTGATATCAGCCATTGCCGGCTCCTAGTAGCAGAAAGACAAGTTGTCTGACCGGGCCAAATGTGCACAATGGCAGGAGGAGACTGGCGTGTACAATTCTGTCATGGCGACAGCTGGCGAGGCGCTGATGCACGCGGCCGGTCAGCTGCTGGCGCCCGAAAGCGCTCGCCAGCTGGACTATGACGGGGATGCGGACGAGTTTGGGCAGTACTTGTGTGAGACCATGGCCGGCTTCGGCACCAGTCACCTGCACACGCTCGCGCCCGACAAGAAGATCCTCTTCCTGCAGCAGGCGAGCCCATTTTCACTCTCATTATTTCTGTTGAAGTAGCTCACACCCAGCAAAAAGATCCTGTTTCTGCAGCAAACTTGCTCCTGTGCTTCTTGGTGTTGGCGCTACGGTGCATGCATGCGCCATAGTCCTTCAGCACGCATGCACATGGACTTACCTTTTCGATAGAGATATGTGTTTAAGTCCTCCTTAACTTGCCTTGATCGTAATGCAACGCACGCATGTGCCACACATTCATGAGGTGTCCTGCAAGGGCTCTCAGAGGCTTGTGGGCTTCAATCTAGAGCACACCACCTCAACGTTGAGGCCCATTGCCATACCGGCCTTCCACCGCAGGATCAGCCTTTTGGCATGTGTTGGGAACGCACGTATTCCTGCTCAGTTTTCCAGCCGGACAAAGACCTTATCAGAATGCTCGATTTTTAGGTATCATATGTTGCTGCACAGATGCTGGCGTTCACGCAGCACGCGTACATGCTGCTGGCGGCCAAGGCGATGCCCTTCTGGACGAGCCTGCTGACCTCCACGGAGCGCTCTGCTGCGCGCATCGAACCACTGGCGCCAGAAAACTCGCCTATTCCCCTGGAGTGCGTCGTCGTGCTCATGGACCTCGCAGGTGACTCACCCTGACCTGTCTGGCCGCTAGGCAGTTTTCTCTGTGCAGCTGCGTATTAGGCGTGGATTCACGTGCCCTCCCAGAAATGGTCGCAACCGCACAATGTCTTTTTCTGTCAAGCATGGATTTCAGAAGATGTGCCTCACCACCTACAGTATCTGGTGTATGGCCAAACTTGGCCTGAGAACTGAGCACAATCAAACACTCAAATTCTCTTGAAGGGCGCAGATGGGGTGGTAGCAATACCATTTTTGCGCGAGAGCAGACTGGATTACTAACAACGCACGTTTGCCAGATCAGGAGTACTCTGGATATCCATTCACGTCATCATTTTATTGCCGGCCACTGTCCTGCAGGCGAGCAGCTGCGCAAGGGCGTGCATCTGGTGGAGGCTGACACGGAGCTGCCACCCTTCTTCGACACCTTTGAGGACTACCGCGAGTTCTGCCTCGACTACCGCTCCTCGCTCGGCAAGATCGCGCGTCTCACCGCCTGCCTGCTCCCCGAGCCGGCCCTGGCCGCCGCCTCCCGCCGCCTGTCATCCGCGCTGGGAGTCTGCTCCGCCTCCGGCGCCAGCCTGGAGGTGGACTTTCTGTTAGTAACCTTTCTATTAAAAGTAAAGAAGATTACTTGCATGCCACCAAGGAGTAGCGGAGGCAAGCAGCCACTTAAAGCCATGGAATACCGCCATGGAATAGCAGAGAGTACAGGATTTCAATGCCCAAGTGTTGCGGCTTGTGTACTGCAGTGGCTTGTCCCAGAAGTTCTCTGGGGGAGCAGGCATCATGTCCTGACAGAGATGAATTTGAGAGGTTCTAGAGAAGGCCTGTGCTTGGAGGGATGCAGCTGTCTGAGCTGCCAGGGATAATGCAGTCTGGATGGTCTGGACAAGACGAGTGGATAATGCCTGACCATGTGATGGCTGCTGACACCGCAGGAGCAGCAGAGCCAGTTTGAGGCGGCGGTGGTGTTCCTGGACTCGGTAGTCACCCAGGTATCAGCGGCGCACCTGGCCGACCCGAAGCCCGGCAGCGCTGCAGCAGACAAAGCCGGCATCCTCCGCGAGCTGCAGGCCCTGCTGCAACAGGTGCGCTGCTTTGCTCTCTGCCAAGATGTGACTTGGCAGTGGCGAATTGTAGAGGAACGACTATTGTGCTTTGCGAAATGCAGACTCGGGCCTTGAACAAGGTGCCGAGAAAGTATGCTTTGAAGGCGTTGTGGTTGCCCGTTGCAAAGCCCTCAGTTCTTGCCATCTCAATAATACATTGATCTAATGATCAACACAATATTGGCCAAGCCCTTTCTGTGACTGCTATAATAGAGCAGCGTAGAAAACAGGCCCCAGTGACAGAGTGCGTGTTGTGACACGTGTGTTGGAGTGACTTGCAGTGAAATACCTATGGGAGGACATGCATCAATTTTCTGGCAACACCACATATGCGATATGAGGAGGAGGCCCATCCATGGGAGGGTGCAGCTCAATGAGCTGCCATGAACACAGGCACTGATCTAATAATAGATCCTAGGTGACGAGTATTTGAGTGCATGTGCCGTGTGTATCTGCAGCTGCTGCAGGCGCGGCTGTCGGACCCCACGCTGCTGAATTGGCACTGCCGCGCGCTGGAGGCCTTTGCACGATGCGTTTCAGCCTTCCCAGACCTCATGCCCGTCATTATGCAGAAGGTGCTCTTTTTACTATTCACTCCCACCAAAAATCCATAATGACGCTCATTGGGACGTTCTCGTATATCATCTTCATGATGACAAATCTCAACATGCTCCGCCCATTCCCAGCACCACCGTGAGCCATCACAGCATCTACAGTCTTGCACGAGGTTGGAATTTTCCCATTCCATTGAAGGTCATGATGACTATGGAAGGATTGGGCAGAGATAATGACCGAATCTGTTGAATGCTACCTGAATTGAGTTTATTTGACTGCGACGCTCCCTAAGGATTGACTGCTTGCTGTGCTGCAGGTGTTCGACATGTTCTCATACGTGCAATTTGAGGGAGATCCCCAGGACATACCCCCGCCCCACCCCCCACCGGGCTGGAAGGATGCATTCACCGCCCAGCACAGAGTCGCCGGCACCATGCTGGCCTACGCCAAGGCTGCTCCCCAGGCAATCCTCTCCATTTCTCTCTGCTCATGACTTGTGTCACTATTAGTGGGACGGTATGTCTTGACAGGCTGCCTGCTGCACCAGAAGCTCTGCAGCTTTGCTACAGCCATGATGATTGCCGAGTGACTTTGGTCGGTCCAGAGCTTCCTGGTGATCATCAGAAGCTGTAGCACAGTTGCAGCATGGGCTCCACTGCCCTCAGCCAGCGTTCTGGTATTACAGCCACATCTCAACAGCTGCTAAATGCACCACTGGCTCTGCAACTGCCTCTTGTTGTTCCTGGGAAGCTTTTGTCCTGGTCCAGAGCTTTCTGGCAACTGTCAACAGCTGTAGCACAGTTGCGCCATGGGCGATTCCACTGCACTTATTCAGCGTTCAGGTGCACATGGCATGTAATGGAGAAGGGAAACAAATATCTCGAAGTGAGGGGAATGCATGCATGCAGGCGATGCGGCCGCACCTGACGACGCTGGCAGGGCGCATGGAGGAGATGTGGGCAGCGCATAAGTTGGGCACGGGCGAGCGCAACGTCCTCTGTGATGCCATGCTGGCAGCCTCCGCCTCTGGGGGCCCCGAGCTGCGCACACAGGTGCCCTTCTGCTTCCCCATGAGCTGCTTTCATGCCTTCATTTACCTTTTGGCTGCATCTCCCCTGATCTTCTTGGCTTTCTTTCTCCGTACCTGTGGAATGATGCTCGGTATGCTTGTTTGAGATAACCTTCATTGGTAAGCAATACACTGCTACCCCTTATGCAGTTTTTGAGCATCTCACTCAGTCATGTGAAGAACATAAGTACCAGTGCGGGTGAAATGGGCGACCCACTTGTGAAAGTGCCTGAGAGGCAATACATTGTGGGCAGGTGGTGGAGTGGGTGCTGGGCAGCATCAGGAGCGTGTGGTCGGATGCAGCCTGGCAGCAGCACCTGTCCAGCACCTCTGCATTCCTCGCGCGCTTCATGCCCCTGCAACACAGCCAGCAGGGCGCTGTGGAGGTGAGATCATTTACTTGATGCCAAACCATTCTTGTGCTCTTCAGGAGGCAGAGGGGAGGTCCTGTGGATGAATGTGCATTGCATAATTGTTTTCATAAAATCAGGCCAAACTTGGGTGTACATAGATAATAGGAAATCTTGTGCAGAATGATTACACAAGCACATGGACAACCCCATGAGAGGCCGAGATGACATGCAGCTTGCTGATGATTTCAAGCATGGCATAGTGTGCTGGTGTAATATTCGTGTGTTTGGAAGCAGATCGAGGGGCGGCTGGCGCGGTGGGAAGTGTTCCACCATGTGCACATGATCAGCCGCACAGTCAAGCGCATGCCCGCATGCAGCTCGCTGACTAATGCTGAGTCAGTCCCCGGGTCCGCCGGCTGGCACGCGCTGAACGGCCACCTGCCGTGGATGCTGGGTCCCGTGCTGCAGATTGTGCGCTGCCTGCACTCCATCTACTCCCCACAGGTGAGACTACAAAGCCCTTGTGGCATGTCTGTTCATCAGAGTATGTCCTCGGATGTCCTTGTAGGACTCGCAATATGCATGCCTGACCCAGTCTGTGCATACGTCCAGCACACGGCCATCCTGTACCTGACCTGCATATATTTGGATGCAGACAGCGAAGGGGCCTTGCTTGGTGGGCGAGAGGGCCCCATGCTGCCTGTGTGGCTCCAGCAACTTCCAGACAATTGTGTATCCCTCAGAGTGTGTATTGCCAAAGCTGTCGTGGAATAAAGGTTCACGCTGCAGGGAGCACTGTGGCAAGCAGCTCTGCCGTAGCACAGGCGCCTTGGACAATTGTTTTTTATGGTACCGTCAGAGAGCCTTTCAAGTTGGACGAGATCAAACTGCAAGCACTTCTTGACTGGGCAGCTCTGTTCTATCAACAGGCGCTGGCGGCCCTGTCAGAGGTGGCGGCTGCGCTGGAGATGGGTCCCCGGGAGAAGGCGCTCTACCTGAAGCACCGCGCAAAGGCCGCCGCGGCTGCGCAGTCCGATGAGGAAGTTGCCTCTACTTTGGCTGGCTCCACGCCTGCCGGCCTGCGCACTTGGATCCGCCAGGCAAGCATTTTAATTCTCCCTGCATTGTGTTTTGCCAGATCGATCTTCTTTGCAGCGTTATGCTCTTGGTACGTTCTCAGCCTTGTGTCATTTCGTTGCATCATGGAAAGGTGTTCTTTAAGTCTGCACAACGCCCTGCCCAGAAGAGTTTGTGCAAGGCATCCACAGCTTTGGCTCTTAATATCTTGGTCCAGTGGCCAACTGATGAGGAGGGATTGGAGAACCTTATCTCTGCAGAGATGTAATAATTCTGGTCACATAGTCAGGCTTTACACAGAGCACTCCACAATGTCAATCAGAGCACTTGTGACAAAAGATACGACAACTCTGTGGTGCAGATGAGGGAAGAGCTGTATCAGACGCTGGGCGCAATGGCGTCACAGATTGCGGGATGGTACCAGATGACGGCGGTGCTGCCCGCCTGGGCAGCCGCAATCGTGGGGGACCTGCCCATAATGCCCAACCAGCACCTTCGCTTACTCACCCGCCACGTCATCAGCCCCCTAGTCAAAGCCTGCCCACCAGCGCACAGGTCCGCATCCTGCCTTACTCTCACCCATCTGATCACGCGTATCAAAAGGGCGAGAGCATAAGTGATGTCTCATCCTGATGATGCACTTGTTACTACCCTGTGTTCCTTCATACAGCTTGAAAAATATCCTGCATGGGCTGCCAGTAAGCAGCCTTAAAAGTCCGTGCAGGCTTATTTTTCGGCTGGTTTGAAGAAAGCCAGAGAAGATGTCCTTGTCGAGTCCTCTCTAATGGGCACACAGAGGCACTGAGGCCAAAATGAAGCCTTTTCTCGCTACATATGCCGCTGCGTTACTGTCTGCCTGTTTGGGTTCGATTAATTACAATGTGCAAGGATACGTTTTGCCTGAATAAGAAGGTTGCCCATTCAGGAACACATGGCTGCTGCCAATACTGGCGCCGCTGCTGCCGCATGTGCTGGCACGGCTCAGCGCTGACTGGACGCGCGTCGTGGCCTCCTCCGGCGCACAGGTAATGCCTTGCACCAAGTTGTGCACATGCAACACATGCACAGAGAATTGGATGTCATGCTTGTTCTGGTGTTGCGAGAGATTGGGTCAAACGTACCAGGTTACACATCCCTGCTATGCATGTCATCTTAGCCTTAACCCATCAAGTGGCCATCTGACACCTCTGGATCCAGATAATTCCAGTGATGATCCCAATGGACGAACTCCTGGCCCCTGGGTTGTTGATGGTCTCAGATGAAATTATGACAACAAGGGCTAAGCCTGTCGTAGCTACTCTCGATCCTAGACTACTCACAAATGCAACTGTGATGGCAGGCGGCGGCTGCGGCTGTGAACGGAGCGCACACGTCAGAGGCGGCTCCCGAGGCCGAGTCTGAAGTGATAGCGGAGCGGCTGTTGCGGGAGCTGACTGCCGAGCATGTCGGGCTACTCACAACATTGCAGGACACAGGTATGCAAGACTCCCATCAATTACTTCATCTGTCATGCTGTGCCAGGCCCTTTACATCTTAGCATGCTTTTATTGTCCATTGGATGCCTGAGCTTGATTACCGTAGATCGCGGATATTCCAGACGTCCTGCAGTTGTCAAAAGGCAAATTTGGCAGTTTTGAGCTTTTCTCTTGGAGGCGTGCATGGTTGGACAGACATAGCACAGAGCTGGTTTTTTGAACACTCATAAATTCGTGACATTGAACACTCATTAATTCGTGACAGAGGTGATCTTAAGAAATTTATGGTTATTTTCGTACGGACTGGTTTAAACATTATCGTGTGTTCGTTGAGGTCTGATATTTTCGTCGGTCGGCTCATTGAAGAGTGGTTGCTGGTTGGTGTGTTCCCGATCATCGCTATGCACAGCAGGCTTTTCCTGCCGAGTATTATTGCTACGGCATGTAAGATTGGAACATGGGGAGAAGAACCAAAGCCCAAGGGAAGGAAGAGAAGGAATGGAAGGAGAATGATGGAAGATTACCGTTGCTGCAGGGTCGGGGGGTATAGGGGCGGAGAGTGCGATGGCGTGGCTGGCGCGGGAAGCGCCGGACACAGCGCTGTGCGCAGCCGTCACCGCCACTGCCGCCCTCTGGTGGCCCGATGAGATCGTGGGCAAGGCCGCCACCTTCTGCAGGTGCCCCTCACATGCCTCCCCATGCGCCCACCTGCACCCGTGTGCCTTGCCCCACTAGCACTGGTTCTTGAGTAGCGAGGGGTAACAGGCTATGGCCCGCAGAGCAGAATCAATCGTGTACATTACCATGAGCAACTCTTGCGGCTGAGCAAATGACTGGATGGTATTGCCAATCAAGTTCCACTCATGCAGGACTTTGACCGGCCCTTTGACCGGCCCGGGGAACATTCATTGCCTTCATGAGTGTCATAAATTAGGTTTCAAGGAGTAAAATTTGTAGGAAGGGTAACAGCACTGACTGCATTGGGCTTCAAATTGCGCGCAGGGGGATCGTGGCGATGGGGGCGCAGAGCGAGCAGCTGCGGGGCTTCATGGAGCGCGAGATGCTCCGCGGCGCATTTGCAGCGGTGGCATCCTCATCCGTGGCCCAGCGCGCGGACCTGCTGCATCTTGCGCGAGACATCCTCGCCCTGCAGCTGCCGCTGCCGCCCACTCCCCGCCAGGTGCGCATGCTGACCTGGCGCTGATGTGGCATCTTCGCATGCCACGTCACCCCATATTGAAACTTAATTCCCCCGGCTGTCACCATGATTCAAGATGAGGAAAGGACTGTCCTGCAGTGGGCCATAAGACTTTGTTCTGGCGTGCTCATGTCGTCCTGTTTGTTGATGTTGGAAATTAACGTTGTTGACTGCATTCTGGGGTTTGCGGCACTTCCATTGAGAGGCCGTCAAGAGAAGCGAATCACCGCATGCAGCTGGCATCTGCTTTCACATGCAGTCGGCTGCGCAAGTGGCGACTCTCTTGTCTTTGTCGCCACTCCCTGGAAGCCTTTAATTAGAGCTTGAGGGGCTGGTGCACCAACCGCACTCCAGCTGCATGCATGCAGCCGGCAGCCAGTGTGTAGGACAATCCGTATTTATCTGCTGGAGGGCATGGGATCGTTTTCAACAGGATGCGTGGCATTGTTGTGCAGGAGCTGCTGCGGTTGCCGGCGGTGAGTGCGGAGGTGGTGGCGGGTTTTGAGGCGGCCATGATGGCCACACGCAGCGAGAAGGACCAGCGCAACCTCATACGCCGCCTGCTCTTCAACTCTGGTCAGCCGTCAGCTGCGATAGCCTGTCTCTGCGTTAGACAAGGGATTTGTGGCACACAATGGCATCATACCCATTGTCACTTTCATGCACGGGTCTTTGGGCACACATCTTCCTTCAACTGCTCCCCACACTCTTCAGGAGCTGCAGAAATGGCGCAGACCAGAAGTTTTTTGCCCATGGTCGTAATGGTCGTAATATTTGAACTGCAAGGGCAGAGCAATCTGCTGTGGGGGTCTCCAAACTTAAAAGAGGTAAGTTGGCAATAGTTTTATTGAAGCAAGAAAAGTGTGGCGCGCAGGTGCGGAGGATCTGCAGAGGTCACTGGGCGACTGGCGGCCGGTCATGGCGTTCGTGAATCTGGCAGAGCCAAAACTGCGCGTGAGGCATGCATCTGTGGACGAAGAGGGATCGTCCTTCCACATCCCAACATGAGGGTTAAGAGAAAGGAACTGTTATGATGTCACAATAAGAAGATGAAGTGATATGGGGCTCACAGAGGCTAACACCCTCTTGAACACACAGGAAGTAGGAACACATGATGAACAAAGGAAGAGGTTTCTGTTGAGGATTGAAAACGGAGTCAGCTGTTTTATATGATATTATTGGTTCACTGTGTGCATGGCAGTAGTAGGGGCAGGCCTAAAGTTCGTAGTGAGAGAAATGAATTGACAATATATTGACCAGAAAAGGCATTTGTGCCGCAATAAGAATCTTAATGGACCACCCTTACAGCGTGGGCGGCACATTGCCCCATAATCCCACAAGCTGACGCTTCCTACTTTTCAGATTTGACGCATGAACAGTCATCATCTCAAACAAGCACAAGAAGCACTCCTAGCAAGATGCTATCAAGCCAAAATTGAATGCAAGGCAGACTGTGATTCTATTGTTGATCTGGGGTTTCTGCTAGCTAGCAATGCCGGCACTCTACTTGATCCTAATCTTGCGTTCAAGAAAGTTTGAAAGTTTCAGGGACGAGCTTGTCACATGCATTTCCATGTCTGATCTGAAACAATTTTGAATGCTTTTCGGACGCCAGACAATGCTGAGCTGAGAAGGATTCCTTTAGGTGTCGTACTTGTACGAAATGTGCTTCATGTCATGATACCGGTCCCCAGCAACCTGCACAGCATCAGTACAGCCTCAGTCAGGCGCACACCGATTCTCAGCCACTGTGAACCTTCTGCAGCCACTGCTCCCTCTCTCCTAGCCTCACACTTTCCACAAGCAGCAGAGCCCAACACACCAAATATACTTGGACCTCTCCCATCCTTGAAGCATTGGAAGGCATAAGATATAGCGCCTAAACAGTTACAAAGGCAGCACTGCTGTGTAGCTTCCCTTTTATTTTACTAGTCATGTCGAAAGCAAATCCAAGCAGCCAAGCAGATGTCGAAAGCAACTCCAAGCAGCCAAGCAGATGTACAGCAGCAGAAATCTCACCTCATGCTGTGGCACGGCGTCCTCCAATTCCTTCATCTCTTCTGCCGTGAGCTTGACGTTGACCGCAGCAACATTCTCATCCACACAAGCAACCCGCTTGGTGCCTGGGATGGGGATGACATCATCGCCTTGCTGAGTCACCCATGCCAGCGCCAGCTGACCCGGTGTCACACCCTTCTTCGCCGCCAATTGCACCACGTTCTGCACCAGCTTTGCGTTCTGCGCACACACAGACACACCAGGGGCCAATCAGGGGAGCCAAATTATCTGCCTACCACCTGCTTTTTATTCTTGCATGTGTTCTGCTAGCCAGCAGGAGACCCCTTCATATGTCTATGAGTCTTTGCTTTATGTCATCATTAAAACTAATACAGGCAGATACACCTTGCTTCTGACAGAAAGGCTTGTAATAACAACAACAACTGATAATTTGTGAATTCTCAGTGATAATATGAAGAAATAGACAATGGAGCAAGGCACACCTTGTCAAAGTGTTCTCCGGCCATGCGCGGATTGAAGCCTCGGGCCTGTTCTGGCACGTCCTCTTTACTCTTCAATGCGCCCGTCAACAACCCCCTGCCCAGGGGTGAGTACGCCAAAAACCCTATGCCCAGCTCCCTTGCTGTGGGTACTAGGTCCTCCTGCAGTACGCATCATCTCAGTGCATGGTCAGCTGATGAGTAAGTAGACATTAGTCATGTCCCCATGGACTCCATGCTCCAATAGCAACGCCTCTGCCTTCCAGGAGAGTTGGACACTGCCATATACAGACAGCAGCATGTGGAGGCAGGCATGAAGGTTTGATACAGAATTACTTCCGCCCTCTTACGATCCCCAGCACTCATAAGTGCACCAGTAGCAGCAGTGCAATATGCCACTGTGGGCATGCAAGCAGCGGTGCAAAATCCCAAGCACCCCAAGTAGTGCAAGCAGCAGCAGCAGCAGCAGTGCAGGGATGCCCCTCATATTGTGATGGTGCTAGCAGAAGGGCGGAGTTTCTCACCTCTGCGTCGCGCGAGAAAAGACTCCACTCCATCTCAAGCGCTGTGATGGGGTGAATGGCGTGCGCCCTCCTGATATCTGCCGGGCTGACCTCTGACAGGCCAAGGTACTTCACATGACCCTCCTCCACCAGCTCCTGCATGGCACCTTCAAATTCAAATTCAGATTCAAGTCCTAGCATCAAGCTCAAGTAAAAATTTGCCATGCCGTCACTTGGAGGAGGGCAAGGAATGTTCTGCTGTAGCGGATTTGTACTGTAGAAAAATATTTGGACTTTCAAGCTGAGCATATGGATTCAATTCCCAGTAGTTGCCCAATTAAGTTGTTGAGAAAGAGGAGGGAAAATCCCTTCTGCTGTTCCCAAGCACACAGTGACAGCGATTAGAATATTTTCACATGGTAGACATACCTTCATAAATTGAATGGTGTCCTCCCAGGGGGTGTTGGCATCAGGGGGTCCCCTGAAGATGAACATGTCCAGGTAGTCAACCCCCAGACGCTTCAGGGAGCTGAAGCACTCCGCCCTGCAGTGTTCCCGGCTGCCGTCATGCTTCAGCTGGCCGTCTCTCCAGGTGGGGCCCCACTTGGTTGTGATCTTGACCCGCTCTCGTGGGAACTCCTTGATCACGCTGCCTGCATCCAGGCACAAGTGGATAAGCCAAACGGGCCTAGAAAGAATTCTTCAGGTTATCTTACGCGGTGGTCCTGCCAGAGGCAAGGTGCGTCTGCAGACAAGCTGCGGGTGAAGACTGCCTTACATCCTAACCCCGTCATGGACGCGTCAACTCCAAGCAAGACCCAATCAACCGTGGGCACGTTGCTAAGTAGTAATACCGCAATCCGCCAGCCAGGCACATGTTGATGAGGCTATTGGCCCTATAAGGATTTCGGATGGATAAGGGGTCTTTCACTGCATCCTGTTGCATGGGGTGAGGAACTTGCTGATGCATGAATGCACTCTATTCACATGTTGAACAGCTTGATCTGGAAATTGTACTCGAGACATGGTGCAGCGCATCATGCTTTATGTACTGAAATGCCCTTTGCATCTAAAAGCCTCTTTTCAATCAGTCAAGCATCATTCCCGCCAACGTTGGCAAATTGAATATGCCACCGCATGGGGACATCAGGAGATTTTTGGGACGGGTGTCATGAGGGCCCTCGGCAGTACCTATGATCTCCTCATTGAGGTTCTGTCCATAGAAGGTTGCAGTGTTCAGCAGGGTCACTCCCTGCTCCAGGACATGCTTCAGAGTCTGTTCCGCCCCTTCAGCTTTCTCTGGTGCGCCAAAGGCAGTCAGTGACATGCATCCATACCCCTGCAATATTGCAGGGAATAAATCCTTACATGGCACAGGGACAGCTGTAAAATTGCGATCTGCCATCAGGCGTAATACGTTGTGCCGTAGATTATTTTTTCCTTTATCAGCGCGTTCGATCAAGCAAGCTGGAAGTGCATCCAGGACGATCAAAGTCACAAAACATGCCCTGAATGTCCTGAAAATTGGGTAAACTAATTACAATGATGCCCGAAAAGACATAGATAGAGTGTTACAAGGTGTCGGATCCCGCAAACCACGACAGCTGGTGTGCTAAGAGCACACATGGAGATCTAGCCATGACAGAAAAGCATCCCCGAGTTCTCAGATCCTCCCGAGCAGACTCGGAATTCAGACTACCTGGATAGAGCCGGAGAAACCCTGGGTTCCCAGGGATTTTTCTGGGAGGGTCTTCGTCGTGCTCATGCTTGCGGTGTCGGGACGGACTGTAGGCGATGTGAAATGAAAAGGATCGGTGCAAGATTGCGAGCAACTGCCAAGATGAAGTTTTTAGGAAGTTATTAAGGGATGGACTCGGTAAGAAGCAATCAGAAGAGTATCGACCTGAAATAGAGGTCCAACGTAAAGTCGTTTTTACGTAAGTCTCGATTACAAGACGGGTCCGTCAGCCGGTCACCTCATCGACCAGTGAGTCCAACGGAATTGCACTTGAGCTCAGCAAGCAGACCCGTCTCTGGAAGCCAAGCTATACATGACATGTTACGGAAATGGCCACTTGCAGGAGATTGTAAAAGCCCTATGCCTGCCACAAAATTCCAATGATCATGCATGCACTACGGCACACGCTGTGCGCAAGTTGATAATTCTGGAAGTCCAATTCTCGTGTCATATCATATGGATGATCCTGGGTCAACTATTTTCAACTCTCTGCAGAGGTGCATGCACTGGCGCCCTCTTATCTCCTCACAAGAACCTGTGATCTCATCTCACCGCACGGGCCCGGCAACTTCATTTAGCAAGATGCCAGGCTTCGACAGCTGCTAGCAGATGAAACACTGCCTGCTGCTGCAACGGTGCCACAACACATCCCATCACCGGTCTACATGATGGGTGCGGGCGGTCTGAAGCTGTTGACGACTCCTTCAAGGGTAGCCCTGTACGTGGACAAGTCAGCCTCTGGGCACTGGGCAGTCAGAGTGTAGAAGCGATTGTACCTGCAGCCATCAGCAGCTCATGTCACCCCAATGCATACTACTTGCATCCAAGTCCCACAGACACATCAAGCAGGCGTCTTATGCAAGTGCGTCAACGACACGGTACTGCCGTGTGCAGCTCAAAACATTTGGCATCAGAATAGCAGGCAGCGAAGCACAGCTATGCAGAGCTCTCTGCAGGTCTGATGCCAAATATCGGCTGATTGCTGAATGTGCATGCATGATGTCCCCACGATGTCATCATTAGGGACATCACTCACCGCCCATTAAAGCCGAGCGCCACAGCCGACAGGAAGTGGCGAGGCTCGATCTCCTCAGGCTTCTGCACGGTGTACTCCAAGAAATACATGCCAGACCGCGACTTGGCGTCCAGCAGTTTTGCTCTCTGTGCAGCACAGTCAATGCTGCTGACACCTGTCATCACGCTAAGCCGAACAAGAGGCTCCTAGTCCAAGAAAATTGCAACACTGTCCTGACCCCTGACTCTGCAACTCAATGTTTGCAGGTGCAACTGCAGGAGAGACAAACGACCGTGCCACGAAACAGGAGCATTGAATGCCTCATACTGGGCCATGCAGGAGTTTGCTTCAATGTTGCTGAAAAACATTTGGGAGAATGTGAATTGTTTCGAAGTCGTTATTGGCCTTGCCTGGACTGATTGAGGCCTATTCATGCCTCCGCGCAAAAGGAAGGATCGATCCAAAGAGGCAATGAGGTTCTCGCCAAAACTGTCTGCACTGCCAAAGCTGCCCAGTGCGGTGTAGTCAGCACCCACATTGGTGACCAGCACCGTCACATTTGTGTCCGTGCCGCCCTCAGGGTACCTGCACAGATCATCTTCAACTCTGTGTGACTCTCAAGAGTGCTTTTACAACGCTGGTTTTGACATCAGGTTGCCTTTGCACCCTCTAAATGACACGTGCAGAATGCAGCCGATTATCAATTATGTGCTAACTTAAGCAGGGCACCCACGCACCATGCCAGCGCTCTTCTTGTGCCAGTGGCACCAGTGAAGCCCTTGTTCCCAGGAGCTGCTCCCTGCGCGGCAATCCAGCCTGCGTACCGGATCTTGATCTCAGATGAATTGCATTGTATATTGCTAGCATGCCGTACTGTGAGACCTGGAGCTATCAGCAAGCCATGGGGACCTCAGCGGTGTGCATTGGCAAGCAGGATACGACGTGGACACTGATGGAACAAACTTGGTGCCACACCTTGGGGGACAGATATTTTGAACTTGTCCCTCTCGTCTTCAAAGGGCGCCAGCTCGTCGCCTGTGGACTGTACAGCGTTAGCAAGCAATGTTCTGATATTGTTAATGCCAAACCAATCCAGGATTCCTTGGAATTGATGAGGAGGTTACGCAACAGTCACCTGCTGAAGCTGGGGCTGTCATTGAACAGAGGGCAAAGGAAGCCAGACCGGTCAGGAGAGACCGTCTGTCCAGCTCCATTCCTCCTGACCTCGGCTTCTCAGATATCTCTCTTGCTGGCGCCGTCGTCTTTGCCATTACCTTGAAGTGTTTCTCATGTGAGGATCCACGTCCAGGTCCTGCGGGGTCAAGCCCAAGGTGCTGTCAAGAAAGCTCAAAAAATGACCTTATTCAATACACAGAAATGGCAGATAGCTCCCTACCTTGATGTATAAAAGGTCTGAATGGTTGGAATCTATTCGCAGGAAAGTGTGAAACCGATTGAAGTAGGCTGCCAGAAGATGAGGACAGCATGTCCAGTTCCATCTTGCGTTTGCTTCTTAGAACAGATTCCTTTCAATGTAGAATCACTACGACTCTCGACAAGATGGGATGTCCCAATGCGCTTCAGTAGAATTCAAAATGTTGTAATCAGCATTGCCTTGACAAGATAGGATCATAATGACCGAGTTGTTCAGAAGCTGCCCCGTTATGACTCGAGTAACGTGACCTGACAGTGCACTGCGTGTTCATTTCTTGGAGCCAGAAGGCACAAGGAAGGCCTGGCCGTGAGTTTGGATATATTATAGTGGGAATGATGGGGACCAAGATGAAAAGAGCTGGGTTTCTGAGTCTCCTGTGCCTCAGCATCGGTTTACTAGCACAGGCCCAACAATCTCCGCTGCGAGTTCCTCTCAAGAAACGCACGCTCGATGCCGAGCAAGTCAGAGCCACTCAGACGGCGCTGCATGCACGCAATGTGAGGAATGTGGCCAACGCTCTGCGCGGCGAACCCGAGGAGGCAGACATCCCGCTGCTCGACTTCCTTGATGCTCAGTGTATGCAATTTGTCATTGCCCAATGAAAGATCTCTTCAGTTACACCTATGGGTGAGAACTGAAAAGGCAGATCTGAAGCATCGATTGAGCAGGTCTTTTGGTCTGTCTAGTTGATTGATCGGAGCTACTTGCAGCTCCAGTGACAAAGGAGAAATCATTTTCTACATCGCAATATTACATCAATTGAGCTTTATACGATTACGGGAATTGTCAACCATGACTTGTACCAGTGGTCTTCAATTTAGTAGTTTCCAGGTATGCATCCCTGATCTGAGTCACATGTCTTAGTGTCGCAGATTATGGAGAGATCGGCTTGGGCACGCCAGAACAGAAATTCACGGTCGTGTTCGACACTGGAAGCTCCAACCTGTGGGTGCCCTCCTCACAGTGCAGCTACTTCGACCTGGCCTGCCTGCTCCACAACAAGTTCTATGCCTCCAAGTCACGGACGTACCAGGTGCTCCGCGAGACCCTCTTCATGCTTTATCATGCACGTCCTGCCAACATATGAATGAGATTGCAGCCATGGAGGGGCAAGTGAAAAAGAAGGCCTCCCTCGTGGCCTACCAAGCAAAGTGCAGGGCCAAATGTAAGTCAAAGATGTGCATGCATACAGGCCAATGGCACGGACTTTGCCATCCAGTACGGCAGCGGGTCGCTGTCGGGCTTCTTCAGCACAGATGTGCTGTCCCTGGGCAGCCTGAATGTGCAGAACCAGACCTTTGCCGAGGCCACCAAGGAGCCAGGCCTCGCCTTTGTCGCCGCCAAGTTTGACGGCATCCTGGTGCGCAGTCGCTGCATTGGACTCCTAATTCATGCCAGTGATGCTAGCCTTCAACGACTAACAGCATGGGTACCAAGGACCTTGCCATGGCCTGTGGCACCTGCAAAGCCTTCCATGCAGTCCAGCCAGAAAGCACCAAAACTTTATGCATCTTGCCACCCCTTGTGCAACAGCTATCGTAGGAATGGCAGATCATGCTGCAGTTTTGTCTCCTTTTGAATCATGGTGACCTGTGCAGACTTTCATGCGCGAGTTGCTGTACCAAACTTTGAGGGTGCTGAAGGTGGTGGCGGCAACCGCCATATTTTTCTGAACTTTCCATGGTTTTAGTTGCGCACATTACAGGAGTGCTGAGGCATGAATCCATTTCAACCGCAGGGCCTGGCCTTCCCGGAGATCAGCATCGGCGAAGTGACACCGCCATTCCAGAACATGGTGCAGCAGGGGCTCGTGCCGGAGCCGGTGTTCTCCTTCTGGCTCAACCGCAACGACCCCTCCGGCCCAGGCGGCGAGCTTGTCCTCGGCGGTGTTGACCCCTCTCACTACACCGGGGAGCACCTCTGGTGCGTGCTGCTGTCACCTCTGTTTGCTGATATTGTATGTGGCATGCTCACTGACGCCAGCCTCTTGGCCCTGCAAGAAGGAGTGCATTGTGCGCAATGTGGGCTTTGTGCTGCCATGCCGTGGCATGCTAGGTGGTCGAGAATGCGCTGCATTGGGGCCCTGTCCTGAGGAGTGGCGTTGTGTTTGTGCCTAGCATCCGTATGTGTCCTTTGCGGTCTGAGAGGGTGTCGGATTTGGCATGGGCCTGGCCTTTGCCAGCCACAGCATGTCCGAGTCTTGCCCTTGGTGCATGCTTATAGCTCCATGCGCGGAGGAAGGTTCTGGACGTGGCTGAAACGCTTATAATGCCATAATTTCTCCATCATCCCACACTTTTGGGAATATCCACGGTGTTTTTTAGCTAGCCGCTTAATATGCAATGCATCAGCCTACAGAATACCGTAACCTGATGCGTGCATGGCAACTGAGCGTGCATGCATGCATGGCCCAGGGTGAACGTGACGCGGCGTGCATACTGGCAGTTTGACCTGGGCGGCATCAGCGTGCCAGGCACCAACAGCCCCTGTGCGGACGGCTGCCAGGCCATCGCTGACTCTGGTACATCGCTGATCGTGGGCCCGAGTGATGAGATCGCCGAGATCAACCGAGCCATCGGCGCCAAGGGCGTCCTGCCTGCGGTGAGGCCTTCGCTTGTCTGCGCTTGAGAAGAACTTCTCGAGAGAAATGTAACACTTTCTATGATCGGGATCTACCTACTTGCAGCAATGCCTCAGCTCTATCATGTTCCCATTTTTGCCATTGGTGCTCAGATAACCTCATCTGTCGCGATACACTGACAAATACCTGAGCCCTTAGGACTGCTGCATTCATAATTGATCACTGCTGGTCCTTGCTTGTATTTGAATGACTCGCATGGCCTGTATTGTACCCCACTTGCTTTCAGACTAATACAGTCCAGTGCAAGTATGTTCAGATTGTTCAACACTCCCCTGCTACTATCAAAGCAGGCCACTTTGGTAGTGCCAGGGCGAGTCGACAGGATTGAACATGCTGGAACTTTACTAGTTTATGAGTACGAAGTTCTTAGAAATGCATGCTCAATTGGTTCATTGAGTGTCAGTCCTCGCCGTCAAATATTCAACAATTTACAGGGAATATCAATCATAGCACACCTCAATTGGTGCTAGCCCCGCAGAGACTGAGTGTGAGCTGTGGGCCCAACGCAGGAGTGCCGTGAGCTGGTGCGGCAGTACGTGCCGGAGATCATGAAGGCGGTGATCAGCCTGCCAGAGGAACAGGTCTGCGGCGCCATCGGCCTTTGCAGCGCATCTTCCCTTCACCGTGGCGGTGCGCAATGTGCTCTTTCAAATGGTCTCACAGCGGCCAGGCAGTGGCGAAATTTGTGATCTCGTACTTGTGGGTATTGTTGTTTGTTAGATAACTTGCGTTCAGGAGGGAGATGTTGCCGGTGTTTGAGATTTTGGACATTGTATTGGGCAGGTGCGGCCAAGGCGGCAGCTTCCAGGCGGCTGCTGGTTGAGGATGAGGCGCTTGGCGCGCCCGACCCGGTCTGCCAGTTCTGCGAGATGGCCGTCAGCTACGTCAAGGTGCGCCTGCTTGTTTGCACTTTCTGCTCACCATCCAATGCACTTCGCCCAATCCGCAGGACCTGGTCAGGACTTCTGTCATGTACTTGCTGGCACGCACTGCATGTCCTTTATCTCGGCTCTTGTGTCAGGTCTGTCACTGGGCAGAGCCGCAGATTCTATCATTGTGCGCCAATGCCGCTGCCCTTGCGTTAGCTAGCGTGCCTTACTCATGGCTTCAATGTGTCGCCTGGAACTTTATCACATGAGCCATGTGGGTGGCGCACCAGTGGGCCACACTTTGGTGCATGTGGAACCCACTCAATATCTTGTCGACAATAGCCCAAATAGGTAGACCAAAGGGAGAAGAATGCAGACGTCAAGGCAGAGCGAGCGCCAGACTATAGGAGAAGCGCAGCCTCGCAAGTGCAACAGGCGACGCACTAAGGCATACATGTTGTGGCCCGCAGATAGCTCTGGCGAACCACGAGACGCAGGAGCAGATCATCGGACAGCTGGACGGCCTGTGCGACACGCTCGCCATCTTCTCATCCTCCCAGGCGCTCGTGGACTGCGAAGCAATCCCATCCATGCCCCCCGTCACCTTCACCATCGCTGGAAAGAAGTTCACCCTCTCGGCCGAGGACTACGTGCTGCAGGTGCTCCTCAGCACCCCTTGGACACTGGGGCTATGCTGCTTCAAACTATCGTGTGTCTGTTATCGTCCTGTCTCATATCGGGGAATATCCCTGTCGGGCCCTTTGCAGTCGTGAAAAGGGTTGCTGCAAGAAGAGAGGCAGCCGCGCCAGCTGTGGCATGGCACCATTCTGCAGATTCATGTACCAAGTTGATCCAGCTGGACGAGTGTGTCAGACTAGCTTCATGCACAATGACGGCTGTTTGTGGCTCTGTACCCAATTTGCCACAGAGGGTTAAGGCTGGCACGGTCTGAAGGTCCAGGCAAGTCACAGCTGCGATCGCTAGAGTTGCATGCCTGTCACTTTGTGTGCAGTATTGTGCTACACCGCGTTTGTCCTGCCTGGACTTCAGTCCAGCTACCTGGCCTAGTTATCAGAGTTAATCGTCACCGTCCACTGCAGCCGTGGGGCAATTCGAAAAGCGTTTTCTATTGCAACAAGATTGGTTTTGGCAGGACTTGATTGTCACAAGGACGTGATAAATCTGCAACAAGTGATGGTTTAATACCGAACTACTCCGGTGTGCACAGGTGAGTGCGGGCGGCGCGACTCAGTGCGTGAGTGGTTTCATGGGGCTCGATCTGCCGCCGCCAGCCGGGCCGCTGTGGATCCTGGGTGACGTATTCATGGGCGCCTATCACACCGTCTTTGATGTCGGCAACGAGCGCGTCGGGTTCGCTGACTCAGTCCGCTGAGTCACCCGCTGACGTGACCCCTACTCACCCAGCATTCTGCCCTCACAGAGTAAGTGCTTATTGGAGCAGCTGCGTGGGGAGGTACTGCGGTAGTGCCAAGTACTGAGGTGGTGAGACCTGTTGAACCAGCCTTTGTCTCGACGAAGTCTGAGCAGCTGCGGTGGAAAGAAGAGCCAATGCTGTGTGGCAGGGATCCTGAATGAAGGCAATAAGCGGGGCAGGTGTCACAGGGTGCTAACTGGTCCAAGCTCTGAGTTTCTCAAGAACGCAAGTGCTGGTGGGTGACAAATGCACGGGTAATAGTGGATGCTTTGGCATGTTTGAATTGTGCATCAACAATATGTGCATCAACACAGTGTTCCACTATTGCAGACATGATGTCCTGAAATGAAGAGAGTGCCTGCAAAGAGATGATTGAAAATGCAGTAATTCTGCTGGAATTTCATTTGAATTTCTTTTTGTCGCCCATGTGTACGATATGTTTGTGCGTGCAGACCGCTAGGATGAGCCAATTTCTGGCTGCTGAACACAGAGATGTGATGCATATGTAATGTTCAGATCGCTAGCTAAACTGTCATGAATGTTCCAGTCTGCCTCTGGCCCGAGCAGCAGGATAAAAACTGCATCAACAGACCGCTTATTACAAGAGCATTATGAGACCTTCTCCCTAGACAACATCAAGACTTCTGCATCTTCCCATCCATACAGAAACACTGTCCCATCACACTCCTAGCTAGACTTCATGATATTCAGTTCACTGAGATGTCCACCAAGAAAGAATGGCCCAGGATTGGGCAGGCTCATCATCAAAAGGTAGGCTGCCACCTCGTATGACCAGAACAGCTGAATGCATGTCTCGACTATCACACTGGCACCAAACCCCTGCTCACAGCTTGTTGAAGGAGGCAATGTCGATGGACTGGATGGTTTCACTCTCTCCGTCCCTGCACAGACACCCAACATTAAAAGTCATTTCTTGATCAACAAAAGAACCCACCTTTAGCACAGGCTCGCAGGGCTGCTCTGAGCAATCCTGCTGTGAGCATCCATCACGATCCTGGTGTGATCCGTCCCGCTTGCAGTGCAATGAACTCTAGCTGCATGCAAGCAGTGTGAAACGAACACGTTGTGAGCATGATCGCTGCTCCTATAGTGAGCGACCGTCACAAAAGGGCTGTGAGCAGTCCTGCATGCGATGAGATGGTGGCATGCAGAGATCATGCGGCCATTGTTGCGTGCAGAAATTTGCTTGCATGCATGGAGCGGGGTGGGCAGAAGGAGCGTGTGAGAAAGATTGCTGCGCCTGGCTCACCTGACAATCTCCTCCTCAATGATGGCGTCCATGGACTCAATCTTGGAGTCCTCAATGACAGCCGTGATCTGCAGCTTCTTGATGCCGAAGCCCACAGGCACCAGCTTGGCTGCGCGCAGGCACAAGACACCAATCAATTCTTCTCGCGTTTTGCAAGAAATTCAAGAGATATCCGAACCAAGAAATATCTGAACGCACACGCACAAGGGTTAGAATATCTGGCAAACATTACTGTAGCTTGTCTACAGACGCCTTGCCTTTGCCAGGAAAAGCATGTAATGATAATGAGAATAATATGCACTGTTGTACATCAACTAGCATTTTCTCTGGATACGTGAGTATTTCTCTGACACGAGAGAGTGATTTCTTGTGGCCATATATGAGATAGTCAGGGTGCAGCTGCTGGTGAATGCTGTCCCGGGAGCATGCATGAATGATGGAGAGACAGAGAGAGAGATAGAGTGGCACTCACATGCTCCCCACAGCAGACCGTCCTTGTGAATAGCGCGCACCTCAGCCTCCAGGGCTGCCATGTCTGCACAGTCAAACAGAATCTCAAATTCAATCCCATAAGCCATTCTAGAATCGCAGCCAGCCTTAGAGTGCATGGGCAGCTTGTGATCCTGATTTTTCATAAATCACGCCGTTACACATGCCGCGCAAAGCAGAATCTGTGGAGGCATGGTACAGTATCATCTGAGGCATACTCAACTAGCACCTGACAAAGCAGGTCTGGCAGCAGCCTCATGTCTTGTGCCAAGCATGTTAGTAAGAGATTCCTGACCCGCGGATGCATCCCGCGGATGCATGGTCTCATCTGAGGATGCTCGACCAGCGTCTCGCAATACCTGGTCTGGCAGCAGATGCACTTCTTGTGCCAAGCCTGTTTCTACTAGATTCCTGACACCACTGCGGTCTGCAAAGCATGACAAAAACTGCAAAAGGAAGGGCGCCCACCGGTGGTGTCATCCCAGGGCTTGACGTCCATGATGATGAGTGACTTCGTCAGCTTTGCCTTCTCGGCTCCGCGCTTCTTTGCAGCTGCAATGACGGCGTCCTTCTCCGCCTTGGCGGCCTTCTCCTCCTGTGAACAGAAGCACAGGAGTCGATCTGGGAATGCATTAAATTGCTGTGCTTACACCAGCATGTCTCCAACTGTGGGACATGGGGCACTGCTCCAGTCAGCTGATGTGAAGGTGAAGTGGGCGCCCAATGTACGCAGGCACATGCCTGTCAAGCTGCAGCAAACCCTGCTGCTTCCCCCATGCACTAGCAACTGCTTATGCTGGACGCAGAGAGGACAGAGAACAGAGTAGGCACGCATTGTTGGCCACGGAGTCACTCACAAATTCCAAACCGTGCACCTATTTTAATGAAAGGTTGTGCCACAGCGTTCTTCTTGAACAGGTACGCAACATTAAATGATGACATCAGCGCGCACCTCTGTCAGCTCGCCGAAGAGGTCCAGGTCCTCGTCGCTGTCATCGCTGTTGTCATCGTCGGCGGCCACCGGGGCCTTGGCGGCCGGGGCGGGGGCGGCCGGAGCCGCGGGCGCAGCCGGCTTGGCTGCTGCAGCTGAGGGGGCCGCGCCTGCAATGGTGACGCCCTCGCCCTTGCCAGGGAAGCTGCGCAAGGCGCAAACTTGCTTGAGGGAGAAAATATGATATCCAGATGGCCCACCATCATCCGCTAGAGGCATGTGCCTCGTCAGCCCCTTGGATAGCGAAATGGAGTTCAAGATGGGCTGCACAGGTTCAGGGGCTGCTAAGCGCTTGCAAGGCTGAGACAGAGCATCCTCAGAATGGAAGACTTGAACTTTGAAAAGTGATTTATATAGGATAGGATACGGCCCGTTCCAATAAGCAGCATTGGCATCCAGCCAGTATCAGGGCTCTTTATCAAGGAGCATCAACGATTGTCTTGGGGTGCAGCAGGACGCCTCAATAAGCTGTCCTGACCATTGGATGCAATTGTATGAAAGCATAATGTGCTGATGGAGAGGCACAGCGACGCCAACACACAGATGCAGGACAGATGTGTTCAGATCACCAGGCAGTGAGTTTTACCTCTGTCCGAGCAGGGCCTCTACGTGACTGAACCAGCGCGCTGCATGGGGGTAGTCTTTGCTGCTCGGTGCCGTTTCTAGGGCAGAGTACACCGCGAGATCGTCACGCGATGCCTGAAATCTGCAGAGAAGAAACACACCATGTATCAGTACAATTTTGAAAGGATCAGCGAGGATGCATACGAGTTATATGGATGCAAGAATCTGCTATACACAGTGCTATTGAAGAAACCGGTGGCATCATATATCACGCTCCAAGCACTGCAGTCAAACAGGCAAAGCACTCACCCCACAACATAGCTGCGAGTCAGCAGGTGGTCATTCAGTGCTTTCAAGCCATCAGGGCCATTGAGTGCAGGGAAAGACACCATCCTTGCGTTGTCAGCTGTACAGTGGATCGAGAATGTGTTGGGAATGTGAAAGAGGTCTGTGCGTGCTGAAAGATGCGCCGGAAGGCAGGCCACAAGCATCTAGAAGAGGGGTTTGCACTAAACACAATACGACTCAAAGCAGCGACAGAGCGGCAGAAATCAGAAACGTTTCCTTCGGCAACCTGTCGGCCAAACCCGCCATCTAGCCTACTTCCAACCACCTGCACCTCCTTGCACATCGCTGAAGACCCCTACCGCAACTGCACTCAGCAGACGCCATCAATCAGAGTGGTGCGAAATCGAGGCCTCCTTTTGTTTGGGTTCTGTCGAGCAGTGATACAACCGACCTGTTCAATTCTGCACTCGTGTGCTATGCTATGCGCGTGATTGTGACTCGCCTCAAAAGTGCCGGCTTGCTTGTGCCAAGATCACCCGGGGATCATAAACTTTACAGTGTTGGCCGCTTGCTGTTTGAGAGCATTTTCTGATATCTTTGTGCGCTGCAGGAAACCCGATCTTATAATGGCACAGGGGCGCAGCGCCCGCTGCGCTTTGTTCGCCGCCCTGGTACTATGCCTGCTCGCCATCACCGCTCAGGCGGCGCGATCTGTCCCAGCACCTGCGCCAGCACCAGGGCCCAGTGTCGATTTCACTGCACCTTGTGTGAGTTTCACTCTATCGAAGTTGTTATTGATGGTCCCCGGTTGCTGGGTGGATGCGAGAAAGCGGAGCCTTCTGATTTCTGGTCAGCCGTGATCTTAAAACCTCCCAGTCGCTTTACTCAAAGGTGCCACACTGTGACTTCAAGGGACAAATATTGATGCTCTCACTGTGGCCGCGCAGAAGTGCAATCCAGCGTTTCAGGCTACCACAGGAGAGTGCAGGAAACTCTCGCTGGCCACACCATGGAGCTGCATGGTTGACCCTTCAAATCCCCATCCAGAGTACCCGCGCCCATATCTACAGCGCGCGATCTGGATGAGTTTGAACGGCATTTGGGACTGGGACCGCCTAGAGTAAGTGGATCTACCTCATACTTTCTGAGTTCATCATCACCGTTCACTCTTGCACAGCATGTTACTCTGACTGCAGTGCCTGGCACAAATCAATGACCTGTACTATGCAGAATCAGAACTGCATTTTTAAACTGCATGGCAAATTTAAGAAACGTAAATTAGGGGTTCCATTGCATGATAATGCAGGTCTGTGACTAGCACTAGTAATGATTTATCACCGACGGCTGTTTTGCTCTGGACTGATACACTGTATGCTCTCTTGCAGGGGCTGGAAGACAGAGTTCACCCCAGCGGCTAGAAATTATTCATACGAGATTGTGGTGCCCTTTGCTCCGCCCTCTGACCTCTCAGGTATGACAGCATATCTTGGCGATCGCACCCTCTGCCATATTTGCACATTCTGCCAGTGACAAGTGGAAGCAAATTTTTTGGGGCTTTCTTACCAGCACTGGATGCGCGACTCGCAGGTTTGGCGGCTCCGTACAGTAAAGATGGGTTTACCCGCATGGTTTACCACCGCACCTTCAAACTTCCCACAGCATGGAGAAGCCTGCCCACAGCCCAGAATGTCATGCTTCATGTGGATCGTGTTGATTGGGAGGCAGAGGTATTTGTCAATGGGGTTACTGTAGGCCTCCACCGGGGCGCGTGAGTCACTTTCACACTGCTAAGGCATCACTGTCCTCAGCACTCGTGTTGAAAGTAATGCTGCAGAAAGTCAAGGCTTGATCTTGGTATGGTCAGAGGCAAAAGAGACTGGCGGTTGCAGGTATAACCGATTCTCCATGGACATCACCCACGCTCTTACAAAGAGCAGAACCGGGCAGCACGACCTTGTCATAAGGGTCTTTGATCCGAGTGAGTCAGCCCACATTGTCCTCGGAAAGCAGCGCATGCACCCAGATTCCACGATTTTCTACAAGGGAGTCGAAGGAATATGGGGCAGCGTTTGGCTGGAGCCGGTGAGTGTCCTCTGATACTTTACACTTGTTCATGAAAACGAAAGAAAAATGAACATCTGTGACCCACCTTATTCCTGGATGCTGCACCATTTTTCATCGTCATGCAAAAGCTTCCCTCATGGTCATTGTTAATCATCTTGTCAGTCATCTGTTGGTAATTGCCATGTGGTCAAATGATGTGCAGAGTTTGTATTGTCTGTAACACATGTGCGTGTTGCTCAGGTGTCCAAATCGGGTGTACAGAGGTTGGAATTTGCGCCCAACATCGACACAAGCTCGCTGAGGATCAAAGCAGTGGCGATTGATAGGAACGCTTCATCTGGAATGAACCTGGCGGTCACTGCCAAAGCTGATGGCAAGACGGTGAGCAGATCCACAGGCTTACACTCTGGCTGCAAATATCAATTGGAAGCCACGCGTTTTCAACTTATGTAGAATCAGCAATTTACTTCTTATTGGTGGTCCCGCATGGCAAGTCTTAGTAATCAGTTGGTCATCGCATAGGTGGCCCACAGAAATAATCTACAATACTTTCGCTCAGGGTTTAAGGGTATGGCTTTAGAATTCAGGGGAGGGGCCTTCATAGCAATAATAATTGTTAAGGGGAATGCAAGGATGTATATAGGGTTTAGGGGCCAAGAGGGGTCAAAGTTCTATTGAAACAAAAGTGTTATGACACTGTTTTCTGTGACAGGTGGCAACAGGACGTGGAATCCCAGGGACGCCTTTTGATATTGCGATCCCAAATATGCGATTGTGGGCAGGGCGATCTGATCCTTTCCTGTACACGATCGAGGTTGACGTCACTGACAACTCCACACAGGTATGGTATTTCTTGGAACGTGCAAAAGGCACCTATTTCAATGCGAGTGCATGCATGCTGTCCACAGAAGACAGAGGTAACAGATGGAAGGCATTGACTGTCTGGTGTGTCCATGATTCATAATTAAGTAATGACCCTTCTGTTACTCTGTGCACAGGAAGTGGTGGATCATGTTGAGAGCTCCGTTGGGATGAGAAAGTATTCCCTGGCACAAGTGGATCCCACCAGCCCTGACAGCCCCATCCGGATTTTCCTCAACAACAAGCCCCACACTCTATTCGGGTTCCTTGACCAGGTACGGTCGTGGTTATATAAGTTCAGCCATTTGTTTGCTTGCTATATATGAACCTGATAAGAGGCTCATTTCAACGTCCGGTCAAAGTTTGACATTATCCATGAACTTGATGCAGGGGTTCTGGCCTGATGGCAAATACACTGCCCCGACAGACGAGGCTCTGCTGTACGATATCCAGGCTGCAAAACGCATGGGAGCCAACGTTCTGCGCAAGCACATAAAAGTGGAACCTGACCGCTTCTACCACCATGCCGACAGGTACGCCGTTCTTTTTCTGCCCCAGCTGACCTGATGCATCACACAAACATGTCCTCTGATTTTTTTTGGCACTAGATTATGCACTCGTGCAGACTATGACATAATGGGTCACCGGCGATGTCGTGATACTGTGCTTGTTTATGTCTTCCTCTAATTTTACAAGGGCGCTAGATCGTTGACTCATGCAGAAATTGACACATTGGTTCACCGGCGGTATCCTGATACTGTGCTTGCATGCAGGGAGGGTCTAATCATCATCCAAGACATGCCAAGCATGTACTTTGCTGGTGATCTGCCGGGCAGGCTCCATCCAGAAATCCTGCCTGGAGAGAAGCAACAGTTCGAAGCCGAGTTCAAGCGCATGATTGAGGTGGGCCTGATGGCTGCAATGTATTCTCCTCATGCACATGTACCACACAGTTCAAATCACAGTTTAAATTTTCAGCGTGCAACCTGCTGATGGTGCTGCACCGCGATGAGCTCATCGTCAAGAAGGAATATAAACGGGCCTCACACGCACTTATGTGCGTGTACAGGATCACAGCGCTATGACTTCCATTGGTCTGTACTATACCTTCAATGAGGGCTGGGGCCAGTATGACACTCAGCGCATCGTTCAGATGGGCCATGACATGGACCCTTCAAGACTGTGGGGTGCTGCTTCCGGCTGGATTGACCCTCAGGACAGAACAGCAGACGATTTGAAGAAGGAATACGAGCACTACACCGGCTATGTGAGCCTACTTCCCTTTGCAAAATTGTCACAGTGTTTGAGTTATTCGGTGGAGTTACAAGTTTGAAACAAGCAAATACTCATCACCTGCAGTCATTGCCAGATTAAGCACATGTGAAGGTCCTGCCAGGGGTGTATCTTAATTGCAGGGGGCATAATCCGCTGCATAGTGACTTCTGTTGTCAATGGTTTCAGGTGGGCGACGTCAAAGACGACCACAACTACCCAAACCCAGTCAGCACCGGGGCAACCTCAACTCGTGCATCGATTGTTGGGGAGTACGGCGGCATTGGCATGTGGCTTGAGGGTCACAATACATTCTCCCGTTCAGACGCCGCGGAGAAGCCGGGCAATGGGCCATACGCGGACAACAGCACACAGCTGCAAGTGCGTCACTGCTTTTGACGCTACTTGCATCTGCTGCTGCAACTTGACAGCTGCTTCGCTCTGCTTTCAGAGTCATTCTATGCGGCAATTCACTGCTGAGTTTTGTTCTGGCACAATCACAGGAGCAGTACTTGAAGCATCTGTCAACCATAAAGGACCTCGTGCAAGGGAGCACAGGAGTCAGTGCGGCCATATACACCCAGCTCACTGATGTGGACACTGAGCCTAATGGGATCATGTCCTATGACCGCAAGGTGAGTCACCTTTCAGCACCGTACCAGAGCAGGCAATTACGCAAGGCATTCGACTGCACTGTGTTTTTCATACCAGAATACTCGCCAGATGTTTGACATCATTGCTGGTGTATTTGCAGGTCATCAAGTTTGCTGACCTGGCGGTCGTCCGAAAGAAGACTGAAGAGCTCCTGTCTGCACCTGTCAATTAGATCCTACTTTGCATGTGGTCAAGCTTCAAGACGGAAATGTGTTTCTGCCAAGACTGCTTGTTTGTTTTCAAGACTACCTATCAAAAGCCGATCATCAAATATGTAAAGAGCATGTGCAACGTTTTGGCATTTGAATTGAAGTGAACGCAAGCCAGACGAGGCCAGATTGGAAAATAGTTGCTCAGAACGAGAGTGCGATCAGAATGCGAAACGCAATGGTTGAGGCTTTATCGCCGTGCCAACGCGAGAGTATCGAAAGCCAGTTCGGTAGTATGATGACATGGGTGACTCAGCTTCCAGCAGCTTCCTGACTTCGAAGCACGCAGCATGCCTTCCAATTTAGAAATGAAAATCCAAGATATTGCTTCATTGTGCAGGCAAGCTAGATTAAGCTGCCCTGGAGCCGTGCTACATCAAGTTTTGTGAAGGCTCGTGATGAATGCAATAGCCAGCTCCTGTTAGAGAAGACATGCAAGGCAGGCTATTGTGCAGTGAGGGGCAGGCACCCTGTGTGGGATGGCACTTCTGTACTACTCGCTTGATTGCTTACAGAAAGAGCCAACACCAGTAGAATTCAGTGGCAGGTGAATGCATGTGAATGTTCAGGAGCCCAATTGCTTGCTCAGAATGGAGCAGCTCCGAATGGTGGCACGAAGACACAATCTGGAACCCGAACCAACGTACGCATCCCCTTTGTCCTCCCATCTGGCAGATGTGCAATCAAGGCTGGCTGTTGAACAGGTTTTGACAGGGGTCCTAGAAAATCTCAGGCTAGCCCCTAAATAGGACAAGGGCAGGCAGAGACTTTGTCCCCGCCTGCTGCCGTGATAGTAGCTGAAACTTCGGGGCATCCCTGAGTTTTCCAGGAAGTTTTCAATAGGGAGATGCAGGTTTTCCCTTGAATTCGGCCTCCAGGTGGTTCGAAATGCCTGAAATATATGGGGTGCCCCTGAGTTACAGCCAAGAAGCTTCGGGGCGTTGCCCTGATGCCATTTTGCCAAATCTGTATACAATCCGGGGTTGCCCTGAAATGTCGCCCTGAAGCAGGTTAGCCAATCCCTTGGGGGGGGGCCTTGGGGGCTGTCAAACTCTGCTGTTGGGGGAACTCACTGAAGTTGAATATTTTAACCAGACAAGCAAGGGTAACACCTGAACAGACTGATGATGCGTTAATCTCAACAGTAGTCTCTAAATTGTAGTCGGACTGAAAATGCGACAGCTGATCACAACCTTCAGAAGTGCATTGGGACAGAGCATGCATGCAGTGCAGTGGGGCCTCAGGACATGACTTTGATTACATCACATGCAGCCCAAAGGCTGAAGCATGGCATGTCTTTACCACAGCCATGCCTTGCCAGAGGCCTTGCATCCAGAAAGCATTGCAAAAATTAGAGGACAATCGGCACGCTGATGCCACTGCAGGGCAACCATGTGATTATGCTGAGTCTGTGCTGCAGATCAGATATTGTCCCTTGACTGAACCCTCTGTATGCACAGTCCAGAACTTTGCCCCCCCAAGGCACTAACTCCAACACCCTGTTCAATTGGGGCAGCTATGACTCACTCTTTGAGTGCGTTGACAAGGTTCTTGATTTCGTCCCTCACAAGATCTTGATCATCGTACTTCAGCACCTGCACAGCATAGACATCCCCAATCAGCAACCATCCATGAGTCATCACTGCATTGGAGGCTCACATGCAACAATATAGCAGCCAGGACTTACTAATAGCTAGTAGCCGGGCGGGGGACCATTCTTACAGTCAGCATGCATTAGCAGCCGTCAGCAGCCAGTCACCATGAGTAGTCATATTGGTCACCATGGTTAGTCATTACGAGAGGTCCAGTCAGCACCTTGCGGTCATAGGTGAAGATGCCGTTGACTTCTCCCTCCACATCAGTGGCAGCACTTAAGCTAGTACTGGCCTTAATCAGCTTGATCCCATTGTGCAACAGCTCAATGAAGCGTGCCTGCCAGCCGTTCAGACAAAACACGTGTCAGATGCCGAGCTGAATGCCTCTTGTGAAGCGGCACAATTCCCCAGTGCATCATGCAGCCATGCTGGGAGTGCCCTGACAGGCACCTTAAATGGATACATTCCGAATACCATAGTTACCATAAAGGACGTGCGAGAAAAGGAGTTTTAATGGTTGCATTGAAAGCCGCAGTGCAGCTGCTGGACCTCATCTCTGACAGGCAAAGCTCTCTGAAATGTTTCAAAGTGGTACAAGTGTAGAAGGGCAGAGAATACAGCGAGGAAATTAGAAGGTGCGCACCTGAAGCTTGGTGGAGTTGTCAACGTCACTTCCGCTTGAGTCATCCCTGGAGGCCCACGAGTGCCCGTCCACATACATCTTGATGCCTCCGTACTCCCCGTTTACGGAGGCACGAGTCTTTGTAGCCCCGGAGCTGTACGGGCCGGGGTACTTGTGATCATCCCGGACCTCACCGACCTACACAATACCACAGAAATTTGTATGTATGTTGCATACTTGAGCTCCGCAATCTGTCAGCGCTCTTTACAAGCCATAACACGCTTGCACAACAAGCATCCGCTTAATGTTGCGTGTACAGCTCCAGACAGCACGTGCTGATGAGTATGGCACATATCCTTAATACCCCAAGAAGAACCTGTCACACTGCAGTTAGCTTTCGCCAATCTGGTTTTTGCCGTCTTGAACGCCATCTTGAAAGCAACTGAGCAAAGCATGCACAGCAAGGTGCCACAGCTTGAGCGGAACACAAGAGCTTGAGGCGAAGAGAGACAGGAGAGCCGCGCACATAGCCGGTGTAGTGCTGGTACTTGGCGCCCTTGTCCGCGGTGATGTCCTGGGGGTCCACCCAGCCAGAGGCGGCCCCCCACAATCGCGAGGGGTCCTGGCTGTGCGCTGCCTGCACCACCTTTTGAGTGTCGTACTGGCCCCAGCCCTCGTTGAATGTTTAGTACTGGATGATGCTCGGGAAGGACATGTGCTCCTGCGCATGCAAAAAACCTTCCCTCATGCTCAGGCTAATCAACGCTTGCGCAATCCTCACAGGAAAAACATCTCCAAACTGGCCTTGTAATGCTCTTGAGCAGTTTTGATCAGACTTTCCATGTACGACTGCTGTCGGCATTGGCTTGAGCAAATCTGGGGATTCCATGGCTGTCCTTCACTTGAAGCCACTTGAAGAAGCTTGTTGCCTAATGGGTGTTTTAAATTGCCCATGGGAAAATATCAGAAGCAAAGACGGCAGGAGAAAATAATGGTTCACCTCGATCATGCGGGTGAGCTCGTGGGTGTGCTGAGCCTTCTCCTGGGGGTGGCGGTAGTATAGGCCGTCATTGAAGGGGTCTTCCCAAAACAAGCTGGGCATGTCTTGCCACACCAGCATGCCCAACCTGCAACCCCAACACAGCCACTGTCAATCAGCCATACACAAGTCCAATCCGTGGTCATTTTGTCAAGCCATATGACAACCGCCCTCCATCCAGCAATGTACAAGCAGTCAGACTCCTGGTGATCATGTCAGGAACTTTAGGTGCTCTGCACACTTGTAACAAGAGCGGCTGGTTTGGGATTATCTTCCTCTTATTGATGGCTCCCTGCTGCAGCTCATTCAAGGGCACAAACACCTGCAGACCAGGATGCATTCTGATGTGATGTAGCCGCAAGAGCACTGAGCGCAGAAGAGGTTTATAGGTGCACTCACTTGTCTGCGCAGTAGTACCAGCGGTCCGGCTCCACCTTGATGTGTTTTCTGAGAGTGGTGAAGCCCAGCCGCAGCGCCTCCTGGATGTCCCAGCACAGGGCCTCCTCCGTCGGCGCTGTGTAGAGCCCATCCGGCCAGAAGCCCTGCCAATGCATCACAGATGAGTAGATTAATAAGTGAGACAATGCGCTGCACATAAAAGCTCAACAAGCTGTGCTGACCGCAAGTGTCTGCACATGCCAGCACATGCGCGCACATGCATGTTTTACCATTATTTATTATTACATGCTTTTCCTGCCAGAAGCAAGGTGCGTCTGCAGACAAGCTGCAGTTAAGGCTGCCAAAATCCTACCCCTTGATGGACTCGCCAGATGAAAGCAAGACCCAATCAACCGTGGGCACGGTGCTCAGTATTTATACCGCCCCCCGCCAGCCGGGGCATGCACGTTTATACAGATATAAAATACAATTCCATATTTCAGTCACTTCTAGTACAGGCTGTAGAGCTAGCAAAACACCCTGCGGTGCTGCAAGCCATTTATTAGAGCAACCCGGGGACCTGAATGTCTATTCCATGTAACCAAGCATGCAAAGCAGGCCTGCACAGAGCGATTTGCAGATCCCCTATCTGCTCTAGCAACAAATCTAGATCGAGGGACTATATGATACAATATAAATTTGGCGAGGGAGGAAGCAAGGAAAGGGGAAATGCCTGGTCGAGGAGGCCCAGTTGGGTGATGGGCTTGTTGTTGAGCCAGATGACCATGGGCCCGTTATTGGGCAGCGGGGCTATAAGCGCCTTGCGCATCCCAAAGTAGCCCTTCACTGTGTCCAGCGCATCCTGCACCCAGCAGCAGTGCAACCACCTCAGCATTTGATGCTTCAACTCAGCACTGCTGCATCAGCAGCTGTATCCCACCCTGACAAGGACATCAAGATGCACTGGTGGACCTTCCCTGGGTGCAGCAACATACCCTGGCAGAGGACCACAATCTTAATTTGTATAAACAAAAGTATTTTAAAAATTTCAAGTCTGAAAAGTGTCCCTGGCAGCCACATGCATGCAAGCTGACATGGCCCTCTGTTTACAGCACACACTGCTGTGAACGCGATGAAATCTTCAGCAAGTTGAAGGGCTCATTTAAGGCATGCCTGGGTCTGATAGTTGGCCACGGCTGTGGACTTGGCTGTGGACTTGGTCACGGTGGAGTTGGTGGCTGCCGGGTAGAGGCTGACTTCGATGTCGTACAGGAAAGGCTCGCCCCCGAAGATGACAGGGCTCCACAGGCGAGGGTTGGGCAGGCTCAGGTTGAACGGCCTGCCCACCACTCCCTCTCCAAAGGACACCTGCACATTGCACGTCTAGACTTTTCTCGAGCACAGCAACTTCGTCTTGCAGTTTTCTCACCTGCTTGGATCATGAAAGAAATTACGAGTGCCAAAAGCTGCTTTCTTTTTTGCAGGAAAGGCTGCTCCAAAGGGTGGCATGATTGCGCTGCACTGCACTTGACAGCCATCGACTGAGAGAATGCTTTAGTTGAGCAACAATTATGCATTAAAATTGTTGATATCCTGATAATGCAAGCTGCAAGCAGGCGTTGTGAGGGCAGTTAGCATAGCTGGTGATCAGCGGTGCGAGTGCTGACATGGCGTATGCATGCATGCAAGCCTAAAAGACATAGGTGTGGGTGCGAGGGCGTCACCTTCTGGCCGTCCTCGATGGCTGCCACGCGGACGGGCATGCCGAGCGCATGCTTGTTGCCCTGAACAGTAATGCTCAGATGCTCCGCGTCGACGTCAGGGATCATGTCGAGGCGGCTGATGTAAGCCTCCGCCACCTGCGCGCACATGCCGGCACATGACAATCGCTCGCCGTCCAAGCCTGACTCCTGACGCGCTGCACATGCTGAAAGGCAGTCTTGAGTTTGCGGCTGTCACTGGCATGCAGAGCCCATGTGGCTGAAAAGGGAGACAGCTGGGGGCTTGAAGGAAGTGGGCCAGCCCTTGTAGTCTTGGTGGCTGACTTCTCAGATGCAGAGTTGCCCAATATAGGTAGCGCAACCTGAGCTTGCTGCAAGAACGCCTACTAATTATACTCTGTGTTCCCTGGCTGCTATGTGAGCGCTGACACAGATTCACTGATGCGACGGGAGGGGATTTACCCGCTCCAGCCAGACAGTCTGCCAGATGCCCTCTGTTCCCACATACCAGATGTCCTTCTTCACCGGGCTCTTCCGCTGCTTGCCCAGGGGAATGTGGGCGCTGTCTGTTGGGTCGTACGCTCGCACTATCAGCTCGTGCTGACCGCCATTGCCATGTTTCAGTGCGTCGGTGATGTCCACAGCAAACTTGTCATACCTGCAAGAAGACACAAACTCACTGTCAGCACCCTTCCTTGTCAGATGATTACCTTGTGCACCTGTGAAAAAGTTCCCAGCAAAGCTGTGAGCAGCACACGTTCTGACCTGGGCTCAGTCTGTGCAAAAGAGGTGCCAATGACGTAAGACAGCACCTTTTAATCCACAAAGTGACCCGTGCATGCAGATCAACAGCCCAGGAAGGGTCCACAGCAAAGGACACAACACACTACAGAGATGCTTTCGCTTCTTTCCCACAGGATTGACATCTGCAAGTCCAGTTGAGGAAGGGTCTTCAGCTGCACACCCGCCATTGTGCTGGGGAAATTCGACTCCATTCACCCAGACCTGGGCTTGCCAGTCCACGGCCCCAAAATGCAGCAACGTGCGAGCGGCGTTGCGCAGGTTCCGCCAGCTCCCGGGCAGCTGGAAGCTGCGGCGGTACCACATGTGAGTCACCCCCACCCTGTACGGCTCCTCCACCCCTGCGCCCCACATCAGCCGCCACGTCAGCACATTACTTAATCAATCTTACATCGCATGCAAGTTGACGCTTTAAGGAACTTCGCTTCAGCCATTCCTGCTTAACAAAAATAGGCCCCTGAAAAAGGACACTAAAGGAGCTCATGGCAATTTGTATTGCCTTGTCCACAGGCAATACGAGTGGCACAGACAGCTGCTCAGAACTTGAGGCATTTGATGTTTTTCCTAGGGGTATGAAATGCAGTTTGCAGGCGCAGTGAGGTTCCTAGTGTAGGAGGGCTGGACCTGACAGGTCAGCGCGCACGCCGAAAGGGACCACAATATTGCGGGCAAGTGTTCTGTTGATGGGTGGCGCGCCATCCTCCCAGCCCCTGCAGCCACACAAGGTTATCATGTTCAAACGGCAGCCAGACAGAAACAACCACACATTTGCAGCTATTCAATCTTTGTAATCCAGCAGAGAGCTGTGTGCGGCTGCCAGAACACTTGCAAGAGACAAAGGCCCTGTCAAGAATGTTCTACTTACGCCTGGGTGCAGCTCAGTGCAGATGTAGTTCTGTAGCCCGGGCACCCAGGTTTAAAAAAAAAGCCAAGGACATCACGTGAACGGGCAAGGGGAAGGGGGCCTTACACATTCGCTTCCCACTCCCAGATGCCATTCAGGTTGATCCAGGTGTCGTTGCCCCTCAGCATCTGTGGCCGGGGGTACATCTGGTGTGGCTTGTAGGGGTCCACATCACAGGCAAACTTTGAGGCCAGCCTGAACGGCTTGCACTCGCCAGTCAGCGCCTTGATGGAAGGATTGCAGTCCTGCGCAGCCGCAGCAGCACTTTCTCAGCATTCTGTGATGCTGTGAGCAACAAGTGCCAGCATGGAAGAGTATGCACCCATGCATGCGCCACACGCACTGCTGGCAAAGTCGCAAGGCCCCCCAATTTTGGCTACTGGGCAAGTGCCAGTGCAGAGGCAGCATGCTGTGGCATAAAGAGAGTTTGTCAGCTTTGGTGCACGTGACAGGCAGCGCACAGCGACCAGCGTTTGCAATCCTGACATGGTGTTTTGGGATTGGCTGACAGGAGCAGTGGCACAGACCGCCCTGCCGAGAGTGGCGCAACTGTAATAAACAGCGCTATGCTCTATGGCCCTCTGGGCTCTGGGTTCGCCATCATAAAGATCAATATTTTTATTAGCAGAGAGGCAGCGCTGCTGGTGAGGAGGGTTCGACACTTACGCATTTGTCGACCGGAGCAGAAGATGGCGCTGGGACGGGGGCAGGCGCAGTTCGACCGGAAACGAGCGTGACAGTTACGAGCACCACGGCAGCCGCCCAGCTGTAGGCAGTCGGCGGCATGGGGGCGGATGAACGAAAATTGTTCTTAGTTGCCGCCTGCAAAGCAGAGGGATGTCCTTTAAGCTCGACTGAGATCGCCATATCCATGATCGAATGAGCACCTCATTGAACCAATCATGTTTTTGGTACTCGTTCTTGTGTGCACCGCACCAGGAACGAAATCAACACCCCTCACAATTTCTGAAAGCCACCGGCAGATCATGTCCAAGGGCTCGCCAATACCAGTTATATTGTCGCCAACTGATAAAGCAAACCCTGATTACAAGAAAAATATTGAAATAATCTTAAGAATTCTAAGTTCTTATTCCACAGATCCGAATTGGCTAGTGACTTTTGACTCGTCGGCGGCCCAGGCCATCGAGCATCCTTTGCCAAAACAGCTGTCTCAAAGATACTGCATAAAAATCTTCCCTCGTAGATGAGCGTGAGCTATTTATATTATGAAGGTCTGTACACAATCAATCGATACATGTGCCTATGTCAGCACCTCGCGAGATGAACCAGATCAACCAGGTCAAGGGGTGCCACTTACTCTGAACGGTCTCGGTTGGGGTTCAGTCGTGACGTGCGGCTAAAAGAACATTCTGAATCACAGATTGATTGCTCCCATTCATCATTTCTGCACATTTAGCTGTCCTGAGCCCAGTCACCGACTTCATATTTCCACCCTAGATAAAGTAATACCCCGGGCAGCCTGAAGAGGCTTTCGATTTACTAAAGGCGAAGAAGAGGCTTCGCCATGTTTTTTAGGAAAAAATTATTTTGTCGCATCGTCCCTATGGTGTGTCCCTTTCAGACTTCATACATTGGCTGCAGCCATGAACACCCCATAGTGGGTTACCCATTATATTTAGTGGCAAAAGAATTGTAGCCCAGCAGAGTGGAGTTGGGGCAATCTTGAGGAGCCACTTGCGACTACCATCAATTGGGCACAAATGGTATATTACATTCTGTCTGATGCGTTGAATATGCAAGAGATCTCCAGAAGTATTTTGACACCAGTACAAGTGACTCACCGGTCGGACCTTCAGGGAAAAACGGCGACCCTGAGTCTACTATGGGGATATGATGCCTTCAATCGCAGATGGCATTCTTGCAATCAATTATAACAGCCATTCCTGTCTGCTCACAACACTCTGCAGCAGTATCATGCAAATGTTGCAGTCCCTCAAGAGTTCTACTCCAGTAGTGGCCAGCCAAAAAAGTCCTCAAATCCGGAAGACATTCAAAGATTACGTGCCTGCAAACCAGCCTCAGGCAACTCTGCACTAATCGTCTCTGCAAGCAATCAGCAATTAAGCCAAACAGAGGGGAGCTGAGACCACCCCTGCTTTTAGACCAGTCTCAGAGGGCAGGCTCCTGCCCCCGCGTGTCCCTAACTTCACTGCTACTGGCTACAATAAAGTTTGCATACAAGGACGGACGACCTGTTCACATGAGCATCCGGCCATCAATGCTTAGATGCACCAGAGAGCAATATACCAGGGAAACATTAATGCCATTACTTCAAATAGTGTCAAGTAGTGTAGTGAGTCAATGTTTGCTTTCCTCTCTCATGCGCGTCGATTCATAACAAGGCAATTACAGGACAATGGCTGCCGTGCATTACTCTGCCGATCAGTAATTGCTGCGGAGGAACAATCTGTCGACAACTGATGTGGACATCAACAGCCTGGGACTTTAGCAAAAAGTCTTCTAGAAGATGCCACAGCCTCTGACTAACCACCATTGTTACCACCTAATCAGGATACCCTAGGGCGTTGTTATATCTAGTGTGCGAATATGAAGGCTGCTACAAGGCTCAGAACAGCAAACAAACTTTTGGTGAACGCTGTTTGTACACCGGAGAATACACAATGGACTTGTAAGACACTTCTTTACTTCTTGATCACCACTGAAGCCCAGCCAAGCATCAAGCTCCGTGTGGCGCATCGTTGATAAACTTCATCTCCTTCACCTGGTGAGCTGTTGGCATACTCACCTTTGTCCATTATGTAGGTTCTAGCATTGAGTAGCTTATAGGTGATGATTTGATTGGGTCATTGAGGCTTTTGATGATAAAATTTCATAAGCCGGCAATTATGGCGATGCCGGCGATGATGGCGATGGTGTGCCTCTATGGCCTTGGGGTTCTATTGGGCCGCCACTGTCCCGATCTGATGAAAGCTTCGTTGATATATGAGAAGAATGATACCAAACTTAAGGTTCAAGTTCACGGGTATCCTTTCGACAGTGAGTTCACTGCACATTTGGTATCGTCAAGCAACGAGGAGTGATCCTTCTGATAGTTTCAGACGTGTTCAGTTGTTTGCGGCAGCAGAACACTACACGAATATGCGGTTGATTGAAGGTTGTGTGTGCGCGCTTTTGATAATGGCGACTGCAGCCTCCCTTCACAAATCCCACCGCTGTGCAGGCGATCTGCTCGGGGCCAGTCCAACCTTCGTTCGAAAGACTCCATGGCGCGGCACGCCTATATCCAGGCAGCTGCCGTGCTGCTGGTGTCGTGCACCCTCGTCTACGGTCGACCTTCACCTGCTCCCGCGCCATCTTCGACGGACTTCGCCCCAGTGCCAGCACCGGCTCCGGCTCCTCCGGAGAACTGCGTAAGTGCCAAATTGTCTTCGCCAGCAGCATAGCTTTTTCACCTATTCTCGTGACAGGGCTGTCTCTGCTGCAGCTCCTGGCAGCTTGCACTCAGCTCAATATGCCACACCAGGCTTCCTTTGCACTGCCTGTCATGAGCGGCACGATCTGGCAGTTATTGCTCACAGCATCACAGAAGTCTGAGCAAATGTTGCTGTGCCCGGTGCAGGACTGCAATCCTTCCATCAAGGCGCTGACTGGCGAGTGCAAGCCGTTCAGGCTGGCCTCGAAGTTTGCCTGTGATGTGGACCCCTACAAGCCACACCAGATGTACCCTCGGCCACAGATGCTGAGGGGCAATGACACCTGGATCAACCTGAATGGCATCTGGGAGTGGGAGGCCAATGTGTAAGCCCCCCCTTCCCTCTGCCACCCAATGCTGTAGCAATCACTGCTGTAACAAAGTGCCTGCGGTGAGCTCTGATTCTGGGCTGAGGTGCACCCAAAGCATTTGCAAAGGAGTCTTACAGTGCCTTTGCCTTCTGCTCAAAATATGGCAGCCATGCCCAGCCGTTTTTCCGGGCGCCTCAAGTTGACCGGCAGCGAGGAGCACACATGTGTGGTTGTATCTGCATGGTTGTTTCTGTCGTGCTGGCGTTTAATAAAGGGTCTTTTGGCTGACTGCAGGGGCTGGGAGGATGGCGCGCCGCCCATCAACAGAACACTGGCCCGCAAGATTGTGGTCCCCTTCGGCGTGCGCGCTGACCTGTCAGGTCCGGCCCTCCTTAATGCCCCTGCAAATCGCATCCATTGCCCTGTTGCTGGCTTATGGGTAAAGCACATTGATGTCAGGAGATGCCGAACAGATCCGATCAGCCGCCTTTGTCACTTGTACTGTCTTTGGACATGGCAAAGCAGCCTGCCGACCCCTCTTTTCAGTGTCCTCTGTTATGGCTCCCTATTTCTGTTGAGCAGGACAGGCCCCAGCAAAGTGCCTCAGAGCTTCAAATTGCATGTGACATCAATATGACTCAGCGGATGCGCTTACGTGGAGGATGATGTGGCATGCAGGGGTGGAGGACCCATACAGGGTGGGAGTGACCCACATGTGGTATCGACGCAGCTTCCGGCTGCCCGGCAGCTGGCGGAACCTGCGCAACGCCTCGCGCACGGTGCTCCACTTTGGCGCCGTGGACTGGCAAGCCCAGGTCTGGGTGAATGGAGTGGAATTCCCACAGCACAACGGCGGGTGCGCAGCCAAACACCCTTCCCATATCCAACATGCAGCTGAGGACTTTGTAATGGTAAAGATAATGCGTTCCTGCAGTGTCCTGTGTTATCTCCTGTGCAGCCCAACGGGCTGCGGATTTGCATGCACGACTCATCAGCGGTGCTGCCATCCCTATCTGGCAACTCTTCCTCAAAGATTGCACCACGGCTAGATTGTGTGGCTCCTCACAGTCATTCTTGTCTCACACTGCGGCGGGTTTCGTTCTCACGTATCATAAAAACGTCTGCTGACAGGGACACTCTCGTGTTTCCTGCAGGTATGACAAGTTTGCTGTGGACATCACCGACGCACTGAAACATGGCAACAGCGGTCAGCACGAGCTGATAGTGCGAGTGTACGACCCAACAGACAGCGCCCACATCCCCTTGGGCAAGCAGCGCAAGAACAACGGAGGCATCTTTTACATGGGCACCGAGGGAATCTGGCAGACCGTCTGGCTGGAGCGGGTGTGTTTCCCCTCCCTTGCATCAGTGTATAACCTTTCAGAAACCCTGCTCCAACTGCAGCCAAGGGGTAATTCGCGATCTTTGGTAGCAGCAACAAACTGATTTCCCGCAATAATCTCCCGGTGTGTCTGAGCAGTACAAGCAATCAAGGCCCACTCCCTCTAAGCCTTTACCTGTCTCCCTTGTCAGCCCTCATAAACTCTGCTGCGAGTGACAGCCGCAGAGAAAGGGTAAGATTTCTGCTTCTGCGGGTAATTAGCCGTCAAGCCTGTTCCTGCAAGTCAGTGGTCATGTGGCGGCATGTGCGTGCAGGTGTCGGAGGCTTACATCAGCCGCCTGGACATGATCCCTGACGTCGACGCGGAGCATCTGAGCATCACTGTTCAGGGCAACAAGCAGGCGCTCGGCCTCCCTGTCCGCGTGGCAGCCATCGAGGACGGCAAGAAGGTGACGCCCTCGCAGACCCGCGCACATTGCTTGTTTAGGCTCGTATGCCATGCACGCGCCCCGTCAGCACTTGCAGCACTGATTAAGCACCTGCACACCCCCTGCCATCAGCTTTTTTATCTTGAAGCAGCACTTTTTAAATCCCTGCATCATCTGATTGCAGCTTTCCGTCGGCCACAGGCCGTCAACAGCGCATACAATGCCTCCTCTTTGCCGCAGCCTTTTTTGCCACAAGAAGAGTTGCTCTGCATGCGTGGTTTTCCGTTGATTTGGGCAGGAGAAAATTGCACAGGATGGGAGGCTGGGTCTGAGCAAACTCTGGACATGCAATGTGCAGGTGTCCTTTGGAGAAGGAGTCGTGGGCAGGCCCTTCAACCTGAGCCTGCCCAACCCTCGCCTGTGGAGCCCTGCCATCTTCGGGGGCGAGCCTTTCCTGTACGACATCGAAGTCAGCCTCTACCCAGCAGCCACCAACTCCACCGCAGCGAAGTCCACAGCCGTGGCGAACTATCAGACCCAGGCATGCCTTAAATGAGCCCTTCAACTTGCTGAAAATTTTGTCGCGTTCACAGCAGTGTGTGCTGTAAACAAAGGGCCATGCCAGCTTGCATGCATGTGTCTGCCAGGGACACTTTTCAGACATGTAAATGACACGTATTGGTAATTTTTACACAGATTATGATTGTGGTTCCCCTGCCAGGGTATGTTGCTGCACCCAGGGAAGGTCCAACACTGCATCTTGATGTCCTTGTCAGGGTGGGATACAGCTGCTGATGCAGCAGTGCTCAGTTGGAGCATAAAATGCTGAGGTGGTTGCACTGCTGCTGGTTGCAGGATGCGCTGGACACAGTGAAGGGCTACTTTGGCATGCGCAAGGCACACATTGCCCCGCTGCCCAATAACGGGCCCATGTTTATCTGGCTCAACAACAAGCCCATCACCCAAGTGGGGCTCCTCGACCAGGTCAGCTCTCTCTGAGGATAGGGTCATTTGTTCCTTTTAAGCGGCTGCAAAGACAGAGGCCTTTGTGAATCGCTGAATGAGCGGGCTTTCCTCTTGAAGCGCAGCTCTAATATTCAGCGCGCTCCTTTCCCTTCATTAAGCAGAGTGCAGCACTGGAGTGTCTTTGGCGACATCCTGCATGAGAAGTTTGCATGTGCCGGCATGTGCCGGCATGCAAATTGCCGCGGTCAGCATCGTTTGATGAAGCTACCATTTGCAGCGCATCCAGCATCACCTCTGTTGTCAGGAAACTTGCGTGTGACGTAAGCATGACATCATTTCTGCAATTACAGGGCTACTGGCCGGATGGGCTCTACACAGCGCCGACGGAGGAGGCCCTGTGCTGGGACATCCAGGAGGCGCTGCGGCTGGGCTTCACCACTCTCAGAAAACACATCAAGGTGGAGCCGGACCGCTGGTACTACTGCGCAGACAAGTGAGTGCCCCTCTTCCTCCCATTCAGGTCTACAAGTCATTGCTCTCCTGGCACACCACACAGTGTGCTCAAGCCGCATGCTAGAAGTGGTACAAACATTCAAACTAACTTCACGGGCTGCAACTTTTGCTGCCTCAAGTGCTTTCAGCACCAGCCACAAGTGGCCCGATGACAAAGAAGTGGTCATATTCTTATTAGGTTTTCATTCAGTGGCAGGGATAGAGTTGACAGGCGTGTTACTGGCAGCGAGTACAGCTTAGTCAGTATAAACTTGTCTAATGGGTGTGCAGGTTGGGCATGCTGGTGTGGCAGGACATGCCCGCCATGTTCTGGGAGGATCCCTTCAACGACGGCGTCTACTACCGCCACCCCCAGGAGAAGGCCCAGCACACCTACGAACTCACCCGCATGATCGAGGTATTTCCCTCTATACTGCCGCATGTGTGCTGAACCACCCATGCACGTGTCTTGACGTGATTATCTGCAGAAAGATTTTCTGCGACCTGCTGGAGCAGTTTGAATTGCAACCTCCCAGCTGAGATTGCAGTCAATATGAACTTGAGACAACTATGGATATCCTTAGGTGAACTCTACTTGCGGCATAAGTCAGAGCCGTAGCCCTGCCAAGTGGGCGTTTACAGATACCAGAAACAATACCATATTGCCCAGATATTCAGGAGAGTCTTGTATGCATGCGCAGGAGCACCTGTCCTTCCCGAGCATCATCCAGTACTACACATTCAACGAGGGCTGGGGCCAGTACGACACTCAAAAGGCGGTGCAGGCAGCCCGCAGCGAGGACCCCTCGCGATTGTGGGGGGCCACCTCCGGCTGGGAGGACCCCCAGGACATCACCGCGGACAAGGGCGCCAAGTACCAGCACTACACCGGCTATGTATGCGCCCTTTCTCAATCTCACTGCCTGCATACTGCCCTGTCTTGCCATGCTTTCACAAGCTTTGCAGGTGCTTGTGACACCGCGCGATTCAATTGGGCAGAAGGTCAAGCCATGGTGCACAGCATCAGCAAGATTTTAAGATACAGTGTTGATTATTGTGCATTTATAGAGATATTAGTAATAGGAAAATTATATTCCAGAGTACAGGAGGCCTTAGCTGTGCATATCAGAAGGGCTCAAGTGCGCTGGCAGATTGCAAATCCCAGAAATGTTTGAATTAAGTATTCTCCTGTGGTGCCGTGCAGGTTGGGGAAATCCGGGATGACCACATGTACCCCGGCCCGTACAGCTCTGGAGCTACGGAGACCCGCGCGTCCGTAAACGGGGAGTACGGGGGCCTCGCCCTGTACTATGACGGGCACTCGTGGACTTCCAGGGACGCTGCTATAAAGGACCGTGGACAGGCAGACGCCGGGCAGCTGCAGGCACGCATACCTCGGCTTTCTCTCTAAAGATCCCCTGCACTCGTCCCCGTTCCTCAGTATCTCAGAGGGCTTTGGCTGGAGAAATTTCAAGGAAAGCTTGCATTGCAGCGTGAATTTCTGCCTGTGGATTTGTCTGCACATATTCCGCCAGACCTACATGCATGGGTTCCTGTTGTTTAGTGTTATCATATCTGACAAGCATGCTTTCTGTGTTTGCTTGCAGGCGACATTCATAGATCTGTTGCATCGTGCGAGCGATCTGGTCAAGGCCAGCACCGGGCTGAGTGCTGCCATCTACACGCAGCTGACCGACGTGGAGGCAGAGGTCAACGGCATCCTCACCTACGACCGCAAGGTGCTGACTGGATTCTCCCACCATGACTACCCTTGTTGACTCATATGACTAATCCTGCTGAAACTCTGCTGATGGCTGCTGGTGCTTCCTGCCCGTGACAACTATTCCTGCATTCCAGGCCAAGTCGTGGCATGTGTACCTCTGCGTGCGAGCTTCCAATGCAGGGGTTATATTATTGATATGACAAGTCGGCAAAACAAATCGGTGACTAATGCATGGGCTGAACATTTGCCGTGTCTCTGCTGTGCAGGTGTTGAAGCTTGGCGATGCGAATCTTGTGAGGGATGAGATCAAGAAGGTTGTCAACTCGCTCAGTACCTGAGCAAATCGCAGCAGGCGATGGATAGCTGCGCCTTGGAACGAGGGGTTGAATTTAACTATTTAAAGAAAAGTTCTGAAGTTTCAGTGGAAGCACACTGTTCGGTATCCAGCACTGACTTATTGTTGCCCTGCAGTGGCTTCAGCATAGTAACTGTTCTGTGTAATTGCTATGAGTGAGTCCTGGGAAGCAAGCTAGAACGCAGTGCAAATCTGAAGAATTGCCTTGCTTCAAGTTTTGAGCCTGCATGCAATGTAATAAAGTCCTAGCTTCTGGATCCTGCACTGCATGCTGACTGCCTTGTCCATGCTTTTCAGAATATATAGAGCGTTGAAATAAGGTGTTAAACATGCTTTCACTTGGCATTCAGACTCAGGATTCCCCAGTGACAGACCACACGGTGAAACTGTTCACAGAATAGCTCCTGTTCTGAAACCATGCAACAGCTTCTTACTAATAAGGGCCCCACTTGTTCAGCATTTCCCTTCTGTGCTGACTGATCCAAGAAGGAAACTCACTTTCCAGCATTAAACTGATGGAGCCCAGATGGGCCTCAGCAACGGCAACATTCCGTGGATTGGCTGCCCAGCACCCTGGACCATGCTTTTCATTCGTATATCAGCGCATTAATCTGACTCCAGGCATGTTAAATTGCAAGTTTCCAGAATCCAGCAATCTCACTGGTAAACGTGACCGTTGCCAAAGGAGGTGGAGGGTACAACTCCTAAAGCCCTGACTTTTACCCTGATGTTTACTTGTCTGCCCATTCTGGCTTTTCCTGCATGACACCCTCAACGTCACCTCCCAAAGGGGAGCATGCGGAAAGAGATCATGCTACTGTGCAACTACGATATGCTACTGTCAGACAAGTTGTCACCCTCAATCACAGAAAGGCTTGAATCCAATCGGCGCCCCATCCCTGATGTCATTGACCGCGCGGATGCCCCCAAAGAAAGCCGTCAGCACCGTCCTGCACCCACATGCCATACATCCATTAGCCGTTTGGCAACTTGCACAGGGACAGGCAAGCACAACAGCAGCTCACACTGCTTGAGCGCGCCAACAGAGGCCTTGTCTTGCTCTCCCGAAACACTGTATGCGCTTTCACACAGCTTCCAATCTCACAAGACACAGCGACTTATGGTCATCATTGTTATTAAAATTATTTATTACTGTTATTACTGAACGCCTTTCCTGCCAGAAGGCAAGGTACGTCCTGCAGAAAAGCTGCATGGGTTCATCGGTGGTTCAATGATACACGGAAGGGGTGGCTGTGAGATGACTCACCCTGCGATGATGAGAGCTGACAGCAGCAGCACGATGATGCTGACTCGTCCAGAAGCCCTGATGATGCGTCCCACCACAGTCACTCCTGCACAGCCGATATCACAAGAATCAGAGCACCGCACTTTCCTGCCACTGCAGCAGCTGTGCATCTCAAGCTTGAGCTTGCGCCGAGATGGGGCTATACAAAAATGCCCAGCGTGCCCGCTCCACACCTCCAGAATGAGGCCAGATGCAGTGCGCATAAGGCGCCATCTCAAGCCTGTGTAGAGCTTACATCTCTCTCAGCACATTCTCTGTGAAGTTGAAGCCAAATGAGGGTCAATGCTCTGCCCGTAGAGTACACACATCAAAGGCTGCTGGACGCCACACTTGAAGCCCCTCGGCATGCAAGTGTCTCTTGCAGGCGGGCACAATAGATAATCTGATTGTTATCGTTACAATTTCTTAATTTATCAATTTTCTATAGTTAGTTTAATTCATTACAGTCGGCGCGCTGTTCCTGCCAGAGGCGTAGTGCGACTGCAGACAGGGTGCATGCAGGGCTGGAGAGGGTGAATGAGGTAATGAAAATCCACAAATCTATAAGGGAGGCGACAAATGGCAGGACTGGAGGGGGTGAATGTTGAAGAGAATTGCAAACCTATGAGGGAGGCAACGAAACAGAGGGGTGCGAGGACGAGGGCGTAGCTGGTGTTGAGCAGGCCCTGGAAGTAGAAGGACAGCGCGATGGCCGACGAGGTGAACAGGATCATCAGCACCGATGTCGAAGCAGTCACCTGCGGCGTGCCATGCACACACTGTCAGAACAGTTGCTGCTGGGTTACTTATTCGTTCACAACAATATAGGGAAGGCTGGCAATGCACCAGCCTGCATCGGTGTTAGCAGTCTCGGGTTGTTCTCTTCTGCGAGGAAATTGCAGGCTGGTCTTGTGCTGCTCAAGCACTTGCCATCAGAGATACCATATGCTGCCTGTTGGATATATCTCAATGGAAGGATTCTCGCCGCATAACATGCATGTCCCATGGCTTTCTCTCTTCGGCTGGGGCACATAAGATCGCCCACTGCAGCCTGAGTCCTGAGTCGCTCCAGGGGGCTGAAGTCTGTGAGAGGGAGAGGAATTCTTTCGGAAGAGGCTGCTCACCTGGGGTTGCACGCCCAGCTGCAGCAGCACGGGGTTGAAGATGAGGGCGCCTCCGATACCCAGCAGCCCGGCCGTGAACCCAGCAAAGGCCATCACTCCCACCACCTTGGCCAGCCTCTTGTATGTATCCGCCGTGCCTGCACATTAAATCAGACAGGCTGTCAACCGGGCCTGCATGCCTGCCATTAATATCACGACAATGTTGCCCAGCAAGAAAGAGGCTAAATTGCTCCACCATGGGTATTGCTGTCATACCCTCACCTGAGCGAGTCAAAGTCAGGGACGTTTCCTAGCAACAACAGCTGCAGGCATAGGCCGCTCTGTTGAAATTTTGAGCAGTTAGCCTGCCTTCCAAGACGCCGCAGTGAAAAATAAAACGTTTGCTTGTGTACTTGTGGGCGCACCAATGGGTGTTTCAGAGTCGCTCTGCTCGCCCAGGATGACTGTCCTCAGTTCCGGATCCATCTCATCAGCGTGCGGACCCGCTGCCTTCTTTGCCTCATACCTGATCAGGCAAATAGAGGTCCTTTTACGGAACAAATCCAATTCGGATGCCTGGACACAGTATTGTCACTGCTACCAAGCGTCATTGGAAAGGCCTGTGCGGAGATATTCCCCACTTTAAAAATTGATTAGTAAATCAAACTAAACCACCAATATCCTGCCCATTAAGTCACACCTGCTCAGGATCCCGTGAGTCAAGGGGAGCTTCAATTCTGCAGCACCAAATAAAGATTCACAGAGCAGGGAGGGCGCACCAGATGCAGAAGGCGGTGACGGAGAGCAGGAAGATGACCTGGGCGGCAAAGATGGTGAAGTACTGCCATGTGCAGTTTGGGTACCGCGCCTTCAGCTGCTGGAACGCCAGAAACACCGCCCAAAGAGCCACCACCGCCGCCATCTGCACACAAGTCTCGCACACCTTACGCACTGCTGAAATCCACACGCTTGCATCACTTGAGAGATTTGTTGAGGCCGGAGGCTCACAGGCTGGAGGTTGGCAAACTGCGCTCCCTCCCACCAAATTGACTGAGGAGCTGCAGTGCTCGTCTCAATCCATGCAGGCCTCTAGATTTCGCACCAGACATGTGATGAAGAAGACTCGGGTTCATCTGCTCTTTCAACATCAATGATGGTCCCCAAAGGAGAAATGAACCCAGATCTGCTCCGCTAAATAAATGGCGCGACGTCCAACAGTACAAAGACGTCTTGCTTGAGACAAAGACTGCAAAAGAGAGCCTCCCATCTACAGAGGGCACTGCATACGTGGACACAAAACCAAGACAAGGTGGCATGTTCCACACAGTGACAGTGCTAGGCTGCAGAATTTTTGAAGGCACCGCAGCTGTGGCTGCAGACACCCTGCGTTTCTGCGCTATGGCCTCTGGTTCTGGGTTTGCCGACCTGCTACAACGATAAAGTTGTACACCGGCAATTTTACAACGTAACTTCAACATGCATGACAGCACGAAGGCCAACCGCACGCTGTTTCTGCCAGAGGCAAGGTGCATGTGCAGGCAAGCTGCAGGTGAAGGCTGCTGCTCCTCAAATCGCGCTGTCTGTCACTTGATGTATAAAGATGATGACTCAGCAGCGCAGTGACATGCCTTGAATAAGGGCAGGCGGTGGAAGATTTGGGAGAGCGTGGTCTGCAGCTGGTGCACTGAGCTGTGGGGGGCGCTGAATCTCTTGCTGGGGTTGCGCTCGAATCGCTCTTCGTGGAGCACACCCTCCTCATCGTCCTCATCACCAAGATCCTACAGCAGCCAATGAGATCATTCAGTTTATTCAGGGTTTTAGGGGTTTAGGGTTAGGGTTTCAGAGCGGCAGAGCGAGTGCCAGGGAGGCATCCCTCCTTGCCCGCATTCTCAAGTGTGATGTTGCAATCATGGTGTCCAAACTCCAACCTGCATCATACTTGTCATCCTCCTAATGCAGTGAAGCTGCAGGGCACCGAAAGGAATTGAGCAGCTCCTCACAATGCAGCTGAAGTATCAGGACAGGCGCTTTCTCGAACCACATGTTTCGACTCATCTTTTCAAAATTATGTTTTCAAGCGCTGTGGTGAATCCCAAATGGCCCTTCCAGAAGCTCTTCGGGAATGTTGAAAGGGAATACCGTATCAATTTGCACCCTAGTGCCTTTCAAGGAGATGTATTTGCGCCTAACGCGATACCAGTCAAGCACACTGCCATAGGTCGCCCCCTGGACAGCCCTGCTTGGCCAAGGACCGATGCTGTACAGTGGGCCTCTTTTTGATGACGGCGTGTCTTTGCTTACGTTGCTAACATGTGTGAAAAAATGCGCAGTGATTCAGGGCTGGTGAGCACTTGACTCCACTCCGCACAATGCACTCACTCACGCATGGCATCTTCTGCTATGCTATATCTGACTCAGTCCCCCATAGACCGAGCCAGGACTGTGGGGTCACACAGTAGATTGCCCCACATCAGGGTCATCTAAGGCCTTGCATGAATACATATGTGACGCAAGTCCGGAGAGCAAGTATGCACACTTTCAGGGCTGGGGAACACCTGCTGGGCGGCGCTGCGTTTCTGCTTGATGGCCTTCTGCTCCTGGCGCCACTGGGTGATGCCCTTGCGCACCGTTTTGTTTATCACAAACAGCAGCAGCACAGTCAGCAGCGCAGTCTGCAGCCAGTCCGGCACGAGCACATTCAGCAGCACACCTGCAGGACAGCACATCAAAGCACATCAAAACGAGTCCAAAATCTGACAGCCCTGTTCCCTGCCCTTTGTCCCAGTCCTAAGAGACCCTTCCAGACCCGCTGCTCAGGGAAATGGAAGGAACGAGAGGCAACATAAAGCCAGTAACATCATGGATAAGATGCCAAAGTGCCGATCAAATGGATGCATTTGGACGACAAGAAACTTCCAAAGCTTCCCTTTAGGCCAAGTCTTTCGTTGTCTGTGCTGCATGCTGCGGCAGGCACCAATGCACGAAGATGAGATCGCGGAAAAGCAGGATGTGCGGTCAGCTGGGATATTTCACAGAGGAGTGTGGGATGGGGGTCTCACCAAAGCTGACGCCCAGCAACAGGGCAGGGATGAAGGTGAGGGCCACATCAAAGTCCACCAGGGGCCTGCTGGGGTCGTTTGGGTGCGTTTGGATCAGACCATATATCGAACTCGCCACTGCTGACGTCGCTGCACGACACAAAGGAGCCGTTCAGCTGGGTTCTAGGTCTGGCATGGTGCGATGCTGTTTTGCAAAATACAGTTGTTGACAACAGGGAGGCGTCTGCCCGTACCAACAATCGTGTGGCTCAGGCCAGTTGCGGCTTTCAAGTCGAAGCCCAGGACCACGTTCAGAAGGGGCACGTAGAATGGCCCTCCTCCGATGCCAGCACTGTTGGCCAGCAGTGCACACTGCCGAAGACATCATCAAAGAGCCTCAACACCATCAAATTCTTTTATCTGATACTATAGAGCTACAAAGCATTTTGCTACCTAATATTGTCTCGATTGAGGGACGAAAGCACGGTCCTCGTATATCATGCATGTCGTGAAAGGTGATGGGGCACTCACCACGCAAGCTAGGGCAGCTGCAAAAATTGTCCTTGGCGTCCATTCAAATTTAGTATTGGGACCGGTTCCTAGTATTTGGAACAGGCCGCTATCGCTCCTGCCGCAACGAAAGAGGTGTGTTCAGAGACACGTGCCGCAACAAAATACGTGCTTGCTGCGGAACAAGAGCCGAGCTCTCGCCTCTGAGGTGAGTACCTGCTTGCTTCATGAGTTTGATCTTCCTGAGCCAATGTGCACAAGAACGCTCCAAACGCTAGCCAGAAGAGAGCGCTCCGCATGATCTCCAGAGATCCGGACTGCCGTGCCATCCTTCCGATCACCCGACTCAAGACAAGAACAGATATCGAACTTATCTTTGCGGCCTCTTCGCAAAGTTTGAGCGCGGATCCTGCCCTGTCCGGGTGGTTGGAAGCAATACTCGGATCCAATTTTGGATGAATGTGATCACGTGCCAGGCGGCTCCCTGCATGTGTTCCTCGAAGGCAGTTCAATAAAGTACCAGAGTTGATGCCCCCTTGAAAAGATCTATGTGCCAGTCTATCTGCAGTTTACACGCGTACCCGAAATTCAGAAACTGTTCTAAAGAGCCCAGAAGAGCCCAGACAAGGCCGTCTGTAAAAGGACTGACAAACAACCTAATTTAAGTTGAGGCATGATGCGCATGCATGCCAGGCACGTCAATCTCTGCCCAGCCGCCCAAGATGCTCTCTCACGCATTTCTGCAGCAACTCTGTATTCATAGCAATGTAGAAGCGCAGAAACAATCGAAAAGGTGCAATCGATTGCGGAGGCCAGCCCGCATTAAAACCATGTACGCTAATGTAGGCTGGTCGAAACAGGACTGCAGCACACACACAATACAAGCCCCTGCATGGTCCTTTCTCCAATTCCATTCCTTTCCCCTTCTCAGCAGAGACCTTTGCCACATCATCAGAAAGCTGCAAATACACTCAGAGGATACACTCTGGGCCTGCAGATACACTCACCCATGTGCTCACAGCTTGCAAACAGATACAGTGGAATCAGAACAGTCGTTCTCTGCACCTATACAGCCTGCATCACAGTGTCTGGGCTCATAGTAGAAGCACCCTGCTCTGCAGAGATTGCAGCCAGCTCTGCGCGCACAGCAGCGCTTCGGGCATCGACCTGGAAGCGGTCGTCCAGCCAGACACGAAAGACACCAGGCTCGATCAGCTGGAAGTTCACCTCAGACAGAACGGTGTCCACTGCAGAGTGGCCGATAGCTGCTGTGACCCCTGACTCTACGACCAGGCACTGGACTTCGTGCTCGTCCACACGGGTGTTCAGAACAACAGGATATCCTTGATGGTTTCCATAGAGAGCTGGACAGTCATGAATGCCCGAGACGCCGATACAGAAAATTTGGTGACAATGATAGCCCTGGACATGGCCCAGCCAGCAAAGGCGCCGCAGTACAGAGGGTTTATAGTGATCCTGCCAGTACGGAGGCTGATCTCCACAAATGGGCCCAGTGGCACAGAAGAACAGGATTGCTGGATCCCTGGAGAAGTGACAGCACAGACCTCGCAGGATGAAGCTCATGATTGAAAAGCTCAACAGTTGAAGAGGGCAAACACTGCAAGGTTAGAGAATGTGCTATCGAGTTGTGCCGGATCCAAGGCCGCCTGTGAGAAAACAACGCGGCAGTGGAAAAATAATTACGGTTGGTCCTTTCATCTCTGTGAGGCGCAAGCAGTTCACGGAAATGCCAATGTGTCACAGTGCCATGGGTGCACACAAGAGAAAGCACCACTTTGACAGTTTTACAATCATTAAAGCAACAAAGTGCTTGCATTGAATGCAATGCACTCCCAGGGTGCCGGACATCGAGGCTTGTAAGATGGAAATCCAACGTGTATACTTGTGACACATGTGACATGTGGCGATTCATCTCTGCTTTAGAGCGTGTCAATCCCATGAAATCTCACAGCCTGGGTAGCCTAGCTAGTAGCTTTAGCAAAATTTCACCTTTCAGCATGTTAATACCGTATGCTCCCGTTTAGTGGGTCTAATGGGACCAATGTCATCAGAATGACAATTGGTCATACATGCCATGACAGCCCACATGACGGAGGCCATAAAATGAAAGCTTTTGAAGCAGCCAAGGAAGGATGAGATGGTGAAAACGGTGAGGGCATATGGTGCCACTTCAGCCATGTGATGTTAGCTTAACTTTACAGCTGCAATCTCCTAGCAATATTTGCAAGCGGTCTTGTATTGTTGTTGATACAATAATAGGGACGCATTTATTCTATTGAGAGGCAAGGTGGGTCCGCAAAGCAAAGTATCTGCGGGAAAAGGTACACCTTTAAAGGCTCGCTTGATGGCTCACCAAATTTGAGCAAGGTCACATTCAACGTGGGCATGCTGCACAGTATCAACGCCGCACCTCAGCCGAGGCTCGATACATAGCAGCGTTCTTCCGGCAGCAAGAGTTCTTGTGCAGATCGCTATTGAAAATCCGCGCTGACTTCTCTAGCACATCCGATGTAGAGTCTAGACAAGATCTCGTGGGACGGCTTCTGTGGATGAGGGGACAGAATGCACAAGGATCACCCAGTGCCCAGTTACTGCCTAAGGGCGCGCACCCACATCATCCTGTGGACCGAAAGGGCACACAGAACACTGACAGGAACACCGAGGCAAATCGCTAAGACCATGTTGTAACCCCGTAGTTCATAGTATACACCATCCATCCGCGCATTGATGCGCTGCTCCAAGTCTCTCAGCGCTTGTTCCATCTCAGATTGATGCACTGCGGGTGCTGCAGCATTGTCGCTCTTGTGCGCCGGTGCTGCATTTGCATGACCAACCCCAGATCACCTCAGCATTGCCTGTCAAGATCATTGTCGGCTCTAAGGGGGCAATTTTCACATCCAAATTAGGAGTACTAACTTCCAAGCTCATCAGGCTGGGGTTACCTTGTGAGGTGTCATATGATCCTGCAAGCAGAAACAGTGGGCCATGGGCAGGTGCAGCAATGTTTGGGCTTTAAAAAAGGAACACCAGCAAAATACAATAGCAAATTGTTCGTTGGCCAGACACCATGTCCTTAGCATATCTGGAAGGTCCAGTGCAGCAAGTCTGCAAATAAGCTACTGCCTCCAGGCTCTCTGGATTGAAGCCACGTCTATGTCTCGTGGTTTTGCAGTTGCATTTAGTACATGCACCTCCATTTTGCCCAACAAAGATATGGGAGAAATTCCGCCTTCGAAATCATCGAGTGTGATATGGTGTGATTGAGGCGAAGGAGCAACTGCAAAGTTTTCCACACCTGGTCGCACTACAAAACATTTGGCAGGGAACTCAAGCTACCCAAATTTGTATTATTCTTCTGCAGAAGATGTTTTTCGGATGTATATTTAATATTTTGGAACTAATGTAAGCTCAGCAAGTGCGTGCAAGCAGATTAAAAACCTGTCAAGCAGAATGGATCCACGAAGCTGAGGAGCACAGCTGCGATCAAGAGTCCCTTTGGCTTTTGCGCCATGTGCACACGCTATGTTGGTCAGCTCACTTCTTTTGGTTCAATGATAAATAATCGAGGAGGAATAAGGTGCCAAGAATGAACATATGACGCATAAGGATGTTGACGATCGAACATAATATCCTCTCGTCAAAGACCTAATCTTCGATCCCCCCAATGACCGTGGAATTCAGGTTGGGAGGGGTGTTGATGAATAGTGCAGTAGTTGCAAGCATCATGTGTGTGGTAAATCAGCTCAAGATACCTAATGGGAGGAAAGCAGTGAGCAGTCAGTCTCATGAGCAGTGTGCTCCAGAGGCAACACAAGCTTACAGCTTAAAAAGTTTGCCGCGGCGCGCTAGTAGGAAAGGCAACAGGGCTCAGCATGAATTGCTGGCAGGGAGACCTCAAGTTTCATTTGCCGAGCGCAACTGAAACGTACGCAGCGCTGCTGGTTGCTGGATTCTTTCTAATTTTCATCATTGTTGCACCGTTTTTCTGCGAAAAGAGGCAAGGTGCGTCTGCAGACCCGGTGCAGCAGTGCATGAATGTCGAAATCCAAGTTCTCCTTGGACATGCCAGATCCAACCATGATCCGATCACCCGCGGGCACGGTGCTCAGTATAATATCGCCCCCCGCCAGTATATGCTGCATGTAATAAATCTGGAAAATATGCCTCTGCTGTCTGCACATATCATTTGGAGCTTTGGTCAACTTCTTGCTTTTCACAGGCAGATCTTGCACACTTACGGTATGGTATTGGAAGTAGCAGCAGCTTCGCTGCATGCATGCTGATTTGTGTGCCAATATTGACAATGTGCGACACCAAAGTTTTCCTGATCACCCGGAGGGCGTTAAGAGCATGTTCTCTGCAGATATTCAGAGAAGAATATTTACTGCAAAGTCAGCAGCTCAATGGCGGTAGGACAATGTATGCAAAGGCCACCTAGGAGGGCAAGCACATTCAACTTCGCCCGTTGATCTGCCAAAAAAATGTGGTGGACAGTAAAAGGTACTCTGATAGCTCCAGGCAGTCAGCTCAGCAATTTGATCCTTGGCTTCCTATATCTGTGCTGCCAGTATTGCTTTTGCAATCTTCATGCAGCTGACATTCATAGAATGCAAAGGCAGATGTAGAACAAACCTGACACAATCTGTGCAAGCAATCTGGGCCAGAAACACTTGCTGGCACTAGCACTCGCACCCTCGATTTCTGATAACTCAAAGCAGCCCCCCAATTAAGAAAAAGTGCAGATTCAACAAAATCATTGAGAAGCTTCCATTGACTATACTTTATGCGTAACAGGGTTTTACATTCCATGGGTGAATGGAGGACCCAAAGCCTCAGGTCGGAGCCAGTTCAAATGTCAACATCAGGATCTTGCGGTGATCTCCATTCCTGAAATCTAAGAGCAGATTGGATGTGCTGATGCAAGGAGAAGACGCCTGGCCCGTCATCACACCTCCATCTACATATCATGCGGCCGCTGCAAGCTCTCATCTTCTTGTGCCTTACCGCGGTCGCTGTCAAACACGCTGGGCCAAGCGACCTCAAGCTGCCTGGAGGTACGTACACCTCATGAATGAGCACATCCGAGTAGTAGCGCTGTCAGGAATGCATAGATGGACCTTGCCGACTCCTCACAGAAGTGCCTCTCGCAACCTGCCCGTCTCCAGAATCGTCAGGTCCTTGAGGAGTCAAGTGGCTGACCAGCAATGCACTGTAGCTTTGCTTTCATTGCTTTGTTGTTGGATGCTTTGGTGTAGCTGCCGTTCCTACATTCCAGTCAACTTGAGACAAAGATCCCAAAATCTCTCTC